GCTCACGGCACTCGCCTGTACCGGCGGTCTGCTGTTTGGCTTTGACATCTCGTCCATGTCGGCCATTATCTCTTCGCCCAACTATCTGGTCTACTTTGGTGACGCTGCCAACACTGTCGAGTGTGCTGACCGTCCTGGCGCGCTCTGCAACCCTGGTCCCAGCGCTGATGTGCAAGGTGGTATCACTGCCTCTATGGCCGGTGGCTCTTTCATCGCCTCGCTCTTTTCTGGTATCATTGCCGACCGTTACGGCCGTCGTTACGCCATCTTTCTCGGTTGCATCTTCTGGGTGATCGGTTCCATCCTCACTTGCGCCGTGCAGAACATTGCCATGCTCATTGTCGGTCGTATCTTCAACGGCATGTGTGTCGGTCTCTGCTCTGCTCAAGTTCCGGTCTATCTCTCGGAGCTCTCGCCTTCTCGCATTCGTGGTCGTCTCGTCGGTTGCCAGCAGTGGGCCATCACATGGGGTATCTGCATCTTCTTCTTCATTTGCTACGGCTGCTCCTTCATCGGCAATCGCATCGGTGGCGAGCAAGACGGTCGAGGCACTGCCACCTTCCGTGCGCCATGGGGCATCCAGATGATCCCCGCCATTATCCTCATGGCTCTCGTACCCATGATGCCTGAGTCTCCACGCTGGCTCATCGCTCAGGGTCGCAAGGAGGAGGCGCTCGAGATCTTGGCTCAAGTCCACGCCGCTGGCGATCAAGAGTCGCCCCTCGTCATGGCAGAGTTCCGTGAGATCGTCCAAAACATCGACGAGAGCTCCGGCGAGGGCTCAGGGTACACGGACCTCTTCAGGAACGGCAACGCTTGGCGCACCCACATCGCCATGTTCACGCAAATTTGGAGCCAGCTCACAGGAGTAAGTTCACGGATCCCCGCCTTTTTTTTTTCCATCGCTTGTTTTTGGTTCCTCGTCGTCACACATCGAATGCCATGCTCACCATCATCTGTTCCTTCTCCCTCCTTCGACATCGCACTCAAAATCACCATCTTTGCGTTTTGATCTACTCCAGATGAACGTCATGATGTACTATTTGAGCTATGTGTTCCAAATGGCGGGCATCAGCGGCAACATTGCGCTTATCAGCAACGGCATCCAGTACGTGATCAACGTGGCGATGACGGTTCCAGCTTTGCTGTACGTGGATCGATGGGGACGACGACCTACGCTGCTGGTCGGCTCAACGTTGATGGCCATCTGGCTGTTTGCCGTTGCTGGACTGATGGCTTCTCACGGCCACTACTATCCGGATTCGGGCAACGCTGTTGTTCGATGGAAAGTCGAAGGACCTGCCTCCAAGGCCGTCATTGCGTGCTCGTACCTGTTTGTCGCCTCGTTCGCGCCGACCTGGGGCCCTGTCTCCTGGATCTATGTCCCGGAGCTCTTCGGAAACCGTCTCCGTGGCAAATCCAACTCGGTCTCCACCGCAAGCAACTGGGCCTTCAACTTTGCCCTTGGCTACTTCGTCCCCCCTGCTTTCCACAACATCCAGTGGAAGAGCTACATCATCTTCGGCTGCTTTGCGATGGCCATGACGGTCCACGTCTTCTTGGCTTTCCCCGAAACCGCGGGTAAGACGCTCGAGGAGGTCGACGAGATCTTCCAGTCCGGCGTGCCCGCCTGGAAGACCAGGGCGGGATCGACAAAGTTGCCCGCAGACGTCGAGGCCGTCAAGGTCCAGTACGCCCAACATGTCGCTACCCCAGACAGCGCATCGGCCGACGAAAAGGAACTCAAGGCTTAGTTTCGACATCGCACTGCTTCGCTCCATCGATTCCACACATCTCTCATTGTCGAATGGCGATGTCACCCAGACACGAGCTTGTTGCTATCGCAGAGAACGATGATGCATTGAACGAGTAAAGTGATCTGAATTCCATCGTCCGTGTCTGGTGCAGATACGACCTTCTACTTCTTGGCAAATTTGCGCAGAGGGTCGACCTTCTTCTTCCCCCTTGCCGCCGTTGCACCTTTGCCAGTCGAGCTCCTCCCTTTCCCCTTGCCCTTGCCGTTCTTGCCCTTCCCACCGTCCACCTTGTTCTTCGGCACGTAGCCCTTGTACGTGTCTCCCCTGGTGAGCTTCGCTCCTGGGTTAATGATCTTCGGCACCAAATACTGGGGCACATGCTTGAGATGGCTCTGCTGCGCGCGCGTGCCGAGCAACGCCTTGTCGTGCTGCAAAAAAGCCAGGTCGTCCGGATGATCCTCGAAGTGCGACTGCAGCTTTGTCGAAGTGAGGATCTCGTTCTTCAACTCCTTGATGCGCGCCTCGCGGATAAGGGCTTTGGTGATCGACTTGAGCGTGTCCGTGACACGATACCTGAACCCAGAGACGGAGGTCGAGTCGTAGTTCCACTCTTGCAGCGGACCACCGATGAGCGAGGAGGACGAGGTGCGCGTGAGCTGCTTGAACACCGACTCGTCGTACCGCGTAGTCGGGCAGGTGAGGTACTTTGATCGACCAACTTCGGCGGAGGGGACGACGAATGAGAGCGCTGTACCTGAGGCACCTCCTCGTGCAGTTCGACCGACTCGGTGAATGTACGAATCGACGCTGGTGGGCAGGTCAAAGTTGATGACGCACGAGACGTTGACAAAGTCAACACCGCGAGAGACGCCGTATTCGTTGGACGCGTTCTTGCCCTTTTTGCGCTTGTTCTTGGACTTCTTGCTCGACGCAGGCGCTTCCGAGGTGGATTTGCGTTTCTTTCCAGTGCCCTCTTCACCGGCCTCCTCCCCTGCCTCGTCGTCTTCGGCAGCTACCTCCGCGTCCTCCGGCCCATCCTCCTCTGGCTGCGCGCTCAGACCCGTCGGCTCGTCTGTAGCAACAATGTAATCGAACCTCCCCTTGTTGAACTCCTCGACGATGCTGTACCTCGAATTGATCGGCAGCTCGGCGTTGAGCACGCATGCCCGCAAGCCAAACTTCTCCAGGAACAGCTTCAGTCGATACCCGCGCTCGAGCTCGTTGACGAACAATATCGCTTTGCCCCTGATCAGCTTGAGCTTGAGGATGACGTACACCAACAGAAACTTGTCCTCTTCGGTCGTCTTGGTGTAGAACTGGACGAGGTTCGAGCCGGATGCTGCCTCGTCGTCTTCGTTTAGCTTGAGGATGACTGGGTTGCGGAGGAGCAAGCCCTTCAACTTGGACACGTCCGAGGTCATAGTTGCCGACATGAGGAAGGACTGGAAGTGCGATGGTAGGAAGTTGCCGCTAAGGAGCGATTTGACGTCCGAATCGTGACCGTAGGAGAGGATGAGATCCGCCTCATCAATCGCTAGCGACTCCATGCCGCTCTTGAGGTCCAACGAGCCGTTCTGCAGGTAATTGAGTGCTTTTGATGGTGTGGCGATCACGACGTCAGGCTTCTCGCTGAGCAACAAGCGCTGCACCTTCTCAGATGCCTCTCTCGCCACATTGACCAGTCGCACGTCGTCCCTCACGTACTCGATGATCGCCGAGAGATGTCTGAACACCTGCTCGGCCAGCTCCCTGGTCGGCACCAACACTAGCGCCCTCGTCAACTGATGCTTCGTATCCGACTTGGCGACTGCATTCTTCGCATCGAGCACCTTCTGCAACAGCGGCAGTCCGTAAGCTAGTGTCTTGCCCGAGCCGGTGCGAGCTCTCGCGAGCACGTCCTTGCCAGCGAGTGCGAGTGGGATGGCCTTTTGCTGGATTGGTGTTGGAATGCCGAAGCCAAGATCGGCGAGCGCACGCAGAAGACGCGGATCGAGAATGTGCGAGAAGACGTTGAAGCCGAGTCGTTCTGCGTCTTCTTGTGTGGGCAGCTCGATGCCGTGCTTTGTGGCGAGGGAGGAGGCGGAGTTGGTTGAGCCGTTGGGGGTCGATGCGGTCGTTGTCGAGCCAGATTTGGCTGGTGGCAGCAGCGAGTCTGCTTTGACTTTGGATGATGATGCCTCCGACATATTGTCCTAGCCAACGGGGGTGGTGGGTAGCGTGGGTGCAGGAAGGAAGCCCGACCGGCGAGAAGCAGGACCCTTCAGCGTCTGGCTCTCGAAAAATTTCCAAGGCTGCTCGGCACACGGAAAACGCCTAAAAAAAGTTGGTGGAGTTCTCAAAACATTCTTACCGGCCGACAGACTGCGAAGGGGCTCAGCAGTTTGGACCCTTTCTCCAAGGCTCGTTGCGCTTTTCGACACGAACACCTTCTTCCTGCATTCCTCACGCAGCAGCAGCAGCAGCAGTCTTGCTCAACCAACATCATCAGCGCCACCTTCAACACGACCAAGCGCAGCTCCAGCACCCGTGACGACCCATCAATCATCATCGCAGTGGCACACACCCTACGGCGCCGTTTGCGATCCTCGCCAACCCAAGGTAATCACATACCCGCATCGCCGTCCAACATGGCCTCCTACCTGGCCTCCATCTACGGCACCGAGCAGGACAAAGTCAACTGTTCGTTCTACTACAAGATCGGTGCATGTCGTCATGGCGATCGCTGCTCGCGGAAACATATCCGTCCGCCCTTCTCTTGCACACTACTTCTGTCCAACGTCTATCGCAATCCGCGACATCACGAGCAAGACTGCACCATCACCGACTCCGAGCTGCAGGCTCAATTCGACGCATTCTACGAGGACATGTTTGTCGAGCTTGCCAAGTACGGCGAGCTGGTGGAGATGCATGTTTGCGACAACGTTGGAGATCATCTCATCGGCAACGTGTATGCGCGGTACAGATACGAAGCGGATGCGCAACGGGCCGTGGATGCGTTGAACGATAGGTGGTACGATGCCAAACCGCTATTTGCCGAGTTGAGCCCCGTGACGGACTTTCAGGAGGCATGCTGTCGACAGAACGAGACCAACGAGTGCAACAGAGGCGGATTCTGCAACTTCATGCACCTCAGGTACGCGAGCAGGCCGATACGCAAGGAGCTGAATCACCAGCTGGCGGTCGAGTTGCGGAGGAGAAGAGAGGAAGGGAGGGACACGGCGAAAGGCGTCAAGAAGAAAATGGGCTGGAAGGAGAGGTTGGCATTGGAGCAGGGGGAGTCGGTCGATGCTGGAGAAGATGGAAGCGGCAGCGAGCAGACGGAGAAGGCAGAGGCAAAGAGGGATTGGAGGAGTGGCAAATCCGGAGGCGATTGGAGGAGTCAGCCTAGAGTAGCAGAAGTGAATGACGAACTTGCAAGGGGAACGGCAGAGGACAGGTCGAGAGAGCATTTGTAACCATTCGTGCACGTTCAACGATTGAGAAGCATTCCCACGACGCATTCGACGGAAGGATACGTGAAAGCTTGCTACGACGTGTCATTATCCGACCCTCGAGCGATTGGAGATGAAATGGTGGGCGTAGGGCCTCATGAAACCGCAATGAACCCGTCTGCTGCGCATTGTTAGGGACGGTCTTGTTGAGTCACATTTCGCCAACTGGTTTGCCCGTTCCTGCTACTTCTGAATCAAAGCGCGCACGTCTCCCGCCAAATCCCTCTTTCTCTCTTCAGTTACACTCGCTGGTTGCCTTCTTCCTCCTCCTCATCGTCCGGTCTCTAGGTACCGTGCTCATCGAATCTGGCGATGCAAAACAAACTCGCTCACGACGATCGCCAAGCGATTTGTGTCGATCGCATCCCAACCAACGTGTCTTTGGGCGAGATCTGCTTGGTGCCCTTCGAAGATCAGCCAGACGATGACATCTTGATCACCAGCTACAAGCAAGATGGGGCTCTTTACTTCTCGATTTCTATCGCTTTGACGATGGCAGGCACCATCAAGAGAGCCCAAGATTTCGCTCGGGACATTCCTGGCTGCTCGATCCGACTTGTGCGCTTTCAAGTCTGTCTGGAGTCTGAGCGATACGACACGCATTATCGCTATGAAATCTATCCCGAGCCCTTACCGACAACTGAAGCCGAGAGAAGCTTCTCGTCGTCTTACAGACGGGTCACGCCGGAGCTTCCTCAGCTCAAACCATCAAGTGTCCCGTTCGAACTGCTCTCCACAACTTTCCTGGCAGCTGTAGAGCAAGCTGGCAAGACTGGCACCGAGGGTCGCCCTAATGCAGCGCGAGAGGGTACCAACGTAGGCCTGCGAGGTCAGAACGCAATCAGGATGGCGATAAACGATGCCGATCGACTAGAGCGAGAGGCTCTACGCATCATCGAGCGCAAACGTGAGGCGGACAGACAATTGCGGCAACTGGAGCAGTCGCAAAGCTTTGCAGACGGAACAGAGCTACCTCAAGACGACCAGCTCGAGCAGGCGCGAGAAAGGGCTGCATCCTACGCCCGATATGCTCAGGAAAAGATCTTGGCCGCCGAAGAGGCTAGGGAGATGGTCCAGGTAACCAGAGAAGTCGTGCAGTTCGAGAACGAGAACGACCACGATCTTCAGCCAGAGCCAACTGTCAAATACGAGATCATCCTTGGCGCGCGACGTTGTGCAAAGCTCCCCATTCCACCGCTGCCGGAAGACCTTTCTAGGGTGGTGATACCAGAACGGGGTGTCAGACAGTGGCGCTTCCCAACTGCACTCAGCGCTCACGATCGATACGACTGCGCAAGATACATCTGCGACACTATCGAGGCCAACGGAATACGCGGCTGCGACTACGATATCAGATACTCGTTTGGGCGCAAGAAGTTCAGCCGATTCCTGCAAATCAAGTTCAGGAGACCCGAGGACTACAAGCTAGCAAAAGGGATCTACTTTGTCTGGCGCAATCAGCCTCTGAGGCCATTTCATCGCGCAAAACCTCGAGCTAGGCGGCATCTGACCTTGTTGAGTATCGATAACTTCATCTTTGGGGAGGACCCCTACGTCATGGTGGACGAGCTTTACATGAAAGTTCGGCGGACACTGCGCTTGGAAGCTGTCTGGCGCCTGAATCAGGTGCATAAGCTGCGCGACACCTTGGTAACGACCGAAGGCAGTTCTATGATCGCTCTCACCTCTTACAAGCGGGCAAAGAAGCCCTTCGTCCGCTTGTACGGACCAAGGGACGTCCCGAGACGTTTCAAGGACTATCGAGATACGTTGCCAATCATTTTGTCGGACCGTCCACATAAGGACATCCAGTCTTATCGCGACTTGCGTGATCTCAATCGAAAGAAACGTTGGCATCGCAAAGGCAAACTCTGGCTGCGACCCACGTGCCTCAATCATGACAAAATCGCTCTACCTCGACGGGGTCGCTATGTATAGTCGGACAAGTAATCAATGTTGCCCTCGTGTTGATCTTTCGCTATTCCTTTGATTGCCATGGTATCCTTGAAGGCAATGTTGCCAACAAGTCGCGATTCAGGCAGCCGTCTGTGCTCAGGGCGAGAAGTATGGTTCTCTCGCTCGAAAGAGCGTACACTGATCCTGTCTGCGCAACGCATCAAAGTGGGATAGATTTGATTGCATGGCCGGGGCTGAGCTTGAGCTCGAGCTCGGGCCTCCTCGACTCAGCCAATTTTCATTTCGCACCTCACTCTCTACAGTCACATCCCCTCGACTTGAGACGGCCAGGCACGGCCCTCGAGACGCCGAGAGTCTCATTCGGCCCGTGCTTGTCTGCTGCTTTGTCTAAGCTTCGGCTTGAGCTTCTCTGAGAACACATTCTTGCAGCACGTCTTGTCTGTTTTCAGCTTTCGCGTTTTGTTCCTTTCGTCGTCCACTACCCCTCCACCATTCGCCATTTTGCCCGCAATCGCGTTGATTCCCTCTCGACTTCCTCCTTTTGTCATCCCTCTGATCTCGCACACCCAACGACGCTCGATGCAGCACAATCCGTTGAACATGAAGGAATCGCAGCTGGCCGACGACCACCGCTTGGCAATTTGCATAGATCAGATACCGCGCGTCAAGCAGCATCAAGAGATATTCCTCGAGGTCAACGAAGAGCAGAGCCGCGACGACATCGACATTTGTCGCTATTCAACAGAAGATGGCACTTCGTTCTACTCGATGGCCATGGCCTTGACCAAACCAGGCGTTATTGATGCCATGCAAAGAACAGCGCTGCGCTTCCCTGCTTGCCCCATGCGCATCGTTAGCTTCCAGGCCTTGCGGAAAGCCAAGCGCGACAAGACATACTGGCAATGCACAGAAGCCGTCAAGGACAAGCCCAGTCGGATCAAGCAGGTTCAGCAAGATCTGGGCCGAGGAATTCACAGGTCCGGGGATTCAGTCACTCTGCCAGACAGCGACGAACGAGACAACAGCAGCCATCAAAACTCCAGCAGAGAATCGACAAGGGATGTGATCCTACTTGAAGGCAACGAAGATGACGACGATGATGAGGAGGACGAAGACGAATTTGACGAATATGAGCAGCACATGGAGGAAGAATATTGCTGCGATCACGGCCACAAAGCTCTACCCTTCGAGTTGGTCACAAGAGTGTTCCTTGATAAAGAGCGTAAGGCTTCATCTGACGATGAGGCTCTCATTGGATCTTGCGCCAGACGTATGCGGGATCAGCAGGCAGGGCCATTGACGCGAGCGGAAGCTGAAGCTCAGACGGCGGCCTATCAAGCTCAAAGGCTTGAAGCGGCAGCCAGACGAGCTATCCACCACAAGCAAGAGCTGGAACAGGATTGGCGAAAGAAGGAAGAGCAAGGAGATTTCGACTTGTCAAGCGAGGATCGGAGAAGAGACCGTCTCTATGCGTTTGAGGACATCTGCGAAGCTATCGATTTAGCATGGCATAGGATCCTCGACGCTGATTTGGCCAGAGAAGAGGCCAAACTTCTTGACGAGATCGCCCGTTTCCAAGACGAATCCGTTCACAAGCATCAACCTGAACCTGCGATAAGGTACACGGTCATCTTCTGTAAGGATGGTATCGATACAGCTTCGGTTCCCTCATCTCCACTGGACATCATCCCAGCTCCTGGTACGTTTACGCAGGGCACGAGGCGCTGGAATTTCGCTGTAGCGCTCCGGCTTCCGGATCAAGCCAGTTGCACGGAACATCTGACGCGCCAGCTGACCGAGGCAGGCATCAGCGAAGGCAAATTCTCCATCAGCTTCATCCTCTCGAAAACTCGCAAGTCTTTTACATACGTGCAGATCGCCTTTGAGCATCCTGTTGACTTTGCACAGGCGGAAAGCCTGGGTCTGGTCTGGGAGGATCGTCCTCTCAAGCTTTGCAGCAGCGTACAACCCCTCGATGCGCCGATGACACTGCTCGGCGTGGAAAACTTCTTGATCAAGCGAGACTCGAATCGATATATACGCCGGCAGCCAGCAGCATTCTCGGATATTACTTTGGAGTCGTACATCAAACGACTCGAATCCCAAACGTTGGAGGCCCACATCATCTGGCGCCTCGATCAGGATCATCAGATAAGGGGTGAAACGATCACGTTGGAAGGCACTTCGATTGTTGCTCTTGTCTCGTACAAGCAGAAGCCGGTGAGCTCTTCCTCAACCCCTCCATCGTCAAACGTCTACTATGAACCCAAAGACGTGCCGGGCTTCGTTTACACCATGCAAGGATACAAGCCGATCAAGCTCTTGGGTCGTGCGCCAGCTTGCACGAAGTGCAATGGTCATTGCACTTGGCAGTATCATCTCGAAGAGGAGTGCGAGTATGGGAGTTGCGAGGGCTGCGGAACGGAGTACGACAGCGAAGACGAATACTGGGACCACCTCAACTTCTCCACCTGTCCTCCATGATCGTGACTGGGACCGGGGTTGCGATGCAGCTTTCTCTGCCCATGGTTACTCGTTGCGCCGGTCACTCGAGCTCAATCACCTGCAGCTGCCCGATTCTATCTCGTCAAGTGCGTCTTGTGCTAACTTATCCTGCCTCGACAGCAATCCTGATTCTTTGTGTCGTGTTCTGCAGAGTGAAATCACGGACTGTGCGTTTGCTGAATCCACGTGTGCCGGCGGCTTATCTCGCAGTTCATTTTTGATTTTCCTCCATGACGTGAAAGTCATCTGGTGCACGGGCATTTTCATCTTTACCCCACCATCTCACGCATTGCTCTGCGCCTCGTCTCACAATGATCACGGACCTCATCCTGCTCGCGGTGCTCTTCGCCATCATTGGGGGGATCATTAAGCTCGTCTCGTTCGTGGCACCGCCTCCACCGGGTACGACCAAGCCCTCCAGCGCGACCTCGGGCAATTCGTCAGCAGTCAAACTCGGTGGTAGCGGCACAACGCTCGACTGGCAGCATGGGCAGATGAACCTCAAGACCAACCTTCGACCCGTCACGCAGCAGGATCTGCTCGAGAAGGCCGAAGCGAGTGGACGCGATGGAGGGAAGTTCGTCACTGAACACGCGAACAGCTTCAGCTTTGGAAAAAAGGACGCGAGTGGGCTGTAAGGGCTTCGTATCATCAACCTGCGACTTCATCACGCACTCAAGGATCTCAGCACACGCCAGAACAACAGCTCCGTTGAGAAAAACTTCCATTCCTACGCAATCGACGAACGCGAACTCACACTGCTGGATCGGCGCACGCTCCTCGCACGCAGCGTCGCCGGGTCCACGCTCGGACTCCTGCTCGGTGGCAACGAGTCGATGTCGTCCAACGACATGTTGCGGGCTGCGTGCAGGTTGGCGCGAGCTCCACTGCCTTTGCCAGTGTGAGTACCGCGGCCACGGCCTCGAGTGGTGGTCGTGGTGCCACGCGCTGCGCCACGCCCGCGTCCTCGCCCACCTCGAGTGGTTCGCGCGGTCTTGGCCGCTGGAGGAGGCACGGCGAGAGGCTCGTCCTCCGAGCTGGACGAGGCTGAGGATGACAGAAGAGCTTCCTCGTTGTTGGTCGCTTTGGCGCCACCGCGAGCCTTCCTCGGCTTGGCAGGCTTCTTCTTGCGTTTCGACGCCGTCGTGGCTGCAGCGCTGTCCGTTTCGCCAGGAGGCGCACCTTCGAGAGCCTCGATCGCCGCATCCAGCTCGGCTCGTCTCGCTGCTCCATCCTCCTCAGAGGCTTCGACTCCAGGTCCCGCATCGTCGCGTCGAACAATCGGTCGTCTCTTGGCCATCTCCTTGCCCAGCATCTCCTCGGACACCATGGGCGTCTGCATCCTCGCGCCGACCACCTGCACCTCATCGTCATCGCTACTACTGCTCTCGTCGTTGCCCTTCCTCGCACTGGTGGCACCCCCACGCTTGTTCGCCGCCCTGAACCCGTTGATGACCTCCTGCAATCGATTGCTGCCGTACGTAACCTTCTTCCTGCCCGCGTAGATGCCTGTGCCAGCCGAAGTGTCGAAGAACCCATTGCGATCCAATGTCGTCTGATTGCCGCGTGCGCGGTTGCGCGCGTTCTGCCTTTCGATGATGGGGAGCAGGTACTGGTCCGTCTTTGTCACTGGCCAATGAAGGTATTCGCCAAGGAACGTCCTCAAACTGTCCAGATCCGGCAGACCCCATGCGAACGGCTCATCGCTCTCATCCACCGTCGGCGCATAGTACGCCTCCAACACCGCGGGCTCGGGCCAACTCGGCTCCAAGTGCACCTTGTTCCGTAGATTCTTCTTGATCCGCCTCATCGTCTTTCCCCGTGTATGCTCTTCCGTATCCTTGCCCGTCTGGACGCGCATCCACCAATCGCGAAATTTGAGCAATCCATCCTCGCCGCTGAACAACGCCAGCAGCTCCATCGCCACCACCGGTCCCACTCCCGCCAGACCCTCCGTATAGTCGCTTCCCAAGTAGTACGCCAGCCGTACCAGCTTCTCGCGATCCAATCCGAGTTCTCGCTGCATATCCGATAGCAGGAAGCACTCGACGATCTTGTTGTTGTTGAACATGTTTTTGTAGATGCGCGTGCCACCGAAGAGGAACACATCGCTATCGTCCGTGATGATCCCGTCGACAAGCCTGCGCGAGACGAGCTCGGCACATTGCGCTTCGGCCTCCATCGGCGCCGTAATGTAGGGTAATCCAAAGAGTCGAAGCATCATCTGGATCTCCTGCGCCATCTGTTTGGTGATGTCCTCCTCCGAACGGCGACTGTTGGCAAACTCGGCACGGAGAGCATTGACTTCGCTCTCGACTTCTTTCTGGACGTCGAGCAGACTGCGCCCTTTGGTGGCGCTGAGGAAGGCGACGAATTCGTTCGAATCGGCGTTGAGGCGGGCGATGGCGTCTTCGTCGTCCGTGTCGAGCGCGTCGAGTTCTTCGGCGGTGGGGAGGGGGAAGCCGTCTGCGCCGATGACGACTGGTTCGGGTGAGGGAGAGGGTGTGGGGGACCACTCCAGAGGCGTTTGCTGCCTGCTCGCCGGCGCTGATTGGATCTCTGCTGGTGGGACGTCGATGGGAGTAGGCTCGGAGATGTGCTCTGCTGCGGCTGATGGGATGTTGTCCAAGGCCACGGCGTCAGGGTCCGCACCGTTCTCTGTGACGCCTGGACCTTGCACTCCTTGAGCTGCGTCTTCTGGAGCTGCCAGAGACACCGGTACACCGGTCTCCTCTGGCTCTTCGAGGACAGGCACCGTGGCGATCTGTTCAGCTTCGACGTCCTTTCGCATGGAAGGAGCCTCGACCAGCTCGAAAGCATCAACGCTGTCGGCCTTCTTCGCATCGAGACCATCGGCGATCTGGCGATTGACCTCCTCGGGCGTAGGAGGCAGGTCTTCTTGCTGCGCCGACGGTGCTGCTGCTGGCGTTGCAGAGTTTGCAGAGTTTGCAGAGTTTGCTGGCGTTGCAGATTTGGGACGAGGAGCTGCCACCTCGAGTCGTTGCTGCGAGGCCGATCTCAGGGGTGGACCCATGCGGCGAGCATTTGCTGGCGACGGGCGCGGAGGCGTCTCCACAATTGGGACAGCGACCACTACCTCTTCGCTCTGCTTCGGAGCTGCCTCTGGTGAGGGCAACGCCTCGGGCTTCTCGAGCAGGTTGGTGGTCGACGTCGATCGACGAGCAGCACGCAGGCTTCCAGCGAGACTCTTGCGAGGCGGAGGAGGTGCTCTCGCCACGTCACCTCCTTTCCTGCGCCCAACGAGCGCCGCCAGCTCCTGCATGCGATCCGGCTTCTCGGCAGAAATATCGTCTGTCTCCACCCTGGGAAGAGGCACGACGACCGGCTGAACCTCGCGCAAGGTGGACGGCGCTTCTGGCTGCACGTCCTCAAAGTCGTCCTCGTCCATTTCGACATCGGCCTCGCCTGCTTCTGGCACTACGGTGCTGCGACTGCCAGCTTGAGAGTCGGCGATGGCTCGAGCCAGGTCTTCCGTCTCGTCCTCCTCCAGCTCGTCTTCGACGTCTTGCATCATCCGAAACGCGTCGCCTTCATCATCCGCGTCAGCATCGACATCGATCCAATCGGACTGTTGTGCAGACTTGCCTGAGTCGGCAGTAGACGATCGTTGGTTGCGAATGAAAAGAGGTCGCTCCCCACGTTTGCGTCGAGGCCGACGAGCACGTTCCAGTTCATCCTCGTCATCGTCGTGCAGACCTGCCTCCCTGCGTTTCTGCTTGGCATGGAACTTGGCTCGCGCTTGAAGTAGCTCGAGTGCCTTTTCCTTGCGCGTGTAAGGGTTCGCCTCCTTCTGCAGTTCGTCGAGCTCAGGATCGACAGTTCGACTCGCCGAACGCGAAGGCGAGGCTGACTGGGGAATCTCGACATCGTCCATTTCCATCTCGGGATCCGAGTCGGTGCGTTGTGCCTCGTCGTCGGTGATGTTGATCTCCTCATGCTCGTGGTCGACGTCGATGGCCTTCTCCTGGGTTGTGCCGGCATCGCGTACTCCGAGGACGAATCCTCCCTCTGCTCCGGGATTGCGTACCAATACATACTCCTTGTTTCGCTCGCCCGCTACGCGGATCGGCACCTTGATGTTTGCTTTGCCGATCTCGTCCGTGACAGTGAGGACCTTCTGCGTCAGGTCATTGCGAGTCTTGAGACCGGCAATCTGGGCGCGTGAGAAGTCGATAGGGGTGGGCGCTGTTGCGAGCATAGATTGCAAACGCTTGTAGGATGTCATGCGCGATTGGGCACGCAGATCACCTACAAGCTCGTATTGCAGCTCGGCAGGCAGGCTGAGGAAGAGATCTGAGGTGGTGTCGAGGTCTTCCGGGGCGATGGTGTTCATGACCGCTCGAAGCTCGTCTTCGGTCGCAAAGCGATAGTCCTTCTTCCTGCCCTTACGACCGTTGGCGGCCGAGACGGAGTGGAGATCCTTCTCCATGGCAGGCAACGCATATGGGTCCTTGTGCCAGTCGATCTTGCGTCCGCCTGACTTGGTCGGTGATCCACTGCCCTCTCTACTCGGTCCAGCTGAATTGGTGGGGTCTGCCGGTTGTAGGTCGCGAGAGGCGAGCGCCCTGGGGTTGCCAGCCTGGAGATCGTCAAAGTAGACCGTGTTCTCGCCCAGACCGGCAGCATCTTCGGAAGCAGAGCCGTTTCGAGCTGTTGACGAAGACGCCTGGCCCTGGCCGTCGGCAACGTGTTTGACGGCAGCTTGCCTCATCTGCGCTGCGAGAAGCTTTTCAGCTGTGCGCGCATGCGACTCCTTTGCGCCTTGCTTTCTCGCCTTTCGCCCCGAGAGCGTCTTGCGCTTCATGACGGGAGCGCCGCCATCAAAGACAAAGACAGGACGGACACCGTGGAACAGCAGCTTGAGGATACGCCAGAGGAAACCGAGTATGTGCGCATTTGAGAGGGTGCGCCCCTCTTTGTCGCGCATTGCCATCTGGAAGTGGTAGAGCCATAGTGACGAGTCGATAGCTAGACGCTTGCCTTCGAGCGTCTCGATCTTGATAGGCCGTGCGACTGGTTGTAGCAGCTGCCATAGTCCTTGGACACCCATCTTGACGATGCTCTCAGCCAGGTAGCTGTTCGGAGGGTGTGAAAGTCAATGCAGGTCGTTGCGACCGGAACCCAAGTCCAAGCTAACAAGCCTGTCAGGACATTGAGTCGTGTGTGTGTCCAACACGGCTGTGCGAGATCGGAACGCCAAACTGTCGATGCACGAGGTGAAATGCCTGATCAGGGACGGGGAGACGATGAGAGGCGAGGATGAATGTGATGTTGAGTTCAGAGCTTCACAAGAAGAACTCAGCCTGATCTTGTTGAAGCGTGTTGGACTGAGCCACGCGGGGTGCGTCAGCGTGCAGCCCGAAGGGTCCAAAGCGCTGCTGAGCTGCTGGAAATTTCGTCCGCGGATCCGACTGGCAACCAGCTCAACGTCAGGGTCCATCATCCAACACCAACCTTGCTTTCCTTCATCCATCTGCGATCACCTGGCCAAGGCCACCCCAATCGACGCGCGCCAGCGTGCCCATCATCCAGGCCCGTCGGACACATCGGCTTACACTCGCACAACATGTTGGTGCCACCGCCCAATTACGGCATGGTCGAGGAGAACTTCTACCGATCCGGCCAACCGGACCAGCTCAACTTCCCTTTCCTCGAAAAGCTGGGTCTCAAAAGCGTCATCTGGCTCGCACCCGAAGAACCCGAACCTGGCTTCCTCGACTTTTGCGTCGACCAGAACATCGAGCTGCACCATCTCGGCGTGCTCTACTCGACCAACGCATGGGATCCCATCACAGAAGAGGTCGTCCTCCAAGCCCTCCATCTCCTCGTACAACCGACAACGTATCCCGTGCTCGTCATGTGCAACCTCGGTCGGCATAGAACAGGCACCGTCGTGGGTTGCTTCCGCAAGCTGCAAAGATGGAACCTCAGCGCCATCCTCGAGGAGTATCGACGATTCGTGGGAGGCCAAAAGTACCGCATCCTCAACGAGCAGTTTATCGAGTTGTTCGACGAAGAGCTTGTGTTCGGCGCAAGCTACTGAGCCGCAATGGTCGGATCCTCCAGCATACCCATGTCAGATTGCTGCCCCGCCGAATGGAAGACGATGTCAATCGCAATGCTCGTGCAACTTTGCAGTGTGGAACGACCGGGGACTTGCTTGCGTGCGATGCTAGAGTACAGTGCTTGGAGTACAGCGGCGAGGATACATTGGTTCAGAGGTGACGGTACAGTGAGCGGATCCGGCTGGACGATGCTTCAAAACGACAGTGTAACTCAGGGAAGACGACGCAACGGAGCAGCCGGCTAGTTCCTCGAGGTAGAGGCTCGTGGTTTGCAGACGTGTCTCTTGTGGACGACTCGACCACATTTGTCGCACTTCGCCTTTCGTGGACAGCTGGCCGTCAAGTGGAACTCGAGGTGGTCCTCGTGCGGGTCTTGAAGACAGCGGCTACAGAAACAAGTTCGATCTGCCATCAGGATCGGGACGAAACGGTTCGATGTGCGGATCAGGCCAGGGAGCTCTCTGGAACGGCCGTCGTCCCAAAGCCTTTTCGGGTCCTCCTTGTACTTGACCAAGGCTACGACCGAGGTTCCTTTGCGGGACACCATTTGGTTTCCATCTCGGACGAGCTCATCCAAACGCCAAGCATGCTCCAGAGTAACGTGCTTTGCAAGAGTTTTGTCAAAAAGCTGGACGAAGGTCGAAGTGTCGTCTGCATTCTGGAGCACATCATCCAGTCGAAGGACCGTCGTGGACGTCGGCAGAGGTGCCGCTTTGTAGTAGAGCTCAAAAGGATGATCGCCCCAGATGAATTCCATCTTTTGGCCTTGCAGATATGCCGAATGATCTTCGAACGCGATTTGTATGTAAGCCTGCTTGTCGGCATCGACTCCGTGATCGACAACCATTAGCTCGAAGTCGATGTCGTATGCGTCCATAACAGTTTCGACGTAGTTTGCCAATCTGGGAAACTCTAGTGTGCTCAATGGTCTTGAGAGTCGCCATCGTAGCACTCCCAGACTAGGGAATTCGTAAGTTTCCCTGGGGTCATGCAGCTCAGAGGGCGAGATTGACGGTTTGCTGGTGTCATCTCGAGAACAGATCGTTGAATGCTGAACGATGGGCGGGAATCGATCGGTGTGCTTGAAATGTTTCTTGTAGCGCACGACCTCGTCTGCAAGCTGTGCCTTGTCTTGGGCCAAGTCGGCGGCAAGAAGCTTCTGGTAGGCAGATCTGACTGCAGATTCGTATTCGTGATCAGTGACCAGATCGTCGGCGTCTTCGGCTGACGATGCGAGTCGCTTTGTGCGGAGCTCTCGCACGTTTGCGATGGCTTGTCTTGCCAGCTTGTTGAAGCGACTTGCAAGTTGCTGCGCGTTGTGAGATCTCTGCTCCTCCAAGGAGAGTACGGATGCGCTCGTTGGAGCCGTTCCGGCGACTGAAACGTCTTTGGTCGCTGTTTGATTGTTGTCGATGACTGTTTCTGCTACCAAGGTCGTGACCTGTTCCTGTTCGTTGTCTGCCCAAAAGGCTTTCACAGCCAGGTCGAATGGTGCGTTGGAAACGATTCGTCGGTCTGACAGCCAGTCCAGGGGGCTCTCGGGCGTGTTGCTCTCGTCTGAGATCTCGTCCCTCGGAAGTACCATGAATCGACCTCGCTTGGTGTTGCGAAAGTGCTCGAACGTGTCGAGATGCGCGACGCCGCCATACTTTTCCACAAAGTCCAAAGCACGCTGCATCATGCCGAGCTTGGTCACGGCGACGCAGATGGAATAGTATGATTTTGCTCGCTCCTTGTAAGAAGTGGCGAAGATGTCGATATCAGGCTGATCGGGAAAGGGAAGGTCGGCAAGCTTGTCGACGTTGACAGAAGCGTCGATACGATTGATCATGATCGCTGTGCGATTATTGGGGCCAGTCGGGGGCTTCATGGTGACGATGTAGCCTACTCAACGAGCGCTTAGGAATGGACGAACATGGGAGCGACGGAGTAGCGACATGTAGGAAGGCAAGAGAGAGGCTGAGGCTGAGGCTGAGTCGACAGAAGAGAGTCGACAGAATGTGACTTTAGGAAGTGCGAGTCGCCAGGATGCTGAGTCGGTTGACGCGAAGGCACTTTGCGCGTCTGGCTACCTCGTCACATCACTCAGCCACGAGGAGGCCCGAGCTCAAGCGTAGCATTCATTGTGTGAACGAGCCACGCTGCACGACTGCGGCGCGCAAGGGGCCCCACGCCTTCATTTTTGTATTCATGTCGACGCATGCAGGGATGTCGATGTGTTGCATTGAATTTGACTAGTGTACAATGGACGTCCTGCATCTCATTTGGCCGTGGGCAAAGCCTTCTCGACGTCCCTCTGTTCCTCATTCGACGCGCGTCTGCTAGCCTGCGCACTCTCGTCCGGATGTCTCTTGGCCCAGCGCCTCTCCTTCTTCTCCTCGTACCACTGTTTGCCCTCCTCTTTCCTCTTTTCGTCGTCCTTCCTGTCCAGGCTGAACTCTTTGGTGAACAGCACGGTGACGACGAAAGCGAGGAGCGTCAATCCCAGCCCAAAGCGGAAGACGTTCCTGAACCCTTGCACATAGGCCCTTAGCAGCAGCTGCGAGGTCTCCGCGTCGAAGCGACCCGATGTGATCAAGTGTGGGTTTCGGACGACCTCGGTGATGATCTCTGCTGGCAGCCCTCGCACCGCTGACCTTACGCTGTTGTTGAGGATCGTATAACTGATCGCCAAACATAACGTACCACCGAACAACCGCATAAAGTTCCTCGTCGACGTCACCACCGCCAAATCCTTCCTATCCACCGCGTTCTGCGCCGCCACCAGGGTGACTTGCAGCGTGCCACCTGCGCCAAACCCGGACAGCATCAAGAAGCCAATCATCTCGCCAATGTTCGAGGTCTCATCCAGCAGTCCCAGCAATCCCACGCCGATGGAGAAGATGCCGAATCCAACGACAATGATGATCTTGTACCGACCGATCTTGGAGACGACGACACCGGCAACGACCGACGTGAGCGCTTGCACCGCCATGAGTGGGATCAGCAGCACACCGGCTTTGACGCCCGAATAGCCCTTGACCACCTGCGTAAACTGCGGCACAAAGAAGAGCAGCAGGAAAAAGATGCCCCCGGAGCAAACGGTTTGCACAAGCACGCTGCAGACCGTGGGGATCTTGAAGAGGCGCATGGGTACGAGGGGTAGTGCGGCGACGCGAGCCTCGACAATGGCGAAGACGATGAAGAGGACGATGCCGAGGATGAGCGTGACGAGCACGTGCGGGCTGGACCAGGGGTATTGTTGACCACCCCAGTTGAGTCCAAGCAGAAGCAAGACGCTGCCTGCGAGCACCAGCGCTGTGCCGACATAGTCAATCTTGGCGAGCTTCTCCCTGACGCTGCCTTCCACCTTCTTAAGCGGCAGCAGGAGAATCACCATGACGAGCGAAAGAATGGTGATAGGCACAGCGAGGATGAAGCACCATCTCCAGCCAACCGACGCGAGTGCGCCACCAATCAACGGACCACCAGCGTTGGCGAGGGCCACCACAACCCCCAACACTCCCTGATAGGTGCCACGCTCGCGCAACGACACCACATCACCCACGATGACCATGACCAATGACACAATGCCTCCACCAAACGCACCTGCCAGCGCACGGAAGACGATCAGCTGCGTGATACTTTGCGCGGCGGCACACAGCGCGCTTCCAATCAAGAAGCCGGTGAGAGCGACCATGATGCACGTCTTGCGCCCGAAGATGTCGCTGAACCTGCCATAAAGGGGACTGGCAGCGGTGGAGGTGAGGAGATACGATGTGGAGAGCCAGGAGGACTCGTTGCCGGCGTGGAAGTCGGAGGTGATGGTGCTGAGGGCGGTGGAGATGATCGACTGGTCGAGCAGCGCTACGAGCAGGGCGGCCGAGAGACCGGCAAAGACGAGGATGACTTGCTTTTTGGGGAGGAAGTTGGTCTGGTCCGAGAGAGCGACGGGCACCTTGTGCTCGGTGGATGTCTCGGGGGTGGGCGCGGCCGTGGTGCCGTCGGGGTGGTGGTCGTCGTGCGAGGCGCGGTGAAGGCTGTGTGTCGTATCGTGCGACGAGGTGTGGTCGAGATGCGAGCCATTGATGGTCGATGGACGACGGTCGAAGCTGTTGCGTCGAGGGGCTTGGCTTTCTACATCTGGTGGTAACGACGACGTGGGATCTGCTGCTGGCGATGGTATTGATGCTGATGATGACGACGGTGATGCTGCTGTGTTGCTGTTGGTGGCGGCAATCTGGGCCGTGGAGGGCTGGTCCTCAGTGCTTGAGCGCGTCATGGTTGATGATCACGAGCACTCTCGTGTAGAATTGATATGAGTAGCGACGCTGTCAGGTAATGCAGTCGATGAATGATGAGGGATGCTATGTAGTGCTCGCGAGTTGATGAGTCAGAGGGACCATGCCAGACAAGTCGTTCTGTGGGATGGAATGGATGCTCTGATATGTCTTTGTGATGGAGGACGAGTCACAAGAAGCAGAGCAGATAGTGACAGATGTGCTCGCATGTTGGGCAGCTGCGTCACCAAAGAGCAACACTCCCATGGAACACAGCGGCGATAGCGGAGCATAGGGCGTAGTATCAGTCATTTCACTCTGCTGCACCGAGCAGCTTCTGACAGCTGCGCCGATTTTTTGACAAAGTTTCCAAATTGCAGGGTTTGGGTCATATAATACGTGACTCGCAGCGAGGGAGGGAGAGCGGCAGGCCCAGCGGCGTAGAGTGGAGAGACCGGCCAAATGTTCGGCAAGCAGTTCTACCGTGTGCTGCAGCGGCAAAGAGAAAACGGAATGGCCGCGGCAAATTGCAGTTGTACCGCCGATACAGCAGCAGCACGCTTCACAGGTTCAATTGCCGCTTGACCCACTAGACTCGTTCGTCACACGACCAGATCCTCACCCTTGATAGGGTAGGCTCGAGCAACACCAATCCATATCATCGGTATTCTTCACCCCATGACAATGGCATCGATTGAATGAGCATCACGAAAAGTCCTGATACGACCGCATGGCGTGCCTTCTCACCGGTGAGCAGGCCGGCATCGGATTTGGGCTCGCGTAAAAGTGGGGGAGAAACGCGAGGCACGGGAAGGCGAAACGGCACGCAGAACGGATCGACGTGGGCCGACGCCAAAAAAAGCCGATTGCGTGCCTGCCAGTCCCCTTTGATAAGCGCTCGCTCGGCTCTTTCCACGCCATCTGACTCGGCTCCAAGCTCAGGTCCGCCAACTCCTACACTTTCTCAAAGCTTGGGACAGCGAGCTTGCATTGAGGATGGAGGCGTGCTCGAGCCCGACAGTGTCACCCAAATACGCCGGTGAGCGTGTGACTCCTGCCTGTCAGTACCGCCAAAACCGCCATTCCTTTTGAGACGAGAACCTCTCAAGGCGGCGTAATCAAGCTAGACCCTGTTGAAGCGCCTGCCTCAATCGTTTTCCATGTGGCATGTGCCCGTCGATCCCAGCCTCGTCGCCGTCGCTTGGAGGAAGCAGGCTCGTTCTGAGGGCTTAGGAACAATGGGAGAGAAGGAAGACCTGCTTTCGGCGCACCAATCCGAAATGACCGTTGCGCGTTTCCAGCGGAAATCAGCGGATGCTCAGCGACGCCGGTCATTTCTTCTGGCTGTGCTTTGCTTCCTCTTACGGTTCTACCGGCTCTCACTCGATCGGTCGCTTCATCGGGCTCCACCTTCTCCCTCCCATCCACAGTCTGTCCCCGCTCACAATGCCGACAACGCCACACGCAAGAACAGTGTACAAGTAACATTACAGTCAAATCAGGTATCACATAGCCGCGCCCCGTGCAGCAGCAACAGCTCACTTGCGACGAGCACGCTTGCCGTTGGTCTTGCGAATGTTGATGAGATCCGACTCGATCTCGAAATCTTTGGCCGGTGTGAGCTGATTAAGCGATTTGCCAGCGTCCCATCGGAGCCTGCCGCCCGAGGTGGTCATGACGGCTGCTGCGGCCGCTGCTGCTGCAGCTGCTGCCGCAGCGGCGGCGGCGGCGGCCACCCTGCTGCCCGAGTCGTCGTCGTCGTTACCCGTGGACGAGGCCTCGCGTGCTGCTGCGGCCGAGGCGGCGGCGGCTGCGGCTGCAGCTGCTTTCGAAGCGCCCTTCTTCTTGCTCCCGCCTTTGACGCCGCCTACGGTGCCATTGGGCCCACCGACGACGGTGAGGTTACGCGCTCCACCACCCATATAGCTGCTGTCGCCCATGCCAGCACCCGATAGCAGATCGCCGCCACCGCCGAACGTCAAACCCAGACCACCGAGATCGAGGCCCGAGGTGAGACCAAGACGCGCGCCACCACCCACTTCTTCGCGTCCGAACCCAGACAGCGCAATGAGCTCCTGCAGCCCACTGACAATGCCTGTTCCGGTCGCGCCAGTGTGCCCATTGGCGCCACGAGCACCAGCACCGGGTGCATCGCTGTCGTTCTCGTCCGCACCACCAGCACCTCTCTTGCCCGTCGCCTTGTTGCGCAGCTTGCGTGTCGTGTGAGGTCGTTGAGCACTGTCGAAGAAGGCATCGACGGCAACGTCGCCACCCTCCTTCTCCTCTTGCAGCCGCTTCTTAGTTGCCTCGACGACAGCAAGCAGCTTTTCCCGCGCGCCACGCTTGGCGAGACGCGCCTCTTCGTCCACCTTGTGCTTCTCGTTTTCATAAGCAAGGCGCGCCGATTCGAGCTGATGCGCGTGCAACAGCGCCGTCTCTCGTAGCGCAGCATCGCGCTGCAGAGTGAGTCGCGTGAGCTCGAGCGTGTAGTGTCTTGACCGGGCTGGGTTGGAGAGGAGCGTGGCGTACGACGAAGTGAGGGCGTGGTAGAGCTCCTGGTAGAGGCTCTCGCGGTTCTCGATGGTCTCGAAATGGATGCGGTGGATACGGTCAATGACCTCCTTGCGCTTCTTGTCCTTCTTGCTCTCGGTGGCACCGGATGCGCCTCCTGCCGTTGTGTCGAGACCGGCTTGTGCGGCAGCGATCGAAGCAGAGTGAGCGCCACTCGCCGCGTTGGCAGCGGCAGCGGCAGCGGCTGCTGCAGCCGCCTTTTCAGCCTTGGCGGCGCCACGCTTGGATGCGGATGTGTCGGTGCTCGCGTTCTTAGCCATGGCTGCGGATCCAGCTGCGGCATCTTTGTCCTTCTTATCCTTGCGGCTGCTCTTGCCCGAGGGCTTGGGAGACTTGCGGCTGCCAGATGCCGGTGAGGCGAGATGCTTTGCGTGTGACTCAGAGATGGCGCTGCCAGGGCCGCCGGCGACATTGTGAGGTGGAAGCGGTGGCCCAACACCGTGGTGAGGTGGAGGCAAAGGCATGTGGGGAGCCATGTGCGGTGAGCCACGATGCTGCGGTGGGCCGTTGTTGTAGCCCTGCTGATGCAGGTGAGGGGGAAGTGAAGATGCGCCAGGCGGTGGTGGGCCTTGGTAGATCTGCTGGTTCTGCCAGGATGGAGATGGTGGACGCTGGCCTGGGTTGGGTCCGTAGGGTGGCATGGCGTAGCGGTCGTTGGGAGGCATGCCCATCATGCCGGGCGGAGGAGGACCGTTGGGACCTGGTGGACCCATGCCGGCGCGAGGGTCGCGATGAGACATGGGAGGCGGTGAGGGTGGGCGATGGTGGTGCATGCCAACGGGTGCACGCCCAGGATCGCCGCGCGGAGGATACGAAGGACCAGGTGGGTAGCCTGCCAGCAGAGTCAGGATTACAAAGAAAGTCAAAGGTCAGCGGTTGTGACTGGGATGAGCAGATGTGCGCCAGCGGCGGTGCCGACGATCGAGTGGCTTGGATTGTCACTGATACGCAGCGGACAAGCCGACTGTTTCGGATGGAGAAGGAACACTTACCTGGGCCATTCTGGTACGGATCTTGGGACAGATGATGAGGCATGGGTGGATGATCGTACCGATCAGGATGATTGGCATGTCTCTTGACCCCAGCCATCTGCGGGCCGAGCGATGCCATGGCTGATCAGAGAATTGCTCGCCAGATGCTGGCTCGCGAGGGTCGGTGGTGTGGTCGGCGCAGCCGCGGTGGATAATAGGATGACCAGATGTGCCGAGGCGGTGTCACCTTGAGCTGAGAGTCCAGGCTGCGGATGGCTGAGTGAGCTCGTGGGAAAGTCGGATGTGCACCGCGAAAGGGTGTCGTACGCTGGTGTTGAGGTTGAAGAGAAAGCGGACGCGAGCGAGCGAAAGCGTTCGAGTGGCCCGGCTGAGCTGAGGGTTGTGGTCGGAGTGACCGCGTTCGAGCTGGCAGAGTCCAAGGTGAGGTGAAGGATGGAGAAGCTCGAGCGAGTGATGAGGGCAAGGGGAGAAGCGATCGAAGCCAAGCGGACTCACGAATCAATCCATCATGCAGAGAAGAGCGGGTCGAGACAAAATCACGGTCAGGGCACAACCGAAGCGAAGCCCATCAAGCAGCGTCAATCAGAAGCGGAATCAGAATCAGAACCAGAACCAGAAGCACGAGCACGAGCACCCGACCAGAACGCGGAGACAGGCAGACAGACAAAGAGCCCTCGATTTGGCATTTCTTTGTGGATTTCCGCTCTGCAGCAGCACCGCGAGCGAGTCCGCGTTGAGTGAGAAAGATGGAATCGGCGATCTGTTTCTTACTTTGGCTGTCACCGCGACTGCGACGCGTTAACAAACAAACGGGAAAAGAGCAGCCCCACACAGCGATCATCTCGCACGGCATCAGTGTGAGTTTGAAATTGCGCCGTGTGCTGTGCTTTGCGCTTTGTGCTTTGTGCTTTGTGATGTCTCGAGGTGGAGCTTTTGGCTTTGATTTAGCGAGTCGAGGTGTTGGCTTGCTTGCATGCACGCTCAGCAGCCCACCTCTTCCTCCTCCTCGACTCAGCACATACATCAACCTCTCCCGCGATTCCCTAGACATTGCAGCCTCGAGGAGAGCTTTAAGACCCTGCTCTTCATAGCGCAAACAACCCATATCATCGCACGAGCTACTCGCTCCGACCGGCGCAACCTGTCTACAAGCTCATCGCCCTTTCGCCCTTCCTGCCCGCACAGAAGCTGCAGCGTCGTACTTTCTTGTTGCGAGGCTATCGGCACCACCCATCCCCTTCACATCGTAGCGCTGTCAACTGGCTCCTACGTACCGCCACCATGAACGCACCAGGCTCCATGCGAAGGCCTGGTGGCACCCGCGGCACCAAGCTCAAGCCACCCAAAAAGATCGGTCTCGATGTCTCGATCGAAGACATGTGGCTCCGGCTCGTCCACGCCATCTCTCAGATTCAGAACCACAACATCTCCAAGCTCAGCTATGAGGAGCACTATCGCTACGCCTACAACCTCGTCCTCTATCAGCAGGGCGACATGCTCTATCATGGCGTAAAGAAGCAAGTCCAGCAGCATCTGGACAAGCTCTGTCGAGAGAAGATCATCCCCGCATTTCCACCAGGAGGCGCTGCTTCAGTCTCAGCAGGCATCATCCTCCCAGATTCACTGCTCAGCCAGTCGCAAGCGGCGGCTTCTTCCTCGTCATCGCGTACCGAAGCCGACACACCCATTGGGGCACGCAGCAGCAGTGGCTCCAACAAGGGCAAAGGCAAGGCCACAGCTGACGACCACGACTCGTTTGCCGATGGTCCTGATGGTGCAACTTCTGCTGCCACTGCAGCCGCCTCCATGTCTGCCACCCAAGCTGGTGACCGCGCCGATGCTGTGGCCCGCATCCAGGCGGGCGAGCGTCTCATGACAGCCATCCGCGATACCTGGCTCGACCACCGCAGCTGTATGTCCAAGCTCTCCGAGGTGCTCAAGTATGTCGATCGCGTATACGTCGAGAACCAAAAGGTGCCATCGATCAATCGTCTCGGTCTCGAGATCTTCCGTGATTCGGTGATTCGATCGACCAAGTATCCGATTCAGATCTACCTCTACAGCACTCTGCTCACTCACATCCAGATCGAGCGTGAAGGGTCCGCCATCAGTCGCTCGCTGCTCAAGTCGAACGTTGACATGCTCGCCGATCTCACACAGAACAAGCCGTCAGCATCGATCAATCACGACACGTCGGTCTACTCGAGCGACTTTGAACCGGCCTTCCTGCAGACGTCAGCTGCCTTCTACTCCGCCGAAGCAGACCGATGGCTCGACGCGGGAGACGCTGCCAAGTATCTGGCACATGTGGCGAGAAGGCTGCAGGAGGAAGCGGATCGCGTCTCGGTCTACCTCAAACCAGAGACGCACAAGCCGCTGCAGCACCTGCTCGAGAAGAACTTCCTTGCCAATCACTTAGCGACCATTCTCAACATGCCCGGCTCCGGTCTGGTGTCGATGCTCGACGACAATCGCAAAGAGGATCTCGGTCGACTCTACACGCTGTTCAACAAGGTCTCTGGTGGTCCGCAGACGCTGCGCCTCGGTCTCAAGAGCTACATCGCCACCAAGGGCAAGCTCATCAACGACGCTGTCACCAGCCAGACCGCCCAGCAAGCACCCTCCACCGACGGTCCGGCTGAGGATGCCTCTTCATCCAAGGGCAAGACCAGAGAGAAGCCCAACGCAGACGCCGATGCCTCCACACCGCAGGCAGCAACCGCCATCCGCTGGGTCGAAGACGTCCTAGAGTTCAAGAACAAGTTCGACTCGATCCTCGACCTCGCCTTTGCCAAAGACACGGGCTGCGAGACGGCCATCAACGAAGCCTTCGAATCCTTCATCAATACTAACAAGCGCGCGCCCGAGTTCATCTCGCTCTTCATCGACGAGAACCTCAAGAAGGGGCTCAAGGGCAAGACCGAAGCCGAAGTGGAAGACATTCTGCGCAAGACCATCTCGGTGTTCCGCTTCCTCCACGAGAAGGATACGTTTGAGCGGTACTACAAGCAGCACCTTGCCAAGCGTCTGTTGCAAGGTCGCAGTGTCAGCGACGATGCCGAACGGGGGATGATGGCGAAGCTCAAGATCGAATCGGGCCACGGCTACGTTGCGAAGCTGCAAGGCATGTTGAACGATATGAAGACGAGCGAGGAGACGACGGACGAGTTTGCACGGGTGGTCAAGAACTCGCATCGGCCGATGCCGTTTGCGCTGTCGGTCAACGTGCTGACGAGCACCAACTGGCCAATCTCCGCGCAGGCGCCGAGCTGCGTCATGTCGGACACGCTGATGGAGGCGCGGCGGCGGTTCGAGGAGTTCTACCAGTCCAAGCACAACGGACGCGTGCTGACGTGGCATGCAAACATGGGGTCTGCCGACGTTCGCGTCGCCTTCCGCGCCAGGACGCACGAGATCAACCTCTCCACCTTCGCGCTCGTCGTGCTGCTGCTCTTCGACTCGGACGAGGAGTCGGAACAGACGCTGTCGTACGCAGACATCGCGCGGGCGACGCAGATTCCGGACCACGACCTGCAGCGCACACTCCAGTCTTTGGCATGTGCCAAGTTCCGCATCCTCACGAAGACGCCCAAGTCGCGCGATGTCAGCCCAACAGACACGTTCGTCTTCAACACCACCTTCACCTGTCCTCTCGCGCGGTTCAAGATCCAGCAGATCGCGGCGCGCGTTGAAACGGCCAAGGAACGCAAAGCGACCAACGAAAAGGTCGAGGAGGAGCGCGCGTTCCTCGTCGAAGCGTGCATCGTTCGGATCATGAAGAATCGCAAACAGCTCAGCCACAACGAGCTGGTCCAGGAGACGATCACACAGTTGACCAGCAGGTTCCAACCCAATCTGGGCATGATCAAGAAGCGAATCGAGAGTTTGATCGAACGCGAGTATTTGGAGAGGGCAGAGGGCGGCAGGGGGATGTACAACTACTTGGCGTGAACGAGGAATGCGCAGACATGAAGATGGTTTCACTCCTCTGTGCGGTTGGATGTGTGGCTTGTGCTGAGACGACATCCCCAAGCGATAATGTCCAAGACCGGAAGCGCGGCGACTAACTCGTGAAATTCAGACCCTCTCACAGACGCCCCTCTTTGCCGCTCTCAAGTCGGTCTCAAACGTTGCCGATCGGTAAAAAGAAAGTGATGCTTCAAAAGTGCAAGCGGTACAAATACATTCGACTGAGGTGGGGCTTGAAGTCGATCAAACGCAAACACCCTCCCACGTCTACGGCTGCTTGTCGCCATTGTTCGCATTAGCAAACGTGGCATGGAGCGGGCTAGGCAGAGTCGGTGGGTGCATGGGGTAATGTTTCCCTCCTGTTCCAGCACGACTCCTTGTGCCCGGTGCGCGTCTCGCGCTGCCGTGATGCAGATGATGATGCGCCGTGAAAGTCGCACTGCTACCCGTGGGTGGTGACTTTGTCTTCTCCGTCTCGGTCTCATCGTCCTCCGAGTCGCCTTGGGATGCCGACGGTGTGCGGGACATGTGGAACCCCCCGGAAGGTGTCTGTCGCGTCCGTCGTCGCTTGGTCGAGGCACTCGTGTCCATGCTGACATCGCTATCGCCCCCGGGCGAGTTGGCACGTCCACGCATCGACGAGCCCCGCGCGCTCTCCCAGTGCGGAACCGACGACGGTCCGGCAGTGATCTGTTGCGGTTCGCTCGCATTGGCGTCGTGCTGTCGCTTGCGTTGCAAACCGAGAATGCGAAGACGCTCCACCCACAGGTCGGCGCGGTCGAGCGATTCGCCAAACACAATCGTCACGCTGCGCAGGATGTCGAGCGACTCAATGGCAAGTGTCAGGATGCGGTTGGCAGCTTGGGCGGTGGCTGCCGCTTGCATCTGATCGCGCGGACTGCCTGCTCCGCCGCGGTAGCGTGCGTTGAGATGGGTCGGCGACTGAGGGCCTTCGCTGATATGCGCAGGGGAGAAGGAAGGCGACGAGGGACTGCTGCCAAAGTAACCCGAAGGCGAGCTCGCTGCTGAGCTGCGGTTGATCGTGGCCCATCGCGCTGGAAGGCTGAGGATGAAGGCCTTGACACTGTTTCGTGCCGGTTCGGGAAGCGCACCTCCCGCATACTTGCCAATGACATCCACTACACCTCTAATCGTGTTGACGACGTCGCCCTTGATGTTGGCGAGGTTCTGAACAGCGGTGCCAGACACGTCGAGTTCGCCGTGGTTGAGCTTGACAATGAGGTCGCGGAGAATGGTGATCTGGTGCTCGATGTGCGCCGTGGCGTACTGCAACCATTGAAGGCAGTACTTGAGCGATTTCATCGACTCCTCGCTCATGGCGGCCGAAAGACCACCCGCGGTGGCACCCGCTTCGACCAGCATCGAACCCCATCGGCTGTTCTTTAATGGCAACGTCTGAGCTGCGTTCCTTCGCACGACTGCGCTGTTTGCGTCCGCTTTGGCTTTCTTGTCATCGTCGACGTCTTGCATTGAGGCGTCGGCCTGTGCTTTGGATTCGTCCACGGGCGTGTTGCTACTCCTGTCTGACGCGGTAGCGGAGCCTTGCGGGGAGCCGGCGGTCTCGATCTCGAGGTTGGCGCCCTTGCCGCGACGTTGCCGAAGCTCGTTGACCATGAGATTGCGTTCGCGCTCTTCGAGCTGCAGAGCCGTGTAGGCGTTTCTGCGTTTCTCGCGCTCCTCGGGGCTCATGTTCTGCCACTCCTCCTTATCTTTGCGGTCGACCTCGTCGAGGATACCACGCTTCTCTTCTTTGGTGGGAGAGGAGACGGCAGAGGGATAGATGCGATCGAGCTGTCGGCAGGCGAAATCGTCCAGCTGCTCTACGCCACGCTCGCCGAGACTGGCGCCAAGACGGCTCACGACGGGTCTTGAGATGGACTTGACCGAGCTCTCAACGAGACCAGCACCGTACTTGACGACCTTACTGCGCTGCTTGCCGAGTTCGTAGGCGCGCAGCGTGCCGCGTACGAGGGGGAGATGGCTGACGCGCTGCAAAAAGTCGGCGTCGTTCATCATTTCTGGATCGACCTCGAGCTCGTTGCCGTCCTCATCCTGGATGACAGCGGGAAGCTTGAGATCTGGGGGAAGATCGCCGAGGCGCGCGGGGCCAGACATGCGGCCAGCAGGAGATTCGGCGCCGGAGTCCTGCGTTAGGTCCGTGGTCGGGGTCGAGTTTGGGGAGGAGATTGCGGTGGAAGTAAGACTTGAGTTGGATATCGCCGACGAGGTCCGTGTTGGTGTTTTGCTGCTTGGCTTCTGCGAGTCCAATGACACGGCGCTACTACTGGCACTGGCACTAGCATCGTTGAAAGGGTTGCTTGAATCGTCGAGACTCTTCATGGCACCCAACGCCATGATAGCAATGCGCACGTCTTCATCTTCTGCATCGATACCGAGTCCGTTTGAGGGCAATGTGGAGGATTTTGGCCGCGCAAACTCCTGTGAGGATGTGAGGTATTCTGTTGGTGGTGTAGCCGGAGTAGTGGGAGCAGGTGTGGATGCTTCACTGGGTGGTTGAACGGATTCAGATTCGCGGTCAGCTCGATGCGCGGTCCAGCGCTCATCGTGTGAGAGACCAGCGTCGGGTGTGGACGCCATGTTTGTGGTGAACCTGGATGTTGCAGATCAGTCTTGTCGTCGAGGGGGATGCAAATGGTCCAGGAGAGGCCGATGAGATGGGGTCCCTATTGCAAGGCACCTGTAGAACTGCAAGCTGGCAACAATCACTGGCGGCGTTGACACATCCGTGCAGTGACTGGCGAGCGATTCGGGTGCTTGTGGCTGGCTTTGGAGCGTGAGCCAGATTTGCCGGCGACTATCTTGGCTGGTGTCGCAGGCCGCAAGCAAACGAGGGTGACAGCCGTTGAGTGCTTTGGTCGACTATCAAGAGCCAAGGAGGGCTCGACGAAGCTGAAGCGGGTGCAAGTGCAAGCAGGCACCAGGCGTGGAGGTTGCTGGAAGTGTGCAGCTGCGCGCCCACCTTAAGCAGAGAGGCTGGGGCAAAGGCTCTAATGCTGGCCTTGACGTTGGTGCAAGGTTGTTAGATGCGTCGATCAGTACGGTTCGACGACTAGGACATGCAAGACGAGTCCAAGATGCTTGAGATGCTATTGGGTCGACGATGTGGTGATGGTGGGAGAGCAGCTCCGGTGCGAAACGGCAAAGTCCAGTCGGATAGGAGTCGAGCGAGCTGGCGATGGTGGGTTGTGCGCGTAGACGATATGCAGTTGACCGACAGAGGTGTGCGATGTGATTGACGGTTGAGAAGGCAGGATGAGGTGATGAAGACAGAGAGGCCGACGTCGTGGCTGATGGCGAGCTGGTTTGGCTGAGGATTGTGACTGATTGACCGAGCGGCAAAGTGACTGAGGTATGCGAAGTGCAATTCAACGCAGCGCCACGCTGCTCTCCGTTGGTACAGAAGAGCGAGAGAGGGTGCGCAGCCAAAGTAAGGGGAAGTGCTGAAAAGCGCCAAAGTGCGTAGGCTCAAAGTGAAAGCAAAAGGGTTTCGAAACGAACAAAAGAGAGGCGCAAAAGGCAGGCTCAACCTTTGAATGGAGCAAGCGAGGCAAAGCGAGCGAGAGAGGCGCGTGAGTGCGAGCTTGGCCGGCTGGCAAGCTGTCAGCAAGGCAAGTTTCAACCGAAAACTGAGCGTGTGAACAATTCGACGCAGCCTCGTTCATGCTTTGTCGTCAGTTCGGCTTTAGCGACAGACTCTCTTGCTCTCTCTGCTTGGGTGATTGAGCTCCCGCTTCGGATTGCTCGACCGAAGACGGAGCGAGAGAGCACCCCTCTAGTTGGCAACACGCTCTTCTCCGCCATCTTCAGACTGAAAAGAGATGCCGCTGGTTCTGGAGCAAGCCGAATGCAATCGACTTTACGGCACTTTCTGTTTGCTCTTTGCTTTGCCCGGGGAGGCGCAGCGATACTCTCTTCAGGTCAAGTTAAGAGAGTCGTTCTCCATGTCCAACTGTGGCCGTGTCGTTTGCTTACTCGGTAGAACTTTTTTCGTGTGCCAACCTCATGACGTTTCGCGATGGTGAGAGCACTGTCTTCTGCCCTGTTCTTATCGAATGCTCGGATCGGCACACCGTGGCATGTGATCCTCAGAACACCACTTGCACACGCACATGGATCGAGATTGGCCTCGAGAAGGGGAGCAGAAAGAGCGTCGACTTGAAAGGAAATTTTGCACTTGCCGCTCCTGTGAACCCCAACCTTCGTGAAAGCATCTCGCTCGCTTTCACGCTTGTCAGAAGAAGGAGGAGGGACCCTTTCATTTCGACTGGCACGCGGCTGGCTTTGAATTCATAGCATGTCTTCCTCGTTGTCTCTACCTCTCTGCTGCCGGATTTTTCTTCCAAAAGGCTTCCATTGTTGGATCTGACAGTATTCGCTCTCCGCTGTACCCTTGACACAGCGGAACGGCTTTGTCAATTCCGCTTTGCAAGGGTCCTTGCTGCTGCGCTCACGAGAAATGCTTGACAACCGACGTCGCCATTGGCTTCTAGCTTGCGCGTCTGCAAGCCCTTGGAAGGTGCAGAGGCTCTCGAGACTGAAAGCCAGGAGGGAGCACGCTTTCGGCCATGAGGGAGCAAATGGCGACGTTGGCGTTGATGATGATGAATGGCACGTGCAGCTTGCCTGCGAAATCACCGTTTTGAATGCATTGGACAGCTACCTTGTTCGATATCAAGGACACGGTCAACTTTGCGACGAAGCAGGCCCGACATGGGCTCTGCGTGGCTTGCCTCGATCGGCATCGCGGCTTTCGTTGGTGGACAAATCGTCTACACTTCACCATAGCCGTCCTGCAGGATGTGTATGAGTGACTCGGTCATGGTCACCACCTCGGTGACGTTTCTGTGTCTGTGAGCCGCGGTAAAATATGCGTCCGGCTTGAATGTCTACCAGAACAATGACACCGTCCCTAATCGCCATGCACTCGTCGGCTTCGTTCAACTCTCTGAACGGACAATGGCATGGTCGACCAGCTCGACATGTGAAAAGGACCCGGTCCTTCTGATTACCACGGATGGACTGGACATGTGTCGCGGCTGCGTCGTACCGTATCTCGTTGCGGAAGCTGAAAAGGCTTCTATATGATTCCGCCATGCTCGTCATCAGATGCAGCGTCGATCATGTCACTCGAGGGTGCGGCCGTCGTTGCCAACGTGCTGAGCTCATCGCTGTCGAAAGCATAAGGATTCCAGCTTGCGTCAAGCTTGACCTCTCCGAAAGCAGACGCATCGGGCCAGGATTAATTTTTTTTCTGAGACAGACATCTTGCAGCTTCGCGTGGCTCGTCGCGTGAAAAGCAACACTGAGCCTTGCAGCAATCGGGTTTCGCTGAGGCCGATCGCATCTCGATCGAATCCGCATCACGCTTCAGCCAGGCTAGTCGCGTTCGTATACTGTACAGCCAAGAATCGACATCCCGAACTTCGGACTGATGCGTCACTTGACGAACTCGACCACCTTGACGGACCCTCCGCTACGTCGCATCCAGGAAGTCGTTGTGTGTGGGGAAGAGAGGACCGTGCAACCCTGTCGAGGTACAGCCGAGAAGTCTAAAAGGGGGAAGATCCCTCGGCCCACCGATGCGAGCGTCAGGTCAAGCTCGTTCGTCGGGCTTAGGCTTGAGCTCCGCCTCAAGGATGGCAGTATGCACGCCCCTGTACTGAGAGGACAACCCAGAGTGGCGTGAAGAAGAGATGAGGCGGTGCGAGGAAGTCAAAAGAGTGACGACGGCCTTTGGTCTCGGCGCAAAGCAGGCCGTCTCGCCAAGGCACCGTCTGCAGGCGAATTTGATGACCCCCTGGTCACTTTGTGGCGTGGGTAACGTACGCCAGGCGAGGGCTTTGGGTTGGTCGCAGCGAGGACTCATCTTTTTTTCCCACGGAATGGCCTACGCGACCTCGGCTAGCGAAGCAAAGTACGTTGGCTTCCCCGCGTCGATATACCGGTCATTTCCCCCAAAAAGGGAGGCCAGCAACGGCGACGATGGGCGTGGGTCCGCCAAGCGCTTTGATCGCGATCAACGTTGGACCTTCTCGGCGCGAGCAGGTCATATGCAACGCGGAGCCCCGCACGCTTCCATCCAAAATGCGCAATGACGGTGGCTGCACGGATCATCAGAACGCAGCGATGTCAGTGGGGTGTACGGTGTCGTTCGAGGGATACATTGGGCGAGGTTGGTTTGGAGTAAGCGCCGCTTGGCTGATAGGACACTCGCTCCGATGTCTCGCTCAGGCAAACCTTGCTTCTGCTAGATAGGATTCTCGGACCGTTGGTTGGTCGTCTCCGAGGAGTCCAAGTCCAAGCAAGCCGGAAGCCATGGCAAAGAGAAGAGGTTAGCAGAAAAGGAGGACCACAAATTCGAGCGCTAAAAAAGCAAAAGAGCGGCGCGTCACGTGCCGCCCCAAACGCGTCAAGATGTCGAGCTGTCAGGCTTAGACGTGCCCCGCTGTTGGCCACACCCTCTGCAGCGCAGTGGCGCCCGCTCATCGTCGCGAGAAGGGCATTCTTCTGCTACTGTATGTAGTATGAACTGGCATCGAAGAGGCTCATTCGAATGGCGTGAAAGGCGACGGGATCACATGCGAGTTGGGAGCGGAGGTGGTCCCGCCAGTTCGGAAAATGTAAAGTGCATACGGGGAAGCTTAATTTGCATGCACATCGGTTGCCGATCCCGAAGCTCGCCCTCCCGCGGCAAAGGCTCGATATGCTTCATCCTGTCCCTATCAAGTGCTCTGCATCGTTGCCAGCCACACTGCGAGCTTGCAAGAGCGTGCGACCATCAAGTCTCGGTGCGAGGATGGTCGTTGCCATAGGGACACTTGGGACGGACGATCTTCTTCTGGTAGATGAGAAAGGAAAAGTGAGCAGAACCCTCGTCGATGCGTGGAGCAATGTCGTGACGTAGTCTTGCCAGCGGAAGCCCAGGCGTTCGCTTCATCCTGGCACATGTCCACCGAGCGCACTGAGAAGAGCCAAGGCGGAGTCCGTAACCGCTCGCCCGGCCGGAGAATGATTCCGTTCGCATCGGTCAAGCGCCAGGTACAGCGCAGCATGTTTTGATAGCGTTGCTGTGCCATGCACGCTACTGCAGATGGTCCGAAGCATGTGGCGGCTGTTGAGCTCGTGTACGCCTTAGCGTGCAGCCTCTTGTTCATCGATCCGTCTTTGGCAACATGTGCTGCTGGATCGACAACAATACGGAGGTCATCATCTGCTGGCAAACAACGAAAAGTGGATGGATCCGAGCTGCAAGAGGGAAGAGTCCAGCTCAAGGCGGCACTTTGTAGCTCAGCATACCGAGAGGATTGCAATGCTGTCCATTGTAAAGAGCCCTTTGTCTGCCTTGCCGAGAACACAACATCTCGGAGTCGGCACACGACCCTGTGCCGCTTTTCTGGCAGCCTAAACGCGTCGAGAACAAACAGGGCAAGAGGCTGGCTAGCTCACCGCGGTCTGTTGTGGCTTTTCTTCGATTTGGCTGAGAGTCAAAATTCGTCTTGGCTGGCGGGCGGCTAAGGGCTCGAATGTGGAGCAACACCAACACTCACCAACGCCAAAAGCTCCTCATCACAGGTGCTCATGGAACGGCATAGCTAGTTTACTGCCTAGCACACTTCCATCGACGCTGGATTCATACCTAGCGGACGATCCGACCTCTCACCAGGATCGCTCTTGCTCCATTTCCTCTGTATAGAGCCTAAGACGCCAGCTGACAGACAGTGACCCTTCAGACTCACTGCTTTAGCAACAGTCGCCGACAGAACCTCGCTTCACCCGACTCGTCAACGTGATCAACCCCGCTTTAACCTTTCGCACCGCATCCGACGATTGCTCCTACAAACTCGTTTGCCCGTCCGAGGCACCTGCTCCACATCATATGAACCTCCGCAAAGGCGCCACCACGACCGCTTGACATTCACATTCGCTTTCATCACTCCGCATCAGCGTCGACATCATCGGCTTTTCCGCCTCAAAGCAGCTAACTTTGTCGCTGAAGGGCCACTGTACTCAATCGGCCGCGTCACGTATAAGCGTCGGTGCAGACAGAGCGTGACATCCACACGAAGAGCAGTCCCACACCGCAGCAGTCACGCGCAATCTTGCAATCGCGCAACATGTCTCTCTAGCAGTCACAAAGCACAGCCACACACATACGCCGGCTCCATGCTCAGCATCACAGACGCAACCTCGCTCTCAGCTCTCTCACAATGACGGAAAGCCCGCCACCATGGCCAGAACGCCACGACACAATACGACAAGTGCTCCAAACCAAGAGGGTCAGAGCCGCGCTTCGCGACTTTCAGATCAGTCACAGCAGCGTACGCAGCATCGGTGCCTCATTGCAAGACGCTGACGCCGGCAAGAGCCAAGATGACATTGCTTCTCCATCCATCGACAGGCTGCTTGATATCAGCTTGATCATAGCCTGGTCCGCGCAGGGTCTCTTGCCGGACAAGGACCCCAATCCGTTCAGAGCATCGGCGAGCTCTTCACTGCAACATCTACGCCAGGCCAGCTTGGCAGTACAGGACTTCAAGTCCGTCAAGGTGCTGCAGAAGAGCGCGGGCAGCCTTGTCGAGGTGGTCAAAAACCGACTCGATGGTCGTATCTATGTGCTCAAGTCGCTCGTCAAAGGCTTCGCTAGACGCAATGCAGCCATCCAGACCCCCATCAACGAGACCAAACTCCTTCAACGCCAATCCAACAAGCACGACACAACAAACAACCAAGAACTCCAGCTTCTGACACCACAGCTGCTAGCTGCTTTCCAGACCCAGAACTCGGTACACGTTCTCATGGAGTACGTGCCTAGCGGTGACTTCTGCGAGCTTCTCATGGCTGCAAGCAACTGCGGTGCCAAGTATCCGGGACGAGCCGCCACGGGTCTGCTCACCCACGACTGGATCCTCAGATACAGCGTCGACATGATTCAGGCCATCGCCTGGGTGCACGGCCAGGGCTTCGCCCACAGGGACATCAAGCCAGGTAACTTCCTCTTGGACAAGAGTGGCCATCTCAAGCTTTGTGACTTTTCGAGCGCAGCCCCCTTCAGCGATTTTGGTGCTCGACCCACCTCTGCCAACGTCGGACGAGCTCGACATCCCCTCTCAACAGCCGACCGAAAGGTGTGGGCGTTCTACTGCTCTCAGCCTACGGGTACGTGTGACTACCTCTCCCCCGAAGTGCTCGAGGCAGAGGAACAGCGAGTGCTCGAGCGACAGCAGCAGTGCGACACATCCAGTCTCGATGACATGCTCGGTCTCAAACGTCAGAGTCGCCAGACCTCATCCAGCGACCCAGACGACGGTCCGAAAGAAGTGGCTGGCATGTACGGCCCAGAGGTCGACTGGTGGAGCTTCGGTGTCATGCTGTACGAGATGCGTTTCGGCGTTCTGCCCTTCTTCGCCAGCAAGATGGAAGAGACCTACGAAAAGATCAAGGACCACAGGAAATCGCTCGTCTTTGACGACTCGGTCGACTGCTCACCTCAGCTCAAAAGCCTTATTCACGGCTTGTTGACGACAGCCAGGCACCGCCTAGGTCGGAAGTCGTCGGAAGAAGTCCAGAGGCACATGTTCTTCCGCACCGAGAACATCAACTGGTCCTTGCAGTGGCCCTTGCAGCCACCCTTTGCTCCGAACGCCGAGGCAATTGACCTGCAATCCCAGACCGGGGCAGGCCAGCAAGGTGGGCTTGCTGAAGGCATCGCTGCGCAGCTGCAAAACAACTCTTTCTCTGTCGTCTCGAGCCTACCTTCGTTCTCCGCCCTCTACGATGGCAACCCGGACGACTTTCCTGCATTTGCTGACTCCCGAGAGCTCGGTTCCGAGTTCTATGGTCAGCAGCAGAGCTGGTACGAGGGCGAAGGAACTCCGGCGAACAATCTCGAAAACAATGCAAAGCATGACGAACGCGAAGCGTTCATAGCAGGAGCAGCGGCGGTGCCAGCCGTCGAAGCGCTTCCCCCAGGTATGCCGAGGTCTTGCTCTTCGCCCGCCGTAGTGCTCGCTTCCTCGTCGCAGTCCTTCACTATGCGAGATAACAGCTCCCAGAATGCCGCAGTGAGCTCGCCGTACATGTCTCGCTCGGCGCCGCGTTGGTCGGACTGCGATACTACATTCATCGGCTTCAGCTATCTCCCACAACGGGACGCATTCTCATGCGCACCCGAACCTCCAGAAACGATCTCGCCCGGTGCCATGTCGACGGTCGCCAGCTTGGATGACCTCGCACACAAAGCGGCAGCTTCGCCAAGCGGCTGGCCTGCAAGCACGCCTGTCGCTTCTACGCCCTTCCATCGAGGTGGCATGCCCTCCTCGCATTCGCTGACGATGCTGCCTACTCCGCCGTCGTTCGCACCGAGTCCCGTCGCACCCCTCGAACCCGAGCCAGCCTCGCAAAACATCGAACCTGGTCAGCATGCCCGCGCGGAGCCCATCAAATCGATGGCGAGACGCCTCTCCGAACAGCACAATTTTGTCACTCCCGCACGCAAGCCGTCCTACATGGCGATGCACGAACGTTTCCGACAGTTGCAGGGGCAAGAGGCACCCATCCCCGAAGATGCCTCGGCAAATTACACACCTGCTGTCCCAGCTTCGCCGTACCCGTTCCCAATGGCGTCCGTAGCCCGCAAATCCAAGTTCACCGGTGGCAAGAAGCCCTTGCTCTATCGTCGGGATTTGGATCGAGCGAGGTCTGCTACGCCTGGGGGCGGAAGCGTCGGATCCGATAGCCGACAATCGGGAGGAAGCAACGCCGTTCGAGACATTTCGGAACGGGAAGCCTGGGACGAGATGATGGCAGCGGTGCAGAAGAGCGTTCGGAAGAAGCAACCTGTCGCGCCCCTAGCACGTGTCCCGCCTGTGCCAGCTACACCAATCACTTCGTCAACCGCGAGGCCAGGCGGTTTGCCTCGCTCTTCTACCGACCCACAGCTGTCGTGTTCGAAGCCCGTCACCACACAGCCGTCACGAAAGGCTCCGGAGGCTGTGCCTGCAGAGGTGCCGGTGTCGCGAAATGCCTCGACGCGCAAAGCGTTGCAGCCTGTGCCTGCCCCTGCTCAAGCTGCGAAGCCAGTAGAGCCAGTGGACAGACCTCAAGGAGAGAAAGCCAGCGTGGTATCTCAACAACCTGGTGCTCTCCGGCAACGCCCATCAAAAGCCAACCTGATCGCACCGCGTGCCACCTTCAAGGTGATCCCGCCCGAGTCTCCGCAGGATCTGCAATTACCCGCCTTCTTGAACGAGTCACCGCACTTTGGTCCATTCGCGCAAACGCAGCATGCGATGGACATAGACATGTACGATTCGGACGCGTCGGACGACTCTACCGCCGGTCGACGCCGTCTCAAGCACAAGAAGAGCGCGCGACAGCTGCTCATCAGAGCTCAGGAGCGCGGTACACCGACCAAACCAAAGCGAGCTCAAAGTCCTCCGCTAACGGACGCTTTTGCATCGGCTCCGTCGGTGGCAGCGGTCTTGGAGGCAGCAGGCGCACGCAGCTCGCCTCCCATCCTGCTTAGCGACCAGTCCATGCGCTCCTGCAGTTCTTCTCGGGATGCCTCGTACGAGCATGGCGCCGACTTCGTTCCCGTGCGCGCTCGCGGGCGGGCTGGGTCCTTCCAACGATCTGGCAAGACATCGCCAGATTTCGGCAACGAGGCTCTCTCTTCGAGCTTGGGCAAGACTTCAGTGACATTTGCTCCCATGTCGTACGTGCCGGTGCTCGGAGCGATACCACCTTGGCGAGACGGCAGGGATGGTCCTGGTAGCTCGGATGGGCACGGCGATGGCCTTGGAATCCCTCGCGACATGGCGCGCCCGACCAGGACGATTCGCCGTAAAGACAGTGGCGAGATGTTGTCGCAATACCGGAACGCAAAAGGCATGGGACGCGCGACGAGCATGCTTTCGCTGAGCGACCGTGCCAAGGCCGACGCCCAAGCTCCGCCCTCTTTGCGACTTGGGGCCGGTCTCTCATCGTCGCCTCCTGTGACGGCAGACGGCGAGGACGACTTCATTCTGGGACACGTCGAGAATCGGATGCGGGCCACGGTGGCAGGCGGTAGCTTGCCGACTCGCACGATCCGACGATTCTCGAGCGTGCTCTCGCTCAAGGAAAAAGAGAAAGTCGCCGCCGAGCGTCCCAGCAGCCAGGATGGCACGACGAAGGCAAATCGCGGATTCGGCCGCTTCCGAAGTCGCCTCAGCTCGTCTACCCTGTGCGAGGAGCCGGAGCAACAGCTGAACGGCGAGGCCGCCAAGTCGAAAATGGACCGGCTGGCACCACCGGACAGTGTCGCGACTGGCGCGCAAAGCAAGCCAGCCTCCTCCAGGCTAGGACGAAAGATGGGTGATACGCTGCCAAGATCTTTTGGCATCCGCACTTCGTCGTCGTCTGTCAACCTGAGGAAGAGCAGCTTCACACCGACCTTGGAAGTGACTCACGACGTCGATTCGCCGACCAAGGTCGCCGACGTCAGCATGATGACGGGCCTCAACCAACGACACACTGCGCTGCAAGGCTCGCTGCTGGGTCTGGAGGCGCGCCTCGCTCGTCTGAAAGCACGGCTCGAAGATTGAGCAAGAACACCAGGGCAATCATCGCTTCGATACAAATATCACCTGGCATCACCCTCGAACATCATTTCAGTTACACTTGCATACACCTGATCTCAAACCGCATACCATGGATTCAGCATTTGCATACATCACTTTTCAGCATTCACATCTTCATCACAACAATTGCTCCGTTTTCACATTGCATGCAGGATCGTAGAAGGACCGCGACGAAGTGAGCGAGTGCGAGTGCTGCCGGATTACTCGCTGACCGAGCTGGGCTGAGGCTCACAACCTGTTGAGATTTTCCCAACAGGTTATGAGCCCAAGTCCAGCTCAATCTGGAAGCAAAGCCGTACCCAGCCCTCCTCCACCCGTGTCGATGTAGGCATGCTGCGCGTCCGATGTGCCGATGCCATCAACAATGGAGTGCCGTCGCGTCAATCGTAGTGCACGTCGATGAGCACGGCCTGACTGGTGAGGTTGGCGGTGCATCTTGGTTCGAGCAAAATCGTCTGCGTCTGATCGACCAATATCGCCGGTCCATCGATCTTTGTCCCATGTTGCAGCTGATCCAGCTTGATAATCGGTGTATCCAGTCGACCCTCGCCGTCAAAGAACACCTTTCTCGTCGCCAACTTTTCCACCTTGTCCACATCCGTCGCCTTGTCGCCGTCTTTGAACAGCTCGCGATACTCTTGCAGAACCGTTCGACCCAACGAGTCAAACGACTTGCCTATCCCTTTAACCCTGATATCGTCAACAATGATGTTCTTGTCCTCCAACACAAAGCCGAATTCCTGCCTGTACTTTTCGACGAAGACCCGTTCGAAGTCCCATCCCCCGCCCTCTGGTTGGCGCGTCATGAGTGCCGTATCCGTCCCCTCGTAGCGCAAGTTGAGCAGGGTTTGCAACTCCACCCTATCGCCTTTGAATCCTTGCGCCTCGAGCTCGCGCTGCACCTTTTCGCGAAGCGCATCGACACGTTTTTCAATGCGTGCCTTGGCTTCACCATTCGCCCCACCCCAGGTCTCGGAACACGGTTCCTGATGCTCAAACACTCGGTCCGCCAACGCCATGCCATACGCACTGAGGATCGAAGAGTACTTGTGGATGATGACGGTCTTGATCCCCAAGGATCGGGCGAGCGAGCAGGCGTGTTGCCCACCGGCCCCGCCAAAAGAGGCAAGGATGTGCTTTGACGCGCTATACCCACGCGCCTCTGTCAACGCCCGGATGGGCCGACACATGATCTCGTTGGCAACGCGGATGAAGCCCTGCGCCACCTCGTCGATCGACAGCTGCTTCGTCTGGGACGAGTTGGCGTTGATCTCGTCCGTAAGCTGTTGAAATGCCTTTTTGCTAGCGTCTTCGTCCAGACCCTCGTTCTCGTCCGGTCCGAAGATCCGTGGGAACATCTCAACGGCCAGTCGACCGGTGACAAGGTTCGCATCAGTGATGGCCAATGGCCCGCCTTTGCGATAGCACGTCGGTCCCGGATGGGCAGACGCCGACTCGGGTCCCACCGTAAACAGGCCGTTGCGGAAGAAGAGCCGACTGCTGCCACCGGACGCAACGGTGTTGACGTCCAATTGCGGACTTTGGATGGTAATGCCATCGAGGGTGGTCTCAAAGACCTGTTCGTACTGGCCATCGTAGCGGCTGACGTCGGTGGATGTGCCACCCATATCGAAGCCGATGATGGGTCGCTTGTCTTCGGCGTCGTAGCTCGTCAGTGCCATACCGACCACGCCGCCCGCCGGACCGGAGATGATGGATTTCAACCCCGAGAAGTGGTCCACAGAAGTAAGGCCGCCGTCAGACATCATGAATTCGACTTTTGTGCCCGCCTCGCCGGAGCGTAGTGTGTCTGCAAAGCCGGAGAAGAAGCCGTCGATGTAGGCTTGCAGTACAGGTGTGAGGTAGGCGTCGGCGGTGGAGGAGGTTGCTCGAGGCACCATCTTGATCATGGGCATGAGCTGGCTGCTGCAGCTCACCGTATCGAAGCCGATGTCGAGCGCGATACGCTTGATGATCTGTTCGTGCGCGGGATAGGTGTAGCTGTGCATAAGCACGACGGCGAGCGATCGATAGCCGTGTTGGTGGTAGAGCGCGTGGAGCTGCTTTTGGAGCAGCGCCTCGTCGGGCTTTTTGAGGATGGCGACTGCTTCGCCCGAGATGCCACGGACGATTTCTGGCGGTCCTGTCCGTCTCCCCTGCTCATCGTATGCGCTGGGCGGCTGATCTGTCCCAGAGTAGGGCTTTGTGATCTTGCTCACGTACTCGTCCTGCGAGTCGAGATCAAACTGCACCGCATTGTCCCTCGCCTTGGGATCCGACGTGTAACCCACCAGCGTCACTCGCTCGTCTACCTCGAGCACGCCCTTGTACAGCACCTCTGGCTTTTTGATGGCGAGATCAAAGATGCTGGGTCGACTCTGGTTGCCGATCTGAACGAGATCCTTGAAGCCTTTCGTGATGACGAGAGCGTGCCTCTCGCCCTTTCGCTCCAGAAGCGCATTGGTAGCGACTGTGGTGGAGAGACGGATGTACTCGATCTGGGAGGTGTCGATCTTGTCTCCTCGTGGTAGCTTGAGATCATATGCCTGCTCGAGGATCCGACGGACGCCCTCTGTGGGAGCATCTTTGTAGTTGGCCGGATCATGAGAGAGGAGCTTGATGACAATGTCCTTTGGCTCGTCGCCGGACTTTTGGGGTGGGATGCGACCGAGACAGTCGGTGAAGGTGCCGCCTCGGTCGATGGCGATCTGTATGCGGTTCGACATGGTGCCGCCGTTTCGGTATGAAGGATGTGAAAGGAAGACAGAAGGGATGGATGACTGGAGAGAACAGGTGGTCTGTGTGACTGTATGCTGAGTAAAAGACCGTGCTATATGCCGAAATTGGGAGCATGATTGTGATTTGACTCAGGATTCGACAACTGAGCACCCAAAATCAAGGTCGGGTGACTGGAAGGATTGAGTGCGGCGCACGGTCGAAAGCGCGCTCGGCAAGCGACAGATCCGAGAGCGTGCGGAGAGGGTCAAAGCTGAAAGCTCAAAGGGAGAGAGTGTTGCTCTCCCTTCCTTCTCCCCCATCATCATATCGACCAGCAGCCAACGCACCCATGATTCGCGGTCTGCAGGCCTACATTCACGACCGCGGCTTGGCTCAGACCTCGCCGCTGTCAGCACTCAAAGACACGCGTCTAGGCATCGACCTATCCTACTACCTCAAGCAGCTCCTTTCCTCGCCTTCCACATCAGAACCGCTCGTAGCTGCGTTAGGAGGCGCACCTATCGCCCTCATTTCCCACATCGAAAACGATCTGCGGGCGCTCGATAAGGCTCGCATCAAGCCCGTCTTCATTCTCAACGGTATCCAGCCCAACAAGCGACAACGTCCCTTCTCATACGAAGACCCTCGGGTCAAGCAGCGCTCTCGAGCATGGGAAGCCTACGAGAACGGCCAGGTCGACGTGACTCACTCTTTGCTCTCCGCTAGCAACTCCATGCATCACCCGGATCTGTATCGCGCTATCCTTCGCGCTTTCCGACACCGCAACATCGAGTTCCTTGTCGCTCCATACCTCGCCTCCGGCCAGCTCGTCTCGATGGAGCGTCACTCGAAATCATACGTGCACGCCATCTACGGAGCCACAGAGATTCTTCTCTTTGAGCGTGTCGAACGCCTCATAACCTCTCTCAATCTGTCCGAATCCAACTTCCAATACGTCAGCAAGCAGGCCATCTTGGGCGAGTTGAGATGCAACGAAGAGCAGTTCCTCGATGTCGGTCTGCTCGCCGGCAGCGATCTCTGCGCAACTTTCCCTGCTCTACAGGACTCCAGCTTGGGAGCACCACCACCTCACACAGGCGCACCACCCAACTTGCGGCAGATCAATGACCTCGTCAAACAGTACAAAGGCGCTTACGGCCTCGTCGCCGCTTTCGAGGGTCACCCCACAGTTCAGAAGATCAACTACCTTGATCAGTTCTGCCGAGCGAGAACCACCGTCAAATTCTGTCTCGTGCTTTCTGCCGAAGAGGGGCGCGTATTGCCATTGCCACTTGCGACGCCTCCACCACCACTTTCGGCGGGATCAGCACCATCCCACGCTGGGCCCAACGGAGCTCCCGCTGGACCCACAAACGGCGGCGCACCCATCCTCACAGCAGCAGACATCCCCGTTGACATCCACGAAGTCTTCTCACATCGCCTGCCAGACGAAGTCTTCCTTCACCTCTCCCGGGGTCTTGTCGGTCCCCAAATCTTGTCCAGCTTGACCTCTGGGCATGTCACCGAAGCCCCACCACTCGACAACGGTGAGAGCGAAGACTACCGGCGCTACGTCCGCGAGACGCTCACTGAAATCCCGCAATCGCCACGCTGCGTCGCCGTCGCGCTCGCCGCCTCAGTCCTCAACGGCTTCTGGTCTTCCCGAAAAATCACTGGCATCTATTACTTCGCGCCCACCGCCGACAACCCCATCCCTCACGACTCGGCCGCAACCCTCCAGCTCATCAACCGCGTCAACCAGTGGAACGTCTCGAACCGCTTCATCGAGGAAGAATTGCGACGCCAAAACTCATCCACCATCGACATTGCGCTCTGTCTCGGTGCGACCACTTCGGATCAACTCGCGAGCCGCACCAAGACGCCCCGCATCAAACTTCCCGATGGCTCCATCTCCGCCTTGGAGAAGAAAGACGAGATTGTAGCCAACACCATCTGGCGGATGCTCGAGTTGCGTGGATTTCTCAACCACGCGCACCTTCATACGCCGTACGCGCGCGCGCTCTACCTCGCGCTCAAGCAGAGCAAGCTCAACGACAAGTTGCAAGAGCCGCTCTTCCTCGCGCTCGAGCTGCTGCGTGGCGGTGCTTTGCACGCCAACTACTTTGGCGGTCGCGCCTATTCCGGTGGACCCTCGTACGGCGATGAGACGGAGAAGAGGCACATGCTGTTGGTGATGCGCACGGTTTCGTTGTTGCAAATGACCTTCAAGCCGAGCTCGTGGACGGCGCCGTTGAGTCGCGAGCTGTTGGTCTTCAACTCGTTTGTCAAGTCGACGACGCGGGCGATGCGCAATCTGGTCGAGATGATTTCCCTGTCGCTGCTGTTGCGTGGAGATGCGAGGAGGAACCGCGACGATTATCTGGATATTTCGCTCTCGCTTCCGTTCCAGACGGATGTCAATACGGGGATGGGTATTCTGGTGAAATGCTACCTCGACGGACTGTTGACGTACCGCGGTGGACCGGTGGCGCCCGACCAGGTGGACGATGCGGATGTCGTCGAGGCTAAACAGGGCGTTCTGGGCGCGCTGGAGGATACGTTTGCCAATGTGAGGGATATCAGACAGGAGCTGGGACGAAGCTTTAGGTTCTGGGACGCGGTGCTCGTCGGTATCGAGACGTTGGATGCCGAGAACGCGATCAGCAAGGACGTCGTCAAGCAGTTCAGGGACGCCGAGGCGTGGTTGAGGCCGCTGGCCAAGCTGCCCAATGTCTAGGTGCTCGCGTGGAGGGTGAATGCGAATGCGTTGCACGAATGCTGCATTGTTCGAACTGGGCGTGAGTGAGTTTGATGATGAGAGCATGCAACATGAAAGTGCGAGCCCATTGTTCTCATGCCCGTCCCTGCGGGAAGGGTCTGAGCTCCCACATTGGTGGGCCCTTTGTCGTGCCGGCCCGGGTTCTTCATCGTGTATCACCGGTGTGCCCACATGCAAAGAGTCGATGATCGAGCAGCGGGTCGATGAACATCATTGCCTTGCCTATGGATCTTCTTTCCTCACCCTCAATCTCCCTCAACTTGAGCAAGAAAAGTCGTGGACGATGCGTGCTCGCCTTGTCGTGGCCTCCGAGCCGGAGTCTCGCGCAGACTCCACCATCCTAGGTGCCAAAGAGGAGCCCATCGTCATCAGCGACGACGAGAGCGATGACGATATCCAATTCGTCACAGCAGCGGGGCCTTCATCGGGCACCGTCCTCGCTCGGGCACGAGACGCCGGCTTATCCATCACCACGCGTACCGAGCATCCAACGACGACGTCGATACGTCTTCGGCTAGCACGAAAGCGAGAGGAGGAGGAGGTCAAGCGGGAAGACGAGGTCAAGCGGCGTCGACTGACCGTCCCAACGCAAAAGCCCATACCACTTGCCATCCGGAAGCGAAATCCAATACCAACACTCAATGTCAAGCCCGAAGAGATCGCATCACCACCTCTCGACGTGAAGGACGAATACACCTTTCACTTCACCACTCCTTCCCCGCCACCACCACCGCGTCACGCACCAGGCGCCCGCCCCATCGATCCCATCCTCATCTACTCTGCCCCGACCCTCGTCGTCAACTTCGATCCCGCCGAGATCCCCTCCTTCGAACGTGGTGCGTGGCTACGACTCTGCACGCATCGCTACCTGCTCTCATCCACGCCCGCCCCACGCAACTCCGACGAAGAACGGTATCGCGCGGACGAGCTCAAACTTCGTCTGCTCAGCCTCTTCCGTCTTTCCTCCTGGCCACCCCGCGAAGAGCCCCGAATCTCCTTCCCTCGCCTGCCAAAAGTGAGTCACAAGTTTGTCGATATCCACTTTGTCACGCGGTCACAGCACGATGCGACCCGGCATAGGAGCCCCCTCTTGAGGATGGGAAACGATGTTCTGCTTCCCTTCGTGCACGGGGCGTTCATCGAACCTTGCTTGGTTGTGGTTCAATTTTCACATCCGACGATGCGCAAGGAGGGCGATGAGAGGCTGGAGGAGAAGGAGAAGGAGCATTTGCGGGTGTTTGGTGCAGCAGCGCGCGTGGCGGTTGCAGAAAGCGCTCTTGGGCAGGCCGGAGAGGTGGTGGCCATGTGGTTGTTAGAGGACGGCTATCCGCACAATCCCGAGCTGGAGAACGGGCTGGGGCTGGAAAGACGACCTGAGTATACGATGCTGTTGAGACGGGGTACGAAACAGGTGCGGATACCGCCGTGGTTAAAGATCGTTGATAGGCCGAGGAAGAGAGCGAGCGAAGGTGAGGAAAAGAGCTGGGATGGATATGTGAAGCTCTGGTGGGATGAGCGACCAGCTGACCTGTGCAATTACTGCAAGGATGCGGCTGATGGTCATTCTGATAAGCAGTGCACCAGGGGGAACAGTGAAGAGAGGGCGAGGCGCGAACTCAAGCCTCGACCAACAGTCTACTAGAGCGCTGGACGATGATCTCACTGGAACATGCCACAATTGGATAGGAATCAAAAAGGTTTCTGTCGAGGGCAACAAACTACATCGAGCGCGATTGTGCGTTTACATGAGCTGAGAGGGCGACCAAAAGGAAGCAGAAAGGGAGCCAGACCGGCCTCATCGCCCTGCGAGTATAAGAGCGGCCCGGAGAGACCAAGCTAGTACACAATCGATCGAGGTTTTCGCTCGCTCCTTGCCCAAACGTCTCTTGTCCTGCTACACTTTCCGTTCGCATGCCCATCCTCCGCATCTTTGCAATAATTTCACAGGTCAATCGGCCTGCCATCCCACCAAAGCTTCACGTACCCATCCCAGAACCCTTCTGCTTCGTCGTAGTCCGGGACGAACGGGGGACGATCCTCGACCTGGAGATATGGGGGGATAGCGACTTGCTGGTCTGCCAAACGACGTCTCAACAGCATCGTATATCTGGGTCGTCGCTCCAGTCCCTGGCCATTCTCCTGCTCCGCATTGTGCGGATAGTCATCTTCGTTCACCCAAACCGCCGCCACTCTTCCTACCAGGCCTAGGCCAAAGCAGCTTCTATTCACCGAGTCCTTGGCTTTGATTGCGAAGGCCGTCAGCTGTGCCCGCTCGTCGTCGTTCAGCGTCTCATCGCCCTTCTTACAAATAATAGGATGTGCGAACTGCACCAGCATCCATTCCTTCTCGATGAACGCCCCGTGTGTCATAGGTCGCAGCACATCCGTGCCGAGTCGCAAGAGCGAATGACCATATTTCACCGCTTCATACTGCTCCCTCGTGGCAAAACGTATATCCACAAACGAGTGCTTGATCTTAGACAGTCGGGGAAAGGACACTTTCGCCTCCTCCCCCGTGGCCCAGTGGTTGAGTCGAAAAATCGCCAGTAGGCAACGCTTGAGGTCGACTGCCCGGTCCGCTTCTTGAACAGCGTCCTTGGGATACAGATCCGAGGTGATGACGTAGCGGTGGGTGTTGAGGCCCACCCAAGCGCTGCGTTCGAAAGAAGGGATGTCGTCCGGCTTGGACTTGAGGGAGTTGACATCGAAACCGGCTACGTTCCATACCAGACGAGGTTTGAAGGATCGTGCGCCGGGTGCGTGCGGTGGCGGAGGAGGAAGCGTCCACTCGATGTACACCGTGTCTGCTACCTCCTCTGATCGAGAGAGGGACCGTGTTGGTTCCAGAGTTGAAGGATAGCCACGGTCAGACTCCTGCTTGATAGCTGCACCGGGTTTGAATCGCTTCGAATCGCTCATGGACCTAGCCGCGCCTTGTGCGATCCTCTTTTGCAGCCGACTCGTGGTCGAGTGCGGAACGTATGAGTATGTCGTGATGCTACTTCTGGTCTTTCGAGCCAAGGTGATTCCAGATGCCGGATTTGCCACCCAGACGGGTTTGATATCGTCTTTGCGGGCCGCAGACGAGGTGCGTGCTACAGTGCGTGACTCTCGCTTCACTTTCTTTGGCCTCATCGCGGCTCGTCACAGTTCAGTCCGAACGAGGAAGGTGGAAGGTGACGTCTCACTCTCCCAATGTGGAAGGGAAGAAAAGGGGAGAAGGTCCCACAACTTCGATCTCTTATACCATCGACATACGCATGGCCCCTAACGACCGAGTGGGTTGAACGCTGTGCGTGCAATGCAGAACAATGGGTCCCGGCAAAGACTTCCGACGAGCTAGCAAGCAACCCACCTCTCATGTACCCTCAGGCAGCATCGAGAACCATCACACGCAGAACACAATAGCTCAAACGTGATGGTTACCTTACGACATGCATTTGATGAGGACCGAGCGACAATCAAGCGAGAGCCTACCATTTGCTGCGTACAAGCGCGCGGAGGACGAGGCGATGGTACGAGCTTTCGCCGAGTTGTTCAAACAGAGCTTGCTTCTGCGCCGATCTCTGCGATCGAGGCAAAAGTGTGCGCAGTCGCTCCATGTCGGTCGAGGCGCCGGTGGTGTACGATCTCGTGCCATTCCTTTACAAGCCCACCTCCCGAGCTGAGGTACCCTCGTCGATGCCTTGCACAGGCTCAGGGGGAGGAGACATGGGCCAACCTGCAACTCCTGCTCTCGCTCCACCTCATCCCGTCTCTGTCTGGCTCCCGAGCTCATCTCATCACAAGGTCACACAACGAACATACGAATGGATGTGATAGGTATACGAAGTATATCATGTCGAGTGGGCGAACACGTTTGTGAGCATGAGCCTATCGCTGCGCAACCGCCTTCTCATCCGCCTTGCTGAGATGCAACATGCTCGTATATGCCCTTCTGCACACGGGGCAGGCGTACTTCCTCCTCGGAGTCCTTCCTCTTCTCCTCTCTGACGCCCTAATCCCAACCACCGAGTCACGCAACTGCACCGCGCATTCCAGACACAACCCGTGCGTGCACGGCAACAACAACGTGGTCGGTGGGCTCGAGAGGCAGATCAGACACTCGGACCCATTGCTCGCATCGATGTCCACAGGCGGGGGTGGCACCGCTGCCCCGTCCTCCTCCCCATCCCCTGCATCCACCGGCGCCGGCGCAACCGCAGGTGGCTTAGACGACAACCCATACAGCTCCTGCAGCTGGAATCTGTGCGGACCGATCTCCGCCTCCTGCCCCTCGACCTGCGATGACCACACCCGACCCACCTCGCCCTCCGTCGGCGACGTCAATTCCTCCAGTCGCTCACCCACGCTCTTCTTGGCAGGCAACGAGGTGAGTCGCAGATACGAGGTCTGCAGGTTGGGCTCACGCAACGGTCGTGCGTTCTCATCGAGCGCCTCGACCACGATGGCCACTTTGAGCGTTTCGCGCTCCGCCTTTTCGCGTGCGAGACGCTGTTCTTTGGTCTCTTCCTCGACCGGTGGTTGGGCGGTGCTGCCGCTTTCAAAACCGAGCGCGGCGGCGGCACCCAGCGGGTCGGTGCGCGAACCTTGACCCGCATTAGCTCCACGCCCCGGCCGCACATCCTCCTCCGCATCGTCCGCATCCATCTCCAGACGTCGATTGAATTCGAAACCTGGCGTCTCCGGGATGGCCACCGGTGTCGGAGGTTCGAGCGCTCGCTTGAACGCTACCCCAGGCTTATCTGCGTCCTTGTCGCTTTCCCCACCCGCGGCAGGGCGTTCGAGCTTCTTCGCCTTGGGTGGCGCGTAGAACTGAAGATGAAGCGGAATGTTGGCGGTGTGTGCACTACCAAAGCCCTTCTTGATCTTGGCAACGTGGACCGGCCAGCCCAGGACGTGCGGGGGCGGGCCGGATTGTGCCAGCCATGCGTCCTTGTCGGTCTGCGATGTGAGTGGATCCGCCGCACTCGTCGCGGATGGCGGCGTCCAGTTGATCCAGGTGCCGTGCTTGCGACTGGCACGGATGAAGATCTGGACGCTCGCATAGGGCGCAGCGCAATCGTACTCGAAGTAAAGCGAGTGGGTGGGTTCTGGCAGGATGTCTCTCCCAGCTGGCGCGGCGCCGCTGGCGTAAGGAAGCGTGGGTAGGACCGAGAAGGAAGATCGAGAACGAAGCAGGTTGGCATCGGACGCATCGGATGGCTTGCCCTCTGTAGACGACTTTGCCGAGAGCTTGAGGGTGTTGCGCTTGAGATTGACGAACGACTGGAGTGTGGTGCAGACGGGAGGCCCATAGGTGGCGGGAGTGGCCGCGGCAGCGTTGGAAGCGTCATCAGCGACGCCCGTGCTGCGCTGAATCCAGCGTTGGAGGGTGGTAATGTCGACGCCTTCGCTCATGGCGATGGAGCCATCCGCCGACGGACCATCGCGGTTGAGCTGGTCAATGAGGTCGGCGGTCGAGCCTTGCATCATGCCTACTGGTTGCGCCGAGTCGTTGGTACGTTCTGCGTTGACACCGCCAAGCGATGTCACCGATTCTGCACCGAGGGACATCATGCTGAGACCGGAGAGAGAGGCGCCTCGAGCACGGCCACGCGAGCCGAGACGGGCGCGGCGTGAAGCGACGGAACCCTGAGGATATGAGGCATCCACTGACGCCGCGCCAGCAGCTTGGTCGAGAGCGTTGCTCCCCGAAGCCGCAGCGTTGGACTCATCGTTGCCCGCGGTAGGCGAGATGGGACTGGCGATGGCCGGAGGCTGAGGAACGCCGGCGCCATGACTGGAGACGGCGCCCGAGCTGCTGATGCCGCTGCCGAAGTAGTTTGCGAGGTTGGGACCAAAGAGGGTAGCTGCCTCCTCTCGTTCTCGCCGAGTGTTTCTGGCCTTCTTGACGGCGCTGCGAGACGGAGGAGGCGCAGTTGGCGGGAGCAAGATGTGAGCGAGAGGGTTGCCTCCGCGAACCGAATTGAAAGTTCCATCGGCCGTGTTCTGCGCTCTCTGCTCCTGTCGATCTCTTTCCTGGTCGCGATCTCGCTGGCGAAGGTTGGAAAGGGACGGAAGGTGGATGTTGGAGAGAATGGATCTGCCGGATGCGCCACGTTCGTGTCGAGCTTGACCCTGTTCGATGTCGAGGTTGTCGTTGTTGCTGCCAGCCGCGGCTGCAGATGCTGCAGGCCGAGCGTTCATTTCGACTGCATCTCCGGGCCGGTCATTGCGAAACGGTCGAGACCAGCGTCGGCCGCTGTGTGCGTTGCTGGAGGAGGGGTCGATGGCAGCTTCCTCATCGCGCGGCGCTCGGTGCGCAGGCCCGGCGCGTGCAAAGGATAGCAGACTCGACATGCTTCAGAATGAGCGGATAGAAATGCAACGTCTGATCGAGATTATCGTGCAGAGGCCGGATGATAGGTGCGAGACCTCTGTCGTTGAACTGTCGGTGCGAGGGTAATCTGAGTGAGAGTGACTGGCGGTTGATCGCTGCAGCGAGGTTTGCGAGGGTATCAAGGGGCGGTGGTCATCGATGTATGTGAAGTCGATGAGGCAGCGCGGCTGCGAGAGGTTGATGATGGAAAGCCGTGTCGATGCAATGGATGTCGAGGGGAAGGAGGCAGGGTCTGGATGTGACTGGGATGCGATATCGATTCGAGTCGAGTCTATCTTTACCCCACGTTGCAGCGCGGCATCAGCTCACATTTCGCAATCCCTGCTTGTTCGGCAAGCGCGCTCAGCACCAAGCTCAGCCAGAACTCTGAAAATCACAGAGTCAGGGTGCGGCGGACGGCGTTCCTAACGTAAGAGCCGAAAAGCGTCGCTTCCAAGCTTCGCTGCAGCCAAATACCAAAGTTTACAAGTGGCATGCAGCGGCAATACAAAGTGAGAATACAAAATCAAAAATCAAAGGCAATGTAAGATCACCAGACCCTGTCTTCCGCTGCCCTTGACGCCGCTCAAAGCCGCGCTCACTCTTCAGAAGCTCGGCTGGCTCGGCGACGGAAGCCTCACAGTCAGGCTCAGTTTAGATGTCGCTATCTCGTCTGCGGATCGTGGTTCTGATGAATCGATGTTGGATTCAACCGCCAGGCACCTCGTTGCGACGGACACCCATGGTGTAGGTCCTCTCCTTCTCGCCCACCAGGTCATCGTACCACTCCTTGTCAAGCCCAGCTTTGCGTCTGTCCTCAGCATTGAAAGGTCCCTTGAGTCGACCGATAAAGTTGTTGCGCACCTCTTGGCGGAAGACCTGAACCGGATCGAGAGGAGGCTCTGCATTGCTGCAGAGCCATGTCATCCATCGATGACCAGCAGAGACGTGCGTGATCTCGTCGAGGTGGATCACGGTCAGCGTATCTACGCTCTCGGGATCGCCCGCATTCTCGAACTTCTTGATGGTGGTGGGATTCACGTCGAGTCCACGAGCCTCGTGAACCAGATGGATGATCGACAGCCTTGCGGTGAGCGAGTGCGCGGTCTCCATAGCCGAGTCCCAAAGACCGTGATGGACAGGTAGCGCTCCAAAGTAGCTGCCCATCTCCTCCAGACGCTTGGTCAGCAGCGAGAAGTGCTTGGCCTCGTCTTCAGCCACTTTGACAAAGTCGCTGAAGAATTGCAAAGGCATCTTTCGCGTCGGCGCATCTTCGTCCTCGCCGGCGAAGAATTGTGCGCACAGCTGTGGAGCGCGTGCAATGATGTCCCATGCCAGATCGATCGCCCATTGCTCGATGTTGGCGAGCGAGTGCAGAATGGCGATACGGCTCTTCTCCGTCCCGCCTCGTCCGCGCTTGCCTTCTTGACCTGGCCTGACTCGCACCTCCTCCTTCGTTCGTGGTGGTCGCTCCGGTGCTGTTTCTTGTGGCTTGGTGATCCACTCTCTGCGTCCGGAGGAAGGATCGGATATGTTCCACCTGCCTCCACCAATCACCTTGCATTCACCGGATCGAAACGCTTTGGCTGCAAAGCGTGTGTACGCCACCTTCTTGACAGGATCCGAAGTGCTGAGCACGAGCACAGCCCATTCGACCAGCGTCTTGGGAGCGGGCGAAGGCGGTTCCAATGGTGACTCTGCGTCTTGCTCCTTGCCTGAAGATGGCGCTTGCTCGACATCCGCATCAGCAAGATTCGGGGCAATCGACAGCTGCGACGCTTGTAGGTGCAACGACTGTGCAGCGTCTTGACGCGATGCGACTGCAGGTGAAGCTTCGCTGACAGGCCGTAGCTCAACGAGCTCCCATCTAGCGGTAGCGCTGTGGACATCCTGATCTGCCGAGAGATTGGACGGCTTGGGTGGTTGAATGAACAGGATATCGTTTCTGACTTGGCATGAATAGACGCAAGCTGAGATACCATGCGAAGATTCTCCAGTGCGCAAGCTGAAGTCGTACTCGTGCCATGGACAGACCACGACCATGTCCTCGATGTCGCCGTGGAAGTCGGCATCGCTTGCTTCGATTGTGGCATTCTCGAGGGGCGCACCTAGATGTGGGCAGGTTGCTTCCATGCAGTAGTAGGTGTCGTCACTCGGAACGTTCGAGCTTGGTGGGGATGTCACAGTCTCGCCTGCCGATGGCTGTGATGTTGGCGATGGAAAGGAAAAGATCAGGAGCGAGTGGTATTCTTGAGTGTCTGGGTGACGCAGCGTGAGATGGTGCCGTGATGATGATGCAAGCTTAAGGACCGGAGCGACCTTGAGCCATGGCCCCGCGGCACCCGATGATGAACCTGCTTCTGAGTAGCGATCTTCAGCCATGTCGAAGAGCCCACAAAGAGCTTTGCTGAAGTGATGAGAAGAAGATGGTGGCAAGGTGCCCTTGGCTGCGGACGCTTTTTTGTTTCTTCCAAAAAAAGTCGCAGCTCCACACGAAAGCATGCAGGTCGTGGTTGAAAAGCAGGCAAACCAGGGTCCACAGAAATTTGAGCGTTCAGGCATTTCATGCCAAGGCTCGTAAGTCAGGCAGTCAGAGTCCAACACTCGATTCAGATCTCCGCTGCCGTCTGTCGATGAACGCCGGTTGCATTCGCGTTGAATGCTTGTATACGCGTGGTGACGCTCTGCGGCTTCATTGATCTCGATGGACGTCGTGGCGTGCAACCATTGTCCGTGGCTAATTCATTCCGGCCGTGCAAGTGGGTTAGGGTGTCCCACCGCTCGATGCATGAGCATCCCACGCCCGGCTGGGGCGGTGGGACGGATGGTGTGCTCTCTAAAATTGCGCACTCGTCCCACCTGATCTTCATGATCGTGTCGCTGCGTGATTCTGCGCTTCCCTGGATGAAACCCTCCCATCTTGCGAATGTTCACAAAAGCTGCTTTTCACCATCACCCACCATGTCTCTTGCAGATTTCGACGCTGTTCTGACCTTCTTACTCGACGACGATCAAGTAAGCCCTTGGCGCCTCGCTCCCTTGTTCCCTGGTGCTCTGTGGTCTTCTGCTGCAACTGTCAATGCTCACAGAAGATTGACCGAGTACCGCGAAGGGGGCCGACCTTTCCACATCAGCCTCTCGGTGACCGAGCATCCCCTGCCCAACGGCGACACCTTGACAACCATCACCGAACTGTGTTCGGATAACTCGTCCCGTCAGCACGACATCGTCGTCTCGAGACAAGACTGCGGGATAATTTACTTTGCCATCACTACTAGGGGGTCAAGCGACACTCGAGTTGTCCGTATCGAGTTCTTTGGGATTTTTTCAACATGAAGATCGTCACCGCCACGGTCCTCTTCTTTTGCCTCGCGCAGGCTCTTTTGGCCTGCGCTGGACATCTGGGCGCCAACGACAATATTGATCTGCTCGATGACGATGCAGACTACGAGGCTCTGGCAAGTGATGGTGATATTGTCATCATTGCTTCGGATGGCGATCCCGAGGAAGCTCTTGCCGCCGCGAAGGCGTATCCACCCCTCGATCTCCAGCAATTACGCCTCGATGCCGGCAGGGATGACAGGGTCTGTCCGCAGCCTGTGTCTATGGAGGACTATTTCCGCATGATGGTCGACGCTCCACCCGTCAGCGACTTCGACGTTGCTGTCACCTGTGGTCCTGTTTACCATGACGAATAGTCGGCTTCATCATCTTCCATGCGTTGCAACTTTCACGTCGCCAAGTCCTTTGTCAAGTCCTTTGTAAAGTTCATTGTCCGCTTCTATTAACTTTCATCCTCAATCCATGTCCCCCTTACACCGAGCGATCTGCGCGTGATGAGGCCATTGATTCCATTGAGGCAAGTGAAGTGGGGCACACTCTCCCACCGCTTGATGCATGGCTGTCCCACGCCCGGTCAAACCCGAGGCAGTAGGACGGATAGTGCGACAGCCGAACTCTGACCTTGAGCATCGTTCTGCTTCATAGCCATTGTCCGACTCTGAGTCTTCTTTGCTCATGACTCACTGTCTCGTCACCGTCCACCGTCAACTCCAGATCTATTGACCTTTCCTCGCTATGTCTCTGGCAGATGTCCAAGCCATACGATCGCTTTTGCTGCACGACGATCAAGCCGACCCTAATCGCTACCTTGCACCCTTGTTTCCTGGTGCCTTATGGTCTACTGCGGCCACCATCGGGATTTACGAGCACTTGGATGACCACAAAGTTGGAGAAGCACCTCTTTTCACCTTCGTCTATGCGACTCAATATCCTCTCAGCAACAGCGAGTCCTTGACGATCATCACTGCGGGCAATCCCGATGGCACGATGCCAGGTAACTGGCACAAGATGGCCATCACGAGAGAAGACCAAGATCATCTTTGCTTCGCCATCACTCCTCACGGGACAAGCGACACGAGAATCGTCCACATCAAGTGCGAAGAGTGATATTCATCCCCACTGCTGATGCGGAGCACGAGACTCTGACCTGCAAGAGCACGGTCGAAATCCTTTCCCCTTTCCTTGTATCGCATCACATCCATACCAATAGCAAGCTGAATTGTCTCATGTTATTCTCACACGCTCAGACATTCACGGTCTGGATGAGGTGAACGACAATGTGCATTTCAACACAACACCCAACCTTGATCCTCGTCTACGCACTCGCCTCGAATTCAGCCAGCAGCGCCTGGATGTCCGGATTGCTGAACAGGGCGGAGAAATCCTGCTGTTCAGCCTCGTTCAACTGTCCCTCCGTGCCCGGCGCGAACGATGGGCTGGGGACCAACTCTCCTCCCATCGTCCCTTTTGTGGGCGAGATCGTGCTGCCTCGGGTGCGCGACCTGCGCGGGCTGGCGAGGATCTCGATGATCTGGGGCGGAATGGGCTTTTTGGGCGATGCAAAGATGTTCGATAGCTCCGGCGGCAGTGTCGCTAGGAACGCTGCGTCCAGTCCCTCCACGCCTGACGATGGAGCGTTGGCGATCTGCACCGCCGCCGCAGTGCCACTCGAGCCAGCGACGTGCGCAGCGATGCCAACGCCACCGGAGGAGTTAAAGTCGGTCAGATGCGTGCCGAACTCTTTCGACTGGTGCAGCTGGATCTCGTTGAAGTTGTCCGCTGTGATCGCCGGCTGAGGTTGGGTTGTGGTCGTCGACGTCGGCGTCATCTGGTTCGCAGGGCCCGAGGGGGGAGGGACAGGAATCTCGAGCGACGTCAGCGTGCCATCTGCATCGATACCGAAGCCCGACGCTGCCAGGATGCCGTACGGGTCCTCGAGCAGGTCAAACACGTTCCCGTTTCCAGCCTCGGGCGAGTCGTCCGACAATGCTGGAGAAGAGCCTGAAACAGACGATGACCCGTCCTCCACCGTCGCTGGCAACGGTCGTCGTCGGACAATCGCTGTCTCCTTGGAAGCCGGCATCGTCGCCGTCGAGAGCGTCTCATCGACCTTCTCGTTCTTGATCGGTGACTGCGAGCCCACGCCGCCGGGCGAAGCGTCGCTCGGCCAGTCCAGGTCGCTCGGAGTGGGAAAAATCTCGCGCATGCTAGGCGTCCTTCCCCAGCCATCCACCTCGATCGTGCTCGAGCTTCGGCCCGTCGGGTGGTCGAAGACCGGGCTGCTGGGCGGCAGGTCGAGCTGCGCAAGCTTCGCCGGACCGTTCTGCATCAAAGACTGATTGCTGGCGGCGCTGAGGTTGCGGGTGAGCTTGCGAGTCGCACGACCCAGACTCGGCGAGGCAGGGCACGAAGGAAGGCCAGCCGATCCTTCGCGGCTTTCCGTGCCGCTCTTGCGGTACGGGCCCTTGACGAACTGGGCCTCGGGGCCGTTATCCTCGTCGTCCGCCTCGACATCGGCAGAGGCACCTCGTCGTGCGCTCGCCTCGACTTGACCCTTCCTCGACGAGATCTGCGATTTGCCGACGCTGTGCAGGGACGAGGTGATCTTGGACTTGCTGCGCGCGACTTTGCCAGTGTTGACCTTCTCGGAGGGCGACGCGGGCGATGTGACGGTGCTGCTCGACTTGTCGTTTTCATTCGAGGGGTCATCGCTCGAAGAGAAGAGCGCAGGGTGCAGCACGTCCTGACCCGATCGAGTGCGACTGCGTGTCACAGGACTGTTGTTGTTCGAGGACGAGGCGGCAACATTTCGTCCGCCAGGGGAGCCGTTCTCGTCGACCAAGCTACGACTCATGCGCAAGTCGCGTCCGAGCGAAGGGCTGCCCGATCGCTTCGAGCTGGGTGACGCGTAGGGGTTCTGACCCGAGATGGTCCCGTGCGGGTTCTTGCGTGGACTCCTTCGCAGCATCGAGGGGGTCTGCTGTCCGTTGCGAGTCAAGTTGCCAAGCAAGGTGCCCGGAGTCTGCAGCGGTCCGAGAGGCCCCAGCTCCTCAAAGTCAAAGTCGGCTTCGCTCATGAGCGTGTCCAGCATGGTTCCTGGGCTTGAGTTCATCAGGTAGCTGGGGACCCGGAATCGAACGTCACGGGAAGGACTCGCCAGCAGTCCAGAGCCGAAGCTGGGAAGAGCGTTGACCGCGTCCGGCTGCATCAAGCTGGCGTTCATGGAAGGTCGAACAGGGCTGGACTGAGCAAAGTTGACCACGCGCGACGAAGGGATTTGTCGGCCTCGCTGCGGTGGCATAGGCGCGCGGAACTCCATGTGTGGTCCGTGAGCCGTTGCTTTGGACGTGGAAGCCTGAGCGCTGGTGCTGGCGCCGGCCTGCTTGGACGCCGATGGTCGCTTGGTGGACGCTGCGTCGTCCTTGTCGTCTCTGCTCTCCGGGATCGGCGACGACTTGGAGGCCGCCTTGCCGTTCTGCGGCACCTTGACGGAGCCTTTAGGACGACCGGGTCGCTTCCCCGCCGGGTTCTCTCGCATGCTTCTCCTGCTGCGCCATTTGCCCGTGCTAGGATCCAGCACATATTCCCGATCCGCCTGCTTCTTGCAGACAGGCTTCTCCTTCTCCTTCTTCTTGCTGCTTCGCTGCGACTCGAGCTTCTCCGCATCGCGGTGGCAGGCCTCGCTGAGCGTTCGCGGCATGCTCGATTTGCGCCCTGAGCTGGAACCGGGCGTGGCAGCGTCAAAGTTCGGCGAGGTCATGCTCTCGTCCGCAGCGCCGCCATCTGCGAAAGATGCTCTGTTGGTATTGGCATCTCGCGGCGTAGATGTGGTGTAGGGAGAAGCTGCATCGACGTCCGAGTTGGCAACCTTGGATCGCTTGCTCGAACCAGCTTGTTCGTTCTCGCGTTGACGCTTCATGGCTTCTTTTCGGTCGCGATACACCTTGGTCGCATGCTCCTTCCTCCAGACGTACTCTGGGCGCGAGTTGTTCCACTTGAGATAGTAGAGGCCGCAAGGATTGCAGGCCGACCACTTGGTCTCGCCGTCCGTCTGGATCGGGCCCTCGTTATCAGCATAGCGGGGCCTCCATCCTGGCTCGTTCGAGTCGTCGTTGGTGCCATCGCTGCTGGAGCCCTTTTCGGCGGAGGGGTTGTTGACGGTGCTGCCGGCGGGAAGCTTCAGAATGCGCCATGTGGTCGGCACGTCTGTGCCGCAGTTGTAGCAGATGCGGTCCGTTGTGTCCTGGCTATCTTTACGTTGGACCGAAGGGCTGGAGGCATCCTCATCTTCAAAGGAGGGAGACGTGGCTGATTGGCGGCGAGAGTTGGAGTGCCCGGTCTGCGGTGAGTCCTTCGATGCGACCAGCGTCAGGCGATTCTCCTTACCAGGATGCGACGATTCGGATGTCGGCATAGGCGAGCGAGAATTCGGTACAGAGATGCTGTCCAGGGGGCGGGCGGAGAGAGCCGGCGAGGTGGACGCACGCTGTGCTGCTGCTGCCGATGGCTCTGCAAGGGACGTCGAGTCAGCGGCCGGCGACGACGTCGACGAGTTGCCAAGGGCTTGAGCCACCTGCGAAAGCAGATTCTCGAGCTGTGCTTGCTGAGCAGGCTCTGGCGCCGATTTGGACGATCTTTGCTGGAGGCTGTGCAAGATGGTAAGAAGCTGCATTGTGGACTGGTTGGGAGCCGCTCCTGCTGCTGCTGAAAGTGCCGCCGCGTTTGGAGATAAGGCAGACACAGCTGGAGAGGAAGCTGTCGCGGAGAAGGAGGAGAGGGCGGGCAAGCTGGGTGAAGCACCGAGAGGCGCTGTCTTTGGGGACAGAATGCGCTCTGTGGCTTTGTCGACCATAGGCATAGAGCGAGAAGATGGACGCGCTGCGGGTCTGCGGATCTGACGCTCCATGGTACCGTAAGAGGATGATGAAGAGGTCGGGTAATCAGGCTCGGAATGCAAGGAGAGAGATTGGTCTTCGATGTGTCGAGCTGTCCGGAAACGGCGTGGTGCTGACATGGCGTCGTCCTGCAAGGGCAGACGATGTGACACGCGACTGGTAGATGCAGAGCTTGAAGCCGTACTAGAGCCAGCACTGAAGCTCGAGCCAGACGAAAGGCCACGGACGAGGTTGAAGTACTTGTCCTTGTTCCTTGCCTGCGACTCTTTGAGCTTGATGACCACCTCGAGCACATTGATGTCCTCCTCGTACTCGCGACCATTCTCGTAGCGAAGACGTCTGCCATCCGAGCGAACGCGACCGGTGACGGTGGTTTCGCCGTCTCCCTCCTCATCTAATGCCCAGTTGAAGAAGCCTTTGCCGACGAGGATGGAGGTGGGCGCATCCTTGGGACGGGACGGACTGGAGCTGTGCTTGCTGGAGCTGGCATCGTGACGATCACGCGACGACATGGAAGAGGATGCGCGGACGGGCGTGACTTGACCACGAGATGAGGGCGATCCGAGTTGCTGCGCACGCATTGTCTCTTCTGGGTCGACAGCGTAGATGATATAGTCCCTCTTGTCGTCCGGTAGGAGCTCGGGGCTGGCCATGCAGACGGCACCGAGACAAGCCTTGAGGGCGATTCGGCCGAAGCGTACGTGACGCGAGGGTGGTGATGGGTGATAGTTGCTTCCTGATGGTTCGAGAGGCGAAGGAGGAGTCATGTTTGGGATGATGACCTCGACGGGAACAGGACGCCCGAGTCGAGCCACCATGGTGTGGTTGGGACTCGAGTCCAAGGTATAGAGCACCTTGACTGCAGAGAGTGAAGAGCGACGAGGAGGGGATGAGAACATGTTAGTGGCGTTATAACAAAAGCTTGTATGCGCATCTGAGATGGTGGACATAGGCACTTACCATCCATGCTGGGCCCGTGACTGGACATGACGCCTCTCAAAGATGGTTGCGTGCCTGTTGAGTCGATCGTGGGATGTGATGGATGTCGGTCCGGTCGTGGTGACAGCAGAGCGGTGTCGGGTCCAGGCAACTCAAAGTATTCTCATCGGCGGATGGTGAGGAGGTGAGACGAGAAGGAGCCGTACTGAGCGACTGTATGCCTTGGATGTGGCAGTTCTGACTGAGCCAAGGGTAATGAAAAGGCGTTGGCTATGAGCTGGAAGGGCGCAGTGGGGATGTCGCGTGGTCACGGAGAGAGGGTGTGGAAAGAGCGCTCAAAGCGATGATGGAAGCGTGCTGAAATGGGTCAAAACAAGCTGTGAAGGTGGATGAGCTTCGGAGTGGTGTTGAGGTGAAGCTGAGGATCGCATCGAAGATGCTATGCAGATGCGATTTTGGCGGATGACGATATGCGAAATGGATAGGCGAGTTGCGACGGGACTGAAAGGGCGAAGGCGGGGCCTCAAAGGACGTGGATGGTGGTGTAGAGGAAAGCAAGCGTTGTTGACGATGAATGAAAATGGAATGGATGAAGGAGGAGCGGTTGGATCGATCGCGACTCGGCAAACTGAGCCGCTGACTGCTCTACACGTCGTGAGCTTTGAGACATGCACCAGACTCGTAGATGGTGAAATCGCCTTCGCGTCGGCTAAGTTGTGGAAATTCCTCTCGACTTGAAACCCTCCCACACGAGCGCGTAAAGGGGCGTGGACTCGCGTCGAGAGGCGTTTTGCTCCACATGACATGCCAACCCAAACCTTCTCAAGAGACACGTCTCGAGACACGCGCCTGCGACAGCATGAACCTAACAGAGACGAAAAATGGAGCGAGCCAAAAAGAGAGAACTGCAGCACCTAGGATTCCCGCGTGGTCCCCCACCGCAGTACTGACTAGGCGATCTCTTGCTTAACTTCGCAGATCGGACGGGATGCGGTGCTTTCAAGATTCTATGGCCGCAGATGATTGCGAGAAGAGAGATTAGACTCAGGAATGATGGCTATGAACTAAGAAGAGAAGTGCCACGATTGGCTCGGCCGTCGTGAAGATGCGAAAATGAGCGTCGGCTCGAGCCATCGACTGAGTGAGCTGATAAGAAGTACTCGGCTTTCGACTTGCTTGTGACGTGATGAGTGCTGAAGTCGAGTGCTTGGCTCTCGGTCTACGACTGAGCATCCGGATCATGTTGTCTGGCAAGAGATGGGCGCAAACAGCGAGACAGGGTCTAAGGCAGAAACAACAACAGCAGCTTGACGGCCCAGGGAAGCGGCTCGGCTTCTCCGCGCTCGACATCCCAAGTCAGCTCCGCTCGGCTCTCTTTTGCTCGTCACCGTCAGCCACACGCGCGCTTGTCGCCGAGCTGGCCTCACACGCTTCCAAGGCGAATTTCCGAAAGCTAACTCGGTCGCGAGGCGTGGGAAAAGGTTGTAAGCCCAGCGCGCTGGACAAATTTCAGGACAGGCTGGATGACAGCACAGATGCAGGAGCAGCAGCGCGCCGATCCCATCTGTGTTGCAGCTGCAGGCTTTTGGTTGCGAGCCACTTCATTCCGTCGTGCTGCATTTTTTGGTCACACAGGTCGCTTGCTGCCAACTGGCCCCCAGCCGAGGCCTCGAACCCTTGTTTCCTTGCACCCAGCGTCGTTGGCACACACCCTTCGTCCTTCCTTCACTTTCATCCCACATCACAATTGCTGTCAAGCGTGTCAGTGGCAACGCGCCCACGCAGCTCGTCCCATTGATTGGTCGCCAAAAGCTCAGATCGTCACGCAGCTCGATCCCTTTGCACGCTGCCTGGGCCTAGGGCAATTTTGATTGGCGCTTTCATAGCGGCACCTAGCAGTGGCGACGTCTTGTGACGTTGCTGGTGGAAACGACACCATGGCGGACAAAGACCCCCTCCGCGCCCCTCCCACACCCACAGACCCTCCTCGTAGTCCGCGAGCTATCCAGTTCGCTGACCAGCTCCATCCTTCTCCTCGTCCATCGCGCGACAACTCGCCTACAAAACCCGGCGCCTCGCCAAGGCAGCTCGCCTCCGCCTCGTCCAGCATCGACAGGAGAGCATCGCCAGATCCTCTGCGCAGACCTGCATCGCCCGGAGACATGGCGAAGAACTATGGGGCCGGATCCGGTGCCGGATCGTCATCGACAGACTCGCAGAACACCGCGCGTGCGGGCTATCGCGCCTCGGGTCCCGGCAGGATCAATCTGCCACCCTCCCCTTATCAAGGCACCAGCACCGATCTACTCACACCAAATCGAGACGATGCATCCAACGCTGCTCGTGCAAGAGCTCCCAGCATGAGTCCTAGCGTCGCTGCCTCCTCCCAGCGCCAAGGCCAGCCTAGAGGAATGTCGTTCAAGCGACGAGCGCCCAGCGTCCAGCAGAGGCAAAACTTCCTCCAACGCGCTTCTATGGGCGTCTTTCCGCGCAAGCTATCCGTCGCAGGCAGCGATGCTGGTGGCAGAAATTTGCGTCGAGTTCACACCACCGGTGGCCCAGCGGGTGGCGCCGACGGTGACGACGACGGCACTATCGACATCGACGCGCTCATTGCCTCAGCGGAAGCACCTTCCATCCCTCGCATGCTGCCCACCGGCAAGTCGGATCCGTTCTCCAACCCCATCCCAGCGCTGCCCTTCATCGTGCTCTGCCTCGTCTGCTTTGGCGAGTTCAGCTCGGCCGGTGTCGCCGGTCCTTTCCTCTTCTTCATGATCGAAGACTTTGGCGTCGGCGGCGAAGCGGACGTGGGTTTTTGGGCGGGTATTGTCTCTGCCAGCTTCTTCTTCGCTCAGTTCCTCACCTCGCTCATGTGGGCCTCGGTGGCCGACAAGCGTGGGCGTCGCTTCGTGCTCGCCATCTCCCTCCTCGGCAACGCCATCACCATGATGCTCTTCGGCACCTCGCAGAACCTCGGGACGGCCATCTTCATCCGTCTCGCTCAGGGTTTCTTCAATGGCGCCGTCGGGGTCGCAAAAGGTGCCATCCGTGACATCACCGATGAGACCAACGAGGGTCGCGCCTACGCGCTCATGGGCTTCTGCTGGGGAATGGGCGGTATCATCGGTCCCATCTTGGGCGGTGTCCTCGAGCATCCCGTCCAGAAGCTCCCTGGCATCTTTGGCAGCAGTGAGCTCTTCTCCAATTATCCCTATTTGCTGCCCTGTCTGGTCGCTGCATCATTCACGCTGGTCGGCTCGTTCCTCACCCTCTTCATCGGCCACGATGGCGGTCCGCGCACAGGCGCCATCGCGCTCCCGGAGAAGGGCGACATCGAACGCGCTGCGAACCAAGTTGGCAGCTTCGGTCGTTCCGCAGGCCAACGCATCTCTGGCTACTTTGGCGGCGCACGCAGCACCACTGCCGGAGAATCCGATCTAAGCCTCTCGCGCAACTTCGGCAACGCCACCCAAGCCAGCACGAGCGGCACCTCGACCCCAGACATCAGCCGTGCCAGCCAAGGCGGAACACCCGGTCGACTCCAACGCACCTTCACACAGCAGGTCGACTACGAGACCGGTGGCCCACCTTCACCCGTCCCCTCCGAGGGTGGAACCATCATCACGCACAACAACACCACCATCAACGACTCGGGCTTCTCCCGCGCTGACCACGCTCCTCGCCGAAACCGCCTCTTTTCGCGCACCGAAGAACGACAGCGTGCGATCCTCGGTGTTGGTTCTGCGTACGGCTACGATGGGCATCTGTCCCGATCGCAGGCGCAAACGGGCACCACCGCGACGGATCGGCACGGCTCAGCGGTGAGAGCAGAGTCGTTCGCGCAGAGCAGGACGGCGGGCCGAAACTCGTTCTCGTCGACCAACCAGTACGCGCCGGATTTCGAGCAGATCGGTCAGCGACCCGGGTTGAGCTTTGCCCAACGCTTCTTGCTCGCGCAGGACGATTCGGTGTTTACCATCTCGGATCTGTGGGTTGCGGCTGCGATCAATGGGGACGAGGCGTACGAGGATGTCTTCGAAGACGATGATGATTTGGAGAACGACTCGTATGCGGGGGAGAGTGCTGAAGATTCGCTAGCGGAGAACTCGATTGATGAAGAAGACGAGGAGGAGGAGGAGCAGGATCCGCACGAACGATCCTCCCTCCTATCGCCGAGGCATTTGCCACCGTTGAACTTTGCCCAGCGTAAACTGTCGACTGCTGCGCGGTCGTATGCGTCATCGCGGCCGCGGTCGATGAGGAGGTCGAGTGCGACGGCGCGCGTGCCGAGTCTGTACGCCAACACGGGCATCGAGAGTCCTCTGCAGAATCCGGCGTACAACCCGCTCTCTCCCTCCATCGACGGTCCCCTCGGGGGCGGGGGTGGGGGACGATCGGACAGTGCGTGGGATCCAACCCTCGCCGGGATTCCGGAATCCTCCTCCAACCGGGCCTCTCTCTCCGTTCCCACCCCACGTCGCTCCACCGCCGGGTCTCCCGCCTCCCAACGTCAATCCATGGCATTCCCCACCCCCACACCATCGCTCTTCACCCTCCTCCCCACGGCCATCATCGCGCACTACGGTCTCATGGCCTTCCACTCCTCCACCTTCGATCAAGTGTTCATGGCCTTCCTGGTCACCCCTGAACCCTCCGGTGGGTTGGGACTCACCGCATCGCACTACGCACAGCTCATCTCAGCTATGGCATTCTGCCAGTTGATCTTTCAGTTCGTCTTCTACCCCCGCGTGGGGCCTCCTCAAGGACCCCTTTCGCATTTGGCCATGTTGCGCTTGGGAACGGCGATCTACCTGCCTTGCTATACGCTCTTTCCGTTGTTGCGCGGGATGCTGCATCCGCAGACGGACGGGTTTGTTATGGGCGGGATGATTCTGTTTGCTAGCATGAGGTGGTTAGCGAACGTATGTGCGTTTACGGCGGTAAGCGTGCTGATCAATGCGATGACACCGCCGCATCTCACGCCACTGGCGAACGGGTTGGCCCAGACAACGAGTAGTGCTGCCAGGTTCGTCGGTCCGATCGTGGGTGGTCTGGTCTGGGCGAAGGGCATCGAGGGCGGAGTGGAGAGCCACGATTGGCCGTTCAATTACCATTTGGGCTTCTGGTTCGTCGGGCTCGCCGCGTTTACAGGCTTCTTGTTCACTTGGAGGATCAAGTAGCCTTTGACGACTTGCACAGTAATGACTTCAAATATCTCATGCAGTCGAGTGCTTAGCCGGGAGACGAGAAGACTGTGAACGAAGGATTACCTTCGGGAGATTGAGTTATAGTACAAGACAAAAGTGATGCGTTTGAGAGCCACGCGACGCAGAGTGCAAAGACGAAGCATAATGAAAGTGACATGGGATGAGGTGGCGACAGCAAGGGCTGCGCGAGGTATCATTCTGGTTGTTGGAAAGATGCAAGTGTGAAGGGAATCTCAATGGAGGTCACCTTGATGCTCTGAAGAGGGCAGGACTCTAAGCCTGACCATCCGCAGTCTCGACCTTCTCACCCTTCGCGCCGGCCTTTTCGGCATCCTCCATGCCCTTGATCGGCGTGTGCACGCGCGTCGTGTCCACCGAAGACATCGAGTTGCTCATCCCCACCTTGTTCTCGACATCACCCCGTCGAGCGCCGATCACGGGTCCACCATCCTCCGTGTCGTCCGAAGCGGCGTACTTCGACCTAGCGCGGATCTGAGCACCGTACTTGATAAGCACGAACGGCAGGGGCACCGCCAGCGCAAGCAGACAAGCCAGTAGCAATCCTGCGTAAGGCACGGTGAGGTTGTGGAACATCTGGGTCGAGAAGAGCGGGAACGATGCAGCGAGCGCGTTGCGCACGAAGCCCTGCGCCGAGATCGCGGAAGCGCCGTATTCGGAACCGTACGCATCGGCGAGATAGTTCTGGATGGCCTCAAAGATCTGGTAGATACCCATGACGAGGGGCACGAGGGCGATCTCGGGGGCGATCCAGTGAACGTGCTGGTACGAAGTGAAGGCGAAGATGAACATGCCGATGGTGGCCAAGATGCCACCGACTGCGGCATAGTAGAGACGAGCTTCGGGGACAGCGACGCCGCCGTTGCGTGCCTGGGCGCGGTCGTAAAGGTACTTGCCGTGGAAAGAGAGACCGAAGGCGAGGAAGCAGGCGATCAGAGGACCGATGTAGGCGAGGCCACCGTTGCCAACACCCCAGCCGTGGATCTCCTGGAAGACGATGGGGATGGCGGCGAAAAAGGCAAAGATCAGCGCCCAGGCGTAGGCGATGTACAGCGAGAAGCAGAAGACGACAGGTTCCGAGACGAGCAAGAGAGCAGCTCGCGTGGTCGAAGCGTGTAGCAGCGCCTTGAGCGAAGGAGCCTCAAGCTCGGACGGAGCACGGTACCGCTGGTCGCCGGTCTCCTTTCGCAGCCTCTGAGCCCTACGAGCGAGGATGACCGAGCCACGAGTCTCACGAAGGAGCAGGAACTCGAGGATCACGACGGCACCGTTGACGATGAGCTGAACCCACTGAATCCATCGCCATCCCTTCTCCTGCAGAATGTAGCCACAGTAGAGAGGAGCACCGACGGTACCGGCCACAGCGACGAGGGAGAAGAGAGCGACAGGAAGACCGCGGTCCCTAGTCTTCCAGATGTCGGCGAGGGTTCCAGGGATGATGGTGGTGCCCGCAGCACCGAATGCGCCACTGAGGAATCGAGCTACGAGAACGGTCTGGATGTTCTTGGCCAAAGCGAGAGGGATGAACCAGACGGTGAAGAGCGCGTAGCATCCCAGGTAGATAGGGTTGCGGCCGACGAACTCGGAAAGAGGGCCAAGGAAGAGCGGGACGATGGAGAAAGCACCGTTGAAAAGGAGCATGCCGACTTGGCCGACCTCGTTGGAGACACCAAGCTCCTGAGCCATGGGACCGATACCGACCGAGAAGGCGGCGGTGGCGAGACCGATGAAGAGGCACATGGAGCAGAGCAAGGCGGTAGTGAGCCATTTGCGACCGATGGACCAGTTCATGGGGTTCTCGGGGTCCTGGTCACCATCCCAAACGACGAGAATGATGTTGTCATCCTTGGCGCCCTCGGGTACAGCTGCTTCCTTGCGAGGCTGCTCTCTGCTCTTGCGGCTCCAAAGGCTGTTCTTGCGGGACTGAGTTGGGCGAGAAGGAGCAACCTGAGCATCGTCCTGGGTCTGCGCTGGTGTTGCAGAGGAGGAGGCGTCGTCGGTGGTGTACTGCTCGCCGCTCGAAAGGAAGTTGGTGTGGATAGAAGTAGCCTTGAGGACCATCTTGCCGAAGATGTTGGGCTACGCCCGAATAGTAGTGGGGAGGAGGGGACGACGGGAGCCAAGTCAGGCTGGAAGCGTGGCGCGGACGCAATTGATGGAGTTTTCGATCAAGACCAGGCGTGTCGGATGGAGGGGGGAGGCAAGAAGGAGTCAGAGGGGTCTGGCTTGTTTATGTAGTCAATGACGAGACAAAGGCGATCTCATGACCCATTCGGACGGGCCGGTAGATGGGCAGGCGGAACAGAGGCAGCGGCGCCGCGCTTGCTTGCCTTGACACACTCGAACGCCGCTGACTCTGCGCTTCTTCTCCGGCCCATTTGCATCTCTTCTCCTTTCCCCTCCTTTCTTCTCATCGGTGTCACTGTGGGGCCAAAATGTGTGTTGATTGATTCGCTTGAGCCATGCCCCGGAGGCTCCCGCCTTCATAAGTCAAGTGTGCGTCGCGCAGCCATCGACGAAACCATTTGCCACGGAAGCCCACGGGGATGGGCCAATCAAAGATGGAATTGGCCGGTATTGCTGGCGCAGTGTAGTGTGGGCCTTTCATGCTGAGGGGCAATGAAAGGGGGGCTCACTCCTGACTGGCTGCAGAACGAGAAGCACCGCTCGAATTAGACGTGCGCAGAGCCACGCAGGTCTTCACAACGGCCTGCGCAGCGACCTCGGTCAAACGGCCATCGTCAAGTGACGATCAAAGAAGAAGAGTCTGATGAACTTAAGTTGACGCAGCTGGATGAAATGACAGCCTATTGCAAGAGCTGACCAAGACGTCAGAGACAACTTATCAGGAGGAATGAAGAAACAATTCGGCTAAGTGGGTTTCATCTTCAGACCGAGCTTTCGCCGCTCTGAAGGTGTGGCGCCAACTAGCCGAAAGACTTTTTCCTCTGTCACATCATCCACTTTCTCGGACCCTGGCGGTCTGACTTGCGCAAGGGCGATCTTGTGACAACGCGGCAAGGGTGACCGGAGGATTGAAGTCCACGCCAAGTCGAATGCAAGATGCTTGGTCAAAGCAAGCGCTGCGCCAAAGCTTGTATCGGCCCTTCCGCTGGCTAAGTCCGAGCGCAGAACATGGCCAATGAGCTTCGATCTTTTTTCTGCGAGGTGGGCTCAAGTCAAAGCCAGCGCAACGTCCGAAAGCAAGAAAGTCAGAGCGACGCCGAAAGCCTATGCAAACTTCTTTGCTCGGTGGGCCCGTTCTGAACATCGTCAGCGCAAAATAAGAGACTTGCGAGCGCTTCCTAGAAAGAGTGCGCTGCTCGTCGCCCAAGCTTGCGTTTAGGCGAGGAGTCTTGGACAGGGTGCAAACGTCAGAAGAGGGATCATGCAGGCGGAATTCGAACAGTGAGGGAAAAAATTCGCCGCTTTTCGGAGAATTTTTCACGATCTGCATGTGGAAGATCTACCGGTCGCAAACGTCACAATGCTGCAGCGTTTCATTGTCTCGAGCCTTCATGACGGAAGAGACAAGATATTTTCATATAGGCGAGCCAGTCAGTGTCCGTATTGTTTTTGAGCATCTCCGTGGTCCCGATGATGAAGCCGGCTTGGATGGGCCGCTCGGATGTCGCGACCATCCGTCTCGATGGCCTTGGAACCTGAGTCGGCATGACTCCGAACACTGTGATCGGGGTCGTTTACAGCGACTCAGCCATTGACTGAACGAAAGCCACAACCGCAAGATGCAATGTGCAGCGCTGTCAGTCGATTCGGCGGATCTGCCGACTCTTGTCTGCACACGGGCACTTGCAGGGCTCGAAACGAACCTTGTTATCGCGAGAGGCAGCGCGGCATCGGTCGAACTTCGCTGTTTCGAGCTTCACGTCATGCCTTGGCATTTCCGAAAAACAAGCGCGCGCTTGCCGAAATCACCCAGCCAGCCGGTTCTGCTCTTCCGAGACCAACCGTGTTGACCTGCGATACGGCTCAACTTTTGAGGGTTCTGCCACGGCGAGATGCATGCAAATGCCAATTTCGACTCATCCAACGGGCCCACGAGACTTGTGATTGCGTATGTCTAAGAGAGCATAAGAAAGTCGGCCCGTCGGAAGGTCAGCATGGACTCGACAGCGCCCCCGTCGGCGCGCACTCCGACAACCTCATAACTCGCTTCCCTCCTGCTGAGTGCAGGCCTGATACCCTCGAAGTATCTCAGACGGGTCACGAGGATCACGTGGTGGCTCGAGCGCCGAGGTGCTGTAATGGGACAAGGCGTCGAAGCTCCCTTCCGCACGATCTTCGAGCTTCTTAACGATTTCGATCCGAGCACTTCGCGAGGTCGCGCCTCGCAAGAGCTGACTCGATCGTCAGGTGACCATCGTGATCCGAGCCGTTGAGCTCTACGTTCTGCCTCTGTAATGATTCTGCATCGATTGTCGGCACCCAGCTCAGTAAATTATCTTCTTCGTCATGTGAGCTTCATCTGCTGTCGGTGAAGGGTGAAGGTCCGCGAGGCCAGAGGACGACGGTGCTTGGATGGTTGGAATCTCTTTCGGCCGAGAACGTTGGAGTTGGGGTTTTTTTTTTGGCTTGTGAGCTTGTGGGCGAAAGAGCTCAAAATGCGGGGTAGACTGCATGAACCCTGCAGGATGATGATAAGGCCAGTCACGCCTTCGCCGCCTCTGCTCCAAAGCCAGGCAGCTGAGCGTCAGGCGGATTAGGCCACGACCAAAGAGGCGAGTCTGCAACCGAATGGTCGCGTCTGCGAGGCTCAGCTGACATTGCAGACAAGGCAATTTCGCCTCCTCAACCAGCCTCTCTGAGTCTCGACACGCCTGCTGCCAATTGCTGGCTCCTCCTCAGGACAGGTTCCACCATTGGCCTGGCCTGGCCTAGCGTAGCCTGCTTGGTAATGCAGCCTGCCAATTGTGGAGTGCGGCTGCCAATGCCTAAGTATGAACATGCGACCCGAGGACGTGTCCGCAATGAGACATTCGTCAGACAGGAGCATTTTGTCAGGGAGCTGCAAAGAAAGCCAGCTCTCTGCAACTGTCATGAAGACAGAGAGTCAAGAAAGGGTGCTCAATGCGTTGCTGCGCTCAGCTGGTCGCAAAAAAAGTCGAGAGCAAGTGTGGATGGTTCGGCACTTGAGCACAGCTCTCGTTTTGCGAGTGTGGGGTAAAGAAAGGGGCGCGTCTTTTGCATGCAGGCTTGAGACCTCTCCCGCTTTTTTTGCCCTCGGCGCCCAGACAGATGAGGTGCTCCTGCAGTCGCTCAAGCTGCTTCTGCTGCTATCTCTGCTTCTGCAAGCCACTCAAGGCTGAGCTTGGCCGAATCTGTCGCATTCCCAATCTAGATTGTCGACGCCTGTGTCCTATCCACCATCAACCACGCTTCTTGCTACTGGAACAGCGTACGATATCGCGATCGATAGCTCGTTGTACGATATCGCCCGACGGTTGACCACACCCACCGGCCATTCTCCCGCTGACAGGAACGTCTACGCACGCCTGTCCTATCAATCAGCAAGGAATTCACTCTTCACCTTGACACGGCCGGCGTCTCTTCCACCGCCGATCTGACAAGGCAATATCATCCTTGCTTCTACCCCAGCACAGCAGACAGAATCTCGTCTACGTCCACACTCGGAGCAGTCCTCCCGGCCCTCTATCCATTTCGCACCTTCAACTTCACCAACAGTCAAGATGAGTGCGCTATCCATGGCCCGCTCCGCATCGGCGGGTCATTCCTTAGCCTCTGCTTCCACCTCTGTCTCCACACCGGCCTCTTCTCATCCCTCCTCAGCTTCCAGTCACGTCAATGTGGATCTTCCCAACGAGCTTCTCCGCCACATTTTCCTGTATTGCGATCCTGCCACTCTCTACACCGGAGTGCGCGCGCTCAACAAGTCTTGGAAGCACACCGTCGAACACGACCTCATCGGCATCCACTTTGCCAACCGAGACTGGCGAGTTGGTCTCCGCGTCACTCGCAAGCTTCCCAGCACCCTGACCGAGGAAGAGGTTGCCGACGCTCAGCGACAGCAGACGGACGAGGACCTGTACCGTCTAAACGTCCTCAATCGTGCCGGCGCCAGGGAGCCGTTCAACATCAATGCGAAGCCTCGCACCGTGACGCACGTCATTCCGCTTGCTTTCAAAGGCTACGACGAAGACAATGTATCGCTGCGCTTCGATACTGATTCTACCTGGCACTCGCTCTTCCAAGTATCGCCGCCTGAATCCGACGAAGAAGGAGCTGCGCAGAACAATGCCGCACCGGCCGCTGGGAACGACGATGGCTCCGACGATTCCGGTAGCAGCGACGAAGAAGACGAGACGGAGACGCAAGCCGCGAACGGCGGTGCTCCTAGTCCCGCCAACGCCGGACGCCAGCGACGCGAGGACTTCGGCGCCGCCGCCGCTCGTGCACGCGCCAGAGCCGAGTCTGCCAGGCTGGAACTCGATTTCGGTCTCGTGTGGCGCTTCCCAGATGACGGTCAAGATGCGGATGTCTACCAGATCAAGAAAGGCGATGCCGAATCTTGGGGACAGCCCGACCCCGAGAACGGCTGGTTGAGTCGTTTCTATTGCTCCAATTTTGACACGGTGAGCTCGGCGACGACGTCGAGCGCACCTTCGGCCGCACCTTCAGGGACTGCTTCGCCTGCAATGCTCCAGTCGACGCCATTGACACGAAGGTCGCGAAGCAGCCGTTTGCACTCGGCCGTCGAGAGACGTATGCACGATGTGGTCGACGACGACGAGGACGAAGGCTTCTCGCCAGCTCAGATGATCTGGAGCGACGAAGGTCACGAGTACATGTCGCTCGATCTCCTCCTTGGCATGGAATTCTTCGTGCGCCGCTCGGCGCGTGCCAATCAGCTAGTGCGAAGGCTCGAAGCGGCTGCCGCTGCAGCTGATGCGCGCGACGTGGTTGCTCAGCTCACTCGCAAGCTCAAGAAGGGCAAGAAGTCGGCAAGGAGATCAGGCCTGTCGAGCCTGAACCCGTCGGCGGCTGGCTCTGTAGCAGGATCCGGATATGCGACCCCGTTGGAAATGGCAAGCCCGCCTCCATCGCGCATGACGGCGGCTACCGATCCGCGACGTCGTGCGATGCAGAATGCTCTTAGCAAGGAAGCTCACAGAGGTTCGTCCACCTCGCGGCTCGCTAGCGGGAGCTCTCCATTGAAAGGCAAGGAGGCGGCCAAGGATGACGACGACGACTCAGCTGACGAGAATGAGGGCTTCAAAACACCGGACCAACCCGCCTCCGCGCCCACCTTCCTTGCGCCGTCGATGATGCCGTCTCGGTTCAACTCGGTGGCACCTTCGAGGCAAGGCGGTGGCAGTGTAGGCACGGCGTCCTCTTACGGAACCAAATCACGAGCAGGCAACGGCAGTCGAGCCGGTGGCAGCAGCGCGCCCCGCGCCACATTCCAGGCCAAGTTGCTGCGAGCTGAACGCATGCCTTCGCGCCCGTCTACACCTCCGCCCGCTGGCGAGGAAGAGTCGTCCGACTCAGCGACCGCCAATACAACCCCATCGGATCGAGCGGGTTGGACGGGCGGCGACAAGTTTGGACGTGGCGCGTACCGGTTGGCTCAGGAATGGTCGGAAGAACTGGAATCAGACAAGTTCCAGGAGGCCTTGTCGAATAGCGGTGTCACCACGCCTGTGACTTGGACGTGGTCCAGGTAGGCAATCTCTGGCCCACCTTTTGCGATACCCCATTTGCCCTGGAATCCCTTTGCCTTCATGAAGACTCCATAGAAACTCTTCCGATCTCGGCAGTCACTTACGACGTTGCATTTGCATACATGTCATGTCTGAATGTATTAGGCTCGAGTGTTCAAGATGAAGCTGAGGTATAGAGCTGTCTGCATTCCGCCGGCCTGTCACTGGAGGCACTCACGCGTCTCTGAGTGGAGCGGCAAGGGCGGGCAAGCGTGAGTGAGTGGATACGTCAGGCTGCCTTCACAAACACTGCTGTTGACAAGCAAGGACCTCGCTAGCGGACTCGGCTTGATTCCGGCGGCAGGAGCGGGGTTATGCCTCTTGCAATGCCCACAGATGGCAGAGAGGCGAAGGCAAGCGGAAGCAGCTGAGCAAGCTCAAATTTGAGCGTCTGCGCACTGACAGCCTCGGTGCTGTGTTATTTCGAGGGCTGCTATGACGACAGGGCCCCTGCGCTTTGACTGGGTTTCCCAGCACATGTGCGGCTAAATTCGCGTCACAGAGGGTGTTGCGTTGGGAGAAGCGTGTCTCGGACGGCTCTCCGTGAAGGGCGGAGAGTGGAGAAAAGCGCAGCAGCACAGCTTGCCAACGTCACAGACAAACACAGCACAGCAAAACGCTCAAAATTGGCCAAAACTGAAACCCGAGCCTGCTGTGCCTTCGAAAGCAAGGGTGGCCGGTGCTTTCATTCGCTCACAGACGCGATCTTATCTCTTTCTTCCTCACCCTCATCCTCAACTTATACACGTCGTATATTACAACATTTGGTAGGTACGCAAGCTGGAGATGCGTCGACGACGGACGCATTATCATGGTCGAACCACGCGCAAACGAGACTGGTCGACCTGGCTTGATGGCACTTCTTCGCTTCTCGGAGTCAACTCTGGCGGGTTTGCAAGGATCGAAGGACGGATGGACACGTCTGCGACTACGCAGCGAGCCGCATCAATCGCATAGTGTAGCGGTTGCGGATGTGAGGTGGGGAAAGAGAGCTGGAAGTCAGCTGGTCTGAGCCGATGGTGCAGGGCGAAGATGCAAGAATATCGACTTCAGATCGCTTCGTAGATGGAACAATCGAACTGACTCTCACACCCGCCCTGATTCGCATCACCCTCGCTTGGTACACACGCATCGACTCTTCTCCACCCCACAGAACACGTTTCCACGATGGCCGACCAGCTGACCGAAGACCAGATCGCCGAGTTCAAGGAGGCCTTCTCCCTGTTCGACAAGGACGGCGATGGAACCATTACCACCAAGGAGCTGGGCACGGTGATGCGCAGCCTGGGTCAGAACCCCACCGAGGCGGAGCTGCAGGACATGGTCAACGAGGTCGACGCCGACGGCAACGGCACCATCGATTTCCCCGAATTCCTGACCATGATGGCGCGCAAGATGAAGGACACCGACTCGGAAGAGGAGATCAAAGAGGCCTTCAAGGTGTTTGATAAAGACGGAAATGGGTTCATCAGCGCTGCTGAGCTTCGACATGTGTACGTACGACAGAAGCAGCTTTTCGCCTTCTCTGCATGGCAGCATTGCAGACGCTTCCTGCACGGAGCAGGCAGGAGGTCCACATCGACCGCACGAGAAAGAAGCTGACACGACCTCTACATGCATTTGTTTCATCGGACTCGAACAGCATGACAAACCTCGGCGAGAAGCTCTCAGACAACGAGGTGGACGAGATGATCCGCGAGGCCGACGTCGACGGCGATGGCCAGATCAACTACGACGAGTTTGTCAAGGTGAGTTCCGCACCTGGTTCTGCGCATCAGACCTACACTATGCATGGAAGGACCGCTGCTGACTGTTGCCTTTGTTCGAACTCTTGCAACGACAGATGATGCTGAGCAAGTAAATATGATTCACGTTGTCCCGGAAAGAACGACAGACCCAGCGCTTCGGCCAAGAGAAAGTCGAAGAGCGAGGATCCGTCGTGCGAAAACCCTTGCACAAGATCCATTCTGCAGCAAACATATGCGCCTGCTTCGCTTTTGAAATACCATGCCCTTTGCGGTTGTAGCACTTTTCAAAGTTGTCAGCAGGCAGATCTGGGGATGGCGCAGAATAGCCGTCGCACGAACTGCACGGTTCAGGATGAGGGGTGTGGATGTCTGAAGTGCGATGAGAGTGCCCTGTCCTACAAATACAAATGTTCGCTGCTAATCAAGCATTCCCACCTACTCGACCTTAGTTGCCAGCCGCAACGTCAACTCGTAGATGGAGAACATGACGACGGCATTGGGCACGACTCTTAACAGATGGGCGCTCAATCCACCGTAGAGCGCTGCCAAACCTTCCTCCCGATACACCAGCTTGACGGTCTGCACCAGACCCGTATACTTTGCCCTCTCTCCCGGCGCAGGTTGCTGTCTCAACCGCGTCCGCACCACCTCGTGCGGGTACGTAATCAGGCTCGCTACCAACTTGGCAACCCCTGCTGCACCGACCATACTCGACAACTTGCCACCCACCTTCGGGCTGCCTTCCGGTGTATCCGCACCCCACTTCTTCAATCGCTCGTACAAGACCCACTGAATCGTCCCCTCCGCCACACCGAGATAACTCGCGCTCATCCCCTTGTACAAGCCCTTCACGCCCTCGGAGCGAACAATGTGTAGGGTCATCTGGAGACTGTTCATGCTGGAACCGGTGGTTTTGGCGGCGTGGAAAAAGGCTGGTTCGCCAAACGCACCGAGGGTCTTTTTGCTTTTCGCTATTGCGGTGGTCGAGAAGTGGGCTGTTCCTGGTCGTGCTATCGCCGGAGTTGATCTCGCAGGTGGGTTGGCTTGTCGTGAGTCTAGTTGGAGACGTGTCTTGACGACCCAGATGGGGTTGGTTGCTGTTGCGGTGACCACTCCCGCGAGCGCCGCTGCAGAGAGATGCACCAGCGAGGTCTCTTTCCCGTGATTGAATCGATCTGCGATGAGGGATTTGCCGTTGCCATACGTGTAAAAGTTGATGGACCTAGCCGGGATGACGCCGACCAACGTTGGCCCAAGCCCGCGAAACAACGCCCGAGGCCCCTCCGTGGTGCTAATCTCCTTGAGCAGATAACCTGTTTCCACAAAATGGTACGCTAGCCGTCTCGCATTTGCCAAGACCCCCGTTGCTGCTGCTGGTGTTTTCGCTGGTCGTTGTCGATACAGATCCGACTGAAGCCGTGTCTTGACTACGTCGAGGGGAGAGGTGATGATGGCCCCGCACATGCCGCCCGCACCACCGGCTACGAAATGCAACCACCCTTTGGGCGGGATGAGCTTCTTTGGTCGCGGACCATCGGAGAGAGTGGAGCGCGAGGAGGAGGAGGAGGCCTGTTGCGATTCGAGCGTTCGCAGGTCGACTTGGGCGCCGGCGTCACCTCGGGAGGCGAGCTGCTGAAGTTGTGGGACTGAGAGTTGACGCGAGGATTGGACGGTGGCGGAGGGTAGGATGGGAGAGATGGTTTCTGTTTCGCCTTCGCCCGGCGTCACGGTCGCTGGATAAGGCATGATTGCAAAGAGTGAAGCTGAGTCGCCCTCCTCCTCACAGATGCGTTGAGAGTGCTGTGCGGTTGAAGCCTATCGGAGCCCGTCCGACAGTATGGATACCGCGAGAAGATGCCGCGCGTAGCTGAGTCAGGCGCAGCTGCAGTCTATCGGAGTCCTGCCGAAGTTGCTGATGCGATGTCGAGTGTGGCTCCTTGATGGTTGACGGGATGCTTCCGAGATGGTGTATGATGAGCCAACTGGCGAAGCTGAGTATGCGGAAGACTTTTTTTAGGATTTTTTGCGCAGACTTTCTGAACGTGGAGGTTTGACTTAGCCCTGCATTACTCAGCGTGACTAATGCTTTCCACGCCCTCCTTTGCGGCAAACCCAGCAGCTCTTGACTCAAGCTTCGGAGCAGCTTCCGGAGCGACGGTTCTGCTCGAAGCGCTCATTGCTTCTCATTGCCTTGCTACACGTGCTCGACTGCGAGTAAGACAGGGAAGCGAGCGAGCGAAGTTGACCGTGCGTAAGAGCGACTAAGCGAGGCCGGGATGTCAAGCGCTCGCTCGACCGGCGTCTGGAGCATCGGATCGCACCGGCATCCGACAAAGATCCAGAGACAGCTGTTGACACTTGTCATGCTCCACCGACCTCATTGCAAGGCTGACTATGCTACATGCGATCTTTGCCGAAGTCGACACCCTCGTTCTAAACGTGCACGAGGTAGTATCACAGCTGAGCAGGGCTCGGTATCACGGGTCACGGCGCGACCAGCGAAATAACGTCGTCGAGCAGCGGCGTGCAGCAGTGCTCCCACAGCCACCTTTTTTTTTCCCTAAAATTATAATGGAATTCAAGATGACCGTTTCGTGTCTCAATCTCAGCTGTCAAAGCATGGATCAGCTGCTTCTCGCTACTCGTCGTGACCCAACCCTGACCCCTTTTAGGCTTGATCATCTGCCTCGTCTTCATCATCTTGAGGTGCGGATAGAACCGAATTAAATTCAAGATGAAGCAGTGGCATGGCCGAGGACTGATGACTTTGCTTGTCGGTTACTTGCCGAAAGAGTGCGAGTTACTCCAAGCAGTGGTTTCTGTGCGGAACTGCCGCTCTTGGTCTCATCTGGAAGGCGGATGGGCCGGACATGTCGAGTGAAATGATCGAGTCAAAGCCATCACTGTGTGAGCCTTGGGCAGAAGCATCGGTCGGTACCGCTCTGGCTCTCCCTGCTGAGCGTCAAAGCGAGAGCTCTGAAAGCTATCTTCGACTGTGCTCGCTGCAGCCGCAAAGCCGCACTTCGATATCATGCAAACCTTTTCGGTCTTTGTGAACCACACGATCACAATCAGAGCCCACGTGCAAAGCATCCAGGGGGCTTCTGCGAGTCTGGTTTTGAGGTGGCCATGTCTGATGCCATTGGACCAGCGTGCTGGAGCGGAGACCAGGGTCCGACCATGATCCTCTTTAGTTGTGACGGTTTGACATGCAAGGTGGTGCAGCCGCGCGATTCAGAATCGGGATCTTGAGCCGGAAGCGCCAAAATAGAAAACCCAACGAGGCACAAAAAGGCTGGTGTGACAAGCGGGGAGCGCGCCGCTTTGGCTCGCCGTGTTGAATCATGAAAAGGTCAAAAGTGGCTCTGTGAAGCGTGTCTTTGTGAATCTGAGTCTCTGACCCACACTCTGACTCTGTGCGCTTGCTTGCTGCATGCTAAATCCAAAGGGCTCTCTCTCGCGCCGCAACTCCACGTCCATCACACATCCCACACACCTCTCTCTTGTCTCTTTTGAGCTTGGATCCTTCTTCACAAATCACACAACCCACCAACACTCATTCCCACGTCTTACTCACTCGCCTCAGGCTGCTGATCATCATCCTCACCATCTCCTCTTCCGTTGTCAACCTAGCAAGCTTCCATTTCGCTGCAGGCGACGTCTTCATCGCACCGCCTTTGCTGTCTCGATTGGGCAAGCTCGCTACTCTATCCTTGATCGCTTAACCCTGCGTCGCTCAAACTCCCACAGAGGAAATCATAGAGCTCTTCATCCCGATCCATTCATCACCATACAGCTTCCTCCAGCGCCTCGTCAGTCTCCATCAAGGCAACATCTTCGCTACTTATTTTCCGCGAAAAGGTAGCCTACTCCCGTCTAGACCGTATCTCGTACGCGCCATAGATTCAGCACACTCTCGCACCCCAGGCAGCAAATCTTCGAGCCCGCCTCGAAGATCAGCACCAGCACCAATTCAAACGACGCCCGAATCGCATCCGTCTTGGCTGTCACCTTGATCTCGCTCTTTTCGTACCGGGCTCCATGTCGCGACCACGCTGAGCGTCCAGCTTCTCCTACTGCACCGTGTTCCAACTTCAAGCATAACGATCCTCATCACGACATCTCTGTACGAGCCCGCTCTGTTCGCCGCAAACTCGACACACTGACGTCAAACACACGTGTTTCGAAGCTCTGATGCTTGCCTGAATTCACGCTCAGCCTTGAACGACACCCGCCTCGCGAGCCCGCTTCCCTTCCCTGTGGTAGCAGAGCTTCACACACGCGCCACTGCTCCTATCGCTCTCAGTTGATCCCACCACATCATGCCGTCAGGAGCAGGCCCAGGCGTCCCTCTCGACAAGAGGACAACAGCCTACGAAAACATCTTCGGTCGGCCTTCCGCCAAACCAAAGGGTCCACAGCCACATGCTTTCAACCAGCCGCCTCACAATCCTGGCGCCGGCGCATTTCGAGCTCCTCCCAACTCGTACGCCGTCAATCAGCGCTGGAACGGCGCGCCTCCCGCCGGCTATGCCGCCGCTCCCTATCCGAATGTGTACGGGGATGCAGCAGCCCATGCGGGACCGTCATCGTACTATCCCTCGCCCTACACAGCAGCACCGCAGGATGCCTATGACCAGCACGCCGACCGAAGAATCAGCACCGTCCCCTCGATCGCGAGCTCCGATCCCAGAACTTCCATCTCGGGCTACTCGCAGTACAGCGGACTCGCAGCCAGCGCAGCAGACGCCTATCGCGGTCCATCCGTCGCTTCGCCCGCCAGCGCTTACGCCAGTCATTACCTCGATCAACAGCAGCAATCCAATGGCTTGAATTCGACGACCAATGGCGCCAATGGCAGTACCAACGCTGCATCCTATTACCAACAGCAGCAACAGGCGCATCTCAGCTACCCGGCTTCCAGCGCCATCTCTCCTCGCGCTTCGATCATCTCCAACTCGTCTCCTCCACCGACGGGAACGGATGCCGTCGGCACCGATCTGAGGCAAAGCCTTGACAAAGTGACGCTCGACTCGAGCGACAGGCCACCGCGTTTGCCAAGCATCGAGAGCACCGTGCCCATCGAGCAGAGCAGCTTTTGGTTTGGCGAGTCCGATACTGCACGAGTTCCCATCAGCCCCGCGTCTGGACCCAGTCGTCGACTCAGCAGCTTCGGCTCGCAGGGGCAGACGGCCGCTCAGTTTGCCATCACGCCCACCTCCGCCGCGGCTTCACCACGCATCGATGCAAGCAATGTCACGTCCACCGACTCCACCGCCGTCAGCAGAGATGCGCGCGCTTCCCACGATCAGGACGTCTACTCCAACGCCTTCTTCGAAAACCTGCTTGGGACACGCTCGCCTGCGTCTTCCATCTACGGCGATGGACGTAGAAGGGGCTCCGTCGAATCGGATACACAGTCGATCGTCAACTCGATCTACAACATGCAAGGCGCTCAGAATGGCTCGCGCGCTTTCTATGGATCCACCACCACCCTGCCGCCCAACGCCAGCGGCTATTTGGCTGGCGGGTCAGCCCTCAGCACCATGACGCCATACAACCTCTCCGGCGCCGCCATCAACATCGGTCCCAACGCTGGCTGGGATCGACCGCCGCGTTCACGCACCGCCTCTTCAGCGACGCAAGCAGCGCAAGCCGCCTATGCGCCTGGGTTCTCGAGTCAGCATGCAGCGTACGACGCTAGCGAAGCTTCCACCATTGGCAGAGGGGACGCCCGTTCCCTCTCGTTCGGGCAAACCGCGTCACGGCCCTCTTTTGCCACCACCACATCTCCTCATGGCAGCATCGCAGGAACGCCATCCGCAGCCGCTACAAGTCGCAGAGGGCCTCTCGTCTACCCAGCGATGCTCTCCAAGGTCGCAGAGGCTTTCCGTGCCCGCGTCAACCTCTCCGAGCGCACCAAGGACGGTCTCACCTACAGCGATGCCTTTGATGGTCGCGAAGCCGTCGACAAGATTGCCTACATCATCAAGACCACCGATCGCAACCTCGCGCTGCTGCTCGGGCGTGCACTTGATGCGCAAAAGTTCTTCCACGATGTCACCTACGACCATCGACTTCGCGACTCGGCCTTGGAGGTGTATCAGTTCAAGACGCGCGTTCCCACCACCGGGTTTGGCGTAGACGCCGGCTTTGACGACGAACGCAGACCTTCGTCTGGTGGTCCACCGGCCCCTTCGCGCGGCAATTCGGGGTCAAGTGTGGGTCCCAATTCGTCCGTCTCGTCCATGACTTCGAGCAAACAACCCGCATCGACATCGCGCTCGCCAGCTGCTACTACACCCGCCACCTCGATCTACAACGGCATGCACTCCGGCTCTGCAATCGATGATGACGACGACGATGATGCGCTCCCCACGGGTGTCTTTACGCTCTTGACCGATTGCTACTCGCCGACCTGCTCTCGAGACCGTCTGTGCTACAGTATCGCCTGTCCCAGGCGTCTCGAGCAGCAGGCTCGACTCAACATGAAGCCTCAGCCCGTCCTGCAGCGCAGCGTCAGCAAGGAGTCGCTCAACGACACCAAAGAGCGAGGCGCCTTGTGGGCCGATTCCGTTTCCAAAGAGGTCTTTGACAGTCTCTCGGACACGGAACGCAAGCGACAAGAGGCCATCAATGAGGTCGTCTACACGGAACGTGACTTTGTCGCCGACATGGAGTACCTGCGCGATCAGTGGGTCAAGCCGCTTCGAACCTCGGACGTGATTCCAGAAGACCATCGCGAAGACTTTGTGACGCAGGTGTTCTGGAACGTCCTCGAGATCCATGCGGTCAACGCCAAGCTCTCCGAACTCCTCACCAAGCGCCAGAAGCAAGGCGATGTCGTCGACCGGATCGGTGACATTCTGCTCGAGATGGTGCCGCACTTTCAGCCGTTCGTCAAGTACGGTGCGCACCAGCTGTACGGCAAGTACGAGTTTGAAAAGGAGAAGGCGGCCAACACCGTCTTTGCCAAGTTTGTCGACGAGACGGAACGATTGCCACAGTCACGTAAGCTCGAGCTGAACGGCTACCTCACCAAACCCACCACCCGACTTGCACGATACCCCTTGCTGCTCCAGCAAGTCGAGAAATATACCCCGGACGACCACCCGGACAAGCAGACCATCCCCAAGGTCATCAAGATTGTCAAGGAGTTCCTCACCAAGGTCAATGTTGAGACGGGAAAGAGCGAGAACCGCTTCACGCTCGCACAGCTCGACCAGCAATTGGTGTTCAAGCAAGGAGAAGCCGTCGATCTGCGCTTGCGCGACGAGCAACGAGAACTTGTCTTCAAGGGACCGCTCAAGAAGCGAGGTGGCACGCAGAGCGAAAGCGCAGAGCTGCAGGTCTTCCTCTTCGACCACGCCCTCCTCATGGTCAAGCCCAAGATGGTCAACAAGCACGAGCTGTACAAGGTGTACCGCAAGCCTATTCCTCTCGAGCTGCTCATCGTCACTGTGTACGATGAGGTTCCGACAGGCAAAGGCACCTCGACGCGGCCCAAGTCGGTCATGTCGCGCACTTCCACGGGTACGCGCTACAGTGGCACGCCTGGCACAGCTCCCAAGCAGGACGCCAAGACAGGCTATGCGCTCACCTTCACCTACCTGGGCAAGAAGGGCTACTCGATGACGCTGTGGGCCAGCACGTTCGTCGGTCGCAAGAAGTGGTTCGAGAACATCGAGTCCAGGCAAGAGATCCTCCGACAGCGCAGCAACATCTTTGACACCATCACGGTTTCGGAGAACTTCTTCCTTGGACTGAACCGCGTCAACTGCTCCGTTCCGTTCGACTTTGGCCGCAGGATCATCTATGGCACGGACGACGGTGTCTACCTCTCGGATCTGCGAGAGAAGGCGCGACCGCCCACCAAGGTGCTGCCGCTGCCTGGCGTCACGCAAGTCGACGTGCTCGAGGAATACCAGATTCTCATCGTGCTGGCGGAGAAGTCGGTGCACACGTTCACGCTCGACGCTCTGGACCCGTCGGATCCCATGGGCTCGCTCAAGCGTGGCCGTCGCATCTCCTCGCACACGTCCTTCTTCCGTGCAGGTATCTGCTTGGGTCGCACGCTGGTCTGCGTTGTCAAGTCGAGCTCGCTCTCTTCCACGATCAAGACGTTGGAGCCGATCGAGCAGAACGTGCGAGGCAAGAAGCAGCCCACATTCAAGAAGCTGCTGCAGGGAGGGCAGGACTCGCTGCGCGTGTTCAAAGAGTTCTACATCCCGACCGAGTCGAGCTCGATCCACTTTCTCAAGACCAAGCTGTGCGTCGGCTGCACCAAGGGCTTCGAGATTGTCGATCTCGAGACGCTCGACACGCAGGGATTGCTCGATCCTGCGGACAACTCGCTCGACTTTGTCCACCGCCGCGAGAACGTCAAGCCGATCGCCATCTACCGCATCTCGGGCGAGTTCCTGCTGTGCTACGACGAGTTCGCCTTCTACGTCAACAAGAACGGCTGGCGCGCCAAGGGCAACTGGATCATCCACTGGGAAGGAAACCCGACCTCGTTCGCCTACCACCATCCGTACGTGCTTGCCTTCGAGCCGAGCTTTGTCGAAGTGCGACACGTCGAGACGGGCGCGCTGCACCAGGTCATCACTGGCGTCAACCTCCGATGTCTGTTTGCCGATGTGCCCCCGCCCACGCCGAGCGTGCACCAGCAGAACGCGCAGGCGGTGGCGGCGATGCGAGCCAACTCGTTCAACGCGGCTATGGCGGGTCAATACGGTCGCCCCCCGATGGCGCCTTTGCAGAACAGCATGGGTCCCCCAATGGTGCCCTTCCCGGGCGCGCGACCGGGCTTTGTGCCTCAACATGCCGTCAACGGCGCTATGGTTGCCGGTGCACCCGGCATGCCGGGCTTCGGTGCTGGTGTTCGACCTGGCGCGCCGCCGATGCGGCCGGGAGCAGCACCCTTCCCAGGCGCACCTGGCGCACCCATGGGTCACCCAGCAGCGGCAGCACCAGGAGCGGTCCCCTTCCCGCCCGCCGTCCGACCACAGATGCCGTACGCCTTCCAACAGCCACCAACACCCCGACCTCCACCGGTGCAACGCAACCCCGTGTGGGAGTCGGTCGCTGCCAGCCGCAACCAGATCGTCTTCATCGGCGACACAACCGTCTTCTGCGTCCGCCTGCATACGGACAAGGACTCGAGCAGCGGCACTGTCTCGCCGTCGAGCTCGATCAAGGGCTGATTGGCTCTCGCTTGCCTTCGTCGACTGTGCCGTGCGGGCACCACTTTGTTTTTTCTCACTTGTACATCATGCATGCAAATGTCTATTCTCCCCTTTCGCTGTGTTGGTGAGGTGTTCAGCGTGAGCTAGCATCGCGTTTGCTTGTTAGGACGGATCGCCGGCCTGAAGCTGTTAGACCTTAGCCAGACCGACTTCTATGAATTTCTTTCGTACGTGAGCCGACGCCAAATTTCCACGCTTACAAATGGCAGCCTCTGGCGGTTGTCGGATTCGTTCGGAAAAATGCAGCTGGGGCTGGGGCGGACACTCGGTTCCGTCTGTGAGAGCTGCGAAGAAAGCGCAATCGCGGTTTGGCTATCATCGTTGACAACACCATCTTACACTACACCGACCCACATCCACACGGTAGTAACGACAAGCAACCATGCGCGCTTCTCAGGTCTCCTACTCGGGCATGCCCACGGGCAAGAAATACGTAAGTGTTGGACGAGCAGGGGAAGACATGCAGGATTAGGAAGCTTGGATCAGGAAGGGATCGCAGGGAGATCGTCGATGGTGGACGCATATGGCTCGCTCATTTGCGAGGCGAGGAGGAAGCTGATCTACACGGACGTAAGAGGGTGCAATGTGGATCATCAAATGGCAAGGTTGGGTCGGATCTGCTTGTGTTGACAGGAAGCGGTCAGGCTGGTGCCCTATTAAGAGGATCGCATCTGACGTACGAGCAATGATGACTGACGACTTGATCATCTTCTTTTCTCCTACACCCTCTTCACCGTCAACCTGGCTGTGGATGCAACACTTCCGCTCGACTCAACTCATGCGCCTTTGGACCAACTTCGCCCTCTCGCAACCGGCTTTGCTCGATCTGTTTGCGATGCCTCGCCGACAACTCGCACACACACGCAATGGCTCGACTTGCTCTCACTGCGACCTCGTCTTCATCGCCCGCTGCCGCACGCCAATCGTCACCACTCCGCATTCTCACTCGGCGATTCTTGACACCACGAACAGATGGGCTGGTGGGGCGACATGGGCGGTCCAACCCAACGCGGCATCGTCAGCTACTCGGTCTCGCCCTTCCAGCAGAACGCGATGCGCGGCGCGCTCCACTCGTACCTCTTCTACGGCTTCAAGCGCATCATGCAGCAGGCCCCCTACTTTGCCTTGCCCTTCGGCGTCGGTTACGGCTTGATCGCCTGGGCTAAGGGCAAGAACGCCTACTACAACTCCAAAGCCGGCCACCTCGAACACGGTCACGACGAGTAAAGGCGTCGAGTAAATTGCATTGATCCTCCTTCCCCTTTGTGTGTGCAAGATGTGTGTGCGGGATCAGCTGTTGTGCGGATGTGGTTGGTGTCGAGCTGACGTTGCGGGAGTGGTGCAGTCTGCGCCTGTTTCCCAAGCCGACTGCTGAGGGCTGCGTTGCGGACACGGGGTCTGACAAAGCTTCGGCCTCGCAGTCGCTGGAGACAATATCCGCATGGATGCAAATCCTCGTGTCGCCGCCAGTCTGGGCTGCGTTGTCGCGCTGCAGAGATCCATCGGCTACATCGGTCGGGTTCGGCAGCCATGAACGTGTTGGCGCTATTGACATTGCTGCTATCGACCGCTTCAGCCGTGCCTGCAGATCTTCCACCCGTCGACGCATCGTTCCGCGCCTTGAGCCCTTCACAAAGTCCAGCCACTCCTTATTTTTGTTCTCGTAGATGGCCCCAAAGGATCGCCCAGATGCGTCCAGCGAGTGATCGATAGTCGCTCCTTTCGTATCGCCAAAGAAGTTGAGCCCGTGTGCGGAGTGGAGATGCTCGGGGAAGTCGAAGTTGTTTTCTTCGCTCTCGCAGATGGGGCAAAGGGTGACTGGCTCGCGAAACGGCCCAAAGTGCTGAGTGCAGATATGTTTTTGCTGCCCACCCCCCATTGCGGTGTCGTAATTCTTCCCTCGGCTGAACCACGAGACTGCCCAGCTCGTCAGCGAGCTCGTTGGACTCTTCTCTGATCTCGTCCAACAAGCGACGCAGGTGCTGGGAGAGCTGGGGTCCCTGGCCGTCTTGGACTCGATCGTGCTGAGGGGCGGTTGCAAGGCGGTCTGCTGCGTGCGCCTCGATGATCGCGCCGGTGTCCGAAGGCGCTTCGACATCATCTTCTGCGTTCCACTCCGCATCTTCTTCCTCCATGTGTTCGGCCAGCTCGTCTCGCAGCTCCTGGATCGCCTGAGATGGTCCGGCCCCGACCAGCGCCCTAAGCTCGCCCCGCTCAACGTCCTCGAGAACTAGTCTGTCTAGCTCTGCCGCCAAGATTCTGCGACGAATGTTGAAAAGCCGGTCGAGGGTGGCCTTATTTTCCGCAGCAAGCTGTGTGAGGTTCTGCTCGGTAGCAGAGCCTGACGCCAGAGCAGCTTTGTAGGCGTTGTCAGCATTTTCTGCTCGGTGACAAAGCTCTTGCAGGATGGGCGAGCTCTCGACCGTCTGCGCTACCGCCAGATGGGACGATCTCTGCTTGCTGGGACGCATGAGAGATCCGGCTGGTACACGTCGAACACCATGGGCAACGATGAGAGACCTCGATTCTCTGCCTGTCATTACGAGGCCTTGAATGTCGATCGTCATGTGGCGAGAGAGGTAGACGTGCTGCGCGCTCTCGTTGTGTGGGAGGTGCCCGACTGCCATATTGCGAGAAGCACTGGGCAGGTCGGCACGGTTCAACGAGTTGATTGTGAGTCTCCGAAGCGCGTAGGGCGAGTAATCGAGAAGTCTGGCCGCCCTGGCAGCCTTTCTTGTTGCATCGTACACGCCATTTGTGCTGAGCGGCTTGTCAGGCGACACGGCTCAGACAGATATGCTTCTCAGCGTCGAAAGGCGGGGCTTGGTCGCCGTACTTGAGGGGCAGATGGATCTCTAGAGAAAGAGCCCCATAAATCTCGAGCTTTTTCTTGCTTCAAGAGATAGAAATCTGAGACTTGCTTGCGGTGATCTGTGTCGAGAAGGTCTTAGTACATTCCTTGATCGCGCAGCGCGAGCATAGCTGAGTTTGACTGTATGTGTTGCATAACTCTCTGATTCCGAGCATCGATCTTTTGCTGGGTGACTCGGCTGCCAAGCATGACCATTCGCCTTGTCTCGTCCATGGGTTAAGTGCTGCCAGATGCTTGCGACGTCATTGTGAGAGCTGATGGAGACGAGCAGAGCCAAAGCTGCGAGAGATGGTGAAGAAGATGCTTAAATTGCTTGAAGAAGCGCAGGTCGGTGCAGACGCGGCAAGGGTGGTGCAGATGAGGCTGGATTCGTTTGTAGAAGTACGCGATGGTGCAGACGAGGCGAGATCGCTTCGAGAAGGAAAGTATGGTCGGGCAAATGTGTGAATCGACTGTCCAAGTTGGCCATTCAATTCATGCTGAGGGGCAGGCCTCTATCTACATGTTCGCTTCCTTGTGCTGGAACCATCACAGGCGGTTGAGCCTTGCCGCTCCTACAAACAGTCTTATTGCCGTTCTCGTGCCTTTTCTATTCCATCTGCAGCTCAGCCCATGGATGAAGCAAGACGGGGGAAAGGTTCGCTGCTCTGATGAGAGGAGAAATCGCCTTGAACCTTGATTCTCACACTCAGGACATCCGTTGGCTCAGCCGCCTCAACACTAAGCACGGCCGCGCACTTGAATCACTTCAGACCAAGCGAAGGCGCTGTGATTCAGCAGGATCAGTTTGGAAAGTGATGCGGGCCTGCCGTCGCCAGAGTCGCCTTCGTCGCAGTTTTCCCAGCTTTTCCATCCCATCACATCTTGATTCAAGGTTACACGCTCGCTTCTCGGTGCAGGTCCGATTTGAAGGCTGTGAGGCGAGCTGATCATAAGCAAGGTCGCGAGCTGTCAGTGAGCTGATCGTGGATCAAGTTCAAGCGAGAATCGCCTGACACCTGGATGTCTCGTCACGTCATCCTTCTCACGATTTGAATTACCCGCAAGTAACTTAAAGGCATAGTAGCGTTGGCCGAGAATATCGCAGAGCTCGGCAACGAGCCCGAACAAGCTCAGAACTCAGAGCTCGGAAACGAGCTCTATAGACAAGCTGCGTGTCAAAGACCTCGATAAGCTCATTGTGTAGACTAGGTCAGACTCGGCCTTTGGTGTCATCATGGCAATGCAATTGTTCCTTTCCTCTATGCGTCTACACGTCTCCATGACCGGTCTGAGAGCCTCGCCACTGCACGGCAGGCACCGGCGGAATCTTGCTGGCCGAGCTAGCGGAAGCCCGCCTGTTCTCGTTGACGTGAATGATAACGGATCGACGGCTCTTCTTGCTGCTCTTGGAGTTGTTTCGTGAGACCAACGAGGCGTCCTGTTCGATCATTTTGGAGCCGCTTGCTGACGGTGCAGTCGCAGAGTGGCCTGTCGATGATGTTGGTCCGTGAATTGGGAAGGCGTGCTGGGCAGCTCTGCTACCGGCGTTCGCCGTGGTACTGTTTGACGGGACCGGTGGCACAGCGGACGCATCAATCGATTCGACCTTGGTGACTTGCGAAGCCCTCGTCGTCCTGCCATCGTCCCCATTGCTATTCGTTCCTGCGCCTAGCGACTGCTTAGATCCACCAACGACTTGCGTTCCCAACGACACCTTCTCGTTCTCCGTTGCCGCTTCTGTAGTGTTCTGTGACGTCGCTCCTGCGGCAGCCCCTGTCTTGGGCGGAGCTTCAGTCGCCGTCTTTGCAGACGACCCGAATCCATGTGTGACCCTCGCCCCCGAATCCGGCACCCTGTAGAAACCCTTCTCCTGCTCCGCCGCCGCTCTTTCCCTCTTCCTCTTCTGCCCGTGCCGCGACCTTGGCGGGTGCCAGGGCGAGTTGTTGAACGGCAGCCTTTCCGGCCCAATGATGGGCGGCTCGAGGAACGCGTTCGCGTACAACCAGTTCTCCGGGTACCTCCTGCCCCCGACATTGTTAATGATCATCGCCCAACCAATGACGATGAGCGAGCCAAAGATGACGATTGGCACCAACCACCAGGCGAGGTCGTGCGTTTCTTGATTCGTCACCGCCAGGATTGCTATTGCTGCACCTGGTGGATGCGTAAAGCCGAGGATCTGCATGCCAAACAGCGCTGCTGCCACCGTCGTAGCTGCCACCGCCCAGTCGATCCCATAGACGCCCGTGACGGTGTAGTTCGTACTCTGGAAAGCTTTCGTCATGGCCACGCCGATGATGGCCGAGATGGTGTTGCCGAAGAGGATGTTTTTGGGCTGAGCGAGAGGCGTGCGGAAGGCGTAGAACGAGACGACGGCTTCGGTGGCGAAGGCACCGATGATGAGCGGCGCATTGTGCGCACGGTGGAACGGCGATCGGCTCAGCAAAGATAGCAGAGCGATGATGACCCAAGCTGCAATGACCGAGTGGATCGAGTTGACCACTTTCGCCCCAACCTGGTCGCGATACATGTGAACGAACTCGATTCTGCCCGTGTGAGGATCGCGGTACCGTGCGGTCTCGCCTGTTGAGCCGGACACGGGAAGGCCAAAGGTGAGGATCTGGCCGCAGATATGATGAAACCGACTGAATCCCGGATCATGGCGGGATAATCGTCGATCGGCCGGCGTGTGCGGATGCGACAGCGGTCGGTAGCCGATAAAGTTGGTCAGCGGGTAGAGCGCATCCAGCACCGGGTGCCGCTCTTCCTCGCCGTCGTTGTCGTGATCGTTGTCAGTGTTGCTGGTAGGAGGGCTAGGCGTGTGTCCGTCGAATCGCTCGCCCTTGATCTTCTTGAATGCCCTGGAGGTTTGCCCTTCATCCGAGGGCGAGCTGAGGTGGTTCAAATGCGGACTGTCGCGCTGCGTACTCCCCTCTGTGCTCGGCGAGATGTACTCGTGACCGTGTTGCGACGTCGATCCTGCAGCAACCAGCCTACTTGGCTGGACCTTCTTCTGTGACCCTCGACGAAGGATCGACCCGGTCCTGGTGGATCGCGCATCGCGCATCTCCATCTCCGGCACGTCGTGGGTCGCTGTACTGGCGCTCATTGGCTGTCCCTCTTCGTCCTCGGCGGACGCACGCGATCCGTCTGATGAGATGTTCTCGATGAATCGACCTGCTGGCGGTCTGCTCTGCGACGATTGAGGCGGCTCTATATGTGCGATTTCTGACGAAGGGCCTGGTTCAGACGAGGCCGAATCTCGAGGTATGGCAGGCGAGGCGGGCGTGCTTGGTGTCGGCTCTTCTGGTATTGTCGTCGGTGCATGCGTGGACAGCGCCTCGACCGAGTCTCTAGCTATGGTTGGCTCCGTCATGGTGGACCGACTGGCAACGAGGGCTTAGGGTGTCGAGGAGTTTTGCGGTCGAGCCGGCTCCTCTATCGGAAAGCTGTACCACGTTCGCGCTGCGTGCAGCCTCTATGCTGGCAAAGAGCAATCTACGGACGTGGTGGAAAGGTGTCGGCCCGGGCGAGAGGCTGTCTGACTAGGATGTCGTGGGTGGAGGGTGAGCGAGATGAAGGAGGCCCTCGCGCTTCCATGCTTCGAGCACCTTCGTCGGGCGATCTCAGCGGGACCGCATTCATGGACCCTTCTCATTCGGTCCTGAGCTCACTGGTCAGCGGCGACTATCTCCTCTCTTCAAGCTCCGTATCTGTGGAACTGCGTCGAGCGGGACAAGGGCTGACTTTTTCTTTTGGTGTGTAGCCGAGGCCCATTCAAGCGCACGCGAGCCGGCACCAGAGGACGGCATCTAAACGGCCTCAGCTTCACAATCGTAAGTGGGCTGGGAAGAAGTCTGAGAGTGCAAGAGCTGCTGTGGTACAATTGAAAATTGCAGAGCCGGGTAATGGTCTGCAAGGGCCGGCATCATGCTGCATTGCTTTGCAGCATACGACATCCGGCAGCGGCGTCCAAATGCATCAGGCCAGACAGGACGAACACGACACTACGGCATGGCGCAAGCCATTCGCTGCAGACGCCAACTATGAGATCACGACCACCCCTCCCGTTTGGTAAAGGATGGCTGGCTCAAAGGCTGACGTCGCTTCGTCATTGTGCGGCTCACTTTTTCGATCCCTGTGGATTTCCAACGACGGGGATTTTTCATTTGGATGAGACAGCCTACCGGCAGCGGAAGCTGATAGCCCGTTGATGCAGCATCGGCATCGCTGTTCGAAATCCAATTCGCCGGCTTCGATAGGTGACCCGCAGCTTCAGATCGGCCTCAAGCTTTGTCGCTGTTACGTCTGGTACTTGTAATCATTCACTCTGCAGTGCTCTGCGACATGCCAGCGATGAGTCTGCGAAGCACCCAAGCTAGGTCTCGTCAAGTGCCAGTCTGCGTAACGAGCGAACTCTATCCACAAATGATGATGGCGTGAGTTGAGCGAACATTGCTAACGGGCGGAGGTTGATTACAGCCGCCCCTGAGGGAGTCACTGGTACACGCTGTCCAAGATGCCCTTGACGCCTTGCCAGTACTCGCCTCCCTTCTTGTCCTCGCCCGTCACCTTAGTAGCCACGATCTCTGGCTCCTCAGGACCCAGCCCGCAGCTTTTCAGGGTCGAATGCAGCCCCAAGTCGTCCACAAGCTTCTGCACCGCGTCTCCAACCAGAGTGGCTTTCTCGCGCAGCTCCTTGAGCTGTTCATCCGTCGCATCTCCATTTGCGCCCACCGGCGTGCCCAGTGGCGCAGGACTCGAATTGTACGGAGCAGGGATGAAGGGCAGCGTATCAGCCAGATTCTGCAGATGCAGTAGCGGGGTATCCTTCCAGTTGGCCACAAATCGCACCGTTGCACCAAGCGTGATGCAGCTTGTGATGCCGTGACCGATGCCGTATGTCGCACCGAGCTTGTGTCCCAAACCGTGAGACAGGCCTAGCGCGCCCATCCGCGCTTCGGGCCAGAGCGAGTTGAAGCACGCCAACTGCAACGCCTGCCTCACTTGCACGTCCTTGGGGTCCTTCTTGGAGAGGGGGAGGTAAGTGAAGATCTCCCTCACCGCTGATTGAGCAGAGGGGCGGACAAGCGGGTGCGTGTCGGGACGGTAGAGGTATTCCACCGCATGATCGAGCGCTCGGATTCCCGTTGACAGCCACAGCCGCTCCGGGGTGTCAAGCGTGAGTTCGGCGTCGTAGATGATGGTTCGAGGCACGATGTTTTTCGTCGAAACGCCAATCTTGTGCCCCTCATCGCTCTTGAAGCCTGCATTCTGGGTAGTTTCCGCCACACTGAGCGTCGTAGGCACGGCGATAGTTGGCAAAAACAGATCGGGATGCGTGAGCGGGTTCTTAGCGCTCGCCTCACCGTGCTCCTCTGAATGCCGGTAGTAGGAGATCGCCTTAGCCGCGTCGATGGGTGAGCCACCACCAACGGCAACAATGACGTCCGCGTTGGAACGCTTGATGCGCTCGACGGCTTCGCGGATGCCGGCTACCGGCGCATGCTCGCCGATGTCGAAATAGGTTTCACCACTGTAGTACCCCTTGTCGGACAAGATGGACTGGATGCGCTCGATGACCTTGGTCTTGGTGGCGAGCGACTTGCCGGTCAGGATGAAGGCTTTCTTGTTCTTGAGGTTGAGCGCTTCGATAGCGGCGGGGAGAGAGGAGGCGATGCTGCCAGGGCCAAAGTAGACCGATTGGAGGAGGGTGTTCCGGTACACACCGGCTGCTGACGCTGCTGCCATGGTTGCTGACCCGCTGCGATTGTAGTATACAGCCTTGAAGGAGAGAATAGGGCCAATGCTCGGAGGATACACTTTGAGCTTAGAAGGATGATTGTCAAGTCGAGGGAATCAGGCTTCAGTCAGCCGGTACAAGACGGCCGAAGGGACAAGTGTCTTCCACGCGGGGTTAAGCGCCCGGGTAGAGGTGGCTCATGCGCTTGTCAGCGCTCCACATCGCTTTCCCGGCTGACGTTCCAAGCCGACACAGCCAGAAGCACATCATCGTCATATACATTGCGAGTCTCCGCATTCACCAGCGCCCAATGAAGGAAAAGCTCTCGTTCATCTTGTCGTAGTCTGTGTGAAAGCGGTGCAAAGACAAGTACTGTCGGCGAGTGGGGATCTGGCTGTTCAGCAACTTTCGGTATCCTAACCGTTGTACTAACAAGCGATGCGGCTAGTATTTTGCACAAATTTGCTGTATATATTGCGTTGCAACCCGTTACACATAAAAAAGGGAGCATTCCTGTCCCAGTTAGTACAACGGTCAGTATACGGCTTTTTCATTACATAAGCGTTATCTAAGCTTATAGAAAACAGCTGAGATCGGGGTTCGATTCCCCGGCCGGGAACACTTTTTTTCCTCGTTTTGCTGCTGCTGTCGAGCAACGGACGACCGCCTTTGGCTGGCTCTGCCAAATTGATTTTGCTGGCCGTGCAAAGACGCTACGCGGTGTCACTCATGTGAGATCAAGCCTCGTCGTTGAGCGCTACTCAGCATGCGGGAAACCCTTTTGGCAAGCTCAGCCAAATCGCTTTTGCTGGCTCTGCTTGTGACGCTAAACGTCTGTGAGCTGAGTCGTAATAGCCTTTCGAGCCTCATCAGTGAACGCTGTTCGGCGTGCTGGCGAGATGGTCCTCTCGTGCGCGCTCATCGTCGCCTTCAATTCGTTCCAGTTAGACCACTGGATTCATTGACAATGTCGACTGTGATTCTACGAGAGAGGTAGACATGCTGTGCCGCGTCGTTGTGCGGTAGGTGCCCCACGGCCATGTTGCGAGTGGCGTTGGGCACATCAGGACGATTCAGAGCGTTGATTGTGAGCCTTCGAACGGAGTAAGGCCTGAAGTCCAGAAGACCTGCCGCCCTGGCAGCCTTGACTGTGGCATAGTGGGCAGCGTTGGTATTGAGGGGCTTTTCAGGCGACGCCGTCCAGACAGTCATACCGCTTGAAGATGCGCTGCGCTCGAAGGTGCGGAAGACAAACTTGTCTTTGGCCTCAGAGAGCATCGGGATCGGGAGGAAGTCGTGGTCGAGGAAGTACGAGGCGCCTGTTGTCTGTAATGAGACAAGCCTGCTCGCCGTGCTGCACGCGGTCCTTCTTCCTGCTTGCAGTACTTCCCTTGACGTGGTCCAGGTGGACATCGCAATGAAGACGAATTGCGGCTGGGGACCGCCGGTGCTATCCTCTCTGCCTTCGTCGCCATCCTCTGGCCACAGGCTCAAGAAAAGAATTGAGGTGCCTGTATCGAAGAGCGAACTCTTCGACTGTGTCCATGAGCAAACACAATGTCGCAAGCATCTGGTAGCGGTCATCCGTCTGACGCAGCCAGCGGCATAGTCATCCTCAACAGCGGCGTCACCCAGCAGGAGATCAACGCTCAGAGGGAGTAGGTAGCGACCCATGTCAGGACCCATCCGGTCCTGCTGGCTCTCCGCAATCGAGGGGTGCACAATGACCTCGTCAGCACCAATCACCAGCCGCAGATATCAGACGTCTATCGAGTTAAGCAAGAAAAAGATCGAGCCTTCCTAGAGCTCTTCGTGTCGGAGATCTACCTCCCGGCCAGATACGGCGATCAAGACCCGCCTTTCGATGCTACCCCTTTGCTCGCAAGACCTCCATCAAACGACCTCTCTCAGGATCAGGGGTTTTGGAAGATGTTGGCTGCAGGACTCATCAATCGTCAGCGGCCGGTCGAGGTCACGAGGGAGACCAAGCAGAGCATCTGTACAGCAGGTCAAGAGCTCAGATACTGCACAATGGCGTCTCGACAACTCACGGGCATTCGCATCGACTTTGATGTGCAGAATGAATCACAAGGCTACATAGAGACCAATGCAAACGACCATCACCGGGGAAATGCAGGATCTGAAGAAAGGTATCATTGGTATACAAGTACATGCGAAATAGATAGAGCGAAACATCTTTCATGATACAGTGGTGGCCCTCTCAACGCAGCTTTGCGAAGGGATTGAAAGCATTTGCCTCGCGTCGCTTATCGCTCTGGGCTCTGTGGGAGGTGTTGAGGTCCCAGAAGCGGAGCGTCTCGTCACCGGCGCCGGTGACGATGGTATCGCCGGTTGGGCTCATCGACAGATAGAGCACTCGCATGGTATGGCCTGTCAGGGTGGCCACCTGCTGCATTGAGGGATACTTCCACACCTGGATCTGGTTCTGGATGGTGCCACCCGAGTAGCCGTGCGTGCTAATCAGCTCGTTGGCCGTCTTGCTCCACATGAGGTTGCACACCTGGCTACCGGTGTCGACTTCGTTGAGCATCTGGCCCGTGGAAGCGTTCCAGAAGCGGATCTTCATGTCGACGGTACCTCCGCCGGAGGCTAGGATGCCCTGCTGATGCGGGTTCCAAGCGATGGCCTTGACGGCTGCGGTGTGCTCGGTGAAGCGGTGAAGGGGAGCTTCGTTGAGCGCATCCCAGACGATCAGACGGTTGTCGTTGCCGCCACTCGCCAGCTGATTCGTCTCGGTGTTCCACTTGAGACCGCACACCTCCTGTCGATGTGCTCGCAATGTACGGATGTGCTGGTCTGGTGCGCGGACGTCGCGATGATAGATGACTCGGTCGCGCGAGCCGGAGGTGAGGATCACCTCGTTCCACGCCAACGAGCCGACACGTTGAGTGTGTCCACGCATGGTGCGCAGCAGCTTTTGCTTCTCCACATCCCAGATCTGAACCAAGCCCTTCTGCGTGCCGATGGCGAGATGATTGCCCGAGTTGGCCCAGTTGAGTCCCGTGACCACGTCGTTACCGTTCTCCTTCAGGTCGCACAGCTTGGTCACGGAAGAGTTGTCGGCGGACCACAGATAGACACAGGTGCCGAGCCCCACGCCAAGGACGTTCTTGCTGGACCAGTCGACGAGATTGAGGTAGAAGTCGTTGGCGAGATCGGGAGCGTCGAGGACCTTGTATGGAACCTTGCTGAGGACGCGTGCAGGCTTTCGAGGGCTGAGCAGGAGGCTGCGACTCTCGGGTTTGACGGGCGATAGACTGTAAGCGCGGTGGTTTGGCGAGTCGAGCGTTTCGACTGAATGTGATGCTAGCCCACCAAAGAGACCGCCGGTGCGAGCTCCTGTCCCGCCCAACTCGTCGTCGGCGATTCCGAAATCCACCACTCTGCCCATGCCCGAGCCGCTACGACCAGGTGTGCGACTGTGGGACGGACTGTAGCTGAAAAGGTTCCTCTTGGTGGGTGTCGCTGGGGATGCAAGGCCGGAGTGACTGGAATGACGCGTCGCTGAGGAGCCGCCGCTGGTGTGGATGGAGGAAGACGAGCTGGATGCAAAGTTGGAGAAGCCGTTGGCACGCTGGCCTCGACTTGGTGACGTGCTCAGTCCTGCTTCAGCTCCGAAGAGCTCGGATGATAGCAAAGACGAGAAGGCTTGATTTGCCTCTTCCTTCTGTGCATCTGTGTCGACAGCGATCTTACGCTTGTGCCGATGTGGTGTAGGTGGATCGTCGCCTATGAGCTGATATGCGGTATGTAGATCCGTGCCGTCTCTTTGTGGGATGTATCTGTCGACATAGCTGCTGGCGAGGAGCTTCTTGGATGGTGAGGACGACTTGATGCTGGACGAGGCAGACAACCCTGAACGGGCAGAGTCGCCCCGAGATGTGCCTGCCAGGTTGGTCAAACTTGAAGATCGATGTGAGCTCGACTTTCGTGCGCCATCCCTGGATGAGCCGGGAATGGAGATGGGAGAGGTTGAAAAGCTGGAAGGAGATCCTGCCAGAAGTCGATCGGTAGCAGAGCCGATCAGAGCGTCTGTTGTTCTGCTTTCTCGTTTCGAGGAATTCGGGGTAGAGCCACCGGAGCTCTGGCTGCGTAGCCGTCGCCCGAACTCGGTGTTGTACATGACGGGCCGTGGCCTGGTACGACCTGGGTCGTCTCTGTTGAACCTTTATCGTACTTTGATGGACGCTGGACGCTTCTCTAATCGGGTTGTCCACTCTTGTTTAGGTAGGCCGCACACGGCCCTCGAAGGTCCTGATGCTAGTCCCGGACAGATACTATGAATGTTCTGGGGCGGTGCATGCGGGATTCATCCAGCAGCTAGCGGCGATAATACGGAGACGATACTGGGGGATGGTGCTGGTGCTGTATGGCTGTGTGGGATGCTGATGCTCGCTCTGGTCAGCGATACGATCAAGTGGAGGAGAGTCGCACGACTCGCACGTTTGCGATTGAGCAAGGCCAAGCGAAGACCGAGGCGAGATGGCTGCTACGACGCTGGATGCAGATGGACGTCGCTGGGACGGTCGGGTATATAGATGAGAACGGAAGATGATAGGTGGATGAAGATGGCGATGGAGGTGATTTGGCGATGAGAATTTGGGTATGCGGTTGCTGGTTAGTGGAGCTGCTGCTGGTCATTTGTCCGGGAGACGGTGCCCTGAATCAGCCATCGGGGCCTCGATGAGAGCTGAGCTCCCTGATCCCATGGATGGATCGCTTAGGGAGGCGAGCCAGGGCGGATGGATAGATGGACCAAGCTGCCTGCTGAAGCCCTCGCTGCGTCCGTCTGGGCATCAGGCTGTGGACGCGCGCGACTCGCCTTGTTTTGGTCGACAAAATTCAAATGAAATCGAGCCAATTTCTCATAAATTGCAAACAAATCCAAGGCTCGCCCTAACATCTTTGATCCGTCGAACAAACACAGCCGCTCGGAGTGGTCCTTCTGATGGGCTAGAGACGCACGTTTGGCCTCGGTCTGGCTTGCCTGGTTTGCTGTCTTCGAGAATAGTCTTGCTCGGGGCTGATTTGCTGGCTTGAGTCAGGCTTTGCATTGAATCATTCAGTCCATGAGCGGGCTGTCCATTTTCGTGACCTCAATTTTGGTTGTGCTTTTTCGCGCGCCTGTTCCCTTTCTGCTCACATCTTGAGCTCGACAGGCATCGATTCAGTCTACCCCGAGCCCGGCATATGCCACGACCAGCCAGGAGTCTTCCCACTTGTTGATCACTTGCACGGTTTCTCGCTGAACACTCGCTGCTTGCACCAGCGGTACATAGAGTTCAGGTGATATACTGCGGTAGTGACAGCAAACAGATCAACCCCAAGTGCGCAGCGGCGAGGCACTTGAGCAGAGGCGAGGCAAAGGACCCGCGAAAGCTTTGTTTCTGAATTTCGCAGATGCAAACAGCACAGAAGCACGGAAGCGGGCTCAGCCAGCGAGAGCTTCATGCGTGCCTGGTGGAATTTCCCTGGAAATTCTGCCCACGGCGGCTCGCGAGGAGAGAAAAACCCTGCAGGAGGGCGCCAGAAATCAGATTTGGAGCAGAATGCCTTCACGTCAAGATCAGCCGATTTCATAGACTGGCCCTGCGCTCGCCGCTGGTCGCATCCATCCCTAGACGGCCATCACTTGGTTGTCGTACCATTGAGTGTTTCACAACTGTCCATATGACTGCATCTGTATCAAGTAGCAAGCTCCTGTCGTGGTTAGTGTCGCACATGCCTGCGAGTTCAAGTCGCGGAGCGTGAAGGAGGCCACTGGGGACTACACAGCACACGAACAGAGCACTGTCGCTACAGGTTGCTTTACGAGCTTGTCCTGGACGAGCCTGGAATGCGATTGTCAAAGGTGAGCCGCATCCAGTCTGAAGTCGAAAGCAAACCGAACGCACTTCAGCCGCTATCGGCCGAGGTGTCATGGTCGAGATTGGGTCCTGGCTCTATGATATGCTCGAAACGGTTGGCTTCGATTTGTTAGACCTTCTTATCACTCCGCAGGCACGCCGACGGGCGCGGCCTTTTCTGATCTGTCACGGAGTTTCTCGCTGTTTGCCAGTCAGTCAGCCAGCCGGCCAGCGCCTTGGCCCAGAAGCCCGCCCGCTTTCTGGAATTTCCGGTTGAATTTTATTTTTGAAATGGAGACTGCTCAGACGCCTGAAAGCCAATTTTATTGACTCGGCAGGGGCGGACGCGCTTGGCTGTCAGCTGGCCGGCGTGGCTTCTCGCTCACCTCGCATAGAAAGGTGAGTTTCAATGACTGCCGCCGATCTTTGGCTGGTCTGGCGGCGTGGCGCACCTTTTTTTGCGGAGCGATGACATGGATGGATGGGGGTCCCTGCATCTCGATCGACATACACTGCTCCAGTGCCCTCCCTCGCTACTGTCCGGATATTCCTATCTCATCCGTCTCCGCCAACACCTCACGCTCCTCCATCTTTGCTCCGTCCTTGCTGATGTGCGGACTTACCTTACTTACACTAAGGTTGCATCACAATCTATGCTCCATCGTCGCAAGTAGGAGCATGGAGATGGTGATGTAGGAGCCCCATGACGGGCATTTGATGTGGCGAAGTTCTGAGGACGATACTTTAGATTGAGATACGCGTTGACGTGCGAATGATCATTCTAGCTGCTCACTGCCAGCCGACCTCAAAGCGTCTTACAAGTGCCCTCACAGTGCAGAAGGCCAGTCCTTAGACTGACTATATGGCATCCAGTGGCGAGCGCTGCGCTTCCTGCTGTTGCTTTCGGCCGGCAACCGCCATGTCATTGTGCTAAATCGAAGGCGGTCTCGATGCCCGCTCTTTGATAGCGCCCCTCCATCAAACAACTCCTTTCAGTCTCTGCAGTCTCTGACCACCTGTACTGAACGATCCAGAAGAGACCCTCGCACCATGAATGGCAGCGAGGCTATCGAGACGGTCGACGAGGAGAGCCTCTACTATCGAGCATCACCCACCGAAACCGAATTCGAACAAGCCAGCTGGCGCGACATTAGAGGGTCTTTTTCCTCTTGACAAAGAGACTTCGCTTTGGTTTCCACGCCAACGATCCATGCGCCCGCCTCGCTCGGCCAATCTGCTCGCCTTACAACCTCAAATCGGACCCACGCCCCGCCTCACACGCTTGGCCAAAGTCGAATCTAGCCCATTTTCCTCTCCCTCGCCTCTTTCCGAAATCGGTCATGATGCTCAATCACGCCCTCAGCCTCGAGTCTCACCCGCCATCGCATCATCCGACCACACAAGCGCACACACGCTCACGCATCAACCCAAATCAACAACACACTCAACATCGATCCCGACCGTCCCCCCCTTTCTCCTTGCCTCGTCGATTCAACTTTGGAATCGCCATCGCATGACAATAAACCACCCTTTTCGCACCTCATCCGCTGCCCCGTTCGCCTCTTGACACGCCGCGCCACCTCTCCTTTTCCCTCTTGTCTTGCTGCGCATTCTCCGCTTCGGTTTCACCCCTCACAGAACCCTGCTTCCACCGTCTTTGACCTCGAAATCACGTATAAAGACACCCCCTCCCTCAATTCCTCCCGCGATCCCCCTTTTCTCTTCCCAACCATCACCTCAAGTCAAACTGAACGTATGTATCCGCCATTCATCGCATCTTCTCATCCTGCGATTGGCTTGTTCAGCGCAATCCAGAGAGACCAGCTCTCTCTTGCTAGACTCAGCTTCTGACTCGTATTCGTCTCTCTTTCTCTCTCTCCTTATGCCTTCTCCTTGACTATGTCTTGATATGCTGTTGATATGGTGCTTCGATGGTCCTTGTTTTGATCTTGGGCTCTGCTGCTGCGCTTTTCGTCGCTGACTCGCCCTCGCCCTCCGACCTGACACCGCCTCTCGCCCTCTCCGCCCTGCCTCGCCTCGGCCCGCGTTCTATTTTCTAATCTCGCCCGCCCGCCCTTTCTCGACCATTTTCCTCGAATTTCCCGTACTCCTCTCGTGCCCGCTTGCCTGCCTTCCCTTCCTCTGCTCATGTGCCCCGCCACCGTTCGCGACCCCTCCTCGTATCGTCATCATCATCTGCCCTTGGTGTCACTGGCTTTTCCCTATTTTCGGATCCGACCTTGACCCTGACCCGCCATTTTGGTGATCCATCCGCTGCTGCTGCGCATTGTTCATTCCGCACTCCGCACTTGACCCCTCCTCCTCATCACCACCATCTGGGATCGCCATCACCGTCGACACCATCACCAATCGTCGTTGACACCGTCTCCTCACATCGTCATCACCATCATCATCGACACCGTCATCACCACTTCACCCGCACCACTGCTCGTCGTCACCACCATCAACTCGTCTCCACAGCAAGATGGCTCGTACCAAGCAGACAGCCCGAAAGTCCACGGGTGGCAAGGCCCCCCGTAAGCAGCTCGCCACCAAGGCAGCTCGCAAGTCCGCCCCCGCTGCCGGTGGTGTCAAGAAGCCTCACCGATACAAGCCCGGTACCGTTGCTCTTCGTGAGATTCGTCGCTACCAGAAGTCGACCGAGCTCCTCATCCGAAAGCTCCCCTTCCAGCGTCTCGTCCGTGAGATCGCCCAGGACTTCAAGACCGACCTGCGATTCCAGTCGTCCGCCATCGGCGCTCTCCAGGAGGCCGCCGAGGCTTACCTCGTCTCGCTCTTCGAGGACACCAACCTGGCTGCCATCCACGCCAAGCGTGTCACCATCCAGCCCAAGGACATCGCCCTTGCCCGCCGTCTCCGCGGCGAGCGATCCTAATTGCACCATCGCTTTGCGCTAGCGTCTGACTGACGGTCCGCAGATGTCCTCTGCTCCGTCGTTCCGCTCTTTCGTAAAGATGTACCATTAGTCGATCGTCGTTGTCTCTTGTCCGTTGTCAGTTCTCCATGTCTCGCAATGTCCCTCTATTTCGCATCGCTCGTTCGCTCGATCTCGTCGCTCCCTTGATTGCCATTGGTGCGTTGAGATTTTGACGCTTGAGCGCCTTGTATACCTCTCATACTCCTGGTCTTGCTCCGGCAATCTGATAGTATTTGTCTCTTTCCTCCTCATCGTTTGACTGCGTGTGTTTTCAAGTCTTAGGTGTTGGTCTCATTGAGTGGGCGGGCTGAGTCGTGGCGAAGCTCAGTCAGGGTCAGGCGGGACTACGGTCTGCTGTGGAGTTTCTGAAAAAGCGAAAAAGTCGAGTTGCGTCACACTGTAAAAATAGCCCAAGCGCACGCACACACGCGACACAAGTTGTCATGGGTCAAAGCGTTTCTTCCATTCAACACCAGCCTTCCTCCATCGTCCCTTTCCACCATACAAGACCTGCACCGGACTGGCTCAGCACGATGGGCGTCTTCAATGCGCTGGTCAGCGGCTCCTTCCTGCCGTGGAAGCGCACCAACCGCGAGACCGACTATGAGACCGTGCTCTCTCGGCTCGAAACCGAGATCCAGGACGTTCAGTCTCGACTGACGCAGATCCGTCTTCGCGAACGACGTGCATCGGTGACCCTCACATTGCAAGCATTTCTGCTCTGGGCGATCTACACCTTCGTATGCTGGTTCTTTGGTCTGCTGACCTTGCGGCGAACGCGACCTCTGGATCCCGACTCGGGATGGAAGAACGCGAGGATGTACGGTGTGTGGGTGCCCGTGGTGGGCAGTCCCGTGCTGATCATCTCAACACGGCGAATCGTGAGATGGTGGTACAGACGCATCGGTGCGGCGGAGGACAAGCATTTGATCGATCTCAAGAGGCAGAAGCGCGAAAAGATCGACGAGCTCAAACGTGCTACCAAGTACGATCACCTCAAGATGCTGCTTGAAAAGTACGACGAGGCTGGACCGAAAGGTGCTTCTGCCAACGCACCCTCGACCCCGACCAAAGGAAAGCCTGGATCTAAATCTGCCTCGCCCTCGTCCAAGAATGCGACTCAATCGCCTGCATCGGCTGGAAGCGCCGCTAGCACACCTCAACGCGGCGGAGCCCCCGGACCCGCTCTCACCACACCAGAAGCGCAAGCACTGCAAGCGCAACGAATGGCTCTCATGCGCCAACAGGGCGGTGTGATCCAACCGCCACGATCCGCCGCTCCCGCTGCGCCGCTGCCAAAGACGTGGATGGACAAGGTGGCGGATGCCATCCTTGGCTCGGACCCCTCAGCACTCGGCCCCGAGCAGAAGTACGCCCTGATCTGCGCCCGCTGTCACGCGCATAACGGCCTCGCGCTGAAAGACGAGTTCAACGAGGTGCAGTACGCCTGTCCGCACTGTGGCCACTTCAACTCGCGACGACCCAGCTCGGCCCCCGTTTCGTCTCCTTTCAACAGCAGCGCGGGTGCGCGAACGAGGGTCCCGGACCAGAGTGTCGATACGACACCTTCAAAGCCAAGCAAGACGGAGAGGGGAAGCAAGCTGAAGTTGCGTGCTGACGAGAGCGACGACGACGAGGATAAGCCGCCGGTCGCGACGCTGCAGGAGATGCAGGAGAAGGAGCCCGTCTCGATCGATAGCAAGACGGATGGCGCCAGCGAGGATAGGAGGAAGTCGTTGCGCTCGCGAAAGTCGAATAAGGGCGCGGAGGATGGGATGGATGTCGATGACGAGTGATGCAGCCGCTCGTGAAGCGGTACTTCAATGCAACAGGAGTGCAGCAGGAATGGCATCGCCTTTCACAGAGATGCGACAGCTGCGAACGTGTCTGAAGGAGCAAGGAGTCGCTAACAGAGGAGCATATGAGTCAGGCAAATGTGCTGGTCTGAGTGGATATGAATGCTGAACAAGTGAGAAAGAGTGTAAAGTACAGATACGTGCAAGGAGGTCGGGGCGAATGTGTGACTGGGCAAACCGCTCTAACGGCGTCCGCGGCGCATCAGTCCCGCAACAGCGATACTGGCCACGGCAGCCGCACCTCCGATCAACGCCATCCCAATATACCCCTCCCTGGCAACACCCTTCTCGATGAGCTGATTCAAGCTCTGCGCCTGCAGATTGTTCGGTTCCCTCTCGATCAACAGCGCATTGAACCGCCTGGCCTCGTCGTAGTTGCCCATCTTGTAGTGACCCAGCGAGAGGTAGTAGAGGCACTCGCGCCGTCTTGGTGGATCCGAGCGGTAGATCTCGGTCAAAAGCCCAACGCCGATGGACATGTCCGCCCGCTGCTTACTCTTGACCAGCCCCCATGCGTAGTTGAATTTGGTTTGCGTTGTGACGTGGCCTGCGGAGAGTTCGGTTTCATATTGTGATTTGAGCACTTGGAGCTCGGAGGGGGAGAGCGACGTCTCTGCGTCTGCTGCGTAGGGGAGCGACATTGTGTGCGAGGGGTGGAGGCGAGGAGGGCACGCCTATGGGTGCTTTGCTGTCTCGACTGGCTTGATGAAGCGCTCGACGGCTCTGTTGAGATCCAGAGACTATTTGGATGGGTGGATAGGTACGAATGCCTTGTCAGAGATGCAGAATGATGATATGGATGCCCAGGATCAAACGAGAGGACCTAGAAGGAGGATGGTGGCGGCGAGATTGGATACGAGAAAGCGCCAAAGTGGAGCTTCGGCACAGCTTTCAGCCCGCGAAGCTGAGCCAAAAAAATGTCGCCGATTGTTAGAGTGAACTTGAGCCCTTGACAGCGAAGGAACCGTGCGCATCTGGCAGAACTCCACGCGGCACAGCCTGTGTCAACCCAAAGGCGGATGGGATGGCTCAGCACACTTCCAAAGCCAGCAAGTGGAGCGACAACTCCATCGAATCGTCTGCTCATCCACAACCATTCTCTTCTCATCGTGCTCGCCGGTCCAACTTCGCCATTATGGACACTGAGGAGGACACCTTCACCTCGGTCACCTGGGAGAACCGCGACACCTCCTCCGGCTCCCAACCCACCTTTTCGTCCACGCCCTCGTTCTCCAACAACAATGCCATCGCAGGACCATCGCACCTGGGCACCTCTTTGTCGGCCGGCGGTCTCGCTCGCGATCTGCACGCCTCGGACGACCCAACACAACTCTCGTGGGCGGGCTATCTGATGGTCCAGGTCACAGAACCACGCAAGGAGCAAGAAGGCCAAAAAGATGCTTTCATCAGCTACGGCATTCGAGCCGAGACCAACCTTCCGCACTTCTCTCGCACCTACATGGCCACTCGTCGACGCTTCAAGGACTTCACCTTCCTGCGCGAGGGTCTCAAACGGGACTTCCCGGCGTGCGTCGTTGCGCCGTTACCCGACAAACACCGGCTCGAATACCTCACTGGCGATCGTTTCAGCCAAGATTTCATCGATCGACGCACCCAAGATCTTCAGCTCTTCCTCGAACGCATCTGTCGTCATCCCACGCTGCAACGGAGTCAGCTGCTGCGCAATTTTCTCGAGAGCACCGAGTGGCAGGTCGACATGCACGCGCACAACTCATCGCACAGCGGCACCACCGCTGCGGGCGCCTCGACGCTCATCTCCGGTTCGCAGGTGGAAAACGCCGGTCCCCCCAGCTTACTCGATAGCCTCAGCGACCACTTTCTCAACGCCTTTTCCAAAGTCCGGAAACCCGACGAACGCTTCGAGGAGATCAAGGAGAGCATCGACAAGCTCGAAGAGGGTCTCGCGGGAACCGAACGCGTTCTCTCCCGCAATCGCAATCGCATCGCTGGTAAGCATCTTCTTCCCCCACCCCTTCTCCTCCATCTTCCTTTTCCCCTTCCTGTGTTTTGGCATCTCTCGACCTCGTGCCCTCTCTCTCTCTCTCTCTCTTCGCTCTTGTCTGTGGAACACCGCAATCTGACAACATTGATTGATGCGGGCGCACGCTGACCTGGCTCCTAGCTCTGCCGTTTGGCGACGTCTATGCCCCCCAACTCGGAACGGGTCTCGAAGACCTCTCGACGGATTACGAGGACTTTGCGACGAGCGTCGAAGGTCTAGGTTATCTCGAGAGTGGCATTACCGAGCCGTTGAACAAGTTTGCCTCGGCCATGCTCGAGCTTGCCCGGCTCGAGAGGGTTACTGTAAGTCACACCTCCTCCTTGTTGTTTACCTCCTGTCGGTCAGAGAACTGATCTCGTCTTTCTTGACCCTATCTGTGGCACGACGCACAGTCGGCGAAATCGACAGACGCCATGCTGTCCCAGATGCAAGCGCTACTCTCGTACGCGCGGTCGCACAAATCGGTGCTCAAGCTCCGCGATACCAAGCAGGTAGACTTCGAGGAGCTAACGGACTACCTCTCGGGTGTTGTCTCCGAACGCGATCGACTCGCCTCGCTCTCCAGTCCCTACGGCGCAGGTCACGGCCACGGCGGTGTCCGCGGCGCCGGTCTCTCGGGCTATCTCAAGGACAAGGTCGACCATCTGCGCGGGGTTGACGAGGAACGCACCCGTGTCGGCCGCATGCAGCGACTAGATGGCAAGATCAAGGAGCTCCAAGACGCCGTCACTAGCGCACACGACACCTCGCAAGCATTCAACACAGAGGTCATGACCGAACATCGCATCTTCCACCTCGCCAAGGAGCAGGAGATGAAGGACATCCTGGCGACACATGCCGAGGGCCAGATCGAGTTGTACGAGGGGCTGGTGGGCATGTTCGACCAGCTCATTCCGCAGTTGGAGCGCATTCGAGTCGCATGAAGGAATGGAAGCGACTTGCCTTTCATGAAAACGATGTGTGAGGATTTCGTGACATTGACGAACTTGCGACATTGTGTGGGGTGGTGTATGACTTTGGGTGGGGTAGTGTGTGAGGAGGGACGTCTACCTGCGATGGGCGTCCATCCAGTCGTGCCACTGCCCTACCTGTTCCCAACGCGGCCTGATCTCCTCGGGGAACCGACAGTGGGACGAATGCTCATCGCACCGAACCGCGTCCCTTTTGTTGACCACCAGCACGCCGACGCGTCGGAGCTCGACGATGTCACCCGGGTGCAGCTTGTGCTGGAAGAGCGAGCTGCCGCGGTAGGCGCGGAGGGTGGTGGTTTCGCCGTCACCAACATCGACGTGGATCACGCGGTACTGCGTGGCGGATGCGGCAGAAGAGGTGCTCGTCTTGAGGATTTTCACCACCATGTTGGTGCGCTGTGCATTGCCGATTGTGAGAGCATTGTGTATTTTGACGAAGGACTGCTGGTGGAACTGTGTCGGAGTGATGTAGTCGGCAGAGTAGCAGAGGGTTGTACCTAGTCGAGCGCCGAATTTTGGGTCGATGTGCATTTCAGTCGGGGTGGAGGTAGCGGGAGGTGTGGGAGACGGGGAGCGAACCAGCAGAGACGAGGAGGATGCGGCTGTGAGGGTGAGTCGACGTTTCTGACGAGGTCGCTCATCGTCATCCCGCGGCTGTTCGACCTTGGATAGCATCGCTCGAACTTCCCCCGCTGATGGTGCAGACCCACCCTCCGATGGCGAATCGCGCCTCTGGTCGTGATCAAACAACCCATCTAGCGCACGAAGGATGCTGGTCGCCGCAGCCATCTTGGTCGCCTTCGAAGGGCGACTGGCGGCAGGCGCAGGCGGCCAACCATTGCACGTCGTGAGAAAGTCTCGCATCTTGGGTCCAGGTGGATCGTAGCGCGCATCGTCCTGAAGCACGGCTAGCGAGCGGACGAGGTCGAGGATCGTGCAAGCCAGCTCAGGGGTCGTAGCAAGTCGAGCCAGCTTGATGGCGTCGTTGCTGTCGATGGCGTCGACAAGGGCTTCCTGCTCCGAGCGCGTAAGGACCGGCATAGCTGACAGGGAGAAGGGGGGTTGTCAGTGACACAGTTGGCAGGGAGGGCGTGCGGATGCGGGTGAAGAGGGCCGACTCACCCGCACAAGCTGACGCTTCAGTGGCGACGGAAGACGGCGAGGATGGTGACTTTCGATGCGACTGCTGCGACAAATGCGATTCAGGCAGACGTTGTCGAGGCATATACTGTATCACGGAGGATGTGATCCGACGGTGATGTAGAAGCCCGCCTGCTTGTGATGATGCAGAAGCGGCTAAAGAAGGCGGACGAACGAAGAGGGTGTGATTAGATGGGTCGCGGAGGGGGAGAAGGCAGGTGAGAAGCAGGGGTGGGAGGAGAGTGAGGGCGTTGCTGGTGGCAGAAGGAAAGGAGTCGGGGCTCGAGAAGGGGGCGGTGATATACCTTCGATCCGCATCCTGCTTTCCGCTGCACACCCTACAGCAAGGAGCGTCGAGGCGGGGAAGTGCGGAACAAAGAACCCGCACAAAGAGCGACGCCACAGCCGGAAGTGTCAGCAAGCTGATCAAGGAGTGAATCACTGTCGTCACGCGAGAGATAAACTCAAGCTCAGCGCAGACATGGGTTTGGCGACGTTTTGACGACAGACACTGTGCAGAATTCTAACCTTGCTGTCGATACTTCCTGCAATCTGCACATCTTTTGCGCAGCTTTTGCTCAATGACCTGCCCTTTCGATTTGAGTCTCGCTGCAGACAGCGCAGCCGTGCCTTCGACTCAATGTCATATAAGAATCGTCTGTACGGCACTTTGTGGCACTTGTTGACAATTGATCTGTACCATTAATGCAGCGATTGCATCGATTGCAGCGATCCTGTCTGCCTCGTTCCCATGGACGTTCTCACCAACACGGAAAAGGCGGCTCTGGCTCGCGCCATCGACAATGGCGATGTCACGGCGCTCAACCTCCTCGTATCGCTGCCGCACCGAGCTGAGGCGGTCAGAAGCCTTGTGAGTGCGCTCGAAGTGTACAACATCGGTGCACGAGCCACGGGCAACCCTGGCCACACGATGCGGAGCTATCTCGTTGCTTCTGGTTGGGATGGGGTAGCCGAGACGCCCCCCCTTTTCAATGCAGCTCCGTCTTCTCCTACGATGCAGCCACCCACAACACCAACGAGGACGCCATCGACCACACGTGTCCGCACAGCAACGCGTTCTGACCGGTCGACAAGATCTGCGTCTCCGCCACTGCGGCGCTCCGGCCGCCGCACTTCAGCCCGTCTCCGTCTACCATCAGCCACGCCTGACCCACCCACGGCGCTCAGCATTGACGTCGACCGGGGCGCTCGGTTGGGCACCACCAACCTCTACAGCATCGACTTCATCACGCCGGCTCGTCTCGGGCTTTATCTGCGCTCAACGCAGTGCGATGCACGTCAACCTCGTGGTGCGCATCCTCCGAAACAACGCCGCGCGCGGTAACCCTTTCCCGAGCTACCGCATCGTGCACGTCGACACGGGCGATGGCAAGGAGACGCCGCTAAGGGTGGTGCAGGATAGCGACCTGTTTTGGGACGGAGGTCCCCGCGGCAGGTTTCGACCCGGCCATCTGGTCATCCTCCGCAACGTCGCGGCTGTTCCTATCCACACCAGAGCTGGTTTGCTGTACGAAAGAGAGAGTAGCGCCGAGCGGTTCGAGCAGGACGAGCCGAGCTGGGACCAGCTGCTCCAGTGGCATCGCTGGATCGACGCCCACGCAGAACGTCAAACCCCTTGATCATCTCACACATTGCAAGTCAGCTTGTACAGCATAGGTTTGAAAAACAGATTCTCGATTCTTCAATGAACGTAGCGCAGGGGAAAAGTCTATATACAGATGTGTAATCTCGCTCAGAACATGCCAGTGGGCTGCATGTACATGCCGCCATTGAGATTATTAGGATACCCGCCGGCCATGCCGCCCAACCCCGTGACACCGGCGGTGATGAGCTTGGGGGCGCCGATTCCGCCGGGCCCGATGATCGGTGCGTCCTCCTCGAGCCTCTCCTTGTCGCTGTCCTTCTTTGCGCGCTCGCGCACCTCCTTTTCGAGCTTCTTGAGCTTCTCGCTCTGGTCGCGCATGCTCTGGAGCTGGTACGGCATGGTAAAGTCGCCCAAGCCGTGACGCCACGAGAGCTCGAGCACCACATCCGGTCGCACCAGGTCGTAGCACGCAAACAGCGTCGCGGCGTAGCACTCCTTGTTGCCGATCTCGACAAAGTACTCGAGCAACTCCTCGGCGACGCTCTCCTCGCCCGAGATGGCCGCCGTCTCAATGGCGTCCTTGAACAGCTTGTCCGCCTTGGACAGCGCGATCGACTCGTCCCAGCGCTCCTTCTTCTTGTACAGGTGCGCCGCGAGACGGCGGAACTCGAGCAGATCGTGCTTCTGCAGCCGAGACGCCAGCGAGATCGTGTCAAAGTTGTCAAAGCCGTCGATGGATGAGCGCAGCGTCTCGTAGTCCTCCTCCTCGATCAAAAGGTCGTTGTACGCGTCGTTGACCGCTTCGAGGTTGTGGTGCTGCACCGACATGAGGTAGCTGCGGATGAGCGGCACGTTGTCGTTGTCCTTCTTCTTGAACATGCGCACGACGCGGCCGTGGTCGATGCGCTTGGCGAGCACGGTCAACAGGTCGGTGAGCAGCAACGGGTGCTGCTCGAGGTAGAACGTCAACGCACGGTAGTAGATCTCGACGTTGGCAACCTTGGGCAGAACCGACTTGAACTGGTCGTGGTCCCATGCATCGGCGGCGTGCTCCATGGTGGCGAGCGCAGCATTGTCCATCTCGTCGTACTTGGTGTACAGGTAGACCAGCTCCGACCACAGGTGGCACTGCTCGGTGACCTTGATGAGCTGGGGCAGGTTGGAGCGCGACCAGTACAGCTTGAGGTGCTCCATGAGACGCTCGGGGCGGTACTTGGCGAGCGCGACACCGGTCTGGGTAAAGACACCCATGTGCGCGCGCTCGAGACCGAGAGCCTGCTCGAGAAGGTGGAGCAACTCGTCAAAGAAGCCCTCGGCCTCGTACGACCGGAACAGGGCAGGCAGCTCCTCGGCGTGCGGGATGATGGCGAGACCGGCGATCTGAGCCAGCTTGAACTCGCGCTTGCTGAGACACGCGGCGTGGACCTGCTTCCACACAGACGTGTTCCCGGCCTTGCGAGCCGCCTCGACGGCACCCTGGTAGTCGCTGAGGTAGACGAGGGTGGTGGCGAGACGGGCGTAGTTCGAGACGCTAGTGAACAAAAGCTTGGCAGCCTCGTACAGCTCGTCGTTGAAGCACTTCTCACCAACAACCAGGATATCGGCAACGTTGGTCATGCCGAGGAACTCCTCCATGTCGCCGAGACGGTGGGCCTTGGCGAGGCAGTAGGCGTACTCGGTGTCGATCTTGGGCTCACGGGCCTTCTTGCGAGCCATCTGCAAGTAGCGGATGAGCTCCTCCTCGCGGCCAGCGTGCTCGGCAATCTCGATGACCTCCTCGTAGTTGGACGGGTCCTCGGCCTTGACGTACGAGTCGATGGCGTCCTTGACACGCAGACCGTCGAGCTGGGCCTTACCGAGACGCGACCAGATGGCGGGCTGGTTGAGCTTGGCGGCGTACTGCTGGCCGCGGTCGATCGAGACGACGTGCTCGACGAGGACGTTCATGGCATCCTCGTGCTGCTCGGCCTTGGAGAAGATGCGGAAGGCTTCCTCGTAGAGACCGTGGTCGATGGCGATCTTGGCAATCTCCTCGACGTCGTAGCCGTCGAGACGGTCGATGTAGTTCATCACCTTGCCCTTGTCGGTGCGGACGGCGGTGAGCATGAGCAGGTTCTTGAGACTGCGGTTGTCGCTGAACGCCGACTCCTCGAGGATGATCTTCTCGAGCAGCTCGATGAGCTCATGCGGCAGATCGGCAGCCATGAACGCCTTGACCGTGGCCGAGACGTCGTCCGGGTTGGTCGACTCGGGGACGGCGGTCGAGGTGACCTGCTCCACAAGCTGGCGGCGGTGAACGTTGTCCGAGGTGAGGACCTGCGCCCAGAGGTCGAGCTGACGGCGCTTGACGAGGTAACGAGCCTGGTGCTTGAACATCGAGTTGTCGTTGGTGATGGAGATGAGCTCCTCGTCGCAGAAGCCCTTGGCGTACGCGATGTAGGCGAGGTAGGGGTCGCGCTTCTCGCAGTACTTGCCGACAACGCGAGGGTCGTAGAGGTTGTTCTCCTTGAGGAAGGCCTCGGGGTTGTTGTTGCTGTCGATGGCGATCTTGGCCATGGCGTTGTAGAGGGGCTGGTCCTGAGAGCCGGCCTCGATCTTGGACTGCAGCCATGGCATGATCAGCTTGAGGCGGTTGCGCTTCTCCACCTCCTCGACGAGCTCGTCGACGGGAATGGGGCCCGTGACGGAAGCGAGCAGGTTCTTGATGACACCTTCATCGCAGTCGACATCCAGCAAACCACCGATGACCTGGGGCGTGCGCGACGAGTTGACGCGCTGCACGTAGACCTCGATAAAGTTAATGAGCATGTTCTGGTAGAGGTAGAGCACCAGGTCGTGGACGAAGTCGAATCGGTCGCAGACAATGATGAGCGGCAGCTGGTCCGAAAGCTTGGCCTCCTTGAGGAAGTTCTTGACCTTCTCGGGGTTGTACGAGTTGGACTCGCGGCAGATGCGCTCGACCTCTCGGATCTGACCGGTGCGGGTGGCCGCCTGGATGTACTTGAAGTGCACCTCGGGGTCGGTCGAAAGGTTGACGACGGAGCCAAGGTAGTAGTAGAGACCCTCGAACGACTTGAACGACTCGAACATCTCGATGATCTTGACGGGGCCAAGGAGATCCGAGTACTTAGTGGCGATCTGCACAACCACCTGCAAGTTCTGTCGGATGTTGACCTTGAGCATCTCGCGGAGGCACTCGAGCGACTGCTCGACGGTGAGCTTGCCAAAGTAGTTGACGAGCCACTCTGGTTGGAGGAGGTTGGTGTGAACGACGACGCGCTTGATGTCGGCGTTGTCCTCGTAGTGCTCGAGCGCACGCTGCAGCAGACCGGCCTTCTCGCAAAGGTTGGCGATGCGAGGGCGGTCGTAATGCGTGAACATCTCGTTGCCGAGGATGGCATCTGCGACCTGAGGAGCGTTGACGAGGTTCATCTCGAGGAGACGCGTCTGAAGGTGCGCCTGCTCGGGCTTGTTGTCCTTAAGTGCGTCGAGGAGGAAGCTGGTCGCCTGCTGGATCATGTTCTGGGACATGAAGATGTCGGTGACCCGCTCAATATCGACCAGAGGACCGGACTCGTCGCCGACCAGGCTGCTAGCGAATTCGGCACCCTTTTCTGGGTTGGTGCGGACGATGTGCTGGAGGAGAGTGGCATAGTCGGGAGTGTAGCCGACCTTCTTGGCGTAAAGGACGATCTTGTCGAACTGGCCGGTCTCGGCAAAGCAGGCGACGACCTTGTTGGGCACGTTGGCGCGGAGGTAGACGCTGAGGGCGAGATTCATGTCGTGCTGGCGCACAATGTCACCGAGCTCCTCGCTGCATTCGATTTTGCTCTCCTTGAGCCACTTTTCGAGGAGGTGCTTTCGGCCCTGGTTGAGTACGGGACGAGCGAGCTCGAGCGACTCAAACTTGTTGAGCGAGCCCTTCTCAAGGAGGATGCCGAAGTACTGCAGGATGGGGGAGAGAGTGCCGGGCTGATTGGGGACCTGCTTGAACTGCTCGATGGTCTGCGAAGTTCGCAAGATGCCGCGTGGCGAATTGGCGGCGATCTTGGCGGCCTCACCGTACTGCCCTGTGGAGAAGAGCGAGTGGAACTGCTGGAGGTAGAGGTCGTCGGCACCTGGCAAATCGCCGCGCGAGGCGAGCTTGAAGGCAAGTTCGGAGTTGTTGAGCGTGCGCAGGATGTAGGGAATGACGGTTTCCTCGTCGACCGACACTGACAGCACTTGACCCTTGCGGTTGATGCCGATGATGCCGCTGGTGGACTCGTGCTCTGCAGTGACGAAGATCGTGTCGCCCGAAATACGGTTCATGTAGATGCAAGCACCGCTCTCGAGGTCGTACAGGTGGATGAAACCGTACTTGGTGACCAGGTAGACGATACCGTATCGCTTGCTGACCTGCATGGCGACGGGGAAGTCGTTGGTGGCCTCTGGCGGGAAGAAGACGTCGACGGCTTTCTTGGTGAAGGCGGGCTGGCCGTTCTGGTGGTCGATCTCAACCACGTGCAGCTTGGCGCCGGTGGCAGTGCGGTTGGCGAAGGTGAAGAGCTTGAACGGACTGGGTGCTGCGTCGGACTTGAGCTCTGCAAAGGCGGCGGCGTGGCCCTCGATGGGCTGCGAGACGCCGCGATCGCGCGAGTAGAGCTGCATGGAACCCTTGACACGGAATGCGTTGGGTGCGCCCGAAGTGTTGCCAGAGATACCGACGAGGACGAGCCACTTTTCGTCTTGGCTCGCACGGTAGTTGATGATCTGAGTTCCCTGCAAGCTCACGTGTCGATCAAAGACCTTTGCTGGTGCTGCCTCGCCCTCCATGGACCAATGGTAGACTGCATTTTCGGTGACAATGCCGAGGATGGTGTTGCTGATCCACTTCCAGAAGGTGACATCCTCCTGCATGAGATGCGACTTGACCTTGGACTTGGCCTCGATGTTGAAGATCTGAAGCTGCCGCGCCGATTTGAGAGCGATGATCTTTTGGATGGGGTTCATGATGGCCGAGTCGGCGGTGATGGGTCTCCTCATGCTGTCAAGACGAAAGAGAGGAGGGTTGGTATCAGTATCGCGCGCTCTGATCGATCCAGGCATCAAGTGCTTGGAAAAGCCCACTTACACATCGCTGATATCGTTGAGGTTGACAATGACGACCGAGTTCTGACCGTTGACGCTTTCACGAACGCAGACAAAGTTCTCGGATTCGAGCGTGACATTGGCGAACGAGATGCTCTCGGGGGCGATGCCAACGTTGGTGAGCTGGACATGCTCGGAGAAGTTGATGGGCTTGTCCGCCATGATGAGCGGGGATGTGATGTAGCTCGGCGGACCGTGCTACGTTTTGGATGCCGATGCGATGAGAGGAATGGAAGCGCAAGCGCGCGAGGCTAGCTGCGAGGTCGTGATCGAGGTGTATGAGCCGGTCGTCAAGGTTGGATCGTATGAGTAGAGAAAAGGAGAGGACAATATACACGATGAGGATGATGATCGAGAAGAGAAGGGAGTCGGGCCGTGGTGGATGTCGAGCTCGGATAGGATCAAGCTTGCAACGCAGCAGCAAGCACGGGAGCGCCTTTGCACCAGCAGCACTGCCAGATGGAACAGCACAGCACAGCACAGCTCTGTGTCTCTGGCTCGCTTCAGTCTCGGCCCTGAGGGTTGGTTGCGCACAGGACACCCAACGCGTTTCTTCCTGTGCTTGCTGGCTGGCTGAGCTTGGCCTTGCGTTGGCTCTGATGTCCAAGCACAATCTTCCTGTCAATTCAACCTGTCAAAGGGAAAAGCGCCCAAATTTGTATTCAGTTCCCCCAAGTGCTCCTTCACAGCCGCTTTGCCTAAGCCAAGTTTGTATTGAAAATCGACGCGTCCTGTCTCAGCCTTTGAGCAATTTCCGCGAATGTTTGATCGAATGCTGTCAAAGAGAGGGTCTCGATCAAAGAGATCCAGCTGAGGCCATTTGGGCCGAGAGGGGAAGAGCGAGCAGCTGTGTGCTTCTCAGCGACGCGCGTCACTCTGCTCCACTTTAGAATCCGCTCAGCTCTGACCACTCGACCCTCTTGATATCTCGACACCAACCACTGACTTGCCCCTTTGCTGTTGCACACTCGAACCAACATGGCCGACCCAACACCCTCCTCGTCGACACAACCGCCCGCCGAGCCCGTGCTCTCCTCCGACCCTGCCAAGGACAAAGCACTCAAAGCCTACAAAAAGGCGCTCAAGCAGCACAACGAGCTCTCGGAAAACCTCAAGAAGCTCCGCTTCGGCCTCAAAGACCTCGAAAAGGCGTACGACAAGACCGAAGATGACATCAAAGCTCTCCAGTCCGTCGGTCAGATCATCGGCGAAGTGCTCAAGCAGCTCGATGAGGAGCGCTACATTGTCAAGGCCTCCTCGGGGCCACGCTACGTTGTCGGGATCCGAGCCAGCGTACCCAAGCACAAGCTCAAGCAGGGTGTGCGTGTTTCGCTCGACATGACCACGCTCACCATTATGCGTATTCTCCCACGCGAGGTCGACCCGCTGGTGTACAACATGAGCATGGAGGATCCGGGCGCGGCGAGCTTTGCTGGAATCGGTGGTCTGGGGGATCAGATCCGCGAGTTGCGAGAAGTGATCGAACTGCCCTTGCTCAACCCGGAACTCTTCATGCGAGTCGGTATCAAGCCACCCAAAGGTGTTTTGCTCTACGGTCCCCCAGGAACTGGCAAAACCCTCCTCGCCCGTGCCGTCGCCAGCACGCTCGAAACCAACTTCCTCAAAGTCGTCTCGTCGGCCATCGTCGACAAGTACATCGGCGAATCGGCTCGGTTGATCCGCGAAATGTTCGGTTACGCCAAGGAACACGAGCCATGTATCATCTTTATGGACGAGATCGATGCGATCGGAGGTCGAAGGTTTAGCGAAGGCACGTCGGCGGATCGCGAGATCCAGCGAACGCTCATGGAGCTGCTCAACCAAATGGACGGCTTCGACTACCTCGGCAAGACCAAGGTCATCATGGCCACCAACCGACCCGATACGCTCGATCCAGCGCTCATGCGACCCGGTCGAATCGATCGCAAGATCGAAATCCCCCTCCCCAACGAACAGTCGCGATTGGAGATCTTGAAGATTCACACCAAACCAGTGGCCAAGAAAGAGGAGCTGGATTACGAGGCCATCGTCAAGCTCAGCGACGGCTTCAACGGCGCCGATCTGAGGAACGTTGCGACAGAGGCGGGCATGTTTGCTATCAGGGATGATAGGGATTATTGCGTCCAGGAAGACTTTATGAAGGCAGTGCGAAAGTTGCAAGAGGCCAAGAGACACGAGTCCAAGATCGATTACAGTGCCGTATGATTCTTCTGCAATGCAACACCTCGTTCGACTGGCAGACTTGGGAAACATTGTTCATTGGTATGCGTGATAACGACATTACAAGATGCAAAGGATAAGGATGAGAGGGGGGAGCACGGGCGTACTTGAGGCTGGGACGAAAAGCGAATCTTAAAGACCAGCATTGGATAGTCCCTCTTGGATCTGCTGCTGAATGGTGTCGCCCAAGCTCACCGCCTCTGCCTTCCTAATCGTGAACTTCTCACTCGCATTCCCCGAATCACCCATGACCACGACAATGTAGTCGTTTCGTTCCTCCAAATCCGCTGGCAGCGTCACCTTTGTTTTTCCGTCCTTGATGGCGAACCCATCCGCGAGGGTCCAATGGAGGTTTTCGCCGCCACTTCCGTCAGCGGGGAGGTAACCGAGTTTGATGACGCCCTTGTAGTTTTCGGCTTCGGGCGGCATATCCGAGGTGTCCCATTTGACCGTGTGCGTCTTGCCGGCGGTCCACACGGTCTCGGCGCGCGGCCGGGTGATGTGCGGGTTGTACACGATGCGTTTTTCAAGAGAAGGAGCGTCCCGACCCAGCATGGTGTCCCAGTTGGTCGACTCCACTTGGCGTCTGAGCATCAGTGAGGCCGGTGAAGAGACGTCAAAGTTGGCGAAAGCCGGTGCGGACACAACCGACGAGATCAGCAGCGACGCTGCAAGGACGAGCGAGGAGAGCTGCATCGTGAGATTGGCTGCGAGGCGGAGAACAGAGGTGCTCGTTTCGCGTGAGGATGGTCGTGGATGCAATGTGTGTGGGGGAGGAGGGGGTCGTGGACGGTCGTAGATGGTCGTAGATGGTCGCAAGAGACTGCGTGGGTCGCAAGAGGCGGGATATATATGAAACGAGCTCAGGCTTTAAGGGGATCCAGACATGAGCAGGGTCGAGCGAAGGTGACAGCGAGCCTACGTCAGGGGCGCACTGCTGCATCTGACAACTCGTGACCGGCAATGCTGCTCCGCAGGTCATTGAGCCCACCGGCTCACAGCTGTGAGGGTGGGCCACGTCAGAAAGGACAACGAGTCTCCACACTCGTCCCCGCAGTACCACGAAAACTGGGCTAGCGTACGCTCGGTACTTGCACTCTAAGCCCATAAGCTTGGCTGCGAGAGGCTTCTGGAATGACACTACCTACGTGTGTGTGCGCTTGAACGAGCAAGGAGAGCTTAAAGAGGCATGTCCATTGTGCGCCTATGTGGACCGCATTCAATCGGTTGGCATGAAGCGCCCGCATATTTCGTTCAACTCGCTCGTCTGCGAAAATGCGGGGGAAGGACAGCAGATGTTGGTTGTCGTGTGTGGCTTGCGTCTAACCTCTTCTGCAGATAGCAAGAGCAGATTCTGCCAACTTCCCGCTTGTGTGTGGCTGTCAAGACTCTTTAGGCTCAAACCCATCCTGTGGCTTCCGACTGCCGTTTAAAGCTATCTCACGGCTGCGCTCGAGCCCTCTTGCTCAGAAGGGAGCACGCCGCATTTTCGTAAGTCAACAGTGTGCGAGGCTTATAGCGCACAAAAGCGGCAGCGCAGACCCTCGACCGCGCAACACCGACGAGAGTGAGCTCACCAACACTAAGCTTTCCATATCGCTTATCCATTCATCGGATGTAATCGACCGAGCCCTTGTGGTGTACCAACATGCTCAAGCTGTCGCAGTGGTTGACTTGTAGCCGCGAAGCTCGCGGAAGTGCATTTCCGTGTCAGACAAGCTTGGAACCGACACCAAAGCTAGCGCCAGAAGCGAGTCGCTTAAAGCGTTGTCAGAGAAGCAAGTCGGCGTCGGTTCGGCTGCAAGGCTATCTCGTCATGTGGAGCTCACCGCGCTCGACGGTTGTCACCGTGAGCAAGTACCGATTGACTTAAGTCATGGCTTGTCCGATGAAGCGGGTCGGTCAAGACCGCTGACCAACGGGCAAGCAGAGCTTGGCATCGGAGTCGAAGGCGAACAGCTGTCAAACGTGCCCTTAGCGAGCCTCGCTTGGCTCGTTCTCTCCGAATGACCCATGGACCATGATGGGTCGTGTCGACCACGAGTTGGGGCAGGCCAGGCGGGTGAGCGAGTCATGGAATCGGAACATCGACGCCGAGCAGAACAACGTGCTGGTGGGATCCTCGATGCTGTCAACCCGCCTAAGCTTCTCGTGCGTGTCTCGACCCCATGCTGCAACGCGAGAAAAGCTGTGAGAGGTTGCGATCGGCGGCATCGATGGGCGATCGATCGGGGTCGGCCTTGTCATCGGCTCCATCGTCATCAGTCATCAGCCCCTGCAATGGCGGAGCAACCGACCCGGCGGTGCTCTCCCGACTGTCGGGCGATAGAACACGGTGAGTATCCCGCTCATTCTAGCTGATGATAAACTTTGCTCCTCTACTACAAGCACCTCATCCGCTCTGATCGCCCGCAGCCGGAGCCTTCGATCCTACTAAGTCGCTTCGACACTTTTCATTTGAGCTAGGCGGACGACCCTTTTCATTTGAGCTGGACGACGAGGTTTGACCCGGACATGTGAATGCGGCCATTGCTCAGTCATTGCGTAGGCGAAGGCTCGAGGGCCCGACGACAGCTTTGGAAGTACTTGAAGGCCCGCACGGCTCGATCTGTTGTTTACCACACCTGGCGCATGTGAGAAAGACGTCCAACGGTCTCTTTGCGAGCATGATCCTGGCGAGCTGCGACAACCAAACCATCTCTTCCACGATTGGATGTTCGAAACCAGTCTGCCATTGGCGGACCCTGCAGACTATGCCAAGACCATCCTGACACCAATGGCGGATAACCACCTTCGTCTGAGTGGGTCAGCATTCGCCTTCTACTGAAGAATGAGCGGCTTTTGTCAGAGCGGTCTGTCGAAAGGAAGCAGACATGATCTCGTATGCGTCGGGGCGTAAACGTGTTGCAGTTTGAGAAGAGACAAGACGCTCGAGACCATTGTTGATCCATAATTCGTGCCAAACAACAAAGTTACACTGACCCCTGTCTCTTCCGCTCCTTGTGCATCGGTACACCGGCGGTACTCAACATACAAGATGCATCAAAGAGCAGGGACAATGCGATGGCGGTCTTTGCTTCATGTCCAACGTTTGCGCAGGCTGGTCTGAGCTGAAATCACCAGATGGCGGCAATGTCAGAATGCGGCTCGGTCTGGCCTCGGATTGCAAGCCGACGGACACCGAACGCGTTCTACAACTGACTGAGCGTTGACCTGTGCACCTCAGAGGCAAGGAACCCCTTACCTTCGAATCACCTCCCTACCTTTCACGGCTGCAGGAACAAGAAGACGCTTGGGGATTCTCCTCTCTGCCACTCTTTGACCCCTTGCGTGTGCCGTTTTGGAGAAGAAGCTTCCACCACCTCTTCTTGCGTCTTTCGAACTTGTCAACTGTGCTCGCGCAAGCGCTGAAGAGCATCGTAGCTGCGTTCATCTACTGTCTCGGTCGCTTGCATCATTGAACACTCAGCCCCTTGCTCCCGGCAGGATCTGGGCCTGCGCAACTTGAGCGGAGTTTCAAGTCCGAACAATCAGCCCCTGTGACACGCTTTGTTGCGGAACCACGCGGCGATCGTTTGTGCCTCTCGCCTTGATGCGCAAGGTGATGCTTCGCAAAGAGGCGAGGTCAGAACGTCGGCAGAGCTTGCCGTGGAACCGGATCGTTCCCATTATCTTGCTGTTGGGCTCGTGACATCTTCTCGAGCCCTCACAGCATGGTCTTCTCGGCAGGAACGGCTTCACAGAAGCGGGTATGAGAGACAACCCGTGAAACGCAACGGCGGTGAGAGACTGCTAGTCTCTTACTTGCCGGCCTAGCGAGGCGCTTCCTCGCAAAGAGAGCACCTCACAGCTCCCAGATGGACGACCAAGGCGACTTTCAAAGCCGTCCGATCGGACGCCAAGAGTTCAGCAGGGGCTCCCTCCGCGGGATGTGCACACCGGCGGCGACACTCGTCGATCCGTCGCACAATGATAAGACGAACAATGGTCCCAGCACAGCCAAGTCATGTACCCACGCCGGGGCCCTCGTTACCCAGAACGCTGTGATACGACGTCCTGATTGCTTCTCAGCTGCATGCAGACAGGAAAAGAAGGTTTCGCCCACATTCCGATGCAAGGAGAAACTGGATCGTCCCTGCTGATCATCGCCTCGAAGTTACTCAAGTGACGGCACAAATCGCCGGCTGCATCGCGGATCAACGGGTCGCTTCGGATCTCAGCGCCACTGTGCCGATCCATGATATGGTGCCCGCGGACTCTGGATCTCTGAAACGCATACAGGCGAGGTCACAAAGCAAGGGCGCAATTGCCGTCTCTGTGAGCGACCTGTACAACGCTGCTTGCTGCACTGCACTACTGAACATGCCAAACGGTAAGCGAGCTTCGGCCGATGAGGATTTCGCGTCTTCTGGCAGGCGTCTGGTGTTCGCCAGCCGCACTTGGACCCTGAAGCCTGCAAACACGTTCTGCAAGGTCCAAACGTAGACCCTGCGCCAGGGGCTTGCAGATGGGACCCCCTCGCCGAAGGATCGCAGCACAGAATGCTTCCTCCTTCTACCTAACCTTGCCGTCGATCCCCGACACCCGTATTTGAGCGTGTGCCTCAGCCACTCCCTTGATTGCTTTGCTGAGCACAAGGCTGCTTCTTGCTCACCACCGCCCGTTCCACGCGGAGCCGGAGCCGGACCCGGACCTTGGCTCTGACCCTACGCTTTGTCGCTGCATGCTCGTAGCCCGTCAAACAATCACCGCCTTCGCATGGATTCGCCCAAATGGGAGGCGGTCCAAGCTTGGGGATACAATTGCCTCGTTCGAGTAGGCTTGGGACAATGACAGACAACATACAAATCACCTCTTGCACGTCGAGAGCATGAACGGGTGGCTTTGTGTCTCAAGAATATGCTGCAAGAGGGCCCCTGCTTGATCCTTCGTCCTTCATTTCCCACGCTTTCGACTAGCGCGCTAACTACGCCCTGACGGTCTCTCACTTGCAGCTTGTCCTTCATTCCCATCGAACGGTCCCCCAACAGATTCTGTCTGTCCATGTCCGGCCAATCTGTACCTCGCCAGCCAAAAGCGATCCATAGACGGGTGCTTGCGAGGGACGCGTTGCACAGCCGCTCTTTTGTGTCCCTCGCTCTGCTTATCATAGACGCTTCAGACTCTTGCAGATCCTTTCGCACTCCTTCAAGCACCGGCATACACACATTGTATCGGCCTTGCATCTCCGACCAGCATTGTGCTTGTTCTTCGGAACATTTCCTCGCTCGCACCTGGTTGGTGGTCACGCCGCTACATCTCGTTCGCAGACGAGATCCGTATACCGAGCGGTTCAAGGACAATGCGCCGTGACTCACAGTCGTTCTCAGTCCAGTCAGCCGGCTGCAAGATGCTCTTCTTCTCTGCCTGGGATCCGTGGACCTGGCCCGGGACCTGAGCCACTCGCTGGCTCTACGAGGTCGACGCCACTCCATGTCGGCACGATGGGTCTGCGCTGCTTCACAAAGGCCTGCCGTCACCGTCGATTGGTCGGTCGCTTCCATGCTACGGTGTCAGCCGCTGCTCTCGGTCTCCGACAATAGATAAAAGAGCCGCCCTCTTTGTCCCTCTTCCTCCTTTCCTTTCTCATCAACCCTCAGCTCCCCATCTCTCCTCTTCTCCGGTTACCCACCCAACCAGACGTCAAGTCTTTCCCCCCCTTACTATCTCCAACACACTCGGTCTTCACCGCTCTCACACCCTCTTCTTTACCCTTCATCGACAGCGAACTTCGAGATGCCCTCTCAGATCGCCCTCTCCATCGGCCTCTTGGCTGCCGCCATCGGCATGGTCAACGCCGTCCCTCATCACGAATTCAAGCGCGCCAACTACGCCGTCTGCCGCAAGTACGTCGCCTCGTACAACGGCGGCCACAACGTCTACGCTGTCAACGAGAACAAGGGTATCGATGCCAGCGGCGCCAACATCGGCCTCAACCTCCTCAGCCTCGATGGTCAGACGCACAAGTCCTGGGACAACGTCCCCCGCTACTGTCTCAAGTACATCAAGCAGTACAACGGGGGACACAACCTCGTGGTCGACAACCAGAACAAGGTGATCGATCTGTCCAACCTCAACTTTGGAGTCGACATTCTCAAGCGCGATGAGGACGATGGCGGGTACAACACGTACGCTTCCAACCGAAACGAGGTGATTGACGTATCGGATCTGTTGGCGGATGTGAACATTTTGCGTCGTAGTGCACCATCGTTCTCCCACCCCACTCTGGGAAAGCGCGACGACGTTGCTTCGAACACGAACGAGATCATTGACGCCTCGCACCTCTCTGCGCTCATCGAGGCGCTCACCAAGCGCGACTACGATGACGGTGGCAACAACGTCGAGGCGATCAACGAGAACAAGGTGGTGGATCTAAGCGATCTTAGTGCGCTCGTTAACGTACTGAGCCAGCGAAGCGTGCGCGGGTACGGCACCCAGCTCAACGCCCGCGACATTCCTGAGTCGCTCTACCGCCGCACCAGCCCGGACGAGCACTGCACGTGCATCAAGAACCCTCCTGGTGGCGGCAACGGTGGTAGCGGTGGCAACGGTGGTAATGGCGGCAGCGGTGGCAATGGAGGTAGTGGCAGCCCCGGTGGCAACGGTGGCTCGGGTGGCAATGGTGGCAACGGTGGTAGCGGTGGCAACGGCGGTACCGGTAGCAACGGAGGCAGTGGTAGCCCCGGTGGCCACGGTGGCGCAGGTGGCAATGGAGGCAACGGCGGTCAGGGTGGCAACGGTGGCAGCCCTGGCGGCCCCGGTGGCAACGGAGGCTCTGGCGGCAACGGAGGCTCTGGCGGCAACGGCGCATGTCCATCTGGCAACCCTCCCACTCCCAAGGACACAGCGACCCAGCCGCCTCCCAGCTCCAACCAGTGCGGTCCCGACGAAGTCTACGTCAACCAGGGCCACAACGTCTGCGTCTCGAACAAGAACGAGCTGATCGACCTGAGCAACATGACGATCCACATTGGCATCCTCGACGGTCTCTTCGGCGCCAAGCAGACCAAGAAGGAGGTCTCGGCCACCTCGACCTGCGGTGGTAAGAAGGGATGCTGCGTTCCCAAATCGGCCTACTACTACAACGGTGGGCACAACACGCAGGTGACCAACAAGAACGCCGGTATCGACGCCTCGGGCCTCAACGTCGGCGTCGATATCCTCTAAAGCGTCAGCCTTGGGCGAACCGCCCCTTTGTCCCGCCTCAAATGGCTCGGTGACAGGGGTCACATCTCCTCCGCCATCTTCTTGACTTGGTTTTTCCCGGTTGATCAGCGCTTTTGCGATCGTAGACACCTTGCGCCGCTTCGTCTTCACCCCCCTTCCCTCGTTGCTTCTTCTTCTGGACACTTTTCCCCCCCGCATCTGGCTAGATCTTCGTCTCATTTCACCGTCCCTTGGGCTCGAATTCCACACTCTCTTTCTTCTCTGATTTGTGATTGTGGATGCGAGCTGTGAGCTGCTGTCGTTGTACATATTCTCTCGTTGGCACGATGATTGTCTGTCTATAAGATCGAGGAGGCTGGTGGCGCGATTCTCGCTACCAATTGCTCGATGCAGACGTGATTCAAACTTCTTTCAGTCACTTGCGCCCCATCCCCGAATCACGCATCTCATCATCTGCAAGCACACGTCCAACGCTGTGAGGTGGGGTTGTCCACGCATGGAAAGGCCTTGCATTGCTTGGCTACGGCGGGTTGGTCGGCAAAAAATTGCCCACGATCATGTGCGGAATGTTCCACTGGTCCCTCCGAATCGTAAAGCTGAAGCAACAATGGATGAAGGCAGCCTTCGGGTTATTCGGGTCCTTGAGCACGCCGCTGGTGCTAGTAGCCCCCGTTCCAGCAGCCACTTTCCCTTCGTCCTCTTTCGCCTCCTCACGAGGTGTAATTTGTCCACTTGCCGTAGCGCTCCTCGGCAATTGGGCTTGAATGCTGTCCCTTGCCTTTGAGGCGCCTGAGGTGGCCACAATGCTCTTGTTCTTCGTCCGCAACACGCAACTGGTCAAAACGGCTTTCTGCCCCGGGTCGAACGAGACAGCGCCGTACTTTTCCCAGTAGTTGACCGCGCTTTCTTCCGCCATGAGCTCGTAGATGCACAACCGACCTTCGCGGAGGGATTCGATAGGAACCCCCACGAGCTCAGCAAACTCCTTGTTGCCCTTGTAGATCTCTCCCGTCCGTCTCCAGAGGCACGCGGGGATGCCTTGGGTGGAGAACACCCGATCGTAGTCCAACAGCAGCCGTTCGAAGGCTTCTTCGATGAAGACCAGGTCGATGTTGGTCAACGACTGGGCGACGGCACGGAAGGCAGGACGGAAGACGGAGAGAGGCTTGAGAATGCGTCGTTTGGAAGCGGTGGAGACGTTGCGCTCCATCCACCGATTGAGCCGTGCGTAGCCGTTGACGTGGTTGTAGGGACGGAGGAGACCGGCTTCGTACTTGGCCTGGATGACGCGTGCGAGACGCTCGTCGCGCGTGCCATCCTTCTGGTCCGCGGCGGTGAGGAAGAAGCGTTCCGTTTTGGACGAGCCGCCTTGCAGAGAAGGGAGGTACGATCCGGATGCGACGCCCGTGTTGGAGTTCGACGGGGCGGCGGAGAGGGAGGACCCACGGGATCGCTTGCCCGTCCCATTCTCGCTGCTGCTGGTGTTGTTGTTGATGTTGCCAGAGCCAAAAGTGCTATTGCCAGCGGCAGCGGTGGATGAGCCCGAGTTGTACACCGTATTGGCACCCGTGGTGGGCGATAGAGCGGGCAAGCTGGTTCGACTCGTACTGTCGGCGTTGTTGTGGATGGGGGTCAACGCTGTCAACCCGTCAAAGGTCCCGCCACCCAGACCGGAGATGGTATTCCTCCGACTCTGCGACGGAGTAAAGCCGGATCCTGAGCCTGTACCCGCCATGGTCGCAGAGGTGCCTGTCATGCCTGGTGTCGCACCCGCGCCGAAGCCTGGTCCATCCAGACTCTCGAGGAATTCGCTGAGCAGCGTAAACTCGTTCCCGCCCGCCGAGTCGCCGCCGAAGCCACTGCCTCCACCCTCGTATCCTCCCGGTCCACCGCCAAGCCCGAGCCATCCAGCACCGCCCAGCCCAGACATCTCACCACTCTGCTGCTGGTTGTTGCCCGCATTGACAGCCTGTGCTGATGGCGCCTGATTGGTGTTGGTGTTTGCGTTGGCGTCGCTACTGTTGTTGATGCTGTTCTGAAAGAGCGATGCAAGGGAGAGCATGCCTGCTGCTGATATGCCGCCGTTGGCGCTGCTGCCGGACGAAGTAGGTCCTGCATCCTCCACGCCCATCGCTTGGGGCTTGAAGATGTTGCTCGCATCGAAGCCGGCTGCGTTATTGTTGCTGTTGTTGGACTGGTTGAGTCCCGATATCGACGAGTAAGGACCTGCTGAACCGCCGCCAAAGACGTTGCTACTGTTCGTCGCTGCGTTCGCATCTCCCGAGGCGCCAAGCCCTAGTGTCGGGAAGAAGCTCGCTGAAGCTGCTGCAGCCGCTGATGTCGAATCCGACCGTTGCGGCTCACTAGCGGATGGCACAGGCGGTGTGGTCGCTGGACTTTCCGCCTTGACCTTCTCCTTCACCTTCGACGGGCTCCCCCCTTCCTCCTTCACATCGGTATGCGCCTTGGCCGGTGTAGCCTCATCGTGGCACAGATGCCCAATATCCCGCTTGATACATCTCTGGCAAGGTCTACCTTCATCGCATGTCATGTGCGATCGTCGACAGTAGATGCACGCAAGGTTGACTTTGCGCCTCTTGGACGGCTTCTTCTTGCCGGAGCTGGTGGCGCCAGGAGAGCTGTCTGCATCGTCGCCTGCAGCGCTGCTGCTCGGCTCGCGCTTGCTGTTGGATGCGGAGGCGGCGGCGGGCGACTTGGCGTGGGCGGTGGATGGCGAGGCGGACGAGTAGAGGCTACGCGGATCGAACTGCGCCGCAGCCGTGCTCTTGCCGGGTGATGGTGGCGTCATGCTTTGGCCATCCAGTCGTAGGACCAGGCTCCGTTGCGCGCGAAAAGGAGATGAAGCAGGTTGAGAGACGGAATGATGATGCTGAAAGAGGAGCAAGACGCGGATCATGAAGGCTTCATTTGATGCAAAAATCCGGCTTACGGGTTTGGCACTCCGGCTCGAGCGCCTCGCTAAATGCAGACAGAGCAACCCCACATTTTGGAGCACATAGTGGATCTGCAACCGCGTTTCTTGATCCTTAAAAGCATGGCGTGTCGCCATCAGACGCGACTCGCTTGCTCACCATCACAGACAGGAAAGTGTTGCGCAGATGGTGCGAGAATGTGGACAGATGGATTGAACTTAGTCGGCTTGATCGGGCAGCGTGATGTCTCTTTCTACGGCGGCCAGCAGGAACATGGCAAACGACTCAAACTTGACCGCGTCCATGCCGTACGTCCAGCTGACCGTAAGCACCAAGCCGGTGTCGCCATTCGTCTGTGCCTCAGTCACTGCGATTCGTGCCATCAGCAGAGGCCGACTGACCTCCTGAGTCGCGTCGTCAGAGATTACGATGGCTGTACGCGTGGGCTGCAGCTTGGCACGTCGAGCTTTGCGTGTCCAGCTCTCTTGTGTGATCACGACGTCGATCGTACCCGGGTGTGGTGTTGTCTTTGGCGGTGCTCTGGATGCCGTCTCGTCGCCATCTCTGAGCTGCATGTATGCCGATGGATATACGGAACATCCTTCTAGATCGTCTAGGATCTTGGTGATCAAGTCGTGCAGCTCCTTGCGTGTCGATGCTGATCCTGGTCGGAGCACCTTGCTGCGCCTCTGTGTCGAGCTCGGTCTGTGCCGGTCCAGCGAGCTCGGCAGGCCTTCCCTGCTGAGGCTCTGTCGCATCCGATCAGATCATCGTGTCAGTGTACTCGTTAGCTTGCGACGTAAAAGAGCAAGGCACTTACATCAGGAACGCGCATCCCGATCGCAGCAGAGCACCACATCACCACCCAACGCTTCGTCTTTCCCCCTCCGGTTGGCAGCTCATGCACGCCCCATCCAGACATCTTGCCCTCTTTCGACAGCTGCTTGAGTTCGCTACTGAGCTTGATGACGCTCGACAGCTTGCCCAGCATGCATGTCCACCAGAGCACGTTGTAGGTGGTGAGGCTTTCGGCGATCATGCGTCGGACGAACGCGACTTCTCCGCCGGTCGTTACCATTTCGGATCGGGTGCCGTGGCAGACCTGTTCGTGTCGTATCAGAGGAGAAGGCGGGTGTCAGCGTCGTGTCTGGTGATGTCTTTCGCGATGGGGAGGAACGTACCGCGTTAGCAGGCTGCTTCTTGAACTGCGCCGAACGGTCCATCTCCTCTGCGCTCAAGTAGAAGGGCGGATTGCACATGATGAAGTCGAACCCGCTTTCACTCAGCACACCTGCGTCGCCTCCGATCACCTTTGCTCCTCCGAGCTTCGGCACGAAAGCATCCTCTGCGTCGACATGCACCAACGCAATGCTCTCGCTGAGCCGCCCGCCGTTATCCACATGATTTATCACGTGCTTGCCCGCATATTCGAGACTGCTCCGGTCGATATCGGTCGCAACAAAGCGCCATGAGGGGAAACATCGCACGCCTAGTGCTGGATAGATGACAGACGCACCAGTGCCAATATCGAGGCCTCGGACGGTGGAGTCGAGAGGTTGATGCTGGAAGTGTCGGAGCAGGCGCCATGTTGGTAATGACCATGAAAGCAGCTCGTTCAGGAGGGCGATGTATGCGAGTCTGTTTGGTGGTCATGAAACCGCAAGGATGAGTATCATCGCCGTCTGGGTACGACAGAATAGCGTTGCGGGATGGACTTACCTGTTCGGTATCTGCTCAACGAGTAACCACAGATGACTGTCAGCTGCTATTCGACAGTATCAAAGCCTGCGCGAAAAACCATGCACTCACCATCGGACACAGATTGCTAGGCGAAAAGGAAGCATGCACTCCGAAGTCGTCGAGCAGCAAGGTCTGAGCCAGGCATCTGACAGCTTGTGCATCCTGAAAGTCGATCTTGGCTTCGTAGCCGCCGTCGTCTTTGACGCTGTTGCAGATCAAGGCGTGGTCAGTACGATGTTTGCCCCGAAGTCCTGGCCGAGATTGCACTCACAATGGACCGAACGTCGTCGGATACTTGGCCCCGAGGGCACGAAAGTCGGGCGTCTTGAGACGGTACAATCGCGGATCTGGGAGTCGATAAGGCGGCGATCAGCTCTCAACTCAACGATTGCAATAGGCCTACTCGCGACTCACCGATCTCGGGTCGAAGCATCTTTCGCAAGCTTCTCAGCCCTTTCGTACGCCATATCCAATCTCGATCGCTTTCAGAAACCTGTTTCCATGCGCAAAGGGTATACGATAGTATTACAGACACGTCAGAAACAAGTACAATCCTACTTGACACAACAAGGATGGGATGAGAATCAACGCACACTTGACTTCCCCCTGAGCTGCGTCCACACTCTCTGGGCAATGCGTTCGAACGCCTCGTCCATGTCGAGCGACTCGCCGTCGTGTTCGCGTGCGTACGTCTCCTCCAGATCTTCCCGGCGCATTACTTTGGGCTGGAGAGCCTTGAGGTCGGCTTTGGAGATGCCGGGGGCTCGACGTTGGCGTGTTTCGAGCTCGGGTGCGTATTCGAGAAGCTGCACTCGGACTTGACCGTAGGGCATGCGCAGGCCTTGGAGCGCACCTTCGACGTCGTCAGCGTCTCGGGAAGAGGACGAAGACTGAGCAAGGACGCCGCTGGGTCGTGTTTCGTCGACGAGGCGGTCGCTTTGGAGATCGTCGTATTGAACGACGACTTCGAGGTGCTGGGTGGGTTCGTCGTCTGGGTTTTCTCGCTTTCGCTTGGCAGCTGCCTTGAGCGCTTGCACGGTCGGATTCGTCGACTCCTCGTCGTCGTCCTCTGCTGGCGGATCGGCCGCTCTTGCAGACGAGAAGGGCACGCGCCATGTCACCTTGACGAGATCGAAAGCTTCGGTGCCCAGCGCCTCCAATGCGGCCTCGGTCTCTTCGCTCTGCCCAGGAAGCTTGAGCTGCTGCAACGCCATCGCTTGCTGCCTCCTCGAGACGTAGGCTTGCAAGTGGCAGTGCAGATCCGAGAGGAACGCATGCACGCCGGGCAAGTCGCTGAATTGGCTCAGCATGGTCAATCCACCCGCCTCGTTGTCTCTGCCTTTGCTTCCTGATCCTCCAGATACTTCTCCGCCCACGACACTCGGAAGGTACTTTTCGACGAGCTTGCCCAGTGGTACAAAGTGCGGCACGGTGTGCCTGATCAACCTGAGCCCGTCTGCGAGGGAATTTGCTTCCACATCGCCGACGGTGGTCCCCGCGAGCTGTGGCATCGAGTCAAGCAGCTGGCTGGGACGCGCAAAGACCAAATAGTAGGGTTCGTGGAAGCGTCCTCGCCAGAACGTGTCGAGTCGAATGCCGAGGGCGAGATCGCCGTCCTTGTCGGCAGCAGCGCTGTCTCGAGCGAGGCGCGCGCGACGGCCGACGTCAAGATCCAGTTCGAAACATGTCCAGGCGGAGGAGCGGTAGAGGATCGACTTTTCCTCGAGCGAACGAAGTAGACTGCCAAGTTCCTGGTTCTGTGCGGATGCCGTGCTGCCTGCTTCGGGTGCGAGGTCGGGAAGAGCGCGAAGGGAAGCCAGCTGGGACGTGAGGAGGGCTTTGTCGGCTCGAAGCTGCGCGAGTTTCGAGCGTAGCTCATCAGCTGAGGCCGGAGCTACGTTGCTCGAGCTCATGTCGGTGGAAGCACCGAACAGGCCTTGAATAAGAGCTCGGAGGGTGAATGCGACCTCTGCAGTGCAAGAAGATGGTGGTGGAAGAGATGGTGACGATGTCTTTGTGCTGATCTGCGATTTCTTGACGCGACGCGACTTGAACCGAGGCCCAGAAGCCAAAGTGTGGCTCAGCCTGCTTCGGAAATTTGTTTGGCGTTGAGAAATAACTAGACAAGGAAAATGGAGGCTGCGAAAAGGACTATGAAAAAGACATGCCGTCGATCCTCTTTCCCATCGACGACGAGCGCGATACATCGCAGAAGACACGGTAACACTGTCAGCATTCGTCGCAATGCCGCTTATGCCGAATGTGTAGAAGTGGCTGACACCGCTGCGGAATGCCTTGAGGCGGATCTGTTCAACTGGATCGGGGGCTAATCGGATCGGCTTCACGGATCGGCACGAGTACGCTTCCGACGGGCCTGTGAGCCGAAGCAGCAGTGAAGATGAAGCACGACTCTGTGAAGCAGAGTGGCATCCTCCCTTGCAGGTCGTTGTTGAAGCCGCAGCCAGAGTCCTTGACCAAGGCTCAAGGCTCGGGTATAGAGCCTTGCGGAGCTGAAATGGAAGCATCTCCGAGGCGCATCTGGCGCAGGCAGACTCATAATCTTTCGTTCAATCCCTCGTTGACCTGCGAACGCAGCTCGAAACCTTTTCAGGGTCAAAGTGCGTCGCCTCACGACGCAGTGCGCCTGGACCGGTCGGCCGGAAGAGCTCCCAACGATTCCTTCACAGGACCACAGCCTGTAAGCTTTGCTTGAACGACAAAGAATGTTCGACCGAAGAACAAACAGGGTCGAGCCCTTGATCCTAGCCAAACGAAGTGAGCATGCCGAACACCATCATAGTGCGCAAAGTGTCGTCTGACACCTCTCGCCCTTGACGATGAACGAGACAGTCAGTGCCTCTTCGCTCTGCTCAGACGGGCCTCTTCCATCCACTCCTCCTCCACCGAGGCTCTTTGATCGAACGACGACAGAATCCTGCCGAAGCGCGTCGGCCGCACAGCATAAAGAGCCAGATGCGAGGAGCGCGAGCCTGTGTTCAGAGGAATGAAGGCTTGCCATCACGGAACAGCTGCGAGGTGCATAACTCAGCTCGTGACTGTTTTTGGTTCAAGTCACGTCAGACGCGTCCAGTCCTCTGGCTCTTTGCGAGACCAACACTTCATTTTGCAAATTTCATAGACGCAGGCCGACTCACGTCAAATCTGCAGGTGATGCAGGTGACAGTCAAAGTGCCCGAGTCGCAGTCCAGTTGGGCACTCGGCGACGCATCACTGGAGCGCATCGCCGAAGCGAATGCATACCGCGAGCTTCCACCATCCCTTTTTCGAGCTCTGCATCGCCGCTTCCTCCAACGGGGTCTCGCTCTCTCAGTCAGATGGGACGAAGGGAGAGAAAAGCGGAGGACGCCACGGCCACCATGGGAACACCACAGCCGGACCGCATGCTGCAGAAGGAGGGACCGGTCCCTTCTCAATCTCGGTCAGCCAGGCCCGCTGCAAGCTCTGCGCTCATACCAAGCCGAGATCATAGCGTACCATTGCAAACTATGGTCTGGCCGCCTTCGCTGGCTGGCTACTGTAAGCCGTTCTTGGAGCCACATTTCTATGCTTACGACCTGCCTCACTCGGTCTCCCTTGCTCGCCTAGCATTTCCAACCCCCCTGGCTTCTCCAACCTTTGCTGGGCTGGGTTCGAAAGCTCTTCGTCAGGTCAAGCTCCCAAGGCACAAGCAGCTGATCAAAGCTAGGCTAGAAGAGTGCAGCCCGCTGCAATGACGGCCATGTCTGTGCCTCTGGCATCGCTCCATCTTGGGCTAACACCGGTGGCTTCAAGGTTGGCATGCTGCATCACACTGCGCATGGCGGCAGCCTGGTGGATCAGATCGTAATGCAGCTCCTGATGGCTTCAGGAACGCGAACAACGACTTGATGCAAGGCATGAAGCTGGTGATGATACCGTCTGCGTTGACGCGCAGGGTCGACGACTCGTTGAGCAGCCTGAAGAAGCATCGCTCCTCCTTCAACGGATTGTCCGCAAAGCGTCAATTGAAGCAGGCCATGGCTGTGTGCGCGGGCAGAGGGAAGGGGAAAGACAGGAAAGCGTGGAGAGGCCTCTTCTGCAAACCATATGCACACTTTGTCGATCGTTTGGCCAACTCCGCTGTGGGCAGCTTTGCAGGGAGGGAGGGAGGAGTGTTGTTCTTTCCTTCGTCTTTTCGCGTGTTTTGATCGGTTTGTCACCTGCGTCGGCAGTTCCTCCGCTGTCTCTCTCTCCTCTTCTGCCCATCTCTGCGCCCTTTCCCTGTCGCTGCCTGAATGGCAGCAGCCGTCGGGTGTTGTCCCGTTTGTGGCTGCGCTAGGCTGACGGACTGCTTGCTTGGTCGGCAGCTCCGATCAACACTGCGAAAACATGGCTCTCGAGCCATAGTGAGCGTCTCTGACTGTTGCTCTCTCTCTGTTCAGAAAGCTGGCTGCTGCTGTTACAGGCTCGCTCGCTTTCAGTCTGTCACCGCAGCCCGCCTTGATGGTTCCTCTTGTCGACAATCCCGTCTGTCTGCTTTTCTCGAATTCCTCTCGTTCGCGCCAGCTGCTGCCCCTTTCGCGAGCTGTGTTTGGCTGTCACTGCCTCACCGTCGTCTCTCCCCTCATCGCAGCCAGTCGCCCCTCTTTCGACCCAAGCTGCCGCCATCGTCACATTCCCACCCACATCATCTTCCGCCTTGACCAATCCCATACTCCATCCACTCCACTCCACTCACTCCACTCCACTCCTCTCCGCTGAACCCCCTTCCCTTCACTGTCTCTTCCCCTATCCCCCTCGACGTGGCTTCCATCGCAGCAACAACATCAACTTACACCACCACCAGCGCCCCGATCTATCGACCAACTAGCCCACATTCTTTTCGCAGAGCAACTTCTTTCGATCAGTCAGCCTCCCACGACCTCCTCAGCTTTCAATAGCCATCAAACCACTAGTGTTGAGGCATCTCGATAAACACCTGCCTGACCAGGAGCAGATTTCATCAACGACCCTTCAAAGAAAGATCGGAGGCTTCGGACACAGCCTCGGCACTTTCATCATGTCTTCGCATCGTCCCGTCGTCCAAGCCATCCCACCTTTCAAGGGCGGTCCGCTCCAGGCCACCGACGTCCAGAACCGAAGGCCAACAGCAGCAGAGGCCTACGTCGCACTCGCGAACCGAAAGGCGGGCGCCAACGTCGTCTCGACCCGAGCGACGGGCTCGGAGAACTACCGACCTGCCCACCACCAGGCCACGAGTCATCATGCATCACAACGACAACAGCCCGTGCCAGCCGTAGACCGCAGACCACCACAGCAGCAACAAGCACCATCAGAGCGTCCCAAACCAGTCTCGCGCCTCGAGAGGGAAAAGAAGCGCCACCACAATGATCCAAAGCACATCGGCCACTGGAAGCTCGACAAGCTCATCGGTCAGGGGGCTTCCGGCCGTGTTCGTCTTGCTGTCCACGATCAGACGGGTCAGCGAGCTGCTGTCAAGATCATCCCCAGAACCCTCATCAACGCGAGTCGGATGAGCTTGCGTGATGCCGACGTCAAGGCCAACAAGATGATCCTCGGCATCGAGAGGGAGATCGTCATCATGAAGCTCATCGAGCACCCCAACCTGCTCGGTCTCTGGGACGTGTACGAGACATCCAAAGATCTGTGAGTTTGAGTCGCTATGTGGATGATCTGCTCCCGCTTCGATCGGTAGACTAACCACTCTGCCTCCTTTTCTCTTCGACAGCTTCTTGATCATGGAGTACGTGGCTGGCGGAGAGCTCTTCGACCACCTCGTCGCCCAAGGCAAGCTCACCCCTCGCGATGCCCGCGGATACTTCCGTCAGATCATCTTCGGCATGGACTACTGCCACCGCTTCAACATCTGCCACCGTGATCTCAAGCCCGAAAACCTTCTTCTCGACGAAACCAAGAAGATCGTCAAGATCGCCGACTTTGGTATGGCCGCTCTCCAGCCCACCGAAAAGATGCTCGAGACCAGCTGTGGCTCCCCACACTACGCTAGTCCTGAGATCGTCAGCGGTAAGAGGTATAAGGGCACTGCCAGTGATATCTGGTCCTGCGGTATCATCCTCTTCGCCCTTCTCTGCGGTCGATTGCCCTTCGACGACCCCAACATCCAGCAGCTGCTTGGCAAGGTCCGAGCAGGCAAGTTCATGATGCCTGAATGGCTCGAGCCCGCCTCCAAGGACCTCATCTGGAGAATGCTCGAGGTGGACCCCGAGAAGCGCATCAAGATGACCGATATCATGCGTCACCCTTGGTTCACCAACAACGGCAAGGAGTCGTCCGTCAACCCCGTCTCGACGTCGCTCGACACCTTGCAGATGGAACAGCTCACGCTCGACACCATCGACGTTGACATTCTCGGCAACCTCAAGACGCTCTGGTCCGAGCTCAGCGAGGATGACATCGTCAAGGAGCTGCTCGCTCCTGGGCCGAGCTGGCAGAAGACCTTCTACACGCTGCTCGTCGCTCATCGCGAGAATCATTCGGCAGACGACGAGGATGACATGGACGGTGACTTTATGAACGAGCAGATCGTCACTGCTAGCGCTGTGCCCGCACATGCCCTCCTGTCGACATCGAGCGCGGCCAAGAGCCTCGAGAAGGCTCGCCCTCGTCGACCTAGCGACGTTGGCGCTGCCACCTCGGCACCTTCTTCTCCCCTTCTGGAAAGCGCCGAGATGGATCGCAGGCACAGCACGCCAGAGAAGGGCTCCGTGTACAACACCACCCCAACTCGACAAAGTGATGCCGCTACTCCGACCAAAGTCGCTTCGCCTCATGTGCGACCCGCCAATCCTTCTCCACGCCTGCGCCCTTCGCCACTCGATTCCCCTGCCGCCATCTCCAATGGGACCTACGCTTCCCCCTCGAGGCTTAGGGCACCCGTCCCCATGGAAAAGGCCGCATCGACCTCGAGCCCTCGCGCAAACAAGACGGGAAGCTATGTGCTACCTCAGATCTCGCTCCAGACGGCCTCGCCTCAGCGCAACGAGCGTCCGTCCGCTGATCTACAGCGACGCAACACTTCGCCGACAAAGAGCAACACAGCTGCGACGAGCGCACCGCCTTCGGCGCGCGTTGCGTTGGCCAACTTGTACGATGCACCGACGGCTTCGCACGCTGCCGCTGCGTCGTCTTCGTCCACTTCGTCGACGTCGTCTGTCAATGCAGCTCGCACCCGCGCCAACCGCGGCTCTGCCTCCGAGATGCTGCCTCCTGTGCCGCTTCCTGGACGTGCTTCGTCGCGCCCTGTTTCGCCGATGAAGACGACCTTCGGTGCGATCGCCACTCTGCCTCCTCAGCCTGCTCCTCAGCCTGTGCCGCAGAGGCCATCGCCGGCTCGAGCCCACACCACCACCGCCGCTGCTCCGTCCATCCAAGTGCCCCAGGTAGGCGACGCTACGATGCAGAAGTTCTTCCAGGAGATCGCGGATGAGCTCGCATCCATTCGCAAGACAGGGGACAAGCCCGATGCGCTTCAGTCCAAGCTCGAGCAGCTCAAGAGCTCCATGGCCCAGCAGCGTCCACCTCAACAGCAGCAGCCACAGCCCTCCGCTTCGGCAGACCGCCCCAAGAACTCGGAGGTCAACCAATTTGAGGATGCCGAGGACGATGTCAGCGAAGGCGAGAGCGTGCGATCCGTCTCGCAGACGTACACGGCCTCGACGCCCATGACGCCTTTGAGCCCCGCCGAGCTCATCGCTCCCCTGTCGCTGACGGACAAGATGGGCCCCGGTGCCAGGACGAGTGTGGCAAGCACGGGGGCAAGTTCCACCACCAGTGCGAGGAACTCGGTCCGTAGCGGTCGTTCGGCGGTCGAGGCGAGCAGCTCTGGTGCGACATCGCGACCCACGAGCGTGTTCAGTAACATCAGTACCGGCAGCACGGGTCTCGGCAGGAAGCGATCGCTGTTGGGCTTGCGCCGCGGAGACAAGCACCAGGCGCAACAGCAGCAGACCGCTGCGGACGCCAACACGATCCGATCGATCGCCTACGACCAGGCTCACGCTCCTCCTGCCCTTGCTAGCATCTTTGCGGCACCCGGCGTGGGTCGCTCTGGCCAGGCTGCTTCGAACGCATCGTCGACCCGCACGCAAAAGCTCAACCCCGGCCTTGGTCTGGACATGGGCGCTCACTCGGCGGGAGGTGTCATTTCGCCACCTACCACGCCTGTGACGCCTCAGCTCGCGACGCTCGCGCCTGTCGCCGCGAGCCACTCTTACTCTACGGCACCGGGCAAGAAGGACAGCTGGTTCGCCGGCCTCTTCAACTGGAAGCCGGCGACGTTCACGCTCATGTCGACCGAGAACTTCTCCGAGACGCTGAGCGAGTGCGTGCGTCGGCTGCAGAGCTACGGCGTGCGCGTGGCGATGGACGACTCGAGCGATGTGCACCACACGACGCTCAAGTGCACCATCAACGAGTACCGCGAGTCGAACGGCGTCGTGACTGCTGCCAAGCCGCTGCGATTCCGGGTCGAGCTCAATATCCTGCCTGTTGGATCGACGGGCAATTCGCCTCAGGTCGGTGGCGGGCTGGGTTTGACGTTGAATGGCAGCGCGTTGGGCGGCGGTGTGATGAACCACGGACTGCCTTCGCCTGCGCTGAGCACCCGGTCGCGCGGCAGCAGCGCGGGCGGCGTCACGTTCGCTACGTCGGTGCAGGTGGTGCAGGAGAAGGGCGCGCTGAGCACGTTCAAGCTGGTCCACGGCCGTTTGAGGCGCGAGTGGACGCTCGATCTTGCTTCTGCGGTCATCTGAGCGGCACCCCATCCCATCTTCGTCTTCGTCGTTGCCGATAACGGCGATTGCATCCTTTCTTGTTCGACTTCTTGTTTCTATCACCTGCATGCATCTCCCACACACTTTTTTGGAATCGGCTCCCTTCATATGCTCCATCTTTGCTCGTCGGATCGCTCGTCGACTCGAGTCACGCTCCTTTCACCTTCACAACCCATGTTTCTGCTCATTCGTCTTAGTTGATACTGTTGCTTTGATCTACTCCTCGCCCTTGTCCTTAACAATCCACACATTCTCTTGACATTGTATCGGTCTCTTGTTCTATGAGTGCCCTCAAGTGTAGAGCGAGTGGCGTCAAGGTCTGGGTTGAGCCGAACAAGAAGCCGGAGGCAGATGAGGAAAAGGTCGGAACGGGCTGGCCAATGGGAACGGATCGTCGCTGATCTGCCGTTTGACTCTCGGCAGGAGAAAAGGTTCACGTGTTCTTCCGACGCAGATCTTCGGGCGGTTAGCGCCGATGCATCTGACAACGCGTCCGCCGAATCGCACTGCACAACCACGGATGCTCAAACCTTTGTAACAAGACAGCAGAGGCGGTGCTTCATGGTCAAAGGACCGTCCTCAGCATCCCGGCTTGCAGAGAAACCCTTCTTGGCTGGTAGCGAGCCCCCGGCGTGATACGGGGAAATCAGGAGCAGATGCCTTTCCCGAGCCCTCCCACGCTCGAGGGAAATTTTTGGGTGCGCAACCTCCACTTTTGCTGAGTCGTGTTTTCAGCGCCAAAGTATATCCAGCCAGCGACGTCAGATCTTCCCTCCTCCCTTCCTCAGTCATACACCACGACCGACTGACATCGAAGAACAACGCATTCGCTCGGCGACCACAAAGGATCTCATACGCGCACCAGTGTCAAGAGACAAACTCTGACGAGTTCGACCCATCACGTCCGCCGGTTGGAGCAAGCTCTTTTCAGTCTCGAGATAGACCAAGCAAGAGGAACCGCAATCATCATGTCTTACGGCACGCATCGAGATGTGGGTGATGTGCAGCGACGAGAGGCGTAAGTGAACATCATGATCCTCTTTCCACTCCTTTCGCGTTGTCCGAATCTGACCCTTTTGCCGCTGCTCTGTCTCACAGCCAATACAACGCCTCGGTAAGCGCCGCAGCCAAAGGGTTCGGCACGGGTCTGGCCGTCTCGGCGCCCGGGGCCTATGTCCTGAACCGATCCTGGCCGGCGTTCCGAGCCCTCACACCCGCCATCAAGCTCTTCTTCGTGAGCGGCATCGCCATCGGCTCCGGCGTCATCGCAGCCGACAAAGCCGGAATCGCCTTTGACCAGGAACACTACACCGACGCCGGCGCTGCCGTGCAACGTCGCTACCAATCGCGTGAACAACAGGAATGGGCCTCCCTCTCCACCAGCGATAAAGCACTGACCTGGGCAAAGGAGAACAAGTTCTCCGTCGTAGCCGCCACCTGGGCCGCCTCGATGGGCGGCATTTTTGCGTACATTCACACCCAGCCCATGACCTTTGCGCAAAAATTGGTGCAGGCAAGAGTATGGGCTCAGGGAATCACACTGGCGAGTCTCGTGGGCATGGCCGCGATCACCCAGATCCCAAGTGCGGGAGATAAGATCATCAAGAGTCATAAGGAGGCCGCGGATCATAGTTGGAGAGAGTTCGTGCCTCAGGAGCCGGCTAAGGAGACGATCAAGGAGTAAGGTGCGCGCGAGAGACGGGGTAGCAATAGAGCTCTGCGTTCGTTGTGACATGTTGGAGGTGGTGCGAAGTGTGATGCATGGAAGCAGTTGTGGGTCAACTGTGTGAGTGAATGGGATGGTCATGATGCAACGATGGTTCTTCGATAAGCAAGGTGGAGTCGAGCAAAAGCGCGAGATTGTTAGATTTGCGTTCGATACTCGGATCTCGGTGAGAAGAACGGCGCGAGACCCTGGTGCTCCCCCTTCACCACCTCTTCGTCCTGACCCACAACGACGACTCGCAGACGCTATCACCCTCGCTCGAATCGCGTTCTCGGAGCCTCCATTCGACACGGAGAAACGTTCAAGATGACATCCTCACCAGCCTCCTCCTCAACCAAACCGCCCATTCTCCCACCGGAAGACCTCGCCAGCACGCTATCCTCCATCGAGCTGCTGTCCGCGATGTGGTCGGGGACCGACGAGCTGCACCTTTCCCCCGCAGATGAAGCAGGGATCACCACTGTCGCAGAGTACCTCCAATTACCGCTCGCCTCGTTGGGCGATGCCAAGTCGGTTCAGCTCAAGGAGCGGGTGGGGGAGGAGGTGGTGTTGGGTCTGCGGGTGAGGGGGGACCCGGATGCTGGGCAGGAGGTGTGGGTGAACGTTGGGTTGAAATTGCGCGGGAGGAGAGGGGTGAGGATGTGGGTGAGTGGCAAGGATGCTCCGAGCTGGCTGGATAGGGCGACGGTGGAGGAGATCAATGCGATGCTGGAGAAGAGTCTGAAGGAGGAGAACGAGGAGGATGTGGTGGGGCAGATATTGAGTGCTGTGGAGGAGGTGAGTGAGTTCTTGCTCACCCTACCCCCCACCACAAAAGCTAACATGACGACAGGGAGGGAGGATGTGAAGGAGGTGCAGTCGACACACGTCCATCGTACGTGGTATTACCTCCCCTCGCTCTCGACCCCTTCGAAACGATCGGACATCGTCCATCTCGCCACCACCTCCAGTCCACCCCTCACGGGCTTCCTCCTGGCAGGCAAACCAGGTCTCATCGTCCTCGAGCACCCCCTACCCACCCCATCCCCCACCCCTGCCGACACAACCACCGCAGCCAACAACCTCTTCGCCTTCTGGTCCAACATCAAAACCATCTCCTGGTCCGACATCCCCTCTAGCCACAAAAAGATCTCGGACAAGCTCACCGAGACCTCGGTCCCGCGCGCGTTCGTAGGGTTCGACGATGTCACCGACTGGCCCGAGACGCAACGTGGTAGCGAGAGGGGCAGGAAGAGCGACCTGAGTAAGATGGTCAGGTGGTTGGATGGGAAGGGTGTCCAGGGGAAATGGGTGTTGGAGCGCGTGCTTGGGGTTGGTGGGTGGGAGTGAGGGCAGTGTAATGCAGCTGTTTGTCTTTCTCTCGTGTGTGAGTGACTTGTGTGATTGACAGCAAGACGATATGTGACTGTGCGGAAGGTAGACGGTAACGACTCAAACAGGGGCGGCAGGGCAAGCATCAAGAGATTCAAATCGGCCGTTCGCGCTGGCATTGTTCGTTGGTCGGTGTCATATTCTCTGTATTGCGACCGGGAATCAAGTCTGAAAGCGTTTACGATGAGATTGATGGCAATTCTACTGCTTGCCACCGCCAACATTCTGGTCCTCACCACCCTCGCCGGCCTCCTCGGCCATGCTGAAGTAGCTCCACTGGCCGGGGGCGGGCGGGTGTTCGAGTGGCTCCCAACTGTATGGTTGTGCGCAATCCAGATCATTGTTTGAAAGCAAGAAGGGAGAATGGTGTTGTCAGCAATTGTGTCTTTTCCTCTTCTCAACCTCGTTTCTCCGCTTTTCGATGCATTGCACTCCGCGCGGGTCGATACTTACGCCTTCCAATCGACCATCTTGGCCGCGAGTCTATATTCCGCCTGGGCCTGTTCCAAGACCTGTTCCAACTGGCCTGCGTCCAGCTCGGCCTCCGCTTGCTCGTAGATCCCCTCGATCTGCTCGGGTTGGCTCTTGACGGCGTTTGCTTCGCCGACGTACTTGGTGACGATGGCGAGTCTCTGTTGGGTCAGTGCGCTGGTTGCCTGCCTATAGACCGAAGCTTCAGGCAGCGTGGTGAGGAGGGAGAGGGTCTTTTGGTAGCGCGATTCGAGTTCGGCCAAGGGCGAGGTGGAGACGTCGAGGCCGGTGATGTTGGTCGACTTCTTGACGCGCGCGGCGAAGGTGCTGGTCGAAGCGAGAGAGGGGGACGGGGTCGCGGCCAGGCGAACGAGGGTCCGGCTAAGTGCGAGAGTGGGTCGTGTGGCCAGCATCGTGTTGTAGTGAGGTGATGGTGGAGGGATGGTCGGGAAGATGCTGTGGTAGAGGCGGATTACCAATTCTCCAAGTGCGAGCTCGAGTCGCTTCGGAGCCGCTCCCGCTCGAAATTTGTAATCGATTTTCCAGAGGTCACCCTCGGCCTAACAAATTGCCAAAAACCCTGGTCCAGAAACAGCATCATACGAAAGCTCGCCCCAAGCTCTCTTGGCACACACATCGACTCGAAGCACATTCTAAGCTTAGACGACGATGTTCAAAGACACATGTATGGCATGATATGACGCAAACGTAAGACTATATACACGATCTTGATACAACAGACTGAAACGATCCTAGAGAACACAACATGCAGAACGTATTTACAATCTTGCCCTTCCCAGTTGATGCAAGTTCGGAAATGCGAAGCTAGCGCACACTTTGCGCTTACTCTCCACCGCCAAAGTCGTCTCCACCACCAAAGTCGTCCTGCTGCCCATCCTGGTAACCGTCCTGGTAGGAGTCGTTCATGCTGTTGGCAATCATGGCACCACCGAGCATACCGGCGCCCATACCGAGAGCTGCGCCGCCCATCATGCCCATGCCGCCGCCGCCGCCTCCGCCGAAGCGGCCGCCGCCCATGCGCTGCTGCGCCATCATGGGTTGCTGGCCGTACATGGGTTGTTGCGGGTAGCCGCCGTAGCCTTGTTGTGGGTATCCTCCGTAGCCTTGTTGAGGATAGGGCTGCTGGAAGTGCTGTTGTGGCTGCTGGTTCCAGGCGCGGTTATCTTGCGGCGGGCCCGAGGGGGGCGCGTAGCTGCCGGTGGAAGGTGTACCGGATGCGCCCTTGGTTTCGTCCGAAGGATGCACCCAGATGGAACGCGGCGGAGTAGCTTTGGTGTCGACGTAGAAGTAACGGCTGTAGTTACTGTCCCACTGTTTGACCCAGCCATCAGGTAGTGGTCGGTCATCCTCCTTGGGCTTTTCGCTGGTGGCTGCGGGCGGTTGAGGAGAGGCACCGTAACCAGGTTGATGACCGCCGTACGAGTTTTGCTGGTGGTACTGTGGTTGCTGTCCGTAGCCTCCACCGCCGCCACCATAGCCGCCGCCACCGCCGTACTGCTGCGAGCCGGGTCGACCGCCGCCCGCATTGCCCACCTTGCTGGCGAGCTTATCCAAGAGACCCATCGTGTGAGGGTGGTTCGAGAGTGAGGCTTGTTGTTGCGATATGCGGGATCCGAATGAAGAACTTCTCGTGAATGCGGATGCGAATGCGGATGCGGATGCGAATGAAAAAGGAGGCTTGATGGTGGAAGGATGGGAAGCCACGCGAAGACCTTGTCGAGGTGCCAAGAGGAGGACGGATGGAAGATGGCGAGAATCAGGAGAGATTGGGGGGCGAGAGAGAGGGCAATGGATCAAAAAGGCTTGGCATTGAGTGATGCGGGCCCGGTGACAGGTCAACTATTCAACCGAGCTGATGCCGGTGGGGTTCAGGGCATGACAGCGCAGTGGAGGCTTGGAATGGCTAAGAATATCCACAGTGCAGCACAGCAGCAGCGGACGGGCCATTTGGGGCAATTCGTCATGTTGATTTCAGAGCCACGTTTTGGCTGCACACCGGATCAATCGCCGTTTGAGCTGAGCTACACAGCCTCGAGCCCGGTTTCGATTTTAATTGAGACTGTAAGATCGCTGGGCTAACAATTCTCGATAAAGGGGCTTCTTCTAATTTAGCTGCTTGCAGACTGACGCGCGGCACGAGACTGGAGCAACAGAACAGATTACTCCGATTGACACAGACACTCGCACGCAGCAACACTGACAAACGTTGCATCTCGCTCTTACCCTCTCTCGCTCCCTCTTTGCTAGAGAGCAAATCGCGACAACCACCCTTCCGACAACGACACCAACACAGAACGGCTTCTCGGCCATAGATCCATTCGTCGCCTACACAGCTTCAAGCGCACGGCACTCGAACCACCAACCGCGGGAAATGTCGAGCTCGAGGCCCGTGCTTGTATCTCAAGTCAAGCCCTAGTCTTGCTGAGCCCCTGCAGCTACTCCTGCCACCACACGCTCCACACAATGTCGATGCCTACAACCGAATCGGCAGAGTCGCTCTCGGCTGCCTATGCCTCCAACAACTACGACTATACCCACGCCAGCCCGCAACAATACCACCACCATCGTCCTCAGGTGCAGCTTCAACACCACAGCTCCACCTCTTCCTCCTCTACAAACAACGCCCCTGCATCTTCCAGCTCGCATGCTCCTCTGTCGCGCGGAGGTGGTAGCGTAGGCTCGTCTGGCTCGCAGTCCTACTACTCGTCCAACACCCCTCATCCAGCGCAGCAAGCCCAGCCCTTTCCACCACAGTATTCGCAGTACCAGCAGCACCAGCATCACCTCTCACCGCCCACAAGCGCGTATAGACCTTCTCGTCATACGAGCAGCAATTACCCCGAGTATGCTCATTCCGCCGCTTTGAATCCTGCCAACGCTGCTGCTGCTGCTGGCGCACAACCAGCTCCCGCCATCTCGTCAAACATGTATGCACAGTCCAACATATCCATGCCTGCGTTGGGGCCTGCCATCCCAGATCCTAACGCGCGGGCGCCTCCTTTCGCCGACGACTTTGGCGACTCGTTCGCCAACATGAACCTCTACGGCACGCCCAAGCTCGGTCCACAACGCTCCAAAAGTCCAGCGTACACCTCGAAAAACACCGCCGATGTGCCATCAACAAAGGGCATCGCAAGCGCCGCTTCCGTTCGCGCCAACGCTATGTATGCTACTCAGGAGATCCACCAGTCTGCCTCAGAGGTGCAACCCGAGAACTCGCTGGCTGCTATTGCGGATCAAGTCGACCAAGCTGCTGCCGATCTCGATCCCAACGTGGCTGCGCCTGCGCCGTCGTACAACGAGCACTCGAGTAGTCAGCATGGCATGAGCAGCGCCGCATATCCCTCGTCACAGCAGCAGGATTGGAATCCTCAGCTCGGTGCTCCCTTTGCCGGTCAATACGGGTCGGGGATGCGACAGCAATCTGCTCCCGGCGAGTACCCGACGTCTGGTGGCCAGTACGCTGCGGGATCCACCGACGGCCATGCTTCTGGTGGACCCGAAGGCAGTCAGATGGCGTGGGATCCGAACGCTGCTGCTGCGGCGGCTGCGGCTGCCGGCTACTACGCCAACAACGACGGCGGATCCTACTCCGGCTTTCAGCCCCAGGCGCTCCACCATGCATCTGCCAGCTACCCCTTTGCCGGTCAAGGTGCCGACCCATACCCTCCACCCGGTGGTGGTCCCGGCTACGAAGCCAATCCTTATTTCGCCGCAGCCACCGGCTACCTCGGCTTCCCCGAAGGCGCCGCCCCCGGTTTCCCACCCGGCTCCGACGCATACGGCAACCGCACCGGTGCACCCAACATGATGGCCCTCGTACCTCCCGGCGGCGGCGGCGTGCGACCCACCATGCTCTCCCGCCAAGGCACGCAGCTCTCCATGATGTCCTCCACGCCCAACCCTCTCGCCGGCCTCGCAACCACCAACCCGCGGCGCAAATCCAAAGACGCCACACCCCAGCAAACCCTCCCCTTCAACAAATCCTTCGTCACCGAATACCGTCAACGCATGAAAGGCGATCCTGACCCAGAGGCGCAATTCGCCTTTGCGAAATACCTCATCGAAGCGGCCAAGAAAGTGCATGATCCATCCGACGGGCCGAAACAGCAGCGCAAGTATCGGGATACTTTGCTCTCGGAGTCGCTGAAGCTGATCAAGAGGTTGGCGACGACGGGGATGGGGTTGGGCAAGCCACCGTTTGCGGAAGCGCAATTTTTCCTCGCCAACTGTTTCGGTAATGGCAGTCTCGGGTTGGCGGTGGATCATGAGAAGGCGTACAACCTGTACGTGCAGGCGTCGAAGCAAAACCATCCGGCGGCGACGTATCGTACGGCGGTGTGCAACGAGGTGGGTGCCGGGACGAGGAGGGATCATCACCGGGCGGTGTTGTTCTACCGCAAAGCCTCTGCCCTGGGGGATACGGCGGGGATGTATAAATTGGGCATGGTGTTGTTATCGGGCTTGTTGGGGCAACCGAGGAATGTGAGGGAGGCGATTGTTTGGTTGAAGCGCGCAGCGGCGCAGGCGGACGAAGACAATCCGCATGCGTTGCACGAACTCGGTTTGCTTCACGAGAAGAGCTCCAACGGCGTGGTGTTGCACGACGAGGCGTATGCAAGGGAGCTCTTTACGCAAGCGGCACAGTTGGGCTACCCTCCAGCGCAGTTTAAACTGGGAAGTGCGTACGAGTATGGGAATCTCACCTGTCCGGTGGATCCGCGGAGGAGCATTGCGTGGTATACCAAAGCGGCCCAGCGCGGGGATGGCGAGTCCGAACTCGCGCTATCCGGTTGGTACCTCACCGGATCCGAAGGCGTGTTGAAGCAAAGCGATAGCGAAGCGTACCTCTGGGCGAGACGCGCCGCGTCCAAGGGCATTCCCAAAGCAGAGTATGCCGTGGGCTACTACAGCGAGGTGGGCATCGGCGTGGGGGCCAATTTGGACGAGGCCAAGCGGTGGTACATGCGCGCAGCGGCGCAGGGCAACAAGAGGGCGATGCAGAGGTTGACAGAGCTGAAAAAGAAGGGCGCAGTGGGGAAGAAGGGCGCGAGGCCGACGAGGAAGGATGCCGAGAGCGAATGCGTCGTCATGTAGCCCAGCTAGCCTGGTCGAATTCGATCTTTTAGCACTCAATACACATCTCACATTCACAAGCATCACACAAAGCACCGCATCTTGCCCGCACGACCTCATGCACACGACGCAGAGAGACAAGGTTGGCACTCTGAAGGGGTTGCTTTGGCACTGTGAAACAGTCGATCTTTCACCTATGGCAGCTCTACAAGCGCGCCCGAGCATTCTCCCCCTCCTTCCCCCCATCGAACCGGTTACTATCCGCACTCTCGATCTTCTTCCCCTCGCTCTTATCTCGATGCAGCTTTGCCTGATGTTCAAATGTGAACCGGGTCAAATCCCAATCCCTTTCATTGTCCTGCAACCCGGCGATGGTGGCAAAAAGATCCCCGATGATGGGTAAGAACTTGTAGGCGTGTCCGCTATCCCCTGTAATCACCCAGACGTTGTCCCCCCGTCCCTGGGCGGCAGGGTGACGGGAGAGCCGGTCGAGGATCCAATTCTCATCGAGGGTGTCGGAGTACCAGCAGACGCGGGTGGAGACGACACGGTTGGGCGATGCGAGCGACGGGTAGATCTGCGCTAGTTCGGTCAGCATTTCCGAAAGGCGCGAGGCGGGGATGGTGGATGAAGCCATATCGTATCCAACATCTTCGGTGGTGCCTTCGTCTCCGATGCTGCGCGCGCCGGTTGGGTGCGCGGCGATGGAATCTTCGAATGCAGGGTAGGAGCCGTTGCACTCGACGGGCGGACGAGGCCACAGGTAACCATTGGAATGGTAGGCGATCTTCATGTGCCATTCGTCCCCGACACGCGTGGGTTCGAACTGGTAGAATCCCGAGGAGAAGTTGATGATCACCGGCGTGTTGCGCAGACTCGCCGCTTCGGAGGGAGTGACACGGAGGATGGCGACGCACTGGGCGGATGGGCGGGTCATCCATTTCGACGGCGCCACGTCGGTACTGGTGGAAAGGAGGGCGGTGAGAAGGTCATTCGTCCACGCGCCTGCAGCGAGGACGATGTGATCCGCATGAAACGTTCGCCCGTCGCTCGTGCGTACACCCGTCACCTTGGACACATCGCTGTCCGCGTAGACGAACGAGACGACGCGGGCGTTGACGTGAACCGCGACGCCGCGTGTGATGGCATGGTCGAGCAGCGCACGACAGGCGTTGTTCGCTTCAGCCCATCCTCCGCGTGGGTTGAAGTAGCCCGTTTGTCGCTCGCCCATGCCTTTCAGCCCATCCCCCAGGCCACCCGTCACGCCGCTCAGCAGGGAGGCGAGTTGGTCGTCGCTCGTCAGCTTGAATGCTCGCTCTCTCTCCCCCGCTCCCGCAGGAAAGACCTCCAGATGCTTATCCTTGTCCAGATGCGCATGTCGAACCCCCGCCTCGACGTACTCCTCCGCACTGCCCTCTCCTCCGAACACCTGGCCCTTGTCGCTGGAGCGGAACAGCACGCCTACTTCATGGTAGAACTTCGCGAGCACCGGGTCAGCGCGCCACCGGGAGATGGCTTCCTTGGCGAGCGAGCAATAGTTGGCATCGGTGTAGTCGGCCCGGACGATCTTGTTGAGGTCGTGCGATGCGCCGTCGGGGGCTACGTGTCCGTCTGAGGAGCGGTCCAGGAGGGTTACGGTGTGGCCGAGCGAGATGAGGGTGGAAGCGATCGAGGTGCCGTTTACGCCGGCACCGATGATCAGGTAGTCCGACGTCGACATTGCTGCTGCTACGACGGGCGGTGAACAGGTGGTGGTGTGAGGGGAACGTCGAGAAGGCAAGCAGGCGGATCAAAGAATGTCTGCCCCGCCGACAGAAGTGACTCGAAGCTGGAACGGTGTGGACCCACATGACCCCTTCCCCCACCGACACAGACTCACCCACGACACTCTGAGTCTACTGAAGCTACGGTAATTCTGGTCGTCCCCCGCTGCCGAGGATCAACTCGAATTCTTCTCAGATAAGGTTGCCAAGATGCCTTGAAATTCACCGACGCGCCGGTACTTTGCCGCCGGCGATTCGCCGAGCATCATCAACCCTTGCTCACCCTCAGACACGAACATGCACACTCGATCTTCTTCTGAAACGTTCGTTGCTCCATTCGCGTGAAAGCATTTCAGCCAAACGTCTGCGAACTCTTGCCGACGCGCTTCACCTTGCTCAGCCGCCACTCGTCCTGGTGCTTGGCAAACTTGTCGAAGAGCGGAGCGATCTTCTCCTGCCTCTTGCGCTTGCTGATGTTCATCGCGTCGGCGGGACGGAAGAACCTCGGTGCCACCTCGACGAGCCACTTGGGCTCGATCGCCGTCACCTCGCGCATGTACTCGCGCGTCGTCAGCACCACTTCGTGGTAGACGCAGTACTCGGGTGCGCGGTTGAACAGTGCTGAGCTCGGATGGATGTAGACTGTGCCCCCCGATTCCGCCAGCGACTTGTATCCTTCCTGCGGGTCCTTTTTGGCGGCATTCCTAAAGTAGCCCGAGCAGATGGCTTTGCGGACGCGATTGTAGTTCTTGCCGCACGAAACAATGTCGTGGCTGTAGCGGTCCATGATACCCACCAGCTGCTTGCGAACGTCCTGCGCCCGACGCAGCGATCGTCCCTGCACAAAGTTGTCCATGCACCATGGCATGCTGAACTTGCTCGCCGCCCACCCGTTGTACACGGTCAGCAGCGTCAGGTGGTCGCCCTCGGGTTGGAAGAACTTGGCCTTCTTGGCATCCGCCTGCGTCTGCTTGTCCTTGGGTCGGTAGAACACGTTCTGCACCGACAGCATGGCGACGATCGAAAGCATCTCCTCGGAACACCCAAGATCGACCGACGCGATGAGCATCTTGGACATCATAGGCTCCATGGGGAAGTCGGCCATCTTTCGTCCGAGTCGCGTCAACAGGCCCTCATCGTCCAAAGCGGAAAGCGCATAGAGCGACTCGAGCGCCGTCAGCAGCGTCTGGGCCGGTGGTGGGTCCATAAAGTCAAAGTTGACCAGGTCGTTGATGCCCATCGCCTTCAGCGCTAAGATGGTCGATGCGAGATTCTGTCGCTGGATGTCCGGGATCGAGTTGGGCAGCATCTCGTTTCGGTACGCTGCTTCCGTGTACAGGCGGTAGCACTTGCCTGGCCCGGTGCGGCCAGCTCGGCCAGAACGCTGCCTCGCCTGCGCCTGCGAGATGGGCGTCACCACCAGCGAGTCCATGCCCAGCTTCGGATCGTATGCGTTCTGCTTGACAAAGCCCGGATCGACGACGTAGTAGATACCGTCGATCGTGATACTAGTCTCGGCAATGTTGGTCGCAAGGATCACCTTTCGCGATCCAGCGGGGGTCGGCTCGAAAATTTTGGTCTGCATCTCCGACGGCAGCGCAGAGTAGACGGGCAGGATGATGAGCTCCGGCACGCTGGGACCTAACGCCTTCATGCGCTCGAAGAGGATCTCGCAACTCGTGTCAATCTCTTCCTGACCCGTGAGGAAGACCAAGATGTCACCTGTCGGCTCCGAAAGATGGATCTGCATCACCGTGATCAGTGCTGCATCCAGATAGTCCGGCTCGGGCTCCTTGGTGTACAGGATCTCGACGGGGTACGTTCGACCAGGGATGGTAAAGATGGGACAGCCAAAGAAGTAGGTCGAGAACTTCTCCGCATCGAGCGTCGCTGATGTGACGATGAGCTTGAGATCGGGTCTCCGCTTGAGGGCCTTCTTGAGAAGACCGAAAAGCACGTCGGTAGCAATGGTGCGTTCGTGCGCCTCGTCGAGCATGATCACCGAGTAGTTGGTCACGTCCGGATCTACGAGACACTCTCGTTGCAGCATACCGTCTGTCATGTACTTGATCTTGGTTTCCGGGCTGGTGCAGTCTTCGAATCGGATCGTGTAGCCGACCTCCTGTCCAACTCTGCATCCTACCTCCTCCGCTACACGCTTGGCGACACTGACGGCTGCTACACGTCGTGGTTGCGTACAGCCGATCTTGCCGCGATCTGCGAAGCCCTCCTCGGCCAAGTACTGGGTCATCTGGGTGGTCTTGCCGGAGCCAGTGTCGCCGACGACGATCAGCACTTGATTGTCGCGGATGGCTTGAACCAGCTGTTGGCGCAACTTGTAGATGGGCAAGCTCTGACGTTGTTCTTGCATCGAAAGACTGGTGATCCTACCGAACGTTGTCGCCTTGTTGAACGTCTCCTTCTTCCAAGCGGGTTGGTCCTGCGCCTTCTGACCGAGGATGTTGCCCCTTCGATCCTGAGCGAACTGTCGGTCGCCTTGTTGCGCCATGGGGTCGAGCCAGCCCGAGGTCATGTCGGCAGTTTCTGCGTCCGCCTCCTCTTCTGCTTCTTGCTTGCGCAGTTCTCTGCGCTCCTTGGCGAGCGTTGCACCCGCCATAGCAGCACGGTTGAGAGTGCCGTCGGGCGCCTTGACGATCTTGACCGGCGACATCTCGATCGAAGAGCTGGTTTGGCCTTTGAGGAAAGGGGCTTCTTTCTCGTTGACTTCGATGTCGAGCTCCTCGTCGTCCTCGTCGGCACCTGGCTTGGTGTTGGGCGTGCGCAGATCCTCCTCCATGAGTTCTGGGTAGTCGCTGGCTTTGGCGACACCACTGGCGATGAGCTGTCGCAGCTCCCAGCGTTCAGGACTAGTGAGTCGCTTGATGCTTCTGCCGCGCCCATCTTCCTTGACTGTGATGCCGCTGCCAGCTCCATTGCCATTCGACGCTCCTCTCGCGCCGCCTAGTGGTGCACTATTTGCGCCACTGGCGGAACGAGCAGCATGCCGTTCGCGCTCTTCTGCCATCTCTGCCTCGCTCTTGATGCGCAGATGCGGCGTGAGATCTCGTCCTGTTGCTTGGTCGACGTCCTTCATGGAGAGACCGATGCGGTCGCCGACGACGGACATGACCTTGACCTTGACGCGTTGACCTCTAGAGAGAAGGTCAGACGGATGGTTGACACGCGTATTGGGTGCGATCGAGCCGATATGTACCATTCCTTCGAAGCGTCCACGAAGCCCTTCGAGGCCGACAAAGGCGCCAAAGTCACGCAAGTTGCTGACCTTTCCGTCGTAGATCTTGTAGAGCTGCGGTCGGTCGTCGGGAGGTGGGCGGGATAGGTGCGGTGGCGGACGGTCGTCCCGGCCTCTGCGGGAAGAAGAAGAGGACGCTGCACGGTCATCCTCGTCATATCGGTTTCTCGAGGATGTAGATGGAGGCGAACGAGAGTCTGGTTTCCTTCCGTTACCGTTTGTGCGCGAGCTGGGCTTTGCTGCGGCCATGTCCTCAAACTCCTTCATGAAATCATCGACGGCATTGCGACCTTTCTCCTCGGCGGAGGACTGCCATTCCTGATCCTTGATGGCGAGCCCAGGGAACATGCGAGTCTTGCGTTCGCGCTCCTCATCCTCGAGCGATGCCTTCTCCTTACCCTTGGCGCTAGGCGAAGATGAGCCCGCCTTGCCGTTGGTGACTGCCGCGGACGCTGATGATTTCTTGTGTTTGGGATGCAATCGAAGGATGAGGCGGTCGAGATTGGTGACAAAGCTGTCGGGAAACTCAGCTCCGACTTCGGAGAGCTTGGATTTGAAGTCGGCGACGGAGGTAGCAGAATCGTGCAGCGAAAGGATGAACTCTGCAAGAACGCGATCGTTGATGCCGGTGTGGTTGAGGAGCTCTGTAGCGATCTTGCCCGTCAGAGAAAGGAGCTCGAGCTGGTAGAGCTCATCCTTCGTGGACGACGCCATGACTCCTAGCAGTAGCAGCGCGCTGTGTATACTGCACAATGCTTCAAGTGTGATGTGGTGGTGATAGCAGGGACGGAGGATGTACGGAAAGGCTGAGCAGCATCAACTTTGTCAAGGTCGAACCCTGAGAAGCGGTTAAAATTCGAGCTCGGGACTCGGTCATGAAGCGACTTAACAAAATGACTTTTTTCTAGCTCGGATATGCACTCGAGCTGCGTGAAAGAGGTGCATTTGCAGGCCGCAGAGCAACAGCAACAGCAACAGCAGCAAGCAGCGGCGCGTGCTTGAAAGTCAGCCTCAAAGAAGCACGAGCCAAGCTCACTTTTTTTACCCGCCCGCCTGGATTGTGTTCTAAGCCACCTTCTCCTCGTTCATCATCTCGACAGCATCGCAGCATCTCATCATGGGGCCTCGACACCCTGCCTCCGAGACGGCGGGTCAGCGCGCCGAAGCTCATGACATCGACGACAGCCCGCTCGACTCAGCCAAAGCATCAGCCGAAAAGTCAGCTGACTCTTCAAAATCCAAGGGCGATCCCACCAACAAGGACAATGTCATTCGGTGAGTAGTCAGATTCTCGAAAGGTCGTAGCATCGGAGCATGTAGGTGCTAACCTCTGTCTATGGCCACTTGTGCACAGCTTCGCCCCGCTCTCGATCCCACGCAACCGTCGACTGCAGACCCTCGGCGTCCTCTTCTGGGCCTTACTCCTGCCAATCTGCCTGAGCATCTTCTTTCTGCTCCTCTCCTTTCCTCTCGCATGGCCAATCCTGATCCCCTACCTCATCTGGATCAACTTCATCGACACTGCTGCCGAAAATGGCGGTCGTCGCATCCCATGGGTCCGCAAGCTGCCCGTCTTTCGCTTGTTCGCAGAGTACTTTCCCATCTCGATGATCAAGACCGCCGACCTGCCGCCTGATCGTCCGTACATCTTTGGAGTCCACCCACACGGTATTCTCGGTGTCGCTGCCGTCTCCAACATGGCAACAGACGCGACAGAGTTCCCCACGAGTTTCCCTGGCATCACCCCGCATCTCCTGACCCTTGCGACCAACTTCACCATTCCGCTGTTCAGGGACTGCATCATGGCCATGGGGATATGCAGCGTCTCGAAACACAGCTGCGAGGCTATCCTCCGGAAAGGCAAGGGAAGCGCAATCGCCATCGTGGTGGGTGGAGCGAGCGAAAGTCTAGCTGCGCATCCAGGCACCGCAGACTTGACGCTCAAGAGGAGGCTTGGGTTTATCAAGATCGCCATTCGTAGCGGTGCCGATCTCGTACCCGTTTTTTCTTTCGGCGAAAATGATGTGTACGAGCAGCTCTCCAACGAGGAGGGAACCAAGGTGTATGCGATCCAGAAGAAGTTTCAGGCGGTATTCGGGTTCACGCTGCCCTTCTTCCACGGTCGAGGGCTGTTCAATTACAGCGTGGGGCTCATGCCGTACAGGCATCCTATTGTCAGCGTCGGTAAGTGTCGCCACGATTATAAGGCAAACCAGGTGGATGTTCCGGAACTAACTCTTGACCTCAAACCCTTTATGCACGTCACCAACAGTGGGCAAGCCAATACACGTCAAACAAAACTCGAATCCGAGCAAGGAAGAGATTGAGGAGGTGCAGAACAGATACATTGAAGAGCTCATGAAGTAAGTGTCACTTGCAGCTGGGTGCTCAAGCCGAGACCGGACCACTGATATGGGACCTCTTCTGACGCTTGGTTCGGAACAGCATCTGGGAGACATGGAAAGACGCATACGCCGCCAATCGCACCAAGGAGCTCACGATCGTAGCGTAGGGGATTCTGTCGCATCACATTTGTTCGTCGAATTCATGGGATTCAATTTCAGCGATAGCGATCTGCGCTTATGTTGGTGGGACCGCTGAGGGCGAGCGGCCGACTGTTGATTTGACGAAAGTGTCTGCTTGCAACATTGCAATCGACGTCTCCAATCAACAGTCGGCCGTTCTCAGCGGTCCCACCAAAGCAAGCTCAACCGAGAACCGAAGAGCAAATGAATCAATGGTGTATTACATTGTACAGCATGAGGTGGGTTGAGAAGGTCGCTTCGATGTTTTTGGTGTGGGTTTCTTACTTGGCCTCCTCAGCGGCGACAGGGGCGTCCTCGACATCGCCCTCGTCGTCATCGTCGTCCTCGCCGCCAAAGTCGGGCATGCCGCCGCCCATACCACCCATACCACCCATCTGCGCCATCATCGCCTGGAGGTCCATGCCACCCATACCGCCCATGCCACCCATTCCACCCATACCGCCCATACCGCCAGCACCGCCCATACCCATCATTGACGGGTCCATGCCACCCATTCCGCCCATGCCACCCATGCCGCCGCTGAGGTCCTCCTCGACGTCGTTCTGCTCATCCTCATCGACCCACTTGTCGAAGTCGGTCTTGACATTGTGCAGACGAACCTTGTCCTTGGTCAACCTAGGCCAGTACTCCTCCTGAGCGGTCTTCTTGCGCAGCACGGCATAGAGACACTTGGAGTTGAGGTGTGTCTTAGAGTTTTCGGTGTCAATCTCGTCGAAGAAGTCGAGCGAGAAGGAGTAGGTCTTGGGGTCGATGCCCTTGGACTTGTCGCCGACCGAGGCGTTGAATGTGAAGCCAGTTGACGTGAGGTCGAATTTGGTCTCTGGTGGAGAGGGAAGGTTGGGGACGTTGATGGTGAGCATCACAACGTTCTACGAGGAGTACGAAGGAGAAAGAGAGAAAAGTCAGCGTTTCGATCAAGGTGCGAACAGGGTCGTGGCAGGAGCTTGGCGTACCTTCTCGGCCTCGTCAGGCGATGAGCGCTGAGCCCAAAGGATCTCTGGTACGACTGTCGACATCTTGTATAAGTATCAACTGTGATGGTGATGGTGGGTCGCGAGAGAGGGTCGACTGAGCAAGAAGAATGTTGTTCTACGCACACTGCTCTCCACTTTGAGAAGAAGCGCTCAGTCTGTGCGTCGACAGCTTTGTTTCCAGCGACTTCGATGCGCCGGCCTGCGTAGAACGCTCTAACAAGGGTCCCAACCCGCCTTGACATTGTCGTGCGAAAAGAAGAAAGTCGACGCGAAGGACCCTGAACCAACGAAAATTTGGCCGTTCAAGCTGCACCGAACTTTGACTTTTTTGAAGGTTGTGGAGAACAGCGACCCTCGTCTTGCGTCCCTGTCTCTGCACCTTCCACATCCATCATTATACCTCATACCACCCCGCACAATGCCACCGAAGAAGAGCACATCCGCTGCCAAGGCAGCGCCGGCAAACAAGGCCGCACCAAAGGCTGCTGCTGCTGCTGCTGCACCTGCTTCGGCCGCCACTGCACCTGCCACAAAGGCCAATGGCAAGAAGCGTGCCGCTGCCGACGAAGCCGACTCTACCCCTGCTAAGAAGACCACTGCCGCCGCCTCAAAAGGCAAGAAGCTCGCCACAAAGAAGGCTGCTGCATCCTCTGGCGAGGACGCGACCGACGTCAACGAGCGTGCCATCATCGCTTCGCTCTCCGACGTCTCTGCCGACTCGTCCGACGACGACGATGACGACTTTGAAGACGACGCTGCCAACTCGTCCGACGAAGACGACGAGGACGACCGTGCGGCCGCCTCTGCCGCCACGCAACCGCGATCCTCGCTCGCCTCGGTCAAACTGCCCAACTCGAAAGACGACGCTGTCGTTCGCGCCCGACTCGACAAGCTGCGCAAGTCCAAGTCCAAATCCTCTGGCGCCAACACCACTCCTGGCGTGCTCTACATCGGTCGTCTTCCACGCGGGTTCTTCGAGAAGCAGCTCAAGGCGTACTTCACCCAGTTCGGCGACGTCACCCGTCTTCGTGTGTCGAGGAACAAAAAGACCGGTGCATCGAAGCACTACGCCTTTGTCGAGTTCGCCGATCGCGACGTGGCCAAGATCGTCCAGGAGACCATGCACAACTACCTGATCGACGGGAGGTTGCTTCAGGTCAAAGAGGTGGCCAAGGACAAGGTGCACCCCGAGCTGTGGGTGGGTGCGAATCGAAAGTTCCAAAAGGTGCCCGGTGACCGGGTGGAGCGGGTGGTGAGGAGCAGGGTTAAGACCGAGGAGGAGCAGAAGAGGACCAATGAGAGGGCCATCAAGAGGCAGGATGCGAGGCGGGAGAAGTTGCACAAGTTGGGCATCGAGTATGAGTTCCCTGGGTATGCGAACGAGGGTGAGGAGCAGAAGAAGAAGGCGAGCGCGGCAAAGGTGGGGACGCCGGCAAAGGCAAAGGGCAAGACGGCCAAGGCTTAAAATTGAATCACCTTGACTCCTCACGATCGTACCAGCCACTTTCACCTTCTCGCATCACTTCTTGTACACTTTTGCCCTTCCCGGCCCACTGGTTTATTCGCAACATGCAATGCTTCTCCGACTCTCTTCCGCGCCCTGTCACACTGTCAACACACTCGCATCTGTCAGTGCACGTCTGAATGCTTTTGCTTCTACACACTCACATCTTGTTCCTTCTCCTCCTCCTCATCGACCCCAACAAACGTCTCGAACGCCTCCGAGCTGCCCTGCTTATCCCCGCTCTCGCCATCCCCCCACCTCTGCTCTGGCCTCCTCTCGCCCGTATACCTCTTGACCACCAACTGTACCATCCGTTCCCAACTCCATTGGCCTTCCGCCTCGACCTTGTATCTCGCCTTTTCACCGAAGGTCTTTTGCGCTACACTAATGAGCACATCCGCCGTCAAGCCCTTGATGAGCTGATGACTCGACCTGAACCGATGAAGACGATACGTTGCTCCGAGCCAGGGGATGTCTGTGTAGGTGCGAAAGACTTCCTGTGGTGGGCGGTGTTTGTCTACGCTGCTCGGATCTGATAGAGGTGCTCCTTTGGGTGCAACAGACGAAAGAAATGCGACGAGCGGGGTGGTCCAGATATCGGCCACTTCGGAGGGACTCGCTCGGAGCTTGGGCAGGATCTGCTCGCCGTTCTTGAGGAAGAACACCACGGGATGCACGAGAAGGCCCATCTTGCTCAAGAAGGGGTAGCCGGTATGGACGTGCACTGCGGACCGAGCGGGGAGAGCGATTTCTTCGACACTCTCCCGCAACGCTGTTTCCACCACGGACCGGTCTGAGGAGTCCACCTTGCCACCGGGGAGGGAGGCTTGACCGGGATGCGAGCGGAGATGAAGGGCACGAGTGGACATGATGACGCGCAGCTCTGAGGAGGACGACTCGTAGAGGATGGCTGCTACCGCCGCTTGCTTGCGCGTGGGGACATGGGCGAAGGATGGTGCGGACGGAAGGGCGAGCAGGCGGCGGATGCAGGCTGCATTGGAGGGAGAGAGCGAGTGCAACCAGTCGGGCTCGTCTCCGTTGGCTACACCGTTCGCGCTCATAATGGTCGTCTGAGGGTGGTGAATAGGGATGAGGAGAGAAGCAAAGCGGATGAGGATTATGCTTCAAAAGGTGTTGGTTACGCAACGAGCTGCATGCGGTCCGACCCTGCGGCCTTGAATTTTGGCCGACTTCCGCTCTCCATTTTTGTGGAGGCGCAAAAGTAACACTTCCAACCTTCTTGCATACCAACACCATCATCCCTCGGCATGACGTCGCAATACGTCACGGAGCCGCCTACATCCGGCCTGGTCGAGCTGATCACCTCCAAGGGTCCCATCACCATCGAGCTCTTCGCACGCGAGACTCCACAAGCATGTCGCAACTTCCTCACTCTCGCGCTCGAGGGGTTTTACGACAACCTCGTCTTCCACCGCCTCATTCCGGGATTCATGATTCAGTCCGGCGATCCATCCGGCACCGGCGCGGGCGGAGAGAGCATGTATGGAGAGCCGTTCCCAATCGAACCGCATTCGAGGTTGAAGTTCAACCGCAGAGGACTGCTCGCCATGGCTGCGGGAGAGGATCGGACGAACGAGAGCCAGTTTTTCTTGACGCTGGACGCGACACCGGAGCTACAGGGGAAGCATACGTTGATGGGGCGGGTGGTGGGAAAGACTATCTACAATCTCATGGAGCTAGCGCAGGGCGTGGAGATGGAGAAGGACAGCGATAGACCGAGGTACCCGCCCAAGTTGAAGGAGGTCAGGGTGGTGGAGAATCCGTTTGACGATCTCAAGCCGCGCATGACGAGGGAGCAGAGAAGGGACGAGGAGCGGAGGAGAAAAGAAGAAAAGGAAAGAACAAGGGTAGAGGAGGAGAAGAGAAAGAGGGGGAAGGTCAAGAAGAATACGGGCCTACTGTCGTTTGGTGCGGAGGAGGAGGAGGGTGAGATGGCTGGGATGGTGCTCAAAGGGCCGAAGAGCTCGCATGATCTATTGAAAGACGACAGAAGATTGGCGAAGCAACCGATGGAGACGAGCAAGAAGAGCAGCAAGACGAAACACAGCAAGGTTCAGGAGGCGGACGCTGCACCGGACGCCGTAGCTTCGTCGTCCTCGTCTGCCATCCCTCTGGCCACGACACCGGCGACCAACGGCACATCAGAAGCAGACAAACCGAAAGGGAAGGCCCGCTCTGATCGAGACACGAAGAGCAGCAGCAGAACCAACAACCGCGCCCACGCATCCTCCTCGGCGGGACGAGACTTCCTTTCGGCAGAACGGGCCAAGTACCTGTCCTCGAAATCATCCTCGTCCAAAGAAGACAAGTCATATTCGGCGCTGCTTTCGTTCCAATCTCGTCTTCGCACTTCTGACAAATCTTCCTCCTCCTTTGCGACCAAAGCCTCTACCGTCGAAGATGAAGAGGATGAAGAGGAAGCTAGGGAATACGGCGCAAGCGATGACGATGACGACTGGCGAAATCACCGCTTGGACGCAGGAGGTGCGCCTCTGGTCAGTGGCAGGGCGGATAAGGTGGACGACTATGAGGTGCTGGACCCTCGAGAGCACGGTCGAAAGGACACGAGGGAGGCAAGAAAGGACGGCAAGAGAGGCAGGGACTGGGTGGAGGATGAAAGAAGGTACAAAGATCATCGGTCAAGTCGCGGGTCGGAAAGGCGCACGGACGATGGAAGACGAGGAGGAGCCTCATCCCCCCGCCATCATCGTGACGAGAGGAGAAACGGCAGATATGCAGACAGGGATTATGATCGCCGTCGATGAGCCTTCGTTCAGCGTCGAAGACCTCGCACCATCACAACCTCGCTCACAGCACAAACACTAAAACGCAAACTGAAAACAGATCATCATTTACAAAAACCGATCAGGATACATTTTTGGGTGCGTTTAAAGCTCGTCCGGCGACGGAGGTCTCGAGTAAGCGTTCGAGTAGGGCACGCTTCCAGCCTCGGACCTGCCGTCCTCGGTGAGATGTTCGTCAAAGTAGTGCGCCGCGGTGCTCTTGGGCGTCCTGGGCGTCTGAGCCAGACCATAACTCGCGCCCGTCGAGTAGATGGTGTAGGCGATGAGACCGGTCCAACCGCACTGGTGCGAGGCGCCAAGACCCTTGCCCGTGTCGCCGTGGAAGAACTCGTAAAAGTGCACCAGGTCTCTGAACTCGGGCGCGTAGTCGAGCATGGGGATACCACCGTTGCTGGCGCGCCTGCCTTGGTCGTCGCGCAGGAAGACGCCGAGCAGACGGTGCGAGAGCTCCTCTGCGACGTGACCCAGGTGCATGTAGTCGCCACTGCCTGTCGGGCATTCCACCTTGAAGCTGTCGCCGTAATACTGGTAGAATCGCTGCAGCGACTCGATGAGCAGGAAGTTGACGCAGATCCAGATGGGACCACGCCAGTTCGAGTTACCGCCGAACATGGGGCTCTGCGAGTCACCGGGCCAGTAGCCGACACCAAAGTCCTCGCCGCCCACATTGACGTGGAAGGGGTTCTTCTGGTGGTCCTTGCTGAGCGAACGCACACCGTGAGGCGAAAGGAACTCGTTCTCATCGAGCATGCGCTTGAGGATGAGCTCGAGACGCTCGCGGCTGACCATGGACAGCAGACGTCGGTCGCCACGGCCACCCACCTGCATGTTGGCAATGTTGCGGTCGGCCATCTCGGGTCGGTTGTCGAGGAACCACTGCATGCGCTTGGCGAAGCTGGGGAATCGCTTAAGCGCCGATGGCTCGATGGTCAAGGTGGCGTAGAGCGGGATGAGACCGACCAGACTCTTGACAGGAATCACCTGGCTGTTGCCGGGACCCCACTGGATGGCGTCGTAGTAGAAGCCGTCCTTGTCGGACCAGAGACTGGTGCTCTCGTCGTCGAACGTGTCGTGGAACGACATGGCGTCCGAGATGAAGATAAAGTGCTCAAAGAACTTGGAAGCAATGTCCTCGTAGGTGGGGTTGTGCTTGGCCAGCTCGAGCGCCATGTTCAACATGTTGAGCGCGTAGAAGGCCATCCAAGCCGTTCCGTCGGCCTGACGCAGCGTACCGCCCGTGGGCAGGGGCTCGGATCGGTTGAAGGGACCAATGTTGTCGAGACCAAGGAAACCGCCCTCGAACACGTTGGAGCCACTCGAGTCCTTTCGGTTGACCCACCAGGTGAAGTTGATGAGCAGCTTCTGGAAGACGCGCTCCAAGAAGTCGAGATCCTCGCGACCGTACATCTTACGCTCGATCTTGAACACACGGAAGGTGGCCCAGGCGTGGACAGGAGGGTTGACGTCGGAGAAGTTCCACTCGTAAGCGGGGAGCGCACCGTCGGGCTTCATGTACCACTCTCGGGTGAAGAGGTCCAGCTGCTTCTTGGCAAAGGCAGGGTCGACCATAGCGAGAGGAATGCAGTGGAAGGCACTGTCCCAGACGGCGCTGAAGGGGTACTCCCACTTGTCTGGCATCGAGAGAATGTCCTCCATGTGCAAGTGTCGCCAGTCGTGGTTGCGAATGCGCTTGCGCTCGGGGGGAGGCGCGGGCTGACCAGGGTCGCCACGCAGCCACTCGGACTGGATGAACATGTAGAACTGCTTGTTCCAGAGCATGCCGGCGAGAGCCTGGCGCATGACGTTCTTCATGTCGTCCGACATGGGACCGCTGATGAGCTTGGCGTAGAACTCGTCGGCCTCGGAGCGTCGAGCCTCGACGGTGGTGTCGAACTGCTCGTCGTCGTCGATGGCGGGATCCTGCGATGGCGTCTTGGGAGTGAGCTTCATCCTGACGACGGCGCAACCTCCGAAGGGAGGCACTTGGCGGAAGACGTAGTGCGCACCTGCCTTGGTACCCTCCTTGCTGGGGTTGACGTAATCACGAGGGGGCTTGGACTCGTCGGGGTTCTCATAGTAGGTCTCGTCCTCTACGATTTCCTCCTCAATGTCGACGATCTCGTACTCCTGCTCACCATTGGGACCGATGGAGCCAAACTGCTTCTCGGCAGCAGCCGCTTCAGGATCGACGGCGGCAGCGCCGTCGGCCTTGGCAGCAGTGTCAGCCTCGGGCTGGCTGGCAATAGGACGCCTTTCCTGACGAACGATGGTCTTCTTGACCTGGCGAGTCTTCTGGACTGCCTTGGGACGATCCTTCTCCTGTCGGTGTCCGGGAATGATGTGGTCGTGGAAGGCATCCTTGGCGTAGATGTTGCGGTTGTTGCCGTTGTAGAGACGCTCAAAGTTGGTCTCGTTCTCGGTGAAGAGGAGGTCAGGGATCACCTCCTCGTCCGAGACGGGCTCGGGAGCCTGACCGCGCTTGGCGGGCGGAGCGCTGGGAGCGGGACTGGTGGAGCAGTAGAGGTGGTATTTACCAAGGTCGGGATGTTCGGCCTCGATAACGTAGTCGCCGGTCTGCTTCATCTTGGGCTTGGCGGGCTCCTCCTTGGGCCAGAACCAGTAGTTGCGGAAGACGAGCTGAGGGATGATGTGGAGATCGGCGGCTTCCGGACCACGGTTGTAGGCGCTGATTCGGACCGAGATGGCGTTCTCCTCGTCCTTATCTTTGGCGTATTCGACGAAAACGTCCCAGTACTTGTCGTCGTCAAAGAGGTCGGTGTCGGTGACCTCGAATTCGGCAACATCACGGCTTCGGTTGCGTGACTCGCGAACAAAGAGGTCGTAAGGGTACGTCTCTTGCGGGTACTTGTAGAGCATCTTCATGTAGCTGTGAGTGGGGGTGCTGTCGAGGTACCAGTAGAGCTCCTTGACGTCTTCGCCGTGGTTGCCCTCGTTGTTGGCGAGACCGAAGAGACGTTCCTTGAGCATGCGATCCTTTCCGTTCCAGAGGGCCAAGCTGAGACCCATCCTGCCGTGGTTGTCAGAGAGACCGGCGAGACCATCCTCACCCCATCGATAGGTACGACTACGGGCCATCTCGTGCGGGAAGTGAGACCAAGCATCTCCGTTGGCCGAGTAATCCTCGCGGACGGTACCCCACTGACGCTCGCTGAGGTACGGACCCCAACGCTTCCAGTGACGCTTCTTTTCGAGGTCTTCCTGCAGACGCTTGTCCTCGAGCGAGATCCAGTGGTCATCGGAACGAGCGTCGACAGCCTGGCTGAGGTTACCGGTGGGACCACGGCCGTGACCGATGTCCTGCTCGCTAGCCGACTCGCGACGAGAGCCGACAGGAGTAGCTTCGCTCATGGCAGTCATGGCAGACATGCCTGCGGGAGCACCCGAGCCAGCACTGAACGACTTGCGGTGGTAGGTCTCGGGACGAGCCGAATAGTGGTTGGGGTTGGCGTACTTGGATGCGTTGTCAGGGTGGTAGTCTGCGCGGTACTGGTCTTGGTTCGTGCGCGAGTGGAAAGACGACTTGTTGGAAATGCCGACAGGAGTGAGGTCGTCTCGGTCAGCAGCAGCAGCAGTACCGTTTGTGGGTTTGGCTTCGGATTTCGACTGCTTCTTGGGCAGCTCAGCAGCGGGCTGGGCGGCTGCTTCCTGGTTAGCAGGGATGTTGATACTGAGAGGCTTGACGGGCTCCATCTTGGACTTGGTCGCGGCAGGTGCTGCTTCCGTGGGCTGCTTGGACGAGTCTTGGTCCGCTGCGGTGGGCGTCTCGGTGCTTTTCTGGGCAAAGTCGGTCGCAGCAACGGCCGGCGCAGGCGAAGCAGCAGCAGGAGTAGCAGGTGCAGCAGCAGGAGCGGGCGACAAGGCTACTTCAGGCTGTGACTTCGGAGCAGCCGATTCGGCCGTGGGAGTAGTAGCCGACGAGGCCTGCTGAGCGGGCGCGGAAGTGGTCTGGCTTTCGGCCTTGACAGGAGGCGTGGGAGTGATTTGCTGCGGCTGCTTAGCGGAGCTCGAGCCGGAAGCAGGCTTGGAAGCAGTGCGAGGAGCGACGGAAGGAGCGGCCGAAGCACCAGCAGAAGGCTGCGAGGATGCGGTGTTCTTGTTGGAAGCAGCGGTGGTGGTGGCAGGGTGGGAAGTCTCCTTGGACGGTGTGGAAGGTGGGAAGGGCGAGGGAGCAGGAGAGGGGCTGGGCGAAGCACCGCGGTCGGATCTCCCAAAGATCCTGGAAGAAGCCTTGCCAATCGAGGCGGCGGGCGAGCTAGGGTTCGAGTTGGAGTTGGCCTGTTCGCCTTCCGACTGGTTGCGGCCGTGTTGCGAGGACGAGGCGGATGACTTGGTGCGGCCCGAGCCAAACACCTTGCGCAATTGCGAAGCCATGTTTGCTGCAGTGGGAGCGCCGAGATGCAAGAGGATCTCGAATCAGCCACGCGAACAAAGGAAGGGGGGGAATGCCAGCGACAAAGACAAGGTCCGATGATGGAAGGTGGATGACAAGAGAGGCGCAGCGCAGTTAGAAGAAATGCGCTCCCTCTCGCTCTCTCCCTGATCCTCGCGCCCTGCGCACTGACTTGCCGAGGCGAGCTCTTGTGGTTCAGGGTTTTTTTCCGCCAAAGGAGCCGCGTGCCCATCGACCTGCTTTTCGAGAGAGACAAAGTACAGTATGGCGCACAGCACGATGATCAAGGTGAGCAGCAAGGCCAAATAGTGGGTTGTATCGACCCAGAACTACAATGCAGGATGACTCAACGTCGAGCAGACTAGAAAAGCAGTAGCAGGAGGGAGCGGATCAGGTATTGAGCCGGTCAACACGCAGTGAGAATGGCTGCAACAGACGCACAAGCAACACAGCGGATCAATCGGCTTCGAGCAGCTGAGTCGGTCCCTTGAGACAGGAGGCACGGCCAGAGGATTGGTTCAAGGCAGCTCAGGGTGATTGGCTCTGAATCGTGGACCGTCCCTGCCAATGCAATTGTCCGACACGAGGCATTCTGTTCCGCACAGTGACAGCCTGACTGAGCTGTGGGGTCAGGATCGACAAGACGAGAAGAAGTTCGATAGTTACGGGATCGATGGGAGCGCGCTCGGACCTTGTTCCCTGTCTCGAGATCTCGACGGATGCGAGCAGATCAAACAAAAGCTGCAGAGTGACGGTCAAACGCGAAATTTGCACAAACTATCTGAATTGCACCAGGCAAGGCTGGGTCCTCGCTTCAAAGCAATTGTACCCTGGCAGGATCGCCGTCGCTGCCGGCCAATCACACTCTGCGCTGCAAGGCGTCGAGATGCTAAGGCGCGGGGGAGGCGTGGGGACAACAGCAGCGCACGGCATGCACGAGGCGCACGCGCATGCCACCAAATTCCCCGGAGTCTGTCGCTAACACCTCTCAGCCGCCCTTCTCAATTCGCCGTTCTACCCTTCCATCGAAGAGCAGGTCAGAGCTTCTGACGGTCTCACCTGAGTCTGAGTGATGCAGTGTACCCATCCGCTGATGCTGATCGGTGGTTCGTGCTGATGGAACAATCATGGTCCAATTGAGTGGTTGGACGGCGTTTGCGAAAAGGTGCGAAGGCTGCTTGGTCAGTGTCAGAAGCCGATCCAGAAGACCACTCTGTGCATCGATAAGGGAATTTCGCGCGGCGATTCCGCCCGGATGATGACGACGCGAACGCGCACTTAAGAATCGGTCGACCCCGTCCGATTCCTCTTCCCATGGTCGTGTCTGTCGGGATGGTTCCGGTCAGCATCGGAATGCAAGTCATCTGCCCAAGTGTGCCGATGTGATGACGGCTGCGCACCTTATCGTCGGATCAAAGCAAGTCTCTGTCGGTCAAGATGATTCACAGCTTTCCATCTCCGCGTCTCGCGATCCGGCCTCGTTCCTGTGACTTTTCGAGCATTGGAAAGTGACACAAATTTTTTGGTGACTTCTGGGTTTGTTCGTCTGGCTCAAGCTGGACCCTGACGTTCCAAATCTATCGAGCATCGCATCCTCGTGCACAATCTCGTCGTCTTTGCCTGCCTGTTGACGCAGACGCCGCTGATGATCAGCTAACGATTCGAAGCTCGTGTCGATCCCGGAACACCGCTAGCGAGGACCGGACCGAGCACACAAAGCCTGTCAACCGGAGCAGGCAAAGCAGGTCGATGTCTGCCAAAGCCGTGCTCTTCGACGGCGACCGAGATGAGCTCGGCGAGGCAGACGAGCTGCCCACACCTCCAAGCGCGATCCTACACATAGCGCCGGCAAGACTTGTGGACGATGTAGACGAAGAGATCTTCCTCCTGTACACTCTCAATGCCAAATCCCAGCACGACGGTGGGCTAGGTTATGTCAATCACAGCTCCGACAAGATCTTCGTCGCGATCAAGGGCGACAAATGGACCTCGGCGTTGTCGGAGCGCAACTTGACTGGCAAGTACATCGTACCTATCTATCAGCATGTCACCAGTCTGCGCTCCTCGAAAGGCGATACAGGCAGCGTCCTGTGGCGGTCCACGGTTGAGCTCGCGATTCGATTCCACCAAGGAAGTCTGTTCGAGTTGTCGCTCTTGAAGGATGCGACTGTCCTCGAATTAGGAGCCGGAACAGGGGCGTTGCCAGCCATGGTGGGTCAGTTGGCCAGAACATGGCTCGCGACCGATCAGGAACAGCTGCTACCCCTCATGCGGAAGAACGCGGACAGCTTCGCCAATGTCAAGGTCGCCCCGCTCGACTGGTTCGACTTTCTCAACCCGCCATCGTCACACTCTGCGCAGCTGCGCAAAAAGCAGGTCCTTGAGCAGCTGAGCTCCAACGCGGAAGCTGTTCAGGAACAAGCACCAGACGTCATCATCTGCTGCGACTGCATCTACAATCCGGGCCTCTTCGACGCTCTCATCGCCGCTCTCAACGTCTTCACTGAGCAGCAAAAGACCGTCGTGCTGGTCTCGTGCGAAATGAGAAGCGACGAAAGTCTAGCAGAGTTCCTCACCAAATGGAAGGCTTCCGACGCCGCTTGGCGCATCGTCAGCCTCGAAGAGAGATTCGACAAAGGTTTCGTCGCTCTCGCCGCTTGGAAAGCGTAGTCTCGCCCATCCAGGCATCACCAGCATCACCATCATCGTCTCTCTCAAACGCATCGTCTTCATCAGCATCGCACAACGTCACTTCGATTCACCATTCGGGACAAAGCATAGCATCGTCGAGGATGCAAAGGAACAAAAGAGTGTCCATTTCCTGGTTTTTCCGTGCTGCGATCCAGAATGTATGTGTGTGAGTAAAGAATCTACGATCCTTGGCCGTTGGGCTTGGATGCAGGCGGACGAGGCGATGGACTGGCGGCACCACCGGCTCCGCCTTGCTCGGACTGCATCCCGCCCATCTGAGACATGTAGCCGGGAAACGGCATCCCCACCATGCTCATGTGTGGGCTCGCCATGAACGGCATGCTGCCCATGGGCATGCCCATTGGCGACGCAGGGGCGGCGCTAGGCGACTGGTGTCCCAGGACGGACCCGTGCCCCATGGCGGACCCTTCTTGATGAGCCTGCGACAGTGCGTTCATGTAGGCCATCTGAGCCGCCTGCATCGCCTGCTGCTGTGCCATCATGGGATCGAATCCACCGCCCATGCCACCCATCTGGCTGCCGCCGCCTCCCATTTGCGAACCGCCAAACGCGCCCATCTGTGGCATGCCCATGCCCATCATGCCCATGCCGCCCATACCGCCCATGCCACCCATCATGCCCGACATCATCATCTGCTGGTACAGCATCGGGTTGAAGTAGGCCATCTGCTGCATCTGCTGCTGCTGTGCTTGCTGCTGTTGCTGTCGAAGTTGGTCTTCCTCGCGCTGGCGTCGTTCGGCTGCAACGCGCTCGCGCTCTCGTTCGGTAAGCGTGGCACCAAAGCCACCGGCTCCCTTGCGATCGCGCTCATGAGCCGTGATGGCGCCGAGCAGGCCAGCCTGAGGAGGAGGCGGCTTGTTGGGCACGTTGACCATGTGGGTACCCATGGCCCTCGCTTCCGCCTCTTGAGCCTTGGCGGATCGCTCCGCCTTGTCCTGCGCACCCGCTTGCACCAGACCGTGTGGAGTGAACACGGTGGTCATGGCTCCTGGCTGCTCTTCAGGATTCAGCTGCAGGAACGTCTGACGGTCGCGCACAATGGGTCCTTGAGGCGGCGTGTTGGAGCGCGAGTCGTCACCGTGAGTCGCTGCGAGGTGGTTGTTGAACATCGACTGGCGCTGGTACGCTTGGATCGAGGGATGAGTGGGGACGCCAGTTCGTGCAGGCGAGCGTCCAGGCGAGTCGGACCGAGCATCGCCGAGAACACTTGCACCGTAGCCAGACACAGATCGAGGGAAGCCGCCAGCAGGAGCGAAAGGAGCCGAATCCGTAGGGCGGCTGAGACTGCCAACAGAGTCGGCGAGATGGACAGGAGAATCTGTGCCAGGGCCGCCGCGGCTCGAGCTGGCAGCAGAGCGGACGGTCCCAGGGGCAGGTGTAGCCTGAACGGGACCACGCAGGCCCTCCCGGCTCTCGTCGTCCTCCTCTTCGTCTTCCTCCTCGTCCTCCTCCTCTTCACTGTCATCGACCCAGCCAGGACGGCGCATGCCCTTGACCTTGTTGACACCGGCACGGCCAGGTCGAGAAAGGGCCTCTTGGTGTGCTTGAGCCTGGAGCTGCGCTGCCGACTTGCGTTCGGCTGCTCGCTTGTTCTGACCAAAGGTAGAAGGGTACTGAACACCGCTCGGCCTCACACCAAAGGTGCTGTCCACAGACGTCTGCGGCGCTGCTTCTGTAGCAGGTTGAACCGGCGCTGCGGACGACGCAGTAGATACAGGGCTGCGCTCCCCTTCGATGGGCCGAGGCGGCATCTGCTTGGTCGTGACAACGGGGGACGCAGGCTGTTCGAGGAACGAGTAAGCGGCCAGAGCGTCGTCGTTGATGGAATCATCCTGAGTCGGGTTCGCCTTCGGTGCGATGGATGGCTCGGACTTGATTTGCTCTGTCGGGACCGGGGCTGCAGTCGCCGTCTGCTGCTGATCAGAGGATAGGCGCGTTGTGTGCGTGTTCTCCGAGTGGACAGCAGAAGTGGTGCCGGAAGCAGGTGCGAGGCTTTGAGGGCGGGAGCTTTGAGAGCTTTCCTTGGTCACCACATTGCGGCTGGGCGCGGGCATCACGACAGGCTGCGCCGGAGCGGCTGGAAGCTGATCCGAGATGGAAGCCATGTAGTAGAGGGCACTTTCGTCGTAGTTTGTGGGCAGATCCGAGTCGCGCTTAGTTAGACGAGGCTGCTCGGCAGGATTTTGTTCTGCACCCCTGCCCGATGGACCAAAGGTGGAAGCAGATCTCGAGGAGACCGGCTCGTTCGGAGAGGAAGGCGTCAAAGCGGGAGGATGATTGTTGTTGTGGTTGCTGGTTGGTGTGAGGTAAGCAAGCGAAGGTTCTGCCGCGCGTGTGGGCTCCAACGCAGGCTGAACGCCTTGAGTCGGGAGCGACGCTGGAATTGTGGGACTGGGAACGGCACGCATGCTGGACCGCTCGCCCTGACCCGCATAATCGATGGTGCGAATGGGCGCCAACTCAGGGGCGCGTGCAGGTTGAGAGGCAGGGATCGCATTGTTCGACGTTGGCGCACCTGCAGGACCCGCAGGGGTGGGCGCAGGCGCGTGAGCGACGGTGGGAGCAGCAACCGGCACAGCAGACACAGGGACGATCGGTGGACCCGGACGGGCCTCCCGCGGTGGGCGGAATGCGTCAAAGTCAGGCGACGCTGCACGATCGGACGCGTCGTCGTCGGCATCGCCTCGGGCCGAATCCTTGAAGCCGTTGGAGATCCTGCCGATTTGATCCGAGGAACGTTCCGAAGTGTTGGAGGCGTTCGGCGCCATGGCCACACCCGAAGCAGGGGGAGGCTGCTGTCTTTGCGTGGAATCGAAGCTGAGAGGCGGCAGTCGCGAGGAAGACTCGGCAGCGCTGGCACGCGACGAGGCACCGGCTTCCTCGCTATCGAAAGAGCCAGTGTTGCGCGTGGAAGCGGCAGTGCCCTGCGAAGGCGGCGGAAGAGGCTGGAGGATCTTGGTGCGCTCGCCTCGCATGCGTGCGGCCATGATGCCATGCAACGAGGCTCGAGTGGTGAGGTGATCCTCGCGTGCGATCTCGAGGAACTCGGCGAGCTCTCGGTCGAGGAAGAGGCGATCCTTGAAGGGACCGATGGGATAAGCAAAGAAGGGCGAGATCGGATCGCGCGCCTCCCACACGAATCCATCGGGTCGACCGTAGAGTCGGAACGAGTCCATGAAGGCGATGAGCCACTTCATCATCTCGGCATTGGCACCTTTGCTGCCAGCAGTCTCGAGTTCCGGCATGAGCATGACCCAGCCCGTGCTGCGAGGGCGATGAGTGGCGGAGAGGACATGGCTGGACGGGAAGACACCTTCGATCTTGAAGAGGCTCGATCCTTCGACCAGCTCGGGACGAGAGGGATAGACGGCAAAGGCATGAGCAGCGTAGAGGAGCGTGGCAAAGGGCTTCTTGTCCTTCTTGTTCTCGAAGAAGCTGGCGACACCGGGCGCGCCGTTGCTACCGGGAGGAGGGGGCAAATCCTTGCCGTCGGCGGAGGGGGCACCGGGCGCGGCGGTCGAGACGCTGTTGACGCTGAGGATGCTGGAACGATCGCCTCCGGAGGTGCCAATCTTCCAGAACTTCTTCTTTGCGCCGAATTCGGATTCGTCGGGCTTGTGGTCGGTGAGCACCATCCAGACCTTCTTCCATTCGGTGGAGCCCATGAAGCGAGCCTTGACCCAGCCTTCCATCTTGCCTTTGACAAGAGGGGACTTGATGGTCATCTCGGCAGCCCCGACGGCCGAAGGGTCCTTGATGCCATCCGGGGTGGAGGAGCCCGGCGATCCGACAGCACCGAGTCTAGCACGGATGAGTGCACCAGTGTAGATCTCCTCGAGACGCACCTTCTCCCAAGAAGCGAGACGGATCGCATTGATCCAGGCTTGCAAATGACGATGGCCAAGGTTGAGCCAACCGATGACGGTGCGGTGCTCTGGCTTGTTTCGGTGCTCTGGGGCGAGCCACTGCTCGAGCGACTCGGGAGGAAAGGGAGGGGGATCGCGGAAGCAAAAGATGGTGCGGTTGTTGCCAGCCGAGTTGATAGCAAAGGCGTGGTGGTAGCGACCGCGACTGCCTGGAATGAGCTTGGGGTCTTCGATGAGAAGGCCGATAAAGTCGACGAACGAGTCGGTGATGTTGATGTAGGTGGGCGGGACCTCTGCGCCTCGCTTGGCAGCTTGTTCCATCTGTTCGACATTCCAGAGGCTGAGGACAGTGCCAGAGAGTTGAACGAAGCACTCGGTCCATCGACGCTTTTCGTCTGCGACATTGAGAGCTTTGCCGTCGGTGCCGAGATCGTCTCGTTTGAGCAGGTAGCCTTCCATGTAGAGCTTCTTTTGCTGCGATTCTTGCAGGCTGAGAGCACTGCGAAGATCCTGACTCTTAAACGTAAGCGGAGTCTGAGCGGTGGAACGGATGGATCTGGCGATGGAGCCAACAGGCGAAGGCGGTCTTTGCGAGGAGGGACCGGAGCCCCTGCCACCGGCAAAGTAGTCGGGATTGTCTAGCGGTTGAAAAGCCGACATGGGACGCATGCTACCACCGGATCGACCGGAAGCTGCGTTCTGCTGATGCTGCTGCTGCTGTGAATCGGGTCTGTAGGACTGACGCGATGACGAGTTGAGCAGGACGCTTGTGGATTGACTGTGACCATGAGACGGTTGAAAGGTGCGTGAAGGCGCCGTGTTGATGGTGGGTGGAGAAGTGGGGTTACCAGGCTGACGACCGTTGTAGCCTTGGACGTTTTGGCTGGCCGAGGGAGGCAGAGCCGAGTAAGATGAAGCGCGGAAGGAAGGATCGCGGGTCTGCTGCTGTGGCACGAATTGATCCGAATCGTAGGCTGGGCTTGAGCCACCCTGGCGGAAGTTCTGGGAGGAGAGCGAGTTGTTCATGATGAAGAATGAATGCGTCGAGCGCACAATGTAGCAAGAAAAGCGGTGCGGTCGGTAGCAGGTTGCGCTCTGAGCGGCGATACGGCGCCAGTGTCGGTCGAAATGAAGCTCTAGGATGAAGTCGGGCGATTCGAGGATGTATGGATGATGAAGGAGGGAAGAAGGATAGCGACGAGAGCCGGATGGCACAAATGAAAGGATAGGAATGAAATCTGTGCTTTGCTGCTGTTGGTGCTAAGTTTAAACCAAGGCTCGAGCGTTGGACTGAGCAAGAGGGCCGGACGAGGCTGTGTGTGTGTGTGATGCATACCGTCGGCCCTCGTGCAACTGGAATTTTCGAACAGAACTCGCACAGGAGCACCACAGATACAAACACTTCTCCTTGACTCAGGTCGTCGGACTTTCAAAGCGAATAATGACAGGAGAGCCTCTCTGGTTCGTTGGACGAACAAGAATGGGCCGTCGATGGCAGCAGCAGCTTGTTGCCGAAATCGGGGTTGGCGAGGATCATGGACAAGCGAGTGCTCGGCTGGTGGATGATGATGATGCTGCTCGCTGCCGTCTGTTGCAACCAAGCGTATCCACAGGACTCCGGATTTCACCCATCTTGCCAGGATCCTCGTCGAGTCGTACAGCCACAACCATCTCTGTTAGACCTTCTAATCTATCTCTTCCTTCGGTAAATCGATCTATCGGGCGCGCGTATCAAGAATGGACCCTCGATTTGAAAAGCCGGTGAGGCTCGCGATACGCCTCTCGGTGCGCTAAGTCGCAATCAGGCTGAGAGAGACGTGAAAGCAGCTTTGGACGGACTGGCACGCACCCCCGCTCTCACCGCTCTCCGCTCTTTTTTCCGGTCCGAGTGAGCATCACTGCTATCATCATCCCCACCTTTCTCTCATTCCTTCATCGACATCTCCTCCACCACCTTTCTGGTTCCGTCTCTCCCCACCTTGTTCCACCCCGCCCTGCATCGGTCGCAGTGGCTCTGATCCCTTCGAACATGGCCGCCCAATCCAAGCTTCGTCAAGATCCAAAGGGCTGGCTCGCACAGCTTCTCAATCCTCAACAGAGAGCAAAGCAAGGTCTCGGCCTCGTCGCTGTCCTCATCCTCTTCTCGCTCCGCAAGCAACTCAATCACTTCCTTCATCAGCAGAACATTCGCAAGCTCGCAACCTCCGGCAGGACAGATCTCGACGTCAACGATGCCTTGAAGCAGGTCTACGTTCCCAAGCCAGACGGCTCCCGCGATCTCCTCGTTCCCAACCGAGGTCGCGTCTCGAAAGTGCCCATCAAGCCAACCAAGTCACGCACCTTTGACGCTGACTATGCCGTTTTCCGCCAGCTACCGCCCACTTCCGACGCCGGTGTGGCCAACGCCAAAAAGAAGCAGCTCACCGAAAAAGAAACACAACGCTCCCAGATCGAAGATGCCAAAGCGATGCGCGCCGAGGGAGGCGCCGCTGCTGCTACAGCCAAGAAGGTCGGCGTCAACAAAGAGTTCTTCCGTCAGCTCAAAGCCATCTTCCGCATCCTCATCCCGCGCAGGAACAGCAAGGAGGTCTTCATCTTCCTCCTTCACACCTCCTTCCTCGTCCTTCGAACATACCTTTCCATGCTCGTCGCGCGTCTCGACGGTATCATTGTTCGTGATCTCGTCTCTGCCAATGGTCGCGGCTTCTTGCGAGGGCTTGGTCTCTGGTTCCTGCTTGCCATCCCTTCCACCTACACCAACTCCATGATCCGTTTCCTCCAGTCCAAACTCGCCATCGGCTTCCGCACTCGCCTCACAAGATACGTCCACGATCTCTATCTCAACGACAAGGCCAACTTCTACCGCATCATCAACCTCGACGGTCGTCTCGATGCTGCCGATCAGTACATCACCACCGACATTGCACGCTTCTGCGAGACGCTCGCCGCCCTCTACTCGAATGTCTCGAAACCGGTGCTCGACCTCGTCATCTTCAATTACGCTCTCAGTCGATCCTTGGGACCCATGGGCATTCTCGGACTCTCTACCAACTACCTCTTCACCGGCTGGATTCTGCGACAGGTCACGCCCGCTTTCGGCAAGCTGGCTGCCATCGAAGCAAAGCTCGAGGGTGACTTCCGTTCCGCACACAGTCGACTCATCACAAATGCAGAGGAGATCGCTTTCTACAATGGCGCCTCTATTGAAGCCGGCATTCTCAACCGCGCCTACATCCGTCTCGTCCGTCACATCGACAGCATCTTCAAGATCCGCATCGCATTCAACATGACCGAAGACTTTGTGTTGAAGTACGCATGGTCGGCCGCAGGATACGTCATCATTGCGGCTCCCTTCCTCTTCGGTCAGAAGCAGCCCGCAGCCGCCGAGTCGTCCGACGCAGCGGCTCCTGCGCCCAAGCGTCGAGAAGTGGACAGCACCGTCGCATCCAAGACCGAGTCGTACATTTCGAACCGTCGTCTGCTCTTGTCGCTCGCCGATGCGGGAAGTCGACTCATGTACAGCTACAAGGAGCTCGCCGAGCTGGCCGGTTTCACGAGTCGTGTCTACACGCTCATCTCGACGCTGCACTTGCTCAACAAGGAGCAGTACCAGGCCATGCCCCGCCCTGTCGATCTCCCCGCAGACAAGCCTTTCTACGATCTCGGTCAGATCCAGGGCAAGGTGGACGTGGGTGCAGAGACGGTTGCCTTCGACAAGGTACCCATTGTCGCACCAGCGCCAGGACTGGAACGCGGAGGCGAAGAGCTGGTCAAGGACCTCACCCTCCGCGTCAAGCCGGGCGAGCACATTCTCATCACAGGTCCCAACGGTGTGGGCAAGACAGCCGTCGCCCGTGTTGTTGCTGGCCTCTGGCCCGTCTTCCAGGGTCACTTGGAACGACCCTCGATCAACGATATCATGTTCTTGCCGCAGCGCCCTTATCTGTCCGTTGGCAGTCTGCGCGAGCAGGTCATCTACCCATTCACATACCCAGAGCACGAGGCATCTGGCAAGACTGACGACGACCTGCTTGCCATTCTCAAGGACGTGCACCTCGCCTACCTTCCCAGCCGAGAAGGTGGATGGGAGACGCGTAAGGAGTGGAAGGACGTGCTGTCGGGAGGTGAAAAGCAGCGCATGGGTATGGCGCGTCTGCTCTACCACCGACCCAAGTTTGGTATCCTCGACGAATGCACCAGCGCTGTCTCAACGGATGTCGAGGGCCTCATGTACGCCAAGGCCAAGGAGCTCGGCATCACCCTGATCACCATCTCGCACCGACCTTCGCTCTTCAAGTACCACGAGGTACTTCTGCGACTGACCGGTGAAAACGGCGCTTGGGAGACCGACTTTATCGGTGCCGAGACGGAGCAGCTGTCGATGGAGCACGAGATCGAGGATCTCGAGAAGAAGATGGCCGAGGTGGAAGGGTGGAAGACGCGCATTGGTGAGATCCAGAAGGAGCTCGCATTCAGCAAAAACTAGCGGCAATCTGTCGGAAGCGGGGCAGGTTAGACCATTGCAATGCTATTCTGTTGTACAAGATCTCGAGAAGACTATGCTCGTTAGCTGATGGTGATGACCGCCCACTGACAAGCGCCGGCACGTTCAGCGTTCCACCGATCTGCTCCGCGGGCGCCAGCTCCGGCCAGTTCGACCTGGAGCTTGAACTTTCTCTCCTGTGCTGTATCTGCTGCCTTCAGCTGCAGGCTCCACTCCATCCAAGCCGCAGGACCCGAACGATCTCCAGCTCCACCCCCTTTGCGGTGCGGCTCGCCGAGGTCTGTGACTAGGTCCTTGCCTTTTGTATCGGACTTGATCGATACCTCTAGCGGATGCGTGACGGCGTCAGTGCGAGCCGCCTTGAGAGTGAGTGGGAGGGCGGGAAAGCAAGTCCATCGTTTGTCCTCGTGCCCTGAGTAGACATCGATGGCTGCCAGACGCAGGTCTTGAAGATTTGCCTTGGATGCATCTGTTTTCGATGTGGCTGGCTCGAACTGGAAGCTCAAACCCAAAGCCGGGTAGTTGTGGTAGACGATATCGGGGTACGCCTTGACTTCTGGTTCAACTAGATCCGCCGACTTGTCGCTCCTGCCTTGATTCAGCAGAGCCTGTAACTCTGGCTGACTTGGAGGGCAGCCAAGCACGCCGACCAGCTCATCGAAGCTGAACATTGTTCCTCTGTTGCAATGTACATTCATGCTCGACTCGGCTGAGCCGACTGCTGATGGTGGCAGGGAGCGAGGAAGCGTGGGAAAGGTGGATCACGAAATGTGGGTTGGGTCATGCATTGTTTGACTTGCTGTGGAGGAAAGCGCTTCTTGATGCTTTGCCGACGTCAAAATGTCGGCCCGCGTCCCGAACTGTCACTCGCACGCACACATTTAAGTGTTGCGTTGTTATCACATTCTTGACCTTGACCCACGCTGTCTGTCATCACATCGACTGCGGAAGCGACGGACCCGCCGATGCTACGAGTCTTGCAGCAAGACCAATAGAGACGCTGCTTCCTTCAGCAGTCACATCTTCGTCAATCGCGGTGACCGAGCCTCTTCAGCCGGAACTCGCGAACGAGTCACACGATGGACGCCTGGTCAAGCCCATGGGGCGACGACAGTGCAACGCCACAAGCCTCGACGTCAAAGCAGGCCAAGGAAGTTGATGACATATTTCCGACAAGGGTTGCACAATTGTCGTCTCTCAACGCTTTCGACGCATCCGATCCGTGGGCCAACGACTCCGCGACACCAGTGCAAGAATCCGATCCATTGCCGGTCAGCAGCGCCCCATCTTCTACCCAGAATATCCATACAACGGATGATGCCGCAGACACAAGCTTTCAGAGTACCTCCTACACCGTCACAGCTTGGGGCGATGCTTCCACCAGTCCAGTCCGCGAGGCGCTCGACCCACCAACAACAACACCTGCAGCAAACCATCTTCCTCCTGCCGACGATTCAGAAACGAGGACGCGCCCTGATCGACAGCAGTCCCTCTCATCATACGATCCGTGGGCAGCCGGTACCTCATCAGGCTGGGGCGACGAGCCAGGAGCGTCCTCTGCTACCTTTCCAACAACAGAGCCGGAGTCGTCTTCAACGGGCTGGGGAGCAAATGAGATCCCTTACTCTCCGCCGCGTGATCTCGAGCAGCACTTCTCCGCAACCCACCTTGGGAGCCCAACCTCGAGCGCAAATCCTTACGCAGCGCACGAAGCTGTGGAAAGGTCCAGCAATGACCAGGCCAGCACGGGAACCGGACTGGATGTCTGGGCAGCAGAAGCATCTACCAGAGAAGAAAAAGCGCGTCGTCTCGATCGAGAGGAGATCGATGAACTCAAGGTGGACGCTCGCAAGCTGATCAGCAGCATCAAAACAGACAAAGAAACGCAAGCTAGCTTTGCCAATCCTAGCAGCACCCAAGAAGGGTGGACGGATCTCTTTGGAAGCCAGGGCACCCAGCGAGACAAGCTGCATCACCTTCAGACACCGCCCTCGGCACTCACGTCTTCGAGTGGTGCTCTCCGTGCCAATGTCTTGCAATCCAGTCCTGCAACGCTCAACCAGCTCCGCGGCTCTATCGTAAAGACGGAGAATCGCGGCGTCAAATTAGCTTCGGCGGAAAGCAGTTCAAGCTGGCAAAGAGGCTCGCGACCCACAACGAAGACAGACTGGCTCCCGGATCAGTTGACGGCCGAAGCAGACGGGCTTTCCTTTGGGGTCTCAAGCGCGGCAGCAAGCTCAAACACCTCCGCCACGACGTCTGGACCCGGCTGGACGCAAACATCGAGCAACGAGACACGCTCGACCTCTGGCTCCGGCTTTCTCGCATCTTTCTTCAAGGCACGGCAGGCAAGTGCGGCGAGCACTGCCGCTGCCCCAGACTCAGCTCCAAAGCCGGCAAGAAGCTCTACCTCGTCCTTCGAGGCATCCCCAGGCATGTCCTCGAACGCACAATTCGAGCCGTACCAAGACACAGCCGGCAAGAGATATTCTGACGACCCAACAGGCCCCGACCTCTTGTCACTCGACACGGACACGGCAAGAGCTCCCACCGCGCCTTCAAAAGACACGCCGAGCGGATCTGCGCAGGGTGCCGGGCTGCTGAGCAGGTGGAGAAACAGCGGCATCTTCAAGGCGTCGGGAAAGAAGCAGAATCCAAACTGGGCGTCGAGCAACTTGCGTGGAGACGACCTGGACTGGTTGGACGAGCAGGAGAGCGCCGACTCCAGGGTAGGAAGATACCACTACAATGAAGACGAAGAGGCGGACGATGCATTTAACAGCTCCCGGGACTCTGCACCACCACTGCCACCTTCGAAGGCAAAGACAGAAGTCGCGCCGGCATCACAAGCGCTTGATCCATTCGACAATTTGTTCGATCCGGTACAGCCAATGCCAAGCTTCAATGCGATGGCCAACACAACCGCGACATCGTCGGCGCGCTCCAGCTTTTCTGCGAGTCGCATGAGCGGCGACGGCGGCATGGTGACCATCAACACCAACCTGGGAAGGACAAACAGCTTCAGGAAGAGCGCTGCGTCGCCGCTACAGCCTCCGCCTCAGTCGCAGGGCGCGAGGATGCCGTTCGCCCCGCCGCCGCGTGCCCACGCGGCTTCGCCAAACACAGTGCAAAAGCCAGCACCAACCACGCCGGATCCGTTTGCCGACTTCTTGACCGACGCGCCTTCGCAGCCGACGTCAAACGCAAGTGGCTTCAAAGCACCTCCTCCAGCAACGACCACCTTCCAGGCGCCACCAACCAACGGCAAGGGTGGCGCGCTGACCGCAGACGACCTTTTGTTCTTCGACAGCCTTTGATGTCCTTGTTTGTCATGTCGTGAGGAATCACATCCAGCGTTGAAAAGGGCTGACGATTTGCCGCCGCAGTCGTGATTCGTGGCGTGAGAGAAGAGTCAAAGTTGCATTGAGACGTGACGTGTGCGAAGTGTAAGAGACGAGAGTGACGATGCTGATGTCTTCATTTTGACCCTTTTGTCTCTTTGAAGAGGACGTGCCTTCGTACTGCGGATCAGAGAGAAGCGGAGAGGGGTGTGTTGTCGGCGTCAGCGCTGGAACCGGATGCATGGCTGAGCCTGGATGCGGTTGACGCTTACCTTTGGGGTCGTACTTCATCATGCTGAGCTTATCCGCCACTCTTGTTCGGCGCGTTGTGTACATGAACCCGGTGCCCGCTGTCGAGACCAGACGGGCAATAACCACACTACGAGAGGGCAGAATAGAACCGCAGCAAGGTGTTCGTCAGCTCTTGGCGCTCGCTTGAGCCTGCTACAGGCGCTATTGGCTTGTCACTGAGACCTACCGAGCTTTTGACTTGACCGCCATCGTGTCGACCGGATGCTGAGCCAAGGAAGAGGTGATAGAGGAAGACAAGAAGAAAGGCAAAACCAGAACAAAGCCGACTTTTCCCTGCAGAGCTGTAAGCGCGCCCCGAATTCCGGAATTTTGGCCACGGAAACCTTGTGGGAAATCAGCTCCTGCGTGTGCGAAACCTTTTTCTTTCATCAGCTGTTCATCATCACAAAGCTTACACAGATGTCATGTCGCGCGGATGTCTGCCAGACTCGCTGAGACTGGTCTGCTGAGGTCGCGGCATGCAACGCTTAACTGTGCCGTGCCCGACTGTGTCTGCATTCTAACGATGTCGTGTCTATTCTCTACTGTAGAAATTGGGGAGCATCAGAGCATGAAAGTTCGCTGGAAACAACATTTCACCAGCGCGCTTAGCCCTGCGAGTTGCATCAGTGGCTGCATCGCTCGAAGTGTTTGTGCTCTTGTTCGGCGCATTCGTAGTGTGGTTGTAAGTCGCATCCGCGGGGAGCACCTCGAACTGCACCGTGCTGTTTCCCTCTCGGTAGGTGCTCTTCGCAGGCCCGCTGCTCTTGTAGGTGCTGTTCTGCGGGATTTTCTCTTGGCCTGTGGCAAGGTCAGTGCCGTTCAGCACTCTCTCGAACATCTCGAGCGAGGCAAGAGGCTGGTAGAAGGGAACCTCGTGGCCGCTCTCGTAGATGCGGACGAACGAGAATTGGCCACTCTGCTTGACCTGGCCGTGAACGACGCCGTCGGACGTCTTGAGATCCGCATATCCAGCCTGACTGAAGCCCTTGTGTCCAACTTGCTCCGCAATGACCTCGCCTCCAAGCCAGTTGCAATTGTAGTCAGCATCGCCTGCATACATGACCACCTGGACACCTTGATCGAGAAGCGAGCGCACGTCCTCGATGGTTCCACTCTCCCGTCCATCGTCGCCTGTGTTGCTGAATGCGTTCGAGACAGTCGACGAGCTCTCGCTGAAGTTCTGGAAAGCTCCAATTGCCTGTTGAAATCCTGGCGTATTCAGGTAGTCTACGTAGAAGGAGTATGGGAAGGGATCCGGTGAGAGCTCTCGAATGTCGTACTCGTCCCGGTTGGCATACGTGTCCAGGATCGACTCGACATTGCTGGCACAGAACGTGTCGGCAGTGGCGCAGACCTGGTTTGTACCCGTGGCATAGCAGTCGCGGATACGATCCAGACAGTTGCCCGGTCCGAACATGTTGTTGTACATCATGTCTTCGACCGAAGAGTTGAACGGTCGGTAGTCGTACGTGTTGCCGGGCGAGACGGTGAAGTTGTAGTAGGCAGCATACTGCACCTCGGGAGAGTACCAGCCGTTGCCGATCATGACCGATTTGAGCTTGATTGTATGCGCTCCAGTCTCGTTGCGCGCGTTCTGCTGCTCGATGTACTCGTTGAAGACAGGACCGTAGTGGCCGCCGTACGACTCGGTGGCAAAGTGGAAGTCTTCGCGCGAGTACTGCGGGAACGCTCCCATGAACCCTTGCAGCGTGCGGTAGAAGTTCTTGGCCGCGGACTCGGTCGAGTTGGCTGTCAGCGTGACGTTGGGTGCCGAGTAGGTTCCACACGTGCCGGAACCTTGAGCGTATTCCGGGCACGTTTGGTCCGGCAGCACAACCAGCGACTCTGTGGAAGGATCCACGTAGCCGGGTACGAGCTTGGTGTACGAGAAGCCCGTGGTCGCTGGCTGGTCGATGAAAATCATGTTGCTGGCATTGTTCCAAGCGTAGAGGTTGTTGACGACGGTGCCGTTCGCGTTTACGTAGCAGGGACCGAGCTCCTGGAACAGTCCAATCATGGAGGACGAGCCGGGCCCACCGTTGATCCAGACGGTGAGCGGTGCATCTTGAGGATTGCCATTACGCGCCTCAAAGAACCAGAAGAAGATGTGCTCCTCCTCTTCGACGTCGACGTATCCAGAGAAGCTCTTGACGTTGGGATCCGTCTCGCAGGTTCCGGTCGGGACTTGCTTGTATCGCACGGGGATATCTAGGTGACCAGTGGCGTTGATGAGATCCGTGGGCGGTTGCACGAATTGAGCGGAGGCAAGATGAAGGAGCGAGCCGGCTGCGAGCACCGCAGCGAGCAGAGGCTGGACTGGCAGCATCTTGATCCTGCTTCAAGTCGCGCGTCCGCTAAAGAGATCTAGTTTGGCTTTCTATGGAAGCTTCGTGGAGTCAGGTCTGTCCGAATGTAGACGGGACTAAGCTACTTATACCTTTCGCCGCATGAGTTCCGCCTCTGTCCCCTATGCCGAGCAAGCTTTGACCCACTCACTGTACGGTGGGCACGAACATGCAGCAAGAAGACAGAAGCTAATTTGGGAGCCGACGGCTTCGACGGCCGGCAGACGTTCCTCCGAAGTGGGTAGTTCTCATCACGAGATGTCTAGCATCCTCGCTTAACGTTATCTTTCTCGCACAATTCGGCGAATTCTTCCGTGCAGTGTGATCGCCAGTCCCGCAAATCGCTCCACCCTTGTTCGCCGGTGCTTCTAGCAACTCGAACCTGTAGCTTCGTCCAGACATGGCCGTGCGATAAAACGCTTGCTGCAACTTGCATACGGCTGCTCTTGACCGGAGATTCTCTCGGCTCCGACGAAAGCCGCACGCTGGCTCCGCCCAGATCGGTTCTGAGCTGGAGTCGTCTCTACGACGTCGCACGCCGAACCTTTTCACTCCGGACAGGCGATGGCACAGCGTCCAAGATTTCTGTGAACCCTGCTGCATCATTGAGCCCAGCCTCTTCCTGCGCAGCTAGGGAGCTCTGTGTCACGGCCATTCACCGCCATCTCATCGTGATCTCGAACACCTCGCTATGGGACCGCCTCTCTCTGGTCAAGGCTGACAAGCTTGAGAGGAGAGTCAAGGTGGCGGCCTCGAAGTGCCTTCTGGTGGCAATGCACATGTCAGTTTGGCTGAAGCATGGGCAGGTTCCTGCATCACAACGGGGGATATTCACCCAGCTAATTTTCGACGCCTCGCCCAGATTCTCGAATGCACATTTGTGCGACCTTTCCTTCAAAATTTCGCAAGTTGTGAGAACTTGAAGCAAATTTCGCGCTTCAGGCGGCAAAAATGCTCCTCGGATCGGTTCGACTCAAACAAAAAGCGAAACTGAGGTCAAATGGGTTTTTGCGGATTCTAAGTCCCCGTGACCTGAAAGAAAAATGATTTTTGAGGCGAGACTTGTCGTTTCTTAATGCCTAAAACCTGCATATCGTAGTATTGTGGGTCATTTAGCTGCCTCAAATGCCGAACACGGAATAGTGGATTCGACCTCACTGCGTTGATATCGACGACAATATAAGTTATCGCCAAATCCGCAGACGCTTTGTTCTTTGTACAAAATTCGCAAGAAGTGCACTGCTGACTTGAGGCATCGCTTGACCATGATTGCATTTTTACCAGAAACGACAGCAACCGTCAAGAATTAAAAATTTGGCCGATATTGAATCTGGCTCAGCGGCAAGTCATGTGCCACCACATTGCACATTCAACTGCGATCGCGGCGAAGAGGCTCCGTAAGAGTGCGAGACCTGAATGGCATGGCGCTGTCGAACGAGGCAGCAAGGTGGCCACCAGCTCCGCGCGCGGGTGGTACTTCGCACAAGGGAGGCAGACAGGACATGCGAAGTGCGTTTGAGGGCGGAGGGCAGAAGCCAGCGCTGCTCGGTCCACTATCGCTGGGCTCCGTACACGAGACGTGTCGAGCTTCAACCATCTGACTTAGCCCGGCAGATCAACGACGACGAGGAGAAAACCTTGGCGGATCATGGCACCGAGGGTTGTATCGAGCTGGTCTGTCCGGTGCAAGGGAACACCGCATGCGAGGTGTCGGATTTGCACGTGGAGCTCACAGGAACCCTGGGCCAGCGTTGCCGAGACCCACTCAGAGACCCACTCAGCGGTATAGCCAAGCCACAGGACAGTCCAGCCAGAGGGCAGTCCGGCAGCGTCAGCCACAGGGTACAGGCACGATGATCTAGTTTGCTTCACCGACGGTCGATCGGCTGGAGCAATCGTGGTGGCGCTGTTAGTGATTTTTGACCGACGACACCCTTTCTCTCGCTTGTCAGAGACAGGAGACATCGAATGGTCTTGATGTGTGATGACGGAGCGTGCATGACGATCGTTTTGATTTTCCGAATTCTCTTTCTGTCGATCCGGGCTGCCACCGTGGACCATCCCTCGAAAGACGTTCTCTCTCTCACACACTCAAGGGCGAGATGTATCTCGCGTGCACGTCAATACTACCGCAGATAGTCGACTCTGAAGTGGTAGCAGTATTCTCGGAAGTGCGTGCAGCGAAGCTCGAACTCGGATGACTGATGCGGTCGATTCGACCGGCGTGTGAAGTGACCAAAATGATGGATGCGATATGCATGTGGGGCGCATATTTCCAAGTGACTGTGGAGGCCCGCGCGCGTCGCTTGCTATCGATTTGGGATCTGTTTGCGAAGATCACACACCGAGGTGCAAGCGAGACCCGTTCAGATGCACCCTTCTCTCTTCTCTCGTGGCTCTTCAGCTGGCGGTCTCATCGTGTTCTTCTTGCTCACCTATCCGAGTAGCGAAGATCTCCCACGCATCCTCTTTCGCTCTTCTTCCTTTCCGACCCCTCACTCCGGCGACCTCCACCTTCCCGACGTCACCTAGATACATCTCTCCCATATCAGGATCCTGGTGCAAACGCGGAGTCATGTCGTCTGCCAACGTGTCCACCAACGGCAGCGGCCAACACGGCCATGCCGAGCCCATCAAGGTCTTCGAGCTCGTCCTTGAGCAGGACGGAAGCCCCAGCGAACAGAAATCGTACATCAGGCTCCCAGCTCCCGTGCAGCCGTATGTCCTGCGTTTCTCCATCGAAGCCGGCTCCACCGCCTCAAGCGACGCTCGCCTCTACACCAACTATTCAAACAAGCAAGGTGCTTTCGCGCGTACGTCCTTCGAGAAGACTCCCTTCACCTCCTCCGCTTCATCGGCAAACCGAGTCGACCTTCTCATCAAGACGGCTGGTGTCTTCGAGTTCTACGTCGAATACACCACCGATGAGAACGACCAGGCTGCTGGTGACCTCTTCGAGCGCAAGGAAAAGTCGTCAGCCCTCAAGAGGGGCAAGAGCGGCCACTTCAACGTCGATCCGATCCTCCAAGCTCCCGTGCGCAAGTCTATCTTGAGCGAAAATGGAAAGCCTCTCTCCGCCAAGGAGGGCGGAGGCGCCGTCACAAGCAAGAGCGACTTCCTCGCACTCGACGCCATCGTAATGCAGACCCTCATCTCAAAATGGGCTGGCCCGCTCTCAGAATGGGGCGTTCACCTCGACTCGGCTCGAGATGCTGGCTACAACATGATCCACTTCCCACCCCTCAACGTACGCGGTGCCAGCAACAGCCCTTACTCGGTCGCTGACCAGCATGACTTCACCCATGATCTCTACCCCAAGGAGATTCAGGGGCCGAGCCAGAAAGCAGAACGTGTCAAGCAGCTCAGATCAGTACTACACAACATGAAGACAAAACACGGCCTGCTCAGCATGAGTGACGTCGTCTGGAATCACACTGCTCACAACAGCGAGTGGCTCAACGAGCATCCCGACGCCGCTTACAGTCCTGCCAACTCTCCTCACCTCCAGCCTGCCGACGAGCTTGAAAAGGCGCTTCTGGACATCAACGGCCGTCTGCAGGAGTACGGCGTTTCCGAAGAGCTCCATTCCGACTCTGATGTCGCAAAGGTGATCAGCGCGGTCAAGGAGCATGCGCTGGGGCCCCTCAAGCTCTGGCAGTACTACGTCGTGGACGTCAAGGCAGCGAAGGAGAGCTTCCGAGCTGCCGTCTCCTCCTCTGGTAAGAGTGACTCACAGACAGGAGCGAAACCGAGCGCAGCGTCTCTCAAGGATGTTGCCGAAAAGATCCGAGCGTCTGCGGTGCAGAACGAAATGACCTTGGCAGGTCGCTTCGCAACGACGATTGACGCAAAAGCGGCAGTTCAGATCATCAAGTCCGAATTCGACACGAGCGACGTCGAGCAGTCCGTCGACCTCTTTGCCAAGGTTGCGGACGAGGTCAATGCAACTTACTACGCACTGTACGACGACGATGTCAAGGCAATTCTCAGCAACCTGGAAGGCCGCCTCAAGTTCACTCGCATCGACTCCAACGGTCCCAAGCTTGGCAAAATCTCGGCACAGAGTCCCTTCTTCGAACCATACTTTACTCGCCTCGATCCCAAGCACCCCAAAGCAGCTGGCCGAGACCCCAAGGAGCTCTCTCTCGCCAACAATGGCTGGATCTGGGCCGCCAACCCACTCGAAGACTTCGCATCCAACAAGTCGCGAGTCTACCTCAGACGTGAACTCATCGTATGGGGAGACTGTGTCAAGCTCCGATACGGTTCGGGTCCCAGGGACTCGCCCTACTTGTGGAAGCACATGGAGGAGTACACCACCCTTCTCGCCTCCAACTTTGATGCGCTTCGAATCGACAACTGCCACTCCACGCCCATCCACGTCGGAGAGCACTTCCTCGACATCGCTAGGAGAGTCAACCCCAACGTCTACGTCATCGCCGAGCTCTTCACCGGCAGCGCAGAGATGGACGTGCACTTTGTCAGCCGTCTCGGTATTAACTCTCTCATTCGCGAGATGGAGAATGGTCACGACCCCAAGGAGGAGAGCCGACTGCTGTACCGGTTCGGAGTCAACAAGCCCATCGGCTCGATGGACGGTGCTTGCCTCACCACGGCCGCTAAGATCTCGCTGCCCGAAGCCAATCTGAAGGATGCAGACTGCCTCGTCGAGCAGCTCAGCGGCTCAAGCCCTCACGCCCTCTTCATGGACGTCACTCACGACAACGAGACTCCCACCATGAAGCGCACGACCGAAGATGCGATCACCATGGGTGCTCTTGTCGCCTTTTCCTGGTCCGCCATCGGTAGCACCAAGGGCTTTGATGATCTTTTCCCCAAGACGCTTGATGTCGTGCAGGAAATTCGTCGCTATCGTCCCATCGCCAACCCAGAGGAAAGCGGCATCGGCGCCGTCAAGCGCGTGGTCAACCACCTGCACATCGAGATGGTGCGCAACGGCTACTCGGAGGGTCATGTTCATCAAGAAAATGACTATCTCGTGATGCACCGTGTGCATCCACAGACACACTGCGGCTTCGTCTGCGTCGCCCACACGGCATTCCACAAGGGATCCAAAGATCGAGGACAGGCTGGTCCGTTCAAGTTCGACCGCACCCGCGTCAACTACATCCTCGGCAAGACGCTCGAAGTCAGCAGCACGGAGGTCGCTCACGATCCTAAGTTCCTCGACGGGCTGCCCTCGAAGCTCATCGACCTTGCTGAGCCGGAAGTGCGTGTCACTGAAGACGGCGGTCGTCTCCGCTATTCCGAGGTTGTGGTGCCCGACTTCTTCCCGCCTGGAAGTGTGATGCTCTTCGCCACCGAGATGGAGAACATCGACCGCGACATCGACTCGCAATGCCTGTCGGGTGCGGACGAAGCGATGGCCAACCTGGATCTCGTCGACCTCAACGCGGTCCTCTATCGAGCCGACGGCGAAGAGAAGGATGTGACAGAAGGCAACGACGGGGTATACACCATTCCGAGCTGTGATCCACTCGTCTACTGCGGTCTCGAAGGCTGGATGGCCGTGTTGCGTCCCATCATCCAGTCCAATGACCTTGGTCACCCTCTGTGCGGTCATCTGCGAGATGGAACCTGGGCTCTCGACTACGTACACAAGAGACTACTAAAGCAGGTCGACGTGCTGCCTCGCCTGTCCGAACCGGCAAAGTGGCTTTCGCAGCGCTTTGATCTCATCAGGGATACCGCGCCGAACTTCATGCGACCCAAGTACTTTGCCCTTGTGATCAAGGCTGCTTACGACGCTGCCGTTCGTAAGGCTCTTTCGCGCATGTCCCCATTCATCAAGGATGGCCATGACTTTATCAAGGCCTTGGCCCTTTGCGCGGTCCAGATGAACGGCTTGGTCAAGTCGGCATCCCTTTGGCCCGACAAGCAGGTCGGTTCCATGTCTGCAGGTCTTCCCTTCTTCACCGCAGGATGGGCGCGACTTTGGGGTCGTGATGTCTTCATCGCCCTTCGTGGTCTTTATCTGGTGACCGGCATGTACGGCGCAGCGCGAGAGCACATTCTTGCCTTCGGCTCGACGCTCAAGCATGGCCTGATCCCGAACCTGCTCGACTCTGGTCGAACGCCACGATACAATTGCCGAGACGGTCCATGGTTCTTTGCTCAGAACGTACAAGACTACACCAAGATGGTGCCTGATGGAGAGAAGATCTTGAGCGAGAAGGTAGCAAGGCGCTTCCCGCTCAACGATGAATGGGTTCCATGGGATGATGCTAAGGCGTACGCCCACAAGAGCACCGTCGCCGAGCTCATCCAGGAGATTCTTCAGCGCCATGCTTCCGGCATCCACTTCCGCGAGTACAACGCTGGTCCAGCCATCGACCAGGACATGCATCCCGAGGGCTTCAACATCGATATCGATGTCGACTGGGACAGCGGCATCATCTTTGGTGGCAACGAGCACAACTGCGGCACCTGGCAGGACAAGAACGGCTCTTCCGCCAAGGCTGGCAACAAGGGTGTCCCTGGCTCGCCTCGTAACGGAGCTGCAGTGGAAATCACCGCACTTCTCAAGAGCACCCTGAGCTGGGTCGCTGCGCTCGAGAAGAAGGGAGTCTGGAAGGAGGGCAAGGGTGTCGAGGCCACCGTCAAGGACCAGAAGAAGCTCGTCACCTACAAAGAATGGGCTGACCTTCTGCAAAAGTCGTTCGAGCGCGCCTACTACATTCCTCTGGATGAGACCGAGGACAGCTCGTACGACCTTGACCCCAAGCTCGTCAACCGTCGTGGCGTCTACAAGGACGTATACGGCTCTTCCAAGGGACGAGAGTGGGCCGATTACCAGTTCCGCTCGAACTTCCCGATTGCCATGTGCGTCGCACCCGAGCTATTCAAGCCGGAACACGCCATGAACGCTCTCAACAAGGCTCGCGAAGTCCTTGTCGGACCCATTGGTATGAAGACGCTCGACGCTTCCGACTGGAACTACCGACCCAACTACGATCAGCGCGAGAACGACGACCCTGCCACCTCGTGCGGATGGAACTACCACAACGGACCCGAGTGGGGTTGGCTTCGCGGCTACTACTTGCGCGCCGTGGCCATCTTTGGCGCCAAGGCTGGCGTCGAGCGTTCGGTGTTGAACCACCGCATCAACAGCATGACGCTGGACTGCCGCCAGCACATCCGCTCATCGCCCTGGGCCGGTCTTCCCGAGCTCACCAACGCTGATGGTGCTCACTGCCCAGACTCGTGCTCGACTCAGGCATGGAGTGCTGCAGCGCTTCTTGACGCATTGGAGGAGATGGCAAAGTGAGGCGTCGCTCCAAGATGCCATGATCTCGCCCAATCCATCATCTCAGATCACACACGAACAACCGTCTCTTTTCTTGGAATCGTTACTTAATCGCATTGACATTGCCGCTCAGCGCGTGATGAGATCAAAAGGCGTGAGGTGAATCAAGCCGATGAATCGCTGGCACTGCGCCGTATGAGTGAATGAATCATTTCTCGGCTCGCTCCACCTATGATGCGGCCGAAGCAGTTGCGATGGCAAGGTCTCTCACGGACGAAGGTAGTGTGCTCGAACACAGACATCATAGGATGGACAGTCAGGTGTATGATTGTCAACGACGCTGCCGGAATACGGCCGACTGAAGTCTTTTCGGGTGGGGCGATGCTCGTCGAACTCATGCTTGAGCAGAGCTGTCCTCGGAGATCACAAAGTCGTCAAGGACGTCCATGAGTGCTGCTGCGTTGTTCGGGTTGCTGAGCTGCAATCATTGGGGAATGGAGAAAGTGGAAGGAGGAGGGTGTCAGTGCCGACTTCAACATTATCACAACCTGAACGTCAGCGTAGAGCATACCTTGATAGCGTAATGAACAGGCTTGGTGTCTTCCAAGGCGACGATTCGCACGAACTTCTCGTGAAGCTCGCACTTCATGCCTTGAAAGAGAGGAACGTTGAGGATGACTCTCAAGATGCCGTCTGCTCTCATGACCAGACGAGCTAGGCGCTTGTCGGACGACTTTTTGGGGATGTTGACGCGAAGAGTACCGGTTCCTCGCTCTTTCCAGGATTGATCTTCGGCCATCGTGTAGAGCTTCGCGCGAATGCTGTGGATACTTTCCTCGTCTTCCTCGCCGGTTTTGGTTTCGGCTTCGACCACCTCGATCAACGGCTTTGCCTTTGTCTCGGACGCAGCTGCGTCCTTATCGTGGCTAAGCAGCTTTTGCTCGAAAGTGGCTTTTTCGTTGGCTGACTGCGGCTCGTCTGTTTCCTTCTCTGGCGCAGCGGGAGAATCAGCTTTCGGTTTGGCTAGCGGACTAGCTCCAGCAAAGGCACCGAAGCCAAATGCGGAACCTTTCACGATTGGCTTAGAAGGTGCGGCGGCCGATTTGGTTGCGCCGGCAAATGGAGATACAGAGCCGTTCTCGTCGTGATGGCCGCCAATGGTGGATCCGAGACTGCTTGGCTTGATGCCTGAGCTCTTGGCTGCAAAGGCCGAGAAGCCGCTCTTGCTCGCGGCAGCAGAGGACGAGCCCGAGGAGGATGGAACAGAGCTGTATGGGGATGATTTGGAGCTGAAGGAGGAAAAAGTTGGTTGTGTGCGGGCGGGTGGATCTTGGGCTGGCTTTCCTGCTGGGGCCTCAGCAGTTTTGGGCTGAGGTTCTGTCGGCTCAGACTGGGATGCGGGCGTAGCTTCGAGCACAGCATCGGATGTAGCGTCCTGTGTTTGCGCATCCGATGCGGCAGCGTGGGGGTCGGTCGCTGACCTAGCCGACTTGAGCTCGAGTTCCTTGGTGCTCAGCTCGTCCACCTTCTTGCGGATCTGGCCGACCTTCTCGGTCTCGACCGCAGTGGTGCCAGCCTCGTCGTCGTCTTCCTCCTGCAACGAATCCTCAACGCGATTCTTCTTGGCTGGAATCGCTTCAGCCGCTCTGGATGGGGTGAGCTGCGTCGGCTCAAGACTGCCTTCGCGCTCTCTTTTGCGACGAGAAGATGTGTCCTCGGTAGGCTGAGAAGGTGTCTTTGCTGTCACCGCTTTAGAGGTGGATGCGGGAGAGGAGGGCTGCGGCGGAGACGATGCTGGCTGGGAAGTGACATCTGCTTGCGCATCTCGAGGCTGCTCTGTGTCTAGCTTTGGAGCTTGATCCAGCTCAGCCTTGGTGTCGGACATAGCGGCGAGCGGGAAAGGTCGAGCTCGCTCGAATGCTGGTTGCGACGGGACGTGTCTTTGGTATGTGCGATCGCGGAGACCACTGCAGCTGCAATCTAGACGATGCAGCCGCAAACGAAGAAGACGCGGAAGCGGGTGGTGTCGAGGGTATTGTGGTGGACGAGGAGGAAAGGGAATCTTGTGTTTGTTTTGCGGGTCTGTTACTTTTCGAGGCAGCAGAGCGCGTTCCGCATCCTCCACTTAGTTGTCGGTTCCGATCGCCCCACCGTGCGCTTTGCACACAGAGAAAGCGAAATTTGGATTTTGTCAGTTCGACTTATCAGCCTCTGAGAGTCTGCGGCTTGGCGCGTGCGTTGCTCAAGTGGCTCGCACTGCAGCCCCTAAGGAGCCTCTCAGAATTATTGCAGCTGACACCTTCAAACAGTCACATCATCACCGTCAAACCACTCCTTGACCTCGTTCACATCGCAAAAGGCACAACGGCAGCCTCGAACTTACACGCGGCACTCACGAAGAGACCAGGGCAATACCGACCAGGAGAGCTGCATCATGTCGAACCGTCCTATGAACGATGAGGAGGTTCTCTCCGAGATGAAGAAGATGGTACGTACCTGCTAGCCAAACACAAGCGAGTGCATCTCTGCGACGCAGACGCTGCATTGGTAGAATTCTGTCCCAGCTCACTAACTCATTGAATGGTTCTGATATGACAGGTGGCTTTCATCAAGCAAGAGGCAGTCGAAAAGGCACGGGAGATCCAGATCAAAGCCGACGAAGAATTCGCCATCGAGAAGGCCAAGATCGTTCGTCAGGAAGCCATCAACATCGACTCGCAGTACGACAAGAAGATCAAGCAGGCAGAGACCGCCAACAAGATGTGAGTAGACGGCTCCGAACCGAAATTGGTCAAGGGCTCGTTCAGAAGACTGATTAAGTCCCGGTTGTCGTTCCCCGTTTCCTTGGTATCACACAGTGCTCAGTCCAACCAGACCAACAAGTCGCGATTGAAGATCCTCCAAACCCGTGAACAGCACTTGCAGTCTCTCTTCGATGCTACGCGGGAAAAGCTCGACGGCATTGCCAAGGATCAGGAAAAGTACAAGAAGCTCCTGAGCCAGCTCATTCTCCAGGTACGTCTCATCCCACGATTGCGCAGTCGAACACCAGCATGTACCTCTTTGCTGACCGAGTGGACTTCCTCAATCTGTCTCTGTCGCTGATATCAGGGCTTGCTGCAGCTGATGGAGCCCAAGGTTGTCGTCACCGTCAAGTCAAATGACGTGCAGCTCGCACAAGATGCGGCCAAGCAAGCTGAGAAGGACTTCAAGGAGAAGTCGGGCAAGTCGACCAACGTCACTGTTCAGGAGGGTCTCGACAAGGACAGCGCTGGTGGCGTTACCCTCGCAGGCCACGGCGGCAAGATCACAATCAACAACACTCTCGATGAGCGTCTGCGTCTGCTCGAGGACCGCATGCTCCCCGAGATCCGACTCGACCTCTTTGGGCCTAACCAGAACCGAAAGTGAGTAGATCGACGCCGTGTGGTCATGACCACCATCGGGGACCTCCGATGTGCGATAGCTTCTCCTGAATCTGGAACTGACCCAATCTTTCTGTTCTGTCTCTGAACCCAAAACAGGTTCACTACCTAGACATGTCCGCTGCAGCTCCTCACTTGCCGGTCTGATGACAGTTCGTTTCTTCGTTTGGTTCATGCCCGTGTGAATTTGATATCCTTCTATCTGGACGATTGCTCTCGCACGACTGCTGCTTGCCACGATCCGAGGGAACGGGATGAATGAAACGGCTAGGGTTGCTGGATCGGAGAGCTACGGAAACCTAGATGTACATGGGCGGGAGACGGGGTCCTAGGCCACAAAGCGACGCTGTGGCTCGAGTAAGATGAGCGAGCAAAGGAGCACGCTTAAGAAGGGCGCTCGCCACGGGGAAGGGACCATTGACAGCTGAGAATGAGATTGTCGTAACCCCTGCCGTCGACCTTTTGCCTTGCTCGGTCGGCGTCTTCCCTGTTCTCGAAGCTGACGAAGGCGTAACCCTTGCAGATACCAGTCTCGCGGTCGCGACCGACGTAGACACGCACCACGCGACCGAATCGCATGAAGAGCTCCCTGAGATCGTCGTCGTCGGCATCTTCGCTGAGGTTGGTAACACGCAGCGTGGGAAGTTCGTCTCTGGACATGCCACCGAGGCCGCCCATCTTCTCTCCGGCACCCTTGGCACCACCACGCATGCTGGGTGGCACGTACTTGCCGCCTGCGCTGGCAGCGACGGCAGGGTTGGTGGGGTCCATAGCGGCGAGCGGGGTCATGGAACCCTCACCACCCTCGGGAGTGTCTGCGCCAGCACCAGGAATGGCCTCGAGCGTGTCCTTGTAGGGACATTTTGTGGTGAAGTGGTCTCCCTTGCAGAGTCGGCAGACGATGCGCTTGTTGGCGAGCTGCTGTCGCATGGTGTCCATCTCGTCGACTTCAGGCTCGGCAGTCTTGTTGCCGGCCGACATTTTGAGCATAACGTTCTCACCAATGGTGGTGGTAGCAGAGTGAGGGCCCGCGGCCTTGCCCTTCTCCTGCCCGAACTTGGTCCACTGCTTGCGTTCCGCAACTTCGTGGTTGACCTTGGTCTTGACGAGCGTCTTCTTTACTCGTCGTGTGATCTTAATCTTCTTGCCGTCTGGGTTGGTGCGGTATTCGATGACGACCTTGATTCCATTACCCTCGTCGCGCTCCTCGATACGGGGAGCATCGCCGTCAGCGGGCTCATCGAACTCGTCGGCCCAGTTCATGGGCTTGCCGCCCGCGGGCTGGCTGGTGGAAGGCGCCGCAACAGGAGCCATGGTGGGCAAAGGTTTATGTGCGAGTGGTGCTGATGAGACGAAAACGAATTGCTCTGCCTTGGTCTCTTGGTTGAATCTGCCTGCGATGTCGTCGCTGCGATCAATCCGTTGCGATACGTTTTGGTCGAGACAGAATGATGGACGTTGTGAAGGTGATGCTGGTCGATGAGAAGGATCGAAAAGGGCTCAGTTTGACTTGCAGCTGCTGGCCTGACTGGGCGGCGCGCAGAGGAGCAAGACAGAGCTTGAAGCGAAAGGCGCGTGTGTCGAAAGGCAATTTTTTGGTGCTTCTTCTCAAAGGGAGTCGAAGATTGCTCTTCCGTACGAAAATGGTTTATGTGCTGAGTTGAGAAGAAAGAGAGGCGAGGTCTCTCGTGTGCTCGAGGCCGAGATGGCTGCGAGAAGAAAAAATGCAATTCTCACTCGAGCCTACCCGACCCGAATGTCTTCTCATCATTCCACGACACCTACGCTACCCATTCCTGTCGCTCGAGCTGGCGGCCGCAATCGTTCTGAAGCATCACCTGGGGAAGCTTGTCGCTTCGCCAGCACTATCTGCATTTGCTCTTCGAACGTAGCCACCAGGATCGCCATCCGCTCGGTTTAACGGGACGAAAAGCTTCATCATGGCTTCCAGGCGGGCGCAGCAGCCTTTGCGAGAATTGGCACGCAGCATGCGTTGCGCTGTCCAAGCCGACGGCAGCTCTTCTAGCCGCGTAAGGCTGGCGCCTTCTTACCCATCGCCAAGCCGATACTCACAGGCACGAGGGCTGGCATCTGCCGCACCTAGCACAGCGTCGCCATCAACATCCGCAGCAGCATCACCGTCACCGATTCCCACGAAAGGTAGCGACTATCGCTCGTCTCCTGCTCTCGGTACCAAGGTCACGGGCGAGACAGTGCTTTCGCATTTCTCGTCGGCACCTTTCGCATCTTCGTCTTCGGATCTGCTTGGCTCGAACGCAGAGCTTGCACTTCGAGCCGTCACACATGAGTCGTACTTGAACGCACGCGAGGGACACAACCGTCGACTTGCATTTGTGGGACGAAGGACGCTCAAGCTATTCACCACACTGTATCTGCACTCGCGCCTGCAGACAGCATCAAAAGGTGACGCTGTACACAACTACATCAACCGCCTGCTAGAGTCGCCTTCGGCTGTCGACTCGATCTTGAGCACGCATCGGCTCGGAGACAAGGTGGGCCGGGAGCTTGGTCTCGAAAAGGTCATGCGATGGACGCCAGCAGTGACCGACGGACAGTTGGGACCAAGAGAGACGGGACTGTACAAAGTACGAGGTGTTGCCGTCGAGGCGATAGTAGGTGCCATCTACCACCAGAAAGGCGCCTTCGAGGCATCGAAGTTCTTCCACAGCTGGGTTTTGCCCTCATTGCTAGAGGACGGCTTCCCCGGACCTGTTCCAGAAGAACTTACGAAGGGCATCGCTTTGCCAAAAGCCCAAGCATAGCACCGCTCAACCCATACAGCATTCATTCCGAGCTCGGCCGGATCAAAAAGCATTGCGATCTCTCGACGCAGCCATGTAACACTACGCAAAATATCACTCGAAAACATCATCTCATTGCAAGAGACTGCGAGCTGGGATGATGGAGGGCTTCATCTCCTGCCTTGGCCCTTTGCAGCTTTCACCGACTTGGCCAGTCCCTTGGACTGCTTCTCTTGAGTCTGCACGGCCAGCCAGCAATTGCGCATGCCAGTGCCCATGGTTTCCGCCTCGACTTCGGTGGCATCAGCCCACCTTCTCGGCGCGGTATCGCCGAGCTTGCTCCCGAAGTTCTTGTTCTTTTCCGTCGTCTCTTCCACTTTGGCCTTCTTTGTCGGTCGCTTGAGTCCATTCCTGTCGTCAAGGGTGCTTTCCGCGTCAGCAGCCAAGGAAATTTTGTAGACGTGCATGGTGAGATTAAGATGCGAGAAGATGTGCGTTATGCTGCCGATCTTGTCTTTGCTGACTGCTTTGGCTTTCGTGTCGACAAGCGAAGCTACCACCTGGTCGATGAGCTTGGGTATCGGGATATCCGGGAAGAGGTGGGTCCTATCGTCGGATGGTCCGGCAGCCGTGGTGGAAACGGTGAACGAAGGAAACTGCCACATACTGGCCAATAGGCCGGTGGCAGGCCGCTGCTCGAGCAGATATTCGCCCGAGGGCTGCTGAATGACGCAGACGAGGCACTCTTCCTGTCGTATCTTCTTCTTCTCGAGCTTCATCGGATACTTGCGAATGTGATTGTCGATGGCTTGAGTCACCTTGGCCGCGTCTCGCTTTGTGTCGGCTTTGGTCTTGGATGCCGGCGCGGAGAAGCCGAACGAGAGAGTCGCTTGGCGTAGTTTGCTGACTCCCTTCTGCTTGGCCACCTCCTCCTGATCCGTCGTCTTGTTTGCCTCTTCTGCTTCCTCTTCGAATGGAAACGGCTCGCAATACGTGCACAGATCCTCGATATCCGGCAGAGCCGTCTCCACTGCATTCTTCTTTTTTTTAGACCTTATCGTATCCGCTGTTGCTTCGCTGTAGGCTCTGCAAGTCTGCCTGATAGGACAATCGCCACACACGGGCTTCAGCGGCGTACATACTGTGCTGCCCAGCTCCATCAATGCTTGATTCCACTCTCCAGGGACCGTACCCTTTTCTTCGCCCACCTCGTACGCTTTCTTGACCAGCACGTCTGCCGCAGCCCACATCAGATCCGTGGTGACCTTGGCTTTTGGATTTGCATACAAGCCAAGTTGCCTCGACAACACCCTTGCCACATTACCATCCAGAATCGGGACCGGCTGTCCGAACACGATTGACGAGATCGCACCAGCTGTGTACGGACCGACGCCTGGCACATTCTTCTCGAGGTCGACAGGCGACGCTGGAAGCAAACCGTCCATGCCCGGATCCGCGACCACCTTCTTTGCTGCCGTGTGGATTCGAGTTGCTCGACTGTAGTACCCCAATCCTCGCCACGCAGCGAGAACTTCTTCCTCGGGCGCAGATGCCAGTGCTTCGATAGTCGGCCACTTTGCCATCCAATTGAGCCAGTACAACTTGACTGTCTCGACGCGCGTCTGCTGCAGCATGATCTCCGAGATCCACACCTGGTACGCTCTCCTTTTCCTCGCTTCTCGAAGCTCGTCAGCGGAAGCGAAGTCGGACGCATGGATGAAGGCGGCGCGCCACGGCATGTCTCGTTTGGCAGACACACCCTCAAACCATTTCAACAGACCAAGAACGGTCTGCGGCTCGTCGACGAGCAGAGGCCGGTGGTACGATGCTCCGTGCGTTCGTGGCGGCAAAGCTGCCGGTGCCTTCCCCTGATCAGACGAGCTTGCTGCCGCAAAGATGTCCGAGAACTTGCCTGTGGAAGATGAAGATGCCGTTGCAGGTCGAGCAGCCTTCTTCGCAGGTCTCGAGTCCGGCGGAGGCGACGGCAATGGGGAGAAGTCGCTGTTGGCTGACGAAGTCGCTCGACGCTTGGTGGGCACAGCCATGGTGATCGTCGAGTGCACGCCAAGCAGACGACGTTGTGCTCCGTGCAGCAGAGCGAGTATGATGGCGACGCTGATGGCTTGATGTGCGATACGAGAACGAAGAGAAGAAGGTAAAGTGTCTCGACATCAAGAAGAAGGACGAGCTTCGCTCATTCAAAGCTTAGCTGAGCTCAAAAATGCGGAGCAAGTGTTGGTCTCGCGAGAATTACCGCGTCGCGTAAATGAGGCTCAGCTACGAAGGCAGATCTTCTTGCTCTTCGACGCTTTCACCGAGGTATGATGCTGCAAGAGGACGATTGAAAGTACTGATACATCGGCGGACACGTTCTGGGTATATATGCGGAAAGCTCAAGAATCTTCTCGACCGAAGAGCTCCTCGCAACGCTGTCGAGTCTTTGCGATGGCATCGAGCAGGTGCCAGTTCCTCCATTGCGACGTTTTCGAGGTGCCCGCCGTCGTTTGGAGATAGTCGAGCAGCTCCGTCCAATTCATCGCGGACCGATCATCTCCCCAGATCTCCTCGTCGAGCTCCTCATCGTCGAGGTCGGGATCTGCATCGAGCGGAGTATCGGCACTCGCGGCGGTCACTCCTCCTACTTCTTGCTGTCCGGCGTCGGCTGCCGAGGCTGAACCGAGTGACTCCGTTGATGTGGAGCTGCGTTTCGCGAACGCCTTGCTGGCACCGATCTCGCCCTTCTCGACCGCTGAAACGAACCTGCCCAGCACCGTCTCGACCAAGGCTTTGGCCGCAACTGCGCTCTCCTCCACTTCTGTGGGATCGACGATGATCTGTTCCAGATGCTTTTTCGAGATGCGATGCTGGCTCGCCCACCTCCACGATCGGAACTTGGCATAGTCTGCTTCGAACGTCTCCTTGACGATCTGATCCACCAGCTCGTTGAGGTGCTCCTTTGGCTCTTGGGAGTATGCAGGCAGCTGAGGAAACGGCAGCGGCCAAGTGTAGTTCGAGCTGCCACCGCCAGGACGATCTTTGTTCACATGGGCGAGCCTTCGGGCTCTGAGGGCGGCTTGACGGATCGAAGCGGAGGCCTGATTGCGCGGTGATTCGGGGAGGGCGGAAGGGCCGTCCTCGGCGTAACGAGCGAGAGAGTTGAACAGAGTGTAGTGCTTGACGAGGAACGAGTCGACCCGAGCCGTGCGCTTGCGGGCCTGTGTACGAGCTCGACCAGGGAGGAACGAGGAACGAGGGCGGCCCATCTTTGCTTCCCGCCTGCTCGATGGGAGACGGCCCGTCGCTCCGAAGATGACTTGTGCCGGTCGAGGTATGAAGAAGGGTGAGAGCAGTCGAACCACAAGAAGTTTGGTGGTTCAGGGTCCAACGCTTGACACGGTTCACGGCCGAAAAATTGGAACTCCAGCTCACTCCGCACTCACAGCTGCAGGGCAGCACCACCTGCTGCATTGACCAACCTCCAGAATTCTTCTAAACCTCTCCCTTCTGACCTCCTTCAACACCCGCTGCTGCTACCAGCGTCACCAAAGATGATCAGCGACGTGACATTGTCTGCGCTAGCCAACTGGCTCGGCAGTCTCACCATGATCTTGATCGTCTTGTATCACGTAAGTGGCTAAGCAGCTTTGCGCCGATCTTGACAAGAGCGACAACATGCTGACCCGAGACTTGCCACTCGCTTGCCCGTCGTCCGCCCTGCCAATGTCGCAGGCATTGAGCGTCAACGTCAAGAGGAACCAAGAAAGCGCGAGAAGGGTCGCAGCTTCGACATGATCAAGACCATCAAGCACTCTACACGGCTGGCACCGGAAGCCCTATCAAAGCTCATGGACTCTCGCTTCTCTCCTCAAACCTCTCTCCAGCACGATCGGTCTCATCTCATCGTCGACCATAGCGTCGTCTACGAGACCCTGTACATTATCAGCCGCTTCTTCTGCTCGAAATGGGAGCTCAGACATTTGCATCTCTCTCGCATCTTGTGATATTGCGTGCGATATCCAGCTTGTCGGATCTGACGTTTGCGGACTCTCGGTGCTACTATGGAAAGTTGCGATCGAAGTCTACTATGCGATGTGAAGGAAGGCTTGTTCTGAGACCAAGACAATGTTTCGTACATCATTGAGTATCCTGGATAGTCGGAACCCAAGTCTTCCTCTGCCTTCCTGTGTCGTGCGGCGTAATACCGCACGCCTTCTCGGTCTCCGCTTCTCGTCCTCCACACCATCAACGCCGAACATCATGAGCAGCGCCGACCGCAATAGACCGCTCGACCTCTCGTGGGAAGAGCCGCTGCCGCACGCACTCACGCCGACGCGCACCTACCTCTCGACCCCCAGCGCTTCGACCCAAGTAGCCATCGTTGCGATCCACGGACGGGGCGACAGCGCACGTGACTTTGCCGATGCGTTTGTGCCGCACCTACGAGCGTTCTTCGGATCACATCTGCAGGGCGAAATGGACGACAACGAGAACATGAGCGGCGCCGAGACGAGTCCTGAAAGCGGTGGAGCGAGGGTTACGCTGAGAGCGCTGGAGGCGCAGGACGGCATTTGGTTCGGCACACACACACGTAAGTCCGCGACGCAACCGTCCTCATCGGTGTTGAAGAGCTGAGCTGACATGTCAGCGCTTGCAACAGCCAAGGGAGACAGCGACCTCGCCTTCCAAGCTCCCTACGTACACAGCAGCCTGCTCAAGCTCACCCACGAGATCCAGTCGCTCAATCGCATCGGCGTTCCCAACTCGCGCATCGTGCTGGTGGGCTTCAGTCAAGGTGCCATCCTCATCAACTCGTACCTTTTGCGCGCGCTGCAGCTGTTGTCTCAGGACGCGGCACAAGTGAGGGTGCAGAATGGCGAGCTTGAGGGTGCAGAATGGCGAGCTGTGCGAGTCGAGGCTGCCACTGCCAGCGTACTTTTTAGGTTGGGCAGGGACGACCTTGTCCTTCGAGACGACGTTCCCAACTCCGGGATGGCCGTTCTTCTCCAACGCGTCCGCATCTTCCACTTCTGACCCACCCGAGACAGAAGACACGGCTGACGCGGAAAGATACACCATCTGGAGCCACCAGCAATGCGGATCGTCCGACCGCTACTTCACGCAAGCCGAGATCGAGGCCGTCGCAAAGCGCATTTCGGATGCTGCAAGACAATGCCCGTCTGTGTCGGTAAAGGCAACAGCAGAGATGGAGCCGGGCGTACACAGCGTGCTGCCTGGCATGACGGCGAAGCTGATACAGATGGTCGAGCGGGCTGCGTCCTCCTAGTGTCGTCGGTGTCAATGTCTGTATGGTGCGGCTTCCGCGAGATGGTCGATGTAATGTAGATTGCAGGATCGGAAGCACAGTTGTGTATTCGGGTTGAGAACGGTTCACTCGTCGTCGTCGTCCTCCTCGTCTGCCTCTGCGCTGAAGGCACCTTCCTTGGGAGCCTGTGTGAGTTGAAATGTAGATGCGGTCAGAACAATGCGATGATGTATATGACATACAGTAGGCCAAACTTACAGCAACCTGCTCGCCTCCAAGTTCAGCAGCGAGACCGTCTCGAGGGTAAGTCCTTGGCAGTGCGGGCCTCTCCGGAGTAGCAGCGTAGATCGTCGAACCGACGAGCACAACGACGCCGATGGCAACGGCGAATTGACGAAGCGCCGAAGCAGCAGGGACAGCGTGAACGTCGGGCGCCCAGACCGAGAGTACGTCGGCTTGCTCGTGAGGAGTCTCGCCGAAGTTGTGCTTCTCTTGCGGGTCCCACCATCGAGGTGAGTATTTGCGCTGCTGCTGGCTGATGAAGGGAAGGTCGGGGTAGTCGCCCAGCTGGGGATCCTTGGACTGCTGAGCTGCGGCGCGGACGGTCGAGGTCGAGAGCTGGCGAAGGGGGTTCGAAGCGGTTCGGAGCACGGCGCTCGAGCGAGAAGCGCCGGCGACAGCCTGTCGTAGGAGAGACATGATGCTGTGTTGGCGTGAGGTGAAGTCGGTGACGGTGGAGAAGACCTACAGAGCCTGAAAGCGATTGCGATGATGTGCAATCCGTTGAACTCGAATCGGCAGCGACCAAGCGAATTTTGGAACGAGCTGAAGATGTTAAGGCGTCAATGATAATGCGGAGAATTCAAGGGCTCGCTAGGTTCAAAGAGGCATTTGTGATCGATCTGCCTTGTGCAGCAGCTGAGAAGAAATCTGCGCTTAGACCAGCCCGGCTAGGATTGTTAACCGTGTTCTGGAGCTCACTGAGAAAATCAATACAAGGGCTTGTTACCTGCTCCTCATGAGTGTATTCGACTTTTTGGCCATTTTGAAATCAAAATGAAAGGGCTCAGACGCGGTGCAGTCGCGAGACTCGACTCGAAAAATGGACTGAGCTGCAAGCTGGAATTTCCCCTGCCTTTGGCAAGTGGCTCAAGCTTTGCTGTTTTGGCTCTTGGCTCACCCTCTCGCTGGCTGGCTGGCTGGCTGAATGAGCAAGGAACAAAGAGCCACACGGTGGGCCAACCGCAGTCAACGCCATCTTCCGAGCCTGTGTCTGCTGATATCGGCGTGTCTTTGTTTGTCGTCACCATCACCATCACCACGTCTGTATCCCGTTCGAAAGCCTTCGTAACATCGCATCCACCTTCGTCCCGCACAATCACCGCAAAAACATCAATCGGCACGCACACAGTCTCGGCTTGACCTCCAACCTCGACTGCTATCTTTTTGGTCGTTTGAATAGACGCATTCTCGCACGTCCGCAATAACTACCACCCTCTATCACTCGTCCAACACGCTCGCCGGCACGTCTTATTGACATCGTTGCAGCTCCGCGCATCTATACCCATTCCGAATTGCGTCGCAGGTGGATCGATTAGACGTCTCGTTGCTCTCGACCGTTTCAGCAAAACCCCGATACCTACCCGTTCAGCATCTTCTACCCCCTTCGTGCGGACAACATGGTCGACATCACGGAGCAGGACGCGTGGATCGCGCATCTCAGCGAGTGCAAGCAGCTCTCGGAGAACGACATCAAGCGGCTCTGTGACAAGGCTCGCGAGATCCTCCTCACCGAGTCCAACGTCCAGCCCGTCCGCTGCCCCGTTACCGTCTGCGGTGACATCCACGGTCAGTTCCACGACCTCTCAGAGCTCTTCCGCATCGGTGGCAACTCGCCCGACACGAATTACCTCTTCATGGGTGACTATGTCGACCGAGGCTACTACTCGGTGGAGACCGTAACCCTGCTCGTAGCGCTCAAAGTACGATACCGTGACCGCGTCACCATCCTCCGTGGCAACCACGAGTCGCGACAGATCACCCAGGTGTACGGCTTCTACGACGAGTGCCTGCGCAAATACGGCAACGCCAACGTGTGGAAGTACTTCACCGACCTGTTCGACTACCTGCCATTGACAGCGTTGATCGACGATCAGATTTTCTGCCTGCACGGCGGCCTCTCTCCGTCGATCGACACGCTGGACCACATCCGTTCCATCGACCGCATCCAGGAGGTGCCACACGAGGGCCCCATGTGCGACCTGCTCTGGTCCGACCCGGACGACCGTTGTGGCTGGGGCATCTCGCCAAGAGGTGCGGGTTACACGTTCGGTCAGGACATCTCGGAAGCGTTCAACCACAACAACGGCCTCACACTGGTAGCTCGTGCGCATCAGCTCGTCATGGACGGCTTCAACTGGTCGCAGGAGCGCAACGTCGTCACCATCTTCTCGGCCCCCAACTACTGCTACCGTTGCGGCAACCAGGCAGCCATCATGGAGATCGACGAAAACCTCAAGTATACCTTCTTGCAGTTCGACCCGGCCCCGCGCGCAGGCGAGCCGCTCGTCTCGAGGAGAGTGCCGGATTACTTTTTGTAATATCAGTTTGTGCGGAAGTGAAGAAAAGCAGAAAGGCGTACACTTGCAGATGCAATTCAGGTCCCCAGTCGCATGCCTTTGACTGTGCCGTGTTACATCACGATGAGCGAGTGTCAGCTGAAAGTCTCGGAGGCGGTCGCAAAGCCAAGGTGTCAGGGCGACGCCGTCGTAGCCGGGGTCGTGGGCGATGCGGCTGGCGTGTTGAGCACTTTGATGACGGGTTCTGCGACACATCGGTCGTAGTGACGCTCGATCGCAGACCTCATGCAATGGCCAAGAAAGGCGAAAACGCTCAGGCAACCCCAACAGCAAGCAGAACACATATTCCCGAGAACGCAATCAGAACACACGACTGACAATGGTGATCGGACAAACATGATTGCATTCTTTTGAACACCTTCTAGCCCTACTCGATGTTGTGCTGCTCGATCACATCATCGATCTTGAGCACGGCCCTGACCAGCTGGGTCGCCAACAACAACTGCTGCCTCTTGGACACGAGCGGGTCGAATACGCGGCAGTTCTTCATATCGTTGTCGCCTGCACCCATGCAGTCGATGCCCAGCTTGGGGTTCTTCTCGGTGACCTGTCTCGACTTGACCTCTGCGAGCGTCTCGATGGGCGAGTAGCCCGAGTTCTCGGCCAACGCCAGCGGGATAGCGTCCAAGGCCGAGGCAAACGCTCGCATCGCATACTGTTCCAACGATGCGATTTCGTCGGCGGCTTTCGAAATGGCTACCGAGGCGCAGATCTCGGCGGCTCCACCACCGTACACCACGCGGTTGTCGACGACCAGGTTGCGCACCACACAGATGGCATCGTGAAGCGCGCGCTTGGCCTCATCGATGATCATCTTGTTGGAGCCGCGGACGAAGACGGTGACGGCACGTGTGTTGGCACACTCCTCGATGATGAGCATGCGGTCGCGTGTTGTACCGAAGCCGACTTCTCGGACAACGCCGGCGCGACCGAGCTTCTCTGGAGAGAGATCCTCGAATCGAGGAACGATACGGCCGTTAGTGGCGATGGCAATGAGCTCAAGCTCCGGGCCACCGACCCATCGGACGGCGGGCAGCTCGTGCTGGAGCAACAAATGATTAGCCTCGTCGTCGAAACCCCACTGGCAGACGACAAGGTTGGCACCGCAGTCCTTGACCCGCTTGATCATCTCCTCGAACTTTTGTCGCTCGTAGTCCTGCAGCTTGCGGTACTCCTCTACGGAAGTGATGTCGAGCTTGTGCTTGGTCTTGGGACGAGGTGGCTCGAAGGGGCATGTGAGGATGGCGATCTTGGCGTCCTTGACGACGCGGGGCATCTGAGGATGCGACATGTCCTTGTCGATGACAACACCCTGAACGAGCTGTGTGTCCTCTAATCCACCGCCGACCTTTCCGTCGACCTTGATCAGCTCGAAATCCACATCGCGTCGCTTGAGGTCTGCTACCGAGAGCACCGAGTCGACGGCGATCTTGGCAAACTTGTCCGACGCTTTCGAGACGATCTTGGAGCCGAGACATGTCTTTGCGACCTTCATGAGTTCGGTGATGTTATCCTTGTCGAACTCGACGACGTCAGCGACCTTTTCGAGCTCCTGGACGGCGAGATTGCACGCGCGTTCGAAACCGTCTGCGATGCGGATAGGGTGGATGCCTCGGTCGATCAACGCCTCGGACTGTTCCAACAATGCACCTGCAAGCACGACCACACCGGTTGTGCCGTCTCCGATCTCGTCGTCCTGACTCTTGCTGAGCTCGACGAGCAGCTTTGCAATCTGGTGGTCGAGTTCCATGTTGTTCATGATGGTGGCACCATCATTTGTGACCTGAATGTCTCCGTCGGGGCTGATGAGGATCTTGTCGAGACCACGGGGCCCAAGGGATGTCTTGAGGATGTTGGCGACCGTCTTGGCAGCCGAGATGTGGTTCTTGATGGCCTGAATACCGTTCGCGCGGGTCTTCTTGCCCTGTTCACGAACGACGATGAAGGGCCGTCCGTACTCGTCCTGCGCATATGCAATTTGTGGCTCCATGGTGGATATATTTGCGCTCTTGCTGCTGCGAGTCGACCGGCGGAAGAGACGAGGAGCGGTAGATGGCGTCGCTTGTCAAGATCAGAATTCGAGAAGCTGAGCTGTGCGTGTGACTTCTTGTGGGATTGCGCAGAGCGGGTGAAAGTGACAGAGACACGCGCGCCGTTCAAGTCAAAAAGTGTTGCTCACCGCGCTTTTCTTCTTCTTTCTTCCACAGATGAGATTTTTCGAGACACTGTTACACCGTTATATGGGCAGGCATAACTAAAATAGAACAATTATGTAAGGCTGACAGCACAACAAGGTGAGAATCGCGCGAGACTTTGTCTCGCCTTCGCATGGAATGGTCCGCCTACGAGCGCTCGTGTGACACGGAAGATTTCGCTTGGGCCTAGACGGTCAGCGATGCCAGATTTCCACCGGAACGGCAAGGATAAGCGCATACGTCAGAGCATGAGCAAGAGCGGAAAGCTGCAAGGTCGATCCAAACAGTCCAAACAGGTTTGGCGGCAGTTGAATTTCCGGCGTATCGCGCCGTGAGCGCGTCACACACTCGCGAAAACAAACCAACGGGTCTCATTGAGCGACTTGTCGGACTAGAGTGTAAGCAAGCCTTTGTGTTGGCCTGCACGAGATGCCTGTTCGTCTGATACAATTCTGGAGCACTTGAATGATGCTTTTGCTATGATGTGAGTGAGTGAGCAGACTGCTGAATCGCGAACGGCCAATTTCAACGTCGTACCGGATTCATCGTTCCGTGTTTCGTGAGCTCGTGTCTTCTCGCTTAGCAGGCCGCCAACACGTCAAATGTGGAAGCGAACTGGCAAATCCAAAAAAGGCGAGCAGAGTCCAACACTTTGTTGAATCTCGCTTAGCAGCCAGAATTGACCGAAACGTATTGGCCGGATGGGATGGAGGAAAGTGTTTGTTTGCAATACGAGCTTGTTGTTCTTGCACGTCGGCTGGATGGCGGATCGTCTTTGCAGCGCAGGTGTGGATGCAGTTCAAGGTCTCAGACGCTGCGGATCGGACCCGGCGGAGAGCCAAAAGGTACCTGGCAGATCTCGTGACAGGTCTGGTCCTTCTTTTGATCCTGGTGGTAGCGTGGGAAAAAATATGCCGAGGTGCGATAGCCGTGACCGAGGGAAGCATCGACAGCAGCAGACGAGAAGGGCGAGACGACGCAAGACCAAATTTGGAATCATGGCGAATCGCTGGCCAGTCCTCCTCGAGCTTACTCTGCAGAGTTTGCAAGGGTTCTCCTCCTCGTTCGGCATCATTTGCGAGCATGCAGGTCGGATGCAGCATACAGTACAGACACACTCTCCTTCTATAGCTCGCAAAGCACACACGCGTTTGCGTCCTGCGCTTCGCTTTCGGCGTCCGCGGCGGTGTGTGTGCGTGTGTTGCTCTTCGGTTGCGTCACACCGACCGCGTTGAAACAAAGAAAATTCCCGGCCAGAGACCTTGTGTAGTCGAAGTACACCACAAACAGTTCCATCACGAACCTGCTCAAAATTTCACAGTGGGCAAAGGGATCGGCATCCGAACCTTCTCCACTCTTGATCTGTGTCCAACTTTCCTTCTCACCATCATCATCTCCTCCCCACACTCCTTTGAACCGCTTCCTCGCTATCAAGTCACGATGGTCTCGAGCGTGATCTACGACACGGTCGTGGCCGCCATCCCGGCCCACATCAAGGCGCAGACCCCCGTCCATCTCTTGGCATGGATCCCGGGCAAGTCGCCACTCTCGACGGTGCCTTCCATCGTTGCCGCCGTCATCACTTATCTCGCCGTCATCTTCGGTGGTCGCGAACTCATGAAGAACCGCGCTCCTTTGACCACCAGCATCAAACTGCCTTTCCTGGTGCACAACCTCGCGCTCACCTTCGGATCGGGTCTCCTGCTCGCGCTCATGCTCGAAGAGGTCGTTCCCATCGTTCGTCGCAACGGCCTCTTCTACGGTATCTGCGGTGAGGGCGCCTGGACCATGAAGCTCGAGACCTACTACATGATCAACTACTACTTCAAGTACTGGGAGCTCGTCGACACGGTCTTCCTCGTCCTCAAAAAGAAGCCTCTCCAGTTCCTCCACGTTTACCACCACTCGGCTACCGCCGTGCTCTGCTTTTCGCAGCTCCACGGAAAGACGTCGGTCTCGTGGGTCGTCATTTGCCTCAACCTCGCCGTACACGTCTTGATGTACTTCTACTACGCCCTCACATCGCTCAAGATCCCGTGCCCATGGAAGAAGTCGGTCACCACAGCGCAGATCACCCAGTTTGTCATCGACCTGGTGGTTGTATACTATGCAGGTACGCCTCAGAAACCCCTCCACTTCCGATCGTCAGTCGCTCAGAGACCCCTTCTCTGCGCCCTGGCGGGTCGGTGATGCCCTCTTCGTTGGGGCGAAAAGGAATGTATGATACTGATACTGATACCTGGTGGTTGTATACTATGCAGCTTACTCCTATTTCGCATCGACCTATGCTCCTCATCTTCCTCACCACGGCACTTGCGCGGGCAAGGAGCACGCCGCTGTCTCAGGAATCGTGTGCCTTACTAGCTACCTGTTCCTCTTCATCGCCTTCTACCAGAGGACTTATGCCAAGGACAAGGCTCGTAGGGCGGCTGCGGCTAAGCAGAACGGCCAGGCGAACGGTAAGGCCAACAAAAAGGTCAACGGCAAGGCACGCTAAGTTGCTGCACCACAGAGCTGCCGCTGCGCTACGACACAAGCCGAAACGCAACCTTTCCCGTGCAGCACAACAGAGCTCTGCTTCCGCTGTAGCAGCAGACCGCAGAGTCTGCCGTCTCCCGTCTACAGTGCAATGCAGCACAAACTCAACCCCCATCTTGACCGGAGCGCAACAGTGCTTCGGCCGGCTCGTCTGTACATACACCACCAACACACGCTCTCTTGCTCCATTTGGCCACTCATTTGTACTCTTTACTCTGGCACTTTACACAATTTACCAATCGAGGCGCTTTCAATCGGATCGTCGTACTGGCTTGTTTTTCGCAAGACACAGCGGACCCAGCTATATTGTGATCCATCTGAGACGTCTCCGTCTGTCCGGTCCATGCTGCGCATAGCCGTCGGCCCCCTGATTTCGTCTCCGTAGGAAATCCCAGCCGACGCTTCTCCAACACGACCATCCGATGTTCTCTCCTCCATCCTATAATTCAGCCAGTCGCAACTAGATTCACGGTCTGCAGCTGCCCCTCACGCGTTTCCCGCCGTCTCTTCCTGCAATACGCTCTCACCTTCCGATCAACTCACGCACACCAACCTTTGCGCTGCCATTCCGCAGCCGTACGATGTCTGCATCCCCTTTCATGAATTGCTTCTGATTCTCCGTGACACTATCGAGTGTGACGCTGGTGCCGGGCTTGAGGTCCACATCTTGAGCCGGTACAATGCAATCCCCAGTGGCGCAGTGAGATGCGACCGCCTTGCTCGGTATACTTTCTCCGCATATTCCACTGTTGCATTGCCGTCTGGTTTGCTCTCGGCACTTGTTTCCCCTGGTGTGAGACCACGCATGGCCGACCGGAAGCGGTCCGCCTGGGCCACATCCTTGAACGTCGGCTTGAAGCTCGGCTTCGTGCCCAATACTCCTGCATCGTCATCTCTTCCCTTCTCGCCCTTCGCCGCGATTTGTATCGAGAACGCCCAGTCCTCCCCTTCTCCCGAGGCATCGAACAAATCCAATCGTCTCCTTCCCCTAAACCTCCTCTCTAACAGCTCAGCCTCCTGCACCACCCTTTCCGCCAATTGCCGCTCCACCAGCTCCTCCATTCCCGCAAGCAACGTCGCTTCCGAGCTGACAATCTTGTAGCTGGCCTTCTTGTGCAGCTGCGCATAGACGCGCGGGTCGAGCGTCACCCACAGTCCCTTGTCCGGTTTCTTGCGCGCGAATTTGGGGTGCAGGATTTGATCAGGGAGCATGACGATGCGTTCGGAGCCGGCTCGTTTTGACTTCGATGGGATAGCGGTGGTGCTGTTGGGGAGGGTGACGGGTTTGAGTTGCAGCATGAGCGATGTTGGCAGGATGCGTGAGGTGACGATGCATTTTCGGAGGGGAGCAGCGAGCATCTGCAGGTGCAAAGAGCCAGACCAGCGGGCTTCGAGTGCTGTTAGATGGGCTTTCGCTGCGCCCGCAAGTGGAGCTGCTATACGACTGGCCATAATGATTTTGCCGGTAGGCTGTCCGGCATCGTGCTCACCACAAGACGGCAGATGGTGTGAAGAGCGGTGCGAAGAAGAGGGGAGGAAAGATTGAAGATTGGACCCTGACCCGATGGAGGTAGCCTCCACACCCGATTCAGCGACCGAGACCCGAAAACGTCCAAAAATTTCTGCGAAGTGGCAACGCTTCCACGATGCTCGACCGCCTTCCTCCTCGTAGACTGCATCACTGTCGACTTCACTCAGCTCTGAATCATCGACGACCCTTCCTCTTCCCTCCATCACTGATCCAGCAACGATCTCGCTCCACACGAATCCAACATCAACCATGTCGAACGATCGCAACGCACAGGAGCTCCTCAAGTGGGGTCTGTCGCACTCGACTGCCGTCACCTCCGCCGGCGGGCCCTCCGTCGAGCAGATCTCTTTGGACATCGAATCAGGTCGTCGCCCCGACCTTGCCGACCCGCATCTCTACGACGCGATCATGGGCAAGTCGGAAGCCCAGATGATGCGCGAAGAGCTCTCTGTCGCCGTCGACCCCTCTCGTACGGTCGAAGACCGCTGTACCGCACTGGACAACTTCGAGATGCTCATCGAGCAAATCGACAATGCGAACAACATCACCAGCATGCGCATGTGGCAGCCCATCATCTCGCTGCTCTCGGCGAGCGAACCCGAGATTCAGACGGCGGCAGCGTGGATTTTGGGCACGGCGGTGCAGAACAACGATAAGGCGCAAATGGCCGTCTTGGAGTACCAACCGGTGGGCGGGCTGTTGGATCTTCTGCAGAGCTCGGAGGAGGAGGTGAGGGCGAAAGCGATGTACGCGCTTAGCGGACTGCTGAAGCATAACCCAGCGGCCATGGATCAATTCGACAAGTTGCACGGGTGGAAGACGCTTCGCCTGGCATTGCTCGATCCCAACATCGGTCTGCGTCGCAAGACCGCGTTCCTCATCAACGCACTCCTCTTCCAAGATCCCAACTCGTTCGAAACCACCCCAGCGAGCACAACACGGAGCACAGCAACAGCCGTAGCACCCGTGCCCAACTCAGGAGCACCAGCAGTACCACTCGAACAGCCCCCGGCAACCCACACCTCGATCCCCCACCCCAACGTCCCCCGCGCCCTCCTCTCCTCAGGCACCCTCCTCACCCTCCTCTCCTCCCTCCTTCCCCCACACCACCCGGGAGCAACCGAAACGGCCCCTTCCGGCCCCGACGGCGACAGCGACCCACGTACAGACCTTGACTTTGCCGAAAAAGCCACCACCGCCGTGCTCAGCTTCACCGCCAAGTTGCCCAGCGCAGGCGTGCAGGTGCTCGACGAGAGGTCCGCCGAGCTGTTCAGAGCCCTGCTGGTCGAGCTGCAGGGCAGACCGCTCGACGAGGCCGACGGCGCCAAGACCAGGTGGGAGGAGTTGGGAATTGATACTGCCGATTTCGAGGCGTTCAAGGCCAAGGTTCAGGGTGTGTAGGTGCAAGCAATCACATCTGCTGTTGGTTCAATCGCAATCGATTTCATCCCACTTCTGGTTTCACTCTCTGTGACTTGCTGTGTTTGCAAAGGCTTGTCGAACGTGGATGCTGTGAGATGAAATTGAGGTCTGTGACATTGAGGACCGTCGCTCAGAAGTCGAAGCTCCACAACGACGGCGCGGAACCGGGCGAGGCATTCCGAGCTGCCGCCGCCACCGCCGAAGAGGACGACTGGAACGGAAGCGCAGGCAAGCTGACCCGGTCGAACGCATCCGCTCGACACAGCGGACACGTCTTAGCCGTCTGGAACCACGTCTTGATGCAATCGGCGTGGAAAGCATGGCAGCACTTGTCGATGCTCATGAGCAAGTCCGAGTCGAGATAATCTTCGCGGCAGATGGGACACATGGTGTCCCTCGCATTCGAAGGCGGCTCCACCTTCTGCTTGCCCTTGCCCTTGCCCAACAGCGGAGGGGACAAACTGTCACGCAGTCGACACGACCCGCCGTCCCACTTACCATACTCGCATGTCGGCAGCGCATCGATCAGACTCTGCGGCACGCCCACGTCCGCAGCGCCCAGTCGCTCGCTCAGCTGCATCAGGCCCTCGTACGAGTTGAGCTCGGCCCACTCTTCGTCCGCGATAAAGTTGCGTGCGTCCAAGGCGAGGTGCGGAGCGTGGCCGAACAGGCTCGAGGTCGAGGAGGCGGGCGGAAGGTGGAGCTGTCGGAGGTGAGGATTGGATGCAAGCGCTTCCGACTCGATCGCCATGCGTAGCAGTGGACCGTGAACGTCGCCGGCCATCCATTCGTCGAGCATGCTGTCGTGGCTCATGAGACGACCAAGGTATTGAAGTGCAGATTCGTCCTCGTTCCTTTCGCGGCGCAAGAAGGCCGATAGCGGCCCGCCCCGAGAGCTAGGAAGTCCTGCAGGCTGTCTGGATTCGGCGCTCGGACTCTCGGCGAATGGTTCGAAGCGCGGCCGGGCCGGAGCAGTGGCTCGCTCAGGATGATGTGAGGGCGTACGAAGCCCGAAGGAAGTCCTTCTCCAGGGAGCAGCATCGCGCTGTCGAGTCGGTTCGACGATCGGCCCTTCTGTCGATTCGTCTCCATATCGACGAAGGCGGGCGCTGCCTGCGCGCTCGGCCTCCTCTGAAGCATTTCGCCCTGCCTCGGTCCCGTCTTCAAGTCTGGATCTGAACGAACGGCGGGCGAACCTGTTGCCTTGGTGACCGAATGGACGATGCACAGCGCCAAAGTCATCCGCAGCGAAACGATCACCGCTCGCAGCCTGCGGAGCCACCGGGTCGAGGAGGTGGGGCCTACGACTGCTCAACGGAGCAAAGTCCGTCGCCATGTCGGCGGGGTGAGCGCCGCGAATATGCGCTTGTTCGGCATGAGCTTCTCTTTGCGTCGAAGCATGGCCGCGAGAGAAAATGCCAAAGGTTCGCATTCTGTCCTCGAATATGTGTGTCGGCGGCGGTTCCAGACCTCCACGATGAAGGTAAGATCGTCTGGACGTCGCTGCATCTGCAGCCTGCTGTTGGTCATGCTGAGATCGATCCGAGGCAGGTAAGAGGTTGCGCCTGCGCAGACTGCCCGATGTCCGTCCATGCTGAGCGACTTGGCGTGGGTCGTTGGTCTCTGCAGCTGCAGCAAATGGCACAGTGAGGGGAGAAGCAGTGCGCACGTACGGCAACTGTGGAGCATGACGCTGCGACATTGCATCGGGGGACGTCTGCCCTTGCTCATTCCGTGAAGGATTCGCTGCGCTCGAGGCAAAGGAAGTGTGCACAGGACTATCGGACCGACCTCCAAGCCTAAGGTCGACTGCTCTGGCAAAGTCGGACATGAATGACGTGTCAGACGCTTGGCTGCTGGGACGGGCGAGATAGTCTGTAGCCTCTGCGGCGGGAACATTGCGCAGAAGATCAGCGTCTCTGACATAGAACCCTCTGCGACGTCGAATTGTACTGCTAGAGCGCTGCGCTCTAGTGCTGTCGAGGAAGGCGGATCGTCGCTGGGAAAGATCAGAATTCGGCTGTTCTGTACGAAGAGCAGACTCTTCCGTGGATGACGAGGGGACACCCAGGGTTGAGCTTGCTTCGAAGGCTCGGATATCACTTGTGCTGCTGTTGACGAGCAAAGACGCACGACGAACGTGTGTCCCGGTATGTGAGGACGCATTGACGCGGGAATCTTCCGAAGCTGGAGGATCTGCAGTGAAATGATCGACAGATGCTACAGAAGTTTCGCCTTGACGATCTTGACGTCGAGAGCGTCGCTTCTTGTTTGCCGTGTTCAGACGGGCCTGCATCACGCTCGAAGGTGCCGCTGTGACGACTTCGCTCATCCTGGTATCCAGGTGAAATCTGGACGACGAAGCGCACGCATGGCTGCTTGGAAGCAGAAGAGTGCGATGACGAGGCGAGTTTGAGGGAGATGAACCTAGCTCGCGAATCGTTCGCTTGAGAGAGCCGTCATCGTGGAATGATGGCTCGGTGCGTCGATCAACTGAACCTGTCGCTGACTGGCGAAGCGGGCGTGAGACTGCTCGAGAGCTCGAGATAGTTGCCGAGTCTTGATGGTGATCGTCTTGGCCGTATAACGAAAAAGTCGCTTCGAGATCGACGGATTGCTGCCTTGCTTTGCCTTTCCTGTCCGAACGATCGATCGATTTGCTGGTACGTTGGGTGGAACTGGAGGTGTCAACGGGACAGCGGCTTGCGTCCGGATGACCGGGTTCGGCAGCTTCGAAGCCAAGGAGCTGGAGGTCGTCGTCTGAGTAAGTGTTAGCTCGTGCTTTGCCCTTATCTTGGCATCGGTACAGCGAGCTGCTGTGCTCGGGAGCACGAATGCCTGTGGATGGCGATGGGGCGGAGATGGCAGAGTGATACATGACTGAGTGTCAAGAAGGTGAAGCCTTTGACTAGAGACTTATCTGACGTCGTTCTCGGTCATGAGGCTCGATGCTTTCTGACAAGGCAGCCGAACGCCGAGATGAGAAAGCCGAGGTTGCCTGCCTGACCGAGCGCTGATGGCAACTTGAGCAGCCCTGTTGGTCGAAGTCTTGCAAGGAAACCGTATAACCACAATGTCAATGTGGGGCTGGCTGGCGATGAGTTGGAAGAGGAGAGGCAAAGCAGATAGCCTCGCTCGGAGCTGGAAACGAGTTCCCACTGTGGGTCTTGCTCAGCCTCTTCGAGCGTAAAGAGAGAGCGGTGCTGTAGGATGTGACTCGCAACAAAGAGGGACGGGCCAGGCCGGGCCATGTGACAATACGAGGAGAGCGCTTCAGCAGACAATGTCACTTTGCATCAGCCCCACTCTTCAAAGTCACAGTTGCTCCTGTTGCAAGCCCAATCTCTCGAGTCCGTGATTGACCCTCGATCGGTATCTTGCCGAGTGGCTTTTGTGACTGATGTGAAGCCGTGAAGCCTTGCTCGGCATCGATTCAGGGTCCAAATCACAAAAAGTTGGCCAGATGTGACGTTGTTGGCACTTTAGCGCGCACGCCTGCATGCATGCGTGCATGCCAGAGGGTAAAAGGGTCCATCATGCTCACTCTCTCGAGAAATCACACGATCCTTCGTTCCCTTTGACCGATCCTTAAGGGGAAGAGCGGGACCGTTCTTGCATCAAAGGCGGTGGGTGCATGATAGGCGACATCGTTCGCCGATAGGAGCTACTGCAAGCTCGTCTGTGTAAAGCCTGTACTTCGACTCGATAGCTGGCTTAGGAAACTCGAAGATTGGACACAGGGGCTGGTGGGAGAGATACGCTTTCCCACTAGTCAGCCGTGAGCTCATCCTGTGTTGCTCTCCGGCCTACTGAGCCGAGATTGCTTGCCTTACCTCTCGCAGCATCATGAACATGACAAGTGGCCTCATAGGGCTCAGCGCTCTCGTCTCGGTCTTTCCGTATTCCGCCATTCCCTTGTCTTTGTGCGGAATAACGGGTTTTAGGTCCACATTTCACTTGTGACATTTCAGCGCCGCCCCGTCCGTGTCTCAATCCACAAAGCCGCACGCTTGGCCCTTCGACCAGCCCAGACAGTCTTTCTAGGAGGCCTGCACAATCGAGAGCTCGGTCGAGTGACGGTATGATAAACTAAATTGTAGGATACAAGTTGTTCGCGACGAGGCATAGTCTTATCTTTGTGCAGAGCAGTCAGAGCTCGACAGACTGCTAGCTGTCCGAATGAGCCTCGTTCATGATCGCCAACCTCGACTTGCCTAGCGGCGTAGCAGCACCGCTATGGAAATCCAGCGACACCTGGCACCACCTGTCCTGCAGCCACGTCACACTCCACGTCCCCTCTACCGCCGCCCAGATGCTGTACTTCTTCTCCAAAATCCCACTGACCGTGTTGGTCTCGAGCACCTTGGGTCTCGCGTGCGTGTCCACCGGCTCCGTCCGCTGATACGTAAACGAGAACGGCGGGACACCTTTGAAGTTGAAGATGATCTCGGCCTGGTTGCCCTCGCGGAGGTCTTCGACAAAGTGATTGCCTTCCGAGATGCGCACGTTGGGCAGGTCGTGGATCGTCTTGACCATGTCTTGCGAGACGCGGGCGTCCACGTCGCGTCGACACTGGTTCTGTTGGTGGGCGACACTCTTGATCGTTAGCACGCCTGGCTTCTCAGCGACGCGAGAGAACTCGGCGGTGGTTACGGCGGCTTGCGCCGATTTGCCGTTGAACTCGTACGACACGGTCCATGGCGGGCTGCCCTGCAGCGAGAACTCGACCATCTCGCCGATACAGTAGTCCTCTCGCGTCGACACGGGAGCAATGTCGGCCGTCTCGGCCACTTCGATCACCATCGTCTTGTCATCCTGTCCTGAGCGCTTGCTGTCCTGCATCGGAGCAGTCTCACACTTGTTGGCATCCGTGATCTGAACAATGCGGACCGACCAGAGACCCTTGCTGCTGAAGGCAAACTCTTTGCCACCGAGGTCGAGCTTGTACTCGTTTGTCTTGATGCCACTACGAGTGAAGCGATAGCTGCCTGCGCTCGACGTCGAGCTCGAGCCAGCATGAGCCACCTCGAAAGAGACTGTGAAGGGTGCTTGGCCTTGCAGCTTCAGCGTCGGCGGGCTTTCCAGTCGGTTGAGACCATCACCTACACAGAGAGAAGGCTTGCGGTGCTTCGACGATGTGCTGGCGAACGACGCGCCAGGCAGCGGCAACACCATCTGTTCCAGCCGCCTCGGTGACTCTGTCGAGAATTCCTGCAGACGCGACGGCGGGTACACAGCATCGCCGACGCTGTTGATCACGTACGTGTGCCAGCCTGGCAGCGCAGTCGAGAGCTCGAGGTTCGTGCTGCCGAGTGCGGAAGTGAAGGCAGTCTTGCGACGCTTGCCGTGCAACGACACTTCGTGAGCGGCCGAAGCCAGAGGCGCGGCGGCCTCTGGCTCGCTGCTGGCACTCCACGATGGTGCAATGTGCTCGTACTCGACGTCGACAGGGAAGTGTCCCGACATGACGATGTCGACCGAGTCGGGTTGGCCGCGACAGACTGGAGCGCGAATAAGGCTACCGTTGCGTGCTGACTCGCCAGCGTCGTTGGCGAACTGGACATGTGGCTGCGGTCGCACGCTGATGCGGAAATCCTCCTGGCCTTGAAGCACCAGTCCTGGACAGTGATTGTCACGGATTTGTTTGATCTTGTACAGACCAGGATGCTCAGCCAAAAGCTCGGCGTCGACGTTCTGCACTGAAGCGGTGAGATCGACCTCTTCGGCAGACTCGTTGGCTTTCCACGAGTAATCGACGTGCCACGGACCTTGGCCGCTGAGGCGGATAGGAAGTTTTGCGGGCTTGCCTTGAAGCACCTCAAGGTGGCGACCGGCCTTGTCTGCCTTGATCGGGAGGAACCCGACGCTCGGCTGCACCCTTCGAACTTCGACGTTGAGATCTCGCGTGGCCAGCGATTTTTCGCATCCTCGTGCATCACGAATTTTGACCAGACTGACGGTGACCAGACCACCCGAGGCGGCCACCGACTTGGGAATGTCGATCTTGAGTGTATGCAGCGACTGTGTGATGCCTTCGACCACCTTGGTCTCGACGCTATCGGCAGCTCGAACGGAGTAGGTGAGATCCCAAGGACCCGCCCCACTGAATCGGACATCCGCCTCGGCCTGCTTGCCACTGCAGCTCTGCATCACTGCCCGGTCGTCATGGGCGCGGATGGGCGCGGTGAACTCGGCACTCGACAGCGGATGGAAGACCTGTGTGAATGACGGTCCGTCCAGCGGAATGCCACGATAGTTGCTGTCGTGGAGCTTGACGAACTTGTATGTGACCGCACCATCGACATCGGGGCGGAAGTCGAGCTCATCGCGGGTCTGGTCGAAGATGGTTCTGACCTTGCGCTCAGGATGGCGACCCTCCTTAGTCACCTCGTACTCGAGCTGGAAGGGAGGGTTGCCCGTGAGTACCGACATTGCCTTGACACCGACTGGACCAGCACATCGATCTTCGATACTGCTGAAGTTGATGTCGGCGGTCGGGGGAGGCACGTCGACTACCTCGCACGTCCAGGGTGAGCCAACTTCTCCTGCGCAGAACGGCCCTGTGATGTCGTCGATGCGGTATGTACCGGGCTTGTCGACAGTGAAAGGCACGCGAGAGCTGTGCGCAGGCAAGCTGAGCTGCATCTCGGTCGGCTTGGCAGCTTCACGGGCCCAAAGACCTTTGCCAGCAGCGCTGTTGTCTGGCTCGAAGGAGATCTTGACGTCCCAATCCCCGCCTTGCTCGAGGTCCGGGCTGGACTGCATAGTGAGCTCGATACCTTTGGCGTTTCTCAGGAGTGCGAGGGGGTGGCCCGGTCGACACTGCCTTGAATCGAAGGCGACGTTGCGGCGGGTGTGAACCACGACAGACTGCTGGTAAGTCGCCGTAGACTCGCCGTCGCCTTTGATCTTCTTTCGAGCCTTCTGCGTGAGCGAGAGACCTGCATGGCGATCAGCATGGACAGCGACACGGTTACCGCACGCATCGGTGACGCTCTCCAGTGCGTATGTGTAGTTGCCCGGTTGCTCGAGATCGATGCTGCTGAGCGGCATGTCCACGTCGACCGAGACTGCCCACGAGAAATCCTCGGAATTCGCGTCGTTGCGACGGGAAGCAGCTCGAAGGCGCTCACGTGCAAGCGCAAGCCTTTCTGTCGGCGAGAGAAGCGCTTCTGCTTCGGGCAGGAGAAGAGGCGAGGTGTGATGAGGAGGCGAGATGCGGGAGATTTTGCGCGTGTTGTCCTGGCGTGAACTTTGACGACTCGATCCACCAGCAGATGGCAAAGGATCAAAGACGCGACGATACTCGAGCTCAAGGGGCGCAACGCCGCTGACCTGAGCGGCAAAGTCGGCGCGATCTCCAGGACACTTGTGCTGTGTCTGAAGCGAGCTCGTCAAGCTGTCCGCTGCAGACGCAGCTGGGATGAGCTTGGTGGTTGGGCAAGATACGACGAGCGCTTCCGAAAGTGAGATACGTGCATCATTGCGAGACTTGTCCAGTACGCGCTCAAGCCGAATGCGGCCGGGCTGGGTTACTGGCAGGTGCCACAGTAGCTGCTGGCCGTTGCGATTTGATGGCAGTCGCTTGGTCTTTGGAGTGTCGAGGCTGGCGGATCGTTGACCCATCGATTGTGCGCGGCGTTCAGCGCGGATACGAGCTCTCTCTGCGTAGGAAACCCCGCGGAGCAAAGAGGAGGGATCATCGAGCGCATCCTCGTCGTCCAGCAGGTCGTTTTCGCGACTACCTTGCTTCGAGGAGCGTGTTCGAGCTGCAGCGTTGATGGCGTTCAGCTCGTCGTCTCCACGATCACTGTTGGAAGCACCGAACGGGATGAGATGGTCGACGCTGACATTGAAGTAGGTCGGCTGCCCCGTCGCAAAGTCGGTGATAGAGTATTGAAGCAGGTCGGGATGCGCGTTGCTGAAGAGCACGGGCACCGTGACTTGAGGCGTGTGCAGTCCAACGCAATAGCAGGCACTCGAAGGCAGAAGTTTTGCAGTGCTGTGAGGGAGGATGTGGATGGTGTGCTGGCCGAGAATGTGGCTTTTTGGGTGAATGAGGTCACGGATGCGAACGTGTCCTTCGTTGATGGAGAGTTGGCGACTGAGCACGTCTGGGAACACACCAGCTGCGGGCACACTGAGGCCAAACAGGGACGCTGCTACCGAAAGGATGTTGAGCAAGCCGTTGAGCGACAAGATGAGCGGGTTGGTGGATGCTGAACCCAAAAGTGTCGCGTCTACGGCGGAGAGCGCGGTGAAGATGACGACGTAATGGACGTAGGTGAGCCCGACTGTCTTTGGCGGCTGGAGTACAGGGTGTTGCTGTTTGCCGTTGATAGTCGATGGCGCTGCTTTTGCTGTTGCGAGGCGTGGATCCAGCAGAGGAATGCCTAGGCGGGAGAGCACAAAGAGGATTGCAAAGTTGAGGAAAAGCGCTGTTGAAAGAGACAGGCCGCTTGAACCATTTTGGAACGCTATTGAGGATCTTGATGTGGTTGGTGTGGATGATAATAGCTGACGGAAGATGCTTGAATATTTCCAAGCCTGAACAAGAACCGCAGTGCCAACGGCGTAGAAGCGTTGAGATGGCGCGTCGATTGTGGAGAAGGAGATCAAAGGCTGGACCGCGATTGTCGGCGGCTGCGATGCAGCAGATGGTGCCTGCGCCGTTGCAGCAGGCTTCATTTCGTCCACCATGATGAGCTGCTGCCGTCACTGACCGTTCGATCGTCGTTACAACGACGTTACGTGGCTGTTGCTCAGACAGCTGATGTCATGGGACGCGTCCTGAGAAGAGCTGGTGCTCAGTACGCGGAACGATGCGGCGACGATCGCGAGAGCGATGGAGCCTAGAGCTGGTAGCTAGACACCACGAAGCTGGACCTTCCTAGGCGCGAGTCGTCGCGGGCATAAAGTGGGATGGGAGAAGGATGGTGAGGGTGAAGAAGGCTCACGGTCCATCAGACTCGCCAACTTTTGCTGTCAAAAGAATTTGGCCGACTTCCGAACGATATTTTGATGCTCAGCAGCATCTCAAGCCATTCCACAGACCTTCATCCCTGACTTCAGCTCTTGTTCCTTTCAGCGTGTAGCGTGTATCAAGCACGGTCGTCAATATGCCGCCAAAACGTCCGATCCGCAACGTGTTCGGCAACGACGACGATGACGCGTCTACGTCCTACGAAACGCAAGGCGGCACACCGCCAAAGAAACCTCGTTCGGATGCCAAGCCCAGTGTCCTTCGCGCAGGTGTTCCTCCTCCTGGCCCGGCTGCGGTTATCCCAGCAGCAACATCACAGAATGGAGGAGCCAATAGCATTCAGGCGCAAGTGGCGGCGGCAAAGGCGAGAGCACAGGCGCTGATGAGTGCGATGCAGAACAAGGGCGCTCCGGGGCCGGCTATTGGTTCGGCTCCCGCGAGGCCCCCGACAGCGTCGGCGGCTGCGCCATCGAGGTTCGCGCCTGTCACTGGCGCCAGCAATGGCAGGGCTATGCCAATCACGGCAACAGCATCGGCATCGAGACCACCTGCGGGAGGAGCAAGCAGCATTCAAGCTCAACTCGAAGCCGCTCGTGCAAAGGTGCAGGCTCAGATGGCAGCGTTGAACAACAAGAACAAATCTTCTATGCCATCGATCTCATCTCAGCCGATACCGCAAGTCAGCAGCGCCTCCAGTCTCAGCGCTTCAAGACCGTCATCCTCGATAGCATCAACGTCAGCTTCAACAGCCTCCTCATCAACGAAGGCACCGACAGGAATCCACCCACTGCTTCTTTCCGAGGGACTGCCCTACCGACCAACTGAGGCGAATAGCAAGGCTTCCTCAAGCGGCGTTTCTTCGACCTACGTCAAGGGCCGAAACAATGTCCCGCCCGAATCCAATCCATACCTGCAAGCGAGTCGCGGTCTCGCCGCCGAAGCCTCATCAGAAGGACCCAAGCAGAGGTCGATGCACAAAGGCTTCCAGTTCCACAAACCAGGGCGACACGTCCGGGAAGCGGAAGAGCTGAGACGAGAACAGCAGATGGAAGAGCTCAAGAAGCGGATCGAGGAGAGTGCACGGAAGGCTGGGATGCAGGATGAGCTCGGGGGAGACGAGAAGCGTCTAGTCAAGCAACCTCCTCCTGACATTGAGTGGTGGGATGTCAACCTGCTCACATCGAAGTCGTACGACGATGTGCCCGACACAGACGATATCAGCTCCATGCTCAGTCGTGCCAAGGCGGACAACAGCCCAATTCTGCTCTATGGCTCCGACAGCCCCATCGACCACTACATCCAGCACCCGATTCCTATCCCCGCTCCCTCGGACAAGGGCGCCGTCCAACCTCGCGGTCTCATGCTCACCAAACACGAACAGCGCAAGCTGCGACGTCAACGCCGTGCCGCCGAACAGCAGGACAAGCGCGATCGCATCAAGATGGGTCTCCTCCCGCCCGAACCGCCCAAGGTCAAGCTGTCCAACCTCATGCGCGTGCTCACATCGGAAGCCGTCTCTGACCCCACCAAGATCGAGGCTCGGGTGCGACGCGAGATCGCCGCCCGCAAAGAGGCACACGAGCGCCAGAACGCAGAGAGGAAGCTGACGGACGAGCAGAGAAGGGAAAAGGTGGAGAAGAAGAAGGAGCGGGAGGACGAGAAGGGGTTGTACTGCCACGTGTACAGGGTCAAGCACCTGATTAGCCCGAGGCACAAGTTCAAGGTGAGGAGGAATGCGCTGGACCATGGGATGACGGGCGTGTGCATCTTTCACCCGTCGATGGCGCTCGTGGTGGTCGAAGGTAGCGGCAAGGCCGTCAAGGCGTACAAGCGGTTGATGACGGTCAGGATCGACTGGACCGATCCAGGGGCTGAGAACGACGACAAGTCCGAGGAGGAAGAAGAGGAGGTCAAGGAGGATGCGAACAAGGTCCGTCCAGCCGGATTCAAGACGTTGACCACGAGTCAGGAGGACGTGGACTGGAGCAGCAACTCGTGCGAGCTCGTGTTCGAGGGGCCGATCCGGGAGAGAAAGTGGGAAGGTAGAGGGTTCAGAGCGAGAGGCGTGCAGACGGATCAAGCGGCGAGGGAGGCGTTGGGAGAGGAGTTGCAGGGCTTTTGGGATGTCGCCAAGCGGGCGGCTCAGAGTCAGGATGACGGCTTCTAGCGTCAGCAGCTAGTAAAGCATGAGCATGGTGGTTTCGAGCAATTCAGGAGCCATTCAAATGTTTCGTTCAGGAGTGTGCAGAATGGCTGACATTGTCAATGTGTCTAGTGTGTGAGCTCAAAATAAATCTATGGCTTTGAGGATGTTGATTCCGGCTGCTTTGGCTTTGCCTGCGGCGATGCATTCTCTACCCGTCCAGCCCGTTCCATGGTGCCATCCTTGAGCATGTACGCGGGTTTCCATCGGCCTTTGGCTGTCCCATCTCCTACTAGCAGGGCGCCATCCTCGCTGCCGCCTTCCTGCTCGCCTTTGATGCGCAGCTCAGGATTGGGCAGCGTGTTGTAGGTCGACCCGAGCGAGGTGTACCCTTGATCGTAGAGCAGGCAGTATGGGATGCCTTGGATCCCTCCACCTGCCGTGCCGTAATCTGTAGCAAGCTGATCCCTGGACATGCCCAGCGCAGCTTCTGAGGACCCAAGATGAGGACAGCGCAGGAAAGCCCACACATCCTGGTATGTCCAATCGAGAATGGGGTGGATACGCTCGACGCGAGGCCAGTCCTTGTCCGTCCAAGATCGTGCCGAGAGTTGTGGACCGTGAGGATCGTCCCGACGAATCCCGACAAACATGGCTCGAATGTCTCTCGGTTCTGTTGCTGATGAGTCTGTGAGCTCCTCCTCCTGTCCTTGTCCCATACCGACTTGCTCACGTCCACCGCCGTCGAGGTACGTCCTGATGCCTTCCTTCATGCCGCCTGCTACCGAGATCACTTCGAGGTTGTAGCCGTGCACCGGAGAGACGCAGTACTGGATGAATTTTTCAACCGTAGGGAAGGGTGATGGACAGGTGATGTAGAGCGAAGGTATCGAGGGAATGATTGCCTCGTCAGCGGGACCAGATGCGCTGTCCGACTTGCTATTGAGCCTTCGCAGCACGGCGGATAGAATGTGTACCAGGACAGTGCAGTCCTTGCCTCCGTTGAAGCTAAGTGCGCAGTGCTGCCACCCGACATCCCGGATGATCTCCTCGCAGAGCTCGACTGCGCTCTTGACCTTTTGCGACAGATCTGGATACTTTCGCGCTGCCGTCGAGTCTTCAAAGAGGGTGTACACGGCATCTATCGAAGCAATCCATTCTTGTGGTGGTGGTTGTGGAGGTCTCGAGGAAGGCCCTGCAGTCGAAGATGACTGCTGCGATCCATTGGCAGACATGGCTACGAGCTGTGCCGGAAGCCTGTTTGAGGAACGCAAAGATGGCGTAGCCGAATCGCGGTGACGGTGAAGGAGGGGCGAGCGTGGAAGTGTGGGGGATGATGATGGTCCGTCCATGCTGTGTAGCGCGTCACTACGTAATATTTCTTCGGGTCTAACTGAGGCGAAAGACGCCGACTGCCGAACCGTCACAATGCGCTGTGCTGCCCTGACTTCTTGTGTGCTTCTCAAGCCACGTTTCTTTGAACCTCACTTTCAGGGTCCACACGACACAGTAAAAACCTTCTCAAAGGCACCGATTCATGGTCTACGCCTGCCTCCTTTGCTATCATCACCAATCACCGTGCCCGCGCATGATTCAGCAACTGGGCGTAGTGCTTTCCAAGAGCTGGTAGTAGGCTGCGAAGGGAAGAGCTCTCATGACTCAGCAGTCGCAGCGTCGCTAGGGTGCTCCGTGCCCGCTTAGCCGATTTCAGACCCTAACTCAGCCTCACCAGCTGAGCAGCATATATAGCCAAGCCTCCCTTCAAGCATCCCTCCGTCTCGCCCTCACCGACATGTCCGACAGCAGCTTTCGCGGGATGACGCCCGTCACCGCTCGTTCCAGCATGGTGCCCGAATCTGTCACGCTCACCGATGTCTCTCCAAGCCGATCTGGTGGGGCTCGAAAGATCCGCCTTCGGGTCGTCACCAGGCATCCGCTGCCCGAGTTCCACTTTCTTGCTCCTTTCGATCACCACGACTCTCAATGCTTCCAAACGCTACAGGCTTTCGTGCATACCCACCTTCTTACTCGGTCCAGACGATCCGGTCAAAGTTCTCAGCTGGAATCCACAGGCCCGGCGGCTCTCCAGTTTCAGATGGACAACTTCGAGGTGCCCTTCGATGATCCAGAGATCTTGCGAGACGGTGATACCATCGAGGTGCATCTGGACCAATCAGCGGTAGCAGGACCGGCGAATAGCGAAGCACCTTCCGGCGGTAAAAAAGCAAAGAAAAAAGCAGAGAGGTTTGCGGCAGCACTTGCCGAGCGGGGCGATGACGAAGAAGGGCAGCTGGAAGAGCAAGATGATGCCCTCGAGAAAGAAGCCCAGGACGCTGAAGAGAAAGAAGCCATTTTCGAAGCAGCTCGTGTTGCTGCCTTGCTTCGTGCCGGCATCCACAACATGGCGGACGACGATGCACACGACATGTCGGCCCAGCAAGGAGCAGTTGATGATTTGCCGCGCATGCCCGGCCCATCCTTCAAGCCACTTCAACCACCTGCAGCATCCAAATTCTCCTCGTCGAAAGCACCGACCTCGAAAGCATCGAACGCATCGAACGCAAAAACGACGTCGAATGCTCAGGTTCCCTCCATGCCCATGCCCGTGTTCAACGCAGGCGGAGCAGCGTCAGCCATGGCCGCCTTCGATGCAAGAAGAAAGCAGATGCAAGCATCTTCCAACGCCAAAGCCAAAGTCAGCAACTCCGCTCCTTCCCACTTCGACAACATCACTTTCTCGTCGAGGGCAGGGCAGGGCGCCAAGCGCAAACGCGCAGCTTCATCGTCCCCAGCCGAAAGCTCGTCCGACTCTAGCAGCGACAGAAGTAGCAGCAGCAGCAGCAGCAGCAGCAGTGACTCGGAATCACGTTCAGATTCCAGCTCCTCCTCAGATCGCTATTCCTCAAGCGACTCTGACTCAGACATCGACAGCTCCGATCTTGACTCAACCACGTCTGACAGCTCCGACTCTTCGGACTCGGCCCCATCCGAGCAACACACCAAATCAGATCGACATCGCGCCAGATACCAGGAAGCGGCTGCGGCCTCGACTTCTGAGCAGGAAGAGTCTTCACCCCCAGTTCCACCGGGACAAGGCATGAACCGAACCAAGCGTCGCAATCTTATGAGACGCAAGAAGCTTCAGCTGCTTCGTGACGCCGGCAACCTGCAAAGTTTCGAAGAAGCAAGCAAACGTGCCGCTCAGCGAGAGCGCGGCGAGCACGTCGACGACTCGGAGGGCGAAAACAGCAGCCCAGCTTGGATCGACGATCGACGGCCCATGTATCAGATCAAAGGGGTCGGTATCGCAGTGGTACAAGCTTCCAATGCTTCTTCATCGTCACCAACTGTGGTCAGCAGCTTACCTCCTGGCGCTGGCAGCCTCGGCATGGCGGAGGCTGAGGCTGAGGCCATTCTCGACCAAGTGTTCGGAAGCTCCGAGAGCGAGGCAAGCAAGGGCAAGAAGCGGAAACGTGACGAGAGGTTGGAAAGCACAGCAGACCACGCACCGCCTCGGCGACCAGGTCCCCGGCTTGAAGACATGCAGGCAGGACAGGCACCCTACGGTGGGGACGTGCCAGCAGGAGTATCGATCCGTCATATTGACTGCCAAACGTACTACGACGACGAGGTAGCCAAGCTGGAGACTGGGGCCGAAGCTGACACCGGACCCTCGCTGCGTCCCGATGACGAAAGAGAGGAAGCAAATGCGAGTGATGCACGTCAGCAAGGTAAGGGTGAAGGGAAGGGTCAGGCCCGGAGATCTCAGCAAAAGGATGAAGGCAACAGTCAGGACGAGGTCTTGCACCTAGATTACGGCTCGCCCGACAAACCGGACGAAGAGCAATCCGACCAGGCAGCACCGCGCAAGAGGATGAGAACGGCGTCGTCCGAAGAAATCGCCCAAGAAGGCTGCTCCTGCGCATACGTGCGCCGTAGCTCGGACGAAGAAAATTCAGATTCGGAAGCCCTGGCATCCTCGTACAGGTACAGCGACGACCCTTTCAAGAGCGATCCTCCCGACCATTGGGCTCATGTATACGAGGGGCCTTTCGTCGCATTCACGGTGCCAAAGTATCCGACCTCGGGTCCTATCGACCCATCTATCACCTGGAAGAGAATCTTTCGCGGTATCGAGCCGTACACAATAGCCTCTATGCAGCGTTTCGACGCATTCGACATCGAGTGGACTAGTGTGCCGACCGGCATGGGCGTGATGTGGGAGGAGCTGGCCCTGAACCCAGCCAACATGACCCCGGCGGTCATGTATTTTGTCGGCGTAATCGACTCGGTGCAACCAAGCGAAGGTGCGAACGAAGTCGTGCATGTCGATGCGATGGGACCTTTGGAGAAAGACGAGGGGAAGGATTGGCCAGACTACGAGGTGAAGAGGATCAGATGGACAGAGCAAAACCATCCCTCCCAAGTCTGGATGGCTTTTTAGCGACCCTCTGGTCCGGGCAGCGATCAGCAGCAGCCTCAGGGCGCCTCTAGTACCTTCAGCTCACATTCCATCGACACGCAAAGCAGAAATGATGATCATTTGATTGGCAATTCGAACGCGAGCTAGGAGCGCAGCACCGACTCTTGACGAGATGGCGGATGTGCGCTTGTGATAAACAGATAAATGTTGTTCTTCTTTCGAAGAACGAGGACCAACACCGAGACAGGAACCGAGACTGAGACAAAAGCGTAGAGTAGATGCTTAGACGCTGATCTGGGCAGCATCCAAGTTAAGCGCGTGGAGCAGCAGATTGACGTTCCTGATCCGAATATCCGGGTTGAACTCGTCCTGCACCATACCGGGGTTCCTCTTCTGCCACTCCTTGGCCGAGATGACGTTCTCGAGGATCTTCTCCCTGAGTTCCTGGACGAGCACCTGCTGCTGTTCCATGGTGCTCCCAATCGCAAGGGCAGCCATAAGGTTCCAGGTCGGCTCGTCTTCCAGGTCGACGTTCCTATACTTGCCTCCTACGGTTTGGGCGCTCAACTGCTGACCCAGCCCGCTGCCCATGTAGTACGACACGCCGAAGGGGAGACTCTGCTTGGTCCTCGTTGAGGGGAACAGCGTCGGCAGCTTGCCTCCTGCCGTAAGTCGCGAGAAGAGCAGAGCAAAGATCTGCTTGAACTGCTCCAGCTCTTCCGCGGGCACATCGCCTTGCTGACGCAGCGTCTCTGCGCGGCTCAAGAAGATGGTGAGGAACGCCACACCGGGACGCGTCTGCGTCACGCGCACCGGATCGTTTCGCTCCACGAACAGCGCCAGCATTCCAGACACGATACGCATCGGCGCGGTGGAGGCCATCTGCATCATGCTCGGCACAATCGTCGTCGCGAACGTCTCGGATTGACGTTCGGCATCCCGACGCGCATCGACGCGCGATGGGTCGTCCGAGAGATCATCGAGCAACGGTCCGTTGCGAACCACGTCGAGCGACTCGAATGACGCTACCACCATGGTGAGCGCTGTGAGCGTCTGCTCGGAGGAGAGATGACGCAGTGCGCGCGGGAGCAGACGCTTGCCCTTCGCAGAGGAGAGAAGCGAGACGAAGGGATGCGGGTCCGAGATCTCCAGCGGCTCAAGCACGCGCAGCTCGGTCCAGAGCGTAGACGTGACTGCAGCTTGATCCGCCTGGTGTGCATCAAATGCATCCTTAGCAGCAGCCGCAGCGTCGTCGGTGGGGTTGACATCGGCCGGTGGCGCAGGCGGCGCATTGCGACGCAGCTGCTCGAGCTGCAGCACAAGGTCGTACAGCTTCTCGAGGATGCGCAGCACCTCATGCTTGGTGAGCGGATCGCGACGGAGGTCGGCATTGCCATTGCCACCAAGAGAGGCCCCTTCGAGCGCCTGTCGCACCGCATCCCTCGCATGACCCGCATCAGGAGTCGAGTCACCACCGTTCTTCTCCCTGTTGGCCTTCGCCGCGTCTGCCGAGATCTGCAGCATCTGCCTCGGGTTCTTGGCCGAATTGAGACTGACCCTGCCCAGAGCACCCTCGAGCGCGGCACCAGAGGCACTCTTCTCCATCCGATCCTTACGACTCTGCACGATCCGCTCGACCTGCTGCTGCATCCGCAGCATAGCATTCTGCTGCTTATTGAGCTTCTGTTTACCCTTCCCACCTTGCTTCTGGTTTCCATTCCCCGTCGCCGTCGCAGGCGGCATCGGCGCCATCCCCGGCCTCGGCGGTCCCCCACGCAGAGCAAAGAAGATATGCGCATAAAAATCATCCGCATACGGATCCGCCGTGATGAGCTGCGAAATCTGGATCCTCGTAATGAAATCCTTATCCGAACCGCTCATGAGGCCGTTGTACTTGGCCATGGCGTTGATCTTGTCCGTACGACGCTTGCGTTTGGCCTCGACGCGGTCGAACTCGGCCATCTGCGCCTGGGCCTTTTCCATCATGAAGCGCACGGCGTCCTGCTCGGCGGTGGGGGCGCGTTCGCGTTGGGACGGGTCGAGCAGGTTGGGGAAGTTCTGCGCGACGGTTTCGAGCGAGTCGAATTGCATGGGTGGTGGAAGGGAGAGGATGGATTGTTGGACGAGGGGTGGCATGGCTTCGAGGAGAGCGCGCATGCGGGCGAAGTGGGCGGCTTGGGCTTGCTGCTGTGCGGCTTGGAGGGCGGCAGGGTCGACGTTGGGGCCGAGAGGCGGCGGGATGGCACCGGGACCCATGGGAGGCATGCCGTTGCCAGCGCCGGGAGGGGGAGGAGGTGGCTGGTTCTGGGGAGGGCCGGCCTGAGCGCGCTGCTCTTGCTGAGACTGCATGATTGCGGCGAAGGAGGGAGGTCCAGTGGGCTGCTGAGGCTGCTGAGGCTGAGCAGGGGAAGCGCCGGCCGCACGACGAGCGCGGAGCTCGGCTTCGACCTCTTCGACGGTCATGGGCTTCCTGTCGGTGGGAGGTTGCTGAGGCGGCTGCTGGTGCTGTTGCGGTGGTGGCTGCTGCTGTTGCTTGGATCGCATAGCGAGCATCTCTGCTTCCACTTCCTCGAGCGTCTTGGCTTGACCTCGAGGCTGCTGCTGCTGTGGAGGCTGCTGTTGCTGCTGCTGAGCACCACGAGGTGCACCAAAGCGTGGAACAGGATCGACGAGGAAATCATCGAGACTAGCAGCAAACTTGTTGGAAGGATCGAATTTGCTCTTGGGCTGCTGTGGCTGCGAGTACTGGTTGTAGTTGTTCTGCTGAGGAGCAGGGGCAGGAGCGGCATGTCCAAAGTCAAAGTCGTTTCCGGCGTCAAAGTCGCCAAAGGTATCGGCGTTGAAGTCGTCTCCGGACTCGTCGAGCTTGTCGCCCAGACCATCGTAGCCGTCGCCGCCCCAGGTGTAGATCTCTACATCCTCCTGGGCTCCAGCGGCGAGCGCCTGGATCTTGGCATCGAGAGTGTCGTCATTGTCGAAGGTAGGGTCGAATGCATTCTGGTGCGAGGGGCGGTTGACACGTTTGCCGAAGCGTTCGTCGCCGGGCAGCGCCGTATCGAAGCCAAAGAACGACATGGAGTCGGAGACAGAATACGATCGAGAGACGTCGATAGTAGTGATGGTTGGAAGCAAGTGTACCGGGTAAGATGCAGTGGACTATGACGGACATGGCGCTCAGACGTTGAATTGCCTTTGGTCGACTCTCGCCTAGGTCACGTGTGGGAAGCAGCTCGCCCAATTTGTGATCGATCTTCCAACTGCCTTCTCTAAGGCCGATGCGGAAAAGAGGCAGGGCTTGTAGGACGAGAAAGTCTAACAAACTGGAAATCTAGCCGCGGGTGGAGGTTCGACAGCGTCGCAGGGGCCAACACAGGCAATTCAGGGGCAGCAGCCAGGCTCTCTTCTCGGTTGCCTGCACAATTGACAGGAGCTGCAAGCCGAATTGATGCAACAGCACCGCTTCCAAACTTAGTAACCGCCGTCTTGAAACCGACTTAGCCGCACGCATGTTCATGTTCTCGGCCACGCCTTCTCATACAGACGCACACTCGTCCGTCTTCCATCCCACTTGCTTCAAACGCTCACTCTACCTAAGCAGCGTCGACCTTCCACCATCCCGCACGGCGCCCGTTCTTCAGGCGACGAAACGTCTCATTCTCGCGCTGGGCAAAGCACGTTGGTCACCCGCGACAACCAACTCTGAGCTCGATAGCTATCCGGCTTCTCCTAGATAGATCGTCACAATGCCGCCCAAGTCGCTCGTCACGACATTACGAGATCGCTATCTCAACACGATACGTTCTGTACAGCCACCATCAAGATGGAAAGTGCTCGTCATCGACTCCTTCACCAAGGAGCTTCTCAGCTCGGTCCTCAAGATGTACGACATCCTCCAGGAGAATGTCGCTCAGGTTGACAATATCGAGCTGTCGCGTGCTCCGCAGTCCACACTCGAAGCGTGCTACCTCCTCACGCCTACGAGCCAGAATGTCGACCGCATCATTCAGGATCTCGCGCCGTCCGAACCGGGCAAGCAGCCAACCTACGCAGCTGGTCACATCTTCTTCGTCGACAGCCTGTCAGATGCGCTCGTGCAGAAGCTCACCTCCTCAAAAGCTGAGCCCAAGCTCAGACAGCTACTCGAGCTCTATACCAACTTCTGGCCAACAGAAGCACAAGCCTTCTCGCTCAAGTCGCCGCAGAGCTTCCTCAATCTCTTCCAACCGGTAGGAGGTTTGTACGGTCCAGATCCCATGGAGGCAATGCGGGCGATCGAAGATGAGCTCCAATTCTCGACGCAGGCTATTCTCAATGTCTGCGTTACCCTCAACGAGTTCCCTCTGATCCGATACTACAATCCATCTCACCCTCCACTTGGTCCGCTCCAGCCGCCGGCCAAGGAAGTCGCCAAATCGCAAGCGGCCACAGCAAACGCGTACCAAGGCAGTGTGCGCATGGCACGGCTCAGGGGGGACAACAATGGCTCCAGTCCGGGATATGGAGAGCATTTCACAAAGAAGCTCGCCTTCCGCGTGCAAGCTGCCATCGACCAGTACATGCGCGACAACGAGCCCAAGGTGGAAACAAGCCGGCCACGAGGTGTGCTCTTCATCACAGACAGATCCATGGACACGGTAGCCCCCTTTCTGCACGAATTCTCGTATCAGGCTATGTGCAACGACCTACTTCCCGTCGAAGATGGCACCCGCTACCACTACACCTTCTACTCTGCCGAGGGCGAGCGCGAAGAGAAAGAAGCGATTCTGTCGGACGAGGACAACGTCTGGACCGCGGTCCGCCACCTGCACATCGCAGAAGCCATCGACAAGCTCACGCGCGACTTCAAACGCTTCGCCGAGGAACAAGGCGCATTTGCTGACCCCAACTCGTCCCTCAACGACATGCGCGACATGCTTGCATCCCTCCCGCATATGCAGGATATGAAGGACAAGCTCTCGCTCCACCTCACCATGGCTCAGGCGTGCATGAACAAGTTTGAAAAGTCGACGCTATCGGCGCAGGCCATGGTCGAGCAGAACTGCGCGACGCGCCTCACGCCCGATGGAGCAAAACCGCGCACGCTGGTGGAAGAGATGGTGCCCCTGCTGGACGACAGGAGTGTCAGCAACACGGACAAGGTGCGCATCATCGCACTCTACATCATGTACTGCGACGGGGTGCCCGACGAGGACCGCAAGCGACTGTTCCAACACGCAAGATTGGGACGCTACGAGATGCAGGCCGTGGACAATCTTGTGCACTTGGGCACGCAAGTAGTAAAAGATGCATCGAGTTCAGGCTGGGACATGTTCTTCAAGAAGGGCAAACGTAAACAGCAACCGGGAGAGAACGAGTTCGAACTCAGCCGATATCAGCCGCTCGTGAAGCTGATGGTGGAAGACCATTTTGCGGGGCGGTTGGAGCAGGCAACTTATCCATATGTGCGCGATGCGCCGCCCGAGACCGCAACCGGTGGGCTCTCGCTACCTGTCCAAACTTCAGCTCTTGCCCGCGTCGGGCTCGGTGGCGCCACGTCTTCGACTAGCAACGCAACAGGCCCAGGTCGAACTCAACCCAGCAGCTTACGAAGCGCCAAGCCGACATGGCACCAAAAGGGTCGCGGCGGCAGCACCGTCGGCGTGGACAAGGTCGACTACCGCCAACGCATCCTGCTGTTCGTCGCTGGTGGCATGACGTATTCGGAGATGCGCAGTGCGTATCAGATCAGCGAGCGCTTGGGCAAAGACGTCTACATCGGCTCTTCGCACACTTTCACGCCGGAGTCGTTCGTGGACGTCATGAAGCACTTCGGCAAGGCGGGGGCGAGGGACGCCGCGCGAGGGGCACACCACGCGCATCACCATCATCAACACCAGCAGCCGCCGGAGCAGGTGCCAGCAAGCGCAACCAAACTCTCCAAGCCCGTCAACGATCGGAGCGCGATACGAACCACCTCGCTCCAGCACGGCGCACAGGCAGAGTCGCGTACGAATGGAGGCCCGCATCGCACAGGCTACGCGAGTGCCACACCAGCCCACGACCAAGGCGCCTACGATAGACGCTTCCAGACGCAACCCCAACCGCAACAGCAACAGCAGCAGCAGGTCCCACAGGTGTCGAGTATACCGCAGCACCTGGCACAGGAGAGCGTGGGGAGAAGCGCAAGCCCAGCACCCAGCCAGGCTTCGGATATGAGCATGAGGAGCAAGGAGAAGAAGCGCTTGAAGAACGTGTTTGGGTTCAAGAAGTCGTAGGGGTCGGCAATGCCACTGCAGTTGAGCTGGGCGGTTCCGTGTGTATGTGTGTGCTCAGTGTACCGTGTTCTGAGATGTGACGATTGTGAGAGATGCTTTGATTCGTTCACGATGCCCTGCTCACGTCACACCGCACACTGTTCACGCGATGAAACACCTTTCCACTGACCTTATCATTGCCCTTCCGCACTTACCACCCCCTAATCCCCAAAATGTGCCTCACATCCGTCGCAAACCGCAAACTATCCAACACGGGCAGCAGATCCAACAGCGCCTCGTCGTTCGGATCGTGCGTCCACCCTTCCACGGGAATGCCATTCTCCCGATTCATCCGATAACTCGCCGGACTGTTATCGACCAAACACACCTTGCTCAGATCCTTCTCTACCACCTGAAGATTCTTGACGTACTGACCGCCCTTGAAGGTGCAGCTCTCGCGAAAGAGGCGCGCGGAGATGAGCCCGCGTCCTTGGTCCAACCAGTCGATCACCGGATCCGCATACTCCTGCACCGACGCAGTAAACACCACCACCGTATACCAGGACGCTACTTTTCGCAGGAAATAGTCTGTCCAAGGTCGCTTGTAGACGTGGTACAGGACGGACCGACCGTCGAGGACCACCTCGACCATGTGTGGTCGGATGCGACGCGGGTTATCGTTGGCCCGCAGCCCTAGGAATGCACCGGCGGTTTCGAGACCCAGGAAGCCGGAGGTGGTCGTTCGACCACTCGTAAAGTGCGTGGGGGAGCGCGAAGTGGAATGGATCAGCGTCTCGTCCAAATCCAACACGAGGATCTTTGGTGAATGATGGATGATTGAACTCCCCGGCCCACGCGGCACTTTGGTCGGCACCACCACTCCCCCACTCTCCAAGCCTCCCGTCATCGCCGCCCGCCTTGCTGCCCGCGACAAGGCAATCTTGGTCTGCCGCTCCGCCTCCATCACCGCCTCCTTCTCCGCCATGACCGCGTCGATGGGCTCCGCATCGCTGTTGTGCGCGTACATCGGATCGATCGGATGCGGGTTGGGCAGCAGACGCGAGGGTGTGCGTTGACCTGACGACAGGGCTTTCCAGACCGTACCCAGCGCTGCGGCTTGGTCTTCGGTCACCGGCTCGTGGTCGAGGAAGCTGCTGTCTTTGTCGGGGTTGGGCGTGCGGGGTCGACTGACGGTACCGTTCTTGTCGTCCCGGTGAAGATCGGTTTTGCTAGCGAAGCGGAGCGAGGGAGGACGTTTGAGATGCGCTTCGTCGGTGGAGGAGCCATTCTTTTCGAGGATGGGCACTTGGGCTCGCTCGCGGATCGCTTCGGCCGCTTCTTCGGTGCGGATTGTGCGACGTCGGCGGAGGTAGCGGACGCAATTGACCGGACACAGGAGCACTGCTAGCAGCAGGTCTCGCAGCGCAAGAAGGGTGCGACGAATTGCGCGTTTAGTGCTGGAGCTTTTTCTTCTGGGTGCGACGTGCCTAGCAGCGTCTGTGGGGTGACCCGCGCTGCCATTGCGAGGGGCTAGCCAGGTACGCGAGTCTTCGGCCTCCGATGCTCGTGCAGAAGAGGTCGCCGACGAGCGAGCAGAGCGGCGCTTCCTAGGTTTGGACGGCGTGAGACTGCGCTCGACCGTCTTCTCGGAGTCGGTCGAGGTGAGCGATGAGCTTGAGGATGAGGCGAGAGTACCCATGGCGGCAGAAGGATCTTGCTTGCGACGCAAAGATCCGTGTCTCGAGACGGAAGGCGTGGCGATTCCAGAGGTGACGGAACCCGATTGCTGTTTACGAATGTTGGTGGGTGTTTCGTCAGCGTCGACGGATGCTCCCGATGAAGCAGCTGCCTCCTTCTTCGGTGTTGCCGATGCAGCAGCCGGATCGACCACCGAAGATGTCGGATCTTCCTGAGCGACAGCTTCGATCGCCTCGGGCTCGCCTTTTGCAGCTTCGAGCAGCGTTTCCGAGTCGACACTCTTTTCGTCGGCATCATCCTGCAGTGTGACTGCGTCTGCATCTGGAGCCTTCTTCTCGAGCATAGATGCAGAGTCGGCGACGGTAGCCTCTTCGTGGGAAAGGGACGACCCCTCTCCCCAGCTGCTGTCGGCACTGCTTTGTGAGATCGACCTCTCCCGTGGCTTGTCGAGGTCTTCGGCGGCGAAATCTCCGCCTTCGAAATCGACGACGTCTTCGCGTTCCTTTTCGGTCATCAGTTCGGGGTCCTGCTGGTGGAGTGTGTTGTCTTCCTGAGCAGGCCACTGGTGACGCTCCTGGTCCTGACTGGCCGAGGTGAGAGTGAGCGATGCAGCCTGCCCAGAGCGCGAGTTGCGTCTGGATCTGCGCCTTACGTGCGAATGCGATTCGTCGATGCTGCCAGACGATCCGCTGTTGCGCCGTGGGTGTTCTCCAATTCCAGAAGACGCATTGCGACGAGATGAACTGCGTCGAGGTGCAGTCGAAGAGAGCAAAAGATCGTCCAGACTAGGGACCCGTTTCGTTCGGCGGTAAGACAGCTCCGAGTCGCTGTTCTTGCGCGATCGAGTGCTCGAGCCAGGATGGATGGCTTCATCGATCCAACCTGTCAAGCCCCACAGACCGCTCCATCTCGCCTTGCGCGAATTCTGCGAGTCCGAGTCGCTGTCGCTGGTATCGAGCGCATGGGCGGGATATTTGACAGCTGGCACACTGCCAGTGCGACGAAGCTTGTTGCTGCTGTAAAGGGCACGGTCGGGCTCGTCTTGCTCTTGAGACCATCTTCGCAACGATGAGGATCCGGATGGGGTGGAGCTTGTTGTGCTCGAGGCTCTGCGACTGCCTGGTAAGGAGGAATGGGAGCGAGATCGCTTGGCTGAGGACTCAGGCCGTGATGGCGGTCGATCCGACGCTGGAGCGAACGATCGGCTGAGCACCGAGTCGAGGTAGCTGATCGAGTTCATCTTGGCGACGAAGGAGGCGAATGGACGAGAGGAAGCTGATTGCTGCTAAAAGGATGCTTTTGCGGCTTCTTTGTCGTCGTTACGATGCTCCTGGCTGACAAGATGAGAAGTGTGCTGGCCGGAATCACCGCATCATGACGATCGCCAGATGAGGGTTGTGATGATGTGGTCGTTGCGTGATGCAGGGTTCTGACGCACAGACGGTCCCCCTTTTGGCTGAGCTCGAGCCGCCGAGTCGCAAATGCCGATGGAAGGTGATCGGCCTTGACGAAGGTGAAGAGAAACTGAGCAACGCAGATGAAGAAGAGAGCGGTAACTCGATTGACTCGAGCCTGCACAGATCGACCTCTCGTTAACGAATCGTCACCTTAAAACGCCATCTGAGCATGAAAGTCGAGCACCAGCTGACCTCTGACCTCAAAAAGGATTCCGCGATGCAGCCGTTCTCCCGTCTGCAGCTGGGTCCTCGGCAGAAAAGGCGTAGTTTTCATATTTCCAAAAAAGCAGCACAGCAGAGCGCTTTCTCCCAACAATTAAGCCAAAAGGTCGATTTTTACTCCACATCTCGGCGAGTGCACGCCCCCACGACGTGAGACGATGTTCAGGCGCCGAATTCCGAACAACCTGTTGCACACGTTTGATATCTTATCCTCCTGACCCAGCTCTTACCTTCTTCCATCGGCACCTCAAACAAGCCAGCGCAGGACGCATCAGCCATCTTCAGCAAGAGAAGAAGATGCTTCAGCCAGCAGCCATCACGACATTGCTCTCGCAGCTCATCGATGAGAACACCGGAGATACTACGTCAATACGACCACACACTGCGCTCCTCACCCTCCTCGAATCGTCCGAACTGTATGCGGTAGCAACGACGCTGGCGGAGACAACGCCGAGTCGATCCGCCGTAGCTTCAATCCTGGCCAGTACAGCAGCAGCGGCGGGCACAGCACCTCCACCACCATCTTACGCGGGGCATGGGCGTTCGGCACCGCTGACCCTCGACGAGCGGGCGGCCTGTCTCTCTGCCATCGCGGTGACGTCTTGGAGGCAAGCGACGGAAGGTGCAAAGCCGGAGACGGAAAGTAAGAGTAAGAATGTGGTGATGCCGGGATCCTCTGTGTCGGTGGCCAAGCACGCAGTGACAGGCATGACGAGTGCATCTGGGAAGAAGGCTTCGACCAAAGAAGTGGTGCCTCTGCTGCTAGAAAGCGACCTGGGCAGGATACTCGTCATGCCTATCATCCCATCAGCACCAGCAGTCAGCGCTTCCAGAGGCGAGCTCGCAGCGATGGACGACTCACACGATGAGTCAACGAGCTTTGCGGACCATCAGAAGCCGTTCATGCTCCTCACGCTCAACGCGCCCTCCGACGGACCATCGAACAAGACGTCCTCGACGCCCAACGCTAGTGCCAACAGCAACACTATGAGTCCAGCGCTCGCCTCCTCCACCGCCACTCTTTCAGCGAACAATGCGGGCCGCTCAAGACTCCGTTCGGGAGGCAACACGCCTACTTCCATTCGCTCAGACACACCCTCCCGCTCGCCCACTTCCGACACCTTTCCAACCTCAGTGACCATGGGCGGTCCGCAGAGCTCCTCGTTCAGCCCCTCAGGAGCTGAAGCGGAGGTCGCGGCAAGCGCGACCAGCAGCGCCGAAGAGGATGCCAGGGAGGCAAAAGCCTGGTCGGCATTGTATGCGCGAGCCAAGGCGCTTGCCAGAGTGCTGGCTCCAAGTCTGACCAAGTGCGGCGTGGGACAGCATCACATTGATGAGCATCATGACGGTCGAGGTAGTGGCATGGTCAGCGACGACGATGCCGAGGCTTGATTGACGTATTGTATCCCGTCGAGGACGTGTTCGACATCTGGCTAAGAAAAATGCAATGATACCCTTGTTCACAATCGCCTATAGGCATTGCAGCGTGCTCAAAGCCGAGTGTAGCATGCGTGCGCACCATTGAGTCTCGTGTACCGTAGGGTAGGCCGTGATGTGGCCGAAAGGATGAAGTCTGAGTGACGTTTGTCGGGTTGCAAACGGTGGTAAGGTCGAGGTCGCGTGTGGTGGACCCGAATTTCTGGCTTGCGGAGCGGCCGGACCGGCCACCCTGGAGTGGAGTATTTTTCTTCTTGTCGCCCTCCAACCCCACTTTCCACTCACCATCATCAAGCAACATCGTCCTGCTTGCTCACTACCATCTCGCGCTGCACCGACAACATCTGCATCCGTATATATTCGCTCGACAGATCTGACAATCGCAACCGAAGCCTCACCGAACATTCACAAGAGCAAACAATCATGACAGACGCGAAGCCCCCCACGCTGCTCATCGTCATGGGCACCTCCGGCTCTGGCAAATCCACGGTCGGTTCGTCACTGTCCACCTACCTCAATTGCCCATTCGTAGACGGGGACGACCTGCACCCTGCTTCCAATGTTGCAAAAATGTCATCTGGGCAACCGCTCAATGATACCGACCGCGAGCCGTGGCTTCTCCGGATCCGACGAACGGGCCTCGAGCTGGCGCTGACGCAAAAGATCCCGGACGGCATCAAGGGGAGTGACGGGGAGATGCGTAAGCTGGCCGAAGTATACGAGACGTCTACCCAAACGAAGGATGCACACCACACGACGACGCAAACCGGCGATGCGGAAGAAGTGCAGGGATCGAAGAGCAAGATTGCCGTGATCGCCTGTTCATCTCTCAAACTCGTCTACCGCCGCCTGCTGCGTGGATCCATCAGCTCGCTAGCCGACCCCAAAGCGGCGGAACCAGAAGCAGATGCGACTACACCAACCGATCTCCGAGTCGTACACGTCTACTTGGATCTCAGCAGGGAATTGTTGGAAAAGCGAATGGCCGGCAGGAAGGGCCACTTCATGAAGCTCGACATGCTTTATAGCCAATTGGATACGCTACAGGTGCCCGACGAGGAGGCGGAGGTCGGGGTGGTGAGGGTCAAGGTGGAGGAGGATACGACCGAGGACGAGGTCGTGAGTAGGGTCATGGAGGGATTGCGGAGGAAGGGCGTCATCTGATTGGTTATCCAGCTGCGAGGAATGCAATGGTAGAATCAGCGGTCTCAATTTGCTCACGTCGGAATGGCTACACAGTACGTCCCAATCTGCATGACTGTGAATGCGACAAAGTGGTTGACGATGAGAGAAATGGTTCTATGCTGTCTTCTGCTGCTGCTTGGCCTGCTCTGCCTGCTGTGCCGCCGCCGCCGCGGCGGCCTCGCTCTTGTATTGCTTCACCAATGCCTCGACCCTCTCCTCCTTCTCCCTCCTCTCCTTGCTCAACAGCTCCAAGATCTTGCCATGCTTGGCACTCGGCAGACCCTTGGTTTTGACCATGAACCTCGGGAACTTCTCCCCGTTCACCTTGGCATCCCCTGCAATGCCTTCCGAAGACAGCGCATCCAGTCCATGATACATGGCCCGATCCTTGTTGGCAATCTCCTGCTCGTACTGCTCGGTCGACTTCTTCCCCCTCCATCGCGTCGTCTTGGTCATCTTGAGATACACGCGGCTGCGCTCGTAGTCCAACTCGGACGTCAAGAGGTGCTGCTTCTGGAACTCGGGTGAGATCTCGGGGAACAGGAACGGCTCCAACAGTCCAACTTCCACTTTCTTGTACGTTCGTCCTTGACCTGTGATGACTTTGCCCGTGCGGTTGTCGCGCGTGACGGTGGAGCGGTAGATCGACGACCGCGCCCAGGTAGTCTTCAACCCGTAGATGGAGAGCAGGTAGGAGCGCAGTGCGTGCTTGTGCATCGACAGGGGTACGCGGAAGGTCGCTTTGAACGCGTCGTACTCGGTGCCTTCCGGCGTGTGGTTCTTGACCAACTTGATGATTGTGTTTGGCAAAAACGTGAGCTCACCGGCACGTTCGGGGACGGGGTACCACCTAGGCGCAGGGTGACGCAGGATGAACGAGTCCTCGGAATCGTCGATGTAGATCTGCGATCGATCACGCAGCTTCCACGCCGCCTTTTCTTCCGCCTCGCGTTCTTGGGGCGAAAGCTGCAGCCACGCCGCCCAAGCTTCCTTCTCCTCGGCCTTCTGGAGCTCGCGGAAGGCAGCCCATCCTTCGTCACCTGCTACACCGAGCTTAGCTGGCAGATGCGAGCTCTCGCCCTCAGGTCGGGGATAGCCCGACGAATACCCTTGCCTCCATCCTAGCTTGCGAACGCTATCGAACCTCGATCGGAGCAGAGCGGCGCTGCGCTGCTCCTCGGCCATCTTCTCCCACAGCGGACGCAGCGCGAAATCGACCTGTCGCTCGTAGTCCATCCTATCCCACAGGTCGGCTTCCGACAGGCCGCCCTTCCTGTTCTGCCTGGACGTGCTAAGCTTAGCGCGGTGCGCCTCCATCTCGGCTTCGATCCACGCTTCCGCATCATTGATTTCGGCGTCGGGCCCAGCTACGGCGCGGAGATCGTCGACGGTAGGCGACCAAAGTCGTGCACGAGCCGAACGGAAGCCCTTGACCTCTTCGTACTTTGGTCGGAGCCAGTCCGGGAAGTTTCCATTCCTGAAGCTGCGGATCAACGCTTTGGCTTTGTGAGAGCCCCTCTCCTCGAACCAGCCCCACTTGAGCAGGAGCTTGGCCTTGTCGGCGTCGGTGCTTACTTTGCCCCTCCTCTTGCGGCCTGAGGTGGGGAGTTCGGACAGGCTTTGCTCGAATCCGGCTTCTTCGGATGGAGGCAAGTCGTCGATGTCGTTGTCGATGTCGGCAGCGGGAGTCTCGACTTCTGCCTCTACCGCCTTGGTTGGGATTTCGACTTCGGTCGCCTGACGAGAAAGAGGCGAGGCGGAGAAGCTTCTGCTGGGGTGGTGAGAAGCTTTGTCGGCGATGGCGATCGAGGCTGGACGGGCTGCAAGCCGGACCGCAGCGACTCTGCTGGAGGCAGCTGCACCACGCAGCGCCGTGCGAGCAAGCAAACTCTGCGAAGACGATGCGCTGATCATGTTGTTCAGCGGTTTACGATCGACGATGAGATAGAAAGTGCCGAGGTGATGATGAGGTCGAGCGACTTTTTTCCTTCTGGGGTTGGCTGAGCAGCATTTCTTCTCGATTTTCTCCAGCTCAACCGACACCCGATCTGCGCTTCATCACGTGCAGAGTGTGCGATCTCACACTCGCGCGAGTGCAATGTTGCCCCCGCTCACAACCCATCACCTTCCTTCTCGCTCGTGCATGCTGTTGACCATGGACAGCATCAGCATGGCCCCTGTTGAAGGTCTACTCGATCGCTTCAGCTCATGCAGGCGAGCAGAAGGACTAACAATGACTAGCGAGGAGCCAGTCCCACGGTGTGCGCTCGAGCGAGGCATCAAAGGGGTCGTTTCGCATTGCTGTGCTGGATTCCAACGCTTTGTCCGTCACCTGCCTCATCAGTGGCCATCCGTCCATTCCCAGCTCTGAGCGCTGCAAGCCCCTAGAGCTTGTCGTTCGAGAAGGTTTGGCCACGCGAGCGTATAATGGCGAGTTCGAGCCCCACCTTGAGCTTCCATCGGATCCAGAGGGCAGGACACTTTCAAGGTTCGGAGCACCGGCAGACGGCAATGCAGGACATCCTCAGGACAGGGGAGAGCGAGCGTTAAACGCAGGAGGTGGCAGCTGCGTGCGTTGCTCATGCTGTTGGCGGGGAAGCGAAGTTCGACACTGCCAAATGCCAAATCATCATCGAACGCCGCTCGCCGCTGCCGCTTTTTGCAAAAGGGTCAGGAGACACACAGTTGACCGTTCCAGCTGGGGTGTTCCGCAAGCGGTTGTGCGTGTCCCTTTGGCTTGCCTGCGTGGAGAACAAGGCGAGAAAAAGGTAAAAATACCCAAATTTGATACTCCGCCATCGCCTAGCCCCGGCGAGCCAGTTCTTTCGCCTTGAGACAGGCTTGCACACACGCAACACGCACACACGCACGCTGGGGCAGGGCAGCCTTCACACACACACAGAGAGAGGGGGGCCAGGCGCTTGTGCTTCTCTCGCTTAGGGTCTCGTAGCTTGCCGCAAGTCGACGTCGGTGCAGCCTTCGCTTGCCGATGGCTGACTTCTGGTTCTTGTCACTCAACCGCCCCTCATCAACACATCCTGTCTCCTTCTCATCACCATCATCGTCACCTTCACCTTCGTTGCCTCGAGCGCACCATTCGGCATCCTTCCGACCGTAGTCACAAGCGAACACTCGGCTTAGTACCGATCCCAGATTATCTCGCTTCCACCGACACGGACCACCCACCTCCTTGATGCCGTGCAGGAGGTCCCTGTCGCTCTGCATCCGATCCTAGCATTCTCTGCCACCAGTCAGCAGCTTCCGACGGCATTCTTGGAGTAGCCGCTTCCAATTGTCAGCGCCGTGCAGCATTCAACCCCACCCATGGACTCATTGCATCCCCTCTGAGGTGCCAACACTCGCTTCCATTCCGGGCTACATCCATCAGATACCCACGCCTCTGGATGGCAACTCCGGTCTCGACGTCGCTCTCCTTACCTTCGTGCATCTCGACCAAGTCGGACCCAATCAGCATCGTTTCATGACCCAGCAGCATCCCACCTTCGCATAGACAACCTCGCACCAAACACACACACACACCGCCACCATGGGAGCCATCTGCTGCAAGCCCGAGGTCATCGACTTTGACGGGCCCGTCGATCTGTACCACTTCTACCTCCTCCGCGCTGTTGGCAAGGGCGCATTCGGCAAAGTCCGCGTCGTCCAGCACAAACAAACCAAAGACCTCTACGCGCTCAAGTACATCAACAAGGCCAAATGCATCAAGATGCGCGCCGTCTCCAACATCATCCAAGAACGTCGGTTGCTCGAGGAGATCGATTCGCCCTTCGTGTGCAATCTGCGGTATGCGTTCCAGGACGACGAGAACATGTTCATGGTGCTCGATCTGATGTTGGGTGGCGATCTTCGGTTCCACCTCGACCGAACGGGCAATATGAGCGAGAACGTGGTCCGATTCTACGTCGCCGAATTGGCGTTGGGGTTGGACTACCTGCATCGACTGCAGATCGTCCATCGCGATTTGAAACCGGACAACGTGCTGTTGGACGAAAAGGGACATGCGCATCTGACGGATTTCAACATTGCCGTCCACTTCAGCCCGCGACGACCGCTGACGAGCATTGCGGGGAGCATGGCGTACATGGCGCCCGAGGTGCTGACCAAACGAGGGTACCTGTCTTCGGTCGACTGGTGGTCTCTCGGCGTTGTCGCGTACGAACTGCTCTTTGGTCGACGCCCCTTCCGTGGCAAGACCAATTCCGCTTTGACGCACTCCATCTTGAACGACCGCTGTACGTTTCCGGAGAACGTCGAGACCATCGTCTCGCGCGAAACCGTATCCTGCATCAAGAGCCTCCTCGAACGCGATCCACGCAAGCGTCTCGGCTGTCGTTCGGGGATCGACGAGTTCAAGACCCATCCCTGGTTCGCATCGCTCGACTGGCCCGCGATGGAAGCCAAGACCGTCACCCCGCCCTTCGAGCCCGATAGCAAGAAGGCCAACTTTGACGCAACGCACGAACTCGAAGAGCTGCTGCTCGAGGATAACCCGTTGAAGGCCAAGAAGAGGGGTGGCGCGGACCTGGACAGTTTGCCACCAGAGATGAGGCAGATGGAGGAACACTTTGCGCCGTTCGACCATCTCAAGCAGAGGAGGAAGAGCTATTTCAGAGGCACGAAGAGTGCACCAGCACAGGGAGTGGAGGGGGTGGCAGCACAGACGTCGGAGCAAGAGAGGAGTCAGATCTCGAGTGCGACGCATACGTTGCAGGACCAGCCGCTGGCCGATATGACCAGTGGCACTCCGGGGACTGCAGGAGGCGCGGGTGAGGTAGCGGGCAGATCGATATCCCGTTCCGCATCAGCAGCTTCTGCGTCCGGGTCGGCGTTCGGTGGGGAGAGGTACAACGAGAAGGACTCGTCGTTGGCAGTACCGGGAAGTTCAGGATTGGCAGGGTCGTTCCCCAAACACTCGTCGCCGTTGAGCCAGCAGCAGTTTGGAGCTGAGGCGATGGGGGAAGAGACATCCGCGTCCGGGGCAGCGGCATATATGCAGAGGCAGGAGTTCGACGAGAAGGCGCCCCATGCTGCGTAGTACACATTCTTTCAGGTTCCGATTTTGTTTGAGAGCATCGCGCTTTAATACCCCATTCATTTGTTCTCGTCGGCGATCAGGAGCCTAGGATGTGTGTCCGCACTGTGTGATGATGACGAGCCCCAGAGCTGGTTCTGCGAGCGCAGACTTAGCATGGTCGGTCGTGAGGCGGGTGTCCTCTACTTCGGCTCGATGTCAGTCTGACGATTTGAACCCCTGTCGACTCACATTGGCAAACCCTCACATAGCATTCGATGGATGGCAACGAATTTTCTGCAACGACCACAAAACGTATCTACAGCAACGCCCAAATCAAGCGCTAACACCCTCCTGCAGCCGATCCAACCTGATCTTGACAGCCATAGCATGGGCCTGGAGACCCTCGCACATGGCCAAATCGACCACGTTCTGTCCGAAGCCCTTCAAACCCTCCCTAGTGAGACTCTGCGACGTGATGCACTTTTCAAACGTACCGACGTTGACACCGCTGTAGCTCTTTGCGTACGCCGCAGTGGGGAGGGAGTGGTTGGTACCGCTCATGTAATCACCGCAGCTTTCGGGTGACCACTGGCCGACAAAGACCGAGCCGGCGTTGGTGACGCTCTTGACAAGCTCCTCAGGGTTGGCGGTTTGGAGGATGAGATGCTCCGGTGCGTAGGCGTTGCTCCATTCGATCGCCGCTTCGCGCGTCGGCACGATGAGCGTAACGCTCTTGTCAATAGCTTGGCGAACCACGTCGACTCTCGGCAGAGCGCGCGCCTGCTTGTCCACTTCAGCCTCGATGGCTTCGAGCTGCGCATCTGAGAGCGCGATTCCGACCAGGACGACCTGCGAATCCGGCCCGTGCTCCGCCTGGCTCAGCAGATCGGACGCCACAAACGCCGGATCCGCCTCTTCGTCTGCCACCACCAACACCTCGGACGGTCCCGCTGGCATGTCGATCGACACGATCGCATCCGTCTCGTTCTGCACCAGCATCTTCGCCGCCGTCACGAACTGGTTTCCCGGACCCACAATCTTGTCCACCTTGGGGCAGGTCTCCGTACCATAAGCCATAGCGGCCACTGCCTGCGCGCCTCCGGCACACAGAATGGCGGTAGCACCCACCTTCTCGGCGCAGTAAAGCACTTCCGGCGAGATGCTCCCGTCCGGCCTCGGTGGTGTGGCGAGCACAACGGTAGGACAGCGTGCGACCTGCGCCGGCACACCCAGCATCAGCGCTGTCGACGGCAACACGGCACTTCCACCCGGAACGTACAGCCCCACGCTCTCGATGGGTCGCGCAAATCGTCGACACACCACACCAGGCATCGTCTCGACCTCCAACACCCCATCCTCCTCTCCCTCGATGGCCTCCACGACCCCGTTGGCACCCGTGGAAGCAGCCTTCTTGTTGCCGAAGGTCGTCTTTTGCGCCTTGTGGAACTTGTGGATGTTGTTGTACGCAATGTCGATGGCGACCTTGACTTCGGGTTTGATCTTGGCCATCACTGCGTCGTCGACGAAAGGTGGGTGACGAACCGGAGTGGACAGCTTGGCCTTGTCGAACTTCTCGGTGAGCTCGAGCAGTGCAGCGTCACCGCCGGTCTTGACAGCGCGGAGAATGGGGCGGCAGATGTCCATGACCTGCTCGGTGCGCAACGCGGGTCGCTTGAGCAGCTCCTTGCGCTGCACCGCCGTGAGGTCCTCGAAGCGGTACGACTGGATCTTGATCGGTGCGTCGGCGTCTTTGGGCGCAGGCGCAGGGGCGGCGGGGGCAGCCTTGGTCTCAGCTGCTTTCTGTTGGGCGGCAAAGTCGGGCTTGGCATCTCCCTTGCGGCGAGAAACCTTCTTGGACTTGGCATCCAATGACGCCTCGATCTCCTCCAGCCCGATGCCCGCCGACACGCACTTGGTCAGCGCGAAGTAGATCAGATCAGCCGCCTCGAACGCGACGTGCTTTTTGTCCTCATTTTTGGCATCTGCAAGCTCGGCAGCTTCCTCGCGCAGCTTGGCACCGAGCAAGGAAGGGTCCTTAAAGAGGCGAGCAGTGTAGCTGCCAGCGGGCGCGGACTGCTTGCGCTCTTTCAGCGTGGCTTCGAGCTTGGCGAGGCCAGTGGCGGAGCTGAAGCAGCCTTCGCGGTTCTCGAGGTGGCAGAAGCCAGAGGCGGAAGTGCCGCGGGACTGACGGACGGCGAACTGGATGGCGTCGGAGTCGCAATCCTGTCGAATGCTGACGACTTGCTGCGTGGCACCGCTCGATTCGCCCTTGTGCCACAGACCGCGGTTGCGCGACTGGTAGTGGGCGGAGCCGGTGGCGATCGACTTGCGGATGGAGAGGGCAGAGGAGTAGACGAGACCGAGCGAGGTGGAGCAGGCGGATGAGACGACGGTGGTAGCGAAGAGGCCGTCGGTGCGGTCCGAGGTCAGGGGTGCCACGAAGGCATCGACGATGTCGAGCTTGCCATGCTGCTGCTGACCCTCTTCGGACGAGACGGAAAGCACAGAGAAGGGAGCGACGAGGCTGGCAGTGAGCTTGGAGACCGCCTTGACGTCCTCGACAGAGGGCGCTCCCGACGTCGCGAGTACAAAGAGCGACTTGCCGGACGTCTTTGTCTGAAGCGACTCGGCCGTGGTCTGGACGAGCTGTGCCGACGAGGCAATAGCAGATGCTGAAGGGAGGGTGATGACGGCACCGGCTACCGACTTGAGCACTTCGGGGACGGGAGCGGCACCCGACGCCGAAAGATAGATGAAGCGGGTGGACGATACAGCAGGATCGAACTGCTGGATGAGCTGTGTGTCAGCAGTGACGATGGCTTCGGCACCTGCATCGAGCAAGTCGGCTGCAGCCTCGTAGGTGAGTGATGGCTCTGCAAGGACGAGGTAGGCGGTGTTGCTTGGGAGCGACGAGACGAGGTTCTGAGGAACCAGGACGGGTGCGATGCGAGCGACAGCCTCGAGAAGGGCGCTGTCCTTGACGCCCGCCGCGTCCAAGAGCGGAAGGAGAGGAGTTGTGAGCTGCTGCATTGCAAAGAGTGTCAATGCGATGCAGTGCAACTGATGTGAGTGATTGGTGTCGAGAAGAAGGATGCTGAGGGGTCAATTTGAAATGCAATTGTCCTGGTGTCGCTTTGACTCGACGCCAGTTCTTCTCAAGCTTCCTCAGCTTAGATAACGATGCAAAAGCGTTGGCTCTACGGCTATCAATTGCAAGAGTCAGTCAGAGTCACCCAGCTCCTTCGCTACTGTTCTCGCCACGCTTTCTTCTCAAAATTTGAGTGTGAGTCGAGTCGACTTTGGCTTTTTCGGCCTTCCAAAATCTTCCGAAAAAAGAAGCTAAAAGTCTAACAAACACCGATCTTCGAAAAGATCGACGTTCGATCCCAAGTCAACTTTGATCTATCAGAGACTGCGTTTGCTCGAATGCGGCATGTGCACGGGACTGCTCTGCTACGATTTTTTCCCTTCGGGATAAGCGGACTGGCTGTCAGAGAGCAGCACCACAGAGTCGGTTGCACAGAGTCACATGTATGATATAAGAGCTGCTACTGTAGTGCTTGACCTCGCTATCTCTAGACCACACCAACCTAGACTGCCCTCCCTTGGACTATCGCCAGCATGCGGGTGTCCAGCTCCCTCAGCGTCGTCGCCGTAGCCATCGCGGCTGCGGTGACAGAAGCGGCTCAGATCCCTTTCTCCCTTCAGCGATCGCAACCCGCCAAGGTGCTCGACCACCCCAACCTGCCCGCTCACAGCCTGCGTGTCGTCTCCCCGCCCTCGTCGATCTGCGACCCTTCCGTCAAGTCGTATTCTGGCTATCTCGATGTGGACGTCGACATGCTCTCCAAGCACGACCCTTCCTCGCACTTTACCTCTTCCGCCTTCTCCACTACCAAGCACGAGAAGGACGGCCGAACCAAAGGCGCCATCGAGCACTTCTACTTCTGGGCATTCGAATCGCGCAACGACCCCAAGACCGATCCCGTCGTGCTGTGGCTCAATGGTGGACCTGGTTGCTCGTCCTTCACGGGTCTGCTGATGGAGCTCGGACCCTGCAACGCCGTCGACCCTGCCTCTCGGGATGGCAAGCCAGGAGCCGAGAAGAACCCTTGGGCGTGGAACAGCAATGCGACCATGATCTTCCTCGACCAACCCGTCGGCGTCGGCTACTCGTACGTCGACTGGGCCAACAAGTCCCGCACCGACAAGCCACCTTCGCGCGTCTTCTCCGCCGAATCCGCCGCTAAGGACGCTTCGGCGTTCTTGCACCTCCTCGCCATGCACATGGGCAAGGAGATCTTCTCGGGCGACGGAGACGAGTTCTCCTCGTTCCACATCGCCGGTGAGAGCTATGCCGGTCGCTACATTCCCCTCACCGCCAACCAGATTGTGGAGGACAACAAGCGCATTGCCAAACATCCGGAGCTCAACCTTCGCCCCCTGCCCCTGCGCAGTGTGCTGATCGGAAATGGAATCACCAGTCCGAAAGACCAGTTCCCGGCGTATGTCGAGTATACGTGCACCGACGTCTCGGGTGCCGACCAGCCGCTGTTGCCCAAAAAGACGTGCAAGGCGATGAAGGAGAGCATCCCGACGTGTCTGACGTTGGTCGAAAAATGCAATCGCAAGCCGCGTCATGGCGAGACGTACGATGTGCTCGCTTGTCAGGCAGCATCCAACTACTGCGAAGGTGCGCTCTCCAGCCCGTACGACTCGCTCAAGCGTTCGCCCTACGACTGGCAGCATCCCAGCAAGTACGTCGAGGAGGACTGGGTAGCTGCGTTCCTCAACGATAAAGATACCCAGCGCGCGCTGGGCGTCGACGGCACGGGACCGGGCGACAAGCACGACGGCGTCTTTGTCGGCTGTTCCGACAATGTCTATGCCAACTTTGCCAAGACCGGCGACGGATCCCGCGAGTCTACTTGGGCCGTCGCCAACATCCTCGCCAACGACGTCCGCGTCCTGACCTACAGCGGCAAGCGCGATTTCATCTGCAACTACGTCGGCAACCGCGCCTGGTCCGAGGCGTTGGAATGGGAGGGCAAAGAGGAGTACAACAAGGTTGAGCTCAAGCCGTGGTTCGTGGGTGAAAGGGACGAGGTCAAGGCGGGAGACTTCAAGACGTACGGCAATCTGACGTACGTTATTGTGGACGAGGCAGGTCACTTTGTTCCTCATGACAAGCCGCAGAGCGCTTTGGACATGTTTAATAGGTGGTTGCACGGCGAGCATCCTGGTCAGCTGTAGAAGGGCGTGACCGGACTCGCACTCTAGACGTGAATTAGAAGTTTCCTTGGAATCGTATCACATCTTCTGTCGCTATGCTTGCGTGCCTCATCTGAGCGTGGGAAGAGAGTGGTTTGCTCGGAGACCGACGGAACCATTCCGAATCACTGCACATGCCCCTGAGTCATGTTCCCAGGACAGTCTTCGAATAGAACGAGCAGTTGCGATTGCGAGAAGCGACAGCAGAAAAACACGGAGCAGAGACGTATATCCTAAACTGCATCACGAAAAACCGGTCTGAATCGCTCAAGGGTATCCAAGTGCAGCTCCTACTTTGCCGACACAGCCGGTCGCGACTTGTCCTCCGACTTCCTGTGGAACACGGCCTTGATCTGCTTCAGGGCGGGGTGCTTTTCGTGGCCGCGACTCTCCTTGTCGGCGTGCTTGCCCGCCTCATCCGCCGCGTTGTGTGCATCTTTGTGACCGAGACTGGCGCCGATCCCGCCTACGACGGCGGCAAAGAGGTTGGCGTCGCCGTGCTTGTTCTTGTTCATCGTGCCCGATACGACGGGGATGGAAGCTTGCAGATCGACCACGTCGGCGGGCGACGGGTGGTACTCGTCGTGCACCACGGTGGTCCCCGAGTCGGAGGGGGGCGAGTTGGCGATCGTGGGCGGCAGCTCGTTGGTCGATGTGTAGAACTGCTCGACCGGTTCGGGCGCGCTTTCGCCGGGTGGGGAGATGTACAGCGGCGAAGGCTTCTCCTTGGCAGCCGCGCGTTCCGCTTCGGGAGAGCCGGCTTCTACGAAGCCCGAATCTTGCTTCTCGGGTTTCGTGCTTCGACCCAGCTCATCACCGCCACGGATCACCCACTCGCTCGCCCCGATCTCCGAATTGCACAGCGTACGGAAGCGCTCCATCTGCTCCTCGCGTCGTCGGTTGGTGAGCTCGACCAGCTGCGGCCAGTACGTGTCGTGTTCGTAGGGGAAGTCGAGCAGACCCCCGAAATCCGAGGCGAGCTGCGCGTTGGGCACCTCATCCTTGATCGCCTCGTCGAACTTGCACTTGCCCTTGGTCACCGGGTCAATGAACGGATAGATGGCGTTCCAGAACGCCTTGAAGATCCATGGCACGTTGATGCACAGCGCAATGCCGAGGCGCTCGACGTAGTGGTTCTGAAGGATGTAGAGCATCAGCTTGGCGTTGCTGATCGAGGTCGGGTTGCGCTTGCGGCCGCCGAAATTGATGAGAAGCGCCAGCATCTCCACTCCGGGCGGCATGAGGTCGATGGCGCGTTCGAGGATCCACACGGCAAACTGCATCTGACGAGGAGTCTCCTCGGTCGTGTTGCGGGAAGGGTGCATGTAGTGAAGTGGTCGACCCTTGTTGTCGTAGCCGAGGATGGTCTCTTTGCCCGTCATGGCTTCCGGTTCGAGGTCTTCGGCTTTGAAGGTGTCGACGCCGTACTCGCGCCTCCAGGCGATGGTGTCGGTGAGACGCTTCTGGGCCGCCGCCACATCCCACTTGGTCGCACGAAGGTATCGAATCATCGACTCGCGCGACAGGTTGCGCATGATCTCGACTTCATCCAGCGGCTTCTTGTCGGCGTTGGACTTGAGACTGGTGGGGTACTCAGTGGTAGATTTGAAGTGTTGGAGCATCTGATCGTACTTGTCCTGTTGCGAATTCGAGAGCGGCGCTGGCTGCGTCAATTGGACGCTCGGGTCGGGAGCGGGGAAGATGTGGTCGAACTTGCGTGGCCCGGCAGCACTGCTGGACCCGGGCTGGCTGTTGAAGTCGTCGGCGAAGGTGCCATTGTTAGATGACATCTTTGGACTCGGTGTCGGAGTAGACGAGGACGGTTTGGGTTGAGCTCCAGTGGATGTGTGCGGATTGCGTCGTGAGGAGGAACCCAGGACGAATCCGGACGCGCGAGCAAAGATGGAGGAGCGTGTTGAAGATGCTCTGGAATCGGTCCTGCTGATGTTGTTGGTTTCGGGGGACATGATGAAGGACGAGAGCTTGGATGGGACGGGGGAAATATAAGATGTCGCAAGCAGTGGAACGGGGCGCAGCGCAGTGACGCAGCGATGCACACTAGCTTTCGAGAGCCGTGATGTCGGACTAGATCGGGGAGCTGTGGCCGTCTAGGGTCTTATGACAGCACCTTGTGATGCCTGGTAGAGGTGCTGCGGTCGGAGGGGTCCGTGATTCGAGCCCACTAGCGATTCTGCAGCGTTTGCAAGAGCGGATGAAGAAGCACGAGTGACCGTCTCGCAGAATGCCGCCAAAGATGCAGATGATCGACAGCGTGGTAGGCAAGTAGGTTGTCAAGTGTCGAATGGTCCGCGGCGAGGCAAGTCCACGAGGGGCAGGCTTGTGTGAATAGGCTGTAAGGAGAACGAGCTCCGGAGATGAATAGACCTGGGCCGGGCAAAGCTGTTCAAACAATGTGGTGGGAGGATGGACAGATGGTGGAATCTGAGGTAGAAGGCCATCTGTATATCCGGAGCTCGAGGGCCGGGTCAAGCAAATGCCTGCTCAGGACCGGTGATGATGATGTGCCTGTGGGTGACCGAGTTCAAAGCTCACACGGATCCCTTCAAGGCTGTCTGGCTCGTAAAGCTGCATGACTTTTCCATCTCATTCTCTCTCTTTTCTCAGTTGTGGCTACGCCATTTGCAGTATGGCAAGTGAGTGAGCCTTGTTCGGGCTTAAGAGGAGCGTTGCCTTGCTGAGCGATAAGTCAACGGCAAAAGATCAGCGGAATCTTCAACCCTTACCTTTTACCCTTCTCCCTCGCTTCGCGCTGCCTCGCCAAGCTGATAGCCACCAGAAAAGTGCAGCCTTTTCGCGAGCCCGAGCTCTAAAAAAAGGGCTTTTGCGAATTTACCGCGGATTTTAGCGTGCAGTTCAGGGCTGAGCAGCCATCAGATCCGCGGTGGAAAAGTTGCAGCGCGTCCTTTCTTTTCGCTTCATGTCGTGCCTGCTGACAGTTGCGCCCCACGGCAAAAGCTGACCGACGCCGGTGACGTGCGTTCGCAGTCACCCTCGATAGCTTCTTCCGGTTTCTGAGTCCTATTGTCATCACCTCGAACTGATGTCCACTGACGTCGAATGACAAACAACTTCGGATGAACCTGATTCGAATCTGCGGCAAAGCTTCTTGACCGATGATGGATGATGAAGTACATTTGCTCTGAGCATGAGAGTGAAACGAACTGGACCGTGGCAATGCCTGGAATGATTGCCTCACGGGCCAGGTACCGAAACAAGATTCAAAAGGGCGGGCGGACGGGAGACGATCCCGTCTTTGCTCTCATTCCGAGTCCGGTGGCTCTTTGGTCATGGGTCCCAGGCCTGAGCAATTTCGACCGCGGGAAACGCGTTGCGAGCTCGAGCCAAGCGTCTCGGCATTAACCTTCCGAGGCGTGCTGCTTTGATCCAAGGCCTTCCGGACGCGATGAGGGGCCTTTTGCAGACGAACGAGTCTGTCTTGGACTCGACCTGGCGCACCGTCCGATAGCATCTGTTAAGCCTAGGGTGTCGGCGTGCAATGCCAGCTGTTGATGCCCTTGACTGCGCTGGACAGCGGTACCCGGCGGCAACGTGCTTCGTTCGGAGTGTCAATGTGGAAGCTCATCTTGTCATCCTTGATACAAGGGTCGTCTCGCAACGCGCGCGGCGGACTCGGTTCAGGTTTCATACACCGTTCGAGCTTGCTTGGTAGCTCGATGACCTTTCAAGAGGGATACGCTACGAACCTCGCCTCCGAGTGGAACAAGTCAGCAGCCTAAGCAGGCTGACGTCGACACGACTTCTCTTCTGGTGAAGAAAAATGGCAAGAAGTCGATTTGGTGCTCTAACATGATCTTGGATCGGCGCAAGTTCGGATCGGATTGAGACCACACATATCGGCGATTGGCTCGAAGAGTACGGCGACTTTTGTCCGGTTCGCATGCATGTGATTGCCAGCCAAGCAGGCCGGAAACCGAGCGGAGACGGTTGTCGCTTGACCTGACCCACGCAGATCCTTCTTGGCTTTCTTGGTCTCCTAGCGAGGCGCCGCAGCTCGGTGATGGCCGCTGCTAGAGTGTTCTGGCCTCGGTGTCGCTCTCCCGGTTGCAGGACTCAACGGGCACTTGCATCACTGACGCCGCCTTCCGCTGCCGACTCGCTTGATTCTGCCGATGACAGCTAGCATACAGAAGGTGCAATGCCATGGCAGCATCGACGAGCAGCCAGTGTGAGCTGTGGATTCATGCCCGGCGCCGAATTGCAGCTGCTGAACCCATCGATCGACTCTGTGTTTGCGGAGGGCGGGCGCGCGTCCTTCTGTTTGGCGAGGTCGTGTGTGTGTGTGTGATTTGCAGAATTTCTTCTAGCGAGAACAACACCTCACTCGTCATGCGCCCATTCGCCTTGCTCGCTGTCATTTCGATCTTCGCATGCACCTCGCTCCATGTCCGCTTGGCCTCTTATGCGAGTCGCTACCGCCTTTCATTGCCCCTTGTGAGTCTTCGCACAGGTCGCCGCTTGTTATCGCCCATCGCAGCTCCCAAGTGTGAGCATTTTCTCGCTTCTAGCCAAGCAGACTCAAGGCAATGGCGGTGCAAAGATCAAGATGCCGAGATTCCAGTGAGGAAAAGGGGGCGATGCAGATCCCACGTCAAAGATATGCAACGTCGCGGCGATCTTTGAGAAGTTTCCGAAATCCTTTCGAGTGTTGCGTGTTGTTTTTCGGTCCGCTTGGCGATGAGGAGGGCAGGACCCTCTCGTTTTGGGCCCCTGCTCGTTTGGCCCTGCATCTCTGCAGCAATCGGTCCAAGGGGCTCCTGTCCTCGTGCAGATGCGAAGTGCATCCCTCTCCGCCAGCCAAGCGTCTGCTGCTCCGGTTGACTTGCACTGCTACGCCTCTCGATCGATGCCAGCTGGTTGGCTAGCATTTTGAAGGTGAAACGGGAATTCAAGCAGTTGTGGGTTGAGCCCACCCTGTTGTCGGCCGTTCGATTGAAAGCCAATGAAGCCAGAGGGAAACCGATCGACGGATGAGCTCCTGGACAGAGCCAAACAGATCCTTTATGAGGCCTACCTTCGCCCTAGTTTTTGACCTGACTTCCTCCTCCACCATCATCACCTTGTCCACCTCAAGCATACCCTCCTTTCTTCACCATGTTCAAGTTCACTGTCGTTGCCGCCGCCGCTCTTGCCGCCACCTCGGCCGTCTCTGCTGCTCAGATCGGCACTCCTGCCGCCATCACCCAGTGCCAGCCTGTCTTGCTCAACTGGACCGGCGCCCAGGGCAAGGGTAAGTAGCCTCTTTGACGTCCCATCGTCGTGTTGTAGTGACAGCATGGACTGACCTTCAGATTCTCGTTTGTCTTGATCTTGCCCTCCGACAGTCTACGTCAGCGTCATTCCCGGTTCGCAGCCTTCGGCCGCCCCTCTCGTCACCTTTGCTCCTCAGGACGCCGGCACCACCAGCCTCCGATGGGTCCCTAACCTCCCCGCTAACACCCCCATCACCCTCGCCATCTCGGATGACTCGGGTGTCCAGTCTTACTCGGGCCAGGTCACCATCCGTGCCGGTACTGACACCTCGTGCTTGAACAGCAACGCCTCGGCCGCTGCCAGTGGATCCGCCGACACCACCAACTCTGGATCCAGCTCCGGCTCCGGCTCTGGCTCCTCCAGCTCCTCCAGCTCGTCGGGCTCGTCGGGCAGCGGCTCCAGCTCGTCTTCCCCCTCGAGCTCCGGCCGTCCCGCGGCGTCCTCTTCCAGCAGCCCGTCCAGCCAGCAGACCGGCTCCTCCAGCAACACTAGCGGTGCCACCAGCTTCCGCGCTGACACTGGCGCTTTCGTCACCTCCGGCCTCGCCGTTGCCGCCGCCGCCATTGCCATCTTCGCATAAGCTCTAAGCCAAACCCTCCTGGACATTCGCTCTTTCAAGAACTTCCTTCGCTTTTCCCACTCGGTCCTTTCGATCTCGTCGCATCATTTCTTTGCACCACTTGTATATTTTCGACTTGCATGAAACGTCGTCGCTCCTTCGTCGCAACATCGCTGCGTGTCTCTTGGCTGTGCTTGTGTCGGTCATCGTCTCTGGCCGTCCGGCTCGTTTTCGTTGAGAGGCGACGGTCGGAAGAGTCTGGGAGCTTTGGAGGCTGCTGCGGCGCTTTTGCTCGTGGATGCAGTCGGATTCTGGTTTCTTATCGAGTTTCTGGACAGGATGTTTTCAGCGCGTCGTCTGTCCTCCAGCGAGCTTCCTGGATTGCGATAGAGCGGCAAAGATAGGCGGCTGCCTCCGCGTACTGCCGTCGAAAGTCGTGTCGCCGGGAGCGGACGACGCAATGCGGCTGTGAGAGATAGACTGCCGTCTCGCTCTGTGCGAGAGGCGTCCAATGTCGACCACTCGTTTTCCTTGCCTTTCGATGACGATGAGGGTGCCGGGCGATCTGTTGAGAAGCTCGAACGGTAGGTCAGAAGCAGTATCTTTTGGCAGAAGATGCAGAGGTCGGCACTTACTCGTACTCTTTCTTGTGCGTTTGCTTGCGCCGCGCAAAGCCTTGTACACCACTGCGGACGAGGATCAAGAGCAAGGCCGGTCAGTCAACTGAGCGCATCTCGCCAAGACTCCACTATGCTCGCTTACCATCTGCTCTTGCTTTGTCTGCTTGCGCCTGCCGCGGCGACTTCGGTCGCGCATAGGCTGCGAGCTTGGCTCGACTGGTACTGGGTTGCGAGTGATTGGGCGCAGGAGAAGGTTGCGATGCAGAACTTGGCCTAGGTGGCTGGGGATAAGGCTGATATTGAGGCGTTCGATATCGCTCGTAACCAGTCGGCGGGTATTGAGGAACAAGCGGGTGTTGATCGGGCCCAAAGGGGGGCTGGTAGGTCGGTAGATGGTGTTGATGCCACTCACCACTGCTTTGGGCCGGTCTGGGTGGAGGCATGTTGTCTGTGGGAAAGCGACCTGTCAAGATGGGAGGAGGCGCATCATGGATTGGCGGATACGGCAGCGCGTTGCCGTAAGGATGGTACATGATTGATGCATGCGTTGGTATCGGTATTCGCGGTGCCATGTAGCCTGCTTGAGGGACCAGAGGAGAGACCGGAAGGGGGTCACAGTGATCCACAAGGTACCCCTCGTATGCGTAAGGCGCCTGAGTCGCAGCCCAGCTTGACGTCTCGTAGGATGTGCTTGCGTCGGGGACCATGCTCTCCATTCTTGCCGAAGACGAAGCCGCTTCGGACAAAGATGGCGCACCTGCGCTGGCTTCTCGCTGTGCCATTTCCCGGTCGAGGCTCTCGTAGAAGTCCTTGTCCTCTTCGAGGAACTGTTGCAGCGCCCGTTGGCTGGTGTTCTCCCTTGGCTCGGTTATGGCGCTATGCAAGCTGGAGCGGTATCTGATGTCCATGCTACCATCCATGCCTTTCGTGCTGAGGACTTCGACGTCGTCGGAATCTGACGACACGACGATGATCTCGGGAGGTGTGCTCGGAGCTTTGCGTACGCTTGTAGGTCGTCGAATCCCATGGGCCGGTACTGGTGGTGCTTCTCTCCTAAAGTATGAGTCGATCGCCCTGAGCTGGTGCTTCGGAACGACATCATGCGAATCTGCACGGTTGCCGCTATGCTCGATTGGCGTCGTCTGATGTTGACTGAGAGTCGTCTCGGTGGCATTGGCGTCTGTATCGAGCGGTAGGGTAGACTGACGTGCCTTGCGCAGTTGCGCATTGCGAGCGGCGATGGTACTGTTGCGGTCGACACATACGGCGTCAGCGCATACTCAAATCGTATGATCATCTTGCCTATCGCTTCCTTTGCTTACAATGGCGTCTCAACGAAATTGACTGGTTCTTCGTCATCCGCCCGCGGTGCCGGCTGCTGTCAAAGCGAGGTGTCAGTACTGTGCGCAGGATGGCCGGGAGCACGACCGCGATGTCCGCTGCTCTTACCTGCTCTGACGGCGCTTCGAGCGGATCAATCTCTTCATCGCTGTCTGGGAACCGATCGGCGGCGCAATACCCGAGCGAAGTGGACCACTCATTCATCACGTCCAAGCGCCAGAATCGAACGAGGTGTGTGTTGTGAAGAGTTCATTGGAAAGCAGCGAAGAGCCTGACTGATCTCAGGAAATGCCCGCGCATCTCGTGACATCAGCCGCATCGAGCAATTGCCACTCATCCGTGGTCAGCTCTGTGACGGAGGATGTGATCACAAAGATGTGACGGCTACGCCGAAGGAAGCTGAGTGCGCTGTTGAGCAGGGTGTGACTTCGTAGAGCACGCGTGAGGCAAAGTGACAGCCGGCAAGCGGCTGTCCGGATTTGCCGACGTTCAGCAGCCAAGACCGGAATTTGGCCTGGTCCACAACGCGGGGTAGCCGGTTCGCACTCATCGCTGCGCTTCTCCTGCTCGCTCCTCAGTCCATTCACCCTTGTGGGCTTTGAACGTCAGCCCGAGCTGTCCTGTCTTCTTTCCACGACCTTTGAGAGGAACATGCCCTTTCGGACTGCGTCGACCTTGCTCCGCTCTTCTAGCATCCTGACTTCATCGGCACATCCGAGACTTGCCCTCCAACGCTCGACCTTCACCCTTCTCAAGAGCAGGCCCATTCCCACGCCACATAGCTGCTTCTCCCACAGTTACACTCATCGCATCGAGATGGCATCTCAACAGTCAGCATCGGCATGGAAGCCGTCCAAGCCGCGAGGCGCGCAGCGGGCCTCGGACCACAAGACAGGCCCCAAAGGCGAGCCCATGACTCCGGTTCCTTCCGCCACCCTCATCGTGCTATGCCCAAGGTCGGCCAAAGAGAAGGGCGGACAGCTGCCATACGACACTGTGATGCTACAAAGATCAGCGCGAGATGGATCGAGCTTCCGATCCGCCGTCGTCTTTCCTGGAGGAGCACTCGACCTCGTCGATGAAGCGGAGGTAGAAACAGCGCTGGCCTCGACTTCAGGTGCAAAGAGCGACGAGATGGAAAAGTACATGCACTCGCTCAAGCTGTGTGCGCTGCGCGAGACGTTCGAAGAGACCGGTCTGCTTCTCCTACCGTCACCATCGCCGAGCCCATCCGGTCTGCCAACCAGCCGCGCGGTGGGCCACGAGGAGGCGGGAATGTCGGCTGACGAGTGGGCAAACGCACGCAACGACGTCCACCACAACGCGGTCGACTTTGCTCCCTTCATCCGCAAGGTGTCCGCCAAACTCGGCATCACCGGCAAGCTGGGCAAGGGAGAAGGATCGCTGCCCGAGCTCGCACCCATGGCCCACTACTCCAACTGGATCACCCCGCGCAGCGTCGTCCGCCCTGCCAAACGCTTCGACGCACACTTCTTCATCACCGTTCTTGACAAGGTGGATGTCTTTGGCGACGAAGAGTCGCTCAAGATCTCGGCTGACGGGTCCGAGACGCTATCGCTGCGTCTGCAAACACCCCGCGAAATCATGTACGCCGGCATCACCGACCAGATCTCGCTCTTCCCGCCGCAATTCTACATCCTAGCCGACCTCGAGACGGCCCTCCTCGCAGCCGACGCGGCAGGACGCATCCCCATCCTCCCACTCATCTTCGACTCGGGCCAGGCGACCGACCGCGCAACTGCCGACGCTGAGTTCCGCGTCACCCCTGTCGAGGAAGAATCCCGTGGACTGCAAGGTCGAAACTACTCATGGGATCGCAAAGATTCCTCCACCTCATCGGCTCCCCTCACCTCCTGGATCTCAGACACCAACGCGCCGCTGTCCAACATCCGCGCGCTCGGCACCGACCCCGAATCCCAGTATCCGTCCGTCACGGCCGTCGAGCCCCGCGCCTTTCCCAAGCTGGGCACCATGATGGACATCAGCAAGGAGATTGTCGAGAACCGCAGTCGAGCGCAGGTGGGCGAGAGCGAGGACAGCTTTGTCTTTCCGCTGGTTCTGCCGGGCGACTGGCAGGCGAGCCCGGCGCAGAAGGAACGTGCGCGGAAGGGTCTCTTCTTGCCAGGAACGGGTGAGCAGACGGCCAACAACGCGGGAGGGTCGAGCAGCGCAGAAGACGAAAAGTCGAGACCGCTCAACAGGCTCTACGTTTCGCCGAGGGCCAAGGAGCACGGCGGAGGAATGACGGTGCGCGGGGCGGTGCGCAAGGGTCTCACGCATCTGCGCGATTTCCAGGTCGGCGTGCTGCTCGCTGAGGAGCCCGCGGAGGAGGACGAGCGCAAGTCCAAGTTGTAGTTCACTCCTTTAGACGAGATTCGCCAGTTTCAATGTAGACATGGACGAATGTAGACGTGGACGAATGTAGACATGGACGCAGAACAAGGTGATGGTGGCCCAGCGCAGTGACGCTCTCAAATACACTCTGCGACTCGTTCGTCATCGGCTGCTGTCAGAGGCTGCTCTTGTTTTGTCTCGGCTTGCCGTCGATCGACCCGAGTGCGGCGAACGAAAGCGACGTAGGCTGCTCGGTCATCACAGTGCGCGGATCGCAAGCACACCTCTCGCACGCCTTGTACAACTCTTCATATTCGCCCATCCTACTGCGGATCAGCATATCCACCCCTCGCCGTGTCCAACAGCCTCTTCTCCAACCCTCTCCATTCCTCCTTGACGGCTTCCTCGACGCTTTGTCTCTTGCCAAAATCGGCCTTGCGCACCTTGCACTCGAACACGGCGGTTACGGGTCGATGATCGCTGATGGTGCACTCCCATCTCCTGTACTCGAGACACTTGACGCGGTCGGGCTTATCGCTTTTGAACAGGACGCGGTCGCACCAGGCGGGAATGCGATTTTTGTCGGATGTGTCCCAGTCGTAGCTGCCACGGTCGTACTTGTACGTCGGGGCGAAGGCGATGGGTGGCTCGCTGAAGTCGGCGAGACGAAAGGCGGGATTGTGTTTGAGTTCCTTGCGAAGTTGATCTTGATCCAACAAGGAGGCAAGTTTGCGCGCGGCGAGTGCGGATAGGACCGTATCTCGATTGTGGTCGATGCGGTAGTTGAGGTCGCCCGAGAAGAAAACGAGTTCGTGGTCAAGGACCATACTCCCATCCCCACCGCCGACGTACGCTTCCGGATCGGCGTAGGGGTCATCGAACACCGTTGGGTACTCCAGTATGTCCGCTACATCCGCATTGCGCTGTTTGACGTGCTTTTGCCCTGCAGCGAGGTGGGCGTTGACGAATGCAATGCTGGTATCCTGCACCACCAAGCGCGCGATGACGGCTCCTTTATTGCCGTACCTGCCCCCCATCCCCGTCTTGACCGTGCTGATAGCCAGCTCGCGGACGTGCTTGAACTCGGTCTGCTTGACAAAAACACACGTGAACAGCCCCACCAAACTCTCGGACTGCACCAACAGATATCCGCACGTGGCCGGCATCGCAAATCGCACGATCTGGATCAGCTTGTCGTACCAACTTCGGTACTGGCGCGAGACCCTATCGCCCAAATCGTTCGCGCCCTTCTTGCGTCCTCCGCCCAAGAGCAGGCTCTTCGCTGTCAACTTCTTGCTCTCGAGATCGATGAGCTCTTGGAAACCAAACACGATTACATCCGGCGGTCGGTCAGCCGGTAGACTATCCGATCCAACCTGGCATGCGTTGCGCAGCATCTGCCCAAACACCTCCATGTTCTCCGCCGACGTCTCGAGATCGTTTGGCGAGGCAGCGTCCATGTTGAACGTCACATGCAGAGTCTTGATGCTGCGGTAGGTGCAAAATTCGGCCTCGCGCTTGGACTTTTCGGCCTCGATCCAGTCGAATGAGAGCGTGCCGTCCCACAGATGCACCGCTGCGTCGAGGCCGCCGGATGCGACCTGCAGACGGCCCGCTTTCTCGATTCCGTGCTCGTCGGCCTTGATCGCAGTGATGGGCTCCTTGTGTGCCGTCCAGATCTTGAGCGCGCGCCAAGGGGCTGTCTCCGTGTCGAATACCGAGATCGTTCCCGCTCGAGTCGCTACCCAGAGATACTTGATCACGCCCGCGACCGCCGTCAGACCGTGCGGACCGAGCTTGCGCACACCAACGCACTCGTACGTCTGTCGCGACCAGATTGAGACGTGACCCGAATCGTGCCCGAAATAGACATAGTCGGGGCGAGAGGGGATGACCGCACCGCCAGTCACGGCACCCACGCCCTCCCCCATCTCCGGAGGAATCGTCGCGGCCTTCGACAGCGCGTTGAACGGCTTGTCGTCCGCGAAAGGGTTGTAGATACGAATGCGAGGGCCCTTGCTTGCGGTCTGATCCTTGGCGTTCTTGCTCTGCGCCGATGACCCCGATGCGACCCACAGCTGTTGACCTACAACGGAGGCGTGCGAGCCTTTCTCCATAGCGATACGCTGCGTGATGGGCTGGTTCGACAGACGCAGCCCTGCAACGGCTGGATCCGTACTCGCATTCGGCAGCCAGATCGAGATCTTTCCCCCTTCGTCCAAACTGAGCATCTTGTTGCCCACCCTCTTGAGCAGCTGAATCGGATCCGAATGCACGTTCTGCCGGGAATGCACCACCGCCGCTTCGGCGATGTCGAGCTCCCAGATGTGACCATCCTTCGTGCCGCACCATAGATATCTGCCCTCGTCCGCTGTTTCGCCATGTGCTCGCTTTCCTGTGACAGAAACCGGACAGACGCCATGATTCGGTGGTCGAAATTCGAGCGCTGTCAGCTTGACTTCCTTGGACTGATGTTCGCCGACCGTGCAGAGCTTGTCCCCCAGACCGCTGGCCGACTCGCCGACGCGGTATACTTTGACCTTGTCGCCACTGCCCGTCACCACCGTAGGACCACACACGGCAAAGCATTGGAACGCTTGCTTGGCCGAAGTGCAGCAGTCCGGACTGAATTTGGGCGCGCGGCGATTGGCGTGCGAGGTGTCGGGCAGTCCGCTTGGCGTCATGTCTGCTGCAGCGTGCATCCTGCGCAGACCAGCTGTGGACCTGGAAGGCGAAGCGGAGAAGGACGAGGGAGAAAAGGAGGAAGGTGACAGGGACGAGGAGGCGTACGTATCGTCTTCTTCATCAGAGCTGTCCGTGCTCGGTCGATTGTCGGTGGATCTTTGGTGGCCAAAGCTGCGACTGATCGGGCCGCTGGGTGAGAGGCGCGCGTTGCGTGTCGGAGGTGGCAGCAGTGTCGAAGCCGCTTCGATCTCATACGTTGATAGAGTTCGACTGGGCTGCAGATGCCTGGCAGCGGACCGAGCTACTGGGATCGGCTTTGACCGTGCGGTGACCGTCTGAGATCTATGCACCGCAGCTGCGGAGGACGCTGTCGGCGTGCTACGTTGCGGTGGCGGCATGATAGGTGCATCGTTCTGAGTTGCATTGCTGTCGCTCCCCGATGGCTTGCGGACAGGAAGCGGCGGCGTTTCCAGCTCGTCTGCGGCGAGGGCCACGCTGAGAAGGGGAAGTGTACCCGTGCTCAGAGACGCGCTGAGGCGGCGTCGCTCTGGTATCCCATCGAGTTGAGGCGAAGCGGGCTCTCTGGACGGCAAGGGTGGTGGCGCGTCTGGAGGTGACAAGGTGATGAAAGCAGTGTCTACCGGTGCGGCAAGGACGGGAATCGAGCCCGCGTCTGTCTCCAAATTGACCGCAGCTATTGAGCCAGGTAAATTGGCCAAGCTCTCGGCGGAGCTATCTGTCTTGATCGGCCGTGGTGGGACTATTGGCGGAGCCTGTTTGACTGAATGCGCCGGCTCAGAGCCTTTGTCGGCAGTGGGAGAGAGGAGCTCGTTGGAGCGAGAGTACTTGAGAAAGTGACTGCCGCCCGTAGCGATGCGATTCGGTTTGAGCTTGACATTTGTGGTGTCAGAGTTGCTAGGGGGGCTGCTTCTATCATTGGCGATTGTATGATGCGTGCGGTGACCGAACATGTTGGCGAGCGATGCGACGCGGGCGGTCGAGTCGGCTCTGGATAGACGTTCGAGGTCGGCATCATCCAAGATTTGCACGCCGTGAGGATGAGAAGTGGGCTTGGGTGGCCGTGGGGGTGCCACTTTCATCTTTGCTGGGCCTTCGGTATCGGATGCAGAAGCTGAGGCGGTTGTCGAGGCAGGACGACTCGACCTCGGTGTCAATAGAGGCGGTATGGTTTCTCCAAACTTGGTCGCGGTGATGGCGAGCGGTTTAGCTGAGTTCGATGCTCGTCTGGTAGTAGGCGCGCGCTTGTCTTTGACCAAAAGAGCGCCGAGATCAGTGGCGGACGTGTTTGCGCTGGAGGGCGTAGACAGAGAGGCGAGATCGGCTACAGTGAGCAAGGTGGGGCCGGAACGAGGTTGCTTGAATGAGCTCGATCCGGCGGCGTTGTTCGTTGTCGACGACGAGGAAGGCGCATCTTCTGCTGGGATCCTCGGCGAGTTGGACACTGAAGATGACTTCTTGGGTTTCTGTAGGCCATTCTGGACTACGACAAGCTTCTTCTCCGGCTGTCCGAATGTATGTGTCGCGCTAAGATCCTTCTGCTTTGGTATCGCTGTCGTGGAGCTCGCTTGTGACTTGTAGGCAGGTCGACTGCCCTCGGACTTGGACAGCTGCTCGAATCGAGAGCGCAGGTCAGAGACAGCGCCCGGGAGAGCGCCAAACTCATCCGGTTCCTGACCGGCTTGCTGATCCGCCATATCCCTGGCGGCGTCGTCGTCGTCGTCGTCGTCGTCGTCACCGCTGAGATCCGACGAGGTCCTGCTGAGCTGCGCTCTTAGGGGGAGGACTTGCTTGCTATCATGTGCTCTTATGGGTGAGAGCTTCGGTGCGCTTTCTGCGCGGTCGAGTGATAAAAGCTGCGTAGCAGCATGTGCTGTGGTCGAAGCTTCTGTGCGACGCGCTGGGGTCGACAAGGAGGTTGTGATGAAAGAAGAGAAAGGATAGAGACTCGGAGGATCACGGCGAACTGGCCAAGGCAAGCAAGCCAAAGTGAATTCCACATGTCAACCGAAACCCTGAAGAGCAACACACACACGCAGGTCCAAGCGCAGTTGTCATTTTTTTCTGGCTGTCATCTTGCCGACCAGAAAAGATGGCCGATCCGCCTTGCCGCTGCGCCCTTCTCGGTAAGGCTCATCCGACGTGCCCCCGAGGCTGTGCTGTGCTGTCGCTTGTCGCCAACGTCTTCCGTTCCGAGTCTCCTCAGTCCCACATCTCAGCCAGTCGGAATGTTTATCAGCGTCGGTGATCCCGATTCCACCATGGTCCCACCGTCGGCATGGCCTTTTTGGTCGGAGAGAGCCGAAGCTGGCCTTTTGAACTCTCAAACCTCCACACGAGTGAGTTTGTCATATGCGTGATGGAGAGCTGTCGAACTTCGGAACGTCCGTCGACCACCGACACGGCACGATTCCGAGCATCGTCTCACCATCGACCATCGGATCATCCGCAAAGCAACTCCAGCATCTCCGCGTAGCTCGCAAGCATGGTTTTGGCAGCAGTGGCGCAGCTCAAATCGACCGGCGTGATAGCGGACAACCTCGCTGCGTCGGTCTCGATCATCCGCAACGCCTCGCTTCGCGGGGCCAAAGCGATCTTCCTGCCCGAAGCGACGGACTTTATCGCGCCGACTGCCAATGTTGCCGCCCTCACGCGCTCCGACGACAACCGCAGATTTGTCGAGGGCATTCGGTCGGCTGCGAGGGAAGCGGGCGTGTGGGTTTCGGTCGGGATTCACGAGGCACCCTCTTCTTCGCAGGATGAGAGAGATGCCAAGGACAATGGAGGCAGGCTACGATGCTACAACACACAGCTGCTGATCGATCACCAGGGCGAGATCCTGGACAGGTATCGCAAGCTGCATCTCTTCGATGTGGATATTAAGGGCGGCCTCAAGATCCTCGAGAGCGACTCGACCATTCCGGGATCAGAGCTACTCCCCCCTCGCTCTACACCCGTTGGCTCACTGGGCTTGCTCACATGCTACGACCTGCGCTTCCCGGAACCATCTCTGCGACTGCGACGGCAAGGCGCACAACTGCTCACCTACCCCTCCGCCTTCACCGTCCGCACCGGCGCCGCACACTGGGAGACGCTCCTCAGAGCAAGAGCGATAGAAACGCAGAGCTACGTACTCGCAGCTGCTCAAGTGGGAGCCCACGATGGAACAAAGAGAACCTCATGGGGTCATGCCATGATCGTAGATCCCTGGGGGTCCGTCGTTGCTCAGTGTCCGGATATTCAGCCCTACAAGCCCACCTTTTGTATGGCTGATATCGATCTTGAAGCTTTGGAGAACACGCGGAAGGAGATGCCGCTGTGGGAGCAGAGACGAGGCGACGTCTTTCCGCAGATCTGACCTGTCCAGCTTCATGCTTTCGAGGATGAGTGGCCATGATATCGAGTTGACTTGATAGCGATGCAGATAAAAATACATTGTGAAAGATATGCAGAGAAAAGGCAGAGATGAGAGTATGATAACAGTGTCAAGATGCAAAGACCAGTCGAGGGTGATGGGCCAGCCCAAGCGAACCACCAGGATTCGCTGTGGCGCTTTCAGCGGTTTCGCGGTGTCGGGGTCACTGACCGGGCCAGCTCCTCAAGTCGTGACGTCAGCTCGGCTGCGTCAATCTCGGACCTGGGTGGCACCGGGGCGGCCTCATCGATATCGAGACGAGTAATGACGAAGCCGAGCCATCCTTCGTTGCGTCCGCTTGCTTTGTTGAGGATGTCTTGCGACGAGCTTTTGCTCAGCGTGGGATTCTCGCTGTTGAATCGCATGCGCCTGGTGCGCGGAGCTGCAGAACGGTCCTCCCTTGCGAGCTTGACCAAGGGCACGAATTGTTGTCGCTCGTCCTGGGGCTGCTTGTCAGCGCCACGAGTTTTCGAGAAAGAGCGCGTGGCACGGCTGAGTGCAGAGGCCAGCGCGTACTGAGCCCACAAGACGAAGGCGAGAGGAAGCGCGGCCTGCACAGCGAACACGCAAAGGTACATCACCTGATCGCGTACAGATCCCACCGAAGAGGAGTGAGGGTCGGTGACGCGTTGATGCGCAGCAAGGAAGCGCGGAGACGTAAGCATCCCAGCAGCTGCGGCTCCGTGCGAATTCTGTACCTCGAGACGGTCGTGGTAGAAAGCTGTACGGCTCAAATTTCGGAGCGCTGCCAGAGCGATGAGTACCTGGCAAAGCACGTGAGCACGGATGAGACGCGAAGCCAGATCGCTCATCCAGCGCTTCTGCAGCGCCAGTCCAACGATGCCAGTCAAGGCAAAGCCAGACTGCGCCAACATGAAGGTGGTCAGAGGCAGTGAGGCGGCGTCCGGGTGAACCGAGGTCTCCAATGCGCAGACTCCAACAATGACGATGCTGATTGCCGCGAGACCGACAGCGACGAAAGGAGTGCGCGACGTTCGTGATCGTGCGAATGTGTTGCGCGTCGAGAAACATGACGCTGAAGAGCCGCGTTGCGTGTCGAGAATGGTCTCCTTGTCGGCAGTCGATTCGGGCGAAGCTTGGCTGGGCAGATCAGAGACTGAGAGGCTGCGGTGCTTGCGCCATGACTGCGAACGATGATGAGTGGCTGGAGGCTCGTATAGCTGACTTTTGAAGCACATGCCATGTCGCTTTGCGGTAGATGAGCTTTGCAAACGTCGATGCTCGGAACTGCTGAGGCGAGACAAGTCTGGCGAAAGCCCTTGGGGCGATTCGGAGAAAGCCTGATCCTGCGCTGCAGCGTTCTCGGCATCACGACCGCCTGTAGCTCCGAAGAAGGGTCGACGATGGCCTGCGTAAGAGCCAAAAGTTGGTGCATCCTCGAGATCTGTGCCGTCCTGGTCGTCGATGGCTGCGCCGAGAGAGTCTACGTCAAAGATGGAGCGCAGCTCCTCTAGTCCGGCTTTGAGATAAGGCGAGGTGGTCGAGTGAAGGGTGTGATTCCAAGCGGTGATGCTCATCCTGCGCGACATCGTGTTGGACCAGCTTCTGGCTCTCTGCGTCCACTTTGAGGTGGCGCGATCCGGCGAGCTTTCGCGCAGTCCAGCAGTGGAGAGATCGGTGGACACGTTCAACGAGACATACCGTGTTCCGCCCTGGAAGTAATTGCGCTCCGAGGCAGCGGAACGAATCGAGGTGGAGCGAGACAGCGTGGAAGCTGTGCTGGTGAGGCTGGGTGTGCTCGACATGGACGATAGTGAGTCATCGCCCGGCGATCCTATGCTCGGATCTAGGTGCAGCGCGTCAGCCTGGCCGCCATTTGATGAGACTTCCGCGGGTTCCGACATGTCGACGGAGGCAAAGTAGCCGCGCGCAGGCCAGCGCATGGACGGCGAAGCTGGATCAGATGTAGGAAAGGTGCGAGATGACAGTTCATGACGAGTCAGTGCGCCGCTGTCGTTGCCTGGGACCAAACGTCGCATTCGAGAAGGAGCGCTCAGCATGTCGCCGCGTTTGGAAGGGCTGGTGACGGAGTCGCAGAAATTGTCGACTGTGTTTGAGCTCTTCGAAGTGTGCGTGTTGAGCTGAGTGAGAAGCGGAAGAGCGCGAGACGAGGAGCCGGGCGAGCAAGTAGTTGGAGGAGAGGGTGCGTGGCCGACCGTCTTGCTGCGTCGTACGCTGGAATCGCATGGCCTTAAAAGAGATGAGGGCCCAGCCTCGTTCGAAGAGGCTAGGCACTGGCTCATTGCTGCGATGGAACCTGTGTTGGTGCGAACGGATTTGGGCGTTTATGACATGTGCGGAGCGTCTGTGGGAGATCTGATGCCGATATAGCGAGGTGTTGGTGTGAGATGCTGGCAGCGGGTGGGAGCACCGTCAGATTGCTACACGACTGGGAGGCAGATTGGGTGTTGGCGACGTGGCGCAGTTGTGGAACGGATCCGTAGCTTTCTCCGTGTTCAGAGGGTGGTCCAGCGGGCACTTTGTGTTGGGAGAGTCGCAGCGACAGGGACAGAATGAGGGTGTGAGATGCGTCGAGGCTAGCGAACAGTGGGCGTAAGGTGGTGGGAGTCGGTGTTGGTGGTGATGATGGCAGCGAGGGTTGATGGTGAAGATTGATGGAGACGATGACGAGAGAGGAAGGTGGAGTCAGTGGCAAGTGACAGGCAGAGACAAAGGGTCAGGAGCACAAAGGGGAGGCTCGTTGTTGCAAAAGCCTTGACACGGTTGTGCAGCCGCTGAAAGGAAGTCAACTAACACTCAGCACAAAGTCACCCACTTTTGCATCTTACGCAGTCACGGCTGACAGCCTTGGCGGCAGCCGTCAGGGTCCCAAATCGGCTGACTGTGTGACTGAGTTGCAGGAGAGCAGTGGCTTGTTCTGTTTAGGCTCTCAAGCCGAAGCGAAGCGGGACCGTCTCGGGAAAAGAGAGCCGCGGAGAGGTGCAGCTGCAGCCAAAGTTGACAAGGGTCCTTTTCGAGCCGGCTCACGTTAAGTCAGGCTTGGTTGCTGACGCTGGCTCAGGCTCAGGCCGAGCGTGCCGAGCCACGACGTGACTGAGCTCAAGGAGACTTTATTTTTAATTGAATTTCCGAGCGAAATCGCATGACCAAGGCTCGCATCTTTTGACCGCGTCTCCAAGCCATCTTTGCACCAGCTCGCTTACATGGCCATGCCTTTGTCTGGGCTGCCAAGCCTAGCCGATGAATGGCCTGCCACTTTCTCGTCATGCTGAGACAAGACAATGGGCCCTTTGGCTCCATCCAGATGTCATGGAACATCACACTTGCTCTTTGGTCACGAGCGCTTCCACTTTGGCACGAGCATCGACGTGTTCTCATTCGCTCTTGCTGAAGCCTTGGGTAAGTTCGGAGGACAAAGCCTTTTCGAACAAGGTCAAGGCTTGATGACCCTTGATGTGGTTAGAGCTCATCGTGAGCCACAGGCTGAAAAGTTCGTCCCACCAAGCTATGCAGCTGCGTCTCGCCCAGACACTGAGGGGAACGGTCGGCCCGCAAGGCAGAGTCCACTCAGCCCACTTCATGTTGGCATGCCTTGACGAGCTCACGGGATATGAACCGACTCCCTGACAGCTGAAAGGGAGGCGAGACAGGTGGAAAGGAGAAAGAAAAGGTCTGGATTCCTCGTTCCGATCAAGTTCAAGGTCCGCCTTGCCGTGGACCTGCGACTGCATTTCACGCTGCGAGCAGCCTTCCTTCATCTCGACGACCTCTTCGCTTGAGCTTGGGTCGGCTCTGACTTGTGCTCAGCAGCTTCGGGATGAAACAGCGAGCAAGATACAGTCTCGTCGGCACGCTTCCGGTTGCAATTAGCGTGGTCACGCTTGCCAAGGCTTGATGCGATTTGGATCCCTTGGTCAAGCGCATGGAAAGAAAATCATGCGATCCCTTCCACGCGGACTTGGCACAACGCGGAGGGGTACAAGCATCCCTCGTGCAGTCAAAGGCGGTTCCTTGTTGCTCGGCTCAGTCACTCTTAGATCGATCGACGGTTCCGAGGATCCGGCGACTGGCTCACAAAGTCGAGCACAGCCAGTGCCGCGACTGCATGGCGGCAAGGCGCCGCTCGGACACGCACGCAAGTTTCGGCAGCCCATGCTTGCTTTGGCATTGCTGGGCATTGCCAACTACTCGTGCCATAAGTGATGAGCAGATCGAAAGTACTTACATCAGCACGATACTTTCGAGACCGATCAATGCAGGATGCGGGATCGGGGCGGACGAAGAGCGTTCTTGGCTGGCGCGTTGGCCTTGGCACCGCGCTTCGGATGCATTGTCTCTTTGCGTGGGCCACGACTTCGCCTTAGCGCCAAGAGAGACGCTCCTCGCAGCCAACATTTGAGCAGTTCTACGATCGAAACGACAACAGACAATCAATGACAGATTCATTATGTCTCTGTCGAGGAGGAAGGTCACAAGACCATTACTCCTGTTCAAGACGGGCGGATGTCCAACCGCACAAAAGGCGCAAATACTCGTCATACCGCGCCGCGCCTTTGTGCTTACCGAACCCCGCGATTGGAATCGGTGGACCCTGAAGGGGATCGTGAGCAGAAACAGTGCGATGAGACCCTGTCATACTGCTCGCTCAGGTGGTCAGCTGACGATGCAGTCATCACCAGATCTCAATTCCTCTTATTCTGTGGTACGATCGTCTACGTCGCTAAGGAGCACTCTTTCTACCTCTGTGCTAGGCGCTGTTCGTTTCCGCTGCAGCCGGTGCTCGCGTCGACGTCACTCCGCTCTGTTGTTCTCCGCGGCATTGCCATCCACCTCTACACCAGCAAAAACTCAATCTCTGTCGCCAGCTTCTGTAGCGATGATTGCAGCTCGAGACCGAGTCCCTTGCCGTCTACCCAAAATGTTGTGCACAAGTCAATGAGTTGGCCAAAAAGGAGTAAGAAAAAAGAGAACTGCAGCACCTAGGATTCCCGCGTGGTCCCCCACCGCAGTACTGACTAGGCGATACCTTGCTTAACTTCGCAGATCGGACGGGATGCGGTGCTTTCAAGGTTCTATGGCCGCAGATGTTAAGCCCTTATTCGAAGACAGATATATACCTGCTATGATAGTTGTCCTGCCACCTGACGGGAGTCATGACTTGAATGGCGGTCTTCTACACGATTGATCACACTTCTCGGCATGAGACAGCTCGCATGAGACAGAACTACTCAGCTCAGTCAGGTAAAATATGCACTGGGTGTCAAAGGGAACGCTGCTTCAGCTGTATTGCTTGTCAAGGGCGAGACCCGAGCCAAACCGAATGCCAATCGGGTCCATCCGATCAACGTCCGATACGAACCACCTTCTTCCTCTGCCTGCGTCCCAGGTTGAGCGGGTTCATCGGGTCCTTCTTCTTGGCTGCCGCATCTTCCTTCTCCTCTTCCTCTTCCTCCTCGTCATCATTTCCGCCGAGACCCATGCCACCGAGCATACCACCGAGACCACCAAGTGCGTCTGCTCCTGGCATGCCCGGTCCGCCCATCGCTTCGGCGAGGTTCATGTTGAGCAATCCGCCTTCGATCGCGGGCGAGTGAGGGGGGAGACGTGCTTCCAGCGTGGGCGGGAACTTGATCTTGGCCAGACGCTCGCGGATCGGGTTCGGGTTAGGGTCGCGCTTGGCCTGAAGAATCTCCTTGCGTTGCTCCTTGGTCAGCGTAGGCTTGGAAGGACCAGCAGCAATCGAGCTGGAAGAGGCGGCGGCCGCGGCCTTCTTCTTGTTCTTCTTCGAGGCCCCGGCTTCAGTGGAAGCAGACGTCCCAGCAGCGGCAGCTTCAGCGTTTTCGGCGAGAGCCTGCTTCTTCATCGTCGAAGGGCGAACGCGCTTCTTGCGTGGCTCGATCGCAGGTGGCTTGCCTCCGCAGTTGGGTTGGATCGTCTCTGCAATGGCGTCGAAGAGCTGCTTCTTGCTGGCGAAGCGGCTGTGGGTCGGCTCGCCATCCTCGTTGAACAGCTGCACCTTGACTCGGCCCGGGTTCTCCCAGTCTTGAGGATGCGTCTTGTACGGCTCCTGCACGTACTTGAGTTGAAGTCGGCCTACTGCTTTGGCAATCCAGAGCTGTGTGGGGAACGGGCTTGATTTCTCGTAGGAGACTCGTCGACATCCCTTGCCGTAGTGTCGCTTGGCGTCAAAGTAGATGGGGTAGACGCTGACCCACTTTTTGTGTTCGCCGTCGTTGTCAGACTTCGAGCCGCTGCCACCAGCTACGGCGAGGTCTGCGGGAGGTCGAGAAGAGCCAAAGTCGCCAGAGCCGGGGGCTTGACCCATCTGCTCCATCATCTTTTGGAAGGCGGCCATCTGGTCGGCTTGAGGAGCACCTCCCGCCTGCGCCTGTGAGACGCCGGGAGACGCTACGGTCGGCAGGTCGAACTCGAAGTCATCGTCGAAGTCCTCGACGGCAGCCTTGGGCGGCATCGTGGTGGCTGCTTGGTATTGTAAGGCTGCGATGGCCTGTTGAAGCTCTAGATTGTTGATGTTCTGGAGGATGAAGGATCGAATGGATGATTTAGAGATGGAGCTGCCGACTGAACAGAGCGCACCCCACACGTGACTGTGCCTGCGCCTTTTCCTATCGCGCGAATGGAATTTTTGCTGCTTGACAGGTGCAGCTCAGCCCTTTGAGGTGGAGGCCCATGCTTCTCAAAGCTCTATCTTCCACCTCAACAGCCGTCATACGTCCATGAACCCTCCTGTCCTCCAATAGCGAAGCCAGGAATCGCAGACAGCTCTCCCGGTCCCCACAGACGAAGAAGGGCCCAAATTGGACGAGGTGATGGCCATAAGCCGGGCTCGAATGGCATGCTTCTGACCAGCTTCCGCGCTTGGTCTCGACAACGATCTCTTTCGCCTCGGGTCTCGCCCTCGCCTTCGAGTCTGCTCGCAAGCCCTCGAAGCTGTCCCAGACCATTTGTACCCTCGCTCGCACCACAGCTCCGATCAAGATACACAATGACGCAAGGCGCACACATTCAGTTGACAGAGCAAGAAGAAGCCATCTGCCAGCTCCTCGATCAGACGTGCGCCTACATTCATCGCGAGCGACCAGAGCTTCCCGAGGTCGACTCGGCACAGCGCAGCGGCGATGGTAGCCAGCCATGCGAAGCGCGTATCGCTGGCGGCTGGGTCCGCGACAAGCTCCTCGCGCGTGAATCCGACGACCTCGACATCGCCCTCTCCACGTTGACCGGCAACGCATTCGCGCTCTACCTCAAGCATTACCTCTCCTCCGAGTCCTTCGCGTCATCACCGCTCGCACGGTCGCGCTACTTCAGCGATCGGTTCTCGGACATGGGCCGCATTGGCAAGATTGCTGCCAACCCGGAGCAGAGCAAGAGCCTCGAAACGGCGACAGCGAGAGTGCTCGGGCTGTCGCTCGACTTTGTCAACTTGCGAAAAGAGACCTACGACCCAGGGTCAAGGATCCCGACGATGACATTCGGGACGCCAAAGGAGGATGCAGAGCGACGTGACATCACTATCAACTCGCTGCTCTACAACGTGCACACGAGAGAGGTGGAGGATCACACGGGTTTGGGTCTGCAAGATCTAGCGGCGGGGTTGATACGAACCCCGCTTCCGCCATTGACGACCTTCCTCGATGATCCGCTCAGAGTGCTTCGATGCGTACGTTTCTCGAGTCGATTCGCGTACCAATTGCATCCTTCCATCATCCGCTGCCTCACGGGAACCAGCACGACCGGCGCCTCACTCGACGACACGGACGCAAGCAGCACTCAGATTGCCAGCAGCGACGACCCGAGGGTCTCAGCACGAGACAGTCAGGGTGTCGAGAGTGGGAGGAACCAGCTTCGTGATGCGCTCGTCAGCAAAGTCTCCAGGGAGCGTTTTGGCATCGAGGTGGACAAGATGATCAAGGGTCCGCATCCATTGTTGGCGCTGTTCCTGCTGCATCGTTTGGAGCTATTCCCGCTTGTATTCCACCCGCCGCCAGGCGCAGGGAAGCTCCATGTGGCATCTTCCGGTGCTGCAAAGCCCAAAGTCGGGGAACCCGAACCGGATTCGGTGGCGCTCAACGCCGCTCGCTTGCTCGACGCAATGATGCACGTCAAGGCACTCGTAGACGGCTCGCCTGTCAACCAGTCGGTTCCCATGGACACCCTCTCGATCGGAGACGTCGTCCATACTGCACCCAGATCTGACCTGTCCCGGGCATTTTCGGCGGTGCCAACATCGCCCATCCCACGAGCAGTCTTCGAAGCGCTCCCCTACGACTTGCTGTACAGCTGGTCCAGCTCCTCCCTCACAGCCGAAGAACGCCGTCGACTTTGGATCTCGGTCTCCCTGCTTCCTTTGCGGCACCTTATGTACGAGGAGAAGAAGAACAAGCACGCGTGGGCCGGCGAGAGCGTTATCGCAAATGGCCTCAAGATGGGCACGAAGACGCTGAAAGAACCTGTTGCATCTCTGCATCGGTGTCTGGAGCTTCTCCCTCTGGGGCGAAGGGTGCTTTCCCAAGGACAGACGGGTGAGGAGAGTGAGACACTGGATCGTCTGCTCAACCTACCGCCCGGGCTCAGCGTTAAATCTCGACTCGGACTACTACTGCGCAGTCCGCACGTGACAAACGGTCTTCTTTCGCTGCGACCGCAACCCGCGCTGCTGCTCTCGTTCATCAGCGAGCTGCTGGATCTGTGGCGCCAGTCCGAATTCGATCCCGACACATCGACGCTGGCACCGTTGCAAGAGCAAGCGGTGCAGCTCGCTCAGGACTATAGCCGTTTCTGGCAGCTCATCCAGCAGTGGTCGCTGGTGGAGCGCGCGGAGGAGAAGATCGTCCTGGATGGCAACGCTGTGACGGCGTGCTTGGGTTGCCATCCGCGTTTAATTTCCCAGATCCAGGTGTTCGTACTGGCTTGGCAGTATGATCAGGACTCGATCGGGTGGGGTGCGGAAGAGGAGTGTGCGAGGTGGTTGAAGAGTGAGTGGGAGAAGGGTGGGTTGGTGTCTTTTGAGCAGAGGCCCGCGCCGATCCCGGTCAAGGGGGACAAGGGGAAGAAGGCCGAGAAGAAGAAAGAGCCTGCGAATGTTCAGGTGGAAAAGGAAGGAGAGGGGGAGCGGAGGAAGAGGCAGAAGAGCGAGTAAAACACGCACGAAAGCATATCCAGTCTCGCGAGAGAAACGCAGCAACGAGTGGTCTGTATTTGCGTGTGCGTTGTGATTAGAGTGCTTGGGTATATTGAGGGTGTCAGGGAGCGATGGGTCACATGCCTCTCCATATCGTCAGCGAGTCCTGATACGAACCTTCTCCCCCATCCTGATCGTTGACACCGTCGATCTCGTCTTCTAGATCCTCGATCTTCCTCGTCTTATTATGCAGGTTCAGCGACGCCAGTGGTAGCACCGACCACTTTGGCAACCACCTTACATCGATATCCCTCCAAACCGCCCTTTCGTCGTACAGCTCGATAAACTCCTGGTCCATGCTTCGACTCTTTGGCCAGCTGAACCTCCTATATTCGTCAAAGATGGTGGTGAGACTCCACTGCTGCAGCTTCCTCAAACACCCAATCAAGCATCCGGTCCGATGCTTTCCCTTGTTGCAGTGTATCAGCATAGGATGGTTGCGACGGTCCAAAATGGTGACCAGAGCAGCGGTGATCTTGTCCGTAGGGATCGAAACGAATGGCTCCTTGTTGCCCGGAATGCCAAACTGGAAAAAGGTGATGCCGTTGGTGTCGAGGAAGGTCGAGTTGGTCTCGGGGTACTCTTCGAGGATGAGCGTCAGAACAGAACGCAGGCCAAGAGTGCGGAGGAAGGGAAAATGCTTCTTTTTGGGGAAGGAGGAGCGGTAGACGTGCGAGTTGACCATGGCAAAGTTGTCCGGTGGGAGGAGGTCTTCTTGGAAGTCGGGAGGCGGGTTTGGGGCTGAGTTCGTAGATGCGCCATTGAGTGCAGGTTGGGCGAAGGGGACGATGCGCGGTACTGATGGGGCTGTTGCACCGTTGCTCGCTGTTGCGGGCATTGCCTTGATGGAATTTGATATTGATGCTGCCGACTGCTTCGCGTCCGATTCGAGCTGGGACGAAGTCGTGGATGTGATGGGTGCTGAGAAAGCTCCATTGAGCGATGCGGGGGAGCCGCTGCGTGGGAATGACTCCATGGTCGAAGTCGAGGCGGTCTTGGGTGAGGTGACGCGTGACAGGGGAGAAGACCCAGAACCGAATAGTGACGTCGAGGCCGAAGATGAGGAGCTTGCCTTCTGGCTGCCGTTGAGACTGCTCATGGAAGCTGACGCAATCGAGGCCGCCGTGTTCTGACGCTTCTTAGTAGAAGATGCGTTGAGACCGCCCGTCTTGCTGGAAAAGGCATCGTCCGGCACCAACGGAATGCCCGCAGACCTCAGCTGCGGATACGCCGAAAGCTGTGAGAACCACGGAAGCTCTTCCTCGACATCGGTCTTGTCGGATGCTGCCGAACGGGAGCTGAAGGTGCTCGATGAGCTGACTGAGTCCGACGTGGCTTGACCTGCGTCGGATGCCCCCGAGGCTTCAGCCAATGTGCTGGCAGTCTCGCGAAGATTGAGTCCATTCTGCACGGCCGTTATGGCACCGTCGCCAGCTTGAACCGTTATCGAATCCAGTGAGCCATCGTGATTGGACACCGAGGTCGCAGCGAGTGATTTGCTGACCTCTTCCATGCTCTGTCCTTCTTCGAAGTCATCCTCGGTCCGAATACGATGCTCGCTGAGGATGCGCTGCAAGAAGGCGTACGGCCTCGGCTGGTTCTGACGTGGGATCGTGGGGTTGCGTCGGCAGTAAAAGTTGGGGATGTCTTCCGACGCCTCGAGCTCGCCATCCTTGTCTTTCTTCTTGTCCTTGTCCTTGCCCATCGTGTACAGAGGCGTTTCGGTGGTGAAGAGCCCGCGAGCACAAGGCTGAGCTCCAAGATGCTGGTCGGAAGTTGCCGGCGTTGATGGCAAGCTGAGTCCGTGACCGTGGACAAAGCGCTCCGAGTCCCGGCATGTGGAGCGAGCTGCAGGGTTCGAGGTTGCTTTTTTTTTGTGGCCAGAATTTCGCGTGTGAATTTTGTGTGTCAAAAGAGCTGCAAGCCCTCGATCTCCTGCCACCATCACAGGCTCATCCGATAGCATCTTTCGAATCGCAGGGCAAGATGGCACAAGGATTCAAACCAGCAAAGCCGAAGAAGGCGGCCGCATCGCCAAAGTCCAACTCCAGGACAAAGACCGGTCCTAAGCGCGGCCGTAAGTAACTTCTAAAGGTCGTGGGCGATGTCATGCTCGACAGACGGTCTTACTCACCAATATCTATCTTCGTCTCGCATTCCTCCTCGCTCTTGACTATACAGCTCGAGTCATTGCACCAAGGAAGGCGGCAGCAGTGCGTACCGCCAAGACAAAGCAAAAGCAGACGGCCTCCATCACAGCGAGGATCGAGCAAGAAATGGTCGGCCGCGCGTCGAAGGGCGGACCCCTCACCATCATGAAGAAGGCCGCAGACGGTGATGCAGACGACAAGAAGAAGAACCTCAACAAGAAGTAGAAGTCCCGGACACTCCTTGCCACCATCTCGCATTCACCGTTCCTCCACGACGACATCTCCTCGCCCAGCATCGACACAACCTTGTACTTATAGTCCCTTCCCGACAGCCCATCTTGACATCCGCGCATTCATAATTCTGCGGCTGCTGATGAGCAGTACCGCTCCCGCTTCAATGACCCATTTCTGCTCCAAAGTGAGCGCTGGGAGCATATATAAGGCTGCTGATGCTGATGACGAGGGCTCAGTATTGCGAGCTGTTAGACCGCACTTAGCCCAAAAGTCACGTGATCAAAAACGACGCGAAAATAAACACTCTGGGCTCAGCGCTTGAGTGCAACACTTTTTCTGCCGTTGGCCAAGCGACATTTTGAAAGCAGCAGCTCAGCAGCCAAACACGCGCTCTCTCGACGGCCAAAGACACGTTTGAGCTGCGCCCCCTCCGCCGCGAGCCAAAAAAGAGAAGCGACTCAGCCGGCAGACCAACACTCTCAGGGCGCAGCAGACTCGAGATGAAGCAGATGCAACGCGCAGTCGCTCATCCGCCTCGTCGGGATCATCATCTTTGCTGATCGTCAGCTCTACCATCTCATCAAGTCACGCGTCTTTCGCGAGTATCGAAGTCGAGCAATCCGATCTCGGTGCTGAGTCCGTGTTCAGCGCGCTCACACCTTGGCCACATTCGACGAACTCCAGCTCTACAAGTAGGATACAGTCTCTCCACGACTTTACGCAAGAGGTGAAGCATCAGCTCGACCATCATGCCTTCCCGACACTCTGAATCGTCGTCCTCCAGAGCACCGCTGGAGGAATCACGAGTAGCCAATCGATCCATCTCGGCTTCTTTTGCCGGTACCAAAGCTTCTCTCTCCAGCAAATCGTCATCTACCTCGAGAAAGAGTTCATCTTCAGGTCACTCCAGCTCAAAGTCATCCAATGCTCGATCTGCATCCGGCAAACATCGAGGTCGCTTCGATGATGACGATGACATTGCAGAAGAGGAGGACGAAGACGACGATGGCGACGATTACGATGAAGACAACGAAAACAATCACCGTCAGAGCAATGCACGCAAGCCGTCCGGCGCCCAATCAAAGTCCACATCTAGGCCTCCCTCGGCGCCATCCAGTCGACAACCCTCTGCATCCCACAATGCCAACCGCTCCGTCCTCGCGCGCAGCAACCCCAACGCATCTGTCATGATGGGCGGCGCCGCACACACATCCGTCGCTTTCCAGAACTCGCGCGTCGCAGCGCTCGCCAGATCGCACGCAGTCGTTGACGCTTCCTCCATCATGCGTCCTCGCGGTCAGGCTGCTCATCCAGCAGCCAACGGAGCCTCCGGCAGCACCGACCCTAAAGGCGCGACCCCCGCATCCGCATCCTTGCGCGTGGACACTTCGAGCTTCGAAGAGTGGATGAAGATGGCTACCGACAACAAGATCAACTCTACCAACACCTGGTCTTTCGCCCTCATCGACTACTTCCATGACATGTCGCTCCTCCGTAACGAGGGTGGTGATGGCAGCATCAACTTCCAAAAGGCTTCCTGCACCCTGGACGGATGTGTCAAAGTTTGGACCTCGCGCGTCGACTCGGTCGTCGTTGAAACCGGAAAGCTTCTCTCTGGTCTGCAAGACGACATTGACCAGGCAACTCGCAAAGACAAGCGCGGCGGCGAAGAAGGTGACGAGGATGATGCTGATGATGACGGCGACGAGGATGGTCCGGGCAGCTCAACAAGAAAGCGCAAGAGGAACAAGGAAGCTACCCTTGCCAAGACATTCGGTCACATCCAGATCAAGAAGTTCGAGCTCGAGTTCACTGTCGACCCTCTGTTCAAGAAGACGTCGGCTGATTTCGACGAGGGTGGCGCCAGCGGTCTCCTGATGAACCACTTGGGCGTCGATTCTTCGATGGCTGTCATCTTTGACGCCAGTGACGTCGCAGGCGTTGGCGGCGACGAGGACATGGCCAAGACGCTTGCCAATGGCGAAGACGAAGATGCTGACGAGGAGGACGAAGCTCCCACCCCCGCTGCCGCCCGCGAAGGTGAGGACGAGCTGATCGACCTCTCCAAGCTTACCTCCAAATGGCTCGACTCGAGCGAATTTGGCGCCAACGATGCAGAGGACGTCGCTTCGCTGCTCTCGCGCCGTGTCTTGTGTCCAACGCTTTGCAACTTCCGCTTCTCCAAGGACGACGACACGCCTTTCGGTGTCGGTCTTGAAGAGTTCAATCAACAGACCTTCCACACCGCCACTCACACGGACAAATACTTTGACTCGCAAGCCGGCAGCGGTATGCGTGCTCCGTCGGAAGAATTCATCGGCGGAGGCTTCGATGACGCAAATCCGATGATGGATGGCGGTGACGCCGACGGCGACTTCTTCCAGACCGACTTGAACGGTGCTGGCGATGATGGTGATGATGATGGTAACGACTTTTTCGACGCTCTCGACACGGCGCCTGCCTTCCACCACGGCGGTCCAGTTGTGCTCGACGGCACCACAGGAGGCGTGGACAACTATGGTCCGTTTGACCCTTCTGCCGGTCCTTCGTCCGAGCTCGTCATGGCCATGGCTTTCAACCCCTCCACAGGCATGCCAATAGACGGTGCTGACGGCGAGAACGGTAGCGACCTCTTTGACTACTTTGACCGACGCCTCATGCGCAACTGGGCCGGTCCAGAGCACTGGAAGCTGTCGCGTGTGGCCACTACCGGGCCTCTGGCGCTTGGTGCTGCAACTGGGGCTGCAGCTCAGGCGGCAGCAGCTGCTCGCAAGGAAGCCAAGAGGAGCAAGGAACCTTTCGTCATTGATTTCTTGTCAGAAGAGGGCGCCGTCAACGCCAAGGAGATCTTTGAGCCCGCCAAACAGGCTGCTGCCATCACTTTGCCCAACAGCGTTCGCAACAAGATGGCGAATCTCGCAGCGTCGTCTTCGGACGCTTACTTGCTGCCCGAGGATCGTCACTTCAGCTCGAAGCAGCTCTTACGACTCTTCTTGAAGCCCAGAGTGGCCATCAACATGCGCTACAAGGGTCAGCAGGGAAGCGGCTTCGGCGGCGATGCCCAACTCTGGGCCGATGTTGCGGGCGATGCCGGCGACGACATGGATGCTGCGGATGGAGGCATGCCCTTTGACACTCAATTCTTCCACGATGGTGACGACGGCTTTGATGCCAACGGAGGTGGCATGGGCGGCCTCGATGACATGCCAGCAAACGTCACCGCCAGCGGCGATGCGGAGGACGAGGAGCTCACACAGACACTGCAAGCGCTCAACCGAGTCAAACCCGAGTACGTCAACTACGCAAAGAAGGCGAAGCGAGTCGACGTCAAGAAGCTCAAGGAGAATATTTGGAAAGAGCTCGGCATCCTTGCTTCGACAGAGGATCCCGCTTCTCTTGCGGCGAAAGCTGCTGCCGCTGCGAATGGCGAAGAGGACGGAGACGAATCGATGGCATCGACCATCGCCGAAGCAGCAGGCAACGTCAAGACGTTCGAGTCGGTCCTGTGCGGCTTGCAGAAGGCATACCCTCAGGACCGAATGGAGGAGATCTCGACCTCGTTCTGCTTCATCTGCTTGTTGCACCTTGCCAACGAAGAAGGCCTGGCGATCAGCACGGGATCCGAAGACAAGATCGAGGCGCTGCGTGCCAAGCGTGGTCGCAACAGCACCACGCCGACCAAGGGCGATGGCGCTGGTGGGCTCTTTGGCCGTCTTGCTGCCGGCAAGGTCATGCGCACGAGCAGCGAAGATGATGACTTGGGTGGTGAAGACGAGGATGGGGCGCCAGTGGAGGGCGAGGAGGGCTACGAGGAGGACGAGCTGCGCGTCGGCAGACTGTCGTCATTAAAGATCATGAAGGACCCCAAGGCGTACCGCTCAGCATAACACAGCAATCTTTGTACTCTATATCGTCCGATCGTGTATTGCCCGTCCACTCTTTCACGCAGACATGGTATCCAGTTGTAACACCTTTCTACCCTACAAACCCCATCCTCGACTGTGCCGTTCAAAACCCTAACGGGTTGACGCTGCCCCCCTGATCTGTCGGCAACTGCCCCATCTCCCTCTGCAGCCACCACTCTGCATCCCAACCATCGAAGACCAGTCCCAGTTCCCTCTTCGCGCTCTCCTGCCCATCACTCCCGTGGAAACCATTCCTCGTATCACCCAGTCCATACCGGGCCCTTAGACAACTCTCGTCCGTGTACTTGCCCTTATACGCCTTTGTCGGGCCCAACATGCGCCTCCACTCCTTCACTGCGCCTGGTCCGCATAGCGCCAAGGCCAACGATGGACCGGAGATCATACCGAGAATGAGACGGTCGTAGTAGAACCGCCCACGGTGCTCGGCGTAGAACGCGTGCGCATCGGCGGACGTCCAGAACAACCGACGAGATCGCGCGATCGAAAGGCCGGAAGTTTTGATCGAGCGCAGGATGGTGGATATGTCGGGCTGATAGGCGCATACGGAGGGTTTGAGGAGGGCGAGGGTGAGTTCCAGAGGTGGACGGGAGGCGGTGGAGGAGCTTCGGGCGGGTGAGAGGGCCGGGGTGCGCGAAGAGGCGATGAGCGATGGCCCAGAGTGGCCTGCGATGAGACCCGCCGCAGTACGCCTCGAAGTGCTTGCTATCGTGCTCATCGTGAGCCAGGTGGTCCCGACAGAGTTGTATGACGCTGAGAGTCAAGACTGTTGAGGTCGAGGAGGTGGAGGATGATTGCGGGGCGAGGAAGAGATGATACGTGATTATGTAATTCCATGTCGAAGGCTCGGCTGTCGGACGCGCCTTTGGTACCCCACGGCGATGATGGACTTGTTCCTAGCTTCTCAACTTCATTTCCCACACCACCATCTTTGTTTTTGGCTTTCGTTACAACCCCCGCGTTCCGGCTTCGCAGCATCCCCTTGACGCGTGCAGACCATCCGCGTCAATCCGCAACTATCTGCTCCGACTTCTGAGGCACGTCGGACAACCACAGCTCGCAACCCGCCATATACCCTGCATTCGATACCCGGCAAACCGACACAGATTCGCATAGAAGGCATCCGCGAGAATGGCTACCACCGCCTCGGTGTACAACACCTCACGCACAACGCGCCAGATTCTTCGGCGGCATCGCAAAGACAAGCCTTCTCTCATCCTCCACCTGCACAACCACCACTTCCGGTTCGAGCGCCAAAATGGCATGTTCCTCTTCGACTCGCCCGTCAAGGCCTTTCTCGGGTACATCCGGGATCAGAAGGTGCCGGCGGATCTGATCGATGTGCTGACCGACTCAGGGGTGCAATTCTTTGAAGGGTGTCTTTTGGTGGACGTGCACGATCACCGGAGTCATGCCGCTGCGTCGGCGTCGATATTGGGCCCACGGGAGCTGCACAGCATGAGTGCGGCGGGGACACTGGCGAGAGGCGATCGCGATGCTTCCGGAGGAGCCATAGGGGAGGGCGCACTAGCATCGACTCTCTTCTACCTTCAAGAAGGCGGTCGCTACGGAGCACGCAAGCTTCTCGGCGGCGCATCCTCTTCCGACCCGCGCACGGGCGGTCTCGGAGGCGTCGAGATCTACCGCATCGTCCTTCACCCCAGCTCGGAGACCCTGTGGGCCGACATCAAGATGCTCGACGATTTTGCGGGGGGGATGTGGAGCGATCAAGAAGCGCTCGAAGTCGAGGCGAAGATCCTTGCGCTCACGGCACCACCTTTGTGCCTCACGCCCGACCCACAGGCGACGCGCATCGCCAACCTCATGCTCTCCTCCACCGCCCTGCCTTCGGCATACACCCCGTCGCAGGACTCGCCCTTCCGCTCAGCCCGAAAGCGTGGAGCAAACTCGATCGAGATGGAGAAGGAGGAGGCCAACCGGCAGAGGCGGGAGAAGATCATGCGGTTGATGCAGCATGGACACAAGGGTGTGGTGCCACCCTCTGGACCGGCGATGGGCGAAGGCGGACCGGCCAGCGCCGCTGCAGCGACAGCGTTCGTGCCGACGTTCGACAGGATGACGTTCATCGAGCGGTGGAGGATTGGGAGGAATGCCGCGCTCAACGGCGCTCCCCTTGGCGCGCCCGCTCCCGGTGCGGCAAGCGCAAGCGCCAACGGCACGGCGCCGGCAAAGGGCAAGGACACCAAGCCGGCCGAGAACGACGCCGATACAAGCACCGCCAAGAAGCCGACCAAGAAGAAGAAGAAGGCGCAGCGGGAGAAGGAGGAGGCAGAAGCAGCTGCGGCGGCCGAAGCGGCCAAGAAGAAGGCGGAAGAAGAAGCTGCTGCCGCAGCGACAGCGAAGAAGCCCAAGAAGAAGATGACCAAGAAGGAGCGCGAGGAGAAGGAACGCAGAGAAAAGGAGGAGAAGGAGAAAGCGGAGAAGGAGGAGAAGGAACGGAAGGAGAAAGAAGCCGCTGCTGCAGCGGCTGCGAATGGAAAAGCGAAACCGAAGAGCAAGAAGAAGCAGAAGGAAGAGGCTGCTGCTGCCGCTGCCGCCGCAGCAGCCGCAGCAGCGAGTGCGGAAGCAGCCTCCAAAGCCACAGCCAAGAAGGACGCACCTGGCAGTCCCGAGAAAGACAAGAAGGCATCACCCAAGAAGACGGCGGGCAAGAAGCCCGTCACTACCACACCCGCCACCCCTGCCAGTGGCAAGAAGAAGACTCCAGCAAAGAGCGACAAGAAAGTGCCCAACACCGCCGTGCCGCCAACGGGAAGCACCGACACACCCGTCCTGGCCAACGCGACAATACAAACGCCCGTGCTCAACAGCGCCACGCCATCCGTTCAAAATACGCCCACACCCGCACACCGCGCCATCCCCACACCCCAACTCCAGCAGCAGGCGCAGATGCAACAGCTCACCCAACAGCAGCTCCAACAGGCTGCCCTGGCGGGTATGTTCCCAGGTATGAACCAGATGCCCTTCAACACGCCGCAAGCAAACGCCGGTGGGTTTGGAGCGGGGATGCAAATGATGAACTTCCCCCCGACGAGCAATCCGCAGGCGACGGCGGCTGCGTTGGCTGCGATGCAGGGCATGGGTCTCGGTCAGTTCGGTGGGAATGCAGGGATGAATTTTGCAGGAGGAAATGCGGCGCAGATGCAGCAGATGATGCAGATGATGCAGGCGAATGGGATGGGGTTCGGGATGAACGGGTTTCAGCCGCAAGGCCAGCAAGGGCAACAGCAGGGTCAGCAGCAGGGACAACAGGGTCAGCAGGGTCAGAGTGGAGATATGCCGGTGGGCGTCGGACTGGGCGGGCTGGCGAATTGGGGTACGGGCAAGTAGATTTGTACGAATCGATGTGTGAAGGTCTAGCGCGCGGTGGTACCGCCGTCGATAGGAAGGATGCTTCCTGTGCACCAGGGGGCGTCCCTCGCAAAGAACCTGCCAATGCAAAAGTCGCAAGGTCAGCAATCAACTTCGTATCATCTTCTTCGAAATCGTAAAGCACTCACATGACACCGTTTGCGACATCCCTCGCCGATCCCTGGTGGGGCCAGTAGGTGCGACGCTGATCGGCCAACTCTGGCGTGATCTCAGCGACCATTGCTGTCCCCGCGAGGTATCCGGGCGCGATGGCATTGATGTTGATCCTGTGCGGCGCGTAATCGCATGCCACCTGGCGGGTGAGATTCACGACAGCTCCCTTACTCGCGCAGTAGGCTGGTTCCGAAGGTCCCCCGATGAGACCGTGGATGGAAGCGATCTGCACGATGCTTCCCCTTGAACCCCTTGCGCCTTTGTCCCCCGCCAATCGACCCGCAGTGGTATTAGGTGAGCCAGCCTGTGCGGTGTACGCAGCCCGCAGCGGTACCGAGGGGGGCACGTCGCTGAAGCTGTCCAGATCCTCCTCGAGGTCTGCAGGGAACGGGATCGGTTCCTGCGTCATCATCTGTTGGATCGCCAGCTTGGTGCCTAGCCAAACGCCCTTGATGTTGATCTGCATCATGCGGTCGAGCACGTCGACCGACTCGTGCTCGATTCCGCCGGAAAAGTGGGTGATGCCAGCATTGTTGACGAGGATGTCCAGCCTGTTCTTGCCGCCAAAGGTGACGCTTTCGGCGATGGCGGAACGAAAGTCGGATTCGGAGGTGACGTTGAGGGGATGGAAGGCGGCGTGACCGCCGAGAGACGTGATGAGGTCGTGCGTGGGAACATGGCGTGAGCCTTCGGAGGGGACCTTGGCCGCGCCGAGAGGTTCGGGTTGAAGGTCGGTGCAGAGAACGCTGGCACCGGCGCGCGCGAGGTGGAGCGCAGTTTGGCGGCCGATGCCGGAGGAAGAGCCGGTGATGAGTGCGGTGCGCCCGACGAGGCTGAGCGAGGGTGGGAGGGATTTGGCGAACTGGGCGAACGACATTGTTGGCTGTACGCGGAGGCGAGTTCAGAGGAGGTAAGGATGGCGGTGGTAGGGTGAGAAGGCGCACCCACGATCGAATCGAGAAACGCAAGAGCAGCCGTCGTCGGTCCAGCCGAGCGCTGCTGATTCAGAGCTTCTCACGGCCTTCGCGGGACACCCGAGTCAAAGCCTTCAGGTCACATGTTATCTTCGGTTCAAGAAAGCGGAAGAGCCGCGGCCGACCGCAGCTTCACCGTAGATGTCACAGCGCGCTTTTGTTATGATTTGCTTTTGTGGTCCGAGAACACGCAAGCTGCGGCCTGATGAAGGGAGGGACGCAAGCAGGGAAAGGGGGCGAAGGAGGGCTTGGACCACCCTCATCACGGCCATTTCCCCACGTCGTCCACCGCCATATGGCCGGCGTCCACCTCGCTTGCGTAGAAGCCCTGGCGGGCTCGGCGCAGCAAAGTCGCCGAAAGAACCCTCGACAGGGTCTCGTGCCGATTTGGCTACTGTCGCTCTTGAGATCTGCACGATTTCGATCTTAATTGTGCTGTTCTGGAATGTGAGATCAGCGCCTTGATAGGCTGGATGTCAAGACGAAATTGAGGAGCTCCTGCAGCCGAACCCAGAGCTGATCGACTCGGCATCTGACCACGGGTCTCTCTCTCTATTTTCCTATGCCGGGCGACGTACCAGAGGAGCAGGCCACATGGGCTCTGCTTCGGTATTCATCATACAGGCACACACGGCTCCGGTGTCGTAGCTTGGATGAACCTCATCCGCCCGGGTGGCATGACCATTCCTTGTTCGTAAAGGATCGTCGATCGAGCTGCTGCTGGTATGCAGGGAATGCAACCTGCTCACAGAAGGTGAATCAATTTTGCGCTTCAAGGTTAGTCGATTCTGCAGCTGTGCGCGGGGGACAAGCAAAGCGGATGCAGCAGAATAATGGGAGTGCCTTTTTACGGCGTCGAAAGGCAAATGAGAAAGAGAGGCAGAGCGGAAGCGGGTTGACACACTTGGCGGATCTGAGTGCTTTGTTCCATCTTGATCTTAGCCACCACCTTCCATCGCTACATTCCCCCGCTTCATCACCATCTCTTCTCTCTCTCTTCTCGTATCTTCTCTTGCCGCTTTTGTATCTAGAGGTGATCTCTGCGGTGCTACCTTGAGATTCTGCCGTGCCTTTGCGTTCCGAGATCGCGTGTTCGATCTTTGTCGTACAGCCACTTGGTAGCAGCTCTGACTCCAGCTGTAGCACGACTCTGCTGCAGTGCGGTTGATCACGAGCCTCTCCCTCATACGTCGTCTGGAGTAGGATCATCGCATCTCTTGCTCGACGTGACCCTTGCTTTGCGCAGCAGAGATTTACCGCTTGGTGACTTTTCGCTGTAGCGATTGCGGCGCGACTCGCTCACCTCACCCTGCGTCGCATCATCCGACCGACCGACCGACCGACGGACCCTTTTGGCTCGCCTCGCCTCAGCCACGCCTCCGCTCGCATCTCTCTTTGCCCTTCCGCCGCCGTCTCTGCTCTGCTCCTTTCTCGACCAATTCCCAATTCAAACAAATCGGCTTCCACCAACTCGGAAACTGAAAAATCGCCCGCTTCGCCTCGCCTCGCCCCGCCCACCTCTTTGCTAGGCTCAGCTGTGCCTTGGCTTCGCTTCGACCTCTTTTTACTCCGCGACGCTACGCAGCCAAACGCATCAAGCATTAAAAAGGGGGTTTTAGTTTTATTTTTAAAACCCTTCTTCTTTTGCTTTGACAGTCGACAGAGCGGAGCCCTGTGTCTGAGACAGCCGAACAGCTGCCTCTGTCATTGTCCTTCTTGCCTGTTCATCACTTGCTGTCATAGCGGGTGATTTTCGAGACGGTGGTTTGGTGATTCCTTCTCGCTGTTGGGTCACTTCTGACTCCGATCTCGTTCCGAAGTCTTCGCCTGCCTGCCTCAGCATCAAGCGTCTTTCGCGGCGGCTTGCGCGTGTCACTCTCTGCACTGCACTCTGCATCTCACCGCAGCAGCCCGCAAATCTCGAATGCGCTCTCCCACATCTCCAACTCCATCATCTCCACACAAAATTGATTCCGCTTCTTCCTCGTCGTCACCATCCTCCCCTTTGTACTCGACACAGCCGCATTCTGCGGACATACCCCACACAGATGCGGCACAACCCACACCTTCCGCCATAGCTTCCTCTTCCTCCTCTCTTCCCCCTTCCGCGTCGGTCGATGCTCCGTCCGCTTCGCTGGTAGCACCACGTGCCTTAACATCGTCGTCCCCATCGCCGACATTGCCGGCACCTCATGCTGCACAAGTGGACACGAAGTCAACTATGACGGACGCGGAGGGTTGTCCCGAGCCGCGCGGAGACGATCCGTCGATAGCTGTGATCGCAACGCCCACCCAGGATCACGACGCGGCACAACCAAAAAGTTCGGTGCCGTCATTGATACCAACAGAGCTCCGAGCGAATTATAATGACGACTCCGCATCTCACGCACCTTCCACTGCGGGTCCTTCCGCATTACCGTCGACGAGAACGAGCCCAGGCGCACATACCCCCACGCCGACCCTCACCGTCAGCGCACTACAGCTCGCTTCTGAGGCCCTCTCCACCATCCCGGCATCCCATCCCCACGCCGACTCGGTCCCTTCTGCCGCTGCTGATCTCCTCATCGCGATCCATCGCAAACACAAAAAGGCACCCGCTGTCCAAAGCCCACGTCCCGGCTCCATTCGCTCTCGCAGCGCCGCAACCACCCCGGTCCCTTCTCCACGCCTGCTAAACGCGAAGCATGGCACCTTCGATGCCACCGCCAACTCCTCGCGCGCAACCACTCCAAATCGCACTCCTTCCGGACGGGCAAAGCGTCAGAGGCGCGAACGCCATCTCGGCACTCCCACTCCTTCCACACTCGCCTTGCCCAGCATCGAGCAGAATGACCGAAGGAGATCCGCCCGAGTCGCTCAGACCGCCACTGTCAGCACTTCCGATTCGCCCTCCATGCCCAACCTCGCGCTGTTCGGCTTTTCGCCGTACCTAGAGAATCTGGTCATGAATGCAAAGGAGACCGATCGACGCACTCGTTCGGGAGGCCGAGGTATTCGACCACCCGTCGAACGCGCTCCCGCTAGAGTCAAGCGCGCCACAGCCAAGACCAAGAGCAAAGACACCGACCCTGATGGCCCAGACGATGAGGTCAAGCTAGAGTAAGTATCACGCACGAGGCCCTTGTCATCTTCATTTCGTCGACAGACCATTGACTTGGAGCGTCTTGCTCTCGTCCTCCCTATCTAGGCTATACCGTGAGCTATGCATCATCTCCTACCAGCTGCAGGCCCATCTCGACATGGTGCCCCACAAGCCGCTTCATCAGCTTCGCGCGCAGTTCAGTACTCCGTCCCCCGAGGCCGACGACGGAATGGCCGAAGCCAAACTGGCTCAGGCAGGCCATGCATCGGCGACACATGGCCCTTCCACCGATCCAAGTCGTGCGGCTACACCAGCTCTCTACGACCAAAAGTACGAGCCGCATTCACTCCCCGCTTATTCGCACCCCACCCTCGTCAAAGCAGAGCCTCCTCATTCTCCTCGGCTCTCCCTACACGAGCCTCAGCAGTCGCGACCGCCCTACTCGCCGGAATCCTCCCCGGAAGTAGCGCTCATGGACACCGTCAGGCCACCTCCCAATGGCGTCCACCATCATCACCCGGCCTACCCACATTTCAGCGGCAACGGGTACCAGCCCGAGCCCGCCCCTTGCGCTGCAAAGATCGAATATCTAGAGGACGATCCCATGTCGCCCGTCTTCCGACCCGCTCGTTCCAACATCATGTCCATCTCCGCACTCATGAGCGGCCCGAGCCCGGCAAAGCAGCCGTCGCCATCGCCAGAGCCCATCCAGACGCCGCCGAGACCCGTCGAATCGCTGCCCAAGCTGATGCAGGAATGGACGTACGAAGACGAGATGGCCTCCCAGTTCTTGCAGGCCTGCTTCGACGCTGCGCCTAAAATCGACACCACCGAGCTTGACCGCCTGACGCAGATCGCGCAACTCGCCGCCTTCGACCTAGAGATGCTCTCCGCGTCCTCGTCACCGCGCAGCACGACGCCTTCCCTCTTGTCGCCCAACACAGAGCAGAAACGTGACGAAGCGGCCGCCAAATCCGACCCAAGACGGCTCAACCCGCTCGACACGCTCGACACACAAGCCCTATACGACCGGGAAGAAGCGGAGTACCACGAAGAAACGCAAGCCAACGACGAGCTGTACTCTACCGTCCAGTACCTGTCCAGCTTCGACCAAGTCGTCGACGAATGGCGAGCAGGCGAGCTCGCGCGTCTCCGCCTGCAGCTTGAGATGCGCAAAGCCGAAGTGGACCGCATTTGGACGTGCGATCGCAAGCTTGCCTGGTCTACCTTCATCGACGATCGAGCGGGGGAGCTCTATCGTAAGGGCATGGCCAAGGCGAGTCGCAAGAGGTGGCAGGCGGAGATGGAGCTGGATCTGCTCGAAGTGCACCGCAGAAAAACGCGCGGACTGGCCAAGCTCACCAAGGGGCTTTTGGTGCCGAAGATCGAGGGTATGGACACCGCAGAGGTTGCCGAGTTATACGAGCGCCACGGCAGGTTTGTTTCGGCTGCCAAGTATCCCACGCTCGACGAGCCACTTGTGCGTGGGGACATTCGCAAGATGCGAATTGCCCTGCGAGCACATCAAAGGCAAGAGCGGCAGGCCCAGAAGGAAGCTGTACAGCTGGAGCAGTCGACGAGAGAGGCGCAAGAGCAGACCAACAGAGACACAGTCGATGGCATCGAAGTTGTCGTCGCCGATGCAGATGTGCCAACGGACGCCATCTCATCATCCGAGTCTGAAGAGGACAGCGACGACGACTACGACTCGGACTCGTCATATGCCTCTTCGGGCATCTCTTCGCTCCCCTCCTTCAGTTCCGCGTACAGCTCGCCGCGCGTGCCCAGCATCGCCGAAGCCGCTCTCGAAGTCTCGGACCTTGATGCGCTGGTCTCCGAAGTCGCCTCCGTACGCGACGACGATTCGGACGAGGATGCGGACGAGAGCCTGTGGGCGCGTCAGATCCGGCTCGCCAACCAGCTCGCAGAGCAAGGTATGGCACCCAGCGCCACCGCATCTGGCATCCAAACGCCCGCCGTCGCCGCGGGCGAAGCATCGACGATGCCAAGTCGAGCAGCGAGCCCCGCCCTGTCAGCCAAAGCCCAGGCGCGCAAGCAGCAGCGAGACCGAAAGCGCAAGAAGCGTCCACCTCCGCCCGGGGCGAGGCTGTGGAAGAAGGGTCGCGTGCAGCAGGATGCCGATGCCGAGCCTGCGGACGAGCCACCGCCGCAGCAAGTGGAGCAGGACCGCGATCCTTACCCAGAGCAAGATCGCGATCGCTATCCAGAACACGATCGCAGCTACCATCCGAACGGTCACCAGGCTCCGCAGAAGGAGGAGAGCAGACTGCCAAGCCCTCAACCGCACCAGGCAGCGATGCACTACGACTACCGGCGGGACGACTTTCCCCCACCGCAGGCGTACGAGCGAGCGTACGGCATGCGTCCATCCTACCTCCCCGCTCCAGGCGCGGACGAGTACGACTACGCCCGCTTCGATCCGTACGCCAGTGCAAGGTACGCGAACTATGCACCCACCTACCCGTCCTATGCACGCGATGGGTATGCGGGAGGTTCGCCCCCACCAGAGCGGGTGTACGTGCCGTCCTATGCGCAGTACGAGCAAGGCGGGTATCCGAGCCACCCACCACCGCCGCCTGCGCCGCAACAGCAGCAGCAAATTAGACCGTCATGGCCGTATTGAGGGCGGCACACACACACCACAACACGCACATTTGTACTTGTATCACACACACAATCAGACAGCATCGAAGACGTTGAGTCGCATTGCAGGAGATCTACTGAGCGCGAGCGAGAAGAAGCAGAAGGTGGGTCAGCGATCCAGCTCTTCTTCCGTTTCGTCGTTGGGTCGCACCGTCGTCGTCGGAGCCGGAGCCATCGCAAGAAGGGGGTAAGACGATAGATCAGACAAGGCTGAAACTTTTGAATGGTAAATTTGATTGTCCGCAAAGAATGTTAGGACTAACGAGATTCCTGTAGTCAAATGTTGTGTTCATCATTGGTATCGCTTTCCCCCTTTCCGCTATTGGCGCGGGTGTGCAGGGTCGGAGAAGGTGACGCTGTGCATGTTGCCGTGCAGGGGTGCGCAAACCGGGCGCGGGCTGCAGATGCGATGGCGGTCCGACGACGACGGTGGTTGCACTGCTGTGAGAAGTACTTACGAATGCCCATGGGATGGTGGTGGGAAGAGAAGAAGACCGAGAGCAAGGAACGGACTTTTTTTGGCGCCCGCCAGAGGACCCCTTCTGCAATTTTCGCTTTCGCCTCACACAGCAGTCGATCACGAGGCAACGAAAGTCCCAATATGTTAGACCGCATTCTTCGCACTGCACATACTCCTTCTCCTCGTCTCTTGGTCTCTCACAGAAGCCTGGTCAGTCGACTCTGCCATCTCTTTTCAGAAGCACGCATGGTCAACATGAACATCAATGCGAGGCTCGATCTTGATACGTTCTTGATGATGATCGATATCACTTCTTCCGCCCCTTTCCCTTCCTCGAGGCACCCGGCTTGGGCCGCATCTCAACATCCCCGCCCTGTGCCTCTCCACCCTCCTGATCCAGTTTATCCCTGGCCTGGACGAAGAACATCAGATCGCCCACTTGTTCCTGCAGATCCGTCACCTGAGCCTTCAAGCCCTCCTCACTCTCCTTTGTCTTCTCCAACCTTTCCATGAGACCCTTGTTCATTTCTCTCTCGCTGTGCAGCTCGCGCTCCAGCGTACGTGCCAGTTCGACGGCTTTTTCGGCCTTCCGATCGCTCCGCTCCTTCTCCTTGTCCAGCAGCTCGTTGCTGCGCTCCAACTGGGCGGTGCGCGCCGACAGCTCGTCAATCTGCTTCGATTTGAGGGTCAGCGCCGACAGCTCGCCAGTGAGAGTGGCGAGCGAAGATTGAAACTGGTCCAGCTTGTCTTCGTAAAAGTGACGTTGCGATTCGAGCTGCGAGGTGAGCAGGTAGGAGTACTCCATGCCGATCGCTTCAAGTTTCTCGTCTGTGCGGCTGGAGCTGGCGCCTCGGGCGGTGCCATCGTCGGACTGGGCGTGGTCGTCCTCGGGCGGGTGGTGGTGTGAAGTGTCGCCTCTGCTGAAGCTTGCTGGTGGCCCGGAATGCTTGGTGCCGCTCATAGACATGGCGGATGCATAGCTCGCCGAGGCAGGCAGCATTCTGGAGCGCTCTGGTGTAGCTGTGGCAGAGGAGGCAGAGGGCAGCTCAACCAGCTTGCCATCCTCCCTGTTCTGGATCAGTCGATGTACGTAGCCGTCGCCGGCATAATCCCATACGCGTTGCGTTTCCAGCTCGAGACTGTATAAGTGACCCGTCTCGTTGAAATGGCGATGAGCGTGGCCCTGCTTGTATCTCCCGCAGCCGACCGAAGCACACACAAGACAAACCCAAAGGTCCTGCTGCGTCTCGCAGACCGCACAGCAGCTGGGCTCGTCAGCGTCGCTTTCGGCATCCGAATCCGCGTCTACGCTGTCAGCGATGGTGCCGTTGCGCGAGGGAGTCGACGGGTCCATCGATGATCGAGGTGTTCTGCGTCGATGCTGTGCTGAAGGTTGACCAGTCTGGGAGTATCGACAGACGGGACAACGAGACTCTCCCCACTTCGACAGGCACGAGCAGTGAAACGTGTGCTGACACGAGATGGTCATGAGACCAGTCACTGAGCTATCCATGCGTTCGAGACACACTGGGCAGGTCGGTAGTTCGTGTGCTGGCTGGTTTGCCGTGTTTGTTGGAGGTCGAAGCGGCCATGGGTCCGAATTGGTCAGTGTCGGATAGCTGAAGGGCAGCGAGGTGTGTCTCGATACGGTGAGCGAGGTGATGTACACGACCTGACAGATTTCTTGTGGATCCATAGCGTTGAAAGGCTGACCGTTGAACATCTTGTGAAAGTCTTCGGCATCCTTTGCGTCGCGGAAGCGGATGAGGACCATGCATCGATTGGGATGCATATCTCGAACCATTCGAAGATGTGTGATGGCCTCGACAGCTGGCTCGATGTATGACAAGAAGTGGGACGCTGTGAGATGCGAAGGCACGGCAAGAACGGCTACGATCGCCCCAACGTCCTCATCCGGAATCTGATTCTCGAGCTCTGACCGACTCGAAGTCTGCGCATTGCGAGCTTTGGGTATTGGCGTTGATGTGGCCTCTTGCTTGTCTCGAAAAAGATGCACGATACCGAAAGCGACCTCGGTGGCGCCGATGGTCATGCCGTGGAACTGTTCCGTACATGATGCCAGGTTCTTATCCGTGTCGTTAGTTTTAGAGGCATCGCCCTCGAACGAGTCGGTCTTGTCGAATCTCGCCACCGGTAGCGCTACCTGCGGCTGTTTCGCGTGAAAGACGTGCTTCCTTCTCTGCGTCTTGTCTGGCCGGACCGCCGAAGCTGAAGCGGAGGCCACAGCTGCAGAGCTTGAGCTGGCATGCTGCAGGTGATTCTCTCCTGACATTGCCGAGCTGTGCGAGCGCTCAGCCCAGTCGATGCGAATAGGTCCAAAGCGAATATCGATGGGCGAGCCAAATGACTTGGAGGATCTGTCCTTTGAAAGGAAGCTGCGTTGAGCGCGACTAGACAATCCGTGTCCGCCTTGCAGCGCAGTATCCGGGAGAGAGCCAAAGATGTGATCGAGCGGGATCCGGTTGTCGCTCTGAAATGGCGCTGGGCCGAGCGCAGGGTCGGGGTGAAAGACAGAGAAGTGAACAGAATAGGTCTCTTCTTGGTCGCGAAAGAAAGCAGGCTTGGATGGAGCTGCCTTGCGAGCCTTTGATGGCATTCTGTACGCTTCCAGATGCCAGTGAAAGGGGCGTGCGTCGCTGATACCGCCGTCTCCCAGCTAACGCCGATTGTGTTGCGATACGAGACTGCGATACGAGACGGCGAGTCCCTGGAGTTGCGTGGTGTGAAGGTGCTGCCCAGTATAGAAGCTCGCAGTCTGCTTCAAGCACCGGCTGCTGTGGATAAGACAGGATCTTGTCCTGAATGGTGCAGTCGTCAGCGCTCTCAAAGATGTCACAAGGGTGCGGCGAGGGAGCCGGTGGTGGGAGCAGTCCGCACTCGACGCTCAGCGTCAATGCGCAGCAAAATGACAGCTGGACCCTGAATTGTCCTCATCACGTGACGTCCGAAGGTGCTAAACGCGGTGTTCAAAGGCGGCTAATTTTGACAGGCGAGCGTGTTGTGGCGCCTTGGCTTCAGCACTGTTTGCGCACAGAAGCGCCTCGTCCGACCTTGGCATGTCCTCGTTGACGTTCACCGTCGACGTGGACACAACGGATGGGCACGTTTGAAGGCAAGCGGAGCAGGTCTGTCCGCTCAACGTGATATGCTGGGATGCTCAGACTGGGATACTCAGACTTCAGTCGCGTCTGAGACCCACTGAAGTGGGATCGAGCGAGACTTAATCACGTCTGAACAGTTTGCCTAGCTCGTTCTCATCCTACGTTTGTACGACTACCATTAGACCAGTCAAACCTCACCAGAAGAGGCACTCTCTGCAAGTCTATTGACGGAAGGCGGATACAGGCGGATGAAATCTGCAGAGAGGTCGAACCCCGAGGATATGTCTCTCTGAGCCTTAATTCGGTGAGTGTCTGCTCCGAGCCACATGTACCCGCCAGGAGCGGGAAAATTTGCCCCACTCGGCCACTCAAGCACATGCAGTGTAGATCCTCACCAACACTAGCGAACCAGCAGCCGCTCTTGTGACCCTCATCCTGACATCATGCATCTCTGAAACCACTTGACCGACACTCGCTCAACTTTTGTCGCCTGCCCAGCCTCCCCGCTCTGGACTCAGCTGGCGAAGCTGAGGGCGACTTCTGGAACACGCTGATTCTAATGGGACGCCTACGAGTTCGACACTGCTGCCCTTTGTAGCACTTGGCTCTGCCAGCTGGACCCTTGACGATCGTTCCTCCTCCCTAGCTCAAGCGTGTATGCATACCCTTTCCTTCCTCCTCTAACTTCCTCGCTCCACCGTATGAGCAGCTAGCCCATCATGTCTCCGCCTATCATATCAGCATCCATCAACACACCCACACAATCACGGCAGCATCAGCAGGACCGCTTCAGCCCCGGTGCTTCGCGGCCAAACACCATGTCGCGCGCCCTGGATCTCGAGACCACCATCGAGGAGTGGGTCAATGTCCTCACATCTCCTCTCTCCACCCCCTCAGAGCGCATCAGCATCCTCAACGACATCGAAAAGACGCTCGTCACAGTCACTGATCCAAGCAGGAGCGCAACGGCATGTTTCTTGCCACCGGTCGATCAGTCGACGGCCATGTTTTGGGCATTGCAAGCGACTGCCGGGTACAGTCTGGCAGAAGTGCTGCTGGCATACGTCTACAGGCTGCATCTCGATCTCGAGCGGGAGAACGAGCTCTGCACTGCGTCGCAGGCCTCGTCGACGCCGACGGGAAGCTCGCACACCGTCTCTGACGTCCAACGTCAGCGTGTCCACCTCACCGTTACGGAACTCTGCATGTCCATCACCATCCTTCAAGGTCTCACGCTCTGCAGCAAGATCAGCAAAGGCATCACCCAACGCAAGTCGTCCCTCGAGCTTCTTCTGGCCATCACGCTTTCCGACTACTGCACGCAGCTCCTCCCGCCCATCCTCTCCCCCTCTTCACCCACCTCGTCCAGCTTCACTGCTCTTCCAGACTCGCCGCCGACCCCGACCGCCCCTTCTTCCTCCAAAGACCACCCGAGCGAGTCACCACTCAGCCTACCATCCGGATTCGCACTCGACCTGCTCATGTGCATCCTCGTCGACAGCCCGCTTGCCCAAGACCGTTTCGCAGACATGGGCGGCATTCATCAGATCGTTCAACTCTCCCACAAGTGCGCTGATACGGTCACCACACCCGCATCCACACCTGTCTCAGTGACCAGCCCAACCTTTGCACAGGCCGTAGCGAGGGGTTGCTACGTTACAGCTCTAAAGCAGACCGATCTGGGATGCTTGGAGTTCAGGTACTTCTGGTCGCAGCTTCAGGGCGAGAAGGAACGAAGAGGGAGTCAAGAGACTGTTTCAGCATCGACCAGTGTGGCTATTTCGGCAAGCACGAGTGTTGCGAGCGTGACGAGCGCAGCAAATGTGGCGGAAGAGGGAACGAGCACGCCCAAGGCGAGTCCGCGCAAACGTATCTCACGCGCGGATCTGAGGGCGCAGCGAAAGGCGGAGGAGGATAAAGCCGAAACACCGAGGGCGACGATTCGAAGACGAGCAGCACCACCGCCGTCGACGACGAGGGCGACGAGCGAAGAGGCTCCCACACGACCGAGCAGCTCGCGCACCGAGTCTGCAGGAGCAGTTGTAGGTGGGTCTCCTCGAAAGCTTCGGCACAGCACCTCGGTTGCGGAGCTGCGAAAGAAGCCGACCAGCTTGTCGAGGGCGGGAACCTCTCCACCTCCTCTCCCGCCCCTACCTGCTGCCGTGACCGAGTCGCCGATCACCTTCAAGGATCCCACCACGACGCGACGGGAGCGCTCGACCTCTCGACCGTCCACAGCGGAGAGCGGCACCTCCCTACCGCGGGAACGCGTTCGACGATCCACCGTCTCGGATGCCAGCCCTGACCCAGCCCCCAATTTCGATGACAGAGGGAGCGACTTTATCCCTTGCCGACCCGGCATGTCATCGCGCGATCGTCCGCGCATCCCTTCGCCACTCAAAGCGGCACCCGTCCAACCCGTCGACGATCGTCTGCGGTCCAAGTCGCAATTCATGCCCTCTCGTCGCCTGCGCGCATCCACCTCATCGACTCCATTCGACGTCGACGAGAACCGCAACCCCTTCATCTCGTCGACAGAAGTGGCAAGAAGCAGACAGTCGTCCGAAGCACCGCTCACACCGTCCACCAGCCAGCGAAGTAGCATGTCGAGTGCCAATTCGACTTCGTTCGCTGGTGAGAAGGGGAGGACCAGTATGTCCAGTGCCAGCTCCACCTCGTTCGGTGTCGAGAAGGGGAGGAGCAGTTTGAGTGGAAGCGGCGCAGGGATGAGGATCCCACCCAGTCCAGCGGTGAGAAGGGCCCAGCTGGCGAGAGCGAGGAGCTTGAGCCCGCAGAAGATGGGGCGGGCGCTCGTCGAGAGTGAGGAGTTCGGGAGCGACTTCTAGAGAAAGATGCTAGCCGTCATTGTCGGAATCGTCATCCAGTCTCAGTCTGTGTCCGCATTCGCAAATCAATATGTTTTCGCATTCGCAATCGATGGTGGATTATGTCGCCTCAGGCTCTCAAGCAGCCCCAGGGGATGTTGACTGAGGTTGAGGCTCGAAGTAGTACCACTACCGAGGCATTGGGTTTTGGTCGTCGAAAATTGGCCATGCGCTTGGGCGTCGGCGTACTCGGGTGTGCACCTAGCGACGGCTGCTGGGGTCGTAGGCCCCCTCGCACTGGACGGCAATGAAGCCGGGCAGGCGCATTGCACGTCGAATGGTGGTGTCAACATCGTCCTGAGGGACGTTGAATCGGATCTTGGAAGTGACCTTCATGCCGTCGATGATCCAATCACCGGATTTGATTGAGTCGATGCCCCGGATCAGCCCGGCCTCGTCCTGCAGCTGCTTCTTGATGCGCTGCGGACCGACGTGCAGAGTCAGCAGCTTGACCCATCTGTTGCGGTTCTGCTGGGAGGTCCGAGGAGCGTCAGGGAGCGATATAGCGGAGTAGCCTACGGTCATCTTTCCGTCAACATAGATCGATGCACAATGACCATGGACTAAGACGTCAGGGATCGATGGAGCAGAACTCTGCATGGTGATCTCTATGCTGTTGATCTGCTGAAGGCCGATACCGCCCGGAGGCATCTCGACCTTGTAGCGTGTCTCCTTCATCGTAGGTCGAGCTGTCGCGGATGGCTTTCGATTAGCTGAAGGACAGCTAGGAAGGAGGCTCGAGGAAGGAGGCTCGAGGTAGGACGGTCCGTGTCTACGGACAAGAGATGGGGAGGTGTGAGGAAGAGTAAGGGAGGAGAAGATGCGGGCGAGACCTCCTTATACAGTGAGTGCGGATCAGCGCAGAGTAAATCACCACGCGTAGCTGCACAAACGGGGCCTTTGAGGACCTTCAAGGGTTACGGAGCGGTCTTGCTTCTTTGTTCGGCTTTCCGCACGTGGATCTATCCGCACAATGCTTTGCCCCGCTTGACTTAAGTGCCTTGCAAGTTGGGAAGCCGTGCGATCCACGGACTTCATTTCACCGTAGAGCTTCACAAACCTTGAGTCGCTTTACATTCGAACAGATTGCTGATCGTAGACTCGGCACCGTCTGACAACGCGAATGGGAGTTCCAAGCACGCGAGGGACCTTCAGACTCTCACAGGCTAACATTACAATCGACCTACCTGGTGACTCACCCCGTGGGATAAGAGCTCCCGCGTGGCATGACAATGGGAAGGTCAGTTGCAATGCTAGGCTGCAAGAGCCCGAAAGCCTCCCGAAGTAGCGTTGCATATGAAGCGCCCACACGCGTCACCAAATTGCGGAGCACGATCAAATGAAATGACATTCCTTCGGCAAAATGCAACGAACAACACCATCTCGTGCGTTCTCTTTAGTTGCCACGGTTGACCTTGTACGTAGCGCCCTGTTCGGCCTCCTCGCCAAAGATATCGATGTCCCAGAACGGAACATATGTTTTTGGGACATTGAAGCGGACCTTGCCGAGCTCCTTGTAGAGGCTGGTGACCTTCTCGTAGTCCTCGTCCTTGAGTTCGAGCTGGTCGAAGTTGCTCTTGATCCTCGACTCGGTGACACTCTTGGGAATGACACTGTAGCCCCTCTTGACACCCCAAGCGACAAGAACCTGAGCAGGGTCGGCGTTGTACTTCTTGGCGACCTCGCTGACCTGAGGGTAATCCACAATCTTAGTCTTACCATTGAGGTTGTTGCCGAGCGGGGAGTATGCGGTCAGGTGGATGTTCTTCGACTTAGCGTAGGCGACAAGGTCGTCCTGGGGCAGCAAGGGGTGAGCCTCGATCTGGTTGACGGCGGGAGTGACACCGGTCGCGTTGATGACGGCGTCCAGGTCATCGGTGGTGAAATTCGAGACACCGATCGACTTGACCTTGCCCTCCTTCTGCAGCTTGACGAGAGCCTTCCACGTGTCGACGATCGAGGTCTGGCGGTCGAGTGCGGCCTGCTTGCCGTCCTCCGACTTGGGGACGAGGTCCTTGCCGTCCTTGAAGGCTACAGGCCAGTGGATCAGATACAGATCGAGGTATTCGAGTCCGAGCTCCTGCAATGTCTCGTTATAGGCCGCCTCGACAAGCTCAGGCTTGTGAGCATTGTTCCAAAGCTTCGACGTGACGAAGAGATCTTCGCGCTTGACCACTGATGGGATCGTCTTCTTAAACGCTTCGCCAACCTCGGTTGAATTTTGGTAGATGAGTGCACAGTCTACGGGGTTGATGGTGATAGACGGTCAATGATGGTTTCGAGAAGGTATATAGATGATGCGCGAACTTACCAATGTGACGATAGCCAGCCTTGATGGCGACTTCGACGGCGTTTGCGACCTCTCCGGGCTTGGAGAGCCAGGTGCCGAGACCAATCTGGGGGATTTTGTTGCCGTCGTTGAGAGTGAGAGTCTTGTTGAGCGACATGATTGCGATATGATGATGGGAGGATGTGTCTAGGAGAAAAGAGGCTGGTGGACACGGTTATATACAATTGTGCTGTTGGCGCGGGGCCCGCTCGCACTGATCTTCGCAGGCTGGCCTGTTCGCAATTGATGCCAAAAATTGCTCAACCGCACCAGTCACAGTCACGCTTGCAGGCTGTAAGCGCTGGTGAAATCTTCCGAAGATCTAGCGAGCTCGACTTCAGGTCGTCAGGGAGCGACATGAGAAGATTTGCGTCTCTCGAAGCCTCGCTTGCACGGACCAAGCTCGGATTTCGCCGCCGAAAATCTTCGACACGTTTCTTCTGCAGCGAATGACCTCATGAAGGCGTGTCGAGTAACTCAGTATCCAGCTGTTACGCCGCGTGTACCAGACAAGTCCATGTGAAAAAATGCTCTATCTGTTGGCTCCCGACACGTAACATTCAGACACTGGGCGAAAACCGCGAGCACGCGAGAAGGTCTTGGACTGGCGCCATTTCGAGAGGATCACGTCTTGTCAGGCTTCTCCTTCCGCCATCCAGCTCGGACTTTGTGAGCCAGGGTCTCAACGCTCGGCAATCCAAAGAGCACGCACGTCAGGTTACGCCATCTCGACCAGCAGTGGTGTTGGCAGTTGGCCGGCTAAAGTTGTCGGGCTCTATATCCTATAGCACGTCGCTTTGGATGCCGTGAGCTGTGCATAGCATGAGACGCTCCCCACATCCACGCCTTGGCGGTGTGACATGCACGGCTGCATTTGCGCAATCCCATTCGACGATGCCTCATCCACCAAGCCATGTGTGCCTGATTGCGAGCGAGCCTCGCTTCGCCCCGTACCGATCTTTGTGGTCATGTTTCGAAGCTCGTGCTTGCCATTCTGGAGCCCGACAACGGCTTGACACTGACGAGCATTGACCCTGAGTGAAATGCACAGCGTCAAGACTGAGCCAAGACATCCTCCTCGGACTTGCTTCACCCGTCTTTCTGGAAGGCCGTATCGTATGCGGGGATGGCGTACTTGCCGGTCACGCAAGACGCTCAGCCATGACATGCGAAAGCTTGGCCAGCGTATCGAGCTGCTTGCTTTGCACGGTAAGCAGCCCCCTCATGTGATGTGTACGCTGCTTTGGAGGCCGATGTGACTGTAGCGTTTGGATGATTCACCTTGGCGTAGCCTTGACCCTATATAATCGTCTAGCTCGTCCCTGCCTCCATCTTCTGTTCCCATCGTCTCTGTCCCGCTTTTTCTCTCGGCCCTAGACGTCGATCCATCAACTCGCGTACCTCCATCACAATGGCACCTGTCGCAGTCTCCCCACGGGCTACTTCGCCCTCCATCCCCTCAACCTCCAAGGTGACCAAGGTCAAGCCCATTTCGGGCAGCACCAACCGTGCTCATCAGTACAACTCGGAGCACTACGACCTCGGATCTCTCGCTACCGAGGAGGACTACCCTTATAACGAGTTCAAGCCTTCCTTCCCTAACGTCCACTGGGATGCCTACACACCCATCGAGCCTCCCACCGACCGAGCGCTCTTCGCCGACCCCGAGAAGAAGGAGCTCTTCGCCTCTGCTACCGCCGTCAAGGACCTCACCCGCACCATCGGTACTGAGCTCGAGGGCATCAAGCTCGGTGAGCTTACCGACAAGCAGAAGGACGAACTCGCTCTGCTCGTAGCCGAGCGAGGAGTCGTCTTCCTCCGTGGCCAGGACGACTGGACGATCAACGAGCAGCTGGCCCTCGGCCGTTACTGGGGTCCTTTGCACAAACACGCCACCACCGGTGTGCCTGCTCGCGGCGACCTCGACGAGGTGCACGTAGTCTACTCGCACCCTACCTCGGACCCTAATGAAAAGGTCTACCGTGGTCCCGTCCAGCACTCGCGATCTGACCTCTGGCACTCGGACGTGACCTACGAGATCAACCCTCCCTCATACACTTCGTTCAAGCTTCTCGTCTCCCCCGAAGCTGGCGGTGACACTCTCTGGGCATCCGGCTACGCCGCGTACGACCGTCTCTCCTACCCTCTCCGTCAGTACCTCGAGCAGCTCACCGCCATCCACTCCGCTGTTGACCAGGCCGATGGTGCCCGTCGTTACGGCAACACCGTCCGCCGCGACCCTGTCGAGACCGAGCACCCACTCGTCCGCGTTCATCCCGTCACCAAGCACAAGGCGCTCTTCTTCAACCCGGGCTTCGTCCGCTACATCCCCGGCGTTCCCAAGGCCGAATCGGACTACCTCGTCAACTTCCTCACCCAGCACGTCTCCTCCGCTTCCGACTTCAGTGTTCGCTTCAAGTGGAACGCTGGCGATGTCGCCATCTGGGACAACAGGACCAACATCCACTCGGCCATCTACGAGGACGTCGGCGTCAGCAGGAGACACGCCATCCGAGTCGCTGTTCGCGGCGAGATCCCCGTCGACAGCGAGGACGGCACCAGCAGGGAGGAGGAGTACTACAAGGCAAGAGGCTTCAAGGTCGACAGGGAGGTCAAGAAGGGTCAGCGCCGCCAGGCTGGCTACAAGGACTAAGTCCGAGGCCACTCTTTTTCTCTATTCTTTGTCGCACTGCATTCTTCTAGCATTCTCTCTCTCCTGTTTCTATGAACAATTTCTTACGTTTCTCTAACGAAGTCCCGATCTGTGTAAGTGATATGTTCGTAAGTCGTCATCAGTGCGTCGAGTTCTTGATGTGAGCCCTTGTGACGCTGTCAAGGGGCGGAGCATGGCACGGAGTACTGTGAATTTTACAAAATGTGAGATTTGCCTTGCGGGCACAACTGAGCAAAAATCAACATCGCCTCCACACGGCCGCGGCAGCGGGTATGCATGCACGTTGTCATAGAGCTGCAGTCATCGTTTGCAGGGTCTGTGTTGGATGACAAGCCGATGACTGGCGAGCCAAGCTTCGGCTGGTGTCTCGAGCTGCGTCTCCTTCGAACTGAGCGCCTGCCTGCCGTCGGCACAAGCCAGGCGAGCAAATCGAGACAGCTGCCGAATCTAGACAATCTAAGCCTCAAGTGTTCCTTCCATCTCTCTGCATCTAACCACCTCCATCTCCATCCCACAACATCGCAAGCATGTCGGACGACAAGCAGATCAAGATCGGTGCATACCTGCTCGAGCGCCTCGTGCAGCTCGGCACGCAAAGCATCCAAGGTGTGCCCGGCGACTTCAACATGGGCTTCCTCGACCTCATCGAGGACCATTCGGCCCTTACGTGGGTGGGCAACTCGAACGAGCTCAACGCGGCCTACGCTGCGGACGGCTATGCGCGCATCAAGAGCACCGTTGCGGCTGTCGTAACCACGTTTGGCGTGGGCGAGCTGAGCGCGCTCAACGGCATTGCGGGGAGCTTCTCAGAGCGTCTCCCTGTGATTCACATCGTCGGTGTGCCATCCACGGCTGCACAGGGTGCCCACTCGTTGCTGCACCACACGCTTGGCGATGGACGGTTTGGGGCGTTCGAGAACATGAGCAAGGAGATCAGCGCCGACAGCGCGGTGTTGAAGGCGAAGGAGGGCGCGGGCGAGGCAATCGATCGAATCCTCAGGACGGCGATGAAGAGCGCAAGACCCGTCTACCTCGCGCTGCCCACAGACCTCGTCCACGCCACCATCCCCTCCGCCCCGCTGAACACGCCGCTCAACTACGACGCGGACGAAAACGACCCCGATGCAGAGCAGTATGTCCTCAACGTGGCTCGTCAACACATCGCAGATGCCAAATCCGCCGTGATCCTCGTCGACGCCTGCGCCGCGCGTCACGGATGCATCGCCGAAACCAACGAGCTCATCACCAAATCTGGCCTGCCCGTCTTCGCCACCCCCATGGGCAAGGCCATCGTCGACGAGGACCATCCGCAGTACGGTGGCATCTACGTCGGCAACCTCACCTCGGATCCTGTCAAGAAGATCGTCGAGGGCGCCGACGTGCTCATCACCATCGGCAGCCTCAAGTCGGACTTTAACAGTGGTAACTTCTCCTACCGCACTCCTAAGGCGTCCACCATCGAGCTGCACTCGGACTACACGACGATTGGCTACTCGCACTATCCGGGCATTGGGATGAAGCGGTTGCTGCCCAAGCTGAGCGCCCTGCTTGAGCCCGAGGGCCAACGACGGTTGGAGGAGACCAAGAAGATCGTGCCCAAGTTCGAGAACGTTCTTCCCCAGGACGACTCGTCCGTCATCACACAAGAGTGGTTGTGGCCCCGAATGGGTCAATTCTTCGAAACGCAGGATCAGGTGATCGTCGAAACGGGCACGTCGAGTTTCGGCATGTTGGAGGCGAAGCTTCCTGCCGAGACCCGATGGGTGAGCCAGGTTCTCTGGGGTTCTATTGGCTGGTCGGTCGGTGCGACTCTCGGCGTAGCCCTCGCAGCAAGAGAAGAAAAGCTCGGTCGAACCCACCTCTTCGTCGGCGACGGCTCCCTGCAGTTGACAGTCCAAGAGATCGGTACCATGATCAAACACGGTCTCTGCCCATACCTCTTTGTGCTCAACAACGACGGCTACGAGATCGAAAGGCAGATTCACGGTCCCCAGAGGAGTTACAACGATATTCCGCCGTACGATCACAGGCTCCTGCTCGACTTTTTCGGCAAGCGCGACTTCAGGAGCGATGCTCCCAGTCACGCCAAGGACAGGCCGCCAAGCAGGAAGCAGTACTGCAAGGCTTGGACGAAGGAACAGCTGGACAGGCTTTTGAACGACGAGCATTTCAAAAAGCCCGATATGATTAGGGTGATCGAGATCGTGATGCAGAGGGGGGATGCGCCAAAGGCGTTGAAGAGGCAGGCGGAGGCTACGGGCCAGGCGAACAAGTACGACTAGTCAGCACAGACGATCGTTGACGACAAGGTGGGCCAACCGGCACGGTCCTTTGCGCACTAACATTATCCCATCACAATGGAAGGCAGACACGACAGCACTTGATGCTACTTGTAGACGCGTGTGCGCGCGTTTGGCAAGGATGCGCACTGAGACCATCTCTGAAACCGAATTGTGTATTCTCCCGTGCCACACTGGTAGACCATCACCATTGTAGGATAACGCGTAAAATGCACCTCAAGAGGCACGCTTAAACGTGGCGGACCCTGAAACGTGCAGCTGATAAGAGGGTCGAGAGATAAGAATCTTCGGCTTCTGCACGTCTTCCTTCTCAGTGTGAATGGCTGGGTTCGATGAACAACGCAAGCCGAGCGTATCGCGTGGGAGGCTCGGAAGACCTTGCCGGCGTGGGAAAGTACTTTCTAGAGCTCTGAAATGTCTCTAGTCGTGCAGTGGTTCCTTCTGGCGTGGCGACAAGGGCAGTTTGTGCTGTTCTCAAGCCTCGTTTCCGCGCAAGGTTCCTGGAAGGACAGTGGATCTGTTTGTCTTGTCAAGATCTGCTCGTATGCAAGCCGTCTGCTGCCTTTACCCGCGCTCACTGATCTTGCTCGCTCTTGCCAGGCAAAGTGGCGGGAGCAGGACATGCCATTCCGTACAGCCACCAGTCCTTCCTAGCGACTTGCTCTTGCCCACCATCCTCTCTGTGCGACAGCTTTGAGTCAACGGGAAGCCTCATTTGACGGCCTCGTCTTCTGCTGCACTCATCACTACCAAAACGTTTCATTTCGAAGAGCCTTGACAACAGAAGCGGCGCCATGCAAGCCTCTTGGTCGCTCAGCAGTCGTTCCGACGACGAGAGCGTTCTCACCTACGACTTGCCCGCAACGCCCATCTCGTCCACTCGACCATCTCACAGCTATGCTCCCTTGCGCCCAGCTCGGCACCCCTACACGCCCGAAGCATATCACGCATCGTCACCGCTCAAGCACGAACGGGAGCTCTCGTTCGAGCCCAATTTCCTGGAGAGCTTTCCGATGCCCCGTCCTCGCAAAGGCGCTATGCGACCCACCGGCGCGATGCTGCCTCACTCGTTCGACCGTGCTCACGAGGACGACGCGCTAGAAGCGGCGTGGTCAGACGGCAGTGGCATCGACGAAGTTCCCCACGTCGAGCACAGCGATCGACTCACCGACCTGGCGCGGCTACTCGAGCGCAACCCAGCCGTCGTCGTCGAGGACCACTTCGAGGTGGACGCGCTCAAACGACAGGTCGAGCAGCTGCAGATGGCCTTACAGCTGCAGGGGCATCAGCTGGCCGCAGCAGAATCGAGACAGCTAAGAGCGCGAAGGAGTACGGGTCAGATGCAGAGGGAGGCGGTGGACCTGCCTCCGTTGCCGGCGGTGCCTGAGAGGGGGGCGAGTGGCTCGATGAGGATCGTGAAGAGGCCGAGTCGGTCGAGCTTGCGTCCTGCAGGTGCGAGCTCGTCAATGCTGGCTTTTCAGCAACCAGCAATGGGCGAGTTGGCAAGCAATGCGAGCTTCTATCGCCCTGCGGCTAGACATCCGTTCACAGAGCGAAGGCAGAGCGACATCTCGCTCGTCTCCACCCCCTCCCTCTCAACAAGCACGATTGGAGAAGACAAGAAGATCGACGACCTCAACCGAAAAGTGCAGGCCCTGGAACAGATGTTCGCCACGATGAGCGCGCAATCCCCTGCTGCTGCGCAGACTGCTTCTACGGTGAATCTCACAAGCAGCCGCACCATCGACAGCACCGCCAGCTCGACCTCGCACAGATCGGCTTTCCGGTACAACACCACCCCATCGGCCCGCTCGATCACCGAGTCGACCGCAGGCGATCAGCCCGCGAGCAAGGTCAACAAGCTCGCAGCGGTGTTCAAGTCGAGGACTGCACCAGTGGTCACGCACGAGACGGGAAAGATGAGCTTCGGCAGGAAGAAGACGGACAAGGATGCCGCACCAAAGGTCAAAGTTCGTCAAGGACCGGGCAGAGGGAGAATGGTGATCAAGGATCCGGTCGCTTCCTAAGCGCTCACACACATACACACACTCCGATAGTAATGGGCACGTGGCATTTCTCGCTACCATTCCCGAAGACGAGCCTGAATCTCGGCATAGGTCTTGTCCTGCTCGTAGGCGATCTGATCGGTTGCGGGGCGATTGGGTGCTTCTCCGGCCATCCATCCTCCCTCTGGGACACCTGTGGGATACCGTGGAGGTGCCCAGCCTGCCTCGTCCCGTTTGTTGAACCTTTCCTCCTTCGGGCTGTCCGCATGGTGTACCAGCGGTGACTCTGAGAACTGCAGCGGATTGGTCTGGAATGCGGTCAGCGCAGACCTGTATGCCTGATCCAGACCCTCTCGTACAATCCACCTTCGACCCTTGAGCCATGAAGACACCCTTTCCCTATCGCGTCTTTCCAGCTCCTCGCCTTGCAGCGACAGCGCATCGTCTTGTACCGTCACATCCCCTTTCCCTTCGAGGGAGAGCACCGACCAACCGATGACCATCATCCCCGGGGGCCGCTGCTCACCGCTGTTCTCCAACGCTTCGACGATCCCCTCGAGCGTGCTCGCCACCATGCGCTGGTCGGAGCTGCTTGCCCGTTCGATGATCGCAATTGGCGTATACGGCGGATACACTCCCCCCTCTCTATCCCCGATGTCCCCCCCATTATCCCCCGTACTCTGTCTTGCGCCCTCGGTCAAAGTCGCCACCACCGCCCGCAGTCTCGCTACGCCCATCAGCACGACCACCGTCCTCCCCCTCTCGTACCCTGGCAGTTTCACCCTCCCACCCCCCTTCCCCACCCCCGTGCACAGCACGAGGGAGTCCGCAGCACCCCTTTGCGTCACAGGAATGCCCAACAGCGCCGGTGCAGCAATCGCACTGCTAATTCCGGGCACGACCGTACACTCGCATCCCGCGGCACGGAAGGCTAACACCTCTTCCCCCCCACGACCGTATACGAACGGATCGCCCTGTTTGAGTCGCACCACCGTCTTGCCCTCCGATGCGGCACGGAGGGCTTTCGCGATCAACTCGGATTGCGCGCCTTCCGCGTTACCAGGGAATTTGCGTGCGATCTCGAGCGGTGTGGACGACGGGATGAGGTTCAGGATGGATGATGGGACGAGCTTGTCCGAGAGGATGAGCGACGTGGTCGGGGAGGTGAGGAGACGGTAGGCGAAGGTGGTCAGCAAACCTGGATGACCGGGCCCACTACCAAGCAAGTAAATATGCCCCCGACCTGTCGATGGTTGTGGAGGTCGGATGTCGAGTGAGTGCTGGGAGCGTGCACGATGTGCAACACTCTGCGTGGGCGTTGTGGTGGCTTCCTCGTTGCGGGACGAAGTTCGCCCTCGTGGCGCATCAGACGGCTCACCATGCGTCCGCAACACCTCATCCATCTGCCCCTCGCCCAGGTTGCCGAGATACTCGATGGGCCAGTACTCGCTGATCTGCGCCACCCAGCGCATGCGGCGCTTGGTGCGCTCCTCCGCCTCGTGCTGCTCCCGTTCGTGCTGCGCTTGCAGCTGCTGCAGCCGCAGTGTGGTCGTGACCGACTCGAGTGGGTTCTTGGGCGCTAGCTGCGGGACCGGGCTATTGAGCGGTGTAGCATCGAATGACAGGTCCTCTTCTTCGATCTCGGAGGTGCCATTCTTCCTTCCCTTGCGTCTGGGAGGCTTGGTGGGGTCGGACGTGGATGGGTCGGAAGACGCTTCGGACTGACGCTTAGCCATATCGCGCATGAGTCCAACCTTTTCAACTGCATCTCCGACATTGTGTGGCAAGGCAGAGACGATTTCCCTCCTGATCCTACCAGCGAGACGACACCCACGACCATTCGTCGTAACCGCGATCTGAAGGGATGACGAGGAGGGTGTGGAGGTGGTCGAGGGAAAGCGGTAGCTGGCAGGGAAGGAAAAGTCGCACAGCCCTGGTTTGTCTGCTACATTCACCGGTATCCTTCTTTTCCTACATAGACGACTGATGATCTCGGCCCGTGCGTACGAAGTTAGTGTTGCTTCGGTTGCAACCGCGTCGTCCCCGTCGTCGGCGTTGACCTTGGCAGAGGAAGCGGGCTCGTCGTCGCCCGAGTGCAGCGTGTCCGTTACGCAAACGGCAAAGATGAGGTTGTCCTCGCCATCGTAGCTATCCAGAATGGCGTCGAATGTGGTTTGAACCGAGGTACGCGTGCTGAAGAGGTGGGCAGCTATAGAATGGTGCGAGACCTGATGCGAAGCGAGACGGTGCGCGATCTCGGGACAAAAGTCGGCGCCTTGAGTTCGAGCAGAAGCTTCAACGCTGATGACGACAGGTCGGATCCCCGCTTCGAGCAGGGCAAAGCAGCGAGAGGCAGCAAGCTTGCCCGTGCCGAGGACCAGAGCGATCTTGCCCGCCGGTGGTCGGTGCGAGAGCAAGAGGCTGGCTGTAGGGTTGGGCTCGGGAAAGTGCGCCGCGTTCGAGGAGGTCGCGTCCGTCATTGTTGCTAACGAGGAGGGACCACACTGGCTGGCTCGAGCTTTGTGGTGCAGAGGCAAGATGCTGAAGGCGAGCTCGGTGGAGTTGGAAGGTTGAAACCTGGTTGGAATTTGCTTGGCAGACTGATAAGATAGCCGGCTGGCCAAGCGTGACAAATTTCGCAGATTGATAATCAGCATGACGAGCGGGCTTAACAGAGCGGCTGCCTGAGCCCATCACTCCTTGCTCGATGATGACTAGCATGACACAGATGGCGACAAGCACTCAGACAAGATCACCGCAGCCGGTCGGCAGACACACGAAGCGCTGCTTTGCTCGGCAACGCTATTCGAGGCACAATGGATGCTAGAGGATGGTTCATTAATGCTTATTCGGTACAGAGCGGTGTGTTGACTGAAGTGGTGGTACAATGAGATGCGAGACGGTCGTGGGAGATCTAGATAGCGAGGGCATAGGCGGCGTTGGATCCGATTGAGCGCGGGCTCCTGAACCAGTGTGATCGAGACAAAATGGTTGCAGATGCCTCAGCAGGCATCGCGGTAGGGGGCCGATGGGATATCATTGGGAGTGATAGGTGTTGGCGCTGAAGAGTTGCCTAGACCTTGTATCCTAGCGAGGCCATGCACTCTCGATGCCTCTTGACCAGATCCTCGCACTTTCGTGCCGACTCGCCGTGCTCCTCGACGCTGTGGCCGAACTTGAAGAAGCATTCGTCTCGCAGCGACTTTGTCTCGGGACATGCGCAGCATCTGCGCCGGCGGGGAACGGCGATCAAAGCAGTATTGCGTGCGTGTCAAGATACAGAGAGGTTAGCTTGAGATGATCAACGAGCGCAGCAGAGGGTGATGGAGAGGTCGGGCACATACGGCTTGATGCCCTTTGGATTGAGCTCGGTGACGAATTTGTTGGCGGTCTGCGGCGCTGCTTCCGACATGGTTGCTATGGTGCGCTCCTCAAACAAGGATGAGACCAGGTTGCGTCGAAAGGTGATGGATTGACGAGAAGAGAGCTGCGCAGATGCTGAACGGATGGATGGTCTTGTGGAGCAAGGAGATGTTCGGAAGCGGCAGGCTTTGGATCACGCCGTCGTTGCGGGCAGTGGCGGAATCCTTTTTCTGCTCAGCGCTGGAATTAGGAAGCATAGCCGTGGATCTGTAGATTTGCACGCAGATTCAGCCCCGATCACCTTTCGGACACACGCTTTTCTTCGTGCGGACCCACCCTGGCCACCATCAGGGTCTGACGCAAACTGAGCTTTTGGCTTCCTCAACCCACCACATCTTGTTCGGCTTCATCAGCTTCGATAGACCATACATCGGGCTCAGCACCTCACAACGAGCCTCACGTTGATGCCGGTCGCCAGGCTGCTCCTCTCACCTGGCTCGTCAGTGCGTTTCCATTCTAAGAACTTCACGACTGCCTTTCGATCACTCCACACTTCGACCAGAATCACATCTCCCAGCATCACCCAGCATTCCCAATATCGCAGCATAGCAAACACAGGACATAGCATCCGCTTCACTTGTTCTCTTACCGCTTCTGCCTCACCCATCGGCGCAGCAGCCCCATTCCTGTCGCGAGCTCCTCTCCAGCGAGCTTTCAGCTCCTCATCCCGCCAGCCAGCCTCCATCATGCCAGCTGACGGCTCAGCATCGACCGCTCTGCCCAATGGTCTTCCCTCCAGCCATGGTAACTTTGATCTCGTCACTCGCCATGACCTCGACTACGCTCCCGGCATGTCGGTCGAAAAGTGGAAGTCACGCAAGACGGGCCTGACCGTCCTGTGGGCCAACTTCGACTCGCCTCTCCTCAACTGCTACATGACGCTTGCCTCCGAGATCTTCGAAGACTCTGGTGTGCCACACACACTCGAGCATCTCATCTTCCTCGGCTCCGATCTGTATCCCTACAAAGGCGTCCTGGACACCCTCGCCAACCGAGCCTTCGCCAGCGGAACCAACGCTTGGACCGCTAACGATCACACCGCCTACACGCTCACCACCGCTGGCTCGGACGGCTTCCTCCGCATGCTTCCCGTCTACCTCGATCATGTCTTCTTTCCGACTTTGACCAAAGAAGGCTTCGTCACCGAGGTCTACCACGTCGACGGCAAGGGTCACGATGCAGGCGTCGTCTTTAGCGAGATGCAAGGCCGTGAAAACTCGCCCGCCGATCTCATGGAGCTCAAGTCGCAACGCATGCTTTATCCTGCTTCATCCGCTTACCGCTCCGAGACGGGCGGTCTCATGTCAGCGCTGCGCGTACTTGACATCGAAAAGATTCGCGACTATCACCACCAGTACTACGCGCCTCACAATGCAGCACTCGTCGTTTGCGGACCACTGGGACGATCCGAACTGCTCAATGCCCTCGCACCCGTAGAAGAGCGTCTCGTCACCAAGCGCAACGCACAACCCGAGGGTCCTCGTGGCTGGAAACGCCCCTTTGTAGAGACTGATTCTGCTCTGCCACCAACCATCGACGGCTCCAAGACCGAGCAGCCCGGCCTCGACCCAGCTGACCCTCCCGCTCAAGGCTCCAAGCCTGAATCGAAGCGACGACGTGCTTTCGTTGACTTTCCAGAGAAGGACGAAAGCGTGGGAGAGATCCAGGTCTCGTGGGTCGGTCCTAAGTTTCAAGACTGGATGTCGAGCGAAGCCGTCAACATCCTCAGCACCTACCTCACCGACTCGCCCGTCTCGGCCATTCAAAAGGCGTTCGTGGAGCGCGACGACCCTCTTTGCACAGATGCCTACTTTGGCTCCACCGACAAAGCAGGTGCGACCTTGCTTTCCGCCTACTTTTCTTCCGTTCCCTCGGACCAGCTCGACCGTCTGGACCAACAGTTGATCGATCTGCTGGCTGGTATCGTCAAGGAGGGCATCGACATGGACAGGATGCAGATGGTCATCAAGCGCGACAAGCTCAAGGTCCTCTCGCAACTTGAGACCAAGCCCGCCGACTCGTTCGCCGATTTGCTCATCACCGATTTCCTGTACGGCAACTTGTCAGGACAGGATCTGCACAAGGCGCTGCAGGACATGAAGCGCTACGATGAGCTGCTCACCTGGACCAGCGATCAGTGGACCGAGCTGCTGCAGAAGTACTTTGTCGACAACCCAAGACTTGTCGTTGTTGGTCGTCCCTCTTCGGCGCTGTCGGACAAGCTCAAGGCGGACACCAAGGCGCTCGAGGAGGAGAGGAGGCAGAAGCTGGGCGAAGACGGACTCAAGAAGCTCGACGAGCAGCTCGAAGCAGCCAAGAAGGAAAACGACCGTCCCATTCCGGATGAGATGCTCAAGCAGTTCCAGATTCCCAGCACCGACAGCATCAAGTGGATTCCCGTTGGCACTGCGCAGGTCCTGCCCACTGCTTCCGACAAGCCGTCGAAGAGCGAGACCTCCGCGTACGGCCTGACCGTGCAGACCATCGCCGACGAGCTCGACTCGAAAGTTCAAGCGCACGTCGACTCGGACCCTGCCGAGCTGCCCTACTTCATCCAGTTCGACCACGTCAACTCGGCCTTCGTCTCGATCTCGCTCGTATTCGCCACCACGGACCTGCCCAACGAGCTGCGCGCGCAGATGCAGCTCTACCTCTCGGTGCTCTTCTCCCTGCCCCTTATCAAGCAGGACGGCACCTCGACGCGCCTCACCTACGAACAGGTCGTCAAGGGCCTCGACGTCGACACTCTCGAATACGACGTCTCGCTCGGTAGCGGCGGCTTCGGCGAGCTCGTCTGTGCCGAACTCAAGCTCGAACGTGCTAATTATGCCAAGGGCATCGCATGGCTGCGCGATCTGTTCTTGGGCACGCAGTTCGATCTGGACAGGCTGAGGGTGACGGTGAGCAAGATCATCCAGAGCCTGCCGGAGCAGAAGAGGAAAGGGAGGGCCATCGCTAGTGCGCTCAGTCGCAGTCTGACGTTGGACGCGGACAGGAGCACCAATTTGGCCAATAGCGTGCTCGAGTTGGTCAAGACCATGCCCGAGTTGCAGGAGCGGTTGAGCACCGAGCCGGACAAGGTAGTGGCTGACTTTGAGAGGATTCGATCGACACTGGTTCGGCCGGAGAATCTGCGCGTTTCGGTGGCGGGTGATATCTTGGCGTTGGAGCAGCCGAAGACGGCGTGGGCGGAGCATTTTACGCAGTCCTCATGGACGGCAAAGCAGACGCTCCCCGTGCCGTGGAGTCGAGACCTGCTCACTCCGTTGGGCAAGAATCCGTCGCGCAAGGGTTTGATCACGGCGCTACCGACGGTGGAGAGCAGCTATTCGTACTTCAGCACGCGCGGCATCCCTTCGTACACCCACCCGGACGCTCCCGCGCTCGTGACGACCATCACGATCCTCAATGCGATGGAATCCTTCCTGTGGCGCTTCATCCGCGGTGCCGGTCTCGCATACGGCGCGAGCATCGTCAGCAACCCCGAATCCCAGCTCATCCACTTTTCGCTCTACCGAAGTCCCGATTCGGCCAAAGCCTTTGTCGAGGCTCGCAAGGTCATCCGTGCCCTCTGCTCCCTCCCCTCCGACGGGGAGGAATTGGTGCTGGACATCGACGAGACAACGCTCGAAAGCGCCAAGAGCAGTTTGCACTTCAACATCGCCGAAGCCGAAGGAACCGTCGCCGGCGCCGCGCAGGAGAGCTTCTTCGACCAAGTCCTCAAGAACGCGCCCAAGAACAGGGGGAAATTGCTGCTCAAGGCCGTGCAGAAGGTGACCGTGGAGGATGTGAAGGAGAGCTTGCGGAGGTATATTCTGCCGCTGTTTGATGCGGAGACAAGTGTCGCCGCGGTCGTGGCGCCAGTGGGGAAGGTGGAGGAGATGGAGAAGGCGTTAGAGGCGGTCGGGTATGAGATGGAGAGGAGAGAGATTGATTTGGGTAAGGATGATGAGAGTGAGAGTGGGAGTGAGGGGGAGGAGAGTGGGAGTGATGAGGAGGAGAGTGGGAGTGAGAGTGAGAGTGAGAGTGATGAAGGGAAGAGGGGGTAGATCGAGGGTATGATTGGAGTCGTATAGAAGGCATTCAATAGGTTTCATCACTAAAGCGTGCTCGAGGGATCTTCTGACCGAGCACTTGACAACAGGGCTGAGGATCATTCGAGCTCAGCCGCGGTATGTTCGAGGGTACGCTGTCCCTCCGACCCACGAGATGCACCACGAAGTCGACACTTGAGGTCTCGCACACTTCGCACACACACACGCCAACTCGCTCACCGCTCACACACGCTCGCCTTCCACACACACACGCTGGGCCCCACACACACCCCTCTTTCTCGAATCAAAACTCTCCTATTGCCTCCAGCTCAAATCAGGCACAGTCCAACGGTGGTCAGCGCGGTAGCACCCATGACGACGTACGCGGTGGAATAAACGCCCTTGAGGGTCAACGCATAACCCCAGTCCCACGCGAGATGGCGCAGACCGTTGAAGCTGTGGAAGCTAAACGCCAGCGCCAAGGGGATTTTGACGGCCGTCTTGAACCACACGGGCAGCGTGGCGACAAAGTCGGTGATCGAACCGCTGGACAGCGCCTCGGCAGAACCGAACAACGGGTAGCCTGCGTACGCTGCGAAGTAGGCGTACATCACTGTTTCGCGCAAAGCAGAGGGTCAGCATTCGTCCTGTCCGCTACGGTCCCCGCTCCCTCGGCTAGAGACAGAGGGCGGTGTGGACTCTCACGGTCCCGAAGAGAGTGTGTGGACTCTACGGTCCCAAAGAGAGAAAGAGAGAGAGTATAAAGAGAGCTAGTTGGGGGAAACTTACAAACGCTCAATCCGGTCCCCGTGATACGGTTGATAATGGACAGATACCAGGTGATCTGGGGCTGATAAATCGTAAAGTGGGGGCTGCTAGGACGCAAAGCGCGCTGCTGGTTGAGCAAGTCCAAGTTCTGTTGCTGGCTCAACTTGGTTGTCTGTGCGGCAGCGGCGAGGGGCTTGCTCGAGGAGGAGACGAAGCGAGCCGCGGGGAGGGTGCGAAGGGCGAACGAGGTGGGGAGGGTGGCGCGGAGGCCGACGCGCGACACCGAGCGCAGCGTGAGCAGTGGTCGTGTAGCCAACATTGTTGCGAGATGGGAGATGATGGTGTGAGAAAGATCGAGGTGTGTGATTCCTAGCGAAAAGAGTGGAAAGCGCGGGGTCACAGGCCCTGGCGCGCGGAAAAGATCGGCTCTACGCAACCACGCTCGAAAACCTGGCTCAACCACAACTCCCACCCGAAGCGTCCGATTACCAATCCGCCCACCGTCTCGCCTCGCGCTTTGAGAAATTTTATCGCACGACAAAATGCACTTCTCCTACACCAGTATACGAAGGTCAAACCTAGGATTCCCGCGTGATCTCTCACCGCAGACTCGGTCGATACCGTGCTCTTCTCAGATCGAACGGAGTGGCATGCTTGCAGTTCAATGGCTGCGGATATCGACTTCACATTGGAAAGACACCGTGTTCTTCGAGAGCGATGTGATGTGGTGGGTGGAAGACGCGAGGTTGGACGAGCTGGAAAGGGTGCTTCTGCACAAACCTGGTCAGCCAGTCGAACCCTGTAGTGCCTACGCAGGGCATCACAAGCAGTCAATCACAGCACGGACTTTCGAACCACACTGCATCTGAGATAATGATCGCGAATTGACATTGAACGGCTGCGCAAACAGACGAAGCAAAACAGAGCAACATCGCCGACAGCAACAGAGAGCGAGAATTTGGAAGTTCGACGATGAACGACAACAGTAGAGAAGCCCCGGGTATCTTATGAAAGGGGTTTGGAAGGGGCTTGCCTGCATGTCGTGTTGCATCCTAGCCAAAAAGGAACGCGCTCAACGACCACCGTGGATCTGGGCGGCGGTGCGGGACCTAGCCTGGTCGTTGATGGTCTTCTGGCTCCTAAGCTCATCAATGCGCTTCTTGGCCTCCTCGTAGCCCGAGCGCGTGCCCTCGGTGTGGCGCTTCTTGATGTCCAGCTCCTCGACGGCCTTGGCCAGATCGGCGGCGGTCTTTTCGTGCTCAGCCTTGGCCCTGCTGAGCGACTTGCTCGCCTTGTGCTCGTACGTCTGCGCCTTGGTGTGACGCTTGATGGCCTGCTGCTCGGCATCGCGCGATTTGCGGAAGAGCTTCTCGGAAGCCTGGGCCTCCTTGATGGCGCGCTTGAGCGACTTGGCCTCGTCCTTGGCCTCCTTCTTCATGAGCTTGTCCATCTTCTTGATGTCCTTGGGGCTCATCGCCGAGGTAGGGGCCTGAGCAGCGGCGCTGGTGGAACCCTTTCCAGCGGCAGCACCAGCAGCAACACCAGCGGCACCGGCGGCCGCAGCGGGAGCCACAGAGTGGTGCTCCTGAGGAGGCTGCTGGAGCTCCTGCTGCTGCTCAGGGCTGACGATGCTACCAGGCTCAATACCGGACGAGGCAGGGGCCTGCTGAGCGCTCAGAGCGCTGCCGGGGGCGGTACCAGCGGGCGAGCCGGCACCTACACCAGCGAAACCGCCGGCGGGGGCGGCGGTGTTGATGTGCGAGACCTCACGAGCGTGGTCACTGGGCTGGACAGGCTGAATGGGAGTGGTCTGAGGCTGAATCAAGCCAGGAGCAGCGGCCTCACCAGTAGGGGCAGCAGCAGCGGCAGGGACAGCAGCAGCGGCGGGGGCAGCAGCAGCGGCGGGGGCAGCAGCAGCGGCAGGGACCGGGGCAGTGGTCTCTCCTCCAGAAACGACACCCGTGGCGATCGAAGGGTCGGCCTGGTGAGGCACATGCTGAGCACCGACACCAGCGCTCAGAGCGGAGGCCTCGGCGGCATGGCCAGCGGGGTGGCTGTCCACATAGGGCGTGGTGACCGAGGGGTCCAGAGGAGCGGCCGCAGCACCATTGCCGAGGATGGCAGAGCCGTTGGCATCACCGTTTGCGACGGGGATGGCGCCGTTGGTGCCGTCGGCGGCAGGAGCGTGCACCGCTTTGATCTCGGCGACGAGGATGGAACCGTTGCGAGCGAGATCGGTCATGATTATGGGGATATGATGGTATCAAAGAGACAGAAAGGGTATGTGGTCGACGAGGGTATATGGTAGTCGAGCCGGGTCTATAAGAAGGGCTTGATGTTGCAGATGGACTGATGGATGGATGTAGTTGCAGGGTAAGACTGAAAGCACAGCAGATGTCAACTTTGACCGTTTCGGCGTAGGGCAATGCTGTGGGCAGAAAGTGCGGCTTGCGGATGGATTCGAGGCCAAGCCAGCTGGGGCTGAGATCTTTCGACTGCAGGATGGAAGCCCGTCGAATGCGCTCATCAGGCATGCGGTCTGGAGGCCAAAAAGACAGAGGCAGCCAAGGCCAAGCCATAAGTCGGCTGACGGGCGTGGGCGCTGGCGGTGATTCAACTGCATAAGGCAGCAAGCTGCAGAGGTCATCCGTCCGTCCTGCCGCCAAGCGAGCAAGCGAGCCAGACGAAAAACGTCACAGCAAAGCTAAACAACAGGCTCCGACTCAGCTCAGCTTCAACAGCCCAACGGACGGCACACCTAAATTTGGACTGCCGTTCTGCTGTTATGAGAGTGGAAGCGGTTTGCAGCGGCAGTTGCCCTTGGCTCATTTGCCGCCAAAGCAGGCTGACGTAGAAAGATCTGCCGACTGCAGCTGTGCAGCAAATTCAATTTCGCGAGTTGAAAGTTCGCACCTCCATCTAGCGACGTCGTGAAATCAAGACGGCTTAGCGCTTCTCCGCTTCGGTCTCCCTAGTCGAGCTTACCCCGACTGTCTGGTGGTTGAGGCCGTGTCGCAGATGCGGTAGATCTACTCATGAGCCGATCGCAAGTACGGCTGGCAGGTCGGTCCGACGGTTCGTTCGACGGTTCAACCCATCTGCATCTCGCTCATGCACGGAAGGTCGAGCGTCTGCATCATCAAGGCTAAAACTAGCCAAGGGCTCGGGAACAACGCTGGCGAGCAGAGAAAGCAACGTCTGTTCGTCAAAGGCAACCGCTGTTCTTCCTGCTTTTCATGCAGCTAACAGCAACGAGCCAACCCCCGTGTATCAGTGTGTGTCTCACCGGGCCCTCACGCCGCACACGAGATTGTTGCTATCCGGTAATCTCCCCTAAATCCATTGATACATATCCGGAAATCATACAAGTCAGAAGTCTATGCTACACCGTGCTCAGGGACCTTCGTCCGCAGCATCTCCATCCTTCCATCTTTGCATTGCCGCAGCATACTTGCGAGCCAGGTGCACTCTCTTCTTGGCGCGTCTCGCCCTCTGAGCCATGACGAGCGTCTTGGTGTCAAACATCATCATGCTTCGCGCGTGATCGCGCTCGAAGCCTTCCTGAATGCTTCGCTGCTGCTCCCTCAATCCCACCTCAAATCCTTCCGCGTCGTTGCTGGCCTTCGATGCGCCTCGCTTGCCCTCGTAGAGCTTTTGTACAAAGGCACCCTCCATGCGTTGAGCAGTGAGCATCTCGTTGACCTCCATCTGTCGCTCTGACCTCCGCAGCCTTGCCACCCGTCGGCGGTAGATCATCATGCTCACCACCGTGGGCTGCACCGGCTTGTAGCGCGGCAGAGGTCGGTTGAACAGCGTCGGCGGCAACAGCGCTCCAGAGTGATGCGGGATGCGCACAGGGTACTTGTGCTCGTGCACCTTCTGCGCCCAGAACTCGTTCCACGATCGTCGGTGGTTTCGCTGCGCCAGAGCTTCTTCTCGCGTACGAAGCATGGAGAGAGCTGTTTTGTCCCCGCCTTGAGCGAGCTGCATCGTGTGCAAGAGCTCGCGTGCGTCCGCAACGAGCCCGGACACCTTTACTGGTGACGTCAAAGGCCTCATATTGCGCACAATGCGTTTGATCTCCTGCTTCAGCTCGGGGCATGAGCCGGGACATTGCTGCAGGAGCGGGCGGTAGAGCTGCCACAGCACCAGCTGACGATGCGATGCTTCGCGGAAGAACGGCACTCGGCTCTTGACCGGACGTCGTGGAAAGAAGGCAGCCAAAGAGAGCGCGTCAAATGTCGCCTCAGAGTGCTCGGCAGCGACTTCACTCGTTGACTGCCTTGATGCTGGTTGCGTGGAGATTGAGCTGGTGCAGAATCCTACCTTGGACGGCACCGCATGCGTCGATGGCATTGACGGACGTGTCCCTCTCCTCGAGGCAGCCGCGGACGTTGTGGCAGCAGAGCTGCGACGTCGGCGTACAGGTTTCGAGGCTGCAGCTTCCTCTGCGCACGTCTGAATCCACGAATCTTCGTCGAACGGATTAGATCGGGCCGCAGCGCTTCCCGACTTTGTGGAAGCGAAAGCAAGATTTTGGCCAGCCTCGCCGGCCGTCGACGTGCGTGGTGTTGGGCGCGGGCTGCGCACTGGAGGCGCGGGAGCATCGGCAGGTCGCTCTGTCATCTTTGCGCGTGCTTCTAGAGCCCTAATCTCCGCCAGCTCCTTCGAGGCTTGAGCTTGCAAGAAGTAGAGACCTCGTTCGCCGAGAGAGCGGTGGACCTGCTGAGAAGGGACATACTCAGGCAACTCGCTAGCACCCGCATTGACGTTCCCATGACTGTCCTGAGTGTTCTTGCCGCCATCCTTGTACAGCGAATTGTTCGTGTGCTTCAGGATCTGCTCGATGTCCAGCGCAACGCCGACCGGTATGGCCTCCGGATGAGAGGGCGTGACACACGGATCATCCGCCTCCTTGCGCAGAACCTTGTCGATGTCCACCTGCGCAAAGAATGCACATCCGAGCGGCAAGTCATCCATCTGCAGCTTGAACGCAAACATGGCTCGAGTCCAGATGTTGGCGACCTGTAGAGCCAGTGCGGCTCTGTACTTGTCTTCGTCCTTGACCAAGTACCGCACCTCATCGTGCACCGACAGCATGAATCTAGCCTCGATGTCGTACCTCTTCGTGAGCCACTCCATCGCGGTGATCAGCAGATGCAGGTAGTCGACACCGCTGCTTTGCACGACCCAATTGATTCGACTTGGCATGTATTCTTCCGACAGACGGCCGTTGCCGAAGTCGACTTTGCCCAGGAACTTCTTCGTCAGCGCGTTCGTCACACCGCAATCGAGCGCGGGCGTCTTGGGATTGTCCGACAGCGCGATGCTCTCGAGCTTGTTGAAGACGTAGCTCTCCGTGCCGCCGAACCAGAACTTGGCGCCGAAGAGTTCGTCCGAGTGCGTGTTCTGACCCTTGGTGGCCATATAGAGCTCCTTGGCCTTTTGCGTTGCTTCGTCGTTGCTGACGCTTGGGTTTGCTTTCAGTAGCAGATGCGTGGCGTGCTTGATGCCGGCACCATAGATGCGCGAATAGTTGAAGACTTTGGCTTGATTACGGCTCGTGCCGAGGATCGAAGCTGTCTTGGAATGCAAGTCGGTGCCGAGCGCCTTGGTGCCTTCGAGTGTCATCCAACCCACCGCAGTAGCACCGTGAATGCCAAATTGGGCATCTCCCATTACACTACAAATCCAGAGCTCCTCCGAGTCGACATCGGCGCCGACAAGACTGTAGCCCGGAGGCGCTTTGACCATCGCTTTGAGTTCGGAGCCAACGCGGTTCTTCTTGGCGTTGCTCGCGGTGAGCCAGGTGTTCTCAATGGCGCGGCGTGTCACCGTGCCCATGCTAACGACCTGCGGCAGAATCAGCCCTTTGGCGCGATTCGCTTCGCCTTCCTTGTCTTGACGAGCTCCGGATGCACCGCTCGGGTAGATCATCGCGGTGCCGGCTTGACCATCCCAGACCACCATCTGTTTGTGAACACGGTCACGGACAGCGATCCAGTAGCTGCACTGTGCGTTGAGATCCAAAGCCGTCTTGGCCGCCGTACGACCGACTTCGTCTGGATGCTGACTCGCCAGCGTGCCATCCTCAAAGTAGGCGATGAAGGACTTGGCAAAGGGGCTGCCGACGTTGGCGCCCTCGCCTTCACTGTGCGGCACCTTGTAGAAGGTCGACGTGCCAAAGGCTTTCACATCGAGAGCAGAAGCGTTCTTGTCGCCCTTCGCAGGGCCCTTGCTCTTGCCTTTGCCCTTCTTCGATTTGCCGAATTTGCCTTCTATGGGTGCCGCCAGATGCTGCAGCAGGCCGTCCGCAGCCATACCAAATGCGAGCGGCGTCTGGCGAGTGGCGAGTTCAGGTTGATCGGAAGGGTCGTGGCGGAACACCCATCCATGCTGTCGGCTGCGATAGAGGGGGCAGCCTCTCCATGAGATTTTGAGCAAGATGGGCGCAATGGCGGAACGGATGGTGACCTGTAGCTCTCCAGTCGCGCTCTTGTACAGGTCCCAATACCACTTTGGCCACCAGGCGGGCTCGATCATCGCATCTGTAGCCTCGCCGACGGCGGTCGCATCCTCGCTGTTGCCGCGCAGAGCAGTCACCTCTTCGAGTCGAAGATCTTTGAGAGACCAGTCCAGCTGCGCGAGCTGTGCATCGGCCTGCGCGTGTTCGTCCGTGAGTTGCTTGACTGCGTCAGCCAGCGCGCGCAGCTGCGCATTCATGTCAAAGGATGAAGTTGACTCGCCGGTGGTGATGGCGGACAGAATCGCGGATCCGATGGGACCTGCATCGCTTGACATCTTGCTGCCGTACTTCTTGAGAGCTGTTGCGGCGAAGAGATTGCTACCGACCAGACCTGTCCCGTCCTCGAGCATCCAGCTCCTGCCTTCAGATCGCAGAACAGCTTTGCCGTCGATGCGCAGTCGCAGCAGCTGCTGTGCTATGATGCTTTTCGGCGAGAATCCATCTTTGGTCTTGTTCCGGATGACGCCGTCGCGGTACCAAGCAGGCACCGCGAAGTCGGAAGGAGGTGATGCCACACCTTCTCCATCCGCCGCTTTGGCCTTCTTGGGCTTCTTTGGCGTCCAGTCGAGTTGCGAGAACCACGGATCGTCCTCCCACCAAGCTCGTTGTCGTGGGGGGTCTGGGAAGACAGGCTCGCTGTGTTCCGGATCTGTGATTAGCTGTCGCTCTTCGGCAATCTTGGCTGCGAGACTCCAAGGCACGTTCTCGGTGCCGTCGTCGCGCAGCTTTTCGGCAAGGTCGACGAGGCACCTCTGGACTTCGTCGTTGATGCGGTTGAATTGCTCGTCGCATCGTCGCTGGTAGTCGATCCATTCGTCATCGACGGGCAGGAAGGTAGAGCCGAGACCGAAGACACCGGCCATCGTAGCTGGATGCGGGCAGCGAGCAACAAAGTCAGGCCAGGTGCGGCGGAAGATCTCGTGGGTCACAACCACATCGGAGGCACAGTAGGTGAGAAGATGCTGAGCATCGGCGAGGATCTCTTCTCTCGATGTGCCGTCGACGAAGACATCTCGAGCTGATTTCGACACCTTCATTGGGATGCGATGAAGGCGAGCGACATCGGCGAGCGAGTTCTTGGAAGTCTCCTCGAGCCATTGCGACTCGGTCGAGCTCGGTTGCGAAGCTCGGGAGGCGAGTCCACCGCTTTCGTCGTCGCTGAAAGGCATATCCAGTGACGACGATGTGACGCCGTCGGATTCATTGGCGATGCCATTACCGGTAGGGCTTGGAGCCGCTTGGACCGCATCGGCAGCAAGGCCTTCGAGCTTGAGACCTTCGAGCTGGTCGGAATCGTACTCGAGACCAGAAAGCGCATTCTCGATGGCTCGACGGGTCTCCTCCTTGAGCTCTGCCTGGTCGAGGAGCTTCTTGGCGCGCTTCTCGGCCTTAGCCTTGTTGTGCTTGATCCAAGCTGGACGTTGCGGAGACGAGATACCGCGTGTTGCTACGTGGAGGGACATGGTGTCGAGCCACCTTGTTGAGCCGAGGTCTAATGTGTACTCCTCGAGAGTTCTGGCTCGATCGTAGGAGACATTGTGACCGACAACGAGGCGTGCGCGATCGTGCTTGCCGCTGGGTCCGAGGGGGATGAGATGGTCCTTGCGCTCGTGGTCCTGGCCGCGCTGAAGCAGCCAAGGAGAAAGCCAGCTGTACCAGGCATTTGGGCCGGCAGCGGTTGCCATCACCGGGAAAGGTCCTTCCTGCACCATGGTTTCGACGTCGAAAACAAGCATGTCGTCCTCCTTGTCCGGATAAGGAACACCAACGCCAGGGCCAAGCGCTGAAGCTGAGCCGTCCTCTGATCGGAGGATGGAATACTTGGTCCATCCAGGCTCGATCGACCAGTTGATTGGCTTCAGGTGTCCCGGCGTGCGGAGAGCGGGATCGAGCTTGAGCCATTCGCTGGCCTCGAAACGAAAGTCCTCGTCTTCGGCAGCAGCAGCCCCGCTCGATTCCGCATGATCAAGCTCCTCTGGTGGCTCCATCGGCTTCAGATCGGCCAACTTGTCCGCCATGCCCAGCCATGGCTGAGCCACTTGCCTCCCGAGGCTCCAAAAGTGCTCTGCGAGGTCCTTGCCTTGCAAGGGCGGAAGGTCGAAGGAAGTCTGTGGCAGTGTCGAAGCATCGGATGCTTTGAGAGCATGCTGGCTCAGATGATGGCGGCAGATGTTGAGTGCCTTGGGTGCTATTGGTGGGACCGGGTCCATGGTGTCTGGGAACAGTTGTTCGTGGAGCCTGCGAGGCAGCAGCTGGACTCCGACTTCATTGCGCGGGATGTCTGGTGGCTTCGAGGATGCTTTTGCTGATTTGCCTGGCTTGGAATCAGGTTGGGAGTCGTCAGCATTGTTGTTCGGTGGCGAGTGGTGTGGAAGATGCGGAGTCGAGGCCGGGAGGTCGACCGGGGTGGCTGCATTCCATCGCTTCTGTTGGTGTGGCAGATGCAACAATGGTGGTCCGTGGCGGAGTAGAGTCGATCGTCTGAGAGCCGCGACTGACTGCCTGGGGCCCCCTATCTGTAGGTTTGGAAGGCTCCTGCCCGCAAGCAGCAGCCTGGATGCCGACATCGTGCCAGCAAGACCGTTCTTATGTTGAGGCGGGCCTATGCTCGGATTCTTGATCCATCCTTACACGAGGAATAGTAGGAGCTCGTCATGCCGCCGGATGTCCCTTCTTGTAAGCAAGCTATGAGCTTGATGGCGACTTCGTTCCTCGCCTCCTTGATGCTGCGTGATCGCCGAGTAGCCAGAGTGACGAGCATGAGAGAGTGAACTGAAGAAGGACGACGACGAGAAGCAGCAGAATCTCGACTTTCTCGCTGCGGACTGAGCGCCGGCTGCCGACTGCGGAATTTGGCCGATGCGTTCAGGGTCCACCTGCGGTTCGTGACTTCTTCCCATCGCTCACCATGCTCCCTCCTCTCGCTTTGCATGGTCACCTTACCCCTTGAAGGCGGTGAGCATGTCGTCACTTCCGAGAAGAATCCGTCGCTGACAAGCATGCAAGCCACAGAATCGGCAGCTGCCCGAAGTCTCGCCGCCGTCGATTCGGGCTATCCGACACCGCCAGAGCTACACGTCGATGTCTGGAGCGACCGCCTCAAGGCCGGCAACGTCAAAGCGCCACATCTGCTTGTCAGTCTAGACGGTCCATCAGAGCGGCTGCTAGAAGCATCGAAAAGGTCGGTCAACGACCGGGCTCACCGTACGCACAAGGACGCCTCCAATGACTTTTACCGCAGGGCATGCTGGGCTCCCGACGGGTCCGCGCTGCTTGCCCTCACAGAATCACAGCAGAAGCATGTCATCGGCTGTAGCAGCGCAGGCAGTCTCGAACCCTGTGTGAGCCTGAACAGCCCATCACCCCTGCTCGACGCCATCTGGTACCCTGTGCCTGCCTTGGAAGAGCCGACGGCCGAGCACCACCCTGATGGACAAGGGGCCGCTCTAAGCGCAACATGGTGCTTTGCCGAGTCGCATCGCGACCTGCCAACTCGCCTCACCTCTAGCAGGGATGGCAGCTCTCGAGCCAACTATTCGATCATGAACCACGTCGAAAAGTTTGTCGGACCTCATTCGCTCGTCTTCAGTCCCGATCTATCACGCCTCTACTGCGGGCTTTATTCAGCGCTTGCGGTGTTCCCGCTTTCACGACCTGGTCTGAACACCCACTCTCTGATACCGCTTACATCGGGCAAAAGGTCAGTCGGGGGCCAGAGAGGGATCGTATCAGCGCTCGCAGCTGCGGCACATCCGAGCGAGCCTTCGCAAGAGCTTGTTGCCGTGGGGACATTCAGCGGCAATGTTGCCGTCTACGGTTTTGATCCGACCACCTTTCCGGAGCCGACCGAACACACAGCAGTGCAGACCACACCCGGCGACGATGGAGAGCCCCTAGCTCAAAGCTCCTGTCTAGCTGGATGGCGAGAGGTCGAAGGTGACGGTATCACACAGCTCAAGCTCCATCCGCTCACACCGTATGTGCTGTTCGTCGCATCGAGGCGCTCGGATAGTATCTATGTCTATGACATTCGCTATCTGATCGGAGACACGTCGAGGTGGCAATTCCGACCTTTAGCACAGCCAGCAGGTGGCGTTCGCACAGCTCATCTGCTCGCGAGGCTGCAGCGACCAGGCGGATCGAGCAATCAGCGGCTCTACTTTGACGTCGACTGGGCCGGTCGATGGCTTGCGACAGGTGACCAGGAGGGTATCATCCATATATGGCGTATCGATACCGGTCGATTCACGGATCATGCCGATGTCGATGGAAAGGACGGACAGGAGCCAGAAGCTCTGGAGTTGACGCCGGATCTCAGCTGGAAGGCGCATGGTGATGCTGTAGGATCCGTATCGTTCCACCCGTATCAGTCGTGGCTTGCATCTGTCTCTGGCTCGAGGCACTGGCCTGACGTTGCCTCTGAGGACAGCGAGTCGGAAGGAGAAAGCGACAGCGACGCTTCAAGCAGCTCTTTGGAGGCGGAGGCTGCCGATTGCCGGCGCCGAGCTTGGTCGACGAACGACAGCTCTCTCAAAGTGTGGGACTTTTCCCATCCTCCGATACCGTCCTCCTGATAACAAAAAGTTAGCCGAAACGCGATTTCGTTCACCCTTTGAACTTGCGTCCGCTCTTGACGTCGGCACGCTTGATCTTGTTCTGCTTCTTCCTGCGAGCCTCTGCTTCCTGCAATCGCTTGACACGAGCACGCTGCTGCTGGCTCGTCTCGCCCACCATTCCCTCCTGTGCCAGCTCGAGCAGTTGAGCGTGCATCTTCTCGAGCGCATCCTGCACGTTTGCCTCCTGAGTGCGGTGTCGCATACTTGTGACCAACATCGAGTGGTCTGAAGCGACATAGTAGGGCGACTTCTTGGCGATGCGGCTGACGAGGTCTCTGTTGAGCCATTTGCGCGGATGTGCGGCATCGAGCGAGTCGTGAGAATGGCCGCCAGCTTGGGACAGATCGAGTCGGACGTTGGCTTTGGTGTTGAGCTTGTTGACGTTTTGACCGCCAGGCCCGGAGGAGCGAGAAAAGTTGACCTGGAAATCACTGCGGCGCAGCGTGAGGTCTTGGAAGTTGGCCACCCAGCGTCGACGCTCTTCCATCTCCTGCTGCACTGCATCGCTGTGTTCGTCTTGGTTGCGGGGACATGCCGATGTTGACCATTTGCGAGATGCCTGTTGGCGAGAAGGCAGCGCTGGTGGTGTTGTCGGATACCACTGCCGATATTGCGTCGACGAGATCGCTCCCCGGAGAAGAGCATGCGTCCGCAAGACAGCGAACAGACCTCGTCGACCCAGCATCGCGCCTCGTTGGGTCGATCTCCGTAGTCGGTTCGGAGATGCCGGGAGGTGGAAGGGCAAGCAGGATGTCTGGCAGCTTTGAACATGATCCAAGACGATCTTCCAAAAGAAGTCATGTCGAAAATTGCCCGGGAAACGCGCCGGGAAAAAGAAGGTCGCAAAACTCGAGATCGACGGCACGAAGGCGTACACGGTGGGTTGAGGTCTGCAGGCACCGGCGTGCGCTCTTCTGGCTCACAGAGGGATCGTCGTTCGGCAACGGAACGAGGCTCGTGTTCCGAATAGCTATGCACTCGAGTTTCCATGCAGTCGCAAAGCCACGGAGTGGGTCTACTCGTCCGGCGTTAAGCGTGCCTCGGCGTAGACGACAAGCGTAGTCTTCCATCGGCTTTGCATCTTTGTGTGACTACGGTACATAGAGCTCACGACGTCGATTTACAAGGTGTCGTATGGGACAGGGAGTCAGCAACGCCCAAGCCGACGGTCGAGATGACCAAGCATCAATCGGAATAGCCGGAGCATGACTGTTTCCCTGCCTCACCCGCACGCTTCCTGCTTCCTACTTCTTGCTTCCGTTGGCCCTTGGACCCTGGCTTTGTGGGCTCATCGTCGGGTTTTAGCGTCGGCAGCCTGCCTCGCACCCGCGAATAAGTTAGGCATCTGACGGAAAAAGGGCCGCACATTTTTGGAAATTCTCATCGCAGCCAGTCAGCACGGCTTTCTTGCGACTTTTGCGTGCTGCAATGCGAACAACGTCAGATGGGCTCTCCATCCCTTCTGTTCTCACCTCCATCAATCTTCTTGGTCCGGGCCATCGTGTCTGAGCCCGTCAACTTCGCAGATCAGCAGCATCGTACACTGGAATCGTTCGAGCCTCGATCGCGCTGGACATCATCCTCAGATTCGGATTGCAACAGGTGCCTCGGTGCACGCCTAGAAACTTGCTTCCCTACCTTCTTCATTTCGCCTAGCTGCTGCCTCAACGAGCTTCATCATCGTGATCTTGCTGCAATAGCGGGGGAATAATCGCCGAAATGGGTCTGCTCTCTCTAGGAACGCCGCTCGACTGGAAGGATGCTCAGCCCCTCGCATCCCACGTCCGAAAGCACGGCATCGAGCAGTTCCTCTCCTTGTGGAACCAGATCAAGGACCGACGCGGCGATATCCTCCTCTGGGGTGACGAGATCGAATACATTGTCGTCGCTTTCGATGAAGAGACACAAAATGCGAAGCTGTCTTTGAGGCAAGAAGAGATCCTCAAGGTGCTCTCGGCCAGCGATCAAGAGACGCGAGAGTCCGCCCCAGGTCTCGCAGGCCAAATCCCAACATTCCATCCCGAGTTCGGCCGCTTCATGCTCGAGTCGACGCCAGGGTCACCATACGGTGCCAGTCCGAAAGAGCTCCGAGGTGTGGAGCGGAACATGCGTCTACGCAGGCAGATTGCTCGATCGCATCTCAAGCCCAACGAGCTTCCCATCACGCTCACCTCGTATCCCCGTCTCGGTGTCACCGACGCTCCCTTCACAGAACCGCACTACGAGGCCAACGGTAACGCTTTCCGCTCCATGTTCCTCCCAGACGAGCTGATCAACCCGCATGCGCGTTTTCCGACGTTGGCCGCCAACATCCGCAAACGACGAGGCGCCAAGGTGGCAATCAACATGCCCATCTTCAAGGACGTCAACACGCCATCACCGTTCATCGACCCGAGCATCCCATGGGACCGCGAGCTATTTCCAGAAGATGCCGAGGCAAAAGCAGGTGCCGCCAAGCCGGATCACATCTACATGGACGCGATGGGCTTCGGAATGGGCTGCTGCTGCCTTCAAGTCACCTTCCAGGCCTGCTCGGTGCAAGAGGCGCGTACGGTCTACGATCAGCTCGTCCCCATCAGCCCGCTGCTACTCGCCCTCACAGCCGCATCGCCCGCCTACCGCGGCTACCTCGCCGACGTCGACTGTCGCTGGAACGTCATCTCTGCCGCCGTCGACGATCGCACTCCGCAAGAACGAGGCGAGCCCGCCCTTCCGCTCCCCGGTCACACCGCACGGGGCGGCCTCGACCGCGATGCATCCCCCATCCCAAAATCACGCTACGACTCGGTCGACTCGTACATCTCGCAAGACCCGCTCAACCGTCGTCACTACAACGACAACCCCCTTCCCATCAATCCTGAGGTTAAGCAGCAGCTTCTCGACGCAGGAGTCGATGACTTGCTCTCGGACCACCTCGCCCACCTGTTCATCCGCGATCCGATCGTCATCTTCTCGGAAATGGTTGACCAAGACAACGAGACGAGCACGGACCATTTCGAGAATCTTCAGTCGACCAACTGGCAGACGATGCGGTTCAAGCCGCCGCCTCCTGGCGGGCGCATCGGGTGGCGTGTCGAATTCCGTTCCATGGAGGTGCAGATCACCGACTTTGAAAACGCCGCTTTCAGCGTCTTCATCGTTTTGCTGACGAGAGCGATCTTGAGCTTCGGCCTGAACTTCTACATGCCGCTGTCGAAGGTGGACGAGAACATGGCGACAGCGCACCGACGCGATGCGGTGAACGGGGAGAAGTTTTGGTTTAGGAAGGAAGTGTATCGGACGCGCAATCGACATGCATCGCGCCAGGCGAGTCGGCAGGTTTCGCGCGCCAGCTCGGTGGAGAACCTCACCAACGGTGCGAGCGAGAACGGGAACGGTCGGAGCAGTCCTCATAGCATTGCATCGTCCTCGTCGGAGGCAGAAGAGGAATATGCAGAGTTCACCATGGACGAGCTGATGAATGGAAAGGGGGACGACTTCCCAGGCCTGGTGGGGCTGGTGCACAACTACCTCGACAGCCTCAACATCGATGTCGAGACGCGGTGCGAGATGGGGCTGTACCTCGATCTCGTCTCCCAACGAGCGAGCGGGAAGCTGATGACGACGGCAACGTGGATTCGAAACTACGTGCGAGGGCATGCGGAGTACAAGGGCGACTCGGTGGTGAGTCAGAAGATCAACTACGACATGATCAAGGAGCTGGATCGGATCGAGAGGGGAGAGGTGGATGCACCGGGTTTCTTGCCCAAAGGGTATGCGATGAGGAGGAAGAGCCAAGAGACCAAGCCGGACTTGAAGGCGTGATTCTGTAACATTATTCACACGGATTGATATGGCAGCCTATAGATCATCGGATGAGCCTCGTCTGAGGTATGAGAATGTGTATGAAAGCTGGAGTCGTGGGGAGAGCCTGTGAGGTTATGTCGGGAACGTCGGCCATGACGCCGTGAAAATCGCCGATTTGAGAAGATTTTCTTGAAACGCATGGCCAAAAAAAAGTGTCACTCCCACCCACCTCTCCAACAACTACCACCGACCCTCACGGCACGATGTCAAGCGTCGAAACGATGCAGGACGCACCCGACGCCGTCAGTTCGGCAGCTAAGCGGGTCAAGACATCCCACGATGTCTCGCCGGAACCGGAGACGCGCATGACCGAGGCTCGCGCGGGCATCACCGCCTACATCGCCCCCACCATCCCCGGGTTTCAGGGCATCATCAAGCAGCGTTTCACCGACTTTATGGTCAACGAGATCGACCCGTCTGGTGTTGTGTGTCGACTGACCTCGCTCGAGCCGCCTCCCGGAAAACTGCTTTCTCAGCTTCATCCGTCGTCCGAACCTGCGAAGGCTCAGCCGGAGCCGGAGCCCGTTGCAAAGGCCGATGATGGGGCATGGCCGCTGGGTGCTGAGGAGAAGCTCTCCCACTTCTTTGCGGCGGAAGCGATCGATGCACTGAAGGACATGTGGTCGGCAGGCAGGATGCCAACGTCCATGGCCACGGGGGCCAACGCAACCATCGTCTCTGCAGCAAGCATCGTGACCAACCCATTGGAAGACAAGGCGCAGCGGACGCAGGTGCACCAGCTCATCCGCGAGCTGTTCGGCGGCAAGCTCGCCACCGACTCCCTCCAAGTTCGGCCTCGGGGCGCAAAGGCAGCGGAGGAGGATGAGGATGCCCGCGCTAATGGCGCGAGCAGCAGTGGGTCGACGAGGATAGCGGTGAGGTGGGCGAATCGCTCCGACCGACGAGCGGGCGACGGGCTGAGCGAGGAAGCCAACAACGCACCGCCCTATATACATTTCTTGCTGCACAAGACGAATCGCGATCATCAGGAGGCGATGGGGATGCTGGCTGAGGCGTTGCGGTTGGGTGGAGGTGGTGGTGGGGGACGCGGGAGGGGGAGGGGGAGAGGTGGGTTTCAACGTGGAGGCAGGGCGCCGACCAAGGTGCTCGATGTGGCGGGGACCAAGGATAAGCGCGCGGTGACGGTGCAGAGGGTGTCGTTGCGACGCAATCGCAAGACGCTCGAGGACGTGTATCGGCTGGTCAACGGCATCACTGCCGATCATCCCTCGACTAGTAAGAAAGGTAAAGGTCGGACCGTTGTGGACGCAACAACTTCGCGAGGCGAACGAGGCATTCGCATCGGTCACCTCTCCTACGCCGATGCACCGCTCAAACTCGGCCAGCTCAAAGGCAATGAATTCACCATCACCTTGCGCAATGTTCGCCCCACCGTCCCGACTCCTCCCTCCGACTTCCTCGCCACAATGAACGCCTCCATGGCGACGCTACGCGATCGCGGGTTCATCAACTACTTTGGCATGCAGCGTTTTGGTACAGGCTCCATCCCTACGCACCACATCGGCATCCACATCCTGCGCAACGACTTCAAGGGCGCCATCACGCTGCTGTTCGACCCGCGACCCCCCTCGACGCCGGACGCGGACGATGGCGACAGTTCGGAAATGCGCAAGGCGAAAGAGCTCTACTGGGCGGGCGCGTACGATGAGGCGTACCACGCTATGCCGCGTGGGTGCACCGCCGAGAAGAGTATCTTGGACAAGATGCGCGGAAGGTGGACCAAGGGCGATTGGACGGGGGCGTTCGGGAATGTGCCGAGGACGCTGAGGTTGATGTACGTGCATGCGTATCAGAGTTATGTTTGGAATAGGTTGGTGTCGGAGCGGGTGGAGAGGTTTGGGTGCGACAAGGCGGTGGTTGGGGACATTGTGTTTGCCGACGACACCGGAGACGATTGGGGGGCTGACGGGGAGGGTGTCGAGGAGAAAGACGACGACGATGTGGACGAGGACGATCTGCGAAATGGCGAGTCCGATCCCGTCCCCACCTGGCAACGACCAACCCGCGTCCTCACGCAGTCGGACATCGATTCCGGGCGCTACACCATCTACGACATCCTCATCCCTCTCCCTGGGTCCTCCATCACCCTCCCCTCTGGCTGGATGTCCGATCTGTACCACTCCATCCTCACCACCTCCTCCCTCACCCCTGACGACCTGACATCATCCAAGATCCCAGAGTACCAACTCAAAGGCTCGTACCGGCGCATCCTCGTCCGTCCCACCCACTTCAGTCACCGCGTAACCACCTACACCGACCCAGACATCCCCCTCACCTACACCGACGAGGAACGCTGTCTCGATCCCACCCTCACCACTCCCCCCAGCCAGGAGGACGGTGCATTTACAGCCCTAACGCTCAACTTCCAACTCCCCTCGTCGAGCTACGCAACCATGCTCATGCGCGAAGCGCTCAAATCCGACACGTCCAGCTTCAAGCATCGCCAACTGACCCAACACAGCGAGGACCAGCAGTTCAAAGGCGCTTCCACCGCTTAGCCACACGGAGAACCGCAATTGCAACGACAACATACAAATACAACAAAACAATGTGACTGAGAGGCCCCTGGAGAGAAGAGACGGGAGCTGGCAGCGTAGACAGAGTGAGAGTGGGAGTGCTTAGGCAGACTGCTTCTTGACGCGCTTCTGGTCGAAAGTGCTGGACGAATCCGAGGAGCGCTTGCTGCGCATACGCGATGCCGACTTTGTCGAGCCGCCAGCAGTGGTGTTTGCAGCAGCTGGGGCACTGGCGCTGAGCAGAGCGGCATCGAGCGAGTGGATGGCTCGACGACCGTCGACGATGACAATGTTCTCCATCGGGTCGGTGGTGCGCACTGCGCGGGGCGAGGCGTGTGGGAACGGTGAGAGCTGCGACGGAGCGGGGCTGCCAGAGTCGGTGCGGATGTGACCTGGACGTCCGGCGCGCTTGAGAGAGCCGGTCGAGTCGGTGCGGGCGATGGCGCGCTTGGCGAGCGTGGGCGCGGCGGCTGAAGCAGCCGGCGTGACTTGCTTCTTTGACGAGCTGGGCTGTGTTCGCTGTGGCGATAATACTCGGCCAAAGTTGGACTGCGGAGCGCCGAGCGAAGCGCTGAGGACGGGCGGTGGTTGCGCGTAGGTCCAGGACGAGGTGGGCATGCCGAAGCGCGAGTTCTTTCGGCTCCACACAGAGACGAAGAGGATGCGCTTCATCTTGCGGTTGTAGAAGAAGGCAAAGGTGGACCACAGCAGACCAGCGCCGGTGCCGTCCAGATCGTCCTCGCCGTCATCAAAGTCGGAGTCGTGATAGGAAGAGAATGATGTGAGGCTCGAGTTCTCCATCGAGTGCATCCTCTTGCCGTCAAAGCCTGCATGCGAGAGGACCATGTTTCCATCCGGCCCGATGCTCGCAATGCTGTGCGAAGCTCCCTTGCGTCCACTGAGACCGTCGCCATAGACGTCTTCGTCAAACATAGGCGCATCCTCCATCGCTTCGTCGTCGTCATCGCGGCCGCTATGCATGCGTGCTCGCGGCGTGTCCTCACGACCCCGCATGCCAGTGGTGTCGTCGTCCCAGTACTCTTCGTCTTCATACGTGTCGTCGTCTCCGAGTTCTCCTTCTTCCTCGGGCTCCGCGCTGGCATGCGGATCGGAATCCATGTCGGGATGGAAGGTGTAGACCTCGCAATCGGACACGTTCATGATGTCGTCGAGGATGTGTGAAAGCGCAGGATGGGTGATGAGAGGCGGCAAGGATGCAGAGGCGCCAACTGAGCTGGGCGACTCGCCAGCAGTGCCGAGTGCAAAGCTAGGCTCCTCGAACGAACCTGGGAAGGAGCTGTAGGAGCGCGGCGCATTGGACGAAGTCTTGAGGCTGAGGAGCGTGGTGCTGAGCGAGTTGAGCACCATGGCCGGGCTCATCTCCTTGCGGAAGTCAGCAGGGTTGACCTCGCTAAAGTCGTGGTCAGGGAAAGCGACATTGAGCGTCGCGATAAGCAAGAAGAGCGTCTTGCGGGCCGAGGCTTGGTCGAGACGGCCAAAGGGAGACGCCAGCGCTTCCTCGAGGTAGTCAGGCGGCGACGTCGATGCGGAACGCAGGTAAGACGACTCGAGGTTCTTGAAGAGGCGCTTCTCCTTGGAGACAGTCTTGCAAGAGTAGGCCTCCATGCGAGTGAAGACCTTGCATTCGGCCGACTCGAAGGTGAGCGCTCGGGAGAGCAGCTCGAGTTCGGGATATTCGAGATACTTCATGGTGGTGGATGTGTGATGGATGATGGAATTGGAGCTTGCGGCCGTTCAGCGTAGAGCGCTGAGCAAGAAGAGGTTGGCTTTGCAGGGGACAAGGACCCTACGCGTGGATCGCGTAAAGTCAGCCCGGAAGTGGTAAGAAAGTGGAAAGAGGTTGGTATCGCCGAACACGCCTGGATTGGGTGCCCGAGATGGGGGATGAGATGGGACGGATCGCGTCAATCGCGAAGATCTCGTTGTCTGCCAGTCTTGAGTGATGGAGATGGTAGTGGTGATGTAGAAAGGCGATGAGGCTCAGCTCGAATGACGAGTTGCAATCGCGCCGCACAATCCGACGGCGGATCGGCGCTTTCGGGTTGAGGCAGCAGCTGCCGTGTGAATTAGGCCTGGCTGATTGCGGCGATTTAGTGAATGCGTTGCTGCTGTGCAGCTTAGACTCCGCATTTCGGCAGCACGTTTTCAGGGCCCATCCTGCTCCAGCGCAGGGCTGCCGCTCATTAAGCGGGGACCCTTGCGCTCGGCCAGCCAGGCTCAGTGCATTCATTCACGCCTAGCAGCTTTGCTAAAGAACACACGTTCGGATCACCCGGCAAGGCATCGGAATCGAGCTCGAAGCCGCACAGAGAACCGAGGCTCGTCTCGCTTTCATCACGTCTGGACCTTGGCCTCAGCGCATGTTAGCCAGCAGTCGGAACAGCTGTCAGAAGCAGCTGGATGAGCCGTTGCCCCGCTCATTGCTGTCACACTGTGAGCTGCGGGGACGATCCTGACAAAAGCATGGTCCCAGCAGGGACCGCGCTTGGCGCTGCAGGAATCGCGATTGTACCCACATCGCTGCAGTCCGCAGCTGTCACCGTCCAATCATCCAAGTGGGTAAAGGCTCAAAGCGGAGTCGATGCGAGGACCCTGTCGATCGCCCGATCTGATCGTTCAAAGTCTCGTACGTAATTCTTTGAGCTCACCACGTTCGCCGAGAACGTCGTTCAACCTTGAACCTTTGGGGTATCGGACCATCAATTCACGCTCAGAAGTCATACACACTCACCAGTGGGTGCGACTGCTGCTGGTTCAAGGCTACAAATGGCAATACGTCGATGTGTTGGCTTGTTGACTGACAGCGTGAGACGAGCCTGCACCAGAAAGCCGCCTCCAAGCAGCGTGTTGTAAGCAGCTAACTAGGGTCGACAAAATGGGCAGCAGCGCAGCGTCTCATCAAAACAGACCTTCAGGGACGCGCTGGTGAGCGAAATATAGATTTGAGCTTAACCTGGCCTGCAAGCGCGTGCTCTCACACGTCTCACGCTTCTATCACCAGGCTGCAGCAAGTGTTGGTCCAGATTCACGACATTATTTTTGTGCGTGACCGAGTCCAAGACCACCACCCTGGCTTGGATCCATCACGCCGAGCCCATCCGCCCGATTCGCGCTTTCCTCTCGTCACAACGCCGACCTTGCTTTCCTTCCTTCCCATCCTCCATCCAGCCAGCTTCGCACCTTTCTCCCGGTCCCTCACGGCGCCCTTCCGCTCCGGCTCTCGTCTCCCTCGCGGTCTCTTCTTCATCGACGCTCTCGTCGCGTCCTCGTCGTCTCCCACCAACTTGTAGCCTTCGTACTGCGTCATCATGCCTGCTGCCGCCTCTGCCCGCAAGTCGACTCCCACGCGCAAATCGACTCCTCGACGCGCTCGTTCCTCCTCGGTAGCTTCCAACGCCTCCACCGCCGCGCCTGCTTCGCCCTCCGCCTCGCCGCGCAAGACCAAAAAGGAAAAGGAGGCCGCTGCTGCCGTCACCGCCGCCGCCAAGCAGATCAAAGATGTCAAGTCCGACGTCTCTCGTCCCAAGCTTCCTACCAAGAAGAACCCTCGTCTGAAAGAGGTCGACGAGGCTGTCGTCAAGCTCCAAATCATTAAGCGCGAGGGCCACAACATCATCATCGGTCGCGTCAAGCTTCCCACCGTCAACGGCCAGGACCACGCCTTCTTGCTCAAGCGCTTCGACACCAATGCCATGGCTGCCTCGTCCATGTTCCGTCTCGCCTTCCCCTTTGCTGATGGCAGCGCCGAGGCCGCCGAGATGCAGTATCTCGATGCCAAGTACGACACCAACCGCGCCAACGGCGGCTACATCGTGGAGGAGGTCAAGGCTCCCGAGACGCCCAAGAAGCGCGGCCGCCCTCGCAAGAACCCCGAGACGCCCAAGAAGGACGCCTCGACCGACACCGAGTCCGTCAGTGGCGAGAAGCAGATTCGTGTCCTCCCCGAAGGCAGCACCGGTGTTCGTCTCCAGGGTACCTGGATCCCAGCCGAGGACGCCATCGAGGTCGCCGAAGCCTACGGCATCGCCAAGTATGCAGATGCCCTCATCCACGCTACCGCCGAGCACAGCGAGGACGGCGGTGCTCCCGTCCTCACCTCTGCTCCCGTCGCTGAAGTCAAGACGCCCCGCAAGCGCCAGCGTGTTTCCGCCGCCGCCGCTGCTGCCTCGGACGCCGAATCTTCCCCCAAGATCGTCCAGAAGATCACCCGCCGTGAAAACGCCGACGGCACCATCTCGCAAGTCAGCATCGAGTCCACCATGTCCAACGGCATCCCCGCCGCGCTGTCGCAGGCCGAGATCGAAGCACAGATCGCCGAGGCCAAAGCGCTCGCTGCTGGCATCCAGAAATCATCGGCTGGCAGCAAGAGCCCCTCGACGCGTGGCCAGAAGCGTCGCGCCGTCAACGACCGTCCTACCGCCGAGCTCGATCCTTTGGCTGACGACGAGGACTACGCCGAGAACGGCCGTGTGGTGCGTGCCTTCAAGCGAGGCACTCGTGTTGCTCGCAAGCGCCCCATCGCTACGACCGCGAGTGTTGTTGCTGCTGCTGGTGCTGTGGGTGCGGGTGCGCTCGCCTGGATCTCGGGCGGCAACCCTGACGTGGCCATCCAGACGCTCCAGACGAGCCTGCAGAGCGTCGGCCTGCAGAACTTCCAGAACCTCGGCCTGCAGAACCTGCAGAACTTGCAGCAGTTTGGCGGTCAGATTGGAAGCCAGCTCGCCGCGTATCTGCCGTGGTAAGCTCCCACAGCACAAAGCCTTCTGCTGCGCCTCTCGCACCTCCCCATCTCGATGGTCACCTCTGCTCCCCATGGCTACGAGACGATACCTTGCGCTCGGCTCGACGCTTTGCACCGCTCGCTCAACCGAACCCAACAGCTTTCAAATGTAGATTCTCCGATCCTTCTTTGATCTTGCCCCCCCCCCATCTTGTACTTTTGCTCTTCCTCTTCGGATCTCGCCCCTTCTTCGCAGCGACCACTGCTTCTTCCGTCAAGACGGAGCATCGCTGCTGCCGTCATCTTTTCTCTCCAGGTCTCAAAACAACTTGTGCTTCTAGGTTCTAGTGCTCTCAGTAACCGAAATATGAAATCCACAGCGAACCGTGTGAAATTGGTCTCAAGAAGGGGTGATGTGTCCGGGCAGCGAGACACGTCGATGGCGGTGCGACAGGAGGGTGTGAAGGGTTTTGCATTGCGATTTCCTAACTAGAGCAGGCGTCTCTAGCTGTGATTTTCTCAACGCAATCGATGCTTAAGCTGTTTGGACCGACGTGATAAGACCAAAGGATCAGCGGACTGTTCTCGAAACTACCTATGAAGACATCTACTTACCGCTCTTGCCGTTGATAGCGAGGAGCTCGACGTCGAAGATGAGGTCTGCGTTGGGGGGAATGACGCCGCCGGCGCCACGAGCGCCGTAGCCCTCGTTGGCGGGGATGTGGAGCTTGGCCCTCTCGCCGAGGCTCAGCTGGGGAACGCCCTCGTCCCAACCCTGAATGACGCGGCCGACGCCGATGGCGGTCTCGAAAGGTCCACGACCGGGCTTGCGCGAGGAATCGAACTCCTTACCGTTGGCAGCCAGCGTACCGATGTACTACCACAACACACAAAAGAACTCCCAAGTCAGTCTTCATTGCCTGAGATTAGCGGAAAAGGGGGGAGAAAGAGACAACCTACCTGCATCGTCACCGTGTCCCCCTTCTTAGGGAAGTTCTTGCCATCTCCAGGCGTGATCTTCTCGATTTGAACCATGTTGACGACAGAGGTGTGGATGTAACGTTTGGTGGTGCGAAGAACAGGTTGGATCGTGCGCAAAAATGACATGTTGTGGTGGAATTACGGAGGCAAAATGCAAAAGTGCGAACGGACCAGCTCTGGTCAGCGAATTGAAGGGAGAAGCGCGAAGAAGGGCCGTGGGCTCTGGCGCGACCCCCAGCTAGGCCGCACGTCATCCACGCTGCTCACACTCCCCGATGAGCCAACCATATCGGGTGATCATCCCTTCGCCCGCTGGCTCGACTCCAGCTCATAGCCTTCCCGAGACGAGCCGAACGATGTCCAATCGCTTCTGGCCGCCTCACACACATTCTGAGTCGAGATGCTGTCCTCGGGCCGAATGGAAGATATCAGGCTCGATTGGATATGAAGTCGTGATGCTTAAGCGGTGGTGATCTGAAACGATAGTGTCGAAACGCTTACTCTTTTGCGCTGTCTCGCCGGCCACCTACGCGCGCTGCAGGACCTTCTTCGTCACTCTTGCTATCCCCTCTCCTTTAATTGTCGCCTGCTCCTTCGCCCACACATTCGGCCCGCCACCATCCATCTCCCGATACGTACACCATGCGTACCACAGCGTCGTCCTCAGCGACAAAACATCCTCCTTCCAGCCCTTCTTATGATCCTTCACCAGCTCCCTGAACTCCGCAGTCAGCTTGAAGCACCTCCCGACATTCTGTGGCGAAACAAAGTCCACTGCGACCTTGACGCAGTCCGTCAAGTTGCACACCTGGTGAGCGCAGCCAGCGGGGATGAACACCGCCTCGCCTGGCTTCTGGTAGATGCGCCAGCTCTTGACGCCGTACTTGCGCCAAAGCTTGACGCGTTGGGGAGCGGAGATGAAGAAACGCTGAATGTGGATGGGATCGTCTTGGAACTTCAGCTTGGCGTGCTCCTCGCGGAGGAAGGCGCGGAGAGCGTCGGCGTCAGAGGCGCGGAAGATGTCCCATGCCGCAACGCCGGGTCGGTGCTCTTCGGGTATATCATCGCCGACAGGCGGGGCAGCGTAGAGCATAATGTTGACCGCGTCGGCGATATCCATGTGCAGTCGGGTGGTGCCTTGCCCTCTTGGACCCTCGGAGGCGGGCCAGGCGTTGTACATCTTCGGTCCCAGGTCAGGCTGAATGACGCCAATTGGGTAGCAGCTGCCTAGGTTGAGGACGCCTTCTCGCGTGGTGTACTCAGGAGCGGGGACCGCGAGGTTAAAATCTTCGTAGAGCTCCGGAAACTCGTGCTTGAACTCGGCGGAGGGAGGCCAATCCTTGAGCTTCCATGATCCTTGCCCGAGAACCTGCTCCTTCTGTTCCAGATCCTGGCCAAAGGTAGAAAAGAAGTCGCCGACAGACACCTCCTTGATCTCAGGCAGGTCCGTGTCAGAACGGAGGATGTGGCAGGACTCTTCGCCGTAGCGCGAAGCGAGGGAGTCCGGATCCCAAGTATGCTTCATAGGTCCCGTGACGTCGCGAACGAGCAGCGGTTCGCCGTGAGCCCACTCTTTGCAGAAGCGCTCCGTGTTGAAGTTAGACGCGTCAAAGGTGCGAAGAGTGTGGCTGCCGATAGCGTGGTCTGCAGTGAGACCGGCACGGTTCGTAGGGACTTCCTTCCAGAAGATAGCGGCGGCGTCCTCTGCCTCGGAGCCGTTGCTTGCATCGACAGTAGTGAGACTTCCAGAGGGGAGTGATGGTTCATCATCGCTGCGGACCTTGGCCTTGTTGGCCGTCATCATGGCTCGCATCGCGACCGTCTCTTGCTCGAGCAGCGAAATATCGAACCTGGTCAAAGGGATGAGATCATCAACCTTGTGCCCACGTACTCGGTCGCACTGCGTGATGCGCTTCAGGATGGTCAGGTCGGACTCGTCATGCTGCTCAATGGCATGTTTGCAGTCAAGACAGTATTCCCTTCCGCACCTCTCGCAGAACCAGCTTGCAGAAAAGATGCTGGTGGAACAGAACTCGCACATCTGTCGGCACGTCGTCTCCCTAGGTCGGCGCAAGGTGTTGTCCTGTTTTGCGTGTTCCAGCTCCGCTTCTAGGACGGGCAGGAGGGCTCGTGCCACATCCGCGTGAGCTCCAAGCAAAGCATCGGAAGCGAGAGGTCTGCTCGAGGGAAGGTGCATGACCTCGTCTGGGTCAGGTGAAGATATGAGAGCTGGCTCGACAGCGTCCGCCGCCTCTCCTGCATAGATGTCGTTCGTGGCCGGGTCGACGAGGAATGCGCGGAAGCCGATGAAGCGGCAAGTATCGCCAATCTTCTTCGCGATGCACTGGACGCATCTTCGCCAATGCCTGTATCTTTTGACTTGGCAAGTCTCGAATTGAAGCTCCCAGAGTTGGCCCTGCTCGTCCTGAAGGCGTCGACGTTCCTTCGGAGTTTGCGTGGAGGCCGCACTCTTGAACGAAGCCTTTGATTTGCCTTTGGCGGAAGGTGCACGGTAAAGGTCTCCATTCTCGTCGTCATGATCTGCCTTGACGCGAGAGGATGCTGGTGATCGAGGTGATGTCGCTGATCGTGACTTCTTCTGTGCAGGAGCTGCCAGCTCGGCAAACACTGAATCCGAGTAGGCGCGCTGGATGCTGTTCTGAGCGGCTTGTGCTGCGCTTCGTTTCGAGGTCGCTCGTAGCGGCGAAGACGATGCCTCCGCAGGAGTTTTGATGGCTGCGTCGTCTTCGGACCGCGCGGGCGTAGATGTTGGTGCCGTCTTTGGCTGACGTGGCTGATGATTGTCGGACTGGGCTACATGGGTGGACGAAGGGGCGGTAGTTGAGGACTGCGTCGCCACATTGACTTCGTCTTCGCTGTCGCTCAGATCGGACAGCGTTGAGTCGAGGTCTTGACTTGGTTCTGGGTCAGGTACCGCTGCGCGAGGACGAGACTTGTATGTTTTGAAGACGGGCTTGCGAGACTGCGTCTGAGTGGTGCTAGATGCGGCGGAAGAGACCGAGGCGCGACCCGGGGACGGAGTAGATGACGATGCTGACGGGGCGGATGACGAGGGAGAGTCTACGCGACTGCCGGCCTTCTTCTGTGTTGGGTTCCGCCGCAGCCTGTCTTCCGCCGCCTTGGCGGCGTTGCGCTGCGGAACGTACGCCAGCGTTGACATTAAGCGGATGTTACCGTAGCGTCTCGGGTTGCGGTGTCAAAGATGGCTGATGAAGGAAGGCGGATCAGCGCTATGGGAGAGCGATCCTTTGTTCAAGGCTGGATGTCAAGAGTCACGATGATCCGAAGAGCAGACATTGGCTGTGGTGGTGGAAAGGAAAGAATGAGAGTTGGGCTGGATGCGACGCGATGATGGATCAGAGCTGAGTTGCGGAGCGTGAACGAGTGACCATGCGGGTCGATGCGATGAAGAGAGTGTGGGCACTTGAGAACAGTGATGCGTTTGCAGATGCAGATACGAGAGTTGAGTTGGTGGTCGGGAAGCAAGAAGAGACCAAGGGCCGAGATCCAAGTCGGCTGCTGCGCATTGAGAAAAGCCGCGCTGAGACCAGGAGAAGCGCATTTCAGGGTCCAATTTCGCGTGGGGCAACGCTGTCTCTCGTCTCGGCTCTGGACGGCTCCGTGGCACACTGTGACTGCACGCAGACGTGCTACGAACCCGACTCGACATCGCTTCCCACGCTTCATTTGTGGGTTCATCGGCTCTCGCGGCTGTAATGGAGCAGACCCGACAGTGTGCTGTCGGCGAACGAGCCGAGTCGCTGTGGACAATAAGGAGCGAAAGTCGGCTGAGTCAAGCGACATCGCCCGCTCAAGCGCCCTCAAGCTTGAGGGATGACGGTCGAATCCGAAAGCGAAAAATGCAGTCACTAAAATCAGTAGGACCCTTGCTGAGCCTGACAGCCCGGCGATCTCGCAGTTCGTCAGCTCGCATAAACGCGGTGACCGTGCTTGAGGCTTGTGACTAAAGTGGAGTTCCCTTTGCTTCGCCATGGATGGATCAAGTTAGCATCGGACAAGCTTTCCTTCAAGCCACCACCATCACCGGCGCTGCTCGATCTCTTAGTTCGTCCATCATGGCACTCCTGACGTGGATCAAAGACGTCCTCGGCGTCGGCGCATTCCCGCGCCCACCCTACTCGCCAGCCCAAATCTACTCCATCGTACTAACGAGCTTCAAAGCATGGCCGTTCCTCATCCCCATCCTCTCGCTCATCAACGCCCCACACGGCAAGTTCTCCTACGAAAGCCTGCTCAATGTCAACGGCAACCTCGGGTGGTTCATCATGGAAATCCCCTCGCCCATCTTTGTTCTCCTCGGTGCACTCTCCAAGCCTCTCTCCACATCCGTCGTCAAGGGCACCACCGGCTTCCTTCCACCTCTGTCCGCGCTGTTCTCCCCAACTCTGAAGCAATTCGTCTCGCTACCGTCGCCGAACCAGGTGTTGGTGGTGATGTTCCTGATCCACTACACCCACCGAGCAGTGCTGCAGCCGTTGCGATCACCCAAGCGATCCCCGATCCACCTGTCGGTGCCGTTGTCGGCGATCCTGTTCAACCTGATCAACGGCTTTGTAATGGGAAGCTGGCTGGGCGGGAGGACACCCTGGTCGGCTCTGCCCCAACCTGCCGTCGCCTCCGCTGCCCTAGCCACTATAAGTGCCAAGACCGGCACCACTGCTTCGTCAGCCGCAGCATCGGAGCTCGCCCGCAAGCTCGTCTCCACGGGGGCTGCTGATGCATTCGGCATCGGCGCTCCCGGTCTCATCTCTCCCACCGTGTGGAAATCCCCATTGTGGTACCTCGGCCTAGCAGGGTGGGCAATCGGTTTCGCAGGCAACGTCCTCCACGACGAAATCCTCATGGACCTCCGACGACCCAACAAATCGCAGAAACCAGCCGACACGGCCGACGTGGGTAAAGGCAGCACCGCACGCAAATACTCCATCCCCCGAGGCGCCCTCTTCGAGTACATCAGCTTCCCCAACTACCTCTGCGAATGGTTCGAGTGGTTTGCCTTCGCATGGGCCGCTTTGTACTCTTTGCCCATCTTCACACATTTGACGGCAAAAGATGTGGTGGCTACCGCGCTGAGTACGCCACCGTTCCTGTTCCCCTTCGTGCTCGTATGCCTGATGGCGCCTAGAGCGGCCAACGGTCATCAGTGGTACAAGAAGACATTCGGTGACAAGTTCCCGCGTCAACGAAAGGCACTCATTCCTTACATCTTCTAGCCTATTCATCGGAATCGTACCATGCTAGAATGATGCTTTGAGGGGGATGTGTGTGCGGTCGGTACATGCTCCGATGATGGGGGATGAAAGTGGTATACGAGTGTGGGAGATCCGATGATTCCTTTCAATGCTTGCGAACGCTGCTGGCGAAGCTGGGGCCTCGATCGGCCAGAGTCGTTTTAGCCGGGCTACTGGAGGCTGCTCGTTCTGGATCCGACTCCATCCTCACCCGCTTGTGTGGGCTCGACGTCGCTGTTCCGCTTTCGGACGCCTTGGGAGCATCAGCAACGACCTCGTCTGCGCTCCTCTTCTTGCTCGGGCTGATGGACGATCTCCCTGCACCGGCAGACGTGGCAGTCGAGCTGCCCACGCGACTCCAAAAGTCCGCATAGCTCGTCGCGCCACCTGCCGTCGCTTTGTTGTTTGGCGAGCGCTTCTGCGCCTCCCCAGCCTTGCTGGCCGAAGAGTTGGTGCTGGTGTTGGGCGGCGAGATGGGTGTGGACGATGCAGATCGACCGCGCTTGCTCGTCAGATACGAAGTAGCACCGGGAATACTTCCGGCAGATGCGGGGGGAGTGGCGAGGCCATAGCCGCCAAAGACGTCACCGCCTTCTGCATCGGTCTTCTTGACAGCTGCATCTTTGAAAAGGCGCGATCCGAGGGCGAGCTGAGCTTGGGCGGCTGCGACACTGGGCGTCACGGGTGCTTTGTTGTTAGGTGATGTCGAGGCGCTCTTCCTTGCTCCAGTGGCGGTGGCAGTACTGGTTCCGGACTGGTTCTGTCTGTAGTAGAGGTTTTCGACCTCGGGAAGCGATTGTTTGGACTGCGGTGCGATCACAAGAAGGATGGCATCAGATATATAGGTTAGCTTCAGATCTTCAACGGTGCCCAACCGCCTTCGTGGCATCGTACTTACCCAGCCGTGCTCGACCTTGAAGTTGGCGTACTGCAGCCTGGTCATCAAGTGTTTGGATAGCTAGAGGGCAAGAACAAAGAAACAACGAGATGGGTGAGCCGGTCGGACCACGTTGACGGCGCTAGCTAGGTGCGACGGGCTGAGATACTTACTGCGACGAGCCGTGTTCGCTGCGCTTGAGCCTGCTTGCGTGCTTTGCTGGGAGTGATGGGCACATTCGACGATGCTGACGACTGCAATGGTGCTAGCAGGTACGACTGCGACGAGCCGGCAGCAGTACTGACTGGAGCAGACGCTTGCGATGCCATGATGCTGATGTTGCTGGGTGGTATCGATGCTGATGCTGTTGCGTAGGTCTGGACGAGGCTCATGGACGCTGAGGCTGGCGAGGCTTGAAGCGATATGCTGATGTCGTACTACCTCGGTGTCACTGGCCCAGCTGCCGTGCTAATGGTGTCCAGGATGTAGTGACCACGAGATGCCAAGCTGCCAGAGTACTGATGATGAGTGTAGGCAAGGAGAGCAAGGATGAAGCTGCTCGATGAGGATGGAAGAGGGTGGAGAAAGACTAGCCAGGGTCTAGCTTCATCCAAAAGCTCTCAACACGCACCTAGCCTCGCACACACATACACACCGACTGACACGAGCTTGCTTTCTTCGGGCCTAGTGCAACACACATGCACGCACGCACCTCTCGCTGAGCTGTCCTGCACAAGGCGCTCGGTGCTCCTTCCTGGATAGCCAGAGCGGACCATGCTGCTGCTGATGGCTGATTTGGGCAAGAATATTTTCCTCTTTTGAAATTGGCCGCGGCTGTCGCTCTTCTTGTGCTTCTGTGGCTCTGCAGCGGCAAAAAACTGGGGAAAAGCACAAAACACGGCGTGTAGCTCACTGCCCACGCGCCTCACGTGATAGCAGCGCCTTTTTGAACAGAGAGTGGAGGCGCAGTGCCAAAATTGTTAGACCTGCTCTTGGCCTGCTGGAATTTCTAGACCTGCACGGACCGAGTCGAGCCTACCTACACTTGCCTTGTCTTCGTCGACGTCGCAACTATCCCATCACCCTTCGAGGACTCTTGACCGCTCCATACCCACACAGGCACAGGTTCAGATTGCAAACATGTCAAGACCATCGGCAGTTGGGCCATCGACGGCGCCCGCGATCGAGCGTCTATCGCTGGGGTCTTCCTCCAGCCCGTCCACCTCAAGACCCTCCCACGCCCTACCATCTCTTTCGAATCCACCCAACCTCAGCGGCGATAGCGCACAAGCAAGCACATCAGCAGCGCTCGTCACTCTCGATGTGCTCGACCTCGCCGCGCCCATCCCGCACTACGTCGATAGCCAGGTGCTGCACACTCTAGCTACAGAAATGGTCACCACGCTCATTCACAGCTCTCGCGTTGTGCACCGCAAGCAGACGCTGGCACGGGAGGAGCTCCAACAAGCCGGCATCACTCTACCGACACTCACCAAGCCATCATCTGCACCGACCCCGGCGCCTGGCGCCTTGAGCTCCAATAGCGAAGTGGTCCGGACTATCTCTGGTGTCGACTCCCCGGAGACCCTCACGGAAGTGGAAACGCTGCTCACCACCCGTCTAGAAAGCATCGGCTACCACGTGGGCTATCATATAGCCGAGAACCTCGCGCGCGAACGAGCACGCTTCACAGACACCCTCGACGTGCTCAAGTTCGTCTGCAAAGAGGTGTGGGTCTGCGTATGGGGCAAACAGGTAGACAACCTACGCACCAACCATCGAGGCGTATACGTGCTGCACGATAACAACTTTCATCCGCTCCGACACGTGAGTACTGCACAGGGGGCGCAATCGACGGCAAAGGAGGCAAGGGTGTTCTTGGCATATTCGGTGGGGTTGGTCAAGGGGGCGTTGGCGCAGTTGGATGTGCCAAGTAGTGTGGTCGCAGAGACGAATCAGGCCCCGCAGTGCACTTTCCATGTCAAGACGCAGAAGGGTGGTGCGCAGGCAGCGACAGCAACAGCAACGGCGCCGGCTACGACACCATCTGCGGCTGCTTGAGCTGGGCTCGAGAGAAGCTAACCTATCGTTACCACACGCGTTACCATTCGTCATACATCCTACTCAGGGTCCAACCCTGTGTTGCACGATTGCATACATGCGTAACCGGTTGCGCTGAAGCCATCGTGACGTGTGAGAGTACCTGTGAATTGAGAAGGGGCGGCTCGCTACAAGTCGAAATCGCTATCGTCGTCGTCCTGAACCGTCTTCTTCCTTGTGAACTGACATCGAATTGCCAGAGGAACGCAGAAGGAGCAGCAAGCGTCAGTGCTCGACATTCTCCGATTATGGAGTTGGTACCATGGCGTACTTACAGTGATCTTCCCCGCGCCCGACTCGGCAGCATTCGCCTGATCCACCTGATCGAGCAAATCGATGAGCTGTTCCTCCTTGATCTTGCCGCGGATCTGGCCCGATTGGGCCATGCGGATGAGCAGATCCGTGATCTGGCGTGCCTTTTGCGGCTTGACCAGGCCGATTCTCGACACTGCGTTAACCATTCGTTTGGGTCAGCGACGATGCGAATTTCGAAATGGGGGTTGGGGGCAACTTACGTCGTTCTCGCGCCTCGGTGTCGAGGATGCGACTGAGCATCTGGCGCTTCATCTCTTCCTGTTGTGCTTGCTGTTCTTCTTGGTTCTTGCCTCCGGAGCCTCCGTTCGATGCGCCTTGCGGCCCGCTGAAGCCTGTACCGACGAGCACCAAGCGATGTTACGAAGTGATCAGCATTGGGGTCCGTTGCTTCCGCTCGAGCTCGCGCAACTTACCGCTTGATCCAGAAGCACCGCCGGAGCTGGCACTACTCCCACCGCCACCTCGAAGCTCGGCCATGCGAGCAGCGCGAATCGCTTGCAGTTCGTCGTCCTCCATCTTGGATTGTTGAAGATGTGTTGGTGTTGGAGAGAGGCTAAAGGCGCCTGAGCCCAGCTCTAAATTTTGGCGGGGCAGCAGCGCATCCGACTTCCGAAAAAAGCGGCGGCGCCAGAAGCGTGCGCTGAGGAGCTTCTAGATCCCGCCCGCGTTTCACGTCGTCGAACGTAGGGTTGTCGACGCGGAAAGGACGATGTGAAAACAGTTTTGAGCGCCGCCAGCAAGCTCTTGTGCTTGGGAATGACCGGGAATCAGGACGAGCAAAGCTGTGACCAGCGATGAGGTTCAGTTTGAGGGAGGCATTGGACGAGCCGATGTGGCCCGATTGGCTCTCCAGGATGCACACGATCGCAAGCCGTCAGGCTCACTTCTTCGACACTATGCTCGCACGACCGTAGTCGATCCTCATCACTCGTGAAAGGTGTCCTCCGATCTTTCGCCAGATGGATGGCCAAGACGTGCAGCATGTCCGATGATGCGCGAGCCCGCACTCAATCTGGTTCCTCCCTGTGCGCACTGAGCGACCATATCGTCTCGATGCAGGTCCACAGCGGATAAACGCACAGCCAACGTTACTTGCATCTCGCTCTTGCATGCAATCAAGGATGGATAGATTGACTTCTGCTGACTTGTTTGCAATTCAAACGGCGACGTGGGAACAATGGTATAAGTGGCGGCTTTCCATCCGGCAGCTCTGACAAGGCGACAGCAAGGCGGAGTCCATGCTGGCCGAAGCGGGAAGTGTCGATCAAGCGACGAATCACTGCAGACCCCACATCCCATGGCCACGTCGAAAGGCGAACGGGAAGATCTCTCGACGATGCAGGCCCCTCTTTTCAAAGTGACGAGCCCAGACTCCTGATGTTTTGCTCCGCTGCTCCGCGTATGATAATTTCTCGTGCAGCAGCGCGTCTCTTATGTGAACCCAACTCTAAAACAAAAAAGATGAGTGTCTGAGTTGCGAGGCAAGGGTGCACCCTGTCTCATCTGAAACTGACAACAAATCAAAGTTGGCCGCTGGCGTCTTCTGAGCTCTTCGCAAGAGTCGTGTCCAGCAGACCGTAGGCTTCGAATCCAGCACTCCCACGAAGATGATGGTGCATGAAGGCCTTACCCAGGCGGGACTTCCGACACTCCTACGTCGCTATCACGTAGGGAAGGCGATGCCGACGGAGCAGCCGATAATGCTGCAAGGCTGACCCACCAACTCACTCACGCCAATCACGGCGTATCGGCGTGCTAGCGTACAGCTGCACACCACGGTCGGCGGCGTGTTCATGGCGTCGGCCATCGTGGTCACGCACACTAAAACGTCGGCAAAGAACCAAAAAAGTCAGCCCGCTTGGCGTAACTTAGCGAGGGTCTTCCTCCTAGCCAAAAATTTCTCGGCCTTCTCGCTTATCCAAAGGCTGCCTGCTCTACTGCAGAGAGGAGCATCGATAGGCCCATTGCCATCGTCCCATTCTGCTCGCTTGTGTGGTTCGGCTGATGCGAGATGAGATGAGAACCTCTCGGTGGGAGTCTCCTTACCCTAGTCACGATGCGCATGATCCACTCTCAGACATGCACCTCTGCAGCGCTTCGGTCCATCCGAACCCTGCTGCTGAAATCTCGTTTGTCATGCAACCAACGCTGCTTCTCGACGTGTTGGCGTCGCCCCTCGCTTCCACGCTGCAGCGGATCCCTTCCTCCAGTCCAGGTGGGCTGAGTGGAGAGAAGAGAGAGAGACTCTCCCCGATTCAAGCCTTCTCTGAACCTTCAAGAAGCCAGTCACCGGTCTTCCCGCTCCCATCGCGGCCCCCCTATCCGTCTCTCCACCATCACTTTCACCCAAGTCGGGACGCTCAAGCTCGCCCTCCCTCCTTTCCGATACACGAGAGCACAGCACCACGGATTAGATCGGTTGTACGAGTCGCGCTTCTCGGAGCGAGGATCATATACCACCTCGCATCGCGACCACGCTGCAGCGCAAAGTACATCCGTCTGCACAATCCAAACACACTCTTCAGCCAAGATCGCCAGCATCCCTGATCTTGATGATCAGTTCACTTGCTTAGACCCGGCTCCCACTGGTACATCGTGCGCCACGGCACGGCCAAGGCCGGCTTGCTCACAAACGGACAACTACATCCGCTCAGCTTGAACTTTCTCTGTCGAAACCAGCGGCCTCAGCACCAACCTGCGTCCGAGTTCTATCTCAACAATGTCGACTTCGCTCCAGGACCACCCCTATCAGCCTCATTCTGGCGCCTCTAGAGACCGCACAGTCACTCTCAAACCCACATCGTCAAAGCCAGCACCGATTCGATCCAGCCCTCGTAGTCGGTCTCCTCGATCGTCAAGGTCTAGAGCAACACCTACACCTACTTCTGACTCCCCTCTTTCCGAATCTTCTCAACCAAGACCGGCCCAACTAGGTTCCGAGCTCTTTGATGCCATCGTCCAGTCCGCCAATCCCAGACATCCACAGTATGCTGCCTGGCATGACAAACACAGCTCCTCCTCTTCTCGATCGTCTCGTGCTTCCGGATCCAGTAGTCTGATCCTCGACAATGTAGCCACCTCGTCGCCTGCCACGCCATCTTCTCACAGATCGTTCGACCCCTCGGAACCCTCGGCACGCAAGAAGCATGCAGCACGCATGGCAAGGGACGGCTATTCGGCCTATCGCCAAGCCCACGAGGCGGCAGGGTCGGACGCCGACGATCCGATGCCCACGGAAGGACGTTTCACACCCGTGCGAGCCTCCTTTGAAGGCTCCGTGCGATCCTACTGCTCTTCGAATGTCACCAGCACGAGTCAAAGGCGTCGCGATCGTAGGATGCGAGAGAGACCTAAGCCGCTCTTGCCTCCTGTCCCGCCTCCGAGAATCACGAGCTCTACCAACTGGCAATCGGTTCAGGCTTCTGCTTCCATGTACGACCTCGCCAGTTCGCTGCCGCGTGTCCCAGCTCATCCTGCTGCTCCGGCCAGCGCCGGAGATCATCGCGATCGCCGCTTTGCGCAAGCTTCGTCCCGACACATGGTTGCATCTCCGTCTGCGCCAGCAGTGCTTCGCATGGCGCACCCGTATGCTTCGGCTGTGACATTGCCTCAGCTGCACGAACAAGACCCTGGACCGGCGTCATCACCGTTGAACACCTATCGCACTCATCAGCCAGCCTCTGCACCCGCGGTTCCGCCAAAGAACGTCGCTCGCAGCAGTCATGCGACAGCAGCATTCGTTGCACAAGTGACCGCCTCGGCGCTGACGAGCCCAGACCTCAGGACCACAGCTATCGATCAGAGCCGGGGCACCCTGCGTCAAGTCGATCCTAGCGTCTTTCCGATGCGCCGCGATGACGAGTTCCGCAACAACGAGTTCGAGATGTCGGACGATTCCGAGCTCGAAGGCGGTCTAGTGGGATCGCAGCCACCGCTCTCCAGCTTCAGACAGACTTCGTTCGTCTCAGGTTCTGCCGCGGAGAAGCGCCCTGGCAAGTTCCGGCGCAGTCTCGACTCGGTCATCTCTCCTTTCCGTGCGGGTCTGCTCAACAGCACTCCATCCCATAATGTTCGCATCGAACCAACGAAGAGCAGTGTCACGGGCTCGGTCCAGAACGACGAGCCGGTGGCCCAGGGTCGACGCAGCTTCTCGGACTCGCGCTTTGTGAGACCCTTCCTTCCTCGCCCGCGTGCTGCTACCATCGGCCGGCAGACACGCCCGCTGAGCAAGGTCATCGATCAACCCGAGGAGGACTTTGTCGATCCTTCGCGTCCCAACGATGCTCAATCCCACCAGGACGACCCACACGACCCAAGCCCTATCCGCATCCGCGATCAAACCGTCGTCGCTATCGCAAGCGAGTCTCAGCCCGCAGTGCCGATGCTGGCCAGCGCACAACGCACCGCTAGCATCTACAGTCATTCCACGAGCAATCATCACAGCATGTCTAGCCCCCTGGACGCCGCTGCATCCTCGCATCAACGATCGCGTGGCAAGTTTGGCGGCTTCATGGACAAGTTCAAAGGCTCTCGAGCGTCCAAGGCGTCATCCACTATTCCAGTGCGGGAGTCCACGCCACAGGCATTGCCCACGTCTCAATCATTGTATTCAGATTACCGAGGAGCATCTCTTGCACCTGCGATCTCAGCATCACCGTCCGTGGCTGTCGCCTCTCTACCTTCCATCACCGGTAAACCGGCAGAGCGAGGCTTGCGAAGTCGTGTCAAGTCCTTCACTTCGCTTTCATCGTCTCGGAGCAAGAAAGAGGCCGCCGATGTGCCTGCCATCCCAGCGATCCCGCCCAACTTTGCCGCACCGACGGAGAGCTCGACGACACATTCCGCGTTGGAAGCATCGCTCCGAGCACCCGTAGCACCCACCTTCGCTTCCACCCCATCTTCGTTGAAACTCGGAAAGCTCTTGCGACGGAGGAAGGTCAATGACGGTGTCGACAAGGTTGTTGACAGTCCGCCTGTCTCATCTTCGAGCACATCATCCTTGAAGCCGATGGCCGAAGCGATGCCGAGGCCATCGATGTCTTCCGCTAAGGGCTTCGATCTTGCCGAGCCAGCGGGCACGTCAGCGAATGTAGCGCAATCGCGCGTCACTATCCGCAAGACCTTGAGCCCTGCTCTCCTACGGGACACGCCTCAGTCAAGCATCGACGCCGCCTTCGGAGCAGCCCAACCTTTCTCGCCGGATCGCCCTGCTGTTCACTCGAGCAACGATAGCAACACAGTTGATCAACTTGAGGTTCCAGAGGCAACCGATCACGATCAGGCAGAGGAGCTGGGTTCAAGCGCTGTGGACCAGCATCGTTCACAGCCGCCGCGATCTCGCCGGCCGCCTCGCGCCACCTCTCGGGTCGACCGGCTATCGCGTGTGGAGGAGCTCAGTGAGCGTCTCTCCTACATTGCCGAGCCGAAGGAGTCCACCCAGTCCCAGGACTCAGCTCTCGCGACCCACGACTCGCCATCCTCCCACTACCCTCGCTCCTTCGGTGAGCACCGGTTCCAGCGCAACAACCACCGCGAGCAGACTCTGCCGCAAAGACTCGAGTTGGCTGTTACAGAGGAGGAACGGCCGCAGGAGGTTGGTCACATTGCGCAGCGGGCCGCTGGGAGCGTGGGACAGGCGGGTGTCTCGGAGGACGACGGAATGGAATGGGTGGCCTCGACTAAGTCGGCCGGCCTCAAGCCATCAACCGAAGCTCCCTGTGTCCCGGCTCCAAGGACTCCAATCACTCCCAGCCTCGTCAGCCAGTTGACACCAACATGGCGCTCGGCGAGCTCCAGTGCTCCGGCATCGGCAAGGACCTCGTTCTCGCAGGATCGAGATCGAGCTCCCGTCGCAAGTCCAATCAGTCCGCCCTTGCCGGCAAAGCGCAGCGTGGCACAAGCCATCAAGAATCTGGGCATCAAGAACCCGACCAAGAAGGGCGGCAAAGGCATTGGTCCCAACGACGTCATCGTCCTAGGTTTTGACCACGACCGGGAAGAGGGCGACTTGAGCCAAGAGATGAGCTCGCGACCGTTGGTCTCCGTCGAGTCGAGGTCCTCCTTCGGTGGCGGCGCAAGACCTTCGTTCAGCGCTTTGGCAAGGCCTAGCTTCAGCACGGCTCGACCAAGCCTTGATGCGACACGCAGCAACAGCCTGATGGCAGCCGAGCTGGCCACCAAGCAGCTGGAAGCCGAGGCGATCGCAATGATGCAAAGCCCGTTCATCCCGTCGTCCGGCAGTGAGGGGCTGAGCGAACAAGCGCCTACTGCGTCGCCGCTCAGAGGGCTCGCAGGTAGCCTCGGAAAGACGAGCGAACCAGCGGGTCTCGGCCTCGACGCCGGGCCATACCCTGACACCCTACCCTCCCGCAAGAGCGAAAGCATGGACATCTCCGGCAGCACCTCGGAAGGCACTTTCACCACCCAAGGCATCCAGACGCCGGACAACATGTCGCTGTCTCACAGCTACATGTCGCAGCTGCCCGCCCGATCGGACTGGACGACGGGTGCCACGACGCCGCTCGCGGGCCGAGCGAGCTTCGATACGGGCTCGCAGATGACGGTGGCGCTCAAGTCGCCGGAGCAGCTGGCATTCGAGGATATGCTGGGTCGGTTCCCGCAACAGCAGAAGAGCTTGCTGCAGGATATCTCGGCTCGAGTGGGCAAGACGCCCGTGCTGGGATCGGCCGGATGGACTAGTAGGGAGGATCTATAGTGCTGCTCGTCACGGACTCTCTGACTCTACACAATCGCATCGAACTTTCATTCGTTCATAATCCCGCGTGCTTTGTCCCAGCGAGTACATTCTCCGCCCTTTCGTTGCTCGTGATGTGAGTCGATGACGTTGACGATATGTTGACGCCTCTGATCGAGGCCAACTGTGTTAGGCCTTGGCAAGAGAGATTCGAGCCACGCGAGCAAGGTCGAGACCTTCTACCGAGCTCAGGGTCTTCTCACCTGTTTTCGAGCTTTCTGGAAGGAAAATTCGAGATCTCTGGGCGTTCCCTCTGCGAGACCAACACCTCTTTCTTTCACCAACATCTCCGTTGCACCATCACCACGACAGCAAGACACACGATGGCGGACGCAACATCTTCGTCCTCAACCCCACCGCTCCTGCCTGGCGGGTTCCACGCGTTCAACCCGCAAGCGGACTTCTCGGACAACACGGTGACCAACACCTCCCGACCGCTCACCGACGCCGTCATCACGATCCGCATTATCAAATCGTTCGAGTTTCGCTCCATGAAGGCTTACGTTCTCAAACACGTCGACCTTACCACCACTACGATCGCTTCACTCGAGGACCTCTGTCGGACCGAAGTGAGGAGCAGTCCAACCTTCAAAGCCTTCCGCAGCTACGCGGAAAAGTTGGACACGCTCAAGCTGTATACGCGCGCCCACGGAAGTAAGACCACCAACCTCATCATCAACCTCGACCACGACGATTGGCTGCTGGAAGATCGAAACCTCCCAAAGCTGGCAGGCGCAGACGGGGAGAGGACAAAGGAGACGACCACCCTGGCAGATATCGGGGTGGAGAACGAAACCGAGCTGAGCTTTTTCAACAAGCAGGCGTACGAGGAGTTCTTGGCCAATCCGAACACCAAATGGGACGCTACGGGCTAGACAAGCGTCATCCCGAGATCCAGCTGGTGGTCGACGCACTATACCCAACTCCTTCGCGGCGTCCTGCTCACCTTTGCCTTTCCACCGACTCGATCCTGGCTCCGAAAGCCTGCGCCAATCACACTCTCCAGCGATGTACTCCGTGTGTCAACCACGCTTCCCTTCTTCATTGTCAAAAGCACGCACTCCCTTGTCATGGAATGTCAGAGATCACAAGCGCAGTCTGACGTCGGAAGCATGAATGAAATGCATGAATCACGAATTGCAGAAATGAGTCTGTGTGCTGAGCGAGAAGATGCAAGAGAGAACGGGAACGGAAACGACGCTGCAACACATCAATCCTCAATGGCCATATCCTCCAAATCGTCCAACAACTCATCCAGTCCGACCCTCGGCGCATCATCGTCGCCCCACTCGCTCTCGCCATCGGTGGTCATACCATCGTCCTCGTCGCCATCCTCGACCATGCCGTTCGCCGCAGCCGCCTCGCGCTCGGCCTTGATCTGCTCTGCCCTCTCCTTCCTCGCCTTCTTCTCCTCCTCCTTCTTGGCATCCCTATACAGGTTGACGGTACCACGCATCTCCTCGTCCTCCTCGAGCTCGCGCAGGAACAATTCGTAGTCTCGCTCCACCCTCTGAGAGTCCAACCCACCGCGTCGGCCGACGGCACCGCGACCCACCGCACCCTCCGTCGTCGGATCCTCCGCTTCCTTCGCCATGGACTTGAGCTTCCACATTCGGTTCTTGGATCGCTTCTTGCGTTCAGGATAGCTCTTCTTCACCAGAACCACATCCGGCATGCGGTCGGCGGGGATGGTGTCCCACGTAGCAGAGTTGAAGTTGGCCACGCGAAGGTAGTAGCCCATGACGGTGTCGCCGGGTTGGAGGATTGCCCCCAGGTGGGTTCGGGTGTGGTAGACCGCATCCGCCTCACCAAAGGATGTTGCGTTCAATGGCGAGACTTGCGCATCTGCCTCTTCGAGACGACGGTTCTCGACACCGTGCGAGTTGGTTGCGTAGCGGCCGGTGGGTTCGATGTCGAGCACGAGGAACTCGATCATTTCCGGAATCGTCGCCAACGCAGGTTGCGGGTCCCGCCAGTACTTCTCTGCGGGCACTTCGGCCAGTTGCAGACTGATCGGATCGATGAATCGCAACGAGTTGGTTACCTTGTTGCACAGCACCAGCTGACCGATGTTGCCGAGCTGCTTGGCCATCTTGGGCGGCAAACACACCAGGTCATCCTTGCAGATCGGCGCGATCTCTACACTGTACGTAAACTTGTAGTTGGTCGTCGACGTGTGGACGTCCATCGAAATCACCTGTTCGGACTTGGTCGTCTTGATCGGCACGACCGAGTTGAGAAACTCGACCATCTTGATCGCATGTGCGCGCTGGGTGTAGAAAAAGTCCAGCCCATCCTTCTTCTCGTTAATCGAGACGGTGTTCTGGTGTGCGTTGTGTTTGAGGATGAGCTGTTCGAGGTAGAGGAAGGTGCGTTTGTGCGGCACCTTTTGGCGCACCTGGACCATGGCACGCCAGGTGTTCTTGGCAGCGAGACGCGTGCAATCGGGACACTGACCGTACTGAACGACGAACTCGACCTCGAATATCTGCTGCAGGATGGTCGACGTGAACACTTCCTTCTGGACCGTCAGCTTGACGCGCAGACGCTTCGAGTGCGGCTCGGTCCAGATGAAACCCGCATCGATGAGCCGAACCTTGTTCAAGCCCTTGAGCTTCTTGAGACAGATGGCGAGGAGCTCGCGCGATTCGAGCCGCGCAGGTACCCACGACTGAGGCGGGTTGAGGTAGCGCTCGCAGTTGCGGCAGAAGTTGACCGTGGCCTGTTTGGGGACGGACTCGGTGATGTCGACCGAGTTGCGCAGGCACGAGAGACAGAGGTTGGCGTTGTTGGGCGTGATCGGGGTTCCGCAGTCGGCGCAGAGCACCATGTGCTGCGCTGCTGGAGGGTGGTACTCCATCTTCGTACTGTTGTGAGGGTGGTGTCGGTCAGTGATGGTGGTGAGCAGAGGAAGATGTTGCTAACTCCGTGGCGAATGAGCAGCTCGTTGCTTCTTCTCGAAATTTAAGGCGCAGCAACCAACTTTTTCGGTGGAGAAATTTTTGGATGTCGAGTGCGGGTCTCGTGCAGCTGTGTGGCTCAGCCAAGAAGGGTCGCAAATCTGAGCCAGATCTCGTATCGGGAGCATTCTAGCAGTGATGTTAGAGTGCCACAACGCCCGAAATAGCGCTCCGAGACCCGAGCAAAAAGCCAGAGGCCCTTTGACGTAACGGTTCAGCTTGTGGAGGAGGAGCAGGGCATGCTGATGATCAACGCTGTGTTGAGGACCCTTCCATACTGTCATTCAACATCATTACTACTCAAAGGAGGAACAGAACCTACAGGAAGTCACACGAACTGCAAGCAACGGCAACGAGGCAAAGTTCAACATCATGTAAGTGCCTGCATCGAGCCGAGCTTCTTTGCTCGCGAGCCTCACGTACCGACTTCCTCGACTCGGAAGGCTGACGATCCGCGTGATTGCCTCAACATCGCTCTGCGATGATGACTGCAGGTCCGGAGCATCTTCAAATCTTACCGAGCGAATGGACTCGCCAGCGCATGAGTCGACAAGGCAGTTCGTGCAGCAGACCGGGGCTGCCATCTTCACATTGGACGGGTAAGTTCTGCACCAGCAAGCCTCACGGCTTCGCATCCTCCGGACGGATCAGCTAGGTTCTCGAGCTAACTCACCCGTCTTTCACATCCATCACGACCACACAATCTGCAGAGAGCGAGGGTCCGGCAGATCGCAGCTCTGCGCAAAGCAGGCCGACGGTCGCATGACGTGCACCGAGATCGCGTTGGAAGGTAAGCTCAGCCCGCCGTCGGAACAAGACCATGGATCCGCTGGGAGGAAATCATCGCTGACACTCTTCTGTTGCGCTCTCACAGCCAAATCACTCTTCTCGACAATGCAGAGCCTCAACTTCTTCTGCACCTTGCCGCAAGATCCATCGAAGACACACATCAACTGCCAGCGCATTCCCTCATCGTAGCGCGTCACGAAGGCGGGGGCCACCTGTCTGGCGCAGCCGCAACACAACATCGGACGCTGACCGAATGGCCAATGTATCACTCAAACACAACAATGGACTGAAGCACTCGAACCGTTTGACTTGCGGACAGTCATGTTGATGCAGCTTCGGGCGGCCAATTGGACCAAGAGTGCTCATGTCCCTATGTAGCTCGACCGTTCGAGCCCGAAGCCATCTGTCTTCTTGGATCGCTTACACATCAAAGTATGGGGCTCAGCAGCCGTTTTGCATGCAGTAGGGCCTTCGAGCAGTGCCAGTTGCACCTGGATGCAGAGGTTTTCGGCGACCTTGCCCGCCAGTCGGAAGCTTTGCAGAGCCTATTTTGCAGAGGCAATCCTGAGCAAATTCGTTTGTCATCGTCGGAAGACCGTCGAGGATCATCTTGAGCATCGTTTCACGACCCGTGGGAAAGGCAGCCTGCTGAAAGATGCAGCTGTACGAGGCCGGCCAGCGAGCGTTTTTCCTGAGAAGATCTTCAAGTCGGATGGAATCCTTGAAAATTAGGACCCTCTTTTTGCCGACGCGGATGCCTTCCGAAAAGAAAGCGCGTGCACAGTCACAGGGTGGATTGCCAATGCTTCGATGCAAGGCACATGCTGAGAGAGACAGAGAGGCATGACTGACAGTCGTGAGCGGTGGAAAAGGGATTCGGTCTGCATTCAGCGCCCAAATAGCACGTCGCGCAGGCGAGATGCCAGTCCGTCGGCAGATCCTTGGCTGAGCTCTTCTTCCTTCGTATGATCTTCGACTGATCTTTCTTCGACGCCCATCACTATCGACTGGCGAGCCCCTTTCGAAAAGCCACAAAGTGCCTCTCCTGTGGCTACAGAGCCTCGTTGACTCGCGCCGAGTCTGCGCAGCAACAGCCGCCACTTTCATTTGCCTCACAGTCTCGCTCCTTTCCGCTCCAACACGCTCTCTTCTTGACAACCACACACACTCCAACTCCGTCGTCTACGCAGCAACATTGCCATCGCAAGCGCCTCCTCGTTGTCACAGCACTGTCTTATCCAAGACACCGCATCGCTACTACGCCAAAGGAAAGCATAATTCTCACCGACCACGCGCATACACGCACCCAGCCACCGGCTCACTACGCCTGAAACCGGGCTCCCTCGACATCGTCGCTACCTTTCAGTTGAATCTCTGTTCGTATGCCATCGATTGGTCCGGATGTCATCGAAATCTTGGACGACAGCAGCGAATCTAGATCCTCCCCTCCTCCCGACATCATAGACTCCAAAATGAGTGCAAGGCCCTCTTACGCAGATGCCGTCAACGACGAAGACATGCACCCGTCTTCGGCCGCGTCGCGTGTCTCCCTCGCGAACCTCCTCGGCCCTTCTGGTCCCGGCTCCTCACCTTATGCCAGCACTCCTCGCACATCACCTCGCAAGCGATCCAGCGCAGGCGAGTCTGCCGCCAATCTGCAACTCCCTCCTGAGAGCGGCAATCGCAGCGGCAGCTCCAGCGGTCAACCTCGTCGCATCGAATTGTCCTCAACTTCACAGGCCGCATCCACAGAGGCTGCGCAGACATTCCACGACGCAAAAGAGCATGTAGCAGAAGACGTGGCGATGGCAGATCCCATCGAGGAGAATGGGCGCGAACCGGAAGACTACGACCACGATGATGACGACGATGACGAAGAGGACGACGACGACGATAAAGCAACCACCGATGCCGGCAGTGCATCCGAAGGCGAAGGCGATGACAAGGGCGAAGGCTCGTCACCCAAAGACGGAGCCAAGGCAGGTGGGAACCCATCCTCGCCTAGCAAGAAGCGCTCGCGTCGTCGAAGTCCGTCGGTGCCAGAACCCGTCGTACCTCTAGCTCCCAAGCGACCCACCGTGCGAATCAACATTCTCGAAGCCAGGCAAAGCGGCTACCTCATCAACGTTCCCGAGCTCGTGCTGGCCAAGCTGCAAAAGGAGAGCCACCCCTGGGCCAAGTGGTACGAAGAGCAGCTCCTCGAAGCTGCAGAACCAGAACCTGTCGCTGCACCGGGCCGGCCCGAGGTGCCGCCTGGCCTTGAAGGCTTCGGAGGTCTCGCCAAACTGCTCGAGAAGTATCCTGCTGGCGAAGGAGGGCCATCCAGTGCAGGTGGTGCGGCCAAGAAGCGCCGTCGACCCAACGACGACAAGTACGATATCGGACAGTACGACGTGCGGGACCCCTTTGTCGACGACTCGGAGCTCAACATCGATGAGCCCACCCACTTCGCCAAGCCCAAAGCAGACGGCTTCTACGTCACACAGGGTACTGTCGAACTGGCCAAGGCCAAAGCCATGGGCAAAGGACAGCCGCTTCCGCCCAGCGAGAGGCCAAAGCCGCTCAGCATTCGAGACTCCAAGGTTGGATTTGCCGGGTCTCTCACCAAGCTCGTGGCAAGGAAAGCGCAGCAAGGCGTCGAGTTGCCGCCCATGCCTCCGACGGCGTCTCCTTCGATGCAATTGGGCTCGCTCCTCAACAGCGGAGATCCGGGCAGTCCTTCGGTTGGTTCCACGTCGGCCCTCACCAACGCGCAGCGACAAGAGGGCACGCGCGATTCGCCCATCAAGGTCGACGATCTGGATTCCAGCTCCTCCAAACTCGCCAAGAAGAATCGCTATCCGACCGAGCCCGTCGACCCACGTCTCCAAGCTGCGTTCGACGATCTCAAGCGCAAGGTGGACGCCGAGTCCTTCCAGAAGGCCAAATTCCCGCCTTCGCTTAAGGCACCGCTCATCGAGACTGCTAAGCTGGCCGTGATGCTCACCGAGTACAACGAGAATTTCTTCAACCATCTGCCCACCATTTTCCCCTACAACCGCTATACCATGACGAAGCTCGTCAAGCGCGAGTTCTTCCCGGTGCACATGAAGTTCTTTGATGAACTCAAGCAGGAGCACCTGGACAAGCTCGGCGGCATGATCCGGGACAGCTATCCGCAGCAGCTGGCGGATTTCGAGGCGGCGCACAAAGCGTGGATGGAACGAGGCGAAGCACCCAAGGAGGGCGAGGCACCGCAAGCCATCAAGCCACCCAAGGCGGCCAACGGAGACGACGCGATGGATGTCGACGGTCCCCAGGACGGCGAAGACGAGAACGTCGAGCCGACCAAGCGCTGGAAGTGGACGGAGGAGATGCGCGAGGAGGTCTTTACGCTCATCACCATCGAGAATGCGATGAGCGAGCTCCGAAACGAGAAACACAAATTGGAGAACTCGACGGAGCAGTACAGCGAGATCAACGCTCGTAAGGCCTGCTACAAGCAAATGGCCGAGCTGTTCCCCGAGGATGGCTGGACGACGTCGACCAACATCTCGAGGGAGTATGCGCAGATCAAGAAGAAAAAGGACCGTCAGGAGGCGAGGGGCGAGGAGCTCTTTGGCGATTCACGGGCGAGCAGCGTCGGCCCGGCCTAATCTTCGTCAATCCGAACAGCATTGATCAACTAGGATCGCCATGTGGTCTGAGTTGACTGAACAAATAAGAAGTGGCGTCATTTGAAACGAGAGCTAGCGTGGAGCTGATGGTCTAGACGATTGCCTCAGGCTCAATTGAGTCTAGACGGCTGCTGTCTCTTGTGTAGGTGCAGGGTGGCATCGGAGCACAGGAACAGCTCTAAACTGACATCCTGACACACGGCATGGTATGAGACGAGCTGTTAGCCTTAGCACACACAGAAACAAGCGGACAACAAGATCACGAGCTGCTTTCCCTTACCAAGAGGAAGCATCAAAGGCTGAGCGGAAGTCTCAGCTGGCGAGGGCCCTCATACGAGGAGGGCAAGTTGGTCACTCGACTCTGGGTCTGAGAGTCCATCCTCAGGTGGGCACTTGGTCACACAGCCTGGAAGCTTGTCGGTCGATCGACCGCCTCACGACTTAGTTCTTTGTTTGTCTTCAAGAGTATCGCGATGCGAGCTGAGGGCCCATCGAAGCTTCTCTTGGACAGAAGCTCAGCCTCTCGAGACAGGCTGTCGTGCTCCTGGGCATCAGGTCGCTGCTCAGACCGCCGATCCGGACCCTTGAACCTCGACATTTCAGACTCACGACTCGAGCGCCGCTTCTCAACATTAGCTTCTGATTGTCGTTCGGTCATCGCATGCTATCACGAAGCCTGGTCAAATCGATGCAAGCAAGCCGCGGGTCGAGCTTCTATCTAACGCTGTTTCTCTCGTGCGCAACTTGAAAGGGCGAGCCAGCAGCCCGTGCGCATGGCAAGGTCTATGATCTCTGGCGCGGGAAAAAAAGTGTTGCTGTGGAGGCTCGGCTCTGACCGAAAACAACGAGGGTCAGGTGAGCCCGCCATGCTTATCGCTTGCAGCCGAACGGGTGACCCTTTGCTATCACTTTGCAGAAAGACGCCATCCCGATCAAGCGAGCACCCAGCTTTGGTAGGTGGCCGGCCTGGCTTGCAGGCTTGACTGGCAAATGCAACGAATGCAATCAACCTGCCGTAGACTCGATCCCTGACCGCAGCCGGGACGCTCTTGCTCGAATTAAAAGTTCCATTGATGCTGCTGAGGGGGAGCGGTGCTCTCTGATGAAGCTGACAGGATGAGGAACGAGCCTCGTCTGAGTTGTGCGCGGAACAACCCAGCCGGTCAATCTGGACAAAGCGGAGTCACACAGCTGGATTGGGTCTCGAACAGCAGGCCGAATCGCCTCAGCTTGGTATTCGATGGCCCGTGGGTCGACGGTCGAAGCTGCCAGAAGGCGCCGTCAGTCAATATGAGCACTCGCTTGCCAGAAAGGGTCTTCAGGGCTTGCCCGCTTCCCCAGCAGACCCTAGCACCCTTCCATCATGTTCGGAATCCTGCGCATTCAAAGCCACCCACCCTGCCAAACAAGACCAAGCGCGGGACAGCCACAATCAGATGGATGCTGAGGCCTCCTGTTACGAGATCGGACACGTCGACAGAGGTGCAGGGGCCACACGATCAAAGCGGTGGCTCCATCGAGACAAAGGCGGAGGTCACAAGACTGAACCCCACTCAGCAGACTAAGAATGGCTGAGCCGAATCCAGCTAGCGGGCCGATAACAGGACGGGGCGCTTTGTTCAGGTCGGAGCTTGGAATGGCTGGTAATCTCGCATGGCGAATCCAAGGTCATGAGGCCAAAATCACGAAACGGGTCACAAGGTGTTGGCTCGGGCCAGCCGAAAACATTAATTTTAGCCAAATCAAAAAAAGTACAGTAAAAAGGGAGAGACCCTGCAGATTTACCCCACACTTTTCTGTTCTTGACAGCCAGCTTTTACGGCAAGAGCTGTGGAGGTGATGGCTTGCCATGCCCGCCAAATTAGCCCTCGACTGCCTTATCTGGCGTGCGCTTAGTCCTCGCTTAGATGGGTCACAGAGTCAATGCGCTGCTCCGGAAGTCGACTCCGCTTTGTTGTCACATCATTCGGCTTGGCCGCTACAGCTATCCTGGCCGCTCCCCCGCTGGCTACGCCTGTTGGATGTGTGAGCTGCCCGTCGGACCTCTGCTGTCCCTGAACGATCACTCTTCATGCTGGTGATACGAATGGGGGCTGGTTTCGAAGTGGAAGATCTACGCTGAGCTGCTTTTATAGTCCTGGCGGACAAGGGTGAGCGGAGGAGAAGGGCACAAGGTCGGTTGTCCCGTGCTCTGTTTTGGGCCAAGATTAGCCTTTCGCCCTCAGCGGCCATGACCTGCGCTGCGCATTGTCTTTTTGCTCGCACTTTCGCCTGAGACTTGGTTTTGGCTTGCAGCGCCGTAGCGCCATCCCTTTGTCCTCGCAGCTTCCTCGACCCACTGCTTTGTCGTCCCTGCACAGTCTTGAGTCTGTCTTTGGACTATGCGGAGGAGGGCGCTCTCCTTCCCTGGACGGCGCCGACCCCATCACTCTGAGAACGGCCACTTCTTCCCGATCTTTGTTCCTGCTGAGAGCACGTGAGGACTAGAGTGCTGCCTGGGATCCCACACGACTCCTGCAGAGTGCAGTCATCACGATCAAGGTGCAGCGGTCTGAATTGCCGACGTCGAGTTTGGAGAGCGCCGGTCATCTTCGAGCTACATTGACTGACTGATCGCACTGCTTTACGGACAGTGCGCGAGTACCCAGGATGGAAGAGGCTGCCGGGCCAACCGTGGAGATAAGGTCTGGGCGGACAAGGGAGGGAGGAAGGAAGAGGGCAGGTTGACCTGAGTTACTGGTCGCAGACCTGCGAGGTGCCCAGCTAGGCGTTCGGACAGTCAAATACTCCCTCTGCTCTCACTCGCCCCAACCTGTCAAGGCGCTTCGACTGCATGCTCGCTTGTCACGAGAGAACACGACCCTTGCGCCGTCTCTGCAGTCTTTCGGCTAGCTCCGTCCGTTGGCCCCTTCCCCACACCTTGACTGGTTCTGCAGGTGGGCTGCGCAGAAACGTGAGGTCGTGTGATTGCGCCTTGCCGTGTGACTGACTGACTGAGTCCTGGCTTGCATCGCGCGACCAGAGCCCACTTCTGCGCAATTGCCCGTACAGCTCGTCTGCTTGGCCGACCCGTTCGCCTGTCATTGTCGCTCTCTCCCTGCACCCCACACTGCGAGCCGACAGACCTCGACAGTAAACGAGGGACCGTGCGGCTTCCCCGCCAACAAGACTTTGAGCAATCAGCACAGCACAGCACAGCATGGCGCCGTTAGGGTCCTAGTCACACTTGAGCATCCCCTTGAAGCTCCATAGTCGCCTGAACAGTATAAAGTCCTGCTCCCTCCCAAGGCTTCTCCATCTTTCCTTCTTCCTCCATCAGATCAACATACGATAACAGCACTCTCGAGTCGCACTCCGCTCTCAAGACCATCCAAACTCAAGCCAGCTAACCAACTCTATCATCGACGCAGCGTTTGCTCATTGCCGTCGCCGAAACACCTCTTCTCGTCGTCACCAGCGCAATCCCTCCGCCGCCGTTGTATTCTCAAGCAATCGGCCGCCTGATTATCTCTACCTGGATCAGTAAGCGAGCGAACTAGCATCTAGTCGTTCGTCCCTGCTCCTCGTCACCAGCAAACTTCCTCGTAGCTGTTTCAGCTACGTCACCACCTCAACCAGCGTCTCTAGCCTAGGCTTTATCCCCTCACCCCTCTTCCACCCCCTCCTCCCCTTTCATAACCCTTCTATCCAAAATGGGCAAGAAGTCAAACAAGAACCAGGAGCAGGTCGTCGACCTCACCCTTGCAGTACGTATTCACCATCTGAGTCGCCTGGATCCACTTTCCCCCTCCGCCTTGGCCCTTCCTTTCTTGTGCTCGTGTACTGACGATCGCTTGTACTTGCTCCTCTTCCCTTTCCCCGTCAACAGGGCCCCAAGGACTGCGGCGTGATGTTCGACAGCTCGGACGCCGTCTTGGACGAGGCCAAGAAGATGGTCCGCCTCGACCACGTCTCCAAGCCCTGGACTCGCGAGTCCTGGGAGAAGGCTAGGCCCTTCATCCTCGAGCAGCGCCAGAAGCTCGAGACCACGGGATGGACCGGCACCGATTCGGCTCGTACCGAGCTCTACGTGCTCCGCCGCAGCGCTCCTCACGGCGCCTTCACCGAAGACGGCTTCATGTACGTCAGGATCCCCAAGAAGTTCATCGACTTCCTCCGATGCAGCCGACCCGCCGATGAAGACAAGACCGAGGAGCACGACGATGGCAAGCAGCGCAAGACGCTCCGCCGTCGCAAGGAGAATGCTCCTTCCTACAAGCTCGACAACGAGTTCATCTGGAAGGTGCGCGTCGATGGTGATGGTGACCAGAGCGATCGAGACCCCAACGTGATCCTCGACGTCCCAGAGCCATTGGAGAACATCTTCTACCTTGTTCAGTGTCTCTCGCCCGGTATGGCCAGGCTCCAGTACAACCGCAAGGATGCCATGCAGCCCAACACCAAGCAGTCGGATCTTCGCGACGACCCAGAAGCCCCCGCTATGCGACACCGCGCCGTGTTCGCCGCAAGCGAGAAGATGGTTCGCACGCTCCCTCCCGTCTTCTGGATGAAGAAGAACGAGATCGAGCTCCGCAAGATCCTCGGCGCCGAGGCCTACGAAGCCACCATGCGCGCGTGCCAGGACGACAGCCGCTCGCACGTTCGCGACGTCAAGGGCCTCAACGAGAAGGTCTGGGAAGAGGCCCTGCCCCCGCGCTCGGAGGACAAGAAGAGCAAGAAGGCAAAGGCCCCGAGGGTGTCGAAGGCGGTGGCGGCAAGTGCATGAGGAGCGGCTACGTGTGGCAGCTGATCGCTCGCCTTTCTCGTGAAAGGAAGGAGCTCAGAAGATCCCCACAAAGCCCCGTTGCTGCTGCACGCAGCCGCTCCTCATGCACATGCCCGTTCCCTCGCCTTTGATCCGTGTTCGTGCTGTGGCCCGTTCCGTCCCGTCCCGTACTAAGCTCCGGTGGCTCCGCCTTCTTCGACGACTCTTCTGGCTCCGTGTCCCGCAAATGGCTACGCAAGAAAACCCATCCCTACTGGCTCCTCCCGCGTCGAGACCGGCTCCGTTTTCTCTTGTCCCATGACTTGACTGCTCTCTTCAGCCGTTGGCGCGTCTGCGCTCTTCTTCCTCCCCCACCTCGATCGTGTGTTCAAGCAGAGGCTGGCACTGGCTCTGCGACTGTCTAGTCCAGTCCTAACCAGCAAGCTTGCCAAGCTCTTACACACAGCAATGATCATCACGATGTCACGCCATCAACGAACATCTCTACCGTCGCAACACTCAAACAACCTCGCAACTATTGTACCAACTTACTATCTATTCGCATCTCGCACTTCCTCATCTCTGTCGCATCCAGTCCCGCCACAACCTCTTGTCCTGTTCACCGTTCCCCGTGGGGTCAGGGCATTCTCGTCAACGGCTTTGTAGTAGTATCGTCGCAAATCAGCATAAGCACAAATCAGATTCTTGTTTTCTCTTCATCAGTGTGCCGACTCGTCACGGTGTGTTGACTTGAATGAATGCTCTGGCCTGCTCGTTTCCACGGCGTCCTGAACAAACGTCGATCAGCGGTTGGGGGACCGACAGGCAGGAAGGCGTGCAAAGGGCGTGCAAATGCGTTCGTCATTGCAAAAGGGGGACTCAAGGCACTAGGAATCATCATCGTCATCATCCTGGTCTTGGTCGTCCTCGGCGTCGTCTGCCGCGTCCTCATCGCCTTCATCGTCCTGCTCCTCTGCATCGTCTGCGGCCTCCACGTCTTCCGGCTGCGTTTCCTGCTCAGGCGTGGGAGCCTTCCTTGAACCAATCCAATCTCTCCTCGACTGGTTGAGAACGGTGCGCAGCTTGTACTCGTACAAGCCTTCCCGACCCCACACTTCATCCAAAGCGTGGTCCTGCTTCCACTGCTCGCCCTGCTCTGCCAATCGCTGCCTGACCTTCTCCTCATACGCCTTTGCCTTCTCTGACAAGCCTTCCACCTCGATGGGCGTCTCGAGCTCCTGTATTAGCGCCTGATTGACATCGACATAGTTCGCCCCTAACACCTCCTCGACTAGCGCAGGTCCGGTCGGCACCGCCAGCACCTTCCCATCCACCCGATCGACATACCTGAAAAACGGCGCGGGCATCTCCTTCAATGCCTTCCTGTCCAACTCCTCCCTGCCTCTCTTCTTGGCCTGAGCCACCTCTTCATCCGACTCCTCCTCCCCTGCTTTCGGCAGCTTATTGCGACTCCTCCCGACCTGCTTCTTGAGCAACCGATTGATCGTCTCCACCTTATCATCCTCCAACTTCTTCTCGACCTGATTCTTCCTCTTTCGCGCCGTCTCGCTTCGACGCAGGGCAATCTCGTTTTCGGTCAACTTCTTCTTCCGGTTGGGGTCGAACATGGGGAGTTCGAGATGCTCCGATTCGACCCCGCCTTCGCGGGCGAGTTGACGGGCGGTTTTGCCCATGATGGCGGCCATTTCGGCCGCAGTGGCCTCGTCGGGTTCGGAGGCGTCCGAGTCATCGCCCGACATGGCATCCGGATCCACCGTAGCTGCGCGAGATGGATCGTCCGAGTCAAGCAGCTCGTCGTCCGATGCAGGGACCGGGATCTCGTCCTCCGAATCAGAGGCTGCAGACTTGCCCTTGGCACGAGGCTTCCATTTGACTTTCGAGGCGTCTTTGGCGCGACGTGCCGCGGGAGCGACGGCGGTGGTGGTCGGGGTGGTGCGGGTCTTGGACGGCGCCGGCGAGGTTTCTTTCGGTGCTTGAGGGGTGCGCGTGAGTTTGACACGCAGAATCTTCTTACCGGTGCTCGCTGGTGTTGCTGCTGCGGTGGTGCGGGTTGACGTGCGAGCGGCACGTTTGGGTGTGGTGGCTGCTCGAGATGGACGTCCCGAGGTGCGTGTTGCTCCTCGACGAGAGGTGGACGGCGCATCGTAGTCATCGTCGTCCTCGAGCTCATCCTCGTCTTCCTCAAGCTCATCAGCGACTTCATCCTCGTCGCCAGAGTCGATCGTCCGCGCGGCGGGCCGGCGTCGTTTTCGTGGGGTGCGCGGAGCAGATGCTGCGTCGTCCGAGTCGTGCATGTCGGAAGCGCTGTCGCCTGTGAGGTCGGAGCCGTCGCTGAGTGCGTCGTAGTCGGCGGGTGGCATGGTGGAAGGAGTGGGAAGGGGTAATCGAAAGGTGGGTTGATGCAGCCAAGAGAAAGGAAAGGGTGATGAAGTCGAAAAAGGTGAACGGACGGTGGTCCAAGTTGCAGCGAATCGGGGGTTCGAGTTGGAGTCTCGTATCGGGGGCGATCTGGGTCGAAGGCGCGCGCATGTGTGATTTTGGCAAAGTGTTGCTTGTGACAAAAAACGCGGGTTGCAGAAGGCGAAACTGTTGGTCTTGGAGCCCACTTCAGCTGCATGGAGGTGAGGCCCCTGCTGCTCGGATCACGTTTCCGCTCTTGACTCGCACCCTCTGCGTTGTTACTGCACTTCCATCACACTCGATCAACCAAACTCTGGCATACGAGCGGCGAGCTAGATGCCTGCATGGCGCTGACATATCAAGAAAGCTACAGCTAGGTCGAGTCGGAGCTTGCGTTCCCACGAGTGACAGACTACCAAGTCGCTGGCGGATCAGCCGATCGATTGGACTACAGCAGCCAAAGACGAGATTCGGCATCACTCATCGGCTCGGAGTAGCCGACAAGGAACCACGTACAACAATGTCGACTTCGGCAGCATCGTCGTCGAGCAGCCACGATGCTTCGGGCGGTGGGGGATCCGACAAGTCAAGGTAAGCACGAACAGGCCGACTCGATGCATCTTGGCTCAAATCCTGGTGGGGCTGAAATACTCACCAATGCCTGTCCCCTTACACACAGCGTGATCCTCAAAGTGGGCATGGTCGGCGACTCTCAGATCGGCAAGACCTCCCTAATGGTCCGCTATGTCGAAGGCAGTTTCAACGAGGACTACATCCAAACGCTCGGGGTCAACTTTATGGAGAAAACCATCTCGATCCGCAACACGGAAATCACTTTCTCAATCTGGGATCTTGGAGGCCAGCGCGAGTTCGTCAACATGCTTCCCCTCGTATGCAACGACGCCGTGGCCATCCTGTTCATGTTCGACCTTACGCGCAAATCGACGCTGAACAGCATCAAGGAGTGGTACCGCCAAGCACGCGGATTCAACAAGACCGCCATCCCCTTCCTCGTCGGCACCAAGTACGATCACTACGCAACCCTGCCAAGGGAGGAACAGGACGAGGTGACAAAACAGGCCCGCAGATTCAGCAAGGCAATGAAGGCACCTCTGATCTTTTGCTCCACGAGTCACGCCATCAACGTGCAGAAGATCTTCAAGGTGTTGCTCGCAAAGGCGTTCGATTTGAAATGCACCATCCCGGAGATCAAGGGTGCCGGTGAACCGCTGTTGATCTACCTCGATGTGTAGCGGCTGCGCTCAGACCGCCGCTCGCATGGACCGACCCCTCGTCATTCTTCTCCTTTCGTTCCCTTTCGTTCCTCTTGTATACCCCGAAGACGCACGTTTCGACACACACACCTTCGCTCAGTCTCTCTCTTCTCCTGTTTTCCCAACATCTTGCATCCCACTCGCCTGTAGAAGACACTCGCTTTGCACAGAATCGCAGCCTTTGGCAACCTCACTTTCATTCCGCTCTGTGAGGCTTCGGATGGAACGGTGCAGGGGTGAATCCTGCAAGTCCACCATCTCTATCCCGCCTCTCTAACATCGCCTCACAGTCAACCCAGACCGAATACCAGCCATGACCACGGCCACCGGTCGGACCTCAAACGTGTCCCCCGCAGTCGGCTGCGCCTCGCTCGTCCCCCACTCCATATCCGCCGGAATGCCCAACTCTGCAATCTCGACCCTGACTCTTGCGCCCAGGGTGCCCGCGTTGAACCTTACATCTGGCAGCACCACCGTCGCCTTGAACGGCCCATCCAATCTCCCCTCCTTCAGCGTTGGATCCAACAACGACCGCTGCAACAGGGCGTGTACCCAGAAACGATTCGCACTGCGCATGAGCTGCTTGGTGCTGCGTTCCTGACGCTCGAGCTGCGGGAGGACGCGTTCGATCTCGTGCGTCCCAAACCGCGGGCTGGAGTGGACAAGGTGGTGCTTAATCTGCCAGTGCACCAGCATATCGGGGTAACGACGAAGAGGCGAGGTGGCGCGCACGTAGCCGCTGCTCGAAAGCGCGTCTCGTTGCGAGGGGGAGGGTGGAGTGCCAATACCCAGCGAAAAGTGCTCTGCGGGTTGGACGGAGTAGCCGCCAGCACTGATGGTGAGCCCTCGTGTAACTATGTCGTGGTACGCTACGAGACCGTGGCCTACCGTTCCACCCGCAGATACGGGCGGGGCCACCGCGGTGCCGTCAGAGGGAAGGTGCGTGCGCATCGAGAGGAGCTCGTCGATGTCGCGAGGAGAGTCCGGTCGAAGCTGGTAGCGGTACGCAAGGGCGAGATCGTGTGTCTTGCCGTAGGAGGCGGCGATTCGACCTGCCAAGAGCATCAGTTCTGAGACGAGGAATTGCGAGAGCGCAGGTACGGAGGGAGATGCGTTGGTTGCAGAGCCTGCCGTGGTGACGTCAATCGTTGGGAAGCCTGCGAAGAAATAGGGCTTTTGCAGCGCCGATGCTGTCAGGGGAAGCTCTGGGAGGGGTAAGGGCGAGACTCGGACCGACGGGTTGACTCGGTGGGCGACAAAAGCGGTGCTTCGGGTGCGGCTCTCGCTGAGCTTCGTCGCCACTTGCAGCAGCAGCGATAGGTCAGACGGCTTCGCTGCAGATTTGTCGGAGAGCATGTCGTTGACGTGGCTATACGACGTCGTCTGTACATCGTGCACGAGCGCCGGTCGAACCTTAGTATCCTGAACGAGACCAGTCGAAAGATCGACGAGCGCACTGAAGGTCATGACTCGCTGACCGACTCCTGCGACCTGCTCGGAGGCGGGACGCAGACCCACGCCGCCGCGCACAAAGTCGTCCGGCAACGTCGCCCATCGTGCCTCGGGGAAGTAGAGCGTGCTGAAACGTCGCTCTGCGCGCTGAGCAATCTCGTCGTCGGGTTGAATCCACGCAGTGGGATCGGCAATGTGAATGTGCACCCACGCTTGCTCCTGACTGTGAACGCGCTCGATGGAGATTCCGTCGTCCAGCTCAAACGCGCCTTCGTCGTCGATGACGTACACCGTGTGGTCTTGCCCAAAGTCGTGTCGCATCGCTTCGACTTGCTGGTCGAGCGTCAGGCCGTACTTCTTGGCGGGGGATTCGATGGAAGAAGCGACCTCCTTGTCGGAAAGCTCGTCCTCGGGTCGACCTCCATCCTCGCCCATCGTCGCACTGCGAAACGACGCATCGAGCCGGATCGGGTTCTGCCACGGTGGCAGTCTGCCGATGGCCGTGAGAAACTGCACCACCAACGCATGCTGCAGATCAGGCCCCGCAATCGCATCCGTGCCCACCATCTGCAAGATCGACTTGCCCAGCGGTCGACCCTGGTCCACCACCAGCGAGCCCATCGCCTGGTCCACCTCCATCAGCTCACTCGTGTTTGGGTGCGGGAGGATGCGGAAATGCCCGCCGGCGCGCTTGACGATCTGCATCGCGATGCTCCCGTGCGTGTCCTCCTGCACCTCGCGGCGCGAGCCCAGACTCGCTTCTAGGAACTCGATGATCGATCTGTCTTGGGGAGTCCATGTGATTTCGAGGTCTTTATTGGGGGCGGAGACGATGCGAGGCGCGCCGGAAAGGTCGTGCGGGTGCTCCTCGGCATATTGACGGAGCTTGCTGGCTTTGTGGCAGAACGCTTCGATGTGCTGCTGTCCCTCGGAGCCAGGTGGACCAGAGATCCAGTCTGAGATCAGACGAGTGTTACCTCGCTCGGCATCGCTGCGGCAGGTGAAAAGCTGACTGGTGCGATGCGACAGTGCGTCGGCCAAGAAATGCGTCGGGTGCGACATGAGAAGAGCATGGGCAGCATAGACTGTGCTTGCGGTGAAGGGCTGGTCTTCGTCGCCTTTCTTACGCTGCGCCTGTAGCTTGTGCATGAGTCTTGCCGCTTCGAACGTTGTGATTGCTCCAGTGCGAAGGTCCATCCGCTGCTTTCTGAGCTCCTCCGCCTCCTCCGTCTGCTGCGCTGCGCTATCGATCAGGAAGAGCGACTGGAAGCTCGGCAGCAGTCGCTGCAGCTCCTTCTCCTTCTGCCTCTCCAGTATACGCAGCTTGTTGCATATCGACGCGCGTGTTTCGAAGCGTGGAATGTCGATGGGCTCCTCCTGCATCGCGGTGCCCTCGGTCGGGTCGACGTCGGCCGTGTTCGAAGAAGCATGCGAGTCGTACGACCCATCTCGGTTGGCCGGACTGTCGAGGCTGTTGCTCGATACGACGTACTGTTTGCTGAGCGCGGCAGCTGCGCGCGCGAGCTTGGTCTCGATGACGCCAGGAATCTGGATCATCACATCGTTGTCCTTGTACAGCACAATTTGGCCGGACGCGACGAGCACGTAGAGGTCTTTTAGACCCGCACTAGCCTTCTGCACGTTCTTGTCGCGATTGCTCGACATCACATCGTCGGGTGGAGGGAGGACGATGCCGACTCCAGTGTAGTTGCGGCGCACCTCGACGAAGTCGCCTGGCCTCAGGTCTCGGCGGGGAGCCATGAAGTCGCGTGCCGAGATCTGTCCGTGCGAGCTGCCCACTTCGAAGGCGTCGCAATCCTTCTCGAGGTTCAACAGCGGCTGTAGTAGCACGGAGGAGGCGTGTGAGCCTAGCAGGGTCTCTACATTGTCGGACGCAACCGCGCGACTCAGACTCTTCCCTGCTTCGTGGGAAAGCTTTGGCCGACCCACGTTGCGCCGTGTGCTAGGACCTGGCGTGCGTTTCCATCCCGAGAAGCGGTCGGACTGATCTTTCGATATCGAATCCGCATGTCTGCCGAGCCTAGATGCTGTGAGAATAGTGTCGGTGACCTTGTTCTGCTTCCGCTGCTCGTTGAGCTGTTTGGCCGAGCTGTTGCGGCTGCTGCGCTCTTTCCACGCTTCGAGCGTTGGAGCGAAGTTGTGAAGCGACCGACTCGAAGGCGGGGCAGTTCTGGATGCAGAGGCACTCTCAAGCAACAGCCTGCTTGAAGATGCGTAGCTCCTCATGCTAGAGCCGTTGTGATCGATGTGCGGATGTGGTGTAGGTGATGATGTTGCTCAAGAAGAAATTCTGACATGAGGGGAAAAAAGTCGACAGATTTTCGGAAGACGGGCTTCCAAATCCTCCACATTTGGCTCACCATCAGCCCTCGATGGTTATGGTTCTTGCTCTCAACCGCCTTCTCATCGATGTCAAATGATCTTGTAAGTGATCGACCTAGTCGAGATAGTCGAGGGGTCTATTTGAGAGCCTGACTTTTCGAATGCATATGCAAGAGATGAACGAAACGAATGTGTGCGCCAATAAAGGTGCGGGTATGAAAAGATAGTGTCCTGTCTGTAGTGTCAGCCATCGAAGTCGAGCAGCCAGCGATGCTGCAGCTGCCTCTACAAGCGGTCGAACAGCTATGCGGCATACGCCCACCGCTGGCCATAAGCCAAGTCCTTCTCCTCCAGATGTCCGATCTCGGACTCGATGCCGACGTCCTCCTCTCCCTTTTCGCCCGCCGTCAGGTCGTCGAACGGATGCCAGCTGCTGCGCCTGTCCAGCTTCAACGCCTTCTGCCCACTGAATGCGATCCCCGAATACAGCTCTTTTGTCTTCTCGGCGTCGTACCTGCGCCCCACCGCACCGATCTTGCTCAGCGTCTCGAAGAGCACCAGGAACAAGAGGCTACCCGTGACGACGCCCATCACCTCCAGCGAAAGCCAGTCTATCTTGAGCGGAAGCAGCGCGAACTCGATCGCTAGCAGGAACCGGGCTCCGATCCGGATCGACCTCGGTATCAGCGTCGATCCGTGGACGTCAAGGTTTCGATGCATGCATCCGATCAACCCAAGACACAGCATGACACACGATGTCGAACCGCCGAAGTACCACAGGTATCCACCCTGGAGCCTCCGGTGTGAGATGAGCGACGATAGAGACGCGGCCATGAGCACCAGCGCTGCTGTCAGCGGGTAATGGATGTGGCTGAAGGTGATGCTTGTGAACGAGTTGCGGCGCAGAGCATGCTGGAAGACGCGTGACCCGTCGGCATCGTAGTAGATCCAAATGACCAACACGCTGATGGAAATCCCCAACGCAGCGCGTCCAAATTCGTCGTTGATCCCATAATGCCCAGGCGTCGCCGTGAAGTTGCTGCTGATGATAGACTCGCCGACGATGAGGATGACGAACAAGACGTACCGTTCGATCGAATGCTCGTGCGACTGGGCGGGGATGAACATATGGTTGCCCGTCCGCTTCTGACGCCCGTGAATCAGCTGGATGGCCGCAGCCGTGATGTACGGCCGAAGGAGCTCGACAAGGATCCCAGAGCAGAGGAGGATGAGAATGTACAGCGGGTCCGAAGTCAGGCAGATGGGTACATAGGTCGCAGCGACCACAGTGAGCGCAAGCGCATTGAGCCAGAGCGCCCTGCGAAACTTGGGCAGGCAAAAGCCGTAGTAGATGTAGATGCCGAGCCTCCAGAGCTTAGCGACGAGGAAGAAACCAATGCCTGCGTGGATGGCGCGGTCGTACCCGTCAACAAACCAGTAGCCGTTGAAGGCAGGGGCTGCAAGCTTGACAGGCTCGAGACTGGTCTCGGCGCTCGCAGCTCGACGGAAGATGCTCTTGAGCTCATCGGCAACGCTGTGTCCCTCGAGCTGGTTAGGTGTGTCTCCTTTGAGCAATTCTTGTTGAAACGCCGCCAGCATCTCCGGCGTAGCTTTGACGAGCTCGACACCTGAAATGTTGGCCATGTATCCTCCCAGCAAGATCATCCACCCGAGCAGCAACATACGCTCCAGAATATCATCCGTACCGCTGGTGTTGAGGAACAGCCTCACGTCGGTCCAAATCGAAAAGCACGGCCAGAAGGAGAGCACGAACTTGAGCGCGTTGATCGCCGAGCTGCTTTCCGCGGTGGTGTGACCGAGCTTGTTGACCACAGCGACAAAGATGAGGTCAAAGACCAGCTCGAACTGGCTCGGCTTGCGCTCTTCTTTTTCGCGAAAGAGTTTGTTGCCGTGCAGCCACTGACGGATGACTGGACGCTTGAGAAGGTGTCGGAACGTGATGGGAACGTCATCGCCGTGCGTCTCGACGTGTGGCTTGTGAGATGCTTTGGTATGGCTTTTCCCGTGTACTGCATCGAACAAGCTTGCCGTATGTGAAATGCGATTGACCGGCTTCGACCTTCGACGGAGATGCGTGAAGCTGGTGGAAGCTCTCGACTTTTCGTCCGTCTCGTAGGTGAATCTGCTGTCTTGGCTGTAGATGGTCGCCATGGGTGCAGCATTCGCTACGAAGGCGGAGGTCGAGTTGTTTGATTCGTAGGGCAGAAGTGGGATGACCGTGTCGGCTGGGACAATGTCAGCGTGCTGGAGATGCTGCTCTGTCGTCTCGACCTCATGCCAGCCTGTGACGGCCGGATCGGCCTGTGTATGCTGCCCAAAAGCGATGGACGACTCGTGATAGCGGTGCCCAAAGGGTCCGTACAGGTTGGGATCGATGACGACGTCTTCTTCTTTCGCTGGTGACGAGTCTGGCGTGAAGCCATCTACATGGCCTTGACGTGATCGACGAAAGCCCGACATGGCGATGAGTGGTCCGGTATCGACGTAAAATGGGGCTGACGACCTCGATGATGGGTGAAAGGAGATGCTGTAGGAGAAAGGAACAGGGTCTGCAAGACCTTGAGTCGCCCTGTGCTTTGCACCGCCAGCTGAAAGAGCCTGAAGAGCAAGCTAGGTGGTTGCAGGGGTCTTAGGCAGATCGAACGCCTTTTCGCTTTGCATAGGTACAGGTGGGCCGGCCCACCAGCGCTTTATGAAGGTGCGAGACACGCTCCCGGCACTTCGCACGAAGCTGGGCCCGCTTCGTGTGGGATCCGAGCGAAAAGCATGCTGTGATAAGACAAGGAAGAAGCTGTCACACTCTATCGCGCAAGCACACATTGTGATCTGCACGCTTCTGCATGCAACATGAAAAGGTCTCGCAGAAGGAGGGGTCCATGCGTCGACGATGGCCCTCGCGCTTCGATGTCCGACCTCGTTTCGGCAGCGCTTGGTCCTGAGCGCAGCACGGGAGCGAAGACATCCCAGATCTTGTCCTTGATCTTAACTGTTGCAGAGGTGTAGTGAAGGACGCCGTTCATGTCGGGGTTGACTGGATCCAGAGGCAAGATTAGGTGGGAGCGGTGGACATACAAAGGTGAACGCCAAGACCAGCGACATGCGAGTCATGCATGAAAAGGGAGCTGCAAAGTCGATTTGGGCGAGTTCCAGAAGCCCGTGTCTGCTAGGCGAGACCAACACTTCGACTTGGCTGGTGATGCAGACAGCAGGGCGAAGACAATCGTTGTCGCGAGTCTTCTCGCCCTTTGGGAATTTTCGTCAGTGTATGCGACGTCTTGTCCGCCTGCAGGTCGTCGGACAGTGGCGGAGGTTCCTTGGCAAAGCCTGGTGCAGTGCAGACAACAATCGAAGCGTCTGGAACACGCCCAGAAGATCAGGTGGACTTCCCGCAGGCCCCTGCGCCCTGGTTACGAATCAAAGGCTGCTGGTTCCTCTCACAGAAGCGGTTTTGAACGGCTTTCAGAAAGTCACTGGAAGACGGACAGTCATGCTTCGATTGCACGCGCCTCACAAAAATGGCAAGCAAGCATATCGACTCAATAGATTAGATGAAGCAGAGGTATACATAAGCAAGTCCGAACAATTCCAAAAGAGAGTGTACATATGGTTCCCTTCACCAGCGTCCAGCTTCATCAGAAGCGACCGGAAAGACCCGACTCGAATTCGATCGGCTCATCGTTGTCCTCGTCGGTCTCGTCGGTTTCACTGTCCTCCGTGTCATGCCCGAGTCGATCGCGCGAATCATCGCCATCCTCGTCCGTCTCTTCCACCAAATGCTCCAGCGGCTGGGCACGGTACGCGTTGAAGCTTTGGAAGCTGGAGCCCTGCGTGTGGCCGCCCTCACCGAGCGGTGCGGCGCGTTGGGAGCCGGTAGGCGTCTGTGTGCCCGACAGTGAAGGCTCCATGTCGGTGCTTCCGAGGGGAGTGTCGTGGGAGCCGTGATCAGCGACGCTGGATGCCGGCTCGCTGCTATCACCATTGGGCTTGGCTTTGTCCTTCAGCGACGACATAGAGTCGTACACGTCCAGGTCCTCTAGGAAACTTCCCGGGGGCGCAAATCCGGGGGACCGTGGAGATGGAGGTGCCTCCATCGAAGATCTGCCATTGACCGCTGCTGCAGGCACCGTAAGCCCGCTGGGGGCAAGCTGGACAGCTTTGTCACCAGCACCATTGACCTGCTTGGCAGCCGCGAAGGTCTTCTGGGTAGGCGTGGTGGCCTCATTGACACCGTTGGCCTGGGCAGCCACTCGCAGCGACTTGGTGGACGCGTTGTGCTGCAGCCTGCTATTGCCACTGCCAGGCACGGCGAGGCGACCGTCGAGCGACACCTTGGACGGGTCTTGACGCAGCTTGGATCGGAAGCTGCTCAGACCGCCCATCTCGAACCTCTTGCGCAGCTCGGACATGGACGAAGCCTGCTTGAGCGTGCCGAAGCCGAACGCACCCGGCCCGGCTACGTCGCTGGGACGGCGGCGGGTATCGAACGACGTGGCGCGCGATTCAAACTCGATGCCCGTGTTCTGCGTGTCGAAGGACTCGCGAACACGCATGGCGGATGCGGATCGAGGTTCGGCAGCGAAACCACGGTCGTGCGACTGGTCAGTGCTGACGTCGGCCTGCGACATCGACGCTGGCAGCGACACCTGCGACTTGCTGAAGCGGCCGGGGAAGCGGCCCCACAAGGAAGGGCGGGAGCGCGGATTGTTGCCTGCGTGTCCCACGGACCCTGCTGCCACCACCGAGCCAGTCGTGTTGCCAAAGGTCGAGTCCATCGTGTTGACGTCGTCGAGGTTCTTCTTCTTGCTGCGACTCCGACCGATCGAGCGGGTCTGTCGACGGTTCTGGTTGCCACCTGCCAGCGTAGCAGAGCGGGTCGCCTTCTCGTCCAGCATGAAGAGCGGCTTGGGCGTCTTGAGGGACATGTCGCAGCCTGCTTGCGCCAGAATCCTGGGGATATCCATGTGGCCATCGGCGGTCGTCATGCGATGTGTGAAGGAACACTGCAAACCAGGTCCCAGAATGAAGTCACCCCCGAGCAGCTTCATGTCGCCTGGATTGCGGATGGGCATGTCGAAGAGACCCTTCTTGATGGCCACCAGGATACCCTTGGTCATACCCATACTTGCGTAGTCCGGTCGAGCGCAAGCGGGGTTGGCGTCGTTGGTGCGAAGCGTCATGCCGAGCGCTCTATAGACGTTGCGCTTGGGGTCGGCAAACATCGGGTACTGCACCTGCATCACCTCGCGGTACGCCTTGATAACGTGCCAGTCGCCCTGGCCGACGATGACAAAGTCCAAGTTGGCCTTCTTGAGCGGCAGAGGGTCGATATTGCGGACCGACATGGCGAACTGCTGGCAGAAGCCACACCACCAATGTCGCAAAAAGCAGACGAGCGTGCGGCGCTTCTTGTAGATGTCGCCGAACAGCACCTCCTGGCCATCCTCGTTGTAGACGAGACACTGCGATGCTTCGAAGAGCTGGAGCATCGAGGGCGGGTGAATGGCATAGGAGCCTTCGGGAATGCCAGCCTCACGCGCGGCCGCTTTGACCTCATCCGATTCGTCCTCGTTGATGATGTTCATGAGCACGTTGTTCTTGAAATGGGCCTTGCTGGCGGCATCAAGCGACTTTCGGTTCTTGTCGAGGGACGCACGCGGCGGCTTCTGCGCCTTGCTTGGGCTGGTGACGGTCGCATTCTGCACCTTGTCGACGATCTGGAGCTCTTCCTCGAGGCCCCAGCCGCCGGCAGCAGAAGAAGACCGAGTGACCGCACCGCCGTTGGCGCTCGCTCCTGTCGTGTCTGTGCTGGCGTTCTTCAAGCGTCTGGAGGCTTGCCTGCTCACCGAGGTCGCGTTGCCATTGAGCGGCGAATCGTTCGCCGACTTGCTGCCAATTTCGCCCTTGATCGGCTGCAAGAAACGCACCGCGTTGGGGATCGACGGCGAGGACTCCTGAGTAGACGTTTCCTTGGTTGCTTGGTTCTTGCCGAGGACAAATTGCTGTCCTTCGACTTCCAGAACCGCCTTTTGAGCTTCGTTGACCGCACGCAGCTGGCCAGCGCTTCCGACGGGAGCGGTGGTGGGCCGTTTGATCGTGGCTCGAGACGCGGTCCGGGCTGCGGCGGATTTGCCTACACCGGCTGCAGTTGCGCTGCTGGAGGATAGGTCGCGGGCAGAGACGCTGGCCTCTTGTTGCTGCATCGCACCCAGCCCAAATGTACCCGGCTTTGCTGGTGACGCGACGGCCGTGCTCGGGCGATGGGCGCCGTTCGCCAAAATCCGACCTTGAGGCGCTACGGAGGCCATCCTGGACTCCACCGACCCGCTCGAGATGAGAACGGCCTGGATGGCATGCACAGCGTCATCCTTGGGAGGCAGCGATGGAGCGAGCGACGGAGCGAGCGAATTCCGCCGAGAAGCGTCGTCTGCGGCTTCGGAATTGGCGAGGCTGGTGACGCTCTGACGACGCTCCGACTCGTCCAGATCCGAAGGCACCGCCTTTCGTCGAATGCGGTATGTCGAGGACGAGCTGGCTGCAGAGGCGACCGAATTCGAGCTGTCGCGTCTGGTGTGCAGCGCGTTGGGTCTGCCGTTGGGAACAGCAAGCGCACCGAACGGAGTCCCTGGACTCGAACCTCGTCGGTGGTCAAGAGAGTTCTGCGAGTGGCTGGATAGCGACTTGGTGGGCGATTCAGAGCGAGCGAGGAGACCTTGAGATGGCTTCGACGGATCGCTGAGAGGAGACAGAACTTCTTGCTCTGGCGATGTCCGCTCTGGTGCGGTAGGCGAAGGTGGTACGACGGCGGTCTGTAGTGGGCTCACCATGGCGCCCGGGATGGCGGGAGCGGCCACCGCCGCGTGCTCGGCTGGAGCAGCATCGTGGGGAGCGGCGACGTCCGTTTCGGTGGCGACAAGCGAAGAAGCCTCCTTCGTCTGCTGGGATGCGCTTGGAGTGTCTGCCGACCCTGCCAGCTTCTCTTGCTCGGAGCTGCTGCGAGGCGTGGTGAAGACTTCTGCGTTCTTCGAGTCCACTTCGAGTCCGCCTGCAGGTTGCGCTGTTGTCGGCTTGGTAGCGAGGACTTCCTCGTGCTCGAAACCTGACGAAGCAGAGCTGTGCGCCTGCTGATGTCGCTCGTCGCCGTCAAAGTCGACGTTCGCCTCGCCTCGAGACGAGGGGGCAGAGGAGCCGTTGGACAGCATCGAATTGCGTTGCGACGAGGGTGCGTCAGCTGTTTCAGATGATTCGCCGGGGAACGTTGCAGTGACAGGGGGGCGCGCCTTGCCAGTAATTAAGCTTCGACGTTTGACGTTCTGCTGGTCAGGAACGTCGAAGCTGTTGCTTGCGAGGATCGGCATCAGTGTAGCTGATCGATCGTCTCCAGAGAGGACGCTGCTGTGCCTGCGTGAAGCAGTTGTCGAAGCCGAGACGAGGGCCACAGATTCCGGCGCGGAAGAGTTCGGCAGGTGCAGCGAGTCGCTATGGGTCTCGAAATCACGGGTGCGGCGAAGCCAAGATGCACGCTTGGAAGCGGGCTGCGCTGCTGCTTCGGTCGAAAGCCCCCTGAGTCCGCCTGGCGATGCAGGATTGGCCTTGTTGATGTACTCTAGACGACCTGGAGCCGAGTCCGGAGTGTTGAGAGAAGCAGAGATGCGCTGTGGAGCGGATCCTGGACGCCTTGCGGAACGTGTGCGTTGAGGCGATATGAAGGCTCTTGGGGGAAGCTCTGCGTCGTGCGTGGAACTGGAAGCGGAGCGGTGACGATTGTACTTTTGCTCGAGGATGAGCTGACTGCGTTGTCGAGAGTGAGACGAGGCACGGTTGATGTAGGGCCTTCTGTAAACGTACTGGCCGTGCAGGTCAATATCGCCGGTAAAGCCTGTCTGGTAGAGGGAGTCGTTGGACTCGACGGTGCTGGCAACGGCAGCAGCGTCGTCCACAAAGACGGACTGGTTCCAATGAGCTGCTGCGGTTTCAGCGATGGAAGATCGCGATTCGGGAGCGAATTCTTTGGCAGGTACGAGTGGGCTTCTTCTCAAGCTGAGACCTGCTTCCATGCGCTCGTTGGGGATGAGAATGCCAAGTGCTTCGGTCGAGTGGTCGAGTGCAACAGGAGCCGATGCCAAAGTGATGAGCTTTTCTGGCGAGCGATCGGCGGATCCTGAGGCCGAAGCAGCCGGAGCTGGACCGGAGGTGCGTGAAGCACGCGAGGAAGCGCGCTGCGAGAAGGAAGAGTCGCTGGAAGCGATGGGAGACTCGGGTGGAGAGGCGGGGTTGTATTCGCTGAGGATATTGTTTGCAGAGAAGCTGGGAGAGTGTAGATAGGACACGGTCATGCCTTTGCTCTGGGGAGGAAATCGAGGTGGTGTTCCTGGCAGCGAGCCATGTACCCTGTAGTGTTGTGGCAGCAGGAGAAGTCGACAACCGTGGATGGGCCCAACGATCAAGAGACTGATCCGTGGAAAGCAACCGAGATGAAGCAGTAGCGTGCGAGATGATTGCAATGAGATTTGCAGCGCTGGCCAAAGAGGTCGTTGTAGAAAGAGCAAAAAGACCTTGGCCTTGGATATCAATCGAAGAAACGAGAGTGGATGGAGGTCGTGGTAGTTGCCTCTAGCAAACGTCGACGACGAGGGTGATGATGGTGATGGTGAAGGAATGAGAGACTCGCAATCAGTTGCCAGCAAGAATGTGCACCGACAGCATTGTGGAGCAGCGAACGACGAGCGCCGGGAGTGTAGCTGGAATGAAGGGAGCAGGGGGAAGGAGGAGAAGGAGGAGGAAAGAAGCGAAGCAGCAGCCGAGAAACAGGACCGGATAGGAGGATGCTGGACGGGATGGGATGGAATGAGAAATTGGATGGCTTGAGACCGCGGCGGTGAGGCCAGACGTCAAGATGTCTCAACCCTTGCCGTTGGCCAGCGGTGTGAAGTCACAGTGTGTGATAAGTGACCGGACAGCGAAGACAGCGGAATGTCCGCATGTGCTTTGCTTAGCGTTGCGCCTGCTGTTTGCTGACCGCCGCCGCCTCCTGTCAGGGCTGCAGAAGGCTGTTTGCGGTCAGAATTGAGTAATTCACCACCGATCAGGCGACAGAGGCTCGAGAGAGAGAGAAGAGAGTGCAAGGCAACGAAAGGGCACAAATTCGGCAAGGGCGCGGGGACAGAGGATTCTCGCCGGGCTGAAACAGAGGGCGGGCGTCGCTGCAGTGCGAATCCGTACAGCACCCACAATACAGCCGGCAGCACGACAAAGACTGTGGGTTTGCCGCCCTGGACCAAAGTCAACTGACGAGCCTCGACTGTGCGGTGTTTGGTCTGCTGCATCAACCAAATTGGCTCGCTTATATTCCCATATCACAAGTCCGCTCTCAGCTGAGTTGAGCAGTGAACCCTTTTCCGGTCAACGTCTCTATCCACTCGAACGGCCCTCCCGACTAGGACCTTCGCTGTCGGCATGGTTCCGAGGTGTGACTTCAGTGAGCGTGCGAATCTTCTCACGGTATCAGTCATCGAAAGCTCCGGGACTGTCAGAAGACAAAGTAAGGAAGGTTGACAGCGGAAAGCACGCCGGCCAGTGGAGCTTCGGGGTCGCATGCAGGGTGTAAGCGAAGTGCTTCCAGTACGGTTGTCGGGCGTGGTTGATACGTTCGGCTGCATCGAAGCGATTTTCAGGGCCGAAGGCGCGACGAGCCTAATCAACGGCAAGTCCTCGACATGAGGCCGAGAGCCGAGGAGAAGGAAAGAGCAAAGCTGTTCCTGGGCGTGCTGCTTTTCGCCTTCTCGACGGCAAAGCGCGCTCATCTCCTTCGACTGACCCTCGCTTTCGGTCGCGGAGTCGGAGTCGATCTCTTCGGTAGATGTGTGCGGCAACAACTCACCCACACGCCATTTCCAAACGCCGTTTCCCACGGCACCCCGCTTCGATGGGCCTGCATCAGACGCATGCGTGCCTTAAGCTTAACTTAGTCTCAGCGCGCGCTACTGTAGCCGGGCCTTCGATCCACGGGACGGCCATGTCTCGAGCGCCTATCTGAAACCTACCAGGGGCAGGCGCTTGCCGTAGTGTCGGGCGCCGGACAAACACCAAAGCACATTCAGCTCGGCTCGATACGCTTTGTTGAGCATGCCAGCCTCAGGGTCCAAACAGACCCTAGCCGCTGTTCTTGCTTTCGCAGTTGTCCTGCCTTCATACGGTCAACAAGGTAAAGCTTACAGCGTGTGAAGCAACCCCGCAGTCTCATTTGATCTCACGGTCACCCTTCTGATGGGAAGACGAACTGCCCGCGAATGTTTTCTGCGTGTCAGATCTATGACGACCTACACATTTGGGAAAAAGCAGCCGCCGTATCCCGAGGATACCATGGAGGTGGAGGCAGATCGACTTGCTAAGCTCCAGTGATGCTTCCTTCTCCTCCATCTTCACCAACGCAAAGGCATAGCACATCGCCATGACGGTCGTATTGACGTCGTTGCCGAGCCGCGGCATCCCACGCTCGATTGCAACTAGGCTTTCCGTCGGTCCAACGAACTTCATAAGCAGAGCCAATCCGAGGCATCGCAACTTTGCCACGAGCCGTTTGGCTCGTTCGGCAGACAGTGCGACCAGCAGCCAATGGAAGGTCGCAAAGGTTCCACATCGCGGAGTCGTCCAGGTCAGCGGCAGAGACACAGTCAAGCTACTGCAAGGTCTCGTCAGTCACGATGTCCGCTCTCTCGAATCCGCCAAGCCCACCGGATCGGGATCTTCCGGCTTGGTCTATGCCGGCTTCATGAACCCGCAAGGGCGAATGCTTGCGGATGTCTTCATCCACCGCCAGTCGCCATTGGACGACGGCTCGCCACGATGGCTCCTCGACGTTGACTCGCGTACGCTTCCGTCGCTACTGAGCTTCATCAAGAAGTTCAAGCTTCGATCTAAGGTCCAGCTCGTCGATGTATCGGGCGAGCACAACGCGGTTCAGGCGTGGTCCGCTTCGCAGTCAGAAGCGCCAGCAGCCATCATCGAGCATCTCAGCATGGACCCTAGGTGTCCAACAATAGGCTACCGTGGCGTGCTTCCAGCGAGTGAAGCTGTCGACTTCAACGGATCAGCGAGCCAGGTCGACGGAGACGAGTACACCTTGTATCGAATCATCAATGGTGTTGCCGAAGGAGCGCTCGACTTTCCCGAAGGATCCAGTCTGCCTCTCGAGAACAATCTCGATTACATGAACGGCGTCGACTTCAGGAAAGGCTGCTATGTGGGTCAAGAGTTGACCGCTCGCACACACCACACGGGCGTAGTGCGCAAACGTATCGTCCCGCTGTCGTTCTACCTTCCAGGATCTAGCCCGCCTGCGACCATCACAGAGGTCGACCCTTCTTTCTCGCATCAACTACCAGCACACCTCACAGAGGTACGCTCCAGACCAGTCGGGGAAGCAACGGATGGCAAATCAGCACGTGGCAAAGCAGCAGGCAAGTTCACAGCCGGCATTCACAACGTGGGACTGGGATGCCTCCGATTGGAACAGGTGAGAAGGTGGACCGACGCTTCAAGTCCAGAAGCCAGCAGCAGAAAGGACGGGCTCGAAATGACGGCATTGTCAGCGGACGGAGAGACGACATTGTTGGTCAGACCATGGATTCCGAGTTGGTGGCCCAAGGAGAGGCCAGAGCAATAGCAATGAAAGATGATGGTCACTATCCACTATTCAGGAACATTGCCGTGAGGTCTGCATGGCTGAGCCCGCCCGGCGATCACGGCAACCGCGGTTATCCTACTGTAAGCGTAAGCTCGAGGCTTTCGCACTCTTGAGCATCTCGCCGCGCTCCACTGCCGCTGTCTTGGTCCGCTCTGCCGCCAGGCGATATAGCGAATCCATGCTGAGCGTGCCTGCGTCATTGACGTTTGGCAGGTTGCCAGTGTGGTCGTCGGATGATCCGGTTCGCCGCGCAGTAACACTGGCAACTTGATTTTGCAACGCCTGTCGTTCTTCTCGGAAGCTCCGCAGTACCCACTCGCCATAGTCAACTCTGCTCGCAGATTGTCGATCGTCTTCTGCGCCTGTGGTTGTGTTTGCATCAGCACGCATGATCTTGTCTCGCGCTTCGCGGTATCGTTGCTTGCTTCGAGCTACTCGTCGTACCGACTCCTGCTTGGTTGCTGAAGCTTCCTCCAGCCAGGGCTGCATCTTGGCCGTGTACTTGGCGCTTTTGATCCAAACTGGTACTTCGACTTCGTACCTTGTCGATCGGGACGATGTGTCCGCAACGTTGCGCGGTGCTGTTTGAGCCAGCAAGTCGGATGGTGCTGCCGTTCCCGGTGTGGCTGCGCTGCGCGTCGGCTGGCCAAGTAGCTTGGAGACGCTAAAGCTAGCCATAGCGAGGCGCTGTCGTGCTTTCAGCCGAACAACGTCTCCACGCGAGAGACCGGCAACGGCTTCTCTCTCTTCCGTCTTCGGCTCCGTTGTTCCAGCTCGTGCTGATCCTTCCTCGGCTGTGCTGGAGATGCGCACGACAGTACCAATTCTGCCGAACTCCTTGTTGGCTTCCAGAGACGACATGACGTGGACGGAAGGCCAATTGCGTGGCAGTCGAGTTGCAACATTTGATGCCGGGATGATGTCAAAGACCGTATCGGTTCCGATCCATCTCGAGTGCTGTCCAGCAGTGGTGTCGTCTTGCCAGGGCTGCCTGCCCCCAGATTTGCTCGATGATTTTGCTTGTGCGGCTGACAAGACCGGCATCGACAGGAGATCACCGCCTTCACCGTCGGAGACTTGACCTATCAGGAGACAGAGCACCTCGGTTAGATCTGCTGCGGCAGCCTCTGCGTGCGCATTCGTAGTCCGCTCCTCCTTCAGGCGCTTCGCGATTGCCTCTGGGAGATCCAGCAGCAGGTCGTAGTAATCTTGTTCGATCGGAATCCGCTCCATGGCTGGTCGACAGTGCTTGACGCCGATGCCCGAGGTAGGATAGATCTGCGATGACCAGAAGAGGTAAAGCGCGAAGGGGACTGCCATGATTTTGAACAGCTGTTTGACATCGGTGAAAGAGATCATTCGGCACTGCTGTTCCTGGATCTGGCTGTCGTCACGAATCTGGGTTCGAAGGTAGGGTTCCAGGTGCTCCAACAGCACACGGCAGATGGCATCTCCCATCGCTCGCTTACTTTCCGTGTGGTCCGCAAATGCAAACTGGACATAATGCCATCCTTTCCGTATCCACATCTGCGCGAACACCGAGAATGGTGAGACGGTGTTACGCAACACGTCTTCCGGTATGGCTGCACTTGACGACGGTCCAGCTATCGCAGTCTGCGCCGAGAGCTGGCCCTCCTGAGTCAGCTTGAGCAGCAGCGCCTCGGAAAATGCGGACAGCAGATCGTTCACATCGTGCCTGAGCTGAACGACAAAGGTTTCGTCGTTGGGCAGTTGAGTGAGGCCGACCGGTAGGAGGTTGAGGTTTCGAGCGAGCAAGGGAGATGGACCGAGGGGCGGTGAAGCTGTACGCCCGTCTGGACGCCTTCGCTTCCTCGAACCTGCGGCCATGTTATGTCATCGCTGTCCTGAGGGAGTCGGGTGGTGATGGGAGAAGGCATCAGTAGCGAAGGAGGTCTCTACACAGACCTCTGCGCTCCCAGAAGAAGGTGTTCATGCAGCTCAGCCAGGGTCCAAGACGGGCAAATCGTCCGATGAGCTTTTCAGACGTCCCGATGCAAATTTTACAAGATGTTATGTTCTTGTCGAGTCGAAAAGGTCGATTTTTGATCCCTTCCCAGGGGCACGTCTTTTTTAATCTCGTCCTGGGCACTGAGTTTTCCAGCTTTCTCACGCCGCGCTGAGGAGAGGCGGCTGTGCCAGAGCGTGAAATCCGAGTCGAGTTCCGGCTTCACACAGTGGGAACAGGCACACACTCTTTGCTCTCCGTCCTCTGGCCATAAATTGATTTGTGTTTAGCCTTGACTGGCCAGCTGCCGTCTTGCTTGACTCTGGCTTGCCGCTTTCGGCTTGAGCAGCGCTTGCCTGATTGCGTCCCAGCGCAGTTGAAAAGCATGTGAGGAATGGATCGTCGCGATATTGCATCACCCTGCCCGTCATCCGCTACCTGACAGACCCTGATATCCAGCGCTGCCTTGTCACGAAGGGTCTGTCGAGTGGGTCATGGTTCAAAGGGGCGGTGGAAATTAGCACGAAAAGCCAAGCTGAAGGGAAGGGCCGCTGTGTGTCCAAGCCTGCCATCTCGCTCTAGACAAGCCAGCGACTGAAATTGGAAAAGGAAAAATATGGGCAGCACCGCGGCTCTCCCGTTGTGCCTGTATTTCTAGTTCAAATTGCTGTCTCACGCCGAGACTGGTGTGCTGCCCTAATTTCGGAAAGAAACACACGCTCCGCATTGGTAACGGGCGGTGGAGTGCTCGGAGACTGGTGGGCTGCCTCGTCGAAAAAACAAGGCTGCGTCCCCACTACTGTTGCTCTCCCCGAGGCTCTCTCTCCCTCAGCCTCAAGCCAAGAAAACGCAGTTGACTGAGCTCGAGCTGAATTGAGTCTGAGTGGGATAGTCGAGAGCCAAAGCGCGCCTGGCGGTTCCACTTTCCCCTTTCCCCTTCCTCCTCCCTTGCTCAGCGCTTTATCCTCTCTCTTTCCCTTCATCAACTCAACTCAACTCTGCCGTCTGCCGCCTCATCCTCGTTCAGAGTATAAGATCCCCTTGGCCTCCCCTCGAGCCCACGCGAAGCGCCCTTCTCTTTCTCCCCTTTCTGGTTCTCCATCCGGCTCTCCGCCTTCCTCCATGTTCAATTTGCCCAACATCATGAGGACAGCCGTCCAAGCTAAGCAGCCTCTGGCTCGCAACGTCATGCCCGCCGCCGTCAACGCCGCCAACTTTGCCACCACCGCCGCTCCCAAGGAGACCAAGAAGCGCGCCTCCTCCACCACCACCAAGGCCAAGGCCGGCACCTCCAAGGCCAACGCCGCCGTCGCTGTCGCCGCCGATGCGGCCGGCGCTACCGCCAAGCGCGGCGGTGCCAAGGCCAAGGCCCCCAAGAAGGAGAAGCTCAAGCCCTGGCAGGCACGCGGCGCCGACGGCAAGCTCCTCCCGCTCCCCTCGGCCAGCAAGCCCACCCTGCGTTCGTCGTTCCTGATCTACATGTCGGAACGCGTCTCGCAGCTCAAGGGTGATGCTCAGTACCAGAAGACCTCGCCCAAGACCGGCGCTCAGGTCGTCGACATTGTCAAGATGGCCAAGGCCGTCGGTGCCGAATGGGCTCAGCTCCCTCCCCACCTCAAGGCCCGCTACGAGGCCCAGCACGAGCAGGAGAAGGCCGCCTACGAGCAGGCGCTCGCCGAGTGGAAGGCCGCTCTCTCGCCCGACGACATCAAGCGCCAGAACGCCTACATTGCCTCGCAGAAGAAGAAGGGTATCAAGGGTACCGCCTTCCTCCGCGACCCCGCCAAGCCCAAGCGTCCCAACTCGGCCTTCTTCGAGTTCCTCAACGACCTGCGTGCCAGCGAGGCCGTGATCCCCAACATCACCGAGTTTTCCAAGCGCGGTGGTGAGCGATGGAAGCAGATGTCGGCTGAGCAGAAGGCTCCTTACGAGCAGCGCGCGCTGCAGGCTCTCGAGCAGTACAAGCGTGACCTCGAGGTGTACAACAGCACTCGCGGCCCCGAGCTCTAGACGAGCAGTGGCCCGGCGCGGTTGTGTTTCACCCCTTGTAACAACATTGATTCCCCTGTTTCGCGGTTTCGTTCTTTCTGGCCACGCACATCGCTGGCTCATGGTCGAGCTCTTACACTTCTCTGCTCACTGTTCAGATGGAGGTGGAGCTCTCATGTCGTCGGTGTAGTCGATGTGCCCCTTTCCTTTTTACGGCGTGTCGATGTCCTTGTACTGTCTCGATTCTTGCCTGTTGTACTGTAGGATTCCCTTCAACCACCTTTCTTGCCTGAGGACGAGTGTCACATTGACCTTTGACCGTTGAGCCACCTATTGAGAAGCCTGACTCCAGCTGTGAGCGGAGCATGTGATGAGCAGGTGTTGTACATGTCAAAGACCGCCGAATCGACGCGTTTTTGGATTCGACATCGCGACAAACACACGGTAGCAGGGTGCAGTCAGGATTGTGGCTGCTCACTGCGACGTGGAATGCTGTTCGGGAACAACAAGCCGAATTCGATCGGCTCATCGGAACTGAGACATGTCCCGCTCTTCTTGCGTCGTAACATTCGCACGATCTGACAGGTAAGCTAATGCATACGGTGTACAGCCAGAGCAAGCGATGCGAGTACTTGAAGAACTGCCAGTACAGCTCTACGTACCCTGCCCGATCTGGCATGCCCTTCAACCGCGGCCTGGCAATGATCTGTTCCACCTTTCTGCGAGGCCACTCCTCCAGTAGCGCCGCGAGCTTTGCGAACTTCGCAATCGCCTCGTCTCAGTCTTCATCTAAACGTGTGATCTCATTCTGCCAACGAAGCCTGCTGGCTAGGTGGCCGCTATGGCGATCCCACGACCTATCGCGTTGAGAAATGTGGATCAAAATTGGGGTTCGGAAAATACACTTGCGGGCTGCACAATCCGACGTGAGGTCACGTCAGCGAGGAGTCTAGTTCTGCGTGAATCACCAACAAGGTGGAGGCATGCAGCTGCATCATCGACCGGCTGTTAGCAGCTACCCTTCTTGCTTCCGCACCATCGCATACACTATCAAAATGGCTCCCTCACTCAAGATCTCAGCGGGTCCCTCCGTGGACGCCCTCAAGACGGTTGCAGTCAACCACGATGATCAGCCGACCGAGATCAACACGGATCTCTTCCAAGGCCGAATCGCAGTCCGCATCAAGAACTTCACCGGTTCCGATCCTGATGGAGTGGAACACCGCAAGGACACACCCTACTTCGATGCTGGTCACGGCAAGGGTCAGAGTTGGTCGATGCAGATCCAAGGTCGCTTCAAGGAGCCCGTCAACGCCGACGATCTCGTGTTCGGCAACGAGTTCGACAAGCCCATCAAAGACCATCTTCCCTACGGTACCAGTCTAGCCCTCCAATTTGTCAAGATCGTCGATCCGAATCTCGAACAGGACCTCTACGCAGAACGACCTTATGCATGGAGTCCGTATCTCGCCACTATGCCGCGGATCAGCTCGGTCCCCGCTAAGAGCGAATCCGACTCCTTTGACGACTGGCCGGACTTCCCGACCCACCCGGAGTACGTTCACGACGATATCTCCTCCCTCATCCCTGAAGAGCTCGCCGAGAAGGAGAAGAACACCGTTGCCAACTTCAAAGGGATCGACAAGGCACACGAGTACAGGCAGCGCTTCCTCGGCAACCGCGCTCATCGGAAGGAGATCACCGTCGGCCCAGACCAGATCGTTACCGCAGATTTCTTCAACGGCTTCATCGACTTTAACGATCTCACCCTTCACATCCCCTTCTCGGGCGGGCTGAAGTTCGATCTGAAGAAGTATTGGGATGGCCAAGCAGTCCGCTACTACTGTCGTGATAGGAAGACCAACAAGAACTTCTTCGTTATCGAGTTCAACATTGTTGATCTGCACACTTGATGGTGTAGAGGAGGCATGACGAATACGCAGATTCTCAGAATTGCAGCCCTTGGGATCGAAATGCATGTGGGACACGCAGCTCAGACAATTTTGTTCAATTCGAGGTCAAGAGGTGGGAAACGAGCATCGTGTGTAAGGCGCTTCTGGCAGGGCGATCGCTGTTGAGGTACAAGTACACGTGGGAATCTGCGACAGCATGGAAGTCACTAATCGCGCGCAAGTAGCTGTAGGGCAAGTTATGGAAAGCAATAAGAGTCCGGCGCTACTTGCGATACTGAGGCGGCACATCCTGCCCACCCTCCTCCTTGGTCGGCATCCTGTTGTGGTACGCCTTGAAGCTGGACTCCCACTCGACGTACTCGCGCCAGTACTTGTCGAGTGCTTCCTCTTCGGGTGACTTTGCTGGCTTGGCTGCTGCAACGGGTTGACTCCTGCTTTGTGCGGGCGAGGCTGCGTGCTGAGAGATGCCATTGCCTCGCTGCTGAGACGGTGCTGCGGGCTGTCGATGCGATGCGGAGTCGGTGGGCGGCGGGGGTGGAGCGTCATCCTCGGGTGGTGGCGGAGGTGGCGCATTGTTGTCCGTAGGTGGCGGCGCGGGATCGCCATTGCGGGAGGAGTTGTAAGGATACGACTGCTGTTGCTGGCTCCATCCGCCGCGTTGTTGATCCCAGCCGCCTTGTTGTTGCTGCTGCTGCTGTTGATGTCCATAGCCACCAGCGCCCACGGGACTGCCACCTCGACCGTAGCCTTGCGAGCGACCATACCCTCCACCGCGTGGTGCGCCACCGTCATAGCCCCCGTAACCTCCCCTCTGACCCCCACCGTACCCTTGACCCATCGAGTCGTACGCCTTCTGCCACTCCGCACGCACCACCTCCATCAGGTCCTCCGCCAGCGCCTTGGCCGCCTGGATCTGCTCGTCCTCGGGTCCTGCAATAGCAATGTGCATGGGCTCGTTCAGCTCTGCACCCGTGTCGCTCTCGATAAAACCACTGCCCAATCCCTTGATCTGCACACGAGTCCCCGTCTCGCTCTGGATGTACTTGACAAACATGCCTCCTGGCCCAACGATTTTCGAGCGCACGTTGAAGTTGCGGATGCTCTCGAGGTTGACGAGGATCTTCTCTTCGGGCCATCTGCGGCGTTCTCTCGGCGGCGGTCGTTGGTTCTCGTAGTCGAGTCGGCGCTGATGACGGTCTTCGACGAGTTGAGGCACGTCTTGCGCCATGAGCTCGTTGATCTTGGCGATCGCGGCGTCGAGGATGTCCTGCGAGATGGCACTGACGTGAAGGAAGAGCGGCGGATCTTCTTTGGTTGCAAGCGCTTTGTCCGGATACCACGTGCCTTTAGTTGTGACGCTGGCGCCGGTCTCGCGATGAATCTGCTGCTGCGTCTGGCCTTTGGTGAGCATGTATCGGTTGCGCTGATCGTTGATCTCGATATCATGGGTGAACTCGGCATCGTGTGCGTCCTTTTCCTTCGATTGTGGTGCTTCGCTGTTGCTTGACGAGGATGGCTGGCCTTTGGATGCGAATTGGGCAGCGATCTTTGCTGCAGCTGCTGCCGCCGCCGCTGCTGCAGAAGCGGATGCGGACGAGGACGAAGCCTCGTTGTTGGGGCTGTCCCACCGGCTGGACATTGTGCGAGCTGTGAGCTTCTGTGACTGGCTCCTGTGGTGTTGTCTAGGCGAAAGCGGGGTAAGTAACGAGGTGATGGTGGAAGAATGCGAAGATTTGCTGGACCCTGGGTCAAGGAATTTCCAAGGGCGATCTCCCGATCACGAATTTCAGGTTCGAAATGGCAGTTAGCAAAGGTCTAACACTGACACCTCTAAAATCTCAATGTGCGAAGATCTCCGAAATCGAGATGGCCGGACCGCGACCGGGATTCTTTCATGGTGTCGACCCGCGGGGAGCTTGTTGGGTCAAAGCAAATGCAAGGTAGATCAGTTGTGCGCCATCGCTTCGGCCACTCACGATGATGCCCGGCGACCTCGACCCATCCCAATCGTGCAGGAAGAATTGATGTCGCAAACATCAGGCGATATCTAGGTACCCGAGGCTAGATTCGCTCAGCCAACCTTATCAGCCGCAGAGCATTGATAACACTTCGCGAAGGATGTAAGGAGGGCAATCTTCTTGCATCAGTGACAGACGGGGCAAGACGAACTTCAGTCGAATCGCGGCAGGATTGGCCTGAAGCGCTTTTTGAAGCTGGTCCTGGCGATTACGCTTACTGAGGCTCTAGATGTGGCTGACTGCCTGCGTCTTGTTGAGTGAGTGAGCTGTGGTTCGGCGCACGGCCTGGCGGACTGGAATTTCCGAAACTTTGGACGGTCTCTTGATTTTCTGACGGTTCGAGCGTGCCGCGCCTTGGACAGCCCAAGTGTGACGTTACGAATCGATCTTTAATCTTGATATCAGATGCTTCACTTCTTCTTTGCTTTCCTCTCCATCATCACCCGCATCCTTTGCAATCCGTCACGATGGCTCACAAACTCGCATCCTCCCAGCCAGCATGGCAAAAGCTCCAGCAGCTCTACGAGACCAAGGGCAAGCAGATCAACCTCGCCCAGGCTTTCAAGTCCGAGCCTCAACGCTTCGAAAAGTACTCCCGCGAGTGGAACTCCAAGGCGACCGATGCTCGTCTCCTGCTCGACTTCTCCAAGAACTTGATCGACGATGAGGTGCTCGAGCAGCTCGTTGCTCTCGCTGAGCAGGCCGAGGTCAAGCAGCAGATCGATGCCATGTTCGGTGGCGAGCACATCAACACCTCTGAGGACCGCGCTGTGCTCCACGTTGCCCTCCGTGACGTCCCCGGCGACTTCAAGATCAACGAGGCTGGCGTTGACGAGGTCAAGCCCGAGCTCGAGCATATGAAGGCCTTCTCGGATGCTGTCCGATCCGGCGCCCACAAGGGTTACACTGGCAAGACCATCAAGAGCATCGTCAACATCGGCATTGGCGGTTCCGATCTCGGTCCCGTCATGGTCACCGAGGCGCTCAAGCCTTACTCGAAGCGTGATCTCGATGCCTACTTTGTCTCCAACATCGATGGCACACACATGGCCGAGACGCTCCGCGTTTGCGACCCCGAGACGACGCTCTTCATTGTCGCATCCAAGACGTTCACCACGCAGGAGACCATCACCAACGCCACCACGGCGCGCGACTGGTTCCTCGAGCACGCCAAGGACAAGGCGCACGTCGCCAAGCACTTCGTCGCGCTCAGCACTAACGTCAAGGCAGCTACCGAGTTCGGAATTGATCGCTCTAATATGTTCAAGTTCTGGGACTGGGTCGGAGGTCGATACTCGCTCTGGTCGGCCATTGGTCTGTCGATTGCCATCGTCATTGGCTACGAGAACTTCGAGCAGCTGCTGCTCGGCGCGCACGAGATGGACCTGCACTTCAAGAACACGCCGTTGAAGGACAACCTTCCCGTGCTGCTCGCGGTGCTGGGCATCTGGTACATCGACTTCTTCGGTGCCGAGACGCAGGCGATCCTGGCCTACGACCAGTACATGCACAAGTTCGCCGACTACTTCCAGCAAGGCGACATGGAATCGAACGGCAAGTTCATCACCAAGAACTCGGAGCGCGTTGACTACCAGACGGGTCCCATCATCTGGGGTCAGGCGGGTACCAACGGCCAGCACGCCTTCTACCAGCTCATCCACCAGGGCACCAAGCTCATCCCTTGCGACTTTATCGCTCCCGTTCAGACCCAGAACCCCCTGGGCAAGCACCACGAGATCCTGCTCTCCAACTTCTTTGCCCAGCCTGAGGCGCTGGCGTTCGGCAAGTCCGAGGCTGAAGTCAAGTCGGAGCTCGGTGCTGAGGCCTCCAACGAGTTCCTCGTCAAGAGCAAGGTCTTTGAGGGCAACCGACCTACCAACTCGATTATGCTCGAGAAGATCACCCCTGCGGCACTCGGCGCCCTCATCGCGCTGTACGAGCACAAGATCGCCGTGCAGGGCTTCGTCTGGTCCATCAACTCGTACGATCAATGGGGTGTAGAGCTTGGAAAAAAGCTTGCTCAGAAGATCCTTCCACTGCTCGAGGGCACCGATGCTAGCAAGGTCGACGCTGCCGGACACGATTCTTCCACCAGCGGTCTCATCAAGTTCTTCCTTAACAACAGGAAGTGACTCGTTAAAGATGCGGCGAGGAGTCGCATCTGATGGCGTTTCGTATGGAATCGAAAGGCTCGCTTTGTTCTATGACACTCTGTTGTGATGGTGCGTGAACGAAAGTACAGTGTCAAGTGTGAAAATGAGATGATGGCGGGCACGAGCATTTCGAGGCTGTCACTGAGCCGTGAAAATTATTGGCGACACCTGGCCAAACACAACGCCCGAGATCCTCACGGGCTGAACCAGCGGTTGCCTTCACTGAGTTCCCTCGATAGACTCAAGCTCGGGTTGTGGGAGACCGAGCAAACTTTGAATCACAGGCAGCGCACGCCGAAAGAAAAATCACCACGACATCGCCATTAAAAAATTTGAGCTCGATCGAGCTCCCCATGAACGAAACATCATCGTCATCGTCATCAAAGGCTATCCTACATCGTCTGACAGCTCGCTTACTGCACTACAATGGGAGATACGGCGCAGTAGTCCAAGTTGTGAACGCTGATGATTGGTCGGAGACGGGGGCAACATAAATGGTAGCGTCAGTAATGGTGTTCGCCAAAGGCCTCGATGAGGAGATACTGAAGGCACGGAAGGGGTTTGTGACGCTTACGAAGTGTCGGGATTGCCAGCCCAGTTAGGGAAGGGACGATCCTTTCCGGAGCCGCCAAAGACGGCAAAGGTGAGGATGAAGACGAGGGTCTGGGTACCGCCGTCGAGCGCGGCCGAAACGATGTAGTTGTACTTGTTGAACCATCTGGGGCGGTACTTTCGCAGGTAGAACTGGGCGAAGAAGCCGACTGCGAAGTAGGACGTGATTGAAGCGTTGATGCCGACAAACAGCCAGCCCATGTACCAGGCGATGATCGAGATGTTGAAGTAACTCCAGACGCGGTGCGGGTAGATCTTGTTGGCGAGGTACTGCGGGATGGGCACGAAGAAGCCCAGAAGATAAGCCAAGGTCACCCATCTGTTGAGAGGGAAGGAGTCAAAAAGGAAAGAGAGGTTAGTCGTCTGGTGTCGGGATGTGGCTCTTTGGCAGCACCGCAAACAAACTTACTGATATTTGGCGCCAACCGAGAACATGTCCTTGGCGATGGACCAGGCGATGGCGAGCGTGTTGAACTGCTGGATGTTCTGACCGGACCAGATGTTGGTACCCTGAACCGATTTGAGGATCGTAGCTTGGTTCTGAACAATGTCGACCATCATGACCCAGTTCATCATGCCGCCGACGAGACAGCCGACCACCTGGACAGCGAACGTGCACATGGGAGCTGTTGTGCGAAAGAAAGATAATCATAGGCGTTAGTAGCTGAAGCAGATTGCGAAGGAGAGAAGATTTGGATACTTTCTTAAGTGGACATATTGACCAAGTTTTAGGTCCCTAGCGAGCACGCCGCCCATGGCGGCGGCGTTGTAGGTGTAGCAGGTGAAGTAGAGGTTGGCGAGAGGACGACCGGGGAAAAGGTAACCGGCAAGCATTTGGCAAATCGGCTGAATGTTGAAGCCGAAACCCGTGATACCCTGCTGGGCGCCGAAGAAGAGCACGAACACAAAGGTGAAGAGCGTGCTCAGGATGAAACCCCACCAGGGGAGCGTCGCCTTCATGACGTAAAGACAGACGAGACCGACGGCCCACGAGATGGCGAGCAGCGCACCCCACCACCACATGGGCGCCTCCTTGTATTCGTTCTTCATCATGATCTTGTAGTGAGGGTCGCATCGGTCGTCGTCCATCATCTTGGCGGCCCAGGCCTGGTCCTCTTCGGGCGTGCTGGTGCGCCAGAACTTGTACCAGTGCGGGTCCGAGATGAGCTCCTTGATCGAAGATGGCGACGCCCACGACCAGGCGGCCTTGAGGTCGTCGTAGTTCCACAGCATCATGTGGGTGAAGCACGCGGTGAGACCGAGGTTGGTGGTGATGAGGTAGGCCAGGTAGGTGGTGGTGAGCCAGGGGAGGCCTTCCGCCTTGAGCAGCTGATCGTCAACGATAAATTCGGGAGTCATGATGGCTGTCTGGTTGAAAATGAAAGCGTTGGTGCCGTTCGAGGTGCCGTCGAAGAGCTCCTGCGAGAGGAAGGGGAAGTCTTGGGCACGGAAGATGTTGCCGTAGTACATGCCCATGAAGAGGATGATGCAGCCAAGGTAACCGACGAGCGAGTTGACCATGGTCTCGAGAGGAAGCCACATGGGCGAGCCGAGCGAAGCGATGTACTGCCAGTCGAAGCAGATCGACAGGAATCCCAGACCCTCGTTACCGGAAGCGCCACCGAACAGGTTGGTGAACACCATGTTGTCTTGGCGAGCGAGACAGAAGATCGACACACCCTCGAGCACGGGGAAGATGTACTCGGGGAACACTTCCCAGACGAAGATGATCGCGGCGATGATCCAGAAAATTTTCATACGCTTCTTGACGATGGTCTTGGCGTCGGGCGCTTTGCTGCCGTGGAAGGTCTCGAGCAACGACGTCAGCGGCAAGTTGGAAGGCCAGAGCATCTTGACGGGGCGCACAAGAACGTTGCGGAGGAGACCAGCGACAGTGTATCCGATGAGCTGCGAAGAAAGTACGAGGAAGATACCGGCGGCCTTGGACGGGTATCCGCCGTAGAAAAGCTGCTGGGCGGCGAGCGCCTCGGTCGCAAGCGCAGACTGGGTGCCGGCACTGGCCATGAGCGTGATAGCAGCATGCTCCTTCAAATTGAAGGGGTGGGGGTTTAGCCATCGTCCCATCCAGCCGCGCCTGGGGATGACGGCGGCCATGAATTCACCAAAGGCGTAGGCGATCACCGTCAAGAAGACGAGCGAGACGTAAATTACCTGGGGCTTGAAGTAGAAGATCTCCTGCAGGACGGAACCGAAGATGGCAAGGCCAAGGCCTAGGAACCACATGCGGAAGGTCCAGGGGTTGAGCGAAGGGTCATCCTCGAGCGAAAGCACCTGCGTGACGATATCAGCGGCGTTGTGAACGACGACACCGTCTTCGGGCGAAGGGACGTTGCCGGCAAACTCGACATCTGTAGGATCGCCCTTGAGAACATAGGGGACATTGGAGACTTCGACGCCGTCCTTGTCGGAGGCCTCGTGCTTGAGCTTCTCGGAGCTGGTGTCCGAGTCAGCCCTCTTGGGCTTGACTTCGATGGAATCCATGATGAGTGGACGAGCCGAACAATGCTCAGGTATCGAACAGGAGGGGGGGGGGGG